TTTCGTCATTATTGTTGTCGAGTGAGGATTACTGGGACCTCTGGCTTCAGATTGGCGTCGAGGAGAATCGAACCAGTGGGCTCTGGCCAACTACATGGGAGACACGAGCTACTACCACTGCGCCATCCCACCGGTTCGATGATAACAATGCCAATTGTGTTTGATATGATGCTAGTGCTGCTATCGTGTAGAAGTGAGGGCACCTGTGGTCAGAGGTTCAGGGGTAGGCGGTGATAGTCTGACTTCACTGAACTGTCGTAGCTTGCCGCGCTCAATCTCTTCTCACACTCCTTCCTCACAATGTTTTGTGGATACACTGAAGATTAGACATCTTGCTGATCTCCTCGCTGCTCCATCTGGCGCACTGAAGACTTGCCTGCAGAGCAATTGAATTCTCTGGCCCACTGCTTTTCTAGATAGGAAGCGTAGCAGATTGATAACCACCTAATACATTCACTCAACATTCATAGGCTTCGGTCAAGAAGGTTCAGATCAATATGGGTACTAGTCAAGACAGGGTTGAAGTTAAATTGTATTTGTTGTGATACCCTAGGTAAACTATTCTTCAGCCTAGATAGATCGTTTCCAGCTCCACAATATTCGTGGATGGTCTAAGAGGTCTTTGCACAGTATACATCGGGTGTCGGGAAGTTGGCATAACAAAATCTTCCTAATGTTGTAGTTATCGACACCTCAGCCACATCTCCAGCCCCTAATGGCTTGACTGGTCTCTCTTCCTTCAAAGCATTCAGCAATCTTGTTCCTGATGTTGTGAAGGTTTCGACGCCGAAGTTCCGAAGGTCAGGTATGCATTTCAGCAGCATCTTGGCATCCAGCTCTGCTCTACTAGGACTTTGAGGGCGTACAAGGTCGATCGACCGTACCGTCCAGGACTCTGCCACCTCACCTAGATACAGGATCCATAGGTTCGGAAACAAAAGATTCGAGGCTGTCTGATCGGGNNAGCCCACGTGCTCAGATTGTGAGGATAGAGCAAAGCGCAACATTCCAGTAACGGACAGGCTCGAGAAAGTGACATGATCGATGGGGCACCCAACTTCAGACCAAATGCATCTATGATCAGAACTCTGAGATGTGGAAAGTTTGAGATCAACTGCGCGAACGTGTCATCATCCAACCCATGTATCGCAGAAGGTCCGGAACGTGCGTAACGATACGTGATCTCGAGGTACTCGAGCGAGTGTAAGCTTGAGAGCACTGACAAGTCCGTGAAGGAAAGCAATCTGTGCCTTAGGGGACATATGGTAAGACCCTTTAGCTGCCTTTGTCTTCCGATGGTAGGAAACAGCTTGGTGGTGACATCGAGAAAACAAATCTCGAGGACTCGAAGCCGATTGGAAACCTGGTCCAGGACCGAGACAGCACTCGAGGAGCAACCCCATTTNTCTCAACGACCCCAGCTTTCTGAATGACTGGGTTGGTTCTGATGATACAGGCATTTGTTCTAGTAGTTCTGGATCAAGCCAATCTCCAACTAGTCGAAGTAAAGGATTTCTTTCCAATACATGAACCAGAAGACTGCCAGTCATGAGGTTTTGGCAGAAATGACCTGCGAGAGATAGATTCTGCAACGATCTACAGTTCCCAATAAACATGCGGAACGGCTCGGGATCCGAGCGTTCGACGAAATGCCACAGTGTCAAGCTTTCGAGTCGTGGCGCTAGGTTGTCCATGTTGGTCCTGAGCATAGTGTTCGTGGCCGAGACGCTGAAACCGTGTCTCAAGAACAACTTTCGCAAGCAGGATAAGGATCGGACGAAATTTGCAAAATCCTCTTCACTAGCCTTTCCGAGGGGGCCACATAAATCTAGAGTCTTGATGACAGGGCAACGGCTCACTATCGAGTCGAGAGATTGCAAGTCCAGGTCGCAGCGATGCAAGCATATCGAACGCAGTTTCGGCTGTAGATACGAAACGAGGTGGTATCCTGTGCTCGGGACTTGGATTAAATCCAGCCACAACATTCGTAATGCCGGGAACACGAGTTTGTCGAAAGCAGAAAGGGCACTGAGTTGCTCAATCACGAGGACCCTGATCTTGTTCGCGTAAAACTGACGTCTTTCCATCGATTGCATAGAAGCCAAGTTTGTGATTCGGCCAGTGGATGGCTCCTCCCAGAGTAGGTGAGTACTCATTTCGAACCATTTCTCGTTGACCTATACGGCAGCATGCAGTGTTTGTCTGTCGAACTGTTCGAATATACACAGCTGGAGCTCCGGCAATAAGTCCGAGAAACGGAAAATCTGACCCGTCATTCTCGTTGATGTGACCGGTATGAACAGAGATCTCCCGGTCGTGTCGAAGAACTGGAGACTGAAAAGTTGAGGAACTCATAATATCAGCAGTGTAGAGAAAATTTTTGTCCATACATAATTCACTCAAACCTACTCAGTGATCTAGCTTTCATACAACAGCATTTGCGGATCTCTTTGGGTTACCTTTCAAATCGTTCTCGCAACTTGTACAAGCACCGTATTCAAGACGAGACAACCAACGCATTCCTCGAGATGTTTACGAGTTGCAGCCCGCCGAAATGGCTCGCAGTGCGGACGTATATTTTGTTTGTGTTCAAGTTGGAGCTTGCCATGTGCTTCAAAGCACATGGCAGAATCCCTCTTGTGTATTATCGAGCCGGATTGACATTGAGCACGGAACATCAGCCTCGCTCAAGAACCGAGTTCAATTCTCGTAGTCAGCGCTTTAATGTCGCATAGCAAGTCGAAATGGAGATGAGATGTGCTCGAGTCGCATACAGAAGTGCAGACAACCTGGATATTGGATTTGGGGAAGAGCGACGAACGTAGGCGACGGATGATCGTCTTGGCAAGATTTCCGGTAGCCTACGCATAATCGACTCCACAATCGTGAACAGATCTCTCATAGATGCAGCCATCTTCCTGTCATTATGCATCTCATATGTGTCAACGCCGTCGTCCGGCTAGGATCTGCAGATCGACATGCAATCCAGGTTGAAGTTCAAGTAGGCACAAGGGCCCATGGTCGCGTTACACGACACTCGTCACGCGCGGGAAGCCAGGCCGACATGAGACGGCAGGGACGAATGGTTGGCGCTCGACACGCTATGGTCTGATTGCAAGGGAAAAGGAGAAAAACGACAGGTTTGCGCCCAAACTCGAGGAGACTCGACTAAACGCAGGTTTTTGCGGTCCGTCTGGCCCCAATGGTGATACAAAGAATGGTTGGGCGGCTTCGTCGTGAAAACTTGCTGTAGCCGCGTTCAAACCCCTTGAGTGGACGAACACTCTTCAAACCGGAACAGAAACCGCAGTCTCGAGTAGCGCTGATATTGAGGCTCAACGTCAATCAAGTTTGACACTGACTCGTGATAGTGTAAGCCTCGAACATACGGGCAAAACACGCAAATTGTCTGCCTCACCCACGAGCGACCCTTTACTGAGAGTCATTGTTTGGAGTTAGCACACTGCACAATGCAGCTTGTGCCACCGTTATACAGCTCGAATCCGTCGCATGAACTACACGCGGAGAGGGGCTTCTCTTGACAGGCTCGTAGCACCGCCCTGAGGAAACTCTGAAACGTTCTACACGACACACATCAGTCGCTCTTGAAAACTCCCCGGTTCGTCCGGCATTCAACAGAAACGATCCGGGAGCCGAACAGGACGAGACAGAGCAGAAAATTTGTCCGGGCGCACAAGATTCTTCCCATATCAAGAGCTTGTCTTCCTTTTGCAGTGTCCAGACTTGGCATCGACAGACTTACACGACATGGTGTACGTGTGTTCCATCCATCCCTGTTGCTCATCCGTATTATGGTGCATTGCAGAGATAGACATTGTTGGTTGATCGCTGCACGACATGTGAAGGCGTAGGAACAGGCTTGACCATACATCATGATCTGCGAAGGGAAGCAATCGCCTTGTGATGCCTGCGACTCAGATTCGCGGTTTGATCACCTTCACTGTCCAGTCATTTCTAGACTCTTGATCTCCCGGCATACGAGCCTGCAAGTGGTTCCCTTCGCTACAAGAGTGATCACACCCTTGTCACAAAGGTGCTGTTCATTTGTAACTGTTGTCAAGGGAGATGATGGGCTTGAGGGAGAAAGATGTGGTGTGTGTCCAAGAGCGTTCTATCGGCAGTCTGCATATGCAAGCCCCATAGGCGTTATGGCAACTTGCAGTCAAACCTGAAGTTGGTGCAGAAGACGGCATAAAAACCGTAGGTAACATTCAGTGCATACGGAGTATATCAGAAAGACCTTATCCCGTTATGAGAACGTCTTTGAATATACTTGAACAGTCTTGGGAACTCACAACGGAACTATTCTCTTCCAACCTCGACATTCCGGTAATCTTTGTTCAAACAACTGGTGCCCCAGCCTACAGTGCTGAGAAGCAGCTTGGCGACCAACCACGCAAACTCGACGGCGCTTTGATCCTCCGTTGACCACACCAGACATCACTCCTTCAGGCAATAATCGGTGTGCAAACAGAGTCCTCCTCAAAGCAGGAAAAAGAAAGCGACGTTGCCTGGTCATGCGAAGTCACTGAGACATACAGTCCACTTGAACGCAATCAACCGACGCCCGGCATACGAGGTGCAGACCGACATGAATGAAATCCTGCTCCTACAACAACAGGTCAGCAAGTGAAGACCAGCAAAAGATCAGTGCAGACCAAGTTCGGCATCGGCAATTTACAAAGAACGGTAGAAGGAGTTTGGTGGAGNNAAGTGAATAGGAGAAAGAGGCATCAGCAATAATGACAGAGGTTGCTTGTTCCTCATGGTCCCTGGAGCCTGTCTTTGATACATACTGCAAGCTCCCCTTAGACTTGATAAGGCGTCGAGCACTCGCAAATACTCACCGCCCATCGCCTCCTTGTCTGGACACTCAATCGAGCTACTTGAACCCGGTCCAACACCCTCACACCCTAACTTCCACGTCGCTCAACTCTACACACCTCGACACAACGATGGCATCGGAGGGCAGACACAACATGATCAAAATTTCGTCTCTCCTCAACGCTCCACCATCTCCGGGTATCCTGCCTCCATTCTCGTCATTGAGCCCGCCTCTCACCCCTGCACCAACCAGCCAAGCATCTTCTGTCACGGCCAGCCCTCCACCTCAAGTTGCCCGCTCTGGTGGAGCCGCGACAAGCCTTCGTCAAAAGATTGCCAAAGACGCTCCGGTGTTCAATCGTAACCCAGCCCGGGGCGAGGTCAACTATGGTCCGTTCGAGGTCAGTGACCGATGCGCTATGCTCAGCAAGCGAGAGCGCCAGGAGCTGGCTGAGCATCACCGTGGCTTCAACATCTTCCCCAACGGCAGCAACGATCAGGGTCTGATTCGTGACTTTGTTCGTCACATTCCTTACAACAGCGAGAAGAAGGCTTTCTCAGACAAGACTGGTCGTGAGGCATTTGAGTGTGAGTGAACTTCAGGGCACTTGTGTCACATTGTGAGTACTGACTCGTCCCANGTGTTTCAGTACACCTTCAGCCTGCCCCACGAGCCGAACAAAACCTACACTGTCATGTGGGACTATCAAATCGGCCTTGTACGAATCACACCTTTCTTCAAAGCATGCAACTACCCCAAGACCCAGCCCAACAAGGTTCTCAGCCTCAACAGCGGCCTACGAGAGCTGTCCTTCAGCATCACTGGTGGCGCCATCGCAGCTCAGGGTTACTGGATGCCTTATGGATGCGCTCGTGCTGTCTGCGCCACCTTCTGCTGGAACCTTCGCTGGGCACTTACNCCCATCTTTGGTCCCAGCTTCATCAGAGACTGCCTGCCTCCGAACCATCCTGGTTTTGCAAGATTCAGCATCGACCCTGATGTTATTCGTGCATGTGCTCGTGAGNNGGCAGAGGGCTGGCGTACCGGTGCCAGTACTAACCACTATAGCCTTATCTCGGCCCACCCTACCGCTGCGCCCGCGCTTCGCATTCCTCGCTCAACTCCCATGCCCATGTCAGAGCCCAAACGTCTGCGTGCTCGACCTACGCGCCCTCGCATCGATACAGCCGCTCATCTCGGAAGCCCCTTCCACAGCGATGATGAGAGTGCTGCGATTGTCACCGACACAGTTCCCACTCGCCGAACCATCTCTGACTCGCCCTCGGTATCTCCCAAGACTCGCATCTCTCCCACAGTCCACTGGGCTGTGGTCAACAACGCTCGCGAGGATGACAACGGCACACCTACCCCTTGTGCCAGCCGCGTCAACGCGTCCAAGCTACCGGCAGACATGCAAAACCTGCTCGTCACACCCACCTCCGCCACTGGACACACTCTTCCATCTCAGGTAGTCGGCACCCGCAAGCGTCGCCGCTCGTCCATCGGCGAACTCATGTCTTCATCGCCAACCACTTCGCTCACTGCATCACCTATCATTGATTCTGGTTCTGATGGCGAAGACCCCGAGTACGTTGCCTCATCAAGCGAGAAAGAGGACGACGATAGTGCAGGCGAAGGACCGAGCAGTCAACCCAGAACAAGCAAGAAGAGAAAGATCAATGTGCCTGGGGTCGGCCACTTCAGACCCAGAGAGGTCAATGCGGCCAAGATGCTTCTTGCCTTGCACCAGGACGACGCTTCCATCGGCGCTGTGTGAGCTGTTCCTTCCCTCTTCTTCTTTCATTCTTCACCCTTGTCAAGAAACGTTTGGAAGGTCCTGGCTTGCTGGCTGGTGGAAAGCACGATGCAAACATTCTTTCATGACTATTTCTTACGGCCTTTACTCTCCTTTCCTTTTTTTCCCTTGGCTTCCACTCAACATGGCTTATGACTCGAGTATGATATCACCACGATTGAACCCAAATACTGCACTTGGCGATAGATGGCAACGACTTTTATGTATTGATACCCCCTACTTCCTTCAGCGGATGAATGAAAAAGTCTTTGTTTCCCAGAAAATCCATATTCAAGTTCGTGCTTCAAGAAGTGAAACTTGTTCTTGTCGTGAACTAAAGAAAAATGCATGTTTGGCTGAGAAGACTAGCCAATGTCATGCACAACGGAGAGGAATAGGTGTGATGCACCCGAAGAAGGGCGATACGTGATAAACCTCGAAAACATGCATGAAACCAGACCTAGACAGTGCTTTCGAAGGAATGTAGTGTCATATAGAGGTAGAACTGAGTTAATCATCGGACGGTGGGATGGTGCAGCGGTCAAGTTGAGTTCGTTGCTCCTTCCCTGCGAGCCGGAGCCCACCTGTTCGAACCGGCTAATCACCAGCCGGTTCTCTTGAATAATGATGAAAGGAAAGCACTTGCGTTAGGACCTAAGGTACTCTTCCCCCTATTCACCTGGGGGTTTGTGTTTTGCTCAATGAGTGCTCGAGTAGAGATACCTGACAGCTACTTTGTTTGCGCGCTCCAAAATATTGACCGCGCATTGCAAACAACTTCGATGATGTGCGAGAAGAATTGCTTACCAGGAAATCGAACAAAAGTTCAAGGAGCTAACCAAGCAAACGCCATATGTAGAGGTCACTGAAAGCTGGGACAACCTTGTCACTTCCGCTACACTTGCTCTTGGTCCACTTATTTCGTGATATCTGGGGTTTCACTTGAATTGTTTTGCTTTGCATCTCATGAAGCGCTTTGGCTTGTCATTGATTCATTTCTCATCTATCAGCCGCCGAGCGTTGAACTCCTAACCGAACCCCGTCTGATCAAACTCCAGACCCGTGCTGTTGACGAACCCATCGGTATGTCCGCTCTAGACCTCTTCTCCATGAAACGCCGAAAAAAACATTATTCCGTAATCAACCCAGCTTGGGACCGTTACCTCCAGCTTGAGCCTTCGAGAACTCGGCAAGAAGTCCCAAGACTCCGTTGTTTGGACGGCGCTCGTTAACCGCCTCTGGTTCTTCCATGTCATCCCGTTCGCCAAATGCCTTCCATGACTCGGTCAAGTCTTCATCTTGCTCAATGAGCCTGCTGGTGGTCAAAACATCTAGGCCCGCCATATGATCCTCTTCGCCCTCATCAGGACTCTGATATTGAGATGCAACCGGGCGTTTACCACCTCCGCGTAGCTGAGTCAATCGCTGCTCGCCAAGGCGCTTGGTTGTTGAGGGAGCAGTTTTCTGTCGCGGTACATCCAATAGGAGAGACTGATGCGGTGAGAGTTGATGATGTGATGGCGGATCTCTTGCATTCCTGCTCTTGCCAGCGGCAGTCTGTCGAACCGGAGCATCTAGCGGCGGGAACGCAGGTGGCAGTTGGATTCCCTGGGGACGATTTTGACGGAAAGCCTGCTGCCTGTCATACTTGTCAATCCGTTCCTTGAAATAATATTGCGACATGGCCATCTTGTCATCCTTGGTGCCAAAGTAATCCTCACGTAGTCCATCAACGTCTTTACCCACATCGTCTTCGACATTCTTGCTCTTTCTGAATTCGAATACGGCGAATGTACATAGGTGGCCAAGGCCGTCGACTTGCACTGTAGAGTTGCGGAAGAAGTCGATGATCATCTCACTTCGCTTCCCAGAGTTTCTCCACAGGATGAAAGGGGCGATCAGAAGACTTAGGATTTCTTCGAGGAAAATCATGACCTTCATCTGATACAGCGCAGAAAATTCGACGCGGACTTCGTCGCTGTGTAGTTGGGTCTTCCACCTGGCGGGGCAGTAGTGTATAGCGCCGATCACATTCCTGAGATGGAACATAGGTTCGTGTACTTTACTCTCGTCAGGGATGGCACTACGTGCTCCTGTAGCCACTGCCAGTAGTATAGAGACGTAGAAGAAAGCCGTGCGGCCGGGTGTGATTTCGAAACCAAGGAAGAGCTCGGAATCCCATAAGGTAGCGATGGTCAACAGGCCTGCTAGAGTACCACTAACAAGACTAATGAATTGCAAGAACTGATGGATTTTGTCTCTCGGGAACTGGTCGAGGTAAGCTGCTGCCATAGGATGCGCCTGCTTGATACGATGGCGAAAATCATGATCAAGTTCGTTGAACTCGCGAAATTTCCATTCCGCTAGAGGAGTGAAAGTACGAGCTCCGATGGCCGAAGGACTAGCACGGAATTNCCTGAGCACATTAGCTTTAATGCACTAATTTTGGTCAGGGAATGTTTGACTTACAGCGTAATATCGTGAGAAATAGTAGATGCAGTGCAAAGTGATAGTGAAAGGAGCCACAAAGATGCTCATGATGGCGACCTGACGAAGACGCGAGCGTAGGGTCTGGATCAGACGATGTCTATCTCTTCTTTGCAGACACTGTGGGTCGACTTGGCCTTGCTTGTCAAAGATGAAGTTATCAAAACAGGTGTCGAGGCAGAATTCCAGACTCTTGGAGTAGTACTGACGGTTGCCAAGGATAGGTATGGAGAGAGTCAGGTCGATGATCTCTTTGTTAAAGAGGGCAATGCTGTAGTTGTCGCGACGCATCAGGCGGTTGGCGATGTCATGAGCATCCATCTTTTGCCTTGTCTGCTTGCCTGCAGCCTTCAAATACTTGGGTACCCTCTCGGCAGTCTCTGGATTGAGGGGACGGAGTTTCATGAGACTCTGTACTACTCTCTCCCACGAAACGGCCTGGATGTCGGAGTCGGGTATGCCAAGCAGGTGTTGGTAGAACATGTCCATTCTGCGCAACCTGGGAATGTCGGCGATGTAACCAAACAAGGTCTTGATCCACCAGAAGCAAAAGGCCCAAAGCAACAAACTCTTTGTCCAAGACGACTTCTTCATACACTGAGGTATCAGAACTTCCGGGGTCCCTTTGCTAGTGGGAATCTTGGCATAGTCGACACAAGTCGAGAGAAACATGAAGAGGCTGAAGAGGAAGGCGGCCGTGGCAAGGTGGATAAAGCGTGATAACAATATGGACCATACACCGTGTCCAGTAAAGTATTCGTAGACCTCAAGTAGGAAGGCGTCCAAGTTCTGAACATTTGTCCAGAGCCACATGGCTTGCTCTCGGAGAGCATCATCTGGATTGAGTGGGTGCGAGATGGCAGGGCGAGGTCGGTCGTCAGGGTGTAGTTGTTGCCTTTCTTGGGTCTTTCTCCATTGCGTCTCGGTACGATGGTTTGGTGGTGAAGCGAATGTGCTCTGGTCGGCCTTGTCTTCCATGAGCAGTGAGCCTGGAACATCGTCTGCATGAGGTCGGGATGATGAAGGCTGGTGCGGATCGAAGTCAAGGTCGGCTTCAACATCTTCAGCAATGAGGGCATTAAGCTCATGCTCGTCGGATGAATCTCTCAGTCCTCGTTCAGCTCGATCGGAGGTTGGGCCGTGGTCGCGTCCGTAATCGTCACCATAGGCGCCATCATCAGCGGAGGGTGTGAAACGAGACAAGATGCGTGAGGCCATCATCTTGTTCGTCGTGTGAGCCCGTGCGGGTGCATGGAGGAATGAGTCCGTTCAGCTCGAATGTGTCAAGTTAGTCGAGTGAGTTGGTTGCTCCCGTGCCTCTGCTGGTCACCCGAGTGTTGATTCGTCATTCTCCATATTCTTGGCGCCACCGGTCCGAGCCTCAACCCTGCAGCTCTAGCCTCCAACCTTAATAGTTCTGGCATGTGATACAGTCGGGCAAGGCGCATTCTATCCCATGATCACTTGCATGTTCAACGGAATGGGTTCAAAAAGACAGTATGCATTCTGCCGGTATCAACATGAGGATTAGTCGCGAAGATCTTGCTTTTTGTTTTATACAAGGAACAATCTAGCGGTTCAGTTCGATGCTCGTCCTAGATATACACTCTGATCCGTGCACTTGGATCCAACACCTCAGCCAAACCACCGTAAATTGCCCCGACCCTTGACGCTCTTGTGGTCTGAATCAATTAACTTCAACATTCAATCTTGGGAACATTACAACACAACATGGATTTATCTTTGCAAGCACTTGTCAACGAATGGCTACGTCTTGATCAAGATGCCACCACACGGTCCGAGATCGAGAAACTTGCCGCCGAGAACAACGTAGCTGAACTCCAATTGCGACTCTCCAAGCGTATCGCCTTTGGAACTGCTGGTTTGCGTGGAAGGATGGAGGCCGGTTTCTCACGCATGAATTCTCTCACCGTCATACAAGCCTCGCAAGGGTTAGCCGAGTACCTGCTCAAGACCAGCCCCAATGTCAAATCACAAGGTGTCGTTATCGGAAGAGATGCCCGCCATAACTCCGACAAGTTCGCCAAATTGGTCGCTGCCGTCTTTGTAGCAAAAGCCGTACCCGTCAAATGGCTAGGCCAAGTACACACCCCGCTTGTACCTTACACTGTTGGCCATCTGGGTGCGGCTGCTGGGGTTATGATTACTGCCTCACACAACCCAGCAGCCGACAATGGCTACAAAGTATACTGGGGAAATGGATGCCAGATCATTCCACCACACGACGCTGGAATTGCTGCATCCATCGATGCAAACTTGGAGCCAATTACTTGGGATGTGAACATTCTTGAGCAAGGAAGCCCTCTTGTTACCAATGCACTCCAGCAAGTTGAGGAAGGCTACATGGCCACTGTTGCCAAAATCGCATCATTTTCGAGTCCAGACACCTCTTTACCCTTTGTCTATACACCCATGCATGGCGTTGGACTTCCATTCTTCACGTCGGTGATAAAGCAACTGGGGTTGGAGAGTAAGATGCATGTCGTCCAAGAGCAGGCGCATCCAGATCCTGACTTCCCGACCGTCCGCTTCCCGAACCCCGAGGAGAAGGGAGCCCTGGACCTNGCAAAACAAGTTGCAGACCAGAACAGTGTCAAGCTAATCCTGGCGAACGACCCCGACGCCGATAGATTTGCAGCTGCCGAGAAGGTGGATGGTGAGTGGAGACAGTTGACTGGCAATCAGATGGGTGTTCTACTTGCCTCGCACGTGTTGGACACATACCAGCCTAAACAGAGTAGCAAGGGCCTGGCAATGTTGTCATCAACTGTTTCCTCAAAGATGTTGGCAGCTATGGCTGCTGCTAATGGCAGGTTTCATTGGGAAGAAACATTGACAGGGTTCAAATGGCTAGGAAACAGATCTCGAGAGCTGCAACAACAAGGTTACGATGCAATGTTTGCTTACGAAGAAGCCATTGGTTACATGTTCAGCGAAGTGGTGTTTGACAAAGATGGCGTAACCGCGGCCGCAGTCTTCCTAGCAGCCTGCGATCGCTGGAACAAGCAAGGGCTCTCACCCTGGGCCAAGTACAACGAGCTCTGCAAAGTGTATGGCTACTTCGAAGATGCCAACACCTATGTCGTTTCACCATCTTCGGACGTCACCAACGCGGTCTTTGAACAGATACGACAAACCAAGCCTACGAGTGTTGGAAGCCGCCGTATCCTTCGTTGGCGCGACTTGACCATCGGATATGATTCTGCGACACCCGACAATAAACCCACATTGCCAGTCGATAAGAGCTCGCAGATGATAAGCTGTGAGTTGGAGGGCAATGTACACTTTACCGTCCGCGGATCCGGAACTGGTAAGTCTGCGTGCGATTCGAGGGAACATAGATCACATGCTGACACTCACAANGAACCCAAGATCAAGTTTTATATCGAAGGCAGTGCAAGCACATCACAAGAAGCAAAAGCATCAGCTCATGAGGTTCTCGAGGACTTGATGAGGGAATGGTTCAAGCCCGAAGTGAACAATCTGAAGAGAGAGTAAATACATTGCGAATAGAGGGAGTTACAGTAGAGCGCGAGTCAATCCGTTTCCTTTCAATCAAGGCTCATCGGTGTACTCGTCCTCAATAGCATTCTCTTGGTTACGCTTGAGATCTTCCATATCCGCGGCCCAAAGTGCACTTCCTGCAGCAGTTGTGATCAAGAAGAACATGCTCAGCACAGGAATAAGCTGCAGAATTAATGCGACGGTACCAAACCACATATACTGGAATCTCATCGACTTGTTGCGGATGAAGATCTTGCGCTGGTCCTTGTTCATGCCCTTGAGATTGTGGTAACGGCGTTGCAGCAGAGGACCAGCACGGTATCCGGTCAAGATCAAAAACAGTGGTACTCCAACGAAGGGGATAAAGTTGAGCGGCAAGAGCACCACAAATTCGAACAGTTGGCGGAAAGAGAAAGGAGCGAAGACTGCGCCCTTATCGCGGGGTCCCAAAGCTCTGAGAGGAGTTTGAGGCTCCTCTGTATCCACAGGTCGTTTTGCCTTGACGAGTTCTGCATGGCCTCTGGCTACCATGACGGTGTCGAAGACATCGACTTGAGTATGATCAACGAAGAAAGCCTCGAAAAGAAGAGCGATGACGAGATTGCCCTCGGTGAGGACCAGGAAAGTACCACTCACCCAGGCCGAACCTCCTGGGTGGAAAAGCTTGAGGAGAGCGACTTGAGGTAGGTAGGCTGTCAAGAAGAGGATGACCAGAATGAAGACTGACATGACAACCAGAGGAAGCATCTTAGCTTTCAGCAGTGGCCACATATATCTATGCTTCAGAAAGAACCAGACGCCNNCTATCGAGTTTGTGATCAGTTTGAAGTCCATTGCAACGTTAGAGCGCCTCTCTAAATGCTGAAGTTCGTGATATCTTGTGGTCATGATACACGAAACGCACTGAGTTGAGATGCCATCCAAGGAACTCCTATTTGATAGACTATTACGTGGAAGCGCATCGATTCAAGAAGTGTTTGTGTATTGTGACAGCTCTCACATGTTAAGGCAGCGGGTGAGGAGGCAAGACGCGGAATAACTTACCATCAGTGGATAGAGGAAGCTGGTGGTGAAGTTCGCTCTCGCCCAGCGGCGGAACGGCGTGTCTGCTGTATTGGCCATGGCGGATGTCTCTAGACAAATTTCGATAATGAAGAAGGAAGCAGCGAAGTGGAATCTGGATGCCTGCCACGCCTGTTCTCGCGAAACGGTCCGTGCACAATGACGTGAATTTGTTGATTGCCTCGCTGCCGACCTGTTTATTCGACCTATACCTCTTCATGCCCATGCGTTATGTATAAAGCTCAGGATTCCTTGTTCACTGTGTTCTTTTTGTGTCATGGCATAGCGGTGATGGCGATGGCGGACGACGCTGCTCGCGGTGCATCCTTCATCTCCACCTTGCGCTTGGGCTTTCGGCTGAAATCCGTCGCTTTGGTTTCACCATCTCAACGACGTCTCCGTGAAGTAGTAAACTCAACTTACCTCTCGTACCTTCGTTGAAGAGCCGTAATCGACAACATGGGATCACAAGATTGGGACGATGTCTACTTTATGGTCTCGAACAGAAAATGTCCAGACCAAAAAGGCATTCCAGATGTGTTCCAAGTACCTCAATGTGACGGCAACGATGTTTACGAATTGACTGCAGACGAACTCCAGCATCTTTTGTCTACCAAGGCCATGACTTCGGTATCTCTTGTGAAGCATTGCTTGGAAAGAATCAGAAGAGTGAGTTTGTCCAACCAAGGTTATACTCGCTGCTAAGCAATATCANNGGTCAATCCGTACTTAGAATGTGTGATTGAGACAAACCCCGATGCCTTGGCCATTGCACAGGCGCTCGACGACGAGCGAGCAAAAGGCAAAACACGAGGACCACTGCATGGTATTCCTGTTTTGGTCAAGGACAATATGGCTACCAAGGACAAAATGCAGACGACTGGGGGCTCATGGGCCCTGCTCGGTGCAATCGTCCCCAAAGATGCCCATATCGTGCACCTTCTCAGAAAAGCTGGAGTCATCATCTTGGGTCATTCAAACCTGGATGAGTGGGCTGGCATGCGCTCAAAGATATACTCAAACGGCTATTCTGCACGCGGCGGCCAGACCAGAAACCCATATATGCTCAGTCGGAGTCCTCAAGGCTCGAGCTCTGGCTCTGCCGTATCTGTGTCCAGCAACATTGTCCCACTTGCATTCGGCACGGAGACTGATACCTCGGTCATCTGGCCGGCCATGGTCAGTGGCATTGTAGGTATCAAGCCTACTGTCGGCTTGACCTCTCGCAGCGGCGTGATTCCCATCTCAGAGACACAAGACTCGATCGGAACATATGGGCGATGTGTATCTGATGCAGCCCGTGCTCTTGACGCGATTGCAGGACCTGACCCAGAAGACAAACACTCGATCGTTCCCGAGAGACGACAGCCGAAGAGTTACGTCGATAGCCTGACAACGAGAAAGGCTTTGTATGGCGCAAGATTTGGTCTTCCCATGAAGCGCTTCTGGGAGTTGGTGCCGAAGCAGCAAAGGAGGGTGGCTGAGAGGATCCTACGATTGATCAAGGAGGCTGGAGCAGAGATCACACCGGTTGAGATGCCTTGTGCCGAGGAACGTATCGCGCCTGATGGTGGATGGGATTGGTGAGTGATCTTTGAAAAAATTCGTTGAGACCTGCTGACAAAGTGTAGGGAGCATGGCAAAGAAGAAGTGTCAGAATTCACCATCAACAAGGTGGAATGCTATTACCTGATGAACGAGTACCTCGGCAAACTCAAGAACACAAATATCAAGACCGTCGAAGATGTCGTCCGCTTCAATGATGAGAACAAAGGATCTCAAGGAGCCAACCCAGGAGATCATCCAGCCTTCCCTTCAGGTCAGGTAAGAGGATCCTCTCTGACTTGTGAATATATCAACCTCCATATTGACGTTCTNCAGGACAACTTCCGTGAGGTGGTCGAAGCAAAAGGATTCAAATCTCCAGCCTACTATTCCGCTTTGTACCACATGCGCAAGCAATGTCGTGAAAACGGTATAGACGCAGCCTTACATCCGATCATCAATGGCAAAAGAACCTCCCTAGACGCTCTCCTCTTTTGCGACGTCCGTGGTGCCGGCCAACAGATCGCTGCCCAAGCCTGTACGTACCTCGCTTTTCCGTTCTGTACGTCGAGCACTACGCTAACAATCAACGCAAANGCATATCCTGTCATGACCATTCCTATCGGTCTTGATCCTGATGGCATGCCCATAGGTTTGAACCTCCAACACACTGCTTGGGAAGAAGCAACACTGGTGCGCTGGGCATCGGCGATAGAGGATCTGCTGCGCGCAGAAGTTGGACCTAGAAACCCTCCTCGCTACCAGGACCATCTGGCCAAGAACATACCTGTGGAGAATGAATACAGGTATCCGGGGGCGCCGCCTAGATTCGGTGATAGGCCTCCGCCCGCCTAGCCGACCATTGGTTCTTTGAGATTCGCAACTCAAGATGCCGACCGCAATATGTCGTCGTTGTCTTCAGCTCGCAGCATTCTATATATCGACAGTGCTGGTGGAGCCATCAATCACACCACGGGACAAACCGGGAGCCCCCCAGTATAAACTTGCTCAATACACCACTGCCTGACCACTTCTCCTATATAACCTATATATTCTACAAAAATCCAGTCCCTGTGACCAAATAAGCCGTGATGGTGTAGTGGTATCACGCCCGATCCTGAAAAACCTAAGTCCCTAAGCTCGCCCACCTAAGCATCTAATACTCTCTCTGGGATCGGGAGGTCGCAGGTTCGATCCCTGCTCACGGTGTACCTTTTTTCGTGTTTGTGTTACAATTTAGCCGTAGCGAGTGTGATCTTTTGGTGCTTTTGTATGTTTGAAAATAAATTATCTATGCTGTTCGGTTGACAAAGCTCATCTTTCGACTGCGCACGCAAACTGTTTGTTGCAAGATACGGGCATGATGTGCTCGTCCATTGTTCCTTGGAGACCGAACAAGACGGTTACGAGCTCAATAGCACAGTCAGGTTCTTGTGTCCTCTTGTTCCCCTGTTTCTCGTTTTTTTTTTTGGTTCAAGGTTTGTTTTCTTGCCGTCGAAGCCAGACTTGCCATAACTTACTGATGACGAGGCCAGCGAGAATGGCAGAGAAGGTATCAAGGCCCAAGGTCTATAAGAAGCCACCAAATCGTGTCTACCGCTCTAGCCGCTTCATGTCACAGAAAACATGAACTCGTTCGGGGAAGATCAAGTCTACAAGTCTTTCAGGAAGTCACCTCACGTTTGTGACATTCTGTGTCTTGACAGAGATCAGTCGCTTTATGGTCAATCGAAGCTTGGATATTGAAAAAATGCTGGACTTCATTGTTCTTTCAATCTAGCATAATCAGTCCACTTATGATATACTCCCTCACCACCTTGTCTTTCAGTTCACATCAGGTCGTCCAGATCTTGTACTTCTTACTGAACTCTGCGTGGGCGGTGGCGGCAAAGAAAAGTCAAGCAGAGTATCAGGCAATATGTCTCTGAGCTTTGAATGATCACCGTCATCCTCCGACTCGTCCTCATTATCACTTTCGACGACGTGATCCCTGTCTTGATATCGTTGAGGCACAAAGTCGAGATCCATGTCATCCTCATCTTCGTCGTAGGGCGGTGGTTGTGGCTCATCTTCGTCCATATCGTCCTCGTCATCTGAGGGATACATCCCGAGAAGCCGCCTCAGGTGTTCTCTCGCTTCAGGTGGTGGCGAAGATGTGGAAGGCGGCATAGGTGGTGGACTACTACTCACATACGCAGTCTTCTGAGCGTGTTTTCTGAGTGAATGAAACAGCTGTGTACCACCAACCGTGCTGACCTGTGAAGGGGGTATTGGTAAGATGATTGGTAGGGGAGGAGATGAGTGGCGTTCGGCATTGTTCCGCAGCTCCTCAGCTTCGGCTTCTGCTCGAAGACGTGCATCGTTTTCGACAACAAGAGGTGGTGAAGACGGATACTTTCCGCTACTGACACTCTTGCTGTTCGGAGAAGAGGCAATCTGTATCACCTCCCTCATTATAGTCTTCGGCAGAACAATATCACCCGACAAGTCTATTTCCTCTATTTCGTCTGACTCGTAGGACACTCGTGGAGGCTGTTGAGGAGATGATCGTGGTGATTGAGTAGGAGGATCCTCAAAGTCTTGCTCAATCGGCTCATGCCTTGAAGTCGGGACAGGCAGTTCATCGCCGAGTTCTTGAGATTGCTGTTCTGTGACCAAGTTGAGTTCTAGGTTCTTTTCGATCTGCTTTGCTTCAGGCTCTTTCTCAGCGCGGTCCCGCTCGGCTTGAGAGAAGCTTCGGCTGTTGTGAAAGATTTCGAAGCCAAGGCGATCTCGTTGTAATTGCGTTTGCAGGAAACGGGCGGCATCACGATCCAAAGCACTGCAGACCGGATCGAAGTTGTAGTCGTAATCATCGTTTTCGGCGTAATATGTTCCTCCGGCATACTGAGTGTAGTTGTCAACTGGAAATTGTGTTTCGGTGACAGGGGCGATTTCTTCGCCGAACATGTCCATCTGGGTATCGGGTATCTGGCTGCGGAACTTGTTTTGCTTGAACGGAGTCACTTGGGTGGCTGTGTCTTCGGAGTCTGGAATAGTACTACGATGCTGGAGTGTCGGAGGCTTGTCTGGTATACGGAAGGTAGGTCGATTCTTGAGCGGTGATAGACGGAAGGGAGAGATGGGCTTCGTAGGACTCTCAGGAACGGGACTCATTCTCGTATCCTCGAACGCGCGATGTTGCGAGAATGCATTGTTGCTTTTGTTCCGTAGAGGCGAACGCTCAGGTGAGCGCATCGTCTTGGCTGAGCAAATGGATATGATGGCGCTTTGTGGAGTGTTTGATGATGGAATCTCGGACATGAATTTTCTCCTCGGCGTCCTTAGATTCATAGCAGATATGGGCAGCTCTGGGCTTGGACGCGATCGCGCCTGCTGCTTCGCAGAGGCCGAGTCAACTCTTTCTTCGCCTCGTTCCGAGCTAGACTGTGTCCTCTGGCTCTGCTTTTCCTCGTCTCGTCGCGTCTCTACGTTTTCGTCCTGTTCTGGATGAACGATCGGGTCATGGACAGCGTGTATCTCTGCCTGGAGATGACCATCGTGACTATCGTGTGCTGGTTGCGACTGTGAATCTCGGACGCCATCGAAAATGTCGGGTCCAATGAATTGTAGCAGGCGATCAGCCGGTCCGTCGTGGCGTTCGCCGATGAAAGAGGATGGGACGTATTGTGTCAAGGTTGTCTGTCTCCTGCCATCTCCCTCGCTCTTTCTCTTCTTCCTTCTGGGCCTTAATTCCTCCAGCTCATCCTCTTCGTAGTCTTCGTCTTCATGCTCGACTTCATCTTCGAGTTCAGCACCTGGCGGAGTCCGCGATACGGTCCAGTGTGGTTGTTGGGTCAGAGTGGACTGTTGGCGTAGCGGAGCTGGGGTACTGACGCCGGATGTGCGTACAGTGCGTCGTCGATTGGGGAACTTCTTCTGTCGTAATGGCGTTTCTGAGCGATAGACGGTGTCGGTATCAGCTCTGGATTGTTTCGGTGGCATACTCGATTAGCTCGACATTCGTAAGCGTTCTGATCCTTTGCAGTCGCTTTGCCAATGACTGTTCTTCGAACGATCTTGTGTTGATCTATTGCCTTGGACTGTCTTGGACTGCCTCAGATAGCCCCAAATCGCCCAAGGTTGCTACGGAACGCGTGCGGCTCGAGAGACGCGTCGGCATTGTCCGTGCACGCGTTCTTTTCGTACGTCACATGCAAGACGATTATCGATTGTAGAGAAGCATCAAAGATAAATTCAGTTGGGTATATAGCGCCTGTAATGCAGTCGTGACTCGTTCACCATGTTTCAGTCGGAGTCGTAAGCAACCAGCGAAAGCGCTGGCGTTGGTTGCAACTTCTCCTTGCTCTGCATCTCGTGCTTATCCGAATCAGTCTTCTGTTCTGGGGCATTGCTTTGGGCCTTTCTTTTGATGCTAGCAATAGCCTTGAAGGTACGATCGTCTGTACTTCTAAAAGACAGAAATGGATCTAACGCTGCACGTGAGTTGTCGCGGACTTCTCGCTGAAACGCCTTCTTCCTGCGTTCGACTTCAGCGACCGCTTTGATCTTGCTTGAAGTTTTGGTTTTGGGCACAGTTGTTTCAGTCTCTGTATTTTGTTGAAACAACGGCCGTGAAGTGACTCTCACCGCATCGACGTCAATGTCTTGGTCCGCAAGGCCACCGAAGTCGATTAGAGTAGCATGTTTTCTGTCTTCGTCGTTTTCTGGTATCAGCTCGACGTCCAGTCCCATTCTTTCTCTGAGCTTCTCCGAGTAGTCATGTTCCTTTTCTCTGATCTTGCGCTCTGTTCTGAAGCTTCTCCTCAGACGTTTGTTGGCTTCGTACGGATCGTCCCAGTGCTGATCTCGCACTTCTTGTAGCTCAATAATGCGTTTGCCTTGCTCTTTCTCTTGTACCTTGTCTTGCTTTTTGTCCTCGAGAACGGCAAAGGCGTCTTGTCTCCTACGCTCCCTTTCCTCGGCGGAGAGAATAGGCACACCCTCTTCTCCTTCTCTTACACGATCTTCTCCTGTATCCCTGGCCTTGCCGCCTTCTTTGACCACATACGCCGTGTTCTTAGGATCCGTGTGTATCTCGATCCAACCTCCACAAGCGGGGTGTTTCATGCGAAAGGACCAGATGGGCGTGCTAAAGTAGTTGCCGACCTTTTTCTTCTCGGCGTTGAATCGTACACCTTGGCCTATGATTGTCGGCTTGGGACAGTGGTTACACCATACTGCGTAGGGCATCTCGAAGCGCACGGTCAGTATGCCTTCTCTGATCTTGTTGGCCCTTTTGCCCAGAGCATGTTTGCCGGCGACTTTATTGGCTGACATGGTGCCCTCGAGTTCGGGAGGGACGTAGCGTCCCATATTGAAGCCCTGCATGATGGATGCCTGGGTGGAGCAGTTATGCCCCTAGATGTCGTGTGCTCCGGTGAGCTGAAGTTGTGTTCGATTGTGGTTAGGTTGTTCGAGGATGCGATCTTGAGAAGCTGCGATAGTGTTGCCGAGATGAGGCCGCGCGACTTTGAGCAACATAAGCTCTCAAGCTGGAGTGTTTCTCCTCCTTTGCCAACACCATCAAAATGTAAGTTTGTAATCGCTCTTGTATGGCCCGCTACACTGGTTTGTAGTGTTACGGTTGGTGATCGAGAATGTTTGTTGGACGTTTTGTCCAGTGGTCAAGTGGAACAAGATGCTCGTCAGGTGCAAAACTCAGGGCAACCAAATGATCGGGCCTGTGATAGAAGCCGCAGTTTACTGTGTTCAGTATTGTGAGTAGTCTTGGGCATCTAAGATATTATTGTCCTCTCTATCTGTCGAATCCCGTTACCACGGCTCTGTTATTGCGTCTCCTCTATTCACATCTTCTATCTCACTCTATGTTCCATGTATGCACAACATCTTCTGTTTCTACNATTTGTCTTTTCTACAGCACTTCTATCTGTGGTTTCAACACGACATTCGCAATGGCACGCAAGTACAGCGTCGGCAACCCAGGTGGTGGCGAGGCATCCAGAGAGGCCTGGGAACGCTATACCTGGCTGTCCATAAGCAAAGAGTGCCACAAGCGCGGCTACTTTCCTGCCACCTCGGCCTATGATGAGAAGGGTCTTTTGAGAGAGTCAGCATGCCCTGATCTTCACCATCATGTGGTCGGTCATGGTCCAAACAGTTTGTTGACATTAGGTCTAACAAGCAGCAGNCACACTTACTATGATCAGTATGTCACCTACTATAGCGCTGTAGATGCGATGTAAGTCACGCCATGATATATCTAGGATGTACAGTAATCGGGGTGACTTAGGCCTGTCATTAAGCTCAAACACGGCGTGGTGGTAATCGAGTGGACTACTGCTAAGCAGCACGAACGCCAGCAGCGTATTGCCGACAACTCGTATGATTTGACTACTTCTGATTATTCATATATGTCCTGACAACAGTAGGGCCTAGTATAAATGTCTATACACGACTGTACGATCTTACACATAAACGACTTAATGCCTACTATCGATGGTAAGGTTGAACCAAGAAGAAATCGGTGATCAAGCAGAGCAGGCCGATCTTTCCATCTGTACACTCCGAGGTATGGAAACGCATATCCGGCGAATGAGGTTCGAGTTCGTGGGTCTTACACTGGAGCTCATGATACTAGCGAATATGGACGGGATCTTCTAATGCTTGCCATTATCACCCAAGGATATAGGATGACAAAGAACCCCAAAACCTCAACCTCGGCCCAAATACGTATGTGTGCATTCGTCTCTTATTCATCCATCAGCGTGCCAGAAGCACCCTTCTTATGTTGAGTTCATCATGGAAAGCCAAAGAGTGGTTACAAGAATGCCTATTATGGGTCAAGCTCCCACTGGCTCTCCACCAGCAGATACTGAGTTATACTCTCATAACTCGGACAGGACAGTGTTTCCTGCTAGTTGTGTAGACCCTTACTATCATGGACCTCTGGCCAGCATATCTGGCTGCCTTCAAGAAGTAATGTCTTCGATGTGCTGCGAGCATTCTTCATCGCCGCACACAAGGATATTCTAAGTCATGGCTTTAAACGTGCGCTCGAAGGAACATGGCCTACATTGGGGCTTCTTGTTGAGTTGGCTGATATTTGCGCCTTCTCAGCCTTCCGCTCTTGGTGGCTGGCCAGGCCTCGAAAGCTGTCCGGGTGGTCGGGCTCGACAAGCCTTGCCCAAGGTATTCAAGGAGTGATCGACATGTGGACGTGATCAGTCTCTGTGTTTAACAAGCTGATCCGGCCACAAATTCGTTCGTTGATCAGGACAATCTTCCCGCGATATGACATGAGCTATTACCGAAGGATGAACGTCTGGAGCGGTACCTGTCACCCGTTGAAGTTTGCCGGTGTCGTAGGATTCTGTTCGTTGTGAAGTATTGCAGTCAGGGTTGCACGACGTGGATCAGTCATACGTTGGATCATCCCAGTGAAAATCCATCATTTATCTGAAAGCCCATCTTTGAAGAAGTCAAGATGCAGGTTCCCGCATGAATGGTCGTTTTCAAGAATGATCAAATTTGACATATTCCACAGCGTGCTGCATGTGTTGCGGAAAGCGAGCGGACCTGCGGACTTGTGGTGTGATAGGCACTGACGGCACGGGGATTGCGAACGAAGGTTGGTGACGGAAGAGCTTGCATGGATGGTGGTTATGGACCTTCCAAATGTTCTCCATATGATGTTTTAGGGTGATTGAGCACTGAGCTCGATTGTTTTATGGAACAACGGCAGCTGCCCATCCGATTGCTGAGTGCAGAATGGACGTGAAGTCGTAGCACAAGAATGCTCCTTGCCCCGGTTTCCAATGCAACTTGACTTTCGACTACGCACCGCGGACCACCATCCGGCAGAAGGTTCCTAAAGTCTAACCACAGTTTATTATATGCATGAAAGGGATGAAGTCGGTTGCTGGAGGAGTTTGTTAGATGAAAATGCTGCCGTGTCGGTTCTGGCATGCGCGGACATCGGATACGGGATGGCTTGCGCCGCCTGCGTAGTCACTATGGGTCGAAGCTGCAACACCGAGCTGCACTTATAGCATCTGCTGCTCGGCTAACTCACATAGTAGGTGGTAATCATGAGTGTATCCACACGAATCGGTGGTCCAGCGTGGGGGCCTTTCTACGGACAACTGGAAGTCAGTTCCATCTTGACCCTCTCCTCCAGACAGGGCAAATTTGGGGCCGCCCGCCTCACTATGCATGCTGCACTGCCCATGCATGTTTCCTGTAACGCAGAACCAACAGGTTGAGAGGCTGTAAGGAGGCTTACAGGATGGCGCATGCCAGAATGTTGGAGACGAGCGACGTCTGCAGACTGTCCTTTCCACCCGAGACAAGCCAATCTATCTTCAACGGGAATCGTGATGGTTGATAAAAACACAGGCAACGGGGTCCGACAAGAAATTAGTAGATCGATACACGCGTCAGTGGGTGCTGCTCGGGAGGGGCCGCAGACAGTGGTTTCAAGAAGTCTTCAACTTGGCAATTATTAATGAAGATGCCTCTGGGAGGGAGTCCGTCTCTGCATGGGAGAATTGTGCTTTTCGATGAACAGGAAGCAGTGACTCTGGCACATTCACAGAGCCGATGCCGTTCACATGATAAGCTTCAAGTGTGGTTGCAAAGGGTAGTCAGGACCGGGGTCTAACTGCCACGCCGTCAAACGCTTGTAACGCGGCGCGGCAACAAAACGTGGCCTGGGTGGACATGCATCGGGCATGAACGCCTGTCTGCTGGCGGAAGGTGTTGTTGAATGCAGGTCTCAGCCATCAGCCCAGTTGACAGAGCATGCTGCGTGAGCAGTGTTTCAAAGTAGATTGGCGCGACACATGGGCTGGGGAAAACAGAGGAGATGGTCAGGAAATTAAACAGCTCTGATAGCTGGGAAGCATCGTGCATCGGTTGAAGGTTGGACGGTGGATTGCCAAGACGATTGGGGCTTTCAGTTTTCGGGCGCTCAGTGACAGAAGCAGGCAGTGGAAACGCAGTGGAGAAGTCGGCTCCAGCAAGGACAAAGAACAGAGGCCGTGATCGATGGCGGCCGTTGGGAGCAGCGAAAACAAGCGAGTCAAGGGATCATTCTGTAGTTGGTGACGGTGATTGGACTTGTCTGCGCTCGCCTGCCTGCCTTCTCTCATCAACCACGCTGTAGTGTATATTGCCAGAGCAGGACCTAAGCTGCACGCAGTCTCCCCCTGCTTTCGCGTGTCAGTGTCACTTGTCGCCGGCCGCAATTCATTACGGTACCTATTCCTTGCATCTCGACGGCCGTACAAATCACGCCCGGCTGTACCCGCCGCAGAAGCAGAGTCCTGTATCCGACCCTTGTCTTGGTGCTGTCAGTGTCGAGAGTCGTGCTGCTGTTTCGGCCTCCCGACCAACCACATTCGCTTGCCCTGCTCGTCTTTTCCTGAGTCCCTTCGCCTTTCATGGCCGACTCGTCCGCACAACCTCAGCAACTTCTGAGGAAACACTCGCTGCAGTATTCGACCTCTTCGCTTGGCCACCAATCATCCCAAGGCCCGCCCAAGCTACGCAGAAGCGCCTCGGCTGCCGTCCGCTCGCAGTACAACACGTCGTCGCACACGACCAATCAATCTCGCCGACCGACCAATCCCACTCTCGCGCGCGACCTGTCCGAACCTGAGTTGCGCTCCCACAACGGCCTCTCCTACAACCACCTCGCCAATCTCGCCGAGCACGCTGCCGACGAGAATCCCCAACTGCGTGTCGTACCGCCGGACGGTGCTGCTCGTCCGGACTCCATCTCGCTCTTCAGCGCCGCCTCGCACTCCCACGACACCTCTCCCTCTCCCTCTCCCGTCGGCTTGACTGCACCCCAGTCTGCAAACGCCCAGACTCTCCCTACCCAGCCCAAACGCCCGTCCATCTCTCTCAGGTCACAGACCGCCGGCTCGCGCTTCAACTCGCTGCGCAACTCGACCAGCTTCCGTCTCACTCGCAACAACTCATCTGCTGGTCCCATGGACAGCCTGTCACCCCGTCCGGAGAGCTCGAAACGTCTCAGCGATGAACTGAAGGCCAAGAAGAAGAGCGGCTTCAGCATATCCAGCTTGTTCAAATCCCCCGGCCGCCCCACCATCTCTGCTCCCGAGAACCCTGTTCATATCACCCATGTCGGCGTTGACAATCGCACCGGCGAGTTTACCGTAAGTTCTTTGATCCTTGCAGTCCAGCTCACGAACCAACCACTAATTCCATCANNGGGTCTTCCGCGCGAATGGCAGAACATCCTAGCTAGCGCTGGCATCTCGGAGCAGGAACAAAAACGTGATCCCAAGGCCATTGTGGACATTGTCACGTTCTACAAGGAGAACGCGGAGAAGAATCCCGAAGATGGCATCTGGCAGAAGTTTGGGCAAGCTCATGCGCGCGACACCCCTCAGCATATGTCTCCTCCGAGCGGCCTCACATCGCCCATAGTCACTCCTGGCTCAGGTTTCAACTCACTTGTCAGCCCTCCACAAAGTCCGCGTTTCCCGCCCAACAACGAGGACAGCTTTGAAAATCCCAGAGCCGCTCCTCCGGTCCCTCGCAACGTCGGTCTTGGTCTTGGTCCCATGTCGCCTACTATGTCTAGCGGCAACACAATACCTCTGCGTGCGGCNCCCCGTCCTCCTGGTGCAACTCCAACTGGTCCTGGTATGACCCCTGCCCGTGCAGCCCCTGCTGTTCCCGGAACAACGTCTCCCCAACAACAGAAGTCCCAGGATGAATACCCTGCCGTCCAATATGCTCCCCCAACCATCAACGAAGTATCACAGCCTACCGTGTCTCGTTCTCGGTCAAACACTGCCACTCAAGCGCAACAACACCAGCTCCCGGCCACTTCCTCGCCCTATGCATACCAACAACAGCAGCAACAAGCTATGGCTGCGGCTCAGGCAGCACTTCATCAATCAGGTCTTGAACGCAAGCAAAGTCAACGCACCCCTCAACCTCATGTCCAGATCCCAAATCCTCAGGCGGTCCCCATGCCCAATCAGGAAGCCCGCGTCGGTCCTGTTCCTAGACCGAGACAGCGACCCCAGCGTCAAAGCCAGCAGCAGAATGGAGAGATTATTGCGAAACTCAATGCAATATGCACACCTGCGGATCCCACAAAGAAGTACCGCAACCTCAACAAAATTGGCCAGGGTGCATCTGGTGGTGTCTTTACCGCTTACGAGGTTGGCACCAACAAGTGCGTTGCGATCAAGCAGATGAACCTGGAGCAACAACCCAANAAGGATCTGATCATCAACGAGATCCTGGTCATGAAGGACAGCAAGCACAAGAACATTGTCAACTTTATGGACAGCTATTTGGTCAAGGGGGACTTGTGGGTCGTGATGGAATATATGGAAGGTGGCAGTCTGACAGATGTGGTCACATTCAACATGATGTCTGAGCCGCAGATTGCAGCTGTGTGTCGCGAGGTAAGTTTCTCTCGACTGGAATTCCCTATTGCAGTGACTAACGTTACATTTAGNACTCTGCACGGTCTCCAATTCCTCCACTCAAAAGGAGTCATTCATCGAGACATCAAGTCAGATAACATCCTTCTATCCCTTGAAGGAAACATCAAATTGAGTCAGTGGTACCAATTCGTTATGAGAAGCCTCGGCTAACTTTATGCAGCCGACTTTGGTTTCTGTGCACAAATCAACGAGTCTCAACATAAGCGTACGACCATGGTCGGTACACCATATTGGATGGCTCCTGAAGTGGTAACACGAAAGGAATACGGCCGCAAGATTGACATTTGGTCACTCGGCATCATGGCTATTGAGATGATCGAGGGCGAGCCCCCATACCTCAACGAGTCACCTTTGAGAGCTCTGTATCTGATCGCGACCAATGGCACACCTCAGATCAAGGCTGAGGAGGAGCTAACACCTATTTTCCGCGACTTCCTCGCCTTTGCCCTCAAGGTTGATCCTGATAAGAGAGCCAGTGCGCACGACCTGTTGATGGTAAGTGATGGTGATGACAGATGGTATTTTGAGTTTTATGCTTACAAGGTCAACAGNCATCAGTTCATCCAAGGAGCAGAGCCATTGGTGACACTTGCACCACTTGTGCGGTCGGCCCGTTCAGCAAGGGCCGAGGAGCGCAAAAACAAGGGCATCTGATAAACATCTCACACCATATGAACCGCAAGTACGGTTCGAGCATTTTCAAGCATTTAAACAACGAACAATTTCCTTCTTTCTCTTCTACGAGATACGACATGGCCATCTAGATGTAGACGCATCTCTTTCGATATAACTTGTGTTCAGCAAGCGTAGGCCATACTTGAGCCTAGCGCAGGAACCAAGGAGTTGTCCAGGTTGGCCGATGAAGTTTGGTTTGGTGGATTTCCACCTGAGATCAGTGTAGTTTATGTTTGGGTATCGACACTTCAGGATTTCGGGCTCTGCACTGACAGCATTACAGAGTGAGAGGGGAACGAGAAAGCGATGGGCGTTTACAGGCGAATCATTGGGTTTTGTTACTATACCAAAGAAAGAAGACCATGGCAAAGGTCAGGAAGAAACAAAGCAGTTACAAGAATGGAGTTTCCCAACAGGGTTTAGAGAGAGCAACCCAACTCATGAAACTGCATAGTCGTAGTGATCGCCTGTCTAAGAAATGGTTTGCTTCGAACGGGGCAGTGTAGTTATGGCCGTGAGGCGAAGTGTTGCGCAGTCTTTACGAAGATGCGTGTCAAGGTTTGGTGGCGGTAAGAGCAGAGTGAGTTCGAGAGAGGCAGTGGCAGGCGCTCAGCTCGCCGCTGGGCAATGACGTGCGGCCTTGGATGTCCGGGGAGAGTGTTCACATGCCCTCATTGCCGACACGAGCAACTCGACCAAAACATCCGAGTGCTCAGGCAGCAACTTAAATCACTTTGTTTCTGGAAGGCTATCAGAAGCTACACTCGTTCAACCCTAAAACCGAATAATAGAGCCGTCATGTTTCGTGCTCAGGCAAACACGTTTGACGAGGTCGTCAGTAAGTAGCTCTCCTAACCAGCCAGACGGCCATGTCTCGACACATGACACTGATGCTGCCACAACAGCNNCAAGGCGACCGACGAGAACTTGACGTCCGAGAACTGGGCCCTCATCCTCGATGTATGCGATCGCGTATCGACCTCGCCAACAGGGCCTCAGTCAGTGACGGCTGCCTTGATCAAGCGCCTCGCCCATCGCAACGCCAACGTTCAGCTGTACACACTCGAGCTCGCCAATGCCTTGTCGCAGAACTGTGGTGGCCCTATCCACCGAGAGTTGTCCTCTCGCTCATTCACCGACGCTCTGCTTCGTCTAGCTGCCGACCGCAACACACACCAGCAAGTTAAGAGCAAGATCCTCGAACGCATGCAAGAATGGAAAGACATGTTCAAGGGAAATCCTGATCTGGGCATCATGGAGCAAGCCTACGACAAGCTACGCTCCTCGAACCCTGGTCTCGCCCCACCTAGCAAGCCTGTCAAGCGTCAAATCGAGGACACCGACCGTCGCAAGGAGGAGGAAGAGCTGCAGATGGCCCTCGCACTGAGTTTGAAGGACAAGGCACCCGAACCAGACACTTCCTCGGCAAACTCGCCTCACCCTCAGTCCGACGCTCAGCAAGGTACAACAGCCGCCACTGTGAGCAGAGTAAAGGCTCTCTATGACTTTGTACCGTCCGAGCCTGGTGAACTAGCCTTCAAGAAGGGCGATGTCATTGCTGTCATCGAGTCTGTGTACAAAGACTGGTGGAAAGGATCTCTACGCGGTCAGACGGGTATTTTCCCCTTGAACTATGTCGAAAAGCTGCAGGATCCAACCAGAGAGGAGCTCGAGAGAGATGCACAAACCGAGGCAGATGTCTTTTCACAGATTAGAAATGTCGAGAAGTTATTGGCCTTGTTGAGTGTCAGGGGTGAGAACACGCGCGACACGGGTAGCGAGGACGAAATCACCGATCTGTACAACCAGACCTTGTCAATCCGACCCAAGCTGATTGAGCTGATCGGAAAGTACTCACAGAAGAAGGGTGAGTTCATCGAATCGAGGAGAGCAAGTAGATGAGACGATACTGACATTCTGCANGATGAATTCACTCAGCTAAACGAAAAGTTCATCAAGGCTCGTCGCGACTATGAAGCTCTTTTGGAATCCTCAATGTCACAACCACAATACCCTGCTCCAGCCCGCCAACACTCTGGCGGTTACTACAATGCCTACCCTCCAATGCAATCTGGATACCCACCCCAAGGCCCTCCTCCTGACCAGCGCTTCTACAANTCAACCTCCACCATCCGAGCCTCAACAGAATGCCTATGCATACCCTCCACCTATGAGCAACCCATCAGCAACTCCAGCACCAGCTCCTTTCCATTTCCTTCCCAATGGTGCCCCACCGCCAGAAGTCCAACAAAGCCCTAAGCCCATGGGNNACCCGGTCCAAGTGCTCCTCCTGGTGAGGGTGCCTACAATCCTGGCATGCAGCCATATAACAATCGTCCTCAGAGCATTCACACCCTTAATTCGGGAAACCCGCAAGAGCTGAGTACGAGCGCTTATGAAAGTCCTACTGACGGTCGCAACAACGTCTACGGTGCTGGTGCCCCCGTGCCAGCACCTCTGACCTATGCTTCCACACCACAACCCACGAACGCACCTCCTGCACCGCCACAGCAACAGCAACAACAGCAGATGCCAATCAGACAACGCACTTCGAGCTTCGAAAGCCCGACGTCCATGTACTCTGCCCAAGCACCCCAAGACACATCTACCGCTTCCTACCCTCCACAGTATCCACCTCAGCAACATCCCAACCAGTCCTACACTAGNCTTGAGTGGTGCTCAGCCTTCTGCTCCCCTACTTCGGCACCTGCCTACCAGGCCTACAATCCTCAGGGTGCGCCACAGCAGGGACAGCAGCCACCACAACAGCGGCAGCAGTATGCGCCGGCGGCTAGTGGCGATGATGCTAGTGATTACTACCGCTAGACGCGGAAGCAGATACCCAGGCGTGGTCGTAAGGTGGCGTTTGTAGATGACAAGTAGTGGTGAATTAGTCGGGTTTCTCGTTTCCTCCATATGTACTCAAGACAGAGCTTGTGTCAGTGTCTACTCAAGTGCAAATCGAGCCTTCCTCGTTCGAACGGGCCCTGTTCAAACCGCAGTGTAGCATGTCGTGTAATCACTTTTGCATATCTTTTATTGGAGTCATGGTTTGAAATATGTGAAATTTGTCTCTTCAACACCAGCTCCTAAAAAGACAACAGATGCGCCCTTGAGATATGGGAATAAGTGCCTTTTCTGTGCAGGCCATTCGTCCTCCCCTATCTCTGCTCTTTGTATTCTCAAACGCTCTTGCTCTGCTTCATTCTCCTACACCTGAGTTTGCGAGAGATGATTGTTCCTTTCTCATGCGCTCTGGCCCCAGACAGATTTCTTCTCTGCCCTGTTCCTTCTCTTGCCGTTTCTCTGTCGTCCAATTTGCCTGCTTGCACACCAAAACGCGTCTTTCAAAACCCCATCCGCTTAGTTCTTGACCTCACCATTTGCCTGGAGGTAAGAGTATGCAAAGTATGCCAAAGCACCACCAACAAGCAGAATAGCATAGAGACCGGCACCCAGACCGGCAGCATCGGGGCCAGAAGTCTTGGAAGAGGTGGGTTGGGCAGAGGCCTTGGGGGAAGGGTCGCCGGGCTGGCGCTTGACGGTGCCGACGAGGAGGCCCTCGAGGATCTCGCGGGCTTCGTCGCTGTGGCCGACGTCTTCGAAGGCTTCGGTGGCGTCTTGGCCGCCGACGTCGAGCATTACTTCTTCACCGCCACTGTTGGGAGGGTTAGCGGGTTTGGTCTCGAGAGGGGGTTTCTTTGTGCTGATTGTGTGTGGTGTGATCGATTGGGGTCTTCCTTTTTTTCTTGTGATACCACATAGTGCAAGGGTGGGGTTCTTGGGTGGGGTGGAGAATAGATTGGGTGAGGATCGAAGGCCTCAGACAAGAGATACGAGGTGCGAGAGAGAGAGAGAGAGAAAACGTACGGNGTGCTCATCGACGAAGCTTGTGCAGTCGTAGACCTTGTCGTGGACGACCATGTAGATGTCCTAGAATTGTGTTAGTCAGGGATATTTCCTCGGTCAAAAGTTGCTAGACTGGTTGTTGGGCTTGCTAAGGACACGCGCATGTTTCTCGTCTCGTTCTTTCAAGCTGTCCTCCTTCGCGCGCCTAGCAACTCGTTTCTGCATCTGCTCACCTTCTTGGTGTTGTGCTCGGAGATGTCCGAGTAGGTGAATTCCTTAGACATGGCGGCGGTTGTGTGTGTGGTGTGTGGTATGCGAGGAGTGGAGAGTCGATGGACAGAGGTGTGTCAGGGTGAGAGCGAGAGTCGAGGAAAGAGGCGACAAGGGTCGTTGGTATAGAACAGGCGGAACAGAAACGAAGAAGTTGACAGTCCTCACAATCAAGAGCAATCTCCGGCGCGCCGGGGCTATCAACTGTTTCCCCGAGTGTCCCTGAAAAATTACTCCTTTCTTATTGGTTGAAACCAGAGCCTAGCGGTCCCAGCCATAGCAAGTGCGGGCCCCGCCCTGTTCTCGCAGGACCGAGGGACGGACGGACTGTATCGTCAAAAACGGGAATGTGATGCGGCAACAAGTTTCTTTGCTGTGCGCATGCATTCCGCACTCACCATGTCCGCGCAAGGTCTGCTGTGTCCTGGGATAGGTTTGAATCGAGTCGTACCTTCTACTGCTGCCTATACTGGATCTGCTGTCGGCTTGTCAAGGGCGGAATTTCTGATGCTTGACATTTCGGCAATCTCCTCGACAGTCTCCTGTCTCGAAGCCTCTAATCTCAAGCCGCCTCAACTATACTTTTCATCTCCTAGTACTCGATTTACCTATTCTGCTAGTACTCCAAAATTCCATACTGGTATACTGTTGATCTCCACTAATGTCTTGTTGCACGGTCTATTCGCTCCAGCCACGACCTGACGCCGGTGAGATGTTACTCTTGTTGCTCTCTATCTCTCTACGAAGCATAGTGTTTACGATTACGGGTAGAGTCAAAGATCCACGTATTCATCATCATGTCCACCCAGACGCTCGAAACCCAGCCATCTGGAGCTAGGCACGCCTGCTTACTCGCGTTCTATTCCATCTACTTCTTCTTCAGAGCCGCATCGAACTTGGCTTTGCCTTTCTCGAGTATTTCCTTCTTGCGAAGGAGACGCTTGCGGTCTTCAACCAAGTCCTCACCTTCGGTAGCCAACAGACGCGTCTCCTCGTCAGCCATGCTTCCAAAGTTTCTGGGCGACATGATCTTGTCCAATCCTTCGACCATGTACGGCTCGATGACGTGTTGGGTCAAGTAAGCGACGAAGTGCTCACGTTGGCTGCGGTAGTACACCCAGCTGACCGAAAGAGCGTCCTCGGCAGCAAGGCCATCCATGTTGATCTGAGCCTTGGTGTCGACTCGAGGCATCTTGAGAGGGCGTGCTGGCGAACCTCCAGGCAAGACTTCGGTAACGGGTGGCTTTGTGCCCTCAATCGATTTGCGTTCTGCGGCAAGGGGGTGATGTTGTTGATACCGATCACGCATAAGTCGTCCACGGCATCGAGGACAGTGCGCATGTCTTCATTTTCGAGATCCTTCATGCTTGCGAGCGCTCAGCGTTCGGTGAGCGGACGACGAAGCTGAAGTGATGACTGAGGTTGGTCTTAGGTGAAGAGGCGTGTGGACTGAGGGAAGAGGAAAAGGAAGAGTAGAGGAAGGTGTGAGATGAGGTAGGAAGTGAAGAATGGGTTGTGGTGCTTGACTGTCTCACTGTCTCATACGCTTGAATTAACGCGCTACTATCGAGAACCGTGTTGTTGATCCAAAACAACAATGATGATTGCACAGATTGCTAAGCCTTCACTTTTGATTGAGACCTACGCAATAGCATTTTCCTTCACTAACAGATACAGTCTGTTAGTCGGACTTATTGCCTCCCCGTGTGCCAAAGTATGCCCTGTGGGAGAAGGATAGGAATTACAGAATTTAGCACACGGGGAGGTGTAAGCCATGAAATGCACATTTGCTCCCGACCAGAAGAGCGACCATAGAAACACACTGAGATAATATCTCGTGGTGCATCTTGCCTACTTCTGAAAGCACTGTACATCTCTTTAGCTATAGTGAAACAGTCCTCGGCACAGGAAACAAGCAGAAGCGATGATGCGGATAGATGGAGAAACATGGGTCGTTGATATTCTAGGGACAGATCCTTCTAGGTCGTTACGCACAAGAACATAGATACTTTTTCAATGCATCTCACCACTCTCAGCAATGCTCCTCTGGCAAGCAGCCAGAATCTTAGCTTGTCTTGCAACATCTCCCAAGCGCCCAATGACCTCCTTGTTTCCGTCGTAGAAGCCATAGATCGCATATGGGATACCCACCTCATCACAGAACTCCTGAACCAGCTTTTGGGCTCTGCGCAGGTTGTGACGAGGCATGCGTGGATACAAGTGATGGATGGCCTGGAACTGGAGTCCGCCATGGAAGAAGTCGAGCCATTGGGGACAGTCAACATCCATAGTGGTGCGCAGCATGCGCTGAGGGAAGGACTCATTGACGCCGAGGTCAGCAGTGCTCATGGCAAAGTGGCTGAGTGTAATCTGGACGTGCAAGGGCATAGTGACGGCGTGACTGATCATGATGAAAGCAAAACGGCTCCAGCCATCCGGAATGCTCTTGTAAACAACCTGATAACCAAACCAGTACCAGAAGAAGAATTGGCCGGCAATCTCGAACCAGCGGTGCCACCATGCGGGGCCTTTACGGGGACCAAGGCCAAGGATCAAGTACTCCCAACTTAGACGGTAGAGGTTGAAGCGACCGAAGCAGAGAATGGGATAGTACAGCCAGTGCTGATATTGAATGACGAATTTTGCGAAGGGATCGTATGTCATGACGCGGTCGTAGTAGGTTGATCGGAGCGACTTGAAGAAGCGGTGCGAGATGGCGAAGAACGGCATGTGCTCGATGTCGGGGTCGTGCTCGGGCGAGTTTGTGATAATGTGATGAACGTTGTGGTTGCGCTTCCACCAACCTAGACTCAAGCCTCCAAGATAATCGGCGATGATCATGCCAATGACGCTGTCGACGTGGAAGTTGTGTGTGATACCCATGTGACCAGCATCATGGGCGCTGAAGACCAACTGGTGCCAGAAGGTGCCAATGAACAGGGCAGAGGTACAGTACCAGCCGTAGTGCAATGTGGTCAGGAACATGGCAAACAGGAAAGAGTATCGCGATATCTCGATGGCGTAGGACTTGTAGTTACAGTTGTAGAGACCTTCGCTTCTCATGCGCTGATCCAGTGAGCGATACTTTTGCATAATGTCGTCCTGCGTCTTGGGATCAAGCTCGGGATATCTTTCTAGATCGCTCTTTATTTGGTCTTTCGTCCAGTCGCTTTCGGGGTCGTGAATGTTGTGTGGTTTCTCGTTGTCGACATCCAGCGAGGACATGGATGTAGCAGAGGAGGATCGTGACATGGCGGGCTTGCGCTGGCGGAGTTGGGCATCGACGGGTTCGAATAAAGGTGAAGGCTCTCCGGAGCTTCCCTGGCTTGACGAGTCGTTGTCGTGGTCCGAGACATGATCCTGGGTGTCGATAACATCTTTCAGACGGAACTGACCACCTTGGATCGGGGGCAGAAAGTTGGACCAGCGTCCTTGAACAACACCAATCTGGTAGGCGTGCATGCGCTCGAGGGCTTCGGGAGAGTGCANGACTGAATACAAGATCAGAAAGAGCTCGAGTATGGCCAATTGGCATGATCAAGCAACATACGCGGTCACCTCATCTGTAGCATCTCTACCAATCATGTGCATGATGGCCTTGTCACCTCCAGGGTGATACTTGAGCCATGCATCTACCTTGAGCACCTTGCCGTTCATGACAATGATTGACCGGCCTTCGGCGATCAGAGCTTCGACTTCTCTCCGGCTGAAGACTCGCTCGCGTCTGCTAGCCATTTTGACGGAACTCATGGCAGGATATTTCAGTGGAAAACGACAGACAACATGCCCACGGACAAGAGCAGTTGAATTTGAAAAGGAGGATCTTGTTGAAAAGACCCTTGATCTGGACCAGGCAAACACGAGACTCTCACGGGTTCCTTTCCCCACAATTCATCGCGCCACCACTCTGATGTGCAACTCTAGACGAGAGCCCCTGCTTGACTTGTTGCATACCACCAGATATGATCGGTTTTGCCAAAACTAACGGGCATCATAGTAATTGAGATATCGATCCGAGGTCAAACACAATCATGGCCAGTGGCTACTTCCCAGAGCGGCTGAAAGAAGCCACATTACCTGCTTCACCAGCCATGTCTCCCGGCCCACCAACAGCACAAAAATCAAGCGCTCTACAGAGTCGAATCACCAGTGTACTCGCTGCATCCTATTCAGACTTGGAGATTCGAGATGCATTGGAAACTCTGGATGCTCGCAAAGTCCACAACACAGCCGAGACAAGACGCAACCTTCGACTAGACGCACAGCAAGAATTGATTCAATGCAATGGAGAGATCATTCGTGACTTTGGACAAGTTGCTCAGGTACGATCACTCGTAGCATCGATTTAGGTTTTTCTAACAACAAAGTAGCAATTGCAGAGGGTGGGTGCGGCTATCGAGGATCTGAATAAGCTATGCACAAGCATGCGATCACATATATCTGCCGCCAATAGAGAAACTGGACCAATGATGGAAGAGAGTACGGCAATGATGACCCAACGCCAGCAAACCGAGACCAAGCAACAGCTACTGGGCGCCTTCACATCCCACTTCCTTCTATCCGATACAGAGATTACCTCATTGACATTCACTGCGGAACCTGTTACAGACTCCTTCTTCCAGGCATTGGCTCGGGTTAAGAAGATACACGACGACAGTCAACTACTTCTGGGAACCGAAGACCAACAACTGGGCCTCGAAATTCTGGAGCAAAGCTCGAAACAGCTCAACGCAGCTTTCCAGAAGCTTTTCCGCTGGACCCAACGTGAGCTCCGTGAACTGGACCTCGAGAACCCTCAACTTAGCACTTCAGTCAGACGCGCTCTTCGTGTACTGGCTGAGAGACCTGCGCTCTTCCAAAGTTGTCTCGACTTCTTCGCCGAGAATCGGGAGCAGGTACTTTCGGATGCTTTCTATGCTGCTCTGACTGGAGGATCTGCTCAGCGTGTGGGAGGTCCTGAAGTGGGCAAAGCAATTGAGCTCAGTGCACACGATCCGCTGCGCTACGTTAGCGATATGCTCGCTTGGGCGCATGCTGCTACGGTCGGCGAACGTGAAGCATTGCAAATCCTGTTCATATCAGACGCGGATGAAATATCGAGAAATATCAAAGCAGGCCGCGAACGCGAACCTTGGCTGCAAATCACTGAGGAAGCAGAAGGTGAAGAAGTCGCAGCCTTTGACGGCAAGAAAGCGCTCAATGACCTGGTTGATCGAGATCTGTCTGGTGTACTTCGTCAATTGCGTCAACGTGTTGAGCAGACGGTACAGAGTCACGAGGATGCGACATTGGCCTACCAAATCTCGAACTTGATACGATTCTACTGCTCTATCTTTGTACCTCTTCTTGAACCAGATTCGACGATTGTACAAACTCTGCAGCCCATCACACAAAAGGCATTCGAGCAATTCAGGACACTGATGAGAGACCATATCGCCAATATTCACAGCGACGTTGCGGTGACACCACTAGATCTTTCACCACCCGACTTCTTGTTGGAAGCGCTAGACACACTCCGAGGCTTGATGAAGAGTTACGATACATCACTAGCTAACGCGTCTTCGGGTGAGGATCGAAACGGTTTCCAGGCCGTGCTCGAAGAAGCGCTTGACCCCTACTTGGCAGGCTGCGATAGCATTGCTAAGGGTATGGGAGCGCCACAAAGCCAGATTCTTGCAATCAACTGTCTACTTGCGACTATAGAGACACTCAAGGGCCGAAGCTTTACAGAAGGCAAGATCGGTGAGATAGAGGAGACTGTGCAAGAGCAAGTTGAGAGGCTTGTGGAAACGGTAATTGCATGGTTCGAGTCAGAGTCGGGACTCAAGCGACTCTTTGATAGCCTCGAAGAGTACAAAAACACCAACCTCGGTCAGGGCATCAGTGGCATCAAGAGGCTAAGAGAGATGCAGCCGGATCGGTTGGCAGACATGGCACAGAAGCTGGACGCGTTCCTACCAGGAGCAATGGAGGACGCCAGAGCGTTCATTGGCAAGCTCGCAGAGAAGAGGATGGTGCGCAAGGTGTGTGAAGCCGCATCGAACGTGTTCGTCAGCAAGTTTGAATCTGCCGAAAGGATCATGATTGGCTTGGACGAGATGACACTGGCCGAACAAGGAGAAGAGGTGGAAGATGGCATGCTGATCCGCGATGTGTTTCCTCGCACTAGCGATGAGATCAAGGTGCTGCTCAGCTAGAAGTAGAGTAGATGAACAGCAAAAATGGTATCATTTGGACATTATGAGGTTGTCATGTGAGACGGTGGGTATATGTGAGACTCAGAGAGAACCCTTCTTCTTCTCCCACTCGGCAGGGGTCATGCACTTGGGCGTCCAGGCGTGGATGGCAGCAATCTCGGCTTTGAGCGTGTTGTTGACAAGGCGATGGCGGGCGAGCGACGTCTTCTTTTCGAACTGTGGTGACACAATGATGGCTTCGAACATTTGGCCGCATCCACNCTGGTATCTTGTGAGCATTTGCTGTCTCTGGAGTAACTTGGTTCTATGGCAATTACCTGACAGATCTTGAATGTCTACGTGCTGTGCCTCGAGCTTCTCGAACAGGGTGGCCTTGAGCGACTCGGGCGTGACACCAGACGAGAGCTGGTTCTGCGTGGCTTCGACGTCTGTTCTGGCACTCATGATTTGGTAAGTGGTCGTGTGAGTGGATGCTGAGGTGAATTGTCGCAAAAGTGTCGCTGCTTGGGAGTCGCTCAAGAATGACGCAGCCTGCGGTCGAGCTTTGGCCTAGACTTTGACATTGTCAACCAGCACCTCTTCCTCCTTCTACTTGTATACATTTATTCTTTTGCTGTCTCGCAACCTGCATGTTCTCGGCAACGCTACGTCGCACCGTCAAGATGAGTTCAACAATCTCCTCGGCCCCCTTCTCCAAGGCCGTCGTCGGCGCAATGCGTAAACTGTGCGTTGCTCCGGGACCATTGTATATCATTGCACCGCTAATGCACCCAGCNTACCCTGAGGCTCTCGCCGACAAGAGCTGGGACAACACTGGCCGTACGGTCGTCCCCTCGTTGTAATCGTACAACCAACTCTAACCTAGATCAGTCCTTCTCGAATCGCCCTTCGATCCCATTCGTCGCCAGATGAACTCGGCCCTCCTCACCATCGACCTGACCAAAGCCGTCGCCGACGAAGCCATTGAGCGTGGAGACTCCATCATCGTAGCCTACCGTACGCCCACCCGATCAATGAAGGTCAACCAGAAGCAAGCACGCCTAACTTTACGTCAAGCATAGATNCCCATCATCTTCAGAGGTCTCAAGAGCTTGTCCCTAGCCGACACCCAGCAACAAACACTACTACGACTGGCCGCAGAAGGCATCAGCGTATACAGCCCGCACACCGCAATCGACTGCGCCCCCGGCGGCCTAGGCGACTGGCTCGCCGACATTGTCTCGGGCACCCCCATGAGCGCCGAAGAACTGGCCGCCCAAGCAGAAGAAAAAGCAAACGAGCAATCCAACACAAACAAAGAGCCAGAAACCCCTTCCAACGAACTCAAACGCCCGACCTTCCAACTCCAGCACCATCCCAGTCAACTCAGCATCAAAGACCGCAGCACCCTCAAACTCGGCAATGACACGCATACCCGTCGCCCAATCAAGCCCTCCTCGGTACCAGGCTACCAAAACACTACTGCAGGAATGGGTCGTATCGTCCGCTTCTCGACCCCGCAACCTCTCCTCGAAATCATCGACCGCATCGGCCGCGGTCTCGGCAACCCAAAGGGCTTCCCCATCGCCATCCCCCAAGGCAAGCAAATGGACGAAATTGACATTTCGAGCGTCGCCATCTGCGCCGGCAGTGGAGGAAGTCTGTTTGGCGGCCTAGGCAAGAACGGCGAGGAAGATGTGGATTTGCTATTCACCGGCGAGTTGAGCCATCACGAGGCGTTGGCGGCAATCGAGCAGGGTAAATGCGTCATTGCGCTGTTCCACTCGAATACGGAGAGAGGCTTCCTGCATGGCGTGCTGAAGCCGCAATTGGAAAAGAGTGTCAAGGAAGAGTGGGAGCGTGTGAGAAAGGAAGAAAAGGACAAGGCCTCCTCGACCGATTTGAGTGAGGACTATCTCGAGGCGCTCGAGGACGATCACATCGAGATTCATGTCAGTGAGGTCGACCGCGATCCTTACGGCATCATGATCTCCAAAGATGAAATCTAAAAACAGTCAAAAAGGAGGACACAATCTGAACATTTTTGACTCGTCATTCTTTAGTAAAAAGGCTGTTTATATACCCTTTTGACATGGTCCTGTAATCTCAGAGAACCAGTATAGGAAAGAAATAGAAATCAAAAAGACAAAGGTATATCTCGCACGACTCCATAACACCACCCTTACCCTTTACTATGGAAACCATCATCTGTGACATCTTCGCTTCAAGCAGCGACATCAACATTGGCAGCACCGGCTCTTGCGTTCCTGCTCTTGCGAACAGCTCCAGGTCTAGCAAGCGTGTACTTTGCAAATGCTCTAGCCAACGCTTTCTTACAGCTGACCTTTTGGCTGCCCACGAACGAGTCAACAGCGACAGCGATGGCACGGTCAATATCTGTACTGCTGCAGTACTCGGATAGACGCATTTTGGCAAAGGCTTCGGCGATACGGAGGATGGATTCCAGATGACGGANCCTGTAATTGTATTAGTAAAAGGAGAGGCCATTGTAGGCAAAGAAAACACATACAGTAATCGGATAAGCACCCGTGGCCAGACTTTCCCTGCGCATATCCGCAAACAGTCTCGCAATCTTGTCTTGATCGATCGAGACCAATTGAGGACGATGCTTCTCGCGAGCATAGAGAATGTACTTTCTCAACATATCTTGCGGTATCTCGCCTTGCTTGCTGGTTCCTTGGTCGCCGTCAATCTCCATATTGGCATCTTGCATACTGTTGACTGGTGCATCGCTGGCGGAACCACTAAGGGTAGGGTGTGCTCTGCCGTGCGAATTTACAACGAATGCAGCTAGGCGTTCGTCTTCTTCCGGGTCAACAGTGTCGCGGACCACGCAGAGGATGTCGAAACGAGAGAGGATGGGTTCGGTGAGTTCGACATTTTGACTGAAGGGGACGGTGCCGTTGTATCTGCCTCCGATAGGGTTGGCTGCTGCCACTACTGCGCAGCGAGCTTGTAGTGTTGTGACGATACCGGCCTTGGAGATGGAAATGGTTTGTTGTTCCATGGCTTCGTGGATAGAAGTACGGTCTTGGTCGTTCATCTTGTCGAACTCGTCGATCAGGCAGGTTCCTTTGTCTGCCAGCACCAGAGCACCTCCTTCGAGAGTCCACTCTGAAGTCATTGGATCACGTCTCACCGAGGCGGTCAGACCAACGGCTGAAGCACCCTGACCTGTAGCAAAGACGGCTCTGTGTGCAGTACTCTCTATGTACTTCAACACCTGTGACTTTGCAGTACCGGGGTCTCCGAGGAGCAATACGTTAATATCACCTCTGATAGAATGCTTGCCTTGAGCTTCCTTGCTCACACCACCAAATAGACTGAGTGCGACAGCTGTCTTGATGTCGGTATGGCCATAGATACTTGGCGCGATACTGTTGATGATTTTGTTGATGATCTGGGNGTCTTTTCCCAGAGCACGAATGTCTTCTACATCTTGCTCTGTCAGTCTGAAGCCAGAGAGCTGGTCGTGAGACTTGATGACATGGTTGGCTTCAATAATGGTTGCAAAGACGGGGAAACCGTTCTTGTTGTTCAGGGCGGCATCGTAGTTGTTGCGGTAGATACCAGTAATCTCGACTTCCTCACCGGGCTTGGCCGAATCGATCAGATCCCACAAAAGAATGACTTCTCTGTGTCGAGGCAGACGACCGGCAGGCACAGTTCCCGGCGACTCTTGCAGAGTGATCTTCTGATAGTTGCGGTAGACTGTCTTTTCGGAATTGATGGTGAAGGGACCACGTGATTGGCAGTTTTGACAGAACGAGATCTTGACTTCAGAGTTGGAGTCTTGGGGGAAGGGACCCAGAGTGACACCGCACTTGGTGCAGTCGAACTTGATGTACTTGAGTTGAGGGAAGACACCAGTACGGCGTGTCACGACACCACTGACTCTGACGAGGGAATTGAGATGACTTTGGCGCAACTCTCGCAAGGTGTAGGTCGTAGGCAATCCGTTAATGCGAACGTGAATTTCGGAATGGATGCGTTCGTAGTCGGGGTAGTGGTAGAGAGTGACGTCCATGGCGACGCGGTCGAAGATTTTGAGAGTCTCGGTAGGTACGTTGGCAATGAAGTATGCCAGTGTAGGCTTTGTCATACTGAGGTGCTCCCAGTCGATCTCCAGAGATTCGGCGTTGACCTCACCCAAGGTGCGGATGCGGACACCATAAACAGAGATGCCGTTGTCGTCAACGAACTCGGTCAAGAAGGATTTGAGCTCACGAGCGATACCGCGATGTACAGCGGGTTGTGCAATCCAATCAGTCAGGTTGGCGGCCTTGACATCGGCCAGGCCTTCGGCAGAGAGCTCCTCGGTCATGATGTCCTCAGTCATATCCATGTCGTCCTGTTCCTCATCGTATCTGTGTCGCCGCCTGCGGGGCTGTCTGGTCAGATCCATCAAGTCGTCCTCGTCCTCATCCAAAGCTACTTGGGGTCTCCTTTGGCGAGCCAGCTCGCGGTCACGACGGTTGAGGCGGGCATCGAGTTGTCGTCTGGCAGCCAGGTCCAGGTCGTCGTAGTCTCCTTCATCATCGATATCCTGGCCCTCGTAGAAGTCGTCTTCGCGACGTCTGTAATCATTCTCGAAGTTGTCACCGAACAGGTCGACACCAGCATCGTCTTCTAGCTGTTCTTCGGCATCGTCAAGGTCTGGGATGAGGTCCTCATCGGGCTCAATGATATCGTCTTCGTCATCGTCAAGTTCGTCTCGCGGTAGTGGAGGAGGCGAGGATCTGGGAGGGCTTGAAGGAGGAGCGGCAGAGGATGAGCGCATGTGTACATCTTCGTCGTCTCGCTGGCGTTTGCGGCCACCAGCAGCAGCTGATGATTCAGGAGGACCGAGTGGTGAACTGAGCAAGCGTGAGTAGACATGATCTGAATGCAGCTTTCGAATAGCAACTCACCTCATGGTTGTGGATGTGTGAGTTATAAAGAGTGGTAGATGTCAATTGACAGGGTGTGGTTTGTTGATTTCTGTGACCAAAGCGGCCGAAACATTGTCGTCGCGAGTCCCCGCGGCAGGCGCGATTTCGCGTAAAGTGCTTCCTGATTAGGAAAGATGCGACTCGTCCTCCGCGACGCGCCTGCCTCACCGTCACTCTCTGCCCTTCGCATACTGCATAATCATGTCTCAAAACACCGAAGCCTCTCAGACCGCTCAAGAGTAAGTGCATCAGATTTGGCTGTCATAATGAAACACTCACAAAATCCACAGGTTCATTGCGTCGCAGCTACAACTTGAAGCCGACGCGCGCGAGGCTCTTCCATATCAATTCGATACCTGCACAAAGCCTCTTGGCCCGCTAAGGCAGGCCATCTTTGCATGCCTGACCTGTAACCCTCCAATCCCTTCGGACAACAAATCACACACTCCAGCCGCCGTATGCTACTCCTGCAGCATCTCTTGTCATGGCGAACATGAATTGGTCGAGCTCTTCACCAAGCGCGACTTCGTATGCGATTGTGGCACTACCAGAGTACCCGCATCAGCTCCATGCACACTCCGTATCGATCAATCTACGAGCCAAAAGGGCAATGTGACTGCCGAGACTCCTGCAGAGAACAACAAGTACAGCCACAACTTTTCCGGCCGCTTCTGCGTATGCGGAGAGCCATATGATCCCGAGAAAGAGAAGGGCACCATGTTCCAGTGCTTAGGTCTGGGTACGGTCGAAGATGGTGGCTGTGGAGAGGATTGGTGGCATCCTGAATGTTTGATGGGCTTGCCCAGACCTCAGCCATCTGACATTGCTCCCAAGGAAGAGGAGGCAGAATTAGAGCAGCCTACCCAGGACGGAGAAGCTACCGCACAGCCCGCCGAGGGCCAGGAAGATGTCGATGAGGCGCCTTTGCCGCCCGGTTTCCCTGCCGAGGATGACTTTGATCATTTGATCTGCTACAAGTGTGTCAGCTCCTTCCCCTGGATCAAGCAATACGCAGGTCAGGACGGCTTCTTAGGTCCCATCTACCACAAGCAGTCGTCCGAGAGCACTGCGGAGAACTCTTTCGCCGAGCAAAGCACAAAAGATGGGACCCTGCCGCTGTCAACTGAGAGCAAGAAGAGAACTGCCGAGGACGACTCAGAAATTCCCACGTCTAAGAAGACCAAGGTCGAACCTGAAGACGGTATCTCTGAGACTGTCACATCTAACCCTACAACCCATACAAATGACGACGCAGCTCCACTACACACCAGACTTCCTTCAGCGCCATCAGGCACCTTCTCTCTCTTCCTCAAAGAAGACTTTCGCTTACACATCTGCCGCTGCCCCTCTTGTTTCCCTAACCTAAAGCCACATCCACAACTTCTCGAAGAGGAAGAAGCCTATGAACCACCAGTCTCGGAAAGCGACAATGAAGAAGCCCAGAACGGACGCGGCGGCAGTGTGGGCTCAGGCAGCACATACGAACGCGGTGAAGCTCTGCTTAGCAACATGGACCGAGTCAAGGCCATTGAGGGTGTCATGGTGTACAACCATCTGCGTGACAAGGTCAAGGCTTTCTTGCAGCCATTTGCCGAGAGTGGGCAGGCTGTTGGAGCGGAAGACATCAAGGCTTATTTTGAAAAGCTGAGAGGTGACGAGGAAGGTATCAGGCTTGCTGGAGCTGGTGCTGGTGCTGCGGATGAGGGTACAGAAGGTGACGGTAGACGTGAGCAGGGAGGTCACTAGACGTATACTCTCTTTGGGCTCTTTGAGTGGGAATTGGGAGTCAAAATTGGAAGATACCCCGGGTCGGTCGGACAAGGCAGAAAGCAGAATTGGAATATAGTTTGTACAGTTGTTGGTAGTAATCCTTTGAGCTTGGCTCAATCTCCGTGAGACCGTCGTCATTGTAGTCTTACACATCTCCCTTCTCTCCCTTTCGAGCAATTCATATCCTCACACCCCAGTTCCTCGCCATGTTGACAGTGGCTATGCCCTGGAAACTCATCCACTCCCTGACGTTCCTCCACGCACCTCCCACCACTCTTGCCTCTTCTAACCTCCTGTTCAAGAACTCTTCCGTGTCTCTGAAATCTGTGCTTTGGTCTGTAGTCGAGTATGTTTCGGTGGCGGCGTAGATGGAGCTCAGTGTTGCGCGCTTGGTGTACCAGGAACTGTCGACCGCCTCATCGCCAGCTAGGAACCAGATTTCGTCTGCGAGGAGGTAGAGTTCGCGGAGTGAGGGAGGGATGTTGCCGGCCAGGGACATGAGACCTAGTGCCTGTGTTTGCCTCTCTGTCAGTACCTTGTCTATCAAGTCTTCCCATCTCAAAAAAGCAAAAGTCATGCTTACCTCCTGCCACCTCTCCTGCACACCGACCTCCACATTCCCCCTCAACCTCTCCATAACCAAAGCTTTCACTTTACTCGTCACACCCAGTCCTGCCTCTTCATGAAACTGCACTCGCTCTTTCAACCCCAGTCGCTGCGTCCGTAAATGGTACAATACCAATTCAAACTCGGCTTTGGGAAACAGATTTGTAGATACATCTAGGTATCCTGCGTCGCGGGCGCCCTGACGTAGCGATGCAGTTGTCCAGCCGGCGGTGGGTACATGGCTGAGTGCTGCAGACAAGATTGCGGTTTCGGTGGGTGGGTAGGGCGGTGGGAGTGGTGTTTCGTAGCTGTAGTATGTACGAGTTGCAGAGAGGCGGGGGAGGAGTGAGGGGTGTAGGAGTTTGCGGGTTGTTGGGGTGCGAAGTATTTGAGACATTCTTCTTTGTGTGTGTGTGTATTCGGTATTGTTCGAAATAGCAGTAAAGGCGATTTTGGGAGTATGGAATCTTTGAGTTGTCGATGTCATCGGTGGGTTCTCCGCTTGCTTGATGCCAAGACTGGACTATACCAATATATCTATCTATCTATCACAAAGAAGTCTGCATGATGGAAAATTGCCTACATACATAGATCTATCTGGAGCTCTGTGAGTCGCAATCAAGGAAGCGATCGAGCTCACGGGATTTCTAGTGTGTAGTGTGCCTTATCTCTGGGATGTGACACCAGGGGATGCGAATGCTGGCTTTCTGCCTTGTCAGAAGCTTCCCTAACACAATATGACTATTGGAAGGCTCACGGCACTCGGAATAACCCGGATGTCACAAGCAATCAGTGCTTTTATCCTCAAAACTAGTCAGAGCACTTGCCAATGGGCAAAGTCTGGTGTGAGTGTTGAGTGAGAGGTCAATATACTCAGGAGCAGGGTCATCCACGCTACAGTTTTGACTTAGTAAAATTTACCACAAAAACATGATTGAGAAAGATGACATAGGTAAAAGCTGTCAAGCTGAATGCATTTGAAACGCAATGATACTGTCGTGAGGTTATTTAGTCGGTTCATAAGGGTGTCAAGATCGACTGAGACGGAAGACCAAAGCATGATCTACCAGCGGTCATTGTCATCGCCGTAGCGCTCATCGTCTCTGCCTTGGTCGTAGGCGTTGTCCATGTTGTCACCGAATCTGTCGGCATCATCGCCCCAGCGCTCGACCTTGCCGACGCCCTCCCCAGCGAAGCCAGCAATGTCCTCGGGCACATCTTCGACATCCTGCACAGCATTGTCCCACTTATTCTCCATGCCGTACTTGGCACGGTCATAGTCGTTCTCGATGTCCTGGGGGATGTCTTCGACCTCTCCGACCTGTTTAATAAATAATTAGCAGGCAATTAACTTGCAAGACTGTCAAGAGTCTTACCTTGCGGCCTGTCCAGCGAGCTGCGTCCTCAGGGGCATCCTCCACGCGGTTCTCAAAGCGATCGAACTTGTTCTCGGCTCTGTACTTGTCTTCCTCCCAGTCCTCCTTGACTTCATGACCTTCGTGCATGAGCAATGCACCGCCAGCAAGGCCAGCTGCAGCGCCCATGGCTCCGTATGCTAGATTGTGGTTCTTCTTTTGCTGAGGCTGCTGTTGTTCGTAGCCGCCGTATTGAGCTTGAGGAGGACCTTGGTTGTAGCTGCTGCCGTAGCCACCGCCGTATCCGCCAGCACCACCAGGGTGCTCAAAGGTGCGTTCGCCGTTCTGCTCGTTGATGAAGAGCCAGCGGTTCTCACGATCGTCCCAGACAGCGCGCCATGGAGGTGGAACTTGAGGTGTTCCTTGACCAGCGCCGTAGCCCTGTTGTTGACCACCGTAGCCTTGTTGTGGGCCGCCATAGCCCTGCTGTGGGCCACCATATCCTTGCTGGGGACCGCCATAGTTGCCTTGAGATTGGTTGTAGTTGTTTCCTCCGTAGCCACCCTGATTGTAACCACCCTGCTGACCGCCGCTACCGCTCTGGCCCTGGTGGGTAATGCCGTCGATTAATTTGTCGAACAAACCCATGGTCGCGAATTGTGGGTTATAAGTTGTGATGTAGAGCTGGGTACAATAAGTTCGCGCGATAATTGTGTCAGTGAAGTGGAAAGAAGGTGCTTAGGATGATTTAGAGAAGAAGTGAAGATGACAAGTGGTACAAAGGGATGATAAAGAGCTGCTCTAGCTGAGGGCCGAACGCATTGATCTAGAATCAGCCAAACGTCACTGATCCAAGCTCAATCACAGGACAACGAATACGAAGGTAGGACATGAGGCACTTTCGAGCACACGGATTGGCTTGTCAACAAGGTGTTAGTCGCGTTTCTTGTTTCTGTGGCTGAGTGCTACTATTTACAATATTGCTCAGCCTGGCGACCGGACCATGATAGAGCAAGCCTCATCGTCTGTTGTTGCGGCCGCAATGGTTTCCCCTCGGTCTAGAATTCAAGGTCGGGGATCATCATGGCCAAGCTGTCCGCCGGTTGCTTGAGAGGCTTGTTACCGAACAAGCTTTTGTTACTAACATTCCCTTCCGCAGTTGCCATCACCCCTGCAGACTATCTGTTGACAACGTAGCCAAGGATGTGACGAAGGTCCAGTAGGCATACTACAGCTGCTCTTCTACTCGTATATGCACTTCTGAATTCATGACTCGACTTTCTGGGTCGGCACGGGAAATGCTCGTGTGTTGTCCGAGATGTCCATGGACTTAGTCGCGGCACCATATACAACCTAGGTCAGGCAATTCGTCTTCAGCGTGTATGCATGGTTGGGTAACCGTGAGGGACCGGTCATGATTCCGCAAGAATGTGTTGTTTCCAGTTTCCAGTCGTGTTGTCTCATCTGGCAAGGCCTTCAATGTCCTTCTCCATACTACTGACTCTTGATTGAAGCGCTCTTTTCTTGTCCTCGAGAGCACGGATCTCGTCTTCCTCATCGACAAGGTCCTCTTTGATCATGAGGACGGTAGGCTCGATGTGACCATCCTGGTAGTCATAGTCGTCTTGATCGTAGTCATCGTGGCTCTGGTGCAGATGATCCAGCTCGGCGGACTGCATTGCGACTCTTTCTTCGTAGTGAGCAATGTTGGCACTCAACTGTGCATATCGGTTTCTCAACTCCCCAATCCTGTCAAAAGCACCTGGGATAGGACTATTCCAACGATTAATACCAATAAACACGCTCTCAGACAGGAAACAAACATACTAGACTCTACAGAGCTTCTCTGCGCCTCGCAGCAAAAGTTCGACATCAATGTCGCCTTTCGATTGCTTACCGCTGTGTCCAGATCTAGTCTTGCGATACAAGTCACCACCAAGAACTGCGGCGACAGCAGTATGGCGACGAGGAGGTCTTTGGATATTTGATGTAGCGATTGATCGAGAAGCAGAGGTTGTAAAGGTAGAAGATATCTGCTGGATTTGCGACTTGGAAGGAACAGGAGGAGGAGCGATCGAGAAGAGGGCGCGTTCGTGTTGTTCAGTGTCTCTGATCAGGGCAGTGATATCGTGGTGGGTGAGAAGGGCATTGGTGAACTGTTTCGGTCGCGAGAATGGAAGGTCGGATATGGACGAAGCACAGAGGGATATTTGGTCCAGATGTGACGACAGTAGAGACGAGGTCATGGTTGCGTTGGGCGAAAGAGTGTTTGGCAAGAATTAAACAAAAATAGGTAAACAAATGGGCGGGCTCGCATGTGATGATTGAGTGAGAGCTTCCGGCGTTGCTTGGCTCTTTCCGTCATCGCCATCGCCCTTCGACCAGCACCATCAGCTCCAAGTCCGCAAAGAGGCAACTCCATCAACTCGCTTCATCCACACACGGCCACGCGCTATCCTCATCCTCTCCTGTTCACTCATCTCTGTCTCCGAAGATCGTCATGGCCGACAAGATGGAAGGCGTCGAGGTCGCCTCTGCTCCCGTCGACAACGCTCCCACCGCTGAGCAGCTCTCACAATGTACCTTGGCCCGTCTTCACGTCCAATCCATATACTGACATCCAGCTGCAGCCATAATCGCCAACTTCGCCCTCCTCGACCAAGCCGTTGCCCGCTTTGATGGACGCTTCACCCTCCGTGTACTCCGCTCAATATCGAGCATGCGCAAGAGTCCCCAGCTCCTTGACGCCTTGTCCACCGCCGTTGCCTCGCTCTACGCCTCACACCAAGATTCACCCGACAAGCGCTTCCTGGAGTCTGCTCTTCAGAAGACTTCCTCTGCCCCTGCCAATGGCAATGCCCCCAAGGAGGGAGATGTCCTTCCAGAATCCTTCATCTACCTGGCTGTCTTGATCCAGGTACTATCTTGCCTGGTACGCTATACAGGAACACACCTCTGACTTTTCTTGNNCCAGGTCTATCTCTACGATGCGCAAAAATACTCACACGGCGCCGAGTTCTCCTCTGCTCTGGTCGACAGAGTACGAGAGTACAACCGTCGCACATTGGACTCCCTCGCCGCAAAGTCATACTTCTACTACCACCTCTTCCACGAACAGCTCGACCCCAAGCCGCCATCCAAGCAATCGCCCGTTATTGCCACGAGATCAAAGCTTCTGGCTGCTCTTCGTAGCGCAGTCCTGCGCAAGGACAACGACACCCAGTCCGCCGTTATCGTCCTTCTCCTCCGCAACTACATCTCCACCGCCGACATCAACCAGGCCGACCTTCTGGTCAATCAGACCTCATTNCCCCCGAACGCTCCCAACAACCAAGTCTGCCGCTATCTCTACTACCTTGGACGCATTCGCGCGATTCAACTATCATACACTGCAGCTCAAGAGCATCTGACAAGTGCCACTCGCAAGTCTCCCACCAACAATGTCGCAGCTGGCTTCTATCAATCGGCCATGAAGCTCCTGATAATTGTCGAGCTTCTCATGGGTGACATTCCGGACAGAGCCATCTTTAGACAGCCCTCGCTCGAGCGTGCTCTCTACCCCTACTTCCGTCTGGTTCAGGCTGTTCGTGTTGGTGACCTGCAAGGCTTCGTTCGCGTTGTCGAGGAGAATGCAACTCAATTCCGCCGCGACGGTACCTACACTTTGATTCTCCGCTTGCGTCAGAACGTTATCAAGACTGGTGTTCGCATGCTCTCTCTGTCGTACTCTCGCATTTCACTTCGCGACATCTGTCTACGTCTCGGTGTTGAAAGCGAGGAGTCTGCCGAGTACATCGTCGCAAAGGCCATCCGCGATGGTGTCATCGAGGCAACTCTGGACCACGAGCACGGTTTCATGGAGTCCAAGCAGGCAGGAGACATCTACGCTACAAGAGAGCCCGCTGAAGCCTTCCACGAGCGCATCAAGGCTTGTTTGAGCATCCACGACGAATGCGTCATGGCCATGAGATATCCCATGAACAAGCACAGACAAGAGCTGAAGAACGCCCAGGAAGCTCGCGAGAGGGAGCGTGAGCTTGCCAAGGAGATTCAAGATGGCGACATGGATGAAGATGACGCTGGCGAATTCGAGGGTATGTGAGCACGGAAATGCATATAGACACGCACAACTCGGCTATGTAAGATGAAGACGTGCCTGGTCCAAGGGAAGACGTGGTGGAATGTATCATGAGCAGCATGGCGTCCGCCGGTTGGTGCATAGAACGTCTTTTTCAGCAAAATAATGACAACCTTTTTTCATCCAAAACCAACTTTTTCGCACATTTGCATCTTCTGATGATCAGAGAGCTACGGTATCCCAAGTGTCTCCTTCGCTCGTTGTTCCAGTGATGAGCTTGGACCAGGGCAGTCAACATCCAACCACCAGCTTTCGTTGTGCCCATCACTTTCCCAGCCACCTCGACAACCTGTTGCACACCGCATTGTAGTCTTTGCTTAGTACAGTTGGCGCCCTGCTTTCTCCCTGACTGACGTAGACTTCACTATATTTGCCATTCGGAAAAACAGATGGCTGGAGGTAGTATCACGCTATTAATCATTTTGCTTACTCGCCATGATTTTGCCTGCGTTTTACACCTACGATTTTGCTCGTCGCGGTCTCCTTGTTGTTTTTGCCTTTCCTAGCATTTTTATCAATTCACCATAACCGTTGAACATGCTATACTCGTCACATATTCTCAGCCTACAATCGTCCTTGCGACTGACAGCACTTGCCACAATCGCATCTTTGACCTTCACACAAACTGCACGCGCCCAAACGACAAGTAGCTGCAACCCAACACAACAGTCTGGCTGCCCTGCTGATCCGGCACTTTCGAAATCAATCAATGTCGACTTTACCTCTGGCGAATCAAATCAATTTGCAGCATTAGGCGTACCAACATACGATTCGAAAGGCGTATCATTCACAGTCGCCCAGTCAGGCGATGCTCCCATGCTTACATCAAATTGGTACATCATGTTTGGCAAAGTCGAAGTAAAGATGAGGGCTGCTGCTGGCCAAGGAATAGTCAGCAGCTGTGTGCTACAATCAGACGACCTGGACGAGATCGACTGGGAATGGGTTGGAAATCAGCAGGACCAAGTACAGTCGATCTACTTTCGAAAAGGTGATTCTTCGACGTCCGGTCGTGGCGCAGCTTTCCACATGGACAATCCGACTGAAGACTTCCATACCTATACTATCGACTGGACATCGACAGAGCTGGTCTGGCAGGTGGACGGAAAGACGCAGCGTGCTCTGAAAGCCACCGACGCTGGAAATCAATATCCTCAGACGCCCATGATGCTCAAGCTTGGTATCTGGAGTGGTGGTGATTCGTCAAATGCTCCTGGCACAATCGCGTGGGCAGGAGGTAACACCGACTACTCAGCAGGGCCGTATACAATGGTTGTCCAGTCTGTCTCAGTCACAGACTATTCAACTGGCAAGTCTTACACATACTCAGATCAGACAGGAAGTTGGTCGAGTATTAAGGCAGCTGGAGGATCCATCAACGGAGGCTCGACCAATGTTGACACATCGGCACCTGCCATCACTTCGGTTGTGAGCGGTGCCGTTCCCTTTGAAGGAACTCATCGCACATGGACTTCGGTCTCGACCCCAGGTATCGGCAACTGGCGAGCCACGGCGTCCGGCATGACCAGTACGGTAGCCACCACGTACCCCGGCCTACCGAGCGGATGGAGCGTAAACCCGGATGGCAAAGTCGTTCCTCCTAGCAAAGCCACCACAGGTGAGTCACTGGACCTAGAACATGACCCCTTGAGCTCAGACGCTGACCAGTACTCCNNAGTTTCGATACCTCTTCGTATGGTTCTACTCCTCAGCTGCAGTCTCTCTTTGGGATTGGCAATGGGCTTTCTCTTGTGAAAACTCTGCCCAAACACCCCGCTTCCTTACGGAACAACTCGCGATTCCCCCCAATACCTATTTGATAATATTCGTAATAGAAAGCCCCATTTAGAGAAAGGGCAACGGACAGACCCTCCGTCGCTCCACGAAAGCCGTTTGCCCCGCAAATGAGGAGCGAGGGGACGAGCCATGTGAGCAGTCCTGGGGAAATAAAAACCACTTCGTCTTGTGCGTAGACTTGGCTAGCATCAAACTATGACTAAAAATACGTAACAGAGCATGCAAACGTGAGCACTTTGAAGAGACGAAAACAAGACAGCTGGTCCGATCGGAAGATGAGGGAATTGATGATGAGAGGGAAATACATGGCCAAAAACACCATCCACTCCATGGGGCCTTGATTGAAGCCAGGAAAACGAGCTTCCGGGCTATCTTTGCTTACTCCTTATAGTCCGTCTATAACCGCGCAAGTAGGGCGTTCAGGGCGTGTGACAATCTAGAGAAAAAGGCGCAGCAGCTTTGGCGCGCGGGCCGAACATTTTCGGCAGCGCTAAATTTCCCCAGATCGTCTGTTGACGCTAGCGCTCTGAGGTGATCAGGTACAGGTGGGTATGCCGCGAGTATGCGAGAAAAAGTGCTCGAGTTGGAATCGACAATGATGCCATGTGACTGGAACGTTGGTATATAGCCAGAGCTGATGCCAGGTCAGAGGGCCTGAGCCATTTACCGCTCGTTTCAAATCATCTTCTCCTTGTTGTGATTGTTAAGGCCGCGTCTTTGTCGTGCGTCATTTTGGGAAACCTCGATTCACTCAAAGCTCCCTGCTCCTGCTCCTTCTGAAAATCTCCTGAACCGTACCTTCACTTCAGAGCTGCTCGATCTCACTCGCAGCTACTTCGGCTCTTTCACGTGCGTGTCGTCACCGCTCTTCTTTAAACCGGCGTCGTACGCTCGCCGAGACTCTCTCCTCGACATCCACCTTTCTTCATCAAGGTGTTCCGTCAAAACATCATGTCAAGCACAATCAACGGACTCGCCAACGGCAATGGCGTGCTGCACAACAAGCATCTCGAGCAGGTCATCAGACCCGCCGACAGACAACCCTCGCCCCAACCCACACATCTGAGCGTGCCCGGCGCCTCAAATCATGCTCGAGTCCTGAGTGAGCAGGGCTCTGGTTATGAAGCCCCCAAATTCGAGGGCAAGACTCAACAGATGGACGAGTAAGCACATGGTGATCAGACTCTCACATGATTGTGCAGTTAATTCGCGTGCAGGGTCATGGACAAGATTGAGGCCAAAGGCTTCCTTCCCCCGGAATTTGTCGAAAGCGAAACCCAATGGTTCTACAACGAACTCGGCATTGACGACATGTACTTCTCGACCGAGACTTCTGATGCGTATGTCATTCTTTCCACAACACATTGATTTGACAACAATCGCTCACCTCTTGCAGCNATCGTCAGTCACATTCACTCACTCTACGCCGCCAAGGTCGCTGCATTTGCCAGAGACGACAAGCAGCTTGAGATCCGCCTGGACAAAGAAGCCGCCGACCACGCCGTCTTCATCGACACCAGCAAGCCCGGTATCACCTCTGTCGGCGGACCTCGCTATGAGCAACGCATCGACGAGAAATACCTCAACAACTCCAAGGGTGCCAGCAGCTACCGTGTCGAGACATTCAGATCGTCTAGCAAATTGCCCGGTGATCTCGACCAACAGCTGAGATGTTACTTCGTATACCAGTGCTCTTTCGAGCAGCCCAACCCCAGCCCTGAGGAGACCAACCTCGATCTCATCTCTGACAAGAGGTTCCTCCAGAAGGCTACCAAGAACACCCGGGACATTTACCAACACATTCTCGAATCGGCTGTCGCTAGAACCGGTCCCGTCATCGAGCTCTTTGAGATTAAGGGCTCAAGAGAAAAGAGATTGGTCATTGCCTACAAGCAGGGGTCAGCCTTGGGTCTCTTCAGCGCCCTCAGTGATCTCTACCACTACTACGGCCTGACCTCGTCTCGCAAGTATGTCGAGCAATTCTCCAACGGATACACAATCATGTCGCTGTACCTTCGTCCTGTACCTGGACCTGAGTCCAACATGCACCCTCCCATTGAGGCCTCCATCCACCAGATCATGAAGGAAGTCTCTTTGTTGTACTGTGTTCCTCGCACCAAGTTCCAAAACCACTTCGCGACTGGAAACCTCAGCTTGCAGGAGACTATCTACGCTCATTGCGTCTGGGTCTTTGTCAGCCACTTCTTGAACCGTCTGGGCTCTGAGTACAACACTCTCAGCGCAATCCTGGACGCAAACAACAGTGTCCACGCCGAACTGCTTTCAAAGCTCAAGCGTCGTCTACGTACCGAGACATTCACTTCTGACTTCATTCTGGAAATCATCCAGCAGTTCCCTGACCTGGTCAAGGCTCTCTACCTCAACTTCGCCAACACTCACTACGTTCAGACCCGTGGTGACGAAGATGACTTCCTGCCGACTCTCAGTTACCTCCGCTTGAAGGTTGACAAAGTCTTGAGCGATACCGAGTTGAAGAACATGATCTCGACCACCTGCCAGAACGAGCATCAGGAGATGGTCATGACTGCTTTCAGAGTGTTCAACAAGGCTGTTCTCAAGACCAACTACTACACACCAACAAAGACTGCCCTCTCGTTCCGCTTAGACCCCTCGTTCCTGCCCATTGAGGAGTACCCTCAGCCTCTGTACGGCATGTTCTTGGTCATCAGCTCTGAGTTCCGTGGTTTCCACCTTCGTTTCCGCGACATTGCTCGTGGTGGTATCCGTATCGTCAAGTCTAGAAGCCCTGAGGCTTACGATATCAATGCTCGCTCGCTCTTTGACGAGAACTACAACCTTGCAAACACCCAGCAGAGAAAGAACAAGGATATTCCCGAAGGTGGCTCCAAGGGCGTCATTCTGCTTGATGTTGAGCACCAAGAGAAGGCCAGCGTGGCTTTTGAGAAGTACATCGACAGCATTCTCGATTTGCTCCTTCCACCCACTAGTCCTGGTATCAAGGATCCCATTGTCGATCTTCACGGAAAGCAGGAGATACTATTCATGGGACCTGATGAGAACACTGCTGAGCTAGTCGACTGGGCTACTGAGCACGCCAGAGCCCGTGGTGCTCCCTGGTGGAAGTCGTTCTTCACCGGCAAGAGCCCTAAGCTTGGTGGCATTCCTCACGACGCTTATGGTATGACAACTCTGTCTGTTCGTGAGTACGTCTTGGGTATCTACCGCAAGCTTAACCTGGACCAGAAGAGTATGAGAAAGCTTCAAACTGGTGGCCCCGATGGCGACCTCGGAAGTAACGAAATCCTTCTCGGACAAGAGAAGTACACCGCCATTGTTGATGGTATGGGTGTCCTTTTCGATCCCAACGGTCTCGACAGAGAAGAGTTGCTTCGCTTGGCTAAGAAGCGTGTTATGATTCACCAATACGACGTCTCCAAGCTCTCGCCCCAAGGCTACAGAGTCTTGATTGAAGAAAGCAACATCACACTTCCTTCAGGCGAGGTTGTCAACAACGGCATGGCATTCCGCAACACTTTCCATCTGCGCCAGGAGGCTTATGACGTCTTCGTGCCCTGCGGTGGTCGTCCTGAATCCATCAATCTGAACTCTGTCAACAAACTTATTGTTGATGGCAAGGCAATCATTCCTTACATCGTTGAGGGTGCTAACCTCTTCATCACACAAGATGCCAAGCTCCGCCTCGAGAAGGCCGGCTGCATTCTCTTCAAGGATGCATCTGCCAACAAGGGAGGTGTCACATCATCCTCTCTTGAGGTCCTGGCGTCATTGTCATTCGATAATGCTGGCTTCATCGAGAACATGTGTGTGCACGAAGATGGCACTACCCCAGAGTTCTACAAAGCCTACGTCAAGCAAGTGCAGCAAACCATCTGCAACAATGCTAGACTGGAGTTTGAGGCCATCTGGAGAGAAAGCGAGGCCACCGGCACTCCCAAGAGTGTTCTCAGTGACACTCTGAGTACCGCCATCACTAACCTTGATGAGGAACTCCAGAACACTGAACTCTGGGATAACGTCGAGCTTCGCAAATCAGTGCTCAAGGATGCCCTTCCTAGCTTGTTGTTGGAGAAGATCGGTCTCGATCTCATCATTGAGAGAGTAAGTCGTTGACGAACAAACACCCGATAATCAATGTGCTAATCGATTTGACAGGTTCCTGAGAACTACTTGCGTGCCATTTTCGGCTCGTACTTGTCGTCCCGCTTCATCTATGAGCGCGGCATTTCGGCCAGTCAATTCGCGTTCTTCTCTTTGTAAGTTTGCTGATCGGAATGTAATAAAATGACCCACAACTAACCAATAATACAGNNCATGAACGAACGCATGGCCAAATTGCGCTCATAAGCTGGAGGAATGTACCCTGTCTCCAAGGCCTCAACAGTGGGCCGGTCTTCTGCATTCTTCTAGCAGATAGGCTCAAAAGTTATAAACAAATAATCATGCCGTGACGGTCACAAGGCGTTTGGGGGTCAATTTGTTCATTTTGCTGGTACTTTATAGCTCCAGCTCATCGTGGCTTTCTACTGCTAGATTTGCTCGATACAATCCAAAAAGTGCTCCAACAAGTTGTCAATCTACTGTTCCATTGTGAATACCCTCTGTAAGTCCATCCTCAGATCTCACGATACGTGTCACGCAACGATATGTGGAAACACAACAGCCGCTTCATACACTCTTTTGCCTATATTTCTACCTACAGCCTTTTAATGGCAGGTACAGTCCGAGTGCTGTCTTCCTGGCGTTATATCCTCCCCGTGTGCTAAAGTCTATAACGCATATAACTATGGAAGTGCACGATTCTGCCAGGTAAAGGAGCAGTGTCTACTGAGAGCCGACGTTTCAGTGGCTTTCTTTAGCCACTCCTCTGCTCCGGAAGACATCTGTGCCTTTTTATAGTGCACACCTTGCTCTACGCTTTCGTGGGAAGAGGTGAAGTTACAGACTTTAGCACATAGGCCCGAAGGATACTCTTCTTGCTCCGAGATCATTCCACATGCTGACATAAGGTCTAGTCAAAGACATCACTCGCAATCATGGCACCCAAAAAGAAAGTAGAACGCACGGCTGCTTCTTCGCGGCCCAAACGAACGCCCAAACCAACCACCTTTGCCACGTCTTCATCTGCTGCTGCACCAAAGCCCAAGAAGAAGAGCACTGCCACCAAGAAAGCAGCAACTAAGACGGCTGCTCCCAAGAAAACAGCAGCGACCAAAGTCACCAAAAAGACGGCTCCAAAGAAGACTGTGACCAAAAAGGCGGCAACCAAGGCCGCTGCTATGAAAGCAGGGGCCAAAGGAGCCCAGAAAGACGCCCCCAAGTATGAGAAGTGGGTTGTACCTCTTTGGGTGAACCCACTGGGGGCTGAAGGTGAAAAGAGAATCGCCCAGAAAAAGGAACTCGAGAAGTCCAACCACCAAATGTGGAAAGCGTCCGTCCTCAGTTGCTGGAAGCACAGCGCTCAATTCAAAAAAGGTCTCAAGCAAGACTACGAAGAAGGAGTGGCCAAGGGCGAGTACGAACCCAAGGGCTACGAAAGATTCCGCACGTGGAGCATGAAAATCTACTCGGAAGCCTGGGACAAAGCCTATGCGAGAAAGATTGGCTCGCTGGAGGGCGACTACAATTACGACGAGGCCAAAGCCATGAAGAGAGAGATGTGTGGGCAAATGGACAACCACGAGATTCCTCACATCCATGACTTCGAAGGCTTCCTCTACTGGAAAGAAATTGAGAAGCAGAGGGCCAAGCTTGTTACAAAGTACAAGGCAGAGTACAAGGCAGAGCAAAAGAAGAAGCAGCAACAGCAAAAGGGAAACGTCAGTGCCATCAGCTCCCCAGTCAAGAAAGCGCAGAACACCATCGTTAATGCCAGTCCAGTGAAGAACGTCCAGGAAGCGTTTGCAAGGAGCAGGTCTAAGAGTCCGGAGAAGAAGAGTCCAGCAAAGAAGATGTTGAGTAATGATAGTGGTTATCAGGCTGATAATGAGCAGCAGAGTGTGATGAGTAGGACGTGGGAGCTTGCTGCTAACGCTGTCGAGGCCATGAGGAGTGCGGTCAATCCAGAGTAGTGTCAGTGTGTCGTCTCCTTTGTCATCGTTTTGTGGGATATGGGAGTTTCTTGTTTGTAATCCCTGGATCCATGTACTTCGCTTTTCAAGTAGCTATGAAAATGCAGTGTCATTGAGAGATAAGACACTATCCACTGGAAACCGGTATCTCGGCGGCTCTCTCTGGATATTTCTCTGCTTTCGAAAGGGACTGTGCATTGTTATAGCGTACTCTTCGTCCTACGCTCTTTGGGAGAGTGATGGAATTTACCATACTGGTACCCCTTGACTAAAACATGGGTAAGCGTTTTGTAACCTCTCTCCATATGCCAATGTATGTAGTTCGTATAGCCATAAAAATGCACAGAGTTATCGAGAGACAGGACACTGTCCACTGAGAGCCAACATTTTTCATGACACACGCAACCAAGGCACAAGCATCCTGATAACCAGCGACCCGGTTGTTACGCCTCATAGACTTGGATTGTGCGGGGACTCGCCAGGTTGGTGGGTCTCAGCAGTGTAAGATCCTTGAGTAACTTCTTTGTGGTGCGGCGGAACTCGTACCCTTTGCCTCTTGAGTAAGTTCTGGTTCACAGCAATCTCTTGATATCGTGTTGGACGACAGGCATCTTCCAGTTTAGGCCAACCGAAGCTCGGAAGTTCTGGTTGGTGATTCATCCTCCAAGCCAGCCAGTCTCTCGAAAAACGCCTTGAGCAACACGGAGGAGATCGTTGGCGAAGTCGCGATCAGTAGTGAACTCTGCTGATTGCGGGTGATTATCGTTAGAGAACTTGAGCACACGGTTGCTGATGGTCTCGAATAAGAGAAGTGTGATCTGCTCGATGAAAGGAAAAATATCGATGTCGCGGTAGTCCATATCGCAGAGGTGATACATCTGCCACTCACCACGCTCACGAGCGGACTGGTAATGGACACTGTGTTGAAAGTTTTCATCAGTCTTCGAAGACTCGTGGATCTCGAGTCTGTGACCGATTTGGATGGATTTGCCGTCGTAGACCTCGGGTGGCCGAGCATCAGGAAAGTCGGAATAGACAATGAGATAGTTGACTATCAAGTTTTCGATATCAGTGATCTCGACAGGGCGAAGCTTGCAGAAGTCGGAGACGCTGAAGTTGTGATTCGTGAGGATGTCGACCAAGGTTTTTGTGTTGTCGTCGACATATTCGGGCAATACTTCGACTCTCTTTATGCCGTTGTAGATCTTCTGAGCTACAATCAGTCTCTTCTCCGGGGTGTCGAAGGTCGAGCAGTATGCGTTTTTGTTGTCCTTGAAGTACTCGTAGGTTCTTACCACGAGTTGGAAGATGGTATGCGCCAAAATGTCCGCAGTATTAGTGTTGACAGTGGTCTCAATGCAAATAGGTTNTGGAGGATCAAGATCGTAATACTTTATGGCGGCTCTCTCTGGCTACTCCTCTGCTTTGGAAAAGAACTGTGCGTTTTCATAGCGTACTCTTTGCTGTACACTCTTTGGGAGAAGGGTGAGCGATACCTTGAAGAAGCAAATACTGGGGCCTCGGAGAGAAACAAGCTGAACGCACCTCCCCGTGTGCTAGAGACAGTCACACTTTACTATACAAATGCACAATGTTTGCCCGATGAGAGACGAGAACAAGGAGAGCCGCCGTGATCATGACTCTCAGTGGATGCTACCCATTTCAGGAAAGCATTGTGCATTTCTATAGCTTACCATTCCATTGTGCTTTGTCATGAGATAGAAGGGTTGGTCGCGAAGTTGTGACTGTCTACAATCGAAGATGATGAAGCTCCGCACTTCGGGACAGTTTCATGGTCAGCAACCCGTATGAACCCGAGAAAGCCGACGAGGTTCCCCACATCTCCACAGAAGATCATGTTCAAGGTTTGAGGCAAGGATGAGATGTCGTGTGCAACTGATGCTCTCTGGGTGGAGGAGGTTGCTTGAGAAGAACAGGCAAACAAGTAAAGCCTCGCAAGACCCGGGATCAGATGTCGCACCAAGAGCGCATAAGATCTGTTTGCATGGTCATGATTGGGACGGGAGCCATGTTCGGAAGTCGGTCACTAGTGCTCGTGATTTGTGGCTTCTGTACAGCGTGACTGCTCATGATCTCGTCAGCCCCTGGCAACTGTATCGGCTTCAAGCTACGAGGGCTTATTAAAGAGGCGGACCAGTAGCACTCGTCGCTCGAAGTGCTACCGTTGTCAAGAAGGAGAGAAGGCCGAGGGACGAGAAACAAGAAGTGACTGGGCAGAATTTAGCGCGACCCACGTTACGTCGGCCTTAAGTCGATAACAGCGCAGCATCGAACTTGAATCAACCGGCACTCTGCCCGTCACAACCACGGCTCCTTCTCGTGGTCCAATGCCTTGTGCTCACGCTCGCTAACATCCAGCTTTTTGCATATCCTAAGAACATCCATCTCGACCTCCCCTCGACGTGTTTTCAGCATTGCGACTTTGCGTCAACTCGACAACACTTTCTCCTACGACCACCAGCGACAGAGTCGGCTCCCACGAGTGCACAATAGAGCAGCACCTCGACAGCTCTCGACCTTTTCTCCACCTGGTCTTCTTCAACCTTGCCGCCGCTGCACGGACAGTCAAATCTCGAACTCCTCCAACGACGCTTCCCTCGAATCCTCAATGGCCGCCGGAACATCGTCAAAGCCGTGGGACGGTACAAAAGAATGGCTCTCACAACCAGTAGTTGCGTCCTTCATTGCTGGAGGTATGGCGGGTGCTGTGTCGCGAACCGTCGTATCGCCGCTCGAGCGTCTCAAGATTCTTTTCCAGATTCAGAGTGTTGGCCGCGAAGAATACAAAATGTCGATAGGCAAGGCTCTGGGCAAGATGTGGCGCGAAGAAGGATTCCGTGGGTTCATGGCAGGCAACGGCACAAATTGCATCCGCATTGTGCCTTACTCGGCCGTGCAGTTTGGAAGTTATAATTTCTACAAGCGGGTATGCAATGCACCTTTGGCTCTTGTTCGCCATCATGGTCATAGGCTGACCCGTTCTAGNTTCTTTGAGGATACTCCTGGTGCGCCCCTCGGTGCTCTCCAGCGTCTGTCGTGTGGTGCCATCGCAGGTATCACGTCCGTGACATTCACCTACCCCCTTGATATCGTTCGAACACGACTCTCGATACAGTCGGCCTCATTCGCAGGCCTGGAAAAAGCAGAAGCTGGAAAGAAGCTACCAGGAATGTGGCCGACATTGGTCAGAATGTACAAGACCGAGGGCGGCTTCTTCGCGCTCTACCGAGGCATAGTTCCGACGGTTGCTGGTGTCGCGCCATACGTAAGAGCCTCCTATCCTCGAGATGTGATCGCGGAGCTGACAGTTGCAAGNGTTGGACTGAATTTCATGGTCTATGAATCCGTCCGCAATTATTTCACACCGGAAGGTTCGGACAACCCAAGCTCCATTGGAAAGCTGGGTGCAGGTGCTATCTCAGGAGCTGTCGCGCAGACATGCACATATCCNCTTGTAAGTTCATGTTAGCTCGAAACGAGAGAGCAGATACTGATCACGAGCCACAGCGACCTGCTTCGCCGAAGATTCCAAATCAACACCATGTCAGGCATAGGCTACCAGTACAAATCAATCTTCGATGCTGTCAGAGTTATCGTCAAGCATGAAGGCATCAAGGGCATGTACAAGGGCATTGCTCCCAACCTTCTCAAGGTCGCTCCGAGCATGGCCAGCAGTTGGCTGAGTTTCGAGCTCACACGTGACTTCTTCGTTGGTCTGAAACCAGAAGTATAAGAGCTAACACGACCTTTTTCCTCTTTGTTATATCTCCTTTCGCCAGTCTATAACTCTTGGACGACTCGGTATAGATGGAGGGCCACATTACAAGATGCATGATGAAACATGATTGCAATATTTCAGTGGTTTTGTCTTTCTTTTGTTCATTACAGGAAAATCAAGGCGTCTTGGGATACATAGCTTTCCTGACCACCAGGCATCGCACGGAGTTTGGGCGTATGGGAGGTATAAGACTTGATGTAGTTGACCTAGATATGGAAGGCAGACCATTGTATTGGCGCAAAGCCTTGAGATCCTCGTCGTGTACCAGAGACAGTCACAGCCTACGATCGGTCCCTCTCCCTCACTAACCCATTGTGCCATTATAAGCTATAAAAATGCGCACAGATTCTTTCTGAACTGTGGTGCCACCATTGAGATGCCTGAGAACAAAGTTCTCTCTAAGGACATCGCTTCGCTATACCAACGATTGTGCGTTTCTATAACGACACTGTAGCTGTCTGTCACATACAGGGAGGATGTGCTTGATGTGTCGTGCATAGAGTGTCCTCCCATGTGCTAAAGATAGTCGCAATGTGGCTATAGAAACGCACAATACTTTCCAGAATTGAGCGAGATCCACTGAGAGAAAACTATCTCAGGCATCTCTATGGCCACACAATTCTTTGGGTAAGCAACTGTGCATTCTTATGGCATGTCATAACACTATCTCAGTGTGGAAGAGAGGGGCTGATGAGCGATGTTGTGAATGTCTTTTGTACACGAGAAGGGTGTAGTTTGTGGAGATAAATGTTGCCACGGAAGGTGCTGATCAAGCGTGCTGGGAAGGAACACCGCCAGATATGAAAATCTTCAGAAAACAGCAGGTGCGCTCCCGTGGCGTCAACATTCTCTCCCTATTCTCTCCCTTCAACACCCACTTCAACTAATCACTCTGTGCAAAGAAGTGATACAGCATTTTAAACAGGATCAGAATCGAGGCTCTTGGGCGGTCAAACCCCGGCAAAACTCGCCAACGTGCGCTTGGACCCGCTCCACCACACACTTGCAAATTCCTGCGTCGAATCTACTCTTGCTGGACGACGACGAGACGACTATTCCGACAACCATTCTCCCGGTCGATTAGTTAGCAAAAATGGGTATTGAGTGCGTATGCTCTGCTCTACAAGGCCATGGTCAAGCGACTGACTGAATCTGCAGTTTGGACCACCACCACGTCCGTTCGGGCCACCGCAAGGCTCCCAAGTCGGACAACCCCTACACTGCTCTGCTGGTCAAGCTCTACAGATTCTTGAGCCGTAAGGATTCCCTCTCAGAAGACAGCCATCGAAGCGACCGCCCCTCCTGCACTGCCGACAGCCGATTGCGCACGCATTGAGAATAAAAAAGAACGAGATTGGCTGGTGTTTGAAGACGCGCGCCCGCAATGGCTGCATGAAATCCCAGAAGAGCGCAAGGCTGACATTTTTTGCGCAAAGGCCGTACCGACAGCAAGTTCAACGCCACTGTCCTCCGTCGCCTGATGATGAGCAAGATCAACCGCCCTCCCATGTCGCTCTCCAAGATCGTTGCCACTGCTGCCAACAAGCACTCCAGCAAGGCCCACGAGGGCAAGACCATCGTCTTGGTCGGCACCGTCACTGACGACAACCGTCTCCTTGAGCTCCCCAAGCTCTCGATTGCCGCCCTCCGCTACACCAACACTGCCCGCGCCCGCATCGTCGCCGCTGGTGGTGAGGCCCTGACCATTGATCAGTTGGCCATGCGCGCCCCTACCGGTGCCAACACCCTTCTCCTCCGTGGCCCCAAGAACGCCCGTGAGGCCGTCAAGCACTTCGGCTTCGGTCCCCACTCTCACAAGGCACGTCAAACCCTCTGCCTGTCTCGCGAACAGCAACAGCAGCAGCACATCTCCCGGATATACACGTTTACTAACAACCTCTGCAGNAAGCCTTACGTCGAGAGCAAGGGTCGCAAGTTCGAGCGTGCCCGTGGTCGCAGACGCTCGAAGGGTTTCAAGGTGTAAGCAATTTACACTGTTGGAATTGGGGTATTCATGGGGTTCAAAATGGCTGTCTCTGGGTGATATCAATCATGAGGCGAGACATGATGAGATTCTCTTTGCTAGCGAATTTAAGCATCTTCCGGGACAAATTGGTTGGTGTTGCAAAAAAAAGCGCCGTTTTCGCAAAAGGAACAACAACGATCAAATGGCAATATTTCACGACGTGACTGCAATACCGCTGTCCCCATGCTTCGCGAGTCTGTCCGTCCATGTCATTATCGATCGAGGCACTTTTACTCCTGCCAATTTGTCCACCCAAAATCATTCATCTACCTCACTGTTCCAGACTCGACCATCTAGGTGTTTCCTTTCCTGTGATTTATTGCATGCATGTTCGATTGACATTCTGACTCGTCTTCCGGCTGCTCGCGAACACAAACCGCAAGCAGAAAAGAGATCGGCCTTCAGAATTTGACTTTCGCAGTCATATTTCTTGGCACTCAAACATTTACATAGAACACTACGCAACCTCTTGACAGCTCGTATCATTTGATCTATATCTATACAAGTACACAAAAATGGACAAGAAAGTCGTAGGTTTGCTCGGGGGTGGCCAGCTGGGCCGCATGTTCGTCGAGGCTGCAAACCGTCTGAACATTCAAGTCAACATTTTGGACGCAGCAAAGTCACCCGCAAAGCAAATCAGCAGCCATGAAGGCCACTTCGAAGGCTCATTCAAGGACCCGGAAGCCATTGAAAAACTATCAAAAACTTGCGATGTCGTCACCGTGGAAATCGAGCATGTGGATACCCAAATTCTGGAAAAGATCTCATCTCAGGTCGCCGTGGAGCCCAGCTGGAAGACCATTCGCATGATCCAGGACAAGTACGCGCAAAAGGAGCATCTTCAGGAGCACAATGTCGCTACTGCTCAATCGATACCTTTGGCTGGAGCTACCAAGGAGGACTTGCAGAAGGTCGGCGAGCAGATTGGCTTCCCTTTCATGCTCAAGTCTCGCACAGAGGCATACGATGGACGTGGAAACTTCCCTGTCAAGTCAACCGCCGACTTTGACGGTGCTCTGGAGGCTCTTGGAAGCCGTCCTTTGTACGCTGAGAAGTGGGCCAACTTCAAGGCCGAATTGGCAGTCATGGTTGTCAAGACCAAGGATGGCGTTTTGGCTTACCCTACTGTCGAGACTATCCACGAGGACAGCATCTGCAAGCTCGTATATGCTCCCGCACGCAATGTCTCGAAGAAGGTGCTTGAACAGGCCCAGGAGCTGGCCAAGAAGGCTGTTGCTTGTTTCTGGGGCAAGGGTGTGTTTGGTGTTGAGATGTTCTTGCTCGACGACGACAGCCTCCTGATCAACGAGATTGCTCCCAGACCTCACAACTCTGGTCACTACACTATTGAAGCATGCCCCATTTCGCAGTACGACGCTCATCTACGTTCCATCTTGGACATCCCCATCCAGCAACATGAGTTGCGTATCAGAGAGCCTTCAATCATGCTCAACATCCTTGGTGCTTCTACACCCGACTCTGCTATTCAGATTGCCGAGCGCTCCATTGCTGCTGGCGTTGGTGCTTCTATTCACCTTTACGGTAAAGGCGACGCTCGTCCTGGCAGAAAGATGGGCCACATGACTCTCACAGCACCCACCATGCGCGAAGCCGAGAAAGCCATGCAACCCCTGCTCGACATCACCGACGAGATCCGCGGCAAGAAGAGCGCACCTGCTTCTGCCTCGTCGGCCGCCAGCGGTGCCGGTCAAGCCCAGAACGCCATGGTGGGCGTCATCATGGGCTCTCACAGCGACATGCCCGTCCTCCAAGCCGGCATTGCCATCCTCAAGAAACTCAACATTCCCTTTGAAACTCACATTACCTCTGCCCATCGCACACCCGACTGGATGGGTGAGTATGTGCACTCTGCCCTNCCCCGCGGCATCCAAGTCCTCATTGCTGCTGCAGGTGGTGCCGCACATTTGCCTGGTATGGCCGCCTCGCACACCGCCATCCCTGTCATTGGTGTCCCAGTCAAGCCCACCATTGGCGATGGCACCGACAGCGTGCTGAGTATCCTCAACATGCCTCGTGGTGTTCCTGTTGCCACTGTGGGCACCAACAACAGCACCAATGCTGCCTTGTTGGCTGCAAGAATCATTGGCTTGAAGGAGGCCAGCATCCAAAAGGCCCTGGTTGAGTATGCTGAGAATTCTACTGCTGAGGTCATGGAGCGTGAGCGTGCTATGAACGAGCAGGGTTGGGATGCTGTCTATGAGCAGTGGCACGGCGCTAAGAAGTAAGGAAGGAGATGCTGGATACGAGTGGATGAACAGGACTGGTTGTTTTTATGTGTAGATTTTGTCTCAAAAGAAACGAATAGAAAATGTGTACAGTATTTGATTTACAATGATTGAAACATTCAAAGATGAAGGGTTATTCGTCGAATAATTCGGCAGCAGTGTCATACATCGGTCCTTTTACAGGAATATGGATGGTTTTGCACTTGTAGTAGCATTAGGAGCCAAGCGAACTGAGAAAATTGTGACACTAATCACCAGTGTTGTCTACTGCCGCACTATCATCAGCTTCTTGGGTGGCACCACCCTCAGCCATACTTGTATCTTTTTGCTCGGCTGCGGCCTGTGTGCTCGTGCCTTCTTGACTGAGTCCTGGAGCAGTGGACGCTCCTTCGGCAGGTGTATCTTCGGCGACTGCTTCGGGTGCTTCGACCACTTTCCTCTTCTTGCGTGGACGACCCTTGGGTCGTGAGTCGCGTCTGGCTTCTGGCAGACCCAAGCTCTGACGCAGTCTTTTACCGCTGGGCGCACCACCTCGAGCCCCGCCACGAGCCAGTGTTCTTCTCTTGCGGGTGACTAGCTTGTTGCCATCGGCATCGGCATTCTTGTTTGCATCCTCCTCATTCTCTTCCCCACTGCCTTCCTCCTCAAGCTCCTCCTCGGTTGGGCGGGCGTATGCGGGACGTCGGTTCAGCCTGGTGAGTCGAGCTGTTTGTTCTGCCTTTTCTCTCTTTGCGCGTGCGGCTGCCTCTGCCTTGTCTTTCTTGCTACGCGCGCTTTCCTTTTCTATATAGTCTGCGCGCTCTTCTTCCCAGCCCTCGGGTGGGTGGTAGACTTTGATGTTTGTGACAGGCACAGCATCTTGGTCGCCACGGCGCGCTTTGATGGCTGACAGAGCTTCCAAGAACTTGGCCTGACTTGTGCGCTGAGCACTGGCAGTAGAGGGGAGGCCGATGCGCAAGCCTTGGGCTGAGGTGTGCTCGATCACGTCTCCTTCAGCTGTTGTGTATGTAGTCTCTGGACCGGCATATGCGGCTTTTATGATGTTCGGAGGCGCAGTCTCTCGCGGTTGAATAGTGGCCGGTATGGCTACCAGACGAGCAGCGCTTGTGCCCAAGACGTCGAATGAAGGGGTGGACCTTAAGGCTGCGTGATCGGGGTCGAAGTCGGTGGGCGGCGGGGCGAGGAAGATCTGGGTGGCTAGATCGGTGGCCCACTGGCACGAGTAGATGGAGTTGTTGTAGGAGATGATTGGGTTCCTGTCATGCAAGCCGACAATTTGCATGCGCTCGGTGGTTGTGTCTGCGCCATCTCCATCGCCGTCCTGAGCTGCGCCATCCTTTGTGCCTGTTTCGGAAGTGCCAGGAGCATTGGCAAGACTCTTGTTCGAGCCACGAGTAGTCGACTTTTGGGCCTTGGTGCGTCTGTCCCTAGCAAGGGCTGGCGGGATGTGTGTTGTCAAGTCGAGAGTCAAGTAAAAGTCGTCAGTCGCATTGGTGTCGTACTCGTACTCCCACTCGGACTCATCCTCCGAGCCTGCCATGTTTGTGCTTGTCATGGTTCCGAAGAGATGGCATGCTTATTCGATTCGCATGTTCGTGTTCATGGCAGCTTCAAGCTGGAGGCTCAAACAATTTGGTGATGATCAAACAGAGAAAGCCGGCGGGCCGGGACTCGGAAGCAGATGCTAGCGCCATCCGGCCTTAACTCCTGCATCGACCGAGGGTGACGATTTGTCTCTTCGGCATTTGTCAACACGACTCGACTTGACGTTATTGCTGCCCTGCATCCTGTTTCGGTGACCTGTCTGTTCCTCTGTATATCTTCTCATCTTCTCACATCCTTCACATCAATTGTCGGTGGCTCGACAAGTTCTCGCTCGATTCCAGAAGCTTGTCCTTCGTCATCGCCCCGCATCCCGAGGCATCCGCACAGGGTCCAATTGCGCCTCTCGTCGCGACACCATCGAGTACGTGTTTGCTTACCGCTCTTATTGGGCATGTTGCTGTCGTGTTTCCGGGCTATGCGTTGTTTTAGCGTAGTGCCTTTTGCATTCTGCTATTGATTCTTGTTGGCATTGCTTGTCTTTCTATGGCTGACGTGTTTTCCTTGCCTTGTTTTTACCACAAAGCTTACTTGTCGACACTTGCGTCCGTCCAAACACAAATTGCTCGAACGATAGTTATGACTCTGTCTTCTTGTAGCATGTGATTACCTATACGGACTCTTGCTGACCCGTGCATCCGGATGACAGTGGATTCAGCTGCCTGCAACGGCGGACTGGATGACCAACCATCATCTACCACTACTCTCTCCTCCTGTTCTTCACCACACTGCACTGCTGCCACTCTCCTACACGGCAGACACACCTCTTCCCATGCCCCGAAGCAAACTCATCACGCTCGCTCCAAGAACACTTCTGCTGCACAGGCTGTAATGTGCAAAAGCTGGATGCAGCCCATGGCTGTTTTGCCTGCCATACTATGCTGCTTAACACTGACATCAGCACATCCACATCCAGGCAAGGTCGACCATGTTGCCACCAAAGCTGAAATCCCCAGCTGGACTGGAAACTCCCTGTCGTGGGTGAATAAACAGACTTGTCGATGGCTGAGCAATTGTGGAACATCGGGCTCGAGTGGCGAAGATGCGCCTTACCAGAACGTACAATCGAACCAGCGAACGCTTCTATCACAGGCACAACTCCAGAACTTACCGGATACTTCGTCTTTCTGGACTAGCGGTCTCGAAACACTAGAACAATGGTCAAGAGAAGAACACCTTTCCCGAAAGATTCCTCAATATGTCTACGACTATACACCATATGTTCATTTGTTCTCGGGAGAGCAATTCTGGCCGTGCGATATCGCCGAACATCTTGTTCACACGTCACCTTACGCAAACTACACTCTTATACGGAGCATGGAAAACGACAGAACACTTGACAATCTCGATGAGCTTAACGCGTATGCTCCCTATGCGTATTTGAAGAGCGAGGATAACGTGGAAGAACGACCGGATTGGTTAGGCGGAAGTTCAAACATACCTAGAGCACCTGAAGACTTCTACGATGTACATTCTGATCAAGTATTGAAGAACCCGCCGCTCAAGCCAGGACCTGTGCGAGGTCAGAAACAATGGAACTATTTCAGCAGACATGGTTCTGAGAACCGCGGCAAGCCGTCAGACCGTCTGCAAGAACGTGGAGGGCATAGCTCTGCACCAGCAGTGCTCATTGTTGTGCCTAAGGAAGACGGGGTAGTCGACGCTTTCTGGTTTTACTTTTACAGCTACAACCTTGGAAACAAAGTACTGAACATCCGATTCGGTAACCATGTAGGAGACTGGGAGCATTCAATGGTCAGATTCCGTAACGGTACTCCCGAAGCAGTGTACATCTCGGAACACGGAGCGGGAGAAGCATACGCATACCACGCAATCGAAAAGTACGGCAAGCGACCAGTCATCTACAGCGCAACAGGCACACACGCCATCTATGCAACACCGGGGTTGCACCCGTACGTATTGCCGTGGGGGCTCTTGCACGACCAGACTGATAAAGGGCCGCTATGGGACCCGAACTTGAATCACCATGCGTATGTGTATAACCACACGACTCGACACTTGAAGTCATCGGCGCAAACACCATATGCACCGGTGAGTTGGTTCAACTTCAAGGGCCACTGGGGAGACAAAATCTACCCCACGAGCGACAAGAGGCAGTACAGATTCTGGGGACAGTATCACTATGTCAGTGGACCGTTCGGACCTAGGTTTAAGAATCTAGGACGTAAGAAGGTGTGCCAGCGTATGCAAGCACAGTGCATAATAAGACACTGGCTTGGAGATGAGGAAGGTAGCGACGATGGGGAGAAGAGGTTGCCAGGAGAAGAAGTAGGGGATGAGGTAGAGGGTCCAGAGACGACAGAGTAGCGGACGGGAAGATGCATGGAAAGAATGGACATGACACAAGTTTCAGGATTTGCAGCCGTCTCGGTGTATATAGGTATCTTTTGCAGCAGCGATGGGGAATAAAGCTTATCAAGGTTTCGATGTTATCTAACGCCAACACAATTAGGCTTGTGGCTAGTGCGTCACGCAGGCTCACGAGGAAACAGGCAGGAATGGTGCCATGGGCTCAGCAGCGAATCGTGACTTGTTGGGCAGGTGCATGAGTCGACAGTGATGGTTTCGATGATTTCCCACAAGCCTTTTGTCTTGTTTTGCTGCCTTGCTGATGGGAATGATCGAATACTGATGCTGTTGTCTGTACATCAATAAACGGTGGATAAGAAGCAATACCTACCCCAGATCGACGGCGCATACTCGAGCAACAAGCAACATCAACTGCAGCCAACCCAAAGCACACGTTGCTTGCGCCTTTTCTCCTGAGAGGAGTCGAACCTCCATTCTAAGCTACAAACAACCACCCAACAGACATGGCATTTCGACAGCCGCTCCAGCAGCGGCGCCAGATCCAGCGACCGGCATCCATCCCACACTCTCTCGTGGCCCACGACGCCACACATCACGGACGTGTGGATGAGTCGCAAGAGTGGATCCTCTTTTCACCACAACTCGAACACGCACCCTCCTTGACCTCGTATACATCGCAAACATCACATATCCAACAACCGACCGGCTTTTCCGACTTTGGCTCCCTTGGGACTGGCGACCGCTCAAACCAAAGGCAAGCCAACGACGATGGTGAAGCCACATGCCAGGGCACCGAGATCGATGAAGAGGACGAGGAAGAGTTGGACAGTCTAGATGACGGCCTGCATGCCTTCCATCCATCATTCTCTCTCGATCAGAGTGGTGGTGCAGTGCTGCCCAACCATGATGGCATGGGCTCTTTCCCCGCACTCTACCACAACAACGACAATGTTCAAGAACATCTATGGCAGTTTGAGAGGTACAACCCATCCAATCGACGACGAGCCCAACGAAGGCGCAGCAGTGTGCAGCGCAAGTTCGATGCTCTAGAGGAACTGGAAACGGACAAGCAGGAGGAGAGACGACTCCGGGTTGAAAGATGGCGCTTGGAACAGAGTCGTGCGGTGCTTGAGGAGATTGAGAAGGAGACACGCAGACGAAGGAAGAGGCTTTCGATTGCTTCGCGAGCTGCTGCTTCGACTGCTGCGCCAGTTACAGATACCGAGACCGAGTCGTTCTGGCAGCGTGTTACTCGCAGAGTCATTAAGGATCTCATGGGCTTGGATGATACCACTCTTTCCGTCATATTTGGCGAAGAACTCGCTCCAGCAGCTCAGACGACGCCTACTCAGCAATCTCCCTTGACCGAAGTCTTCTCTGCACATCAGGATCGAGTATGGGAGAACCGCCTCCTGAACAGGATTGCCAAAGAGCTTGGAATACTTGCCAACCAACTCGCCGAAAACGACCGACAAGATCGCACCTTTAGTACCTATATGCCTTACCAGGTTGAACATTCTACACCATCGCAACCGCGACAGATCCCACCCTCAACTACAACAGCTCACTCTGTTGATGCCCCTCAGTCTAGCTCTGCTGCTCCACTNTTTGCCCCTACCTTCGCAAACCCTCCTATATCACCTGCCGTCGAAGCAGACACTTCCTTATGGGGCATCCCAGAACAACCGCAAGAACCAGCCGAGGAACAAACCCAATTACAGGAACAAGACCATGAAACAGAATACTGGGAGCGCGACTTGGACATTGGAGTGGTATTCCGATACCTCCGCAGCCGCTTCACATCACGTCCGCCATCGCCATCTCCTCCCGAATCGCAACCGCAGCCACAGCAACAATCGCAAAGCATTTTACCAGCAGACTGGGCATCTCCCAGCAATGCTGCCGTTACAGCTTCGGCTCTAGGCACTTCTCCAGAGTCGCGACGTCGAGCCGATCTCATCAGGCGACATCATCCACTAGTATCTCACGCAGCCTCGGTGTCAGCACAGCGTAGACGAGAGAGTGTCTTGTTGCACACACTCATGCATCGACGAGCACAGAGCAGCAGCTGTGCTAGCCAGAGTACCAAGCGTACGCGCTCTGGAGGTTCGCGTCGCTATTGGGATTTTCCGAGTAGCACGGGCAGTGTGGTCAGTGTTGGAAGCACCGGCGATGGTGTTTTGGGAGGTTGGGGTGAGGTTTGAGCAATGAGTCGAGGCGGGACCTGGCGTTGCATTTTCTTCTTGTACGACCGGAACGAGTGATTTGGATCGGGTGCTCACGCATATGTCATGTTCTCGTTTGCATTTGCATCTTGTGTGTTTCCCAACTCTTCTCTTTTGCCATGGACTTTTTTTTTCCTTTTTCCATCTCCTCTTCTTCGCAGCATTATATGACAGTATTCGATTTAGAGGCCTCAGACAGAGATATCACCAGAAATCTAGAACAATCTCCCATCACGAAATACCCCAATGTCCTCTTTTTGTCAAAGTAGTTTCTTTCAAGTGTTTTCTATCGACTATCTTGTCATGATACAACAATGAGAAGCCAAACAAGTCTCAAGACGTAACCATCTGCCTCTTTTCCGGAGCGAGAACGTCCTTCAACAGAGGCCGGTAAGAAAACTCCTTGACCAACGGTCGATGAGACAACCTAGGAGCTTCCTTGTACACCTCGTCTGGCTCCACAATTTCCCGCCCCTGCTCTCTTCTCTGCCGTCTACTCTGCTGCTCGGCCAAACTCTGCTCCATCTTTGCCCTCCACCTCTCCATCACCGCAAACTCCCTGCGGTACTTTTCGGTGGTAAACAGAGATTTTACCGCTTGTCCCAACTTCTCATTGTGGACGCATTCGTTGCGGTAGTGGAGGATGTAATCCAAGACTTGTAGGGTGGAGGGGCGGGTTCAATGATGTTATCCTCCATTTCTTGAAGCAATTCGTTGCAAGTTCCCACGTCTGAGAATTTGCGGAAATGGAAGGCGAATAGTTGGTTGTAGAGGTCTGCTGTGGCGGCTAGTGCGTAGGCGGAGGGACCCAGTTGTTTTATGCGCGGTAGAATGGCGAGGATGAGATTGGAAGTGGGAAAGAAGGTGCGGAGGACGGAGGCGGCTTTGATGAGATGAAAGGGAAAGACTTGCATGAGGAAGCTGCGGCGTTCGGAGGAGATTGTTGCAGAGGTAGGGGCAGGACTGTCGAGGTGCAAGAGGCCGATTTCGCGGAAGAAGTTTGTCTCGAGGATTTCCCAGAGCTCGGTGTCTGTGGATGCGACGTGGATGGCGGTAAGGAGGCGTTTGTTGTTCTCGGCGAGTTCTCTGAATATTGAGGTGTTTGATCCTTGTGGTGCTGGCTCCGGCGCTGGCTCTTTCTTATTTGCTACTCTCTTGACGGACCAGTGCATTGGATCTGTCACGTCCGAGTGCCGTAAAGCAAAAAGGGCGCGTTTGTCTTCGCGAGTGATTGGTATCCAGTCCGTCTTCTTTTGCTCTTTGGGGCGGGATACCGCTGTGTCTGGAGCAGTGGTGAGACCGAGACTGTCATTTTCGCTCTTTCCAGGAGTTCTCCGGGCCGCTGTTGCATTTGCTGCTTGTGAGCCACCTCTTGATCTTTTCTTTGTGGACGTGGGATTTTGTTCACGGCGTTGGATCTGTTCATGCTCCATGACCTCGATGGCAGAAATCGCTTCGTTGAGCACATCGTCTAAACTCAATACGGATTCCCTCTTCCTGGCAACGGGTCGCTTAGGAGCATTGGCTAGAGCTTCGAGTTGGGCGAAAGCATTACGCTCTGTCCCTGTAAGAGACTCTCCTTGAACGGTTTGTTGGACGACGGCCGACTCTGTCGCTCTGGAAGTTTCAAAGGGCACGAAATCTTCGTACTCTGGCGTTTTGGGGGAAGGAGCGGTAGTGGGTGTAGGTTCTCTGGGGATCTTTGATTTTCTGAGTCTGATGTTCCGGACGGGCGTTGGGGCGTTCTCGTTGGCCAGGTCTTGTAGTGCGCTGTAGTAGCGGCGCAGGGTGGGAGTCTGATAGAGAAAGGGCAGTGTATATGCAGATTTGGACGTGTACAACTTCAAGCCTCTGCTGAGAGCTTGACCAGCATTGGCGCATCCAGACATTTCTTCGAGTGTAGAATGGTTTGAGTAGTGGGTGATTGTGTGGCGACAGAGTGATTGTGCCCAGGTTTCCAGCTCTTTCGTACGGTTCCCTGCCTGTCCAGCAGGCGGTTATATCCTTGGTTTGCAAAAATGGTCGTGGTCGCGGTATAGCATTGTCTTGATTACCATGGCGAACCAAAAGTGTTTTCGGTCGGCATCTCGGATGGACAAAGGCCGCTGCTGCACGTCACCGAAACGCGACTTTGACTTGATTCGCGTCTCCCTCCTCGACTTTCTCGAGCCTGCCAAAGTGCCAATCTATACCATCACCATGCCCAAGAAATCTGCCGCCGAGCTCAGCGAATATGAGCTGCAGCGACAGGAAAACATAGCNAAAAACCAAGCTCTGCTCCGCCAATTGCAACTCGAAGCTGCGTCCGCTGGTATCGCGCCCAAGAAAGCCTCACGCGCCACCCCCGACAAGTCTGCCAAAAAGAAGAAGACGCCCGTACAAAAAGTAAAAGAGGAAGTCCAGCCGCGGAGAACGTCGAGTCGACTACGCGGTATTGTTGCAGATAGCGAGGTCGCAAAGAGAAAAGCAGAGGAAGAGTCGGAATTGCTAGCTCAAGCCGAGCGAGCCAAAAGACAACGCGTTTCTGAAGACTTGCGTTTCTCAGATGTCGTTGTTGCAGGAAAGGACTGGGATCAGAGTGGCAACTTCCTGCGACTGGTCGGACCTGCCAATCCGGGCGAAAGAACATTTAGTGCTCAAGATGTCAAGGAAACTACCGACAAGGAATTGAAAGAGCTTCGAGAACGCATGAGCAATCTGGAACTGTGGGAAGGCTTCGAACCAAACAGGATCAAAATCACTCCCGAGAGGATTTACTCTCTGGGCTTCCACCCGACCACCGACAAAGCTCTGGTCTTTGCTGGAGACAAGCTGGGAAGCTTGGGTCTCTTTGACGCCTCCCAACAGCCTACTCCTGCTGTGAAGAACGAAGACGATGATGAATCAGACGACGAAGAAGCCAAGCCCTCGATCACCACCCTCAAAGTCCACACACGCACAATCTCTGCCTTCCAATTCTCCCCTCACGACCAGAACGCTCTATACTCTGCCAGTTACGACAGTTCGATTCGCAAACTCGACCTACAGAAAGGTGTAGCCATCGAAGCTTACGCACCCATCTCGAAAGACGATGATGAGCCCCTCAGCGGTGTCGAGATGTCACAATTCGATCCCAATACTCTCTTCTTCAGCACCTTGAACGGAAACTTTGGTCGTCACGATACAAGGTCCAAACCAGGCAGTGGTACCGACATCTTCGCCCTGTCAGAAAAGAAAATCGGAGGCTTCAGTCTCAATCCCGCACACCCTCACATCTTCGCTACCGCATCACTAGACCGCTACCTACGCCTCTGGGACCTGAGAATGCTCAAAGGAGATGGAGATGATAGAGCGCCGGCAGAGATTGGAGCCCACGAGAGCAGATTGAGTGTTTCTCACGCAGCCTTCAACTCGGCAGGCCAGATCGCTACAGCCAGTTATGACGATACAGTAAAGATTTACGACTTCAGCAGTGTTGGGTCAACGTCCGCTGGCACAGAGCTGAATGATGAGCAAATGACACCAACGACCATAGTTCCTCACAACAACCAGACCGGCCGCTGGGTTACCATGTACGTATATCCCTTTCTCTTCTCGAGCCCTTTACTGACAGAAACAACACAGNNCCTTCGCGCACAATGGCAACTCCAACCAGCCGACAACATCCAGCGTTTTGTCATCGGAAACATGAACAGATTTGTAGACGTGTATGCCTCAAACGGACAGCAACTCGCTCAACTCGGAGGCGATGGTATCACTGCGGTGCCTAGTGTTGCACAATTCCATCAGAGTAAAGATTGGATAGCTGCGGGTACTGCTAGTGGAAAGATGTGTTTGTGGATGTAAGGAAGCATAGAGCGCAAGACGAAATGGATATTGCATCTCTTGGTGTTTGGGCATGGCAATAGGTCTGGAAACATGGTCGTTGCAGACACGATATAGCGTTCTTCCCTCGAAATCTATCTTTTTTAATGCAGAAAGTAATTGTCTCGAGTCATGACTTCATCTATTGAAAAGACGTCATCTCTTTTTGCGCGACTGCATACATCACATTAAGGGATGGTTGTGGTTGTACGTGTTTGAGGATGAAGCTCCAAGGTTAAGCATATCAAATCATACAAATCCGAATATCTCAACCACAACCACAATAGCTAGCACAAAGAGCCAATCAAAGCATTATGAATACGTTCAATACTTCCACTATAGATCATAAACAAGATGAATACAAAGTTGAACCCAGAAAACCTCGAAAATATATCTAGATGGTATGTCAGTGGTGTAACCCTGACGCCACCACCCTGATCACCAGAACAATACCCTCCATCTTCCCCCCTGCCTACACTCACATTCCATCTTCCTTGTTCACACATCTACACACAACCCTCCAAAATCCCAAAACTTGCCGCAAGAAAATCTCAAAAAGGGAACTCAATGGACCTCTCACTTCCNCCCACCTATCCCGACCTCCTAGCAGACAATCTCTCTTACTCCTGGTCCAACGCCTCTTTCGCCTTGTACACTCTCCTCTCAATCTCATCCTCAAAACTCCAAGCTATTGCGAACGTCTTGGATGCAGAATGGTACCAAAGCCAAGGAAACGAGGGTTCTCATCTCGTCCGTGTTGCTCCCTCTCCATTCCACAATTCTCTCAGCAGTATACTATCTACCCATGCGGCACTGGACAAGATGGCGCCAGGGCAGAGTGACTCGCAATATGATGCAAAAGATTTAGAATGGTATCCTACTGCGTTTATTGTGGTCACGGCGGAAGATGTAGATGATACAGGGTTGCTTTTTGTCTACGTCGACGATGAAACCGAAGACGACGACGAGACTGCAGAGTGTAGGACGGACAAATTCTTCTTCAAGCAGGAAGATGCAAATATGATGTTGTCGAGTCTGGTCTATGATGACGATACTTGTGCGAGGTCAAAGGAAATATATGGATATTGAACATGTCTTTTTTTTTTTCCCAAGCAAAGACGATATTTGTTTTTGATACATGAATGCTCGTGATAAGAACGATGCAGCCATCGAGGAAGAACAACGATACGTCGTCTTCGTCGGGCATCATAGTGATGTGGAATCATCCTGAAACCCCTCCCTCCTCAAGTTTCCCTCAATCGTCAATGAAAAGTCTCAATTTGTCCGTTTCCCCCAAACTCCTCGCTTCAAAGCAAATATATTTGAAACCCCTTGAATCATCAACAAGCCTGTTCTTTTCTCTTCCTAAGTGTGGGTGCTCGCACTGCCCGTCTTGGGTTGGAACCGACCGCGTTCTATGCGTCGTTCTTTCCCATAACCTTGGCGGCTTGCACGGCGTTCATCTTTTGAGTCCATCCAGGTGCTGGCTGGAATTTGCGCACTGTGCGAACTTCGTCTAGGGAGTAACCAGGGACACGAATGTTATAGTTGCGCTCGAGGATGATTTGGATGTCGCGAATGTCAAGAGTCGAGTTGGGGCGGATCTTGGCCAGGCGGCAGGCGGCGGTGATAACGCTATCGACGAAGTCATCGGCGAGAGTGAGGACGGATTCTTCGACATCGGGAGTAAGACCATCGCCTTCGCCGCCACCTGTAACTTGTCTGACCAGCTCGTCCAACTTCTTCTTGCTCAGCACGCGGTCTCCCTCTCCCTCGAGAATGAAGTGAGGCGTCTTTTGAACGGCAGGTTGGCCCATCATGCCAGGGGCACCATTGCTGGGACCACCGAAGGTAGGACGAGCAGGGCCAAGCGGTACGGGATTGTGGGTGCCTGTGGTTGGCAGATTCTTAGGGATAGGGAACTTGGGGTTGCCAACGTTGACAGCTTGCTGAGTGTGGTTGAAAGCCTGGCCGCCAGGCTGAGAGGTGGGAGTGCCACCCTGTACTTGCTGAGCTGAGTAATTGCGCTGGGCTTGGTTGATGGCATCGGCGTGGGAGAGAGCTTGAGGTTGGCCTTGAGGAGCGGGTGATTGGTAAGGCTGCTGCTGGTTGGGAGGACGAGCGATGGGCTGCTGTGGCTGCTGCTGCTGCTGCTGCTGAGGATGCATAGGGCCGTTCGATTGTTGTTGCTGCTGCTGGAACTGCCCGGCAGGACTCATGGCCGAACCTGGGTTGTTAGCTTGAGCTGCTTGGTTGTAAGGTGAGGCGACCTGTTGCTGAGGCGCGGGAGTCTGCGAGTTGTTTTGCTGCTGCGGCGGCTTCGACTTTTCGGCCCAAGACAGACGGTTCCTCTCGTTCTCATTGCGGACACCGTCAATCTTGGACTTTGCGTCTTGCACACCCATTTTGGCGGCGTCTCTCGCAGAAACCAGGTCTGGTGTTGGCGTCTGTCCAGCGGCCTCCAATTGTGATATTCTCTCGTGTGTCTGCTGGAAGCGACTAACACTGCTTTCTTGCATGGTAACAAGTCTAGTCAGGGTACTCATAATACGCCTCTTATAGTTTTCGTAGTCCGGAGTGTTGGGAATGATGCTGGTAGGAGGGAAGACCTTGAAGCCGCCGAGGAAGGCCTTTGCTTGTGGGCCGAGAGGAAAGTTACCGGGCACTTGAGGGATCTGCTGCTGTTGTTGCTGCTGAGGAATTTGCTGTTGCGGTTGAGGATGATGTTGTTGTTGTTGTTGCTGGGGCGGTTGTTGCGACTGAGGGTTCGGCATTGCAGATTGCGGCGGCGCAGGCTGCTGCTGTTGCGGCTGCTGTTGAGGAGCGGGTTGCGCTTGCTGCTGTTGAGGTTGCTGGGGTTGTTGCTGGTTTTGCTGCTGAGGAAGCTGTGGGACTTGAGCTTGTGACTGCGGTCGCTGCTGCTGTTGGTTTTGATTGTTGGCCTTCCAGTGAGTGATGGCGCGCATGATCTCCCTGGAGACTTCCTTGATCTTCGCAGTTGCCTTGTTGTACGTCTCACTACCCTGTGGGTTGGCTTCCAGTGCAGTCCACAGCTTGGTCAAGCCTTCGGTATATGTAGCTTTGTCCTTGGCCGAGAGCATGGGGATATTTGCGATCTTCTCGGGACGGATCATGTCAGGAGGGTAGGCCGCAGCCGCTTGCGGTGCGCCGCCTGGTTGACTCATGATGAAGGAGGCGTCACTTGTGCCAGCTTTCCGAGTGAAGGTGATAGAACTGAAAGTGATGTGTGCCCAGGGATTGGCACTTCACAAGCGCTGGCGTAGTGATGATGATGGAGGTGGTGAAGAAGGAAAGCGCGCCTGTCACTTTCACGCTACTCCGCGAAGTCGCGAATGCTCGCTGTTGCACCTGCCAAGAAACGAACCATCTTCTCTCCCATGGAGCCCGACAACTTTGAAACGAGAATTCAATTCCTTTCATATCAGACCACTCTTGTTACTTAAGTGTCTATGTACCTCATCTGCCGCAATTTTGACAATCTTCTTTCCTCTTCACATCCCATTGGTATGCTCAAGACAAGTCCTGCCCGTCTAGCTTTCTTAGTATTACAATTCATCGATTTCCATTCTGACCCTTTACTGGCTTCTACCTCTGAGCAAGCCAGCAGCGCATGTGTTATTGGACCAACCGAGAGCAAGGTTGTCCATGAACCAAGAAACAGGTTCATCGTTGGCAGAAGCCTCAATACGAAGACCACTCAGTCCCTTCATAGACGAGTCAAAGTAGACCTTCTTGAGCTTGCAGTTGTCGGGTAGGAGACAGGGGAGAAGAGAGACGGTCTGGTGGATTGCTGCCACTTCGGACTTGGTTTCCTCGTGGTAAACTAGACCTGTGATCTGCAGCTTGCATTGGTAGGCAGAATGGTTATCGCATCCAAGGTAGGCGCTACGAGCATTGAACCAGAATGCACTTGAGCTTCTACGTGTGCCGGCACCAATCTCACCAGAAACTTGTCCTCCCTCGCTGTGATTGTCGTTGTCGCCAGTCTTGTTTGCCACGAACATGACAAGACGAGGAGAGGAGACGGGCAAGAAAGGCAGAGTTGGGGGTGGAGCGTAAACAAAACCGTCCGAGAAGTACATGTGGTGGTAGGGATTGAAGACAGGCGAGGCTTGACTAGGTTCAGTGATAGGGTCTGTAGGCAAGAAGTCGGGCTCATCATCCCACTGATCGTTCGTGTCAGCTATGTCTCATCAAGAAAATGGTGAGTACTTACAGTCAACGTAAAGTCACCATGTTCACCACACATGGTGGGAGTTGAAAGAGAGCTCGAAGTGTTGGTGTACATCTTGGTCAAGGTTGACGAGGTACGCGAGAATGCAGCAGGTGCACTCAAAGAGATAGCAGGGACTGGCATGAAAGGGATGTATCCGGTAGCAGATGCCATAGTTGAGCTGGCATTCTTGCCATGGCGGTAGGCTGATGAGAGGACGATGGGCGAGATAGCAGTGGCTGTCATTTGAGAAGCAGCCCCAACAGAAAAAGGCGACATGACCGAATTAGTGAGAGTCGAGACAGTGCCCGATGGCTTGTGAAGAGAACCGGTAAGAGTCGCGTTCCAGGCAGATGCAGCCCAAGCGAGAGAACTGAGATTGCCAGCACTGTTCATGGCGGAGGTGAAGCCGGCAGAAGGAGTAGCAACGACAGTATAGATAAGGTCGGTGGTAACATCGACGTAGCTGACAGAACAGACTGACTCTGAGGTGCTTGCAAACTCGACAGTGATTGTAGTAGAGGTTGGAGGTCCGGTCAAGGTGTGGATCGAGTGAGGAGCAACAGTCTTGGAGCTCTTGGATGACAAGTAAACAGTCAGGACCGAGATGACGCTCTTAGTCAGGTAGGAAGTGACTGTCGAGGTTGAAGTATCCTCGCTCGAAGAACCAGCCAAGGCTACGGAGGATTGTGGTAAGAAGGAGGTGACAGCGGGGGCGTGATGGTAACGACCGTGGTTTGGGTAATGGTGACNCTCAGGATCACCGACAGGGGTAGGGAAGACGGTCACCTCGACAGTCTGGGTGAGGAACGAGCTGAAGCTGCCGGTGGGAGAGATGCCATTGATCCAGCTGGTCGTGCCATCCTGAGCAATGTAGGAATAGCCCGAACCAGAAGGCAGCACATCGCCAGAAGAGACAGGGCCAGCAGCAGACTGCGAAGGAGCCACAGTCACATAGTGGGTCAGAGTAGAGTAGCTTGTAATAGTCGAGAGCGACTGCATGGGAGCCGAGCCGACCGCCGAGGGAAGAGTAGCCTCGCTCTGGCAGAACGAGACGGTGACCGTCTCTGTGACAGGCTCGCAAGAAGACAATGCGCTAGGAGATCATGTCAGCAAGGATCAGAAATGTAGAACATACGGCACGATTTGTGAAGTCACATGCGCGTGTGTTATGGACTTACTTCTGGGTCTCGCCAGNNTGGCAAGAGAAAAGCCAAAGAGGCTCAATGCCACGAGAGAAGTTGCAAGACGCATGGTGAGGCCAATAGATGGGGCAACGAATGACTTGGGCAAGGAAGAGATCTGAAGAACGAGTGTTGTGCTAAGTAAATAAGAAAGGGAGATGCGGAAAAAGGTAAACGAGGAAAGTGCGAACAGTGACGGAATTTGGACTGGCAGGCGCACTCGGTCGGTCGTTGGTGACAACCAATCAAACCGCCATAGCGATAGATGGTTGTGAACCTCCGTTTGTGCTGTGGCCCGTCTCTCCCAGAACCAGTAGCAGCTTTTGCATCTTGATGCATGACACCAAGTTGGACGCTTTCTGGCGGCATCTTGTGAGAGTTGGTTTACTGGCTCTCGTTGAGCCTACCTCCGACAACATCAAGCATCATTTCCTTCTCTTTCCTCCTACCTGTCACCTACATTATTCAACTCAGTTGTCTTCACTTTCACACCCTTGAACTATGGCATACCACTGGACGCAGGTCTACCCCTTCCACGATTTGGAAGCGATCGTGCGTCCATGTGAGGGTTCCTGCATCAGTACCACTAGATAATCTCGAAGTCGCCCTAGCCCGGTAGCCTCGTTTGCTCGTGGAACTCCCGGGATGACAATCCGCAAATCCAGGAACAGGACGTCAAGATATCAAAGCCGAACGGTGACACAACAGTCGCCGATTGACCATGTGTCAACAAAATCTCCGGATCTTGTATGCCAGGAACGAAGAGTGTGGTTTGAACAGGAACAGCTCGTGCGGCAAGCTGCACGCGTGACGCTCTCTGTGGCGGTGAGAAAGCATATGGCTGTTGTGCGACCGAACGGGGCTCGATGCCGATAGTCCTAACAATTGGCCATGTTTTTAGACAAAGAGAATTGATTCCGACTGCTTCAATGACCAAGTTCGGGAGTCAGTCAAGTCTCTCCGAGAAGGAAGATGATACGCCGATGAACCGCATCCTGGTCGGGTTGGGGAATGATGGGCCTGAAGGAGAGCGAGTTCGACTCTTGCTACGACGAAAACAGCCAGGACCAGTCGATGCCTCATGGTCGCGCATCTTTCGTGTGCTCGAGTAAGGTGAGGCAGGCTTCACGATGATTCATGCCATCCATTTCCATCAAACACGATCAGGTCCGAATCGTGACTTCTTTTCGTTCCAGGTCGACGAGAAGAGCCGACAAAATACGATGAATCCAAGCAAAAGCCGAACACATACCGCTATCGCATTTCTGCTATCTACTATGAGGTGGAGCACAGGTGGAGACCGGCCAAGATAGCCTCCTGCTGAAGGTGAGCGTGATGAGCAGATGGCATTGCGAAGTCGCGCAGGTGACCAATCGGCTCACATGGTCGAGCGCTGTCGGACTCGAGCAAGAGATATCATCTCACAAGCCCGCCCGAGCACAAGGCTTGCAAGACACGACGAGAAGCAATCCACCAGCGGTCTACAGTGCGACGGTTTTCAGCTCGACAAGCAGCGGTTGTTAGCGTTCGCTTCCTCGATTCCCCTCTCGACACCTTTTTCTCCCGCAACGCTCCGATCCTCCTCCGCCTATTCTCCCTCTGCCAACACTGCCCCTCTCCACACCCCACCACCAACTTCTCCTGGTCGGCAACCTGGCCATGAGCGTCGAAGAGAACACGCCTCACAGGCGCTCGAGCAGCGCCTCGTTTGCTCAAAACATGTCGAGGGACTTTCCCCAGCCAAATTCGGCCGCTGCCTTCGCCGGCGCCCGCAGTCCTCCCAAAGCAAAGAGTATGGCCAGCCGAGCTTCAAAGCCCTCGCATATCTAACATGTGTGTTCAGACACGTCGCATGTGCCATGCAAGTTCTATCCGTTTGGCACCTGTCAAGCCGGTGCGGCCTGTCAGTTCTCTCACGACATGGACNNCCCATGACGCAGAATGCGCCTTGCAAATACTTTGCCAAGGTACTTGCGCCATCGTCGCATGTGTCTGCTCTTGCATGCCACTGACTCGCTATACCAGGGCAGCTGTAGATTCGGTCAAGGATGCGCCCTCGCCCATATTCTCCCCGATGGCCGAGTCATCAACAGGCCTCCTCGCGGCGGCCAGCCCTTCAACTACGGCCGCCGTGGTCCTCAACCATACGCTCCCGCCCCGCCATCATTGCTCACCATGCAAGCCAATGATCTAGCATCGCAGCAACAACAGCAGCCGCAAGAGATGGGATACCAGAAGCAAGAAGATGTGCCAAACCTTCCGAACCTTGCACCCTACCTTCAGGCTTCACAGCCCCTTTCGCTAGACCCCAGCAACACATTTGGCTCTCCGATGAACGACAACCGCTTTGGTGCCTCGCCCAATGCCAGAGGCCTGAGCGTACTGGATGCGCCCCTGCCCGGTTCCTTCGACAGCCAAGGCATCTCACATGCTGCACGCCATGGTCCATTCGCGTCGTCCGTTCCNTCTCGCCTCGGCCAAGGCCTTGAGTCACCTCCTTCGTCCTTGCCCAATAAAGCGTTCCTTGGAAGTACTCTTCGTGGCCTTGGCGATACTACCCTTGATGGCGTGTTGGCTGGTTCTTCTCCTCCCACCTTCGAAGAGCCCATGAGCTTTGGCAAGAGACCTTTGCACTCGGAGAGATTCTCGCGACCCAGACCCATGATGTCCGCTAGTGTCGGCACGCGGCCTTCATTTTATTCACACTTCCCACCAGACGCCACTGATTCGGAGGAGAGCGAAGAGGAGGGTATTGGTGAGGACCTTCTGCCATCAAGTCTGCACGAGCTTCTTCCTCCGGAAAAATTGCGCAGACCTTCGCAACAAATCGACGACGACATCAATCCCTCCTTCCTGTCCGCTGGCCGTCGCGCAATATCGAACGGACAGATTCCCGTGGACAACAAAGTAGGCAGTGTTAGCCCACACACTGGCAGTCCTTCAAGATATAGCTCAATCTGGTCCACAGGCTCATACCGCAAGGAGGGAGAAAACGGCTTTGGTTCCATTGGATCTCCACTCCGACCATCGTCATTGCGCTCATCGTCACTTGCTGGAGGCGACTTTGGCTCTCTTATTGGCAGTCCACCCAAACAAGCAAGCATGTCGATGCTCACTCGTGAGCTGCAGAGTACCAGGATCTCCGAGAAGTCTCCTTCGTTGCATCCTCGTATGAGTTCCTCTTCCAGCGATTCTCGCGCGGCACTCCGTGGAGGACTTGATAGAGGCATTAGCAGCAACAGTCTGGGCCGCAACGAGACGATCGAAGAAGAGGACCAAGGCTTGTTCTCTATGGAAGAAGAAGACGAGTTCGAGAGCTCATCAAGGAAGCCCTCGGTCTCTCCTATTGGTCTCCTGCCCGGAAAGAGCGAGCCAACCCTTGGACCCATTGGTGGGCAAAGAACCAAGTAAGAAGAAAGAGACGTCCTTTGAAAGAAACCACCTGTCAATATATGTTTTGAAAGGATTGTTTTGACGATTCATGAAATACGGAGGCTTGATTGTTTCACATCATCCCGGCGCTTCAAAAGGGAAAACAAAATCTACATGGACGGAGATTTTGGAAGAGAAACTTGTTTTTTCAAAAAAAAGTAAAAAAAGAAGCATGGCGAGCGAACCGACTACTTATAACTGCTGCTTTGACGAGTTGCATTTTCACCCGGCAGAGAGGATTTAGGAAATCTTTGTTGCATTTATGTATTTATTATCATCATCATCATCATCCAATTCTATACTTCAACCCGACATGACATTGTTCGACGCTTTCTGTCCGGAGTTTTTGTTGATGGTTGCGCAGAATCGATCAATCTAGCAGGTGTTGCCAGAGGAGACCTGAGTGGTGGCTGGTGCATCTGCTCCCTCACGCTTCTTGATCTCGTTGAAGATTTGCAGGAAAGTGGCAGGTTCCTCTGCACCGCCAACCTCGTACATGTTGTTGAAAGTGAAGTGAGGAACACCTGAAGTAGAAGAGGTCAGTATACCGTATCCGGTCACTCTGAGGAAAGCAGACTTACCAGAGATGAATCTCCTCTGAGCAGCAGCAACCTCACGGTCAACCTCAGGACCACCCTTGTCACTCTCCAACCACTCCTTGACCTCGTTTTCCTCAAGACCACCACCAACAGCAGCCTTTGTCAAGACAGCATGATCGGTAATATCCTCATTCAACTCAAAGTAAGCATTAAACAACTTCTCCATGACCCTCGTCTGCGTCTCCTCGCCCTTTGTCTTTGCCAACTGCACCACCCGATGCGAATCCCTAGTGTTTCCAGTCTTGCCGCCATACGCAAACTCAATACCCAATTCACGACCAATCTCCGAGAGACGACCTTGCATCATCTTGACCCTCTGCTCGCCAAACTTTTCGACGTAGATGGTTTGCTTGTCTCTGCTTTGCTTTGGCGCGTCTGGGTTTAGGTAGAAGGGGAACCAGGTTGTGGTGAACGTGTCGTTGGGAAAGGTTTTCTGGTGGTTGGTCATGGCGACTTGGAGGCGGTTTTTGCCCACGTAGCACCAGGGGCAGACGGTGTCGCTGACGATGGAGATGTTGTAGTTTGTCATGTTGCGGAGGGTTGTGCGGAAAGCCAGGGTGGGCGATTGGTTGTTTTTTTTATTGAGTATATTAGACTGTGATGGTGGTTGCGGGATTGAGATATACAAGGAGAGTAGGAAAAATGAGGCAAATGTTTTGGTTCAGGATATTATGGAATTGGATGGAGTTGCTTAATAATTGTCATTCGGTTAGCGCGGAAAAAGAGAAACACAGCAGGAGAGTGGTAAGCGAGTTGTCAGAGAAAGGGAACACGATGGTCGAGTAGCTAGAGTGTTTTCCTTTTGGCTGGAACATCTGACTAAGTTTGCTCTGATGTGTTCATGTATGCCCGTGGTATAGAAGATGTTAGCAAGGAGTAAGGTGGTGCAAGGATTGTCTTGGCTTTTCACATGCCAAAATCATGACGAAAGCGTCGTCTGACGAACCATGACCTAAACTCTCTCGACACACAACATGGCTGATACAAACGAAGGGCCTGTATTTAGAGCGTCAAAGCGAAGAAAGGTGTTTCGAAAGAGACGCGATGACGACGAGACATCCGACGGCGACGTAGCGACACCGACCGGTTCAGAGACAGTGGCGGACAGCAAGCAATATCTAGAGGTCGAGGCAGGGACAAGAGAAGGCAGTGTGTTCTTGAGCCACGTCAGACCGCTGAGCTCAAGGAAAGGCGGCGTAGCTTTTTCGTCAAGCCGAAATACCAATGACAGCGGTAGCAACAGCGTCGTGGACACGAATGCGCCGCCTACACCATTGAACGCCGTCGAGCATGCTCAGGCTCGTTTCGTTGCTCCTACAGGGCACATCGCTTCGGCAGACGACAAGCATATGTGCGTCGCTCTCCTGTTCCTCCGATTTGACAAGTTGCAGAAAAGGCTGACAGTCCAAGGNATGGCCTATGTAGACTCCAAACTGGCCCGCTTGACTCCATCACATGAAGCCGCAACACAACCATCCACACTAGCAGAATCCACTACTACCTCAGGTGCAATAGCACAGCAGCATGTCAACCAATCCTCAGCTTCCCACGGCCACCTCCACCAAGTCGACGTCCCCAAGCCCGTACCAACAGCAACCACAACCCGCTCTCAAAAGCCACCTCGCAAACCACACTGGCGCAATCGCCGCAACAGCGCAGATCTAGCCCGCGACGCAATGGTTGATAAGATTCTCGCCGAATCCCAGCTAAACATCTACGAACCCTCTGCCTCTGCCACCCACTCCAAAGCCCCTGCCGACGACACCCAAGACGCCGACGAACGCATGGCCGAAGAGTTCAAGAGGAACTTTTATGCTGCTGCTGAAGAGAGGGCGGTCAGGAGAACTGCTGCTCCACCTCCACCTACCTTTGGCGCAAACAAATTGGAGAGTATCAAGGGCCCTAAGTTGGGCGGGAGTAGGAGTCAGAGGGCTGCTATGCATGCGGCTGAAAAGGCAAAGACGGCCAAGAAGTAAACAGGAGCATGAAAGCATATGATGATATCCCTTTTTGTCAAAAAAGCTCAGTCCAATACCATATGTGCCATCATCAGAAATGCACAATGCTTGCGAATTGAGCTATACTACACCACCATCTCCTCGAGCCTTACCAGCATAGAATCTCTTCAGTCCCGCCTCTACATCGTAAAAGCCAGTCCTTGCCGTTTGTCCCAAACTCGCTTTGATCCACCCAGGAAGCCTATCTTGTATCCTCTTCTGCATATACCTGTTATCAAACAACAAAATCGCACTCCAATCATTCTTATGCCGGACAGCTCTACCGATTGCTTGATTCACAGCACGCATACAAGTATTGTCCGCAAAATCTCTTGCCGCCGCCGCACCCGCCGAAGCAGCACCTCCAACAGCAACAGCTTTTTCTTCGATATACTTGATTTTTGCCTTTTGCTCTGCCGTGTTTGGGTTTGCGTAGGGTAGACCGACGACCATGACGCATCTCCCCAATTCGTCGGAAAAGTTTATTCCTTCGCTGAGGCGGCCGCCGATGACTGCTAGCAAGAATGCCCCTGTGGGGAGGGTTTTTACGGCGGTGGTGTAGGCATTCAATGTTTCTTCTGTTCCTGTTTGTTGGGTTTCTCTGAAGATTGGCTTTGCTTTTTGCATTCTGGTCCATAGGGATGCTGAGTTTGTGGCTGGTGTCTTTTGCCAGTGGGAGACTACTTGATCCAAGTAACTGTAGCTGGGGAAGAATGCCACGCAGCCGTGAGGAACGGTGGGTAGAAGTTTCAAGATCGAGTCTCCGAGTGCGGTGATTGTGGAAGCGAGGTTGCGGGACGAGAAGCTAAAGTTGAAATCGGTGTTGTTGTGGGATGATACCACCGGGCTGACGAAGAGGTTTGTGGTTGGGATTACGTGACCGCAGGAGAGTGTCGTTATACGTGCTCTGTCGAGGTAGGGGAAGAGTTGGGCTGTGTAGTCGGACANTCTAGTATCACCTCTTGTCAGCGTTTGTGGTGATGGTGACAATATGAGACGAAGGATACTCACGGGTGACATGGTTCCTCCTGCTAATATGACCGCTCTTGCCTCTTCGACGATATCGCGAAAGTGCTCTGATGGGTCCAGGAGCATGTACTTTACTTTTGTCTGCGTTCTTTCATCGCCAACGGTGTAGAACAAACGGCCCTCCCTAGCTGGGTTCGTCAACACCATGAACAAGTTAGTAATGTGCGTGAGCACCGGCACTGTGACTTCCTTCGTCGCGCCATTGTTGTTGAGTTTCTGCTGTTTCTGTTGCTCGACAGAAACATAGCCTTCCACTTTCCTCGCCAACTTGCTTTCTTGCAGGTAGTGCATCAGCTTGTAGAGGTTGATCTGATCAACTCCTTTACCCTTGAGCAAATCAGTGGCTTGCACAGTGCCTTCGTTTCCTGTTTTAGGGTCCAAGGACTGCAAGAAATTGGCGATAGAGTCGAGTAAGCGTACCACTTGGGTAACATAAACTCTGTTCTTGCCTTTGAGACGATTGCGGAAGCGTTGGAGGTAGGCGGTCAGTTGAGCGCGAGCGAGGTGTAGTTGCTGTAAGCTGACTTCTACAGTGTGGATGCCTGAGATTGCATCCATCAAGTTGTGAGCTTCGTCAATGATTATGATGTGATTCTTCAAAGACAAGCCTAATGCTTCTCGGGCGGTCTTTTGAAGAAGAAGTGGGTAGGGCAGTGTGACGANTCTGTATGCATCAGCATCAAAGCGTCTTTGTCTGTCGACGCGACTGGAGAGACTGAAAAAGGTATATACGAGGGTGGCACTAACCTCGCTAGGCTTCACTGCAGGTCTCGTGGCGTAATAAGGACAGACATCCAACTTCTTGCCCAAAGTGCCTAGATCCTCAATATCACGTATCTTTGCCAAAGCATGGTGTTGAAAGTCCAACAACGAGCCTTCATTCTCCTTGTTCGGCACAAACGGACACCTTTGCTCCTTTGGCGTCTTTGCATCTTGGAGTTCGAGGCACCGCTCATTGACCGCTGTCATACTCTTCAGACTCGACACTTTACTGTTTATGCAAAGGTTCTTTCTTGAGCCCAAAGACAGATGTTTCAGTTCCTCGGAAAGTGTGGCTTTCTTCTTGACTTCCTCCTGTACGGCAGGTATGGCGGCTGGCAAGTCTATTCTTCGAAGCTCATTGACAAATTGACTCAGTTGCGAATGTGTGCGCGAGCAAAAGTATATCTTCAGCTCGTCTTCTGCTTCGAGGTCTTCTGGTTTGGGCAGTGAGGAGATACCATAGCCGAGTTTCTGCATTAGTGCTTGCGTTTCTTTAGACAAGCCTAGCTCTGCGTCGCCATTGTTGGAGCGTGAAACTTTGATGCCTTCATCATCGCTTCCATAGTCGTCGAGAGCGAATTGCTCATCGTCAAGGATATCAGCATCTTTGCCGTTGTTGTTGTTGTTCTCGTCAAATTTTCTCTTCTTGGTCAATGGCGGCCCATTCTCTTGTCGATCTCTGACCTTGCACTCGTGTTGTCTGATCTTTTCAAGTCTTGCTTCTAGTTCTGCTCGCTTTTGAATGACTTGATGTTTCTTNNTTTCTTCTCGGGAGTGTTGGACCATCCACTCAGGTTCGTCATCATNCTGTGTAAATTTAGTCCACAGCCAAGAGTCGAACCGTATGCAGTTGGGTATAGTACCTCCTTCAATGGCAGCTATACTATCATCAAACTCCTTCCTCTTATGGTCGCGCAGCCATGTCAATGAGCCACATGCCAAACTTAGAGATTTGCCCTTGAGATGCCTTTGTTAGAAGACTCAATTACATTGCCAGACATCAAGCCATATGCTTACAGTACCTGCCAATTTATCAGAAAGATGTTCACAGGTCCATGTATTCAAACCGTCACTNNTACCAGTCGGAGACTCGAAGATGCCGATTTTACCTTGTTCGATGCAGTCGTACAACGCCCGCATGAATTGCAGCTGGATGTCATAGGGCTCGTACGGATGGTAGAATTTTTCGGCGCCCTCCATGTCTCGTGAAGTAATATGTTATCGGCTAGAGAATCATAGCAAGTAGTGGTACTCGTCGCGTTATGGTTAATGGATGAATTGAACACAGAGAAAGGCGATCAAGTGAAGTCAAGGCCCGGCGTTAGAAGAGAACAGTCTGGACACAAAACAAACATTTGAACGACGAACACGGAATTTCATCCAACAAGCTACTATCGAGTCTATTCAGGAGTAGGGGGGCCGTAACTGAAAGTACTTGTTCTCATAGATCAAGACCAAACTCATGTATGAAGAGTTGCGATAGAGTGCAAGGCCACATTGCGCATTACGAAGGCAACAAGAAGGCTTCACTAACTTTGTTCTTTTAAAATTGCTATGTAATCATGGTGGAAGAGGTATCCAGCAAAAGATTGCGACGGCCGTTACGAAGCAGACAAAGAGAACGGAAAATGATTTCAATGAAGGAACGAACCCAGACCAGACTCCATTTTGGTATAGTAAAAAGAAAATGCAAAAATGCTTTATAAAACAACCAATCCCGTCTTTTTACATCTATGGCGTAATGTCGAACTTCATCTTGACACCCATAGCCGCCAACTCGACGTCCAAGTAACGCAGGACACCAGGCACTGCGACGACAGTGACATCGGAACCACCAACGAACTTGTCACCTCTGCCGTCCTCCCAGGTGTCGCTTCTGGGCTCAGAACCAGTAGCCTTTGTACTACATCTTCTGCACCTGACGTTGCTGGCGTTGACGCCCTTCTTGTGGCCATACTGGTTGACGGTTGGTTGCGCGGAAAGGAAAGAACCGCAGCTACGGCAAATCCACGCTTTTTGGTAATCGGAACAGTTCATCAGACGATCTTGCAGCAGGAATGCTGTACCGTGGGCAATAAGAGAATCTCTCTCCATCTCACCAACACGGATACCACCACCCTTAGCACGACCCTTGATGGGTTGGCCGGTTAATGCTGTGACGGGACCGGTGGTACGGACTTGGAACTTGTCGTTGACCATGTGACGCAAACGTTGGTAGTAAACAACACCCATGTAAATATCGGCACCAAGCTCTTGACCTGTGATGCCAGAGTACATGGGCTCGTTGCCGTAATAGTTGAAACCAGCACGCTTCAGCTGGTGACCAAAGTACTCGACGGCGGTTTCGCCTGCTGTGTCCTTGAACTTGAACGGTGTGCTGTCTTGTGCGACACCGTGCAAACATCCAGCCTTGCCGGCCAGCGACTCGACGAACATACCGATGGTCATACGCGAAGGGAAAGCGTGAGGGTTGATGATGACATCGGGTTGAATGCCGCTCTCGCTGAATGGCATATCCATAGCAGGCCACTTCTGTGAGCAGACACCCTTCTGTCCGTGACGAGAAGAGAACTTGTCACCAATGACAGGCGAACGAGGGATGCGGAGTCTAACACTGAGCATCTGGCAGGGTTCATCACCGCCAGTGTCTGTGCCGAGCATCTTAATCTCCTCAACGAAAGCTTCCTCATGGTCCTTGTACTTGTGCAGNNAGTGGGTGATGCCATCACGGTTGACATACTCGCCAGTGATGGGATCTTTGGTGACAGTGTGCGATGCAGCAATGATGTCACCCTCCTTGACTTTCATGCCGACAGCGATCAAACCATCGTCATCAAGGGTTGCGCGCCATTGTGCGCGGACAAGACCGCCGGGTGCGAAACCAAAGAGCTTCTTGACAGCTCCACGACCACGTCTGCCGCCATTGTCCTCTGCGAGATCAATCTTCTTGGTCTTGTAAACGGTTCCGTGACCAAAGCCGCGCTCGTGGGCAGACTTGTTGATAATCATGGCGTCATCCATGTCGTAACCAGTGTATGAGATGACAGCAACAACGGCGTTGGTTCCGTTAGGGAAGTTGTCCAAGCCGTACTCGTTGTAGAGAGGAGGTCTTACGACAGGTGTCTGTCCGGTTTGTAGGCGGTATGATTTGTTGTCGGTACGGTATTTCAAAGCAGTTCCGGGAGTACCCATGGTTTGTTTACCCATCTGACATTGGTANNCCTAGAAGCGATCAGTAAAAGGCGTAAAGTCGATTGTGGTCCATGCTTACATGTTACGAGGAGACTGGTTAAAGTCTGAGAAAGGAGTTTGGTTGGCGAGAATAGAGAGGATGTTGGTGGGGTCGAATTCGACGTGTGTTGAGTCGCCGGAGACAATTTCGGGTTCTGTGCAAGCAATTGACATGAAGGGCTGCTCGAAAGGACCGACAAAGTCCTCCTTACCAAGAGGCAGGTACTTGACGGGTCTGAACATTCTGGCTGCCTGTGAGAACATGTAGACACCAGGGTATTGACCTCCGTTCGAGTTGGGAATGTAACCAATCTCCAATTCGGAAGGAACGCCGTGGGTACCCTCGACCTTCCAGTAGCGAAGAGTGTCTCCAATCACACGAGCTTGTTGGGGAGAACAGAAACCGAGGATACGACCGTCGAGCATAACAACGACGCTGTCCTCGACCGAGGCAGAAGGAGTCTCAGTAACACCGAGTTGTGAGATGAGGCCGGGAATGGCCTTGGTGTCGACGCTCTTTGTGGCAATCTTGCACTTGTGAGCCAAATGATTGAGAAGACCGCAAGGAGAACCATCGGGCGTGTGAACAGGACAGAGGAAACCCCAACTCTCGGGCAACAGCTTTCTGACAGTTGTGGTCTTAAGCTGGGCGAAGAAACTACCTCTGTGAACCATGCGGAAATGACTGATGAAACGCCAGAAGTTGATCTTTTCGGCAACAACGGTGAAACCAGAGGTCTGTTGCAAGTCGAGACCACTGGGTGAGACGAGGTTACCAGTAGACAAGAAGTAGTCCAGAGCCTGTGCCAAGTTCTCGTTGGTTCTGCGAAGGATCTTTGCGCTGAAGTCTCGCTCAAACTCGTCCGAAACAATCGATGCCCAATTGGTGGTTCTGCCCCAGTCACGAAGTTGCAGGCCGATGGAGTTCAGCCACTCCTCGATGCGCTCCTTGACAATCATACCGTAGAGGAAACCAGGCAAGAGAATTTCCTGGTTCTGGACAGCATCAGGGTTGTCGACAGCGCATTCTCCCTCGACAAGAGAGTACAGCTTTCTGGTCATGAAAAGCAGCATGCGGAACTTGTCGGCGTCGTTGGTCTCCTTGTTCTCGGATGTTCCCAAGTGAGGGAGAACAATTCTTCTCAAGAATTCAACACCAGCATTCTCGTCAGACATGTCATCAGGAACACTCAAGACAACGCGGAATTTGCTTCCGAGGTATGCGCGTGTCTTTGCCTGGCCATGAACGTTGTATGCCTTGTATGTGCGTAGCAGAAGTTCAACGCGATCAGTGACAAACTGCTTCTCTTCAATGCCCTTGCTTCCTGCAGGACCGACCAGACCTTCGAAGATCTCGCGGTCATTCGTTTCAACCAGAGCCTTGAAAATCATCATAACGGGGATGAGGTATTCGTTTTTGCGCCATGAGAAACGGAAGGTGACGTTGCCGTCGTTGAGGTAGTGGAGGACGTTGGTTTGCGAGGTCTGGTCGGGTCTGACGGAGCGGATCTGGATACCGAACTTTGTGTAGGTTGCGCCTCTGTTGACGAAAGAGGGACGGATGATGGCCATGGGGTAGTTTCGTCGGTTGACAATGAGCATACGGATCAGCTTCTCGATACCGTTGACAATGAAGTATCCTCCCAGCTCTTCCGTTTCTTCTCTCTTGTCGACAAGCTCTTTTGGTGAAAGGCCCTCGAGGTGGCAGCGATTTGANNCTGCGGATACTGTCAGTAGTAGTCTTCAGACTGGCGACAGGACACGTACACGCAACATGATAGGCAGAGAACCAAACTCTCTGACACTCTCCCTCCACTCGCCCTCGTTGATGCGCCACTCGAAGCGGCCTCTGAAACGACCTCTGTAGGTGCAATGGCGTTCTCTGCACTCTACGGGCAGGATCTCGCGCTTCTTGTCGATCTTGTTGGACGGAGGAAGCATGCTCTTCTCGAGGAAAACCTCCTTCACGCGAACCTGAAGCTTGTTGCGTCTGGGACCGTCGGCCGAGAAGGACTCGTTTGGGTTGCCATCGAAGAAGGTCTTGGTTCCAATGTCGCGGAGAGCATGGTAAAGCTGACCCTTCTCTGCGAAGACGGCGTTGAATGATTGGACATGGGGGTCGACGGCCGAGGCGAGGGTAGGGTATGCCGACTTGTCTGACGGAGGGTTGCGGAAGAGGTTGTGGCGGCGCACCGTGTCGAAGTTGGTCGACCACTTGGCGTTTTCTGTGGGTGATGGTGCCATGGTTGTGAAAGAAGATCGAGGTTGAAGATGGACCTGGGTATTCCTGCTGGGTGCTGGCGGGAGCTCAACCTCTCACGCCCGTGGGTCGGGTGCTAGGTGGTATTCCAGATTTTGACTGGGTGATTCTTTCTTCAGGTGTCCAGCTTCCTACTTTCCTCCAAGGTTTGTCTTCTTCGTCTTTAGACAAGTGGCAGCACCGAGATGGGCGTCGCAGATGTTTTTTTGCTTCGAATTGAACTTCTAGAATTTTAGCGCCGTCAAAGCCGGCCGCGCCAAGCACTCGAACCCTCCGAGGCTCCGTCCTTTTCGCCGCATCTGCTGCCACTGGCCGTTATCGTGCCCACATCGACTGCCCGACTCAAGTGACCTCTTGGCTGTCAGAGGCACCCGACACTCGACGCCTATTGTTCTTACAGCAAGCTTTCTAACGTGACGACTCCTGCGATACTCAGGAATCTGTAACGCTGCTCAAACACTTGAGACTCCGTGACAGCAGTGCCTCGTCTGCGGATAATCCTTCGCCTTGAATCTACATCACCAAGACCTCCAATAAGAATTCGACCCTACCCGAGCCCCGCTTCTGCTTGTGTCCTGCGCGAACTGGCCAAACTATTCGTCCGTGCAACCATCGAGCTGCTCTACTGCTGTTGCCTGCGTCCTAGCTCTTCGACACTTACCTGCAGTGCCTAGTCTGCCAAACACATCATCATGGCAGGCCTTTTCAAGCGTCTCTACGACTGGCTTCTCAGCCTGTTCTGGTATGTTGTCTTTGTTCTTGTCGACGGCCACTTCCTGACATGACATGTCTCTTGCGATTAGNNGGCGACCGAGATGGATGTGACAATGATCGGCCTCCAAAATGCCGGCAAGACATCTCTCTTGAGAGTCCTAGCAGTAAGCAATCCATCCTGCCCTTTGTGCTCGGTGCTTTTTGACTTGATGTTGACGGTATATGTCCAGGGCGGAGAATTTACAATCGAGTGAGTCTGGTTTCGTGGTGCCGTGACGGAACGTCGACTAAACGGTGCCTGCAACGTGACAGCNTCAATACCTACTGTTGGCTTCAACATGAAGAGGGTTACTAAAGGCCATGTAACTTTGAAGTGGTAAGTTATCTTGTCTCTTGCCCACCGACGACGAGGCTCACAGGGCGCNAGTTGGGATCTAGGGGGTCAGCCAAGGTTCCGATCCATGTGGGAGCGCTATTGTCGAGGTGTCAACGCCATGGTGTAAGTCTTACAGTCCTCAGTAATGTGCTTGTGTTGACGCGAAACCAGATTCATCGTCGACTCGGCCGACAAGGAGGCCTTGCCAGTGGCACGAGAGGAACTCCATGTACTGCTAGAGAAGCCCGCCTTGGAAGGTATTCCTTTGTTGGTCCTAGGCAACAAGTCTGACCTTCCCGACCATCTTTCGGTCGACGAGCTTATTGAGGAACTGAACCTCAAAGCTGTGACGCACCGCGAGGTGAGTTGTTACGGTATCAGCGCCAAGGAAGAAACCAACCTGGATGCTGTGCTGCAATGGCTAATTGCTCGGGCAAGCAAGTAATGTTTTGGCCAAGGTCACGAGCATTCATTGCAGTATAGAGGTTGGCTTCCAATCATCATGCCGATGGGCATTTGCATATGGTATTGCAAGCGACGGGGTTTAGACGGTTTCTTTCCTGCGAACCAGCAATGGCAGCGTAGCGCAACGGCGGGTGCACATGGGTGTCTTTGTTTTCTTTTCGACTGCAAGCGATTCTGTTTCTTTTCCAGGCAAGCGAAGGGGTCGGATTATGGATTCACGAGTGCAGTATGACGGTCAGACGCAATTTAACGATTGATGCGAACACGAAGAAAAGAGGAGAGGAAAGAAAACAGGATGGCGAGGAGAGAGTGCAGTTGTTCGAGTGTTTCAAAACCCCTCGATATCATGTGGGAGTGCAATGCAAGATGCGCTGGCAATGCTGGCACCAGTGTTCTGGAAATGCCGGTGGCTAGACCGCTACGTACACTGCCACAGTGGCTATGGCAAGCCTATCGCATTGCATAGCCGCCTATCGTACTTGGTTCACGAGACTGAACGAGACAAATAAAGTGCATCCTCTAAAGGAGTGACAGAACAAAAGAAACAGAATCGTGACAATTATTCCCAGATCGGCCGACAAGCCGTCTCCAAGATCTGGGACGGCAAGGCGCTGCCGGTCGTCAGTGCCTCGTTCGGTGGTTCGTTGGAAATGGTGCTTGGCCACCAAGCAATTGTTGTCGTCACCGCTGCTCCCATTCCAAGCCACGATGAAGGTCTCACAAGCACCTTGTACTTAACACAGTCATAATCCCTCGCCTTTGCCTTCTTCTGGCACGCGTGAATAACCCATCAACTCGCTCGACATGTATACAACAATGAATCTCGAAGCTCGTCAGTACTATGGCTACTACAACAAGTAAGATGGTTCCTGGCGCCTGTGCTTGGAGATCTGCACACGCGCTCGTCACTTTGTATTCGCTGGATCCTCATGCTGACATGGTCTTCTACAGCTGTTATGGCAGAAACTGCAACAGCACCTGGAACCGCTGGGGTCGCTGGGTGCTTCTCGCATGCATAATTGCCGTCTTTTTCGTCTTGTTCTTCCTCTTCTCGTGAGTAACACGCCACTGCAGCTTCGCAACTTGCGCTGACTCTTTGTTCAGATGTCTATCGGCAAGAAGACGCCGCAAGCACGGTAACAATCCTTACTACGGCACTGGCTGGACTGTTCGCCACGGCACTCCTACCTACAACCAGAATGCTCAGCCTCACTACGCGACCGAGACAAGTTCGACTCCGTACTACAACAACTCGAACAACCCTCCTCCAGGTATGACACAACGCGACCTTGATGGTCTTGATGCAGCACGTACTGACACACATGCGCAGCCTACAGCCCTCCTCCCAACACCACCAACTATGGCAACAACATTGAGCTGCAGCAGCCCCAAGCCGCCTACAACGGCGCCTATGCTCCTCCCAAGGACCCTCCCCCGGGCAGATACTAAGCAACGAACAATGCAAAAGGACGAGAATGCGCCTTTGACCACACGAGACGCCGTAATGAGCTTTTGAATAGGATTGGGCACGGGAACGATGGCGTTATGGATGGGTGTGGCTTTGATACCCCGAGAGACCTACAATTATAATGAGGGCACAAATGGGCTTTGCTTTTCACCTTCGAAAACGCCTGGCAGGCTCTACTGCTAATATTGAAACCGTTTCTCATGATCCTCGCTTCGTTCCATTGTCTTTGAACCTCGGCCGAGTCCGATGACGTACCATGTTTCGTCTTTCGTTTACTTATCTCCGTCTATGATCAGTTAGCGACAATTTTGGAGATTATTAAGCAGGCGACGATGTGCTTCCAGAAGGCGAAATGTAGCTCTGGCCCCTCATTTTGATATATCCCTGGCCAGCTTCAAGTACTTCAATAGACCTCTCAATTGACTTTTTCCCATTTCCCAATTCAAACCACACACACTTCCAATCCACATCACAATGGCACCCTCAAACATGAAGGCTATCAAGGTCGTCGAGGCCAAGAAGGCAGAACTCCAGGACGTTCCCGTCCCCAAGCTCCGTGACGACTACGTTCTGGTCAAGGTCGAGGCTGTTGCATTGAACCCTACCGACTGGAAGCATGTCGACTACCTCGCCAACCCTGGTGCTACTGTTGGTTGTGACTACGCTGGTGTCGTCGAGGAGGTCGGTTCAGCAGTCCAGAAGAAGTTCTCAAAGGGCGACCGTATTGCTGGCTTCTCCCACGGTGTCAACTCTGCCAACAAGGAGGACGGATGCTTTGCACAATACGCTCTTTCCAAGGGTGATGTCCAGATGAAGGTCCCTGACTCCCTGTCAACCGAGGACGCCGCTACTCTCGGTGTTGGTGTCACTACTGTCGGACAAGGGTAAGCGATCAATCCAGCATGCCGTTGCAAAACACAAAGCTAATTCTTGAATATAGTNCTTTACCAGAGCTTGAAGCTTCCCCTTCCCACCGAGCCCGCTAAGCAGCCCTTCCCCGTTCTCATCTACGGTGCCTCGACCGCCACCGGTACTCTCGCCATCCAGTACGCCAAGCTGTCTGGCCTCGAGGTCATCGCCATCTGCTCCCCTCACAACTACGACCTCGTCAAGTCTCTGGGCGCCGACGCCACCTTTGACTACAAGGACCCCGAGTGCTCTGCCAAGATCCGCGAGCACACCAAGGACAACCTCAAGCACGCTTTCGACTGTATCGCCGAGGGCAGCTCTCCCGACATCTGCGCCAACGCCATCTCGAGCAAGGGCGGTGTCATTTCTTACCTTCTTCCCGCCAAGTCGTCCCGCGAGGATGTCGTCGACCAGAGCACTCTGGGCTACACTGTAGTCGGCGAGGCCTTCACCTTCGCTGGCAACCCCATCCCTGCTAAGCCCGAGGACTTTGAGTTTGGCAAGATGTTCTGGGAGCTGGCTGAGAAGCTGTTTGCCGAGGGCAAGGTCAAGGCTCACCCCAAGGAGCTCCGCAGCGGCGGTCTCGAGGGTGTCTTTGGCGGCATGGATGACATGAGATCTGGCAAGGTCTCGGGCAGNAAGCTCGTCTACAAGATCTAGAGCCACAGATCTTGAAGACCATTAATGACATGAAGTAAAAGTTAAAATCAAAATAGACGATTAATTTCTTTGATACGAGCAACATGAACGCCTTGAGAACTCCTGGTATACCCGTGCAAAGAAACAGTTCATGAACCTAGCCATCATGCTAACATGTACGTGCCGCTCCCTCTTTCGTATAAATGACTTGGATATGCAGAGCGTGTCATCATGTGTTTCCATCTCATCATGTCGTTGTCATTGATCATGGCTCGCCCGGCCCACTGACTTTAATGTGAGGCATAGGCGCCGGCGGACTGCCGTTCGAATTGTCGATAACCCTTCGCCATTTCAGGACTGGGATTCTTTGGTCGCCCTGAAGCACAGAAATCAATACACAAGCACTGATCGAAAAAAGTTGGTTGTCGCAGAGACAAGAACTCACCCTGATTTCTGTGGGCTCCTCGCTTCCGAGCACCAACACGTTATCGTCTTCCTCAAACTTCCACGTTCTGACCTGGATGTCGCCTATCCATCCCGGTAGATTGCAAACCTGGAATGTGTGTCTCAAGATTTCTTCTCTGCCCATACCTTCGTCGGTGATGTAGTATGGACCCGCATACGAGAATGAGCGTTTGCCCGCTTCTGCCCATTGTGGTTCTTCACCCTCACCGCGCTTGAACGACATTTGGCCCGGGATCAGCATGTGTGCACTCATGTAGCCGTCCGGCGTGTACATGATGAGGCCGGTGACATTTTTGGTCATTGGGAAGGTTGGGCGTTGGAAGCGGCTTGAGGGAGTCGGGTAGGCGACGTAGGCTTCGAGGCGCCATGTGCCAACTAGTCTCTGTCGTAGAGGTCGCTGTGGTGGTGGCGAAGGTGTCTTGGAGAGTGTGTAGTAGTCGCCGTTCAGGTCATCTATATCCGAGATGTTGATGCTGGGGGACGAGACATCGAGGTTGTATATCGGATTTCCGGTACTCCTGGGAGTGCTAGAACCATTTGTCGGCGTAGTCTTGAAGTCGTAAGCTAGACTTTGGTGCTGTGGTGACTGTGTCCGAATCTCAGACATCTTGGGAGGAAAAGGTGGAGGTGATGGGGGCGTGACAGGTCGTAGCAATGGTCGAGCTTTGATCGGCTGCGGTGACACGGGTTCCGGAGACTTGGGCCGCGAAGACGATCTTGACCGTGACCTTGACCTGTTCTTGCGATACGGGACCACTTTTGGCACTTGGAGGTAGGTTGTGCTGGTCAAGGTGATCACCTGGCTAGGCATGGCGTGAGGACAAGGATAACAGGTGGATTGAAGTGATGATAATAGCCAAGAGACAAGGAGTCCGTCATCGAAAAGCAAACCAAAAGTTGCAGAAAGGAGAAAAGGAAGAACTTTGTGAGAAGGAAAAGATTGTACAAACAATTAGAGCTCTCGATAGTCTGGAATGTCCTATTTCATTCCATCCACGGGCAGCACGGCAGTGATCCTGTCACGGCAGGGCCTTTTTAAGTCATGATGTTTCTACCTCACCCGTGAATCATCAGCTGCTGATCAAGCCAACCGGCCAGCCATTCCTACGCCCGAATGCTCACACTCGTGTAGGGTGTGTGTGTGCGAGGGTAGGTTGGAAAGCAACGAGGTGGGGCTCCGGACAGAGAGGAGTAGTCCGAAGTGCAGAGTAGACCTTGGCGGGACCTGGCTGCTTTCTGCCTCTCACCACGCTCGCAACATCCAAGCAAACTGTGTGAAGAGGCACCCAGCAGACCAGATCTCTCGTCTCTGACCAACGAACACAGCTTAAACAGATTGTACTATTACTTTCGAGCCGTCAGCAATGATATCGACGTGCAGATGGATTCTGCAGAGGTCGCATGGAAGAGCATCATCCCGCGCCGAATGTAGTAATGAGTTTGCTGAATTGTTCCGCGTTCGCTGACACATACGAGAACGCGGCTGAATGCATGATTGCGCCCTTGGCCTCCTCTTCTGCAGCGCCCGCCAGGCTTTCACATGGCTCGATTCACAGAGCTCCTCGGTCCAGACGAGCAATCTAGAAAAGATACGACAGAGCCGGAGAGTTGGACAGCATGTCATGGTTTGCTTGGCTAAGGCTCGAGCCAAGAAGAAAAGACCTCCAGTCGTTCCTTCGTTCGAGCGGGAGGTCTGTTTGACTTTGCTCGAGCCGAAGCCTATTTCACCTTGCGACATCGCAACTCCCAGACATCGAGTGAAACTGGCAGTCACGACAGAAGCCCCTCACTCAGTCTGAGGGGAGATGGCTTTCCAAGTAGTCCCACAGTGAGAAAACAGGGCAACGCGGGAATGAACAATGGATTGTCCAGCATAGTGGGACAATGATGCGATAATGAAGGTGTTCAATCCTCGGTACTGCGGACCTACTCGAGTATCACTTGAGCACATCCTGTGCCGTTTCTTGCGGACGTGGAGCTTGACATCAAGCGCAGATGTGTCTCTTATCGACCGCAAGCTATGCTTGCCCTATCATCCCACAGACAGGTCATGTCAGAAGGTCCATCTCATCACTTCTCGTCAACATGGATCGTAAAGCATTCCCTTAATAGCTCCACTGCTATTGTATAGGCCGCTCTCGAGGCTATTGCCATTGTGTTCATGTAGGTCTACCTGGGAACACCTGGCGCGGGACTGCTAGATAGAGTAGCCCACGTGCTTGATATCAACTTTCTAGGTGGCATGTTCGGTGGATTCGGCCCGCGCTCGACTCGCACGGCATAACAGTTTATCCACACACAGCTCTCATTTGCCAATTGATCAAACTGACGTCCGACGAGCTGTTGTTTAGATCAACTATTGTACCGTGCGGGAGAGGGGTCGTAAGAGTATCACTAGGCCCCGCACTCGCATGTGCTACTATTGCAGGTAGCTGGGTATGTAAGAGTCAACTTTTCTCAAGCTGTCCCTTCCTTTTCCTCTCTTCCTTTCACAACACAATCTTCAGAAATATCTACTTGTATCGTAGCCCCTTGTGGCCATGCTACCCAGTGCTGACTCCCTCGAGCAGGTCCATCTGTTCTACGGTACGCTCATCCATCATGGATCGATGCGTGATACACTTTTCGAATGGTATTCTCTGATCAGAGATGATCAAGGGTCAAGGTAACTTCAAACAACGGGTTTTACCTGATGCATGAGCGGGTGTCCGATAGCGAGCTTCTGTCTGCCAACCCAATGATATTTGATCATGGACATTGGTGTCGGAATTGTATCGCCTCGCTATCGTTCTGAGATCAGACCGCCTGAACTTGATTTCTGGATAATACCAGCGAAAGGATCATGCATACCGAACCACCCTCTTTGTGCCTCTACGGCATGTTCTAACCTGTAGCAGATATACCAATCTTGACCCTTTTTCACAATGTCTCCCCCAGCCATCCTCCAGGACCCTGTCTCTCCTACCGTTCCTTCCNNGAAGAAGTTGAACCTTCCTCACAGCTCGGCTGTTCCTGTTGGAGGACAGACCAAGACAGAGACCATCGAGGCCATGGCCGGTGACTGGCAGTCCTTCACCTTCCGTCCCATTCGTGAGTCGCAGGTCAGCAGAGCCATGACCCGCCGCTACTTCTCCGACTTGGATAAGTATGCCGAGTCCGACGTCGTCATCATTGGCGCCGGCTCTTGTGGTCTTTCTGCCGCATACTGTCTGGCCAAGGCTCGCCCTGACCTCAAGATTGCCATCATCGAGGCCAGTGTCAGCCCTGGTGGTGGTGCTTGGCTTGGTGGCCAGCTCTTCTCTGCCATGGTTATGCGTAAGCCTGCCGATGCCTTCCTCCGCGAGATTGGTGTCGAGTACGAGGAAGACGGTGACGACAGCAACTATGTCGTTGTCAAGCACGCTGCTCTCTTCACCAGCACTCTTCTCAGCAAGGTCTTGCAATTCCCCAACGTGAAGCTGTTCAACGCTACTGCAGTCGAGGACCTCATCACTCGCCCTCGTGAGGATGGAACTATCCAGATTGCCGGTGTTGTCACCAACTGGACTCTGGTAAGTTGGGAATCCCTCATACACATCCTCAGATCATTGATACTGATTTTGTCTTTTACANNGGTCAGCATGCACCACGACGACCAGTCATGCATGGACCCCAACACCATCAACGCCCCCGTCATCATCTCCACCACCGGTCACGACGGCCCCTTCGGTGCCTTCTCCGTCAAGCGCCTCGTCAGCATGCAAGCCATCAAGTGCCTCGGCGGCATGCGCGGCCTCGACATGAACACCGCCGAAGACGCTATCGTCAAGGGCACCCGCGAGATCGTCCCCGGCCTTATTGTCGGCGGCATGGAGCTCTCTGAAGTCGACGGTGCTAACCGTATGGGACCCACCTTTGGCGCCATGGCACTCAGTGGTGTCAAGGCTGCCGAGGAGGTAGTCAGGGTCTTTGAGCAGCGTCAGAAGGAGTGTGCTGCTTTCTACTGAAGTGTGACATCTGAACTGATTTCTGTCGAGGTCGAGGATTATGAATCACAGTCTTTACCAGTATTGAAGAAATGGAAATGACAAATGATCGTTTATGCCATGCTGGATATGTCGCTCCCTATATGTTCATCTGATAGGTATACCATCATGTGCTATGAGAGGCTGTCGAAACTGTGAGAGTCCTTCGTGCGAGTCGGTAAAATGGCGGAGACAAGGTACAGCCTATCCTGCTGAGGAAGGTACATCTGGAAATTAGCAGAAAGGAACGATGAGACGTCAAAAACAACCAACGTGAGAGGCGTCAGAGGAGGAAAGCACGAGCTAAGGAAGAGATTCATTCTAGTCATACATTACGCGCTTGATTATAAAGCCACAAATGAGAAATCTTGAAATGAATATCAAAAAGCACAGCTTAATCAGTCATCACTCTAATCCCGATTGACGACACGCAGACTGCGTCTTGGTGCCAGAACAGTACCCCAGAATGATGGCGTGTTGCCAGCGAGTAGATCCTCAGGCGCACCACTATCATCACTGCTCCTTCTCATCAAGAAACCGTCTACACTCTCTTGACCAGCGGTGTTTGTCCTGTAAGCCTCAGTGTAGCCCCAGTCATTGTTGTTGTTACGGATCGAGCTCCCTTTGCCACTGTTGTTCTCGCTCGACGTCCAAGGACGACGATCGTTCGAACCGCCACTTGAGGAGCCTGCTCCTGTAGGAATGAGACCTGGAATATTTGGGTGGTTCTTCTCATTAAGTGCTTGCTGTTGTGCCATTTCGACATGACGTTTGTAGAGTTGGAGGCGTTTGCGGTAGAGCCAGGCACAGAAGGCGAGGTAGCAGACAATGACGAAGAGGATACCTGCGATGACTCCAGCAACGATAGCTCCGATATTGGGGCCGCTGCTGCCTTTTTTGATCCGGAATCCGGGTTTCCTCCAAAGTTTCCTGTGGCTGTTGCAGTTGAGCTNGGAAGTCACAGTGCTATAGATGATCGGACCACCGGTCTTCAGAGGTCCTCCTTGAGGGGTTTGAGCAGGCGCTGTGACCGTCGCACCTCCTTGAGCATTGCCACCAATGACCGAAACGACAATGTCGGGGACTTGATATCCGTAGGAACCTTCAAGACCACCCGGACTGCTGCCATTGGCTAGTTGAGCCGGCTGTTGGTTGAACGGATTGGTACGAGCATTCGAAACCCAGTTGTTGGAGCTTGATCCAGTGGGTGAGGCTGTATCCCCATTTGCAGATGCGCCCGATGCGGATGCTGCGCCTGTGTCAGAGGAACCTCCAGAAGTACCAGAGGACGCTGAAGAATCCAAGTCAGAGCCTCCACTCAGTGCAGTAAACCCAGTTGCCCATTGCAAGCTGCTTGTGTTGAGCACGTAGATACCAGGACTGTCGCAGCTGAGTTGGTCACCAACATAGCCACCAACTACCACCATCTGGCTGTCCCACATTTGACATGAGTGACCGGCCCTGCCGGGTGGTACTGCTTGTGAATTCTGGTCGACTTGAATCCAGGTGAAAGAAGGAACTGTCAGAATCCAGAGATCATCATACTGAGTCTGGTTGCCTGCGGGGATGAGATTCTGTCCACCAAACATGTGAACTTGGTAAGAGCTGCCGTCGGATGCAGCTGCCACCGCAGCACATGGGTTTACTCGGATATTTGGCGTTGGCCCACTCGTTGCTTGTTTATACCAAGTCGAGGTAGCGATATCATAGACGTCAATGACGTTCATTTGTGTCTAAATTCGTCAGCAAACATTTTTATTCAGACACGGCGAACACGCAGAGATGCGGCGGGCAGATAAATTTTGACGTACGAATGTGTCGGCCGTTCCTCCAGCTAGACCAAGGAGGATGCCTTGATCGCCAAATCCGGGTATGTACACAAGCAGTCCATCTGCGCGTTCCGGAAATCCTGCACTGTCTTGAGCACCTCCATCGGTGACATTACGCCATGCGCCATCGCTGCCTGCAGCTTTGTTGTCCGATAGGGAGGTTACTTGGTTGTTCTCGTATCCGGGGAAAGTGAACTCGGTTAATGATTTGATGTAAATTCGTGCGACTTGGTTCGACCATCCTTCGGTTGTATGAGTATCTTCATGCCCACCAAAGTAAAAACCACGCCCCAAACCTGCTACCGAGGCGCCAGCACCTTCAGCAGCACGTTGTACTGGTTGATTGCCAGACTGAGCATTATCGCCGGATGAGGTTGTTGGATTCTTATGTTCGATCCACTGAGAAGACACGGCATTGTATTCCCATAGCGAAAAGGCTGTCGGTGTGTCGAGCGGTTTATCTGAGAACTCTCCGCCATATAGATACACAGACTCGTGAGAGTTCCACAAGAAGCCGTTTGATACATTTGGGGNGCCGGATGGTTGTGGTAGACCAGTCAACGAAGGGTTAGAGATCTGCCAGCTCTTGGTGAGATCCATCGATAAAAAGTCGTTATCTGTGGGATTATGTTTAGCATCTTCTTACGAGACACTTCAGGCGACACCCTTACTCCACTTGTTCTGAGTTTGCCCGGGTTCGGTCGTGGCTTGTCCGCCATAGACGAAAAGTGTTCCATTGATCACAGCAGATTGGTGCGACCACCGTGTACACACATCAGTTGGACTGTCTGCTCGAGTCTCGAGAACCATCTTCCGCTCAATGGGAACAGCTCGACTGTCGACACCGATGCTAGGGGCGGCGTTGCTCTCAGTCGGAACTGGTTGTTGTATAAATGGCAAAGTTGCTGCGACAATGAGGGCGAGTGCGCCTAGTCTGACCAGGTATCGGTTGTTTGATGGATTCGTGGTGTCCACTATCGATGTTTGCTGATTTCCATCTCTTTCTTTTGATTCGATACTGTTGACATTGGAGTCTAATTGCGTATTCATGTTGAGTGGATGGCCAGCCAAGACCAATCGTTTATCAAGGTTTTTGGTTGCAAGTCGAATGCGCTGCGCTGACGAGACTGATTATAGTCTGTCAAGATCAAAAGTTCAGGTCATGCGAGTGGGAGCACAAAATTGCAAGTCAAAGAGGATGTTGAATCTCTCCTAAGTAATAACAGCGCATGAACTGATGAAGATCACACGTCACAACGCCATTGATATGCCGCTATAAGGTACAAAGCAATATAACCCAGATATAAGGCACAGGATTCGATGCGCGTACATCGCTACCGAGGCGGAAAATAGATTGGAAACGTCCGTACTGTGACGTGAACGCATCAAAAGAGAGCTAATGGCTCAAAGAAATAGGAGGTGTGGTGCTACGGAATGCCTCTTTTGCAGGCAGGAGTAGTGTGAGATGTCGTCACAGAACAAGTTTTGGGAGAGGAAAGGCGGGTGTCGAGGCTTTGCACGGCCAATCGCGTGAGGATCAGCCGGCGTCGTTGCCCCATGCAGACAGGATTGGAGACACCGACTCCTTGAGGCGGAGTACAAGGATCTTGTCCAGCTCGCTTGCGCAAATGCAACATCTGATCCGTCTTTGTCATTACCAAGTCGCTAGCAAACACCTTTGCAGGGTGAGAATTGGTGGTGGAACAGCTTTTCGCTGCTCAAGTGGTGAATTCATTTTGCATTCCAAAGACTCGGACGCTTTCCAACCTCTCACACACCAAAGCTTCGTCCTTGTAGATTTCGACTCTCTGGGAGGCCAACAAACATTGAGGGGTCTGTTTCAGCCATCCTAGTCTATGCAGCTTGATTTCAACCCAAGATGAGCAAAACGAAGACTGACATGCAATGTAGTTTCGCTCCTTCCTAACGACCTAACGCCCAATGATAGAGTGGAGTGTGGAACTAGCTCGAAGCTCAACAAAGGAGAGTGCTTCCTGAACGTGAAAAGAGCTCATGCAAGCATAGAGGTCAAGGTCGTCCCGTCATGTACTCGCAATTCGGACGATCGTAGTCCTGAACCTGGCAGCAACGAGATCGCAAACTCGATTACCAGCATCGAGTTTACGTCTTCAGCACAGTGACTTGTTGTCCTGGCAGTTTGCAGGTTGGTAATTCTGAGGTAATTGTTTACCCACGCAGCAGGACTCTTTCAGATATCGCTCTGTGCGGAGAGACTCGGGGACGGCAATTCGAGAGGAACGACCTCAAGAGGAGTAACAGGCTGTTGACGAGCGTCGGCGATACTCTTCGCCGATTCTCTGGTCACTGCTCCAATGGCGCCTCCAGGGTGATTCTTCTTGAAGGTCTTGCCCTTGTTTTCGTGCAGCTGGTCTGCCACGGTGAGTGCCAGCATGTCGCCAATGGCAATCTGGACGGTCGTGGATGTTGTTGGTGCCGACACACCGAACGAAACTTCTTCCAGCTCGAACAAAGGTGCCGGAAGCAATATACCGTTCTCATGCTCTTTCAGGAGGGGACATTCGGATGCCTTCGATTGCGAGGTCAAGGCGACGATCTGGAGTTGACGAGGCAGGTGTGGAATCAGGTTGAGCAGTTCGGGAGTCTTGCCGCTGTACGAGATGAAGAACAACACGTCGTGNNCTGCGCAATCTTGTCAGTGTGTGCTGAGTGGGATCTTTCAACGCGACCAACATACCTCGCGGATATCGCCAAGGTCACCATGTGCGGCCTCGGCAGCATGCATGAAGCTGGCAGCGATGCTCAGACTCTTCAGCGTCGCGACGGTCTTTCTGCCAACAAGGCCACTCTTGCCCACACCGCACACGATCACCTTTCCTCCAGCAGCCTGTGATCTGGTGATGCATTCAACCGCTCCGAGCAGTCCCTCTCTGGCATGAGGATCTGTCTGGTACAGTCTGGTGACGTGGGATAGTGCAGTGGCTTCGATGGAAAGGACCCGAGTGGCGCGATCAAGGATAGACGTCGACTCCGGGTCGTGAATGGTCGATGGAGGAGTCACCATCGTACGCTGGCGCTTGCAAGGTCTGGGTGAGTCTGAGGGATGCATGTTGTCGTCGAAAGTGGCAGAAGTCTTCAGGATATCCGTAATATGTGAGAGAGATGTTGGGCAAACACGGCGGTTGTAGGTGGAGGATGTTGTGATAAGAAGGTCTGGTGGGTGTAAGGGTCTGATAGGTCGGCAGGGACTACTTGTATGTATTGCTAGGCAGTACCCTTTCATGTGATGGCCAGGAGGGACCGCAGGATCCCAGCGGTAGATATTCCATAGTTACCCCAGCGTCTAGATCCTCCTCTACGTGGTATCAACCCGATCTGCTCCTTGGACACACTAGTACGCCCGTCATGGATCGAATCACAGCAATCGGCCTTCATTAGTCATCGACGGCCAACCATTCCTCGCTGCAACTCTTTGTTCACAGCGGTGGCTTTGCTTGGGCCGTTTTTTTGTTGGAAGTACACGGTCAGTGCTTCCTCCAAATCCAGGCACAAGCTTTTGACGTCCTCGATCTCCATGCGAGTGAGACCGTCTGCCGTTTCTTTGTGAAGCGAAGTCAGATCAGAGGCAACAGAACAATAGACGTGGTATTGCGGTCGTCGGGGATGTCGCGGACGCTCTTGTATTCATCGCCTTATCGGTCGAGCAGCATCCAATATGGATGCACTTGTTGAACTCTTGGGAGTTGATGTTTGTGTCAGACACGTTCGGCGCGCAAATCCCCGATTGGTCTCTGATACCAGATTAGATTGAGTCGGATCTTGAAAGGGTCCGACTCCGTCACGCGATCTCGATCGGCGCTGTCGCGATTCCTGCATGGTTTCTCAAGGCTCCTTCTCGACCATGAGTGAGATGTGAGTGGCCGAGGAGTATGTCTACTTGATACATGTCCCCGCAGATAGAGAAGGCACACGCGTGAAAGTGCAAGATGCGGTGACAGAACTCGGAAGGTCGCAAAGGTCTCGATGAACTCAGGCCCAGGTTGAGCGTATAGCCAGCGCGTTGCGGTCTGTGAATTTGCTCTACGTCATGCCGAGGATGGCAGGGACGCGCTTTCCTGACGCTTCCACGTTCAGCGTTCGCATACCGTTCTACAGTCGAACAGTTGGATGAAAGTACTTTCAGCTCACAGTGTGGCGACCGTCGAGTCTGCTTGAAAGGTTGATAGCTTTACTGAAATGCTATTCAAGTTGGACCCGCTTCATTGGCTACGCTTACACTACGCAAACACTTGGCGCAATGGCTCCGTCTACAGCGCAAAGCAAAGCGCAGACTAGAGCACAAGATAGAATTGCTGCTGTCCACAGTGCGGCCAGGAGATCGAAACGAAATGCTCCGGTCCCTGATGACGATCGCGATGTGTATCGTAGCCTGATATCTGAGGCGTCCATTCCGGAAGTGGTCGAGCGGCCTCTCAANAAACCTAGACTTGGAAGACAGCGACAGACTCAACCGCCGACCACTGGTACCTCTACTATATCGGACCAACAATCCAAAGATGAAGAACAGAATGCACATGATAAGAACGCCGAAGAGGAAGCATCAACAAAGCCGCAGCAAACCATCATTGACTCTGATGAATCCGAAGATGATGACATGGACTGGGAGCAAGTTGGTTTGGATCACGTTGAACCGAAGCAGTCTACCTCTCGAAAAGATGATGAGTTTGGAGATATATCGTTAGAAATCAGTACCAAACAAGCTCAGAAGAAGGCGATAGCAAAGCGGAAGCCTGCTACGACTGCAGAGAAGTTACTCCGGCTTGAAGCGCACGAAGCTCATTTGCTATTCCTCCTCTTCCATGTTCATGTTCGCAATACTTGGTGTAACATGCCGGAAGTNAAAGGTTCGGTCATCTCTCTTCTACTCTCTTCCGTTTCCAATAAAGCTGATCATCCTCAGAACAAGCTAAAAACAATTCTCATGCCGGAGATCGTATCACTTTTACATCCTGATCAATCTCTTATCCAATTCGGACAATCAGAGCAGTTCTTGACTGGACTGCAGAAAGCTGTCGTTGTATGGAAACACAAATTTAATGTTACAGCTTCTGGTATACGCCGACCAAACTGGGCCGAGGGACCAGAAGGAATCAAGGAGGTAATGGTCGACGGACCTCTTGAAGCTTTGCAGCATGCTAATGTATGCTCCAGNCAAATACGAGCCATTCAAGAAGAGATGCCACCTATTGAAAAACGTGACTTTGTCAAGGCAGCTATGACTCTTTCAGGCTCTCAAGATGTGGGCGCACAGCTTTTCTGTGCCCTCCTGAGGTGTGTTGGTGTGGATGCTCGACTGGTCTGCTCATTACAACCTCTACCTTTTGGTACATCCGCGACTAAATCGGCAACACCGCTCAGAGCGACCAAATCGACTGTGTATGCAGGAAGCGACAAAGACAACACGAGTGCAGGAGAGACATCTGGAGGTTCTGCATCCGAGGGGTCAACCTCATCGCGGCGCAGGATCATTGCTCCTGGCCGTATACGACGACTAGGAAACGCAGCTTTGGGTGCAGGGCCTTCTACACCTGGCGCCAAACCTTCTGGTCAGTTGCCACAGAATTAGAAAATGTTCTGACACTAACCAAAACCAGCCAGGAAGAAGAAACGACCAGTTCGTACGCTTGATTATCCAGTATACTGGGTGGAAGCTTTCAACGAGGCATACCAGAAATGGGTGCCTGTGGATGCCGTAGTGACAGGCACAGTTGCAAAGCCGAGCAAATTAGAGCCACCTGCTTCTTACGAGGCGAACGCCATGACTTATGTGGTAGCTTTCGAAGACAATGGGATTGCAAGAGATGTCACCCGTCGCTATACCAAGGCCTACAACGCGAAGACTCGAAAACTAAGAGTCGAGATCACAGAAAGAGGAGAAGAGTGGTGGCGTAAAGCGCTCAAAGTCTTCCGGAGACCAACCTACCTCGACCGTGACCAAGTCGAAGATGCCGAACTTGCAAAGAAAGACGCTTCTGAAGGACTGCCAAACAATGTGCAAGATTTCAAAGATCATCCGTATTATGCTCTGGAACGACACCTCAAGAGACACGAGGTGATCTGGCCGAAGAGAGCAAGCGGAAAGGTCACGGTAGGAAAGGGAGCCCTTGAACCTGTTTTTCGACGTAGCGACGTGCACACTGTGCGCAGTGCCGACAAATGGTACAGATTTGGTCGCGAGATCAAGGCACGTCGATTCCAATCCTGCTGTTTGTATTCTTACTGACAATGTCCTCTANNGCCCCACGAACACCCACTCAAGCATGTGCCTGCAAGAGTGCCAAAAAGCCGAGCTCAAGACTTAGATGATGTTGACACAGACGAACCGCCGGCCACGGCTCTATACGCCTTCCACCAAACGTCGTTGTACGTGCCGCCTCCTGTTATGAATGGCAGAATGCCGAAGAATGCTTTTGGCAATCTCGACATCTATGTCCCGTCTATGGTGCCTCCTGGAGGGTACCACGTCCGACATGCATCGGCTAAGAATGCAGCTCGACTTCTCGGCATTGACTATGCTGATGCTGTGACCGGCTTCCAATTCAAGGGGCGCCACGGCACAGCTGTCACATCTGGCGTCGTTGTCGCAAAAGAGTACCACGAAGCTGTAGAAGCCGTGGTAGAAGGATTCCAGTACGAACAGGAAAATGAAGAGGCACGAATGTACAGCATGGAATGCTTGAAGCTCTGGCGCCGTTTCCTGGCTGGTTTGCGTATCAAGGAGAGACTGAGTGAATACACCACTACAGGACCCAAGACTGCCAAGCCAGAGATCATCAAATCAGGGATGGACGAGGCAGAGGAAGTGAAAGATGATCCGATGGAGGCTGGTGGCTTCTTTCCTGATGCAGGCGAGATCACAGCCCCGACCGCTCATCGATTCGATGATTTTCCTGAGATTGACCACGAGCACGATATTTCTGAACAGGCACCTCGACTTAGGAGACAGAGAAAGACAATGGTCGAAAGCGACCCCGAGAGTGACAACCAGAGCGAGGAAGAGTATATACCATCACCTCGAAAGCCACCCGTCAGACGTCGTCGCATGTTGAGCGAGAGCCCATCCGCTTCAGAGAAGGAGCACTATGACCCTCACCATGAAGATGGAGACGGCTTTGTGCCAGACGATGTCACGGAAAGTGAAATACTCAACGGTGGCTTCCTGCCAGATGCAGACGAATCTGGAGGTGGATTCCTTCCCGAAGAAGATGAAGCACTCACTGCTCATGAACCTGGTAGTGTCATCCTGCCTCACATAACCGACTCCACAGCAACCGACGAGGCTGGGAGTGGTTTCATACCAGAACGTGAGTCTACACTCGAGTCTGGAGGTGGCTTCGTCCCCGTAGTCGAGGAAGAGATGTCTGGAGGCGGATTCTTACCAGATGCAGATGTGTCTGAGGCTCAATCAGTCACCCATTCACCATTTGCTGAGGTGCAGATGGATGCAGAAGAGCAAGGTGAAGGGTTGGTGGCCAACAAGCAAGGGGAAGATACTTTCGACCCTGATGAGGCGGAAGATACCTTTGATCCTGATGAGATGGACACTGAGACCAAAGCTCTGCCCCGAGAGGACTCGACAGGTGCGCATCAGCAAGCAGAGGAAGAAGACGACCACGGATCATTGTTGTCACATGATCCTGAGGACGATGATGCAGAGCCTGACTGGCTGTATAGCGACTAGTTGAATCTCACAAAGGGCTTCGAAACCCTTTCTTTGTTCATAATGTCACTCTCGTTTGTGAACATCGTTCCCAAGGTGAACGGTAAGTGTCTTGTAAGTCTCGCCATGCATTCTTTTCATAAGCCCCTATTCGTTCATCCCTCTCAATATCAAGAACCAAGACGAGATAAACTTCGAGTCGGCAAAACAGAACCCTACCCACCGGTATGGGTAGGGAGACAGACCCCGCCGGTTGGCTGAGTTTGCTCTTTTGAAAGTCCAGGGTCCGGTGAGTCCAGGTCCAGTAAGTACGAAAGGGTGTGCTGACGCTGGGCTTCGAACCCAGCTGCCTCTCCCAGGGCTCACGACCATGTTGAACGAAGCATCCCTTACGGTCCGCTAGCCGGATGACCACTGCACTAAAGTACCGTGTGTCCGTCCCTTGGGAGAGGTGCAAGAAAGGCAGCCTCGCTAGCATATAACACCTGGACTATGCAGAAGTGAAGGATGGTCATGCTCAGGGGTATGTCAGAGTTGGAACTCTTCTTCCTTTCTTCACTAACAAGTCGATCAAACGTCCAGGTTCATCCTCGATGACTCGGCGACTCGATGCGCATACACTCTGTTCCGGTGCTCTCCAGTCTGTTTTGAGTAAAACCACGCAGCTCTCTTATATCGACCGTCCTTGAGTGCACGCAAAAACCCATAGAGTAGATAGTATCATGGCCTCATCTGCGCGTCGCTGTTACAGACCGTATGGGCTCGATATTCAGCGCCCTCCTTAGCTTTGGATGAACAACACACCAAGGCAACTCGATCTCGACACGACAACAACCATTCACACACCCTACAGCCGCACCATATTTCAAGCCGCACGACGACTAAGCAATCACCAGCCGCAAGACGACTATAAAAATAATGACAGACTTCTTCCTCTGCTTTCTTTCTCGTTGTCGAATTTGCTGCACTTCTCTCAAACCCAAGCACACCTACTCAGCATACTTGATCAACTTTCTCTATCCACCTGACGGCAACTCCATCTGTATCATACCCATCCAACTCAAGATCTCAACCGCACGCCTTGCATCGTTCTCGACGTCGCTGTCTTTCTAGCAACTCAACCATTATCACCATCATCACGATCAACATGACTGCCCCTGCCCGTGAGCAGTTCATGGCCGGTGTCAACAGCACTGGCCCCGATGGCAGACCCCTTCCTGCCGGCGCCGCTGCTGCAGCCAGAATGACCGCTGCTGAGAGAGAGGCCGCCAGAAAGGTCGACGACGAGACATTTTCTCTTGCCTCTGCTGCCATGAAGCAGGCCGAGCGCGAGGAGGAGCTCGAGAAGAAGAAGCAGGGAAAGGGCGACCACAAGTCTCTCATCCGTCGTCTCTTGGGTTCCGCTGTCGAGAGATTTGTTGCATTCTTCAAGCGTGAACAGCACAAGATGAACTAAGTCGTGCGTCGTGTCCGGTGTTTTTTTTTTCTCTCCTGATCACGCGAGCTGACTGTTATTTGCTAGGCCCATCACCACTTCTCTCGCAACCGCACACTATTCATGGGTGTTCCATCGGAATGCACGACCGTGTCACGCATGATAGCATGGACAGAGAGATTGAAGTAGGGTAACCATCGAGAACCGGATACCAGGATCATCCCGAAGCAGACTCGGAAGGAGCAAACGGGAAAAGCAACTTCTAGATGCAAAATGGAAATCTTTTCGTGCAAAATTCTTTCTATGTGTGTTTCATGGTCTAACTTGCTTGTACACGTGAACAATAAACTTGCGCTCTGACACTGCCAATGCGACAACAAAGACACCGGTGATAGCACCGATTCTGGCAAGCTCGCCAACCACACCATATCTTGACAGCAATCCAGCAGTTGCCTTGAAGATACTAGGTACCACTGCAGAGACAGCAATACCCAAAGCCGAAGGCAGGATCTTCATAACATCGAAAGGCTACACATCATTCTGTCAGTAAAGCCACATCTCTCAGAATAGGAAGGGAGCATGAAAGTAACGTACCTGCCCCTTCTTCGCAAAGAAGTCTTTGACAAACGACAAGTTGAACAAGATTCTACACGCCATATTGACACAATTGGCCCAGACCAAGCCTTTAGCTCCCATCTCCAACACTCTAAGGAAGAGATATGCCGAGCCGGCGAACGCGGCGAAGAACCCGCCCATCCAGATCGATTGAGTGTATAATTGCTTGTTATCAGCCACGGCAGCGACAAAGGCTTCCGAGACGCCGTTTAGAGCAAGAAGAGGGATATAGTAGCAGTAGCAGCCCAAAACTTCGCCAGCACCCGTATCAGACCAACGACTTCCTGCTACGAGAGAGAGAAGAATGGGAGCGGCGGTAGGGCCAGCGGTAAAGGCGACAAGTGAGATTAGAGAGTAGGCTTTGAGGATGAGGGTGAGAGTGCTGTTGGCTTGTTTGACACCATCTCCAGCTTCTTTTGCTTCAGGTTGCTTGGCAGTTGCTGATGAGGAAGCGGGAGCGCACAGTTTGGCAAAGAGGTTGCGAGAGGCTTCTTCGATGGGTTGAAAGAGCATGCGGGCAATCAGGCCACCGTAGTTGGATGATAAGGCGTATGCTCCTTGGTCTTGTAGTGAGGCCAGAGTTGCGATGAGTAGAGAGTCTCCTTGTGTGAGCACATACTTGATGCTCGACTGGACTGTCAGACTCAACGAGAGATTGAGCAAAGGTTGTGAGAAGAGAGAGAGCCAGAACTTTTCGCTTTTGCTATGCTGACTGTTAGCTTTTGTATTGCTTTGGGTTTCGACAACCTCCACAGACCTTTGTATACCACGAGGAAGCAAGGAAAAGCCCTCGGTCCTCGCTACGAGAGCAAGTCTGGCAGAGTATACCACCAGCAACGATGCGGCATAAGCCAGCTGCCCAACAGCAAAGGGCAACACACCCAGGTCTCTGCCTTGTCGACTCGCCCACACAACCAAGCCAACAGTGGCAAACGTCTTCATGATCGTTGCAGCAGCCTCAGCAGAAGCACGAACTTTGTACAACATCTTTTGTTGTGCAGCCACAAAGCTGGGCTCAGCAAACAACTCGATCATAGCAGCAACTCCATACACCCTCAATGACTGAAGCAAGAAAGGCACTTTTGGCACCTCGGTCTGCAGATACAGTTCTGCGAGTGCATAGCTCAGAGGTACACCTGCAGCAATTGCCAGATATGACATGTTGATTACAGCTTGCGTGCCATCAGCTCTTCGTTGCAAAGCCACTCGCAAGCTTTCGCGTGCAAAGTAGAGGACCGAAATACAATACAACTCCAGCTGTACATTGACGCCTAGCAATTCCGGAGACAGGAAGCGAAGAAGAATCTGGTTGAGACCGAATGTGAGAGCGCGAGAGCCGATCTGGAGGAGGATGAGAAAAGAGGCCCCCTTGGCTGAAGCAGAGACGGCATTGTCGCTGGTGTTGGAACTTTTAGACATTGTCTTTTCTCCAGAGGCTCCAAATGGGTTGGCGCCCTTCAGAGTCGAATTGCTGGTCACTTTTGAACCACAAGGGGTCCCGAGTTTGGAGACGTTGCGGAAGTAATGTGGAGCGTGACCAGGGTCATACTGCGGACATGAATTGTTTTGTGACTCAGCCATGGAACAAGATATCTTTTACCTTTCACTGACGAACAACTTGTTCTAAAGAACAAAGACACTTGTCTCCAAGTAATCACTAACATGGCAACATTTACACAAGAATCTATCGTCACCGAGCGATTGATCCTCCGCAAAATTCGACCTTCGGATTCAGAGGCCGTCTTCGGATTCATGTCTCTGCCATCTGTGATGAGATACACGTAAATCACTACCTTCATATCTCTACCTCCGCAGCTAACACAACCAAAAAGATCTCGAGAACCTCTAACCCAAGTCCATCAAGCAATTACCTATCTCTCCGAACGCACTGAGGGCTCCAACATCTACAACTTTGCCGTCTGCTTGAAGGACCCCACAAACACGGTCATCGGTCTCCTCGGCAGCCCTTCATACCCAGAGATTGGATACTTGTTCTCACCCACTCATGCCGGAAAGGGATATGCAACTGAAGCCTTGCTTGCATTCACTCCAGCACTGTTTGCTGTGATGCCGGTGGAGCAGACGTTTGCAGAGGCTCATGTGGACACAGAGAATGTGCCTAGTCTGAAAATGCTAGAGAGGTGTGGGTGGCAGAGGTGGGGAGAGGTGGAGGAGAGGGCTTATACGAGTCCACTTTTGGGTCTCAGGGACAGTGTGTGCTATAGGATTGCTAGGGAAGGGTGTAGGTTGGAAAACCTGATGAGCAAGGAGGAAGAGGAGGCATTCGTGCCAGACCTGCAGTGATCGTGTGGAGCGGGTCCATGAGCCGTAACCTCGACTTGAGGCGTACTACCGAAGCGTTCAACAACGAAGCCTCTTTAGCTCAGTTGGTAGAGCGCGGCACTAGTATCGCTAGATCATGCCGAGGTCACCGGTTCGACTCCGTTAGGAGGCATCTATTGCTTTTGTTTGTGGTTGTGAGAATGGAAAAGGAATTTTTGGTGGGTGGATGTGTTTTGGGATTTTTCTTTTGCGTGAAGCCTACACAATTAAGCACAAACACAAAGTCTGCACAAATCCAGGACATGCAGAACACAAAGATCTTGTGCATAGACCATATATAGTTGACTAGAAATGCTCGATATATTACTCTGCTGCTTGCTGAAAAGAAAGACAATCTCCTCTATATTCACTCATCAATACCGGCCAGGCTCGAGCAGCTTGAACAACTACTCGGCTCTCCCGCCCCGAAGGACTAGTAGTATAGTCGCTTATAGAAATGCACAATTGCTTCCAAACCAGAAGCGTGGCCATAGAGATACTCGAAGATATCCTTCTAGCCCGTTGTCCACCTATTCCCTTCCTGCTCTCTGCTAGCAGGGGAGATATCGGTTTTTAGTCGAACATTACACTCAAGGGTTACAATTTATCTCTGCGTTGACTTGTCTGCACATGTGTCCACCTTCGTAGCAGTTATTGCAGAGGAAGCAACTGTCTGGATAGGCGCTACATAGGGATCCTTTATCTTTGCAACATTGGCATCTTGTTAGTGATCCTAGTGCGATAGATCATCTTAGCACACTCATCTTCGGTGTGATCAACGGACTTCATGACCGCAAGCAATCTCAGTTTAGTTCTCATGATGTATAGAAGACCTTTACATCTCTTGAACCGCAGCGAGTTGTCTTACTCGTCCTTATTATCGTCCTCTCTCTCGTCCATGTCTTGGAAGTGAGAGGCAGTAGAGACACGCACTCGAGACTGCAGCTGCTTGGAGCTCGAATATGAGGCCTACGAGGAGAGTAGCTTAAAGATGGTGCCCTTCGACACGCTTTGTGATTTCTGTTATTTGGGGTATCTGAACAGCACACTAGATGCTCTTTGCAATCTTCTCGTGCGACTGTCTCTCGTTTGTAGTCTTCTCCTTCCACAGGTATGGGTATCTCTCAACCTCCCTTTCTAGGGGCGCCAGGTGGAGGTGTGCCTCCTTGAGCAGCACGCTGGGCAATCTTTCTCCTCTCGCCCTCCAAGACCATTCTGATTCTGTTGAGGGATTCCTCCTTACCCTTGGGAGCTTTGCAGTCGTTCACATTGTACGGCGGACTAATAATCACCGAATCGTTGACGACAATCTCCTGTTCGTGCCAGCGAGTGGGGTACCTGTTTGTATGTCGAGTTAGCTTTATGGGCAGCATACGAAGACATGGATGGATGCAGCAACGCANCAGTCTCTTCAAGGCATCGTAGATTTGCTGGGCCTCGCGGCTGACACCCTTGCCCTTGTTGGCTTCTTGATCGCGCAGCTGGCGGATCTTGGCCTCTTCGCGGTCGCGCAACTTCTTAATGTCGACGGCGGCGATGGGAGGTTGGACGGTGCTGATGGTCTGTTTGGCGGCATCCGGGTCTAGCGAGACAAGGTCGAATGACGAGATGTGCTTGATGGGGATGATGTGGTAGTCGCCGGGCTGGTTGGAGAGGGTAGACGAGGGGTTCGGAGGAGCGGGAGCGGTGTTGATGGCGACGACATTGAGCATGGGACATGCGGTGAAAAGCGTGCCTTGGAGGGTTTGCGAGTGAGGCGCAACTGTCGTGAGCTTGACNNACTGCATTTGGGCGCGTGGTTAGTCTCTTGGTCGTGGATAGGGGCCCCGTCATGATCTTGTAGCATACCGGGCGCCAATAGCAGCGACGAAGCTGTCAATGGCTTCTGGCCCTTGTCCAGCGCTGGCCTTGGCTGGGTTGCGCTTGACGTCGGCCATGGTATCGAAGAGTGGTGTGTAGTCGGCACCCCGCTGCTGTTGGTCTGGATGGCCTGCCTCGTCACCCACGCTTCGGACTTATGAAGTGCACCGTCAAGAAGCAAGCTCAAAACTTGCGCATTCGACCAAGAACCGGACCAAAAGAGTGTCTAGTGAAGGGAAACATGAACTGAGAAGACAGCGGTGCTCGCTCGCGCGCTGCTTGACATGATCATCATGAGACTGCGCCTCGACTTTCCACCCGCATTCAACCATGACATGCCACAATCGCCAGTCTCAACATCCTCTACGAATAGCAACCGCCATCACATCACACTACGACTTGCTCCTTGACCGATTCCATGGGAAAAATGTGTATCATTTTTAACTGTAAAAGAAATTGCTTGTTCATGACTATTGGGGGTTATCTTTCGTTGCACTACGCATAGCAAGAGACCGGTGCCATTATATCCGTGGCCCATCTGTATCTCTGCCGCCGCCGTTCTTCTTCCATCGTCGTATCATATTTTCGCTTAAGCGTTGTAGGTCGAGGCCGAAACGTCACCACCACGGCCGGTCCAGTTGACGTGGATGTCCTTGCCGACGGGGTACTTGTCGTTGGCGAACTCGGGCTTGATCTTGAAGGTGTGGGCACCGAAGTAGTCACGCTGGGCCTGGAGGAGGTTGGCGGGGAGGTTCTCGGCACGGTAACCGTCGTAGAAGGACAGGGCGGTGCTGAAGCAGGGAGTGGGGATACCCCACTGGGCGCCCTTGGCGACAATGTTTCTCCAGCCCTCCTGTGCGTTGTGGATGGCCTTGTTGAAGAAGTCGTCGAAGAGAAGGTTCTCGAGGTCGGGGTTGTTGCGGTAGGCAGTGGTGATGTCCTTGAGGAAGACGGAGCGGATGATGCAGCCACCGCGCCACATGAGGGCGATCTCGGGCTTGTTGAGCTTCCAGCTGTACTCCTTGGCGGCNNCTGAGAGATTGTGTTAGCTTTGTCTTCTAGGCACGACAATGACCAGACATTGACTTACGTTCTGCATGAGCATGAAGCCCTGGGCGTACGAGATGATCTTGGAGGCGTAAAGGGCCTGCTCAAGGTCGTCGATGAACTTCTGCTTGTCACCAGAGAAGCTGGGGGTGGGGCCCTGGAGGAGCTTGGACGCGCGGCCACGCTCCTGCTTGAGGGAAGAAAGGCAGCGGGAGAAGACAGACTCGCCGATGAGGGTGACGGGCATGCCGAGGTCGAGAGCGTTGATGGCGGTCCACTTGCCGGTACCCTTCTGGCCAGCAGAGTCCATGATCTTCTCGAGAAGAGGCGAACCGTCCTCGTCGTTGTAGTAGAGAATGTCACGGGTGATCTCAATGAGGAAGGAGTCAAGGACACCCTTGTTCCACTGGGTGAAGATATCACCCATCTCCTTGTTGGAGAGACCAAGACCACGCTTCATGATGTCGTAGGNCCTGTCGAGGGTCAGAAAATTGTGTATCCCAAAAGAAGCTTGAAATCAAAAACTTACCTCGCAAATGAGCTGCATGTCACCGTACTCAATACCGTTGTGAACCATCTTGACGTAGTGACCAGCACCCTCGTCACCAACCCACTGACAGCAGGCCTCGCCGTCAGACTTGGCAGAGATGCCCTGGAGGACATCCTTGATGTAAGGCCAGGCCTCGGAGTTACCACCAGGCATGATCGAGGGACCGTAACGGGCACCCTCCTCACCACCAGAAACACCGGTACCGACGAAGCGGATACCCTTGGAGGCGAGGTACTTGGTGCGGCGGTTGGTGTCGGGGTAGTGGGAGTTACCACCGTCAATGATGATATCACCCTCCTCGATGCCACCCTCGTTCAAGAGGAGCTCAATGAAGTCGTCGACGGGCTTGCCGGCCATGACAAGCATCATCATACGGCGGGGCTTCTTGAGCTTGGAGCAGAACTCCTTGATGGAGTGAGCACCAACGATCGACTTGCCCTTGGCCTCGTTCTCAAGGAAGCGGTCGACCTTGGAGACAGTGCGGTTGAAAGCAACAACAGTGAAGCCGTGGTCGGCAGCGTTGAGGATCAGGTTCTGACCCATGACGGCCAGACCGATGAGACCGAAGTCTCCGCTGTGGGAAAAAGCATGTCAGCTACAGCTACAGCTATGATCGGGCAAGCTGCATTGTCGATAGAGCTCCGCCAGAGATGGTATTGGTGAGTGGCAACAACAGGATGATGTTGTGTATACCGCCAACGGAATGTAGCGACGGGAGAAATGTTTTGGTGGGATGGTGGGGCAGAGTGGGATGGAGGGTGAATGTTGACTTACACAGCAGAATCAGAAGACATTGTGGTGGTGGTGATGGATTGTTTGAGTTGGGAAGAGAGGCTAAGAAGTCTCCGGGCGGCTTGAGGCTTTTAAAGAAGACGTGTGTCAGTGGAGATTGTGTGAGGGAGAGAGATGGTGCGGCCGGAGGTGTTGAAAAAGCAGCCCAACACCTTTCGGAGTTACTAACGCGGAGGGGCCAAGGTGGCATTGACCCTAAAGTGTGCTAAACATTACATGCTCTGTCAGCGTCTCTCGATGCCGCAGCAGCCCCGAACGACGTTTGCACCTACTGTTTGGTGTTCTGGCGTGAGGCCTGGGAATGGTTGCAGATGTGCAGAAACTCGCGAGTCGTGCCAATCTCTCGATACCGATGGTGATTTTTTCCTGGCAGAGCAGCTGCCTGTCTCGGCGCGCTCTTGCTCGTTGCCATGTCCCCCTCCTTCTCACAACCGACGAAGCCGACGCCAATTTGGATGAGTACCTTCCCGATGGAACGCCGATGACGGCTGTTTACCGATCGCTTTGCTCAACCTCCTGCCCACAAGACTGCGCTAGACGTCACTGCCCTGCGTCTGTGCTTCACCGTCTCGTCGTAGAGAGCTGCTCGAACAACACCGTCTGTGAGAGAGAGAGAGAGAGAAGTCGTTGGCAAACGCCGACGGGTCAAGAATCCCATCAAACATCCAGTGCTTCCGTTCAGCCTCTTTGCTCGTTCCCTTCCATATCCAAGCTAGCCACTTCACGCGGCTAATTATCGACGGACTATTTTGATATCGTGTTTCGGCTTCTATCAGCTTCTTCGCGCCTTTCGCGTTTCAATCTAGCCGACCGGGACCCCGGACTTGTTTTCTGTTCTTCCTGCTACCTACCTTCACTCCTTCCCTTTCCGGACAGCTCGGAACTCTTGTCAAGACTCGTACTTTATCGATCACCTAGACATACAGCTATCGTCGCTTGTGTTAAACAAGTTTGCACCCAACGACTTGATCGAGAGCATAGATCGGAACAAGCTAGTGAACTGTTTGTGAGGCAAGGAAAAATCTTTCAACGTAGGCATACCCTTGAGTCCTTGACCGTCATGTCGCACCCAACTCAAGGACCTTCCACCAGCCAGTCCAACTCAGCCCGTTCTACACCACAGCCCCCAGCAAACCTTCCAGCGAGACCTCCTCCGTCCGCCGTCTCCCAACCTGCGCGCAATGTCGCTGCCTTTAGCGGTTTCAAGCCGCGCAATGTCGCCGCTGCACCTGCTGCTCCAGCCCCGTACGCTGCAACAAACATGAGCTATCCCGCCCAGTACTCCGCCGCTCCAGCCTCGCAATCTTACTATCCCACGACGTATTCTTCAGCACCAGCCGCCAGTCAACCGTACTACGCTGGCGCCGGCCCTTCCTACCCAGGAGCCGCTGCCTATCCTGCTCAAGCGCAATACACCGACACCCCTCCTCAGATCAAGAACCCTTTCGCACCACCTCCAGCAGCAGGTCAAGGTTCGCTCTACGGCAATGGCAGCTACGATCCAGAGTTGGAAGCACAGATTCAACAATGGCAGAGCGCATACACAAACAAAGACGACCCATCAAAAACAGCAAGCAAGGGTGCAGCTGTAGGCAACGCGAACAACATCCCGCTCGGCGCCAACAGGGCCCAACCTTCTACATCCAGCGGCTCTGCTGGACCTGTAGCGCCCGTCGATGCATCAGGCAAGCAGAAGACCGTTCTCCGTGAAGGAGGTGGTCAGAAATGGGAAGATCCTACGCTTCTTGAATGGGGTGATCACCCACGTCTGTTCGTTGGTAATCTTGCTGGTGAGGTGACTGACGAATCTCTGCTCAAAGCTTTTGCCAAATACCCATCAGTCCAAAAAGCTCGTGTCATTCGCGACAAGCGTACCACCAAGAGCAAGGGCTTCGGTTTCGTCAGCTTAGCCAACACAGATGAGTTCTTCCAAGCTGCAAAAGAGATGCAAGGCAAGTACATTGGCAGTCACCCGGTCTTGATCAAGCGTGCCGAAACCGAAATCAAGACAGTTGTCAAGAAGGATCACAACAACAGATACAATAAGAACAACAAGAACAAGAATAACAAAGACAAGGTCAAGGAAGACAAGGGTCTGCTCGGAGCCAACACCGGCGCTGGCATCCAGAAAAAGCAGACCAAAACCACTGGTGGTGGCGGTCAATTCAAGGTCAGTAACAAACCCCACTGCCCCTCTAGAATTGTTACTAACCTCTACTTGCAGTTGCTTGGATAAGTCTGCTGGACTGGCATGCTCCCATCTCGTTGTACAGAGGAAATTATATTAGCGAAGGCGTTTGGGACTTGCAGGACTGCTTTACCGGCGAGTGATACCTTTCCAAAAAAAAAATGTACTGATAGACAAAAAAGACTGTCTGACTTTTACAGCACAATTTCTTCTATGATATCACCCTACTGACCTGAGAACACTTCCTGATCATGATCGCGGCCCACCTGTAAGACTACTTGATGATGCTGTACAGAATTGTCGTCGTAGAAATCGTTGTGAACCATGTTTCGACCGTGAAGAATCTAGAGCCACAGGGTAACAGTCCCCCCAAAAGACCTCTTGTGTAACTCCAACGATCTCGCGGCTCATGTCAAACTACCGTAAGATAGTGTTTAGCCGCGCTGTGGAATCTATTTCATCCGCCGCTTTGTCTGCGCTGAGCTCGGTCGTGGTGCTGCGGATAAGACAGAGAATGGAAGCAAGGATTGCCAATATTCAACACAACACAAGCGCTGCCACATTTTTCCCTCTCACATGCACTGCCATACCAGTGGATATAGCCATAGAACCGTGTTTCGCCGTTAAGTCATGAGCACGTACATTGTTTTGTTGGGACGTGTTTTGATTGTTTCCAACATCGGCTCCCCCACCTCGTGAGTCGCCGCAGAGCAACGTGCCGAGCCCGACAGCTCCGTCGCTCTTGTCTCGGGTTTCTGAGCCCTAGGCAGTCCTCCCCTACTACAAAGACTCTCATATGCCGATGCTCGTCGCCGAATCGTTTGACTATACAATCGTTGTTGGAGACGTTCTGGCTGGGATGTCGACCGTGTCCGGGCGACTCTGCGAGAATGTGTGCCGATGTCCTGAACCGCTTGGTGACGCTATTCACCTCTAGCTAAGTCCTTGAACAGACTTATCGAGCAGCGAACGTAGACTGTGCAATCAGAGCGTTCTCGACTCCCGATGGAGCAGGTCTAGTAGTATGCTCGAGGTCGAGAGGATCAGCCATCTCTCAGTATTCACCCACTCAGTCTCTTGCCCGAAAGTTGTTCGAAGTTGAAGGCAGAGGTGATCAGAAGTGACCTATCTAGGGTATGAAGGTATCTTCTGATTGCGATATCAAATCGGACTCTCTCCAAGCAAACAAGAAAGTTGGGAAAAGACTTATATCTGTAGACATCGTCAAGTTACAACTCTCAAACAGCACGTGGCCGACAGAGCTAGGAGCTCACAAGTAGCTGTCGTTCTCGCAAGCAGGTACACAACATGCCCGAGGACGTCACCCACCAAGAGATGCTTACGACTCGTTGTTGAACATGGCCATTGTACGACTAATATTAGGTCGCGCCAATGCGAACGTGGCTAACCAACTCGAAGGATTTACCAAAGCGGCTGTGCCTTAAAACCGCAGCCAGCTCTATTTTGCAGCCGATTTGCAAACCAACACCCAAGTGCAGTAAATAGCACCACATACTAACGTCGCTCGCAGCCATGTTGTACTCATCTACGTGTCTGCAAGACGCTGACAATCTCTTCATGCAAAAGATGGTCAAGTCCATAGCTTCTTTCTTTGCCTCCCTCTTTGTTTTGCAGTAGTAGTCGCCTATGTTCATCTCTTCCCTTTATGTACGCCGTCATGTGGCTTGGAAATGTTCTTTGGTTCTTTGTGTGGATCCAAATCCATCATGTAGAGGCCTTCAAAGGAGTTTACAGTAAGGCTTTTGTCGAACAAAGGTTGTTACTCAATGCTTATAGCCCCATCAGCCTGGCGAAATTCCACCTTCTCCCCTAGATCTTTTGCCAACAACCAATCTGCCACATTTACCACGATTATATCGACCTCGACATTGCTGAGTACGATCTCAGATAGTTCAAACGAACCAATACTTGCAACATCCACCATAAGCTCATTCACGACCGTCGTGGAGTATACGACAATACCTGCAGGCTCGTCGCTGTCTGCATCCAACAATAACAATCTTTCGACCGCAAATCTGAACAACGCGACCTCTTCGACGACATCGAGCTTGTCTCTATCGTCTACCCTAGCGCCAGTAATCGGCTCCTCGAGCACCGCGGCTTCAATACCTACTACCATGTCTACACTGAGGCCCACCAGTACTAGCGTGACTGACTTGTCAATCTCGACGACGTCTTCTTTGTCATCTACAAAGTCGCCTTCTGTATCACCCATCTCGAGCACAACCACTGCGATACTCCTGCTATTATCTGCTACGATTGCTGCCAGTCAAGCCATCACTCCAGGAATTGCTGCCAATGCTCCTAGCACTGGGTTACAAGTCTTTGAAGCAGCGTCTTCGGTATCAGCTTCGGCATCTTCTGCTGCCTCATCAGCTCAGTTGAGATCAACATCTTCTACGGAAATCAAAGCAGTTTCCTCAGCGTCAGAGACCACGCCCTTGTCCATTTCAAGTAGTGCTTCGAATGCCGCTTCCGAGAGCACGCCTTCTACTACCAGTAATGCAGCCTCGAGCACCTCGAGTACAAGCGAATCTCTAGCACCTTCGACTTCGTCTACTTCTGCTACAGCCACGACTATCCCTAGCAGTACAAGTAGCTCAACTACCACCACTAGCTCAGGCAGTATTACGTCGATTCTGACCGCGTCCGGATCTCCTACTATCCCTGAGTCAACGTCCAGTACCGCGATACCAAGTTCGATCCTCATTCTTCCCACAACCACACCTTCTCCGTCGTCGACCTCAACATCGTCTTCGTCGAGTTCAACGGTCACTACTGCAACAGCTACTTCCGAGTCCAATTCTTCGAACCCTAGGATCGCTCCTGTGAAGCCAACTTCGCATCAGCTATCACCTCAGGAGATCGCAGGGATATCCTTCGGTGCCGTTGCGGCTGCTGCTATCCTGTCACTCATACTCTTCGCTCTCTATCGTCGGCGTCGCGCTCGTCAGGCAGTCGCTGCTGCTGTTATCAAGGATAAACATGGCTCTTTTCCCGAAAGCGCATGGCTCTACGATCCTCGAATGACACCCGCTCGCGCCCGGTCAGCCGCTTCTGCCACCTCTCTCCATCACAGTCGCAGTCCAGTCAGCAGCATGCACTCCAGTATCCCCAGCAGTGCAAGCAGAAGAGACGCAGCACTCCTCTCTACCATCGCCGTCCCAGTCGTACTGCCAAAACGCCAACTCAGCAACCCCATCGGACGAGCTTTAACCTCCAACCCACCTTCTGCAGCAACCCGCCATCGTCTCTCCTCTTCACTACCAGATATCAAACCGCTGCCGCCTACACCTTCTGCCGCTGCAAAAACCTCCACTTTGCCCAGCCCCATCGCAGAAGTCCCTAGTCCAGTGTCAGAAGTCACCCCTTCGCCCAAAGAAACCAAACGTGAGAGTTTACCCGCGATCTTGAAGATTGGTGGGGGCATAAGGAGACCACTTACTGCTGCGCCGGTGATGGAGCGGGCGAAGCCAGGGCCGAATAAGCCTTTGCCTCCCAGACCTGTGGTTGATGACAAGAATAGACCATTTAGTTTTGAGACTGGGGACGATGGTTCGCAGAAATTCGGGATGGCAAAGTAGATGTAAGGTAAAGTTGGTGTAGAAAGGAAAGAGCGCTCGAGCGTCTGGTTGGGTTGCGTGTGATACCCCTGTTTCAAGTCTTGTTTATGTATCTGTTAGCTCATTTGTTTGTCAATAATATCACATTGCTTATAAGTTGATGGAACAATTCCTTGTATCCATGCCGTAACTCCGGCTACGACAACAGGTAGTGACATTGAGTGTGACAGCCAGGACTTGTTCCTTGAAAGCCAGGCAGGAAGGTATGATTGAGAAGATGATACAATTTTTCATTAAGTCTTGATTTCTGCTATCGTAGCCATATATCATGGTCTATACTACTCCGGAGCTTGACCCTTGGTGGCGGTCTCCTGAGGATCCTCACCAGCAGCAACCTCGTTGATCGCGTCTGTGATGATCTTGATACCCGCAGCCATGTCCTCCTTGGTAATGTTCAACGGAGGAATGAAGCGAAGGGTGTCGTAGATCGATGTTGTCAGAACGAGCATGTCCTTCTCCATGCACTTGGCCTGGATCTTGGAGGCATAGCCCTTGCCAGGTGTGCACTCGAGAGCCAACATGAGACCGAGACCGCGGACGTCGTAGATGAGCTTGCCGGTCTTGGAGTCCTTCCAGGCTGCTTGGAGAGCGTCCTTCAACTCTGCTCCACGAGCATTGACGTTGTCTAGAATCTTCTCCTCCTTGAAGGCCTTGGCGACTGCGACACCTGCGGCACATGATACTGCGTTACCGGCGTACGTGCCACCCATGCTTCCAGGGTTTTGCTTGTCCATCAACTCCTTGCGCGAGACAATGCCCGACAGTGGGAAACCGTTGGCGATACCCTTGGCCATGATGAGAACATCGGGTCTGACGTCCCAATGCTCAACAGCGAACATCTTTCCAGTTCTTCCGAAGCCGCACTGAACCTCGTCGCAGACCAGGAGGATGTTGTGCTTGTCACAGATCTTGCGGAGGGCTGCAAGGTAACCTGCAGGTGGAGGGACGTAACCACCCTCGCCGAGAACAGGCTCGACAAAGATGGCTGCTGTGTCTGAGGGAGCAGTCTCACGCTTCAAGAGCAACTCGAGCTGCAGAACGGGGTCCATGCAGCAGTTTTCGAAACCGAACTTGCCATCGGTGCTGTGAGAAATCGAGCATTGCTTGCAGTAAGGGAATGGCACTGAGAATACTCCAGGCATCAAAGGTGCGTAGTTCTCGCCGTAGATGGTTTTTGATCGTGTCATGGCCATGGTTCCGAATGTGCGTCCGTGGTAAGAGCCTTGCATGACGATAATGTTCTGCTTCTTAGTTGCGTGTCTAGCCAATTTCACTGCTGCCTCGACAGCCTCCGATCCCGAGTTCCAGAAGAAGAAAGTGTCGAGCGATTTGTGTGGCATCATAGGGAGGAGCGATTCAACGAGCTCCAGATAAGGCTTTTGGAAAGCAATGTTTACCTGACCGTGGACGAGTGTGCCGACTTGCTCCTGTGCTGCCTTTGTTACGGCGGGATGACAGTGACCCAGATTGGTGACACCAATACCGCTTGTGAAGTCGAGCATCTTGCGGCCCTCGGTGGTGGTTACATAGCTGCCCGCGCCGCTCTCGAGGACATGGTTTGAGAGACGACCAATTCCACGAGCCACATGCTTGACACCAAACTCTGCCAACTTGCTGACGCTCATGATGGATGTGATTGATCTGTTGACGATGGATGAAACAGGAGAGCGAGACAAAAAGGCCAGAAGGGACTCTAGCAGACCACGGGGCCGACACGTTTATGTAGAAAAAGAAGCTGGAGGAGCTAAACACCGCGGATCGTCATTGACGAATCATCAGAGCTCCCGCTGGTCAGCGCAACGCCCAAACCTGGCTAATCTGCACGAGATACACGCGGTTTCGGTAGCCACGGCAGGTCTACACCGAGGCCTCGTACCTTTCTTGCCAACTGCAAACACGCGCCTCTCTCACACTGCATCTCATTGCCGGCTCTACGTCGTATCTTCTTTCGTAATGCCATCTCTTGTGCCTGCCCTCTCCGCATTGCCGTCGCTCTGATTACCCCAGTGAATGACCAATGATCGTGTTCTGATTACCCCACTTGTGATATAGAAGCTTGGACCCATGAGCAGAAAGGGCAGGTTCAAGCGCACTATGAATAATCCTATAAAAATCCACACACCTCCGTCATAAAGAGAATGCGTTTCTTGCAGAGTCTCTTTGGAAGCGATCTCGTGGTGTAATTATGCTTTGTATCGCTACTGCTAGAGATACAGTGATCAATGGACGTGAGAGTCTGACCAGGGGTCTTCGACAAGTAACAGGTATGGGTCAGTCGTGTCTTCTACCAACATCTCCTTCCAACAAACATTCAGACATACTGCTACAACAATACACAGAGCATCAGTGGTCAATCAAGCCGTCCACTGAGAGTATTGGTTCTCGTTCCTTCCCGTGGGCAGGAAACCATTTTTGAAAGCACTGTGCATTGTGATGGGATCACTTCATGAGAGTAGACCTTTGATAGAAACCACGAAAGTAACGTTGTGTGTGTGACAGGATCAATGGCTTGTGTTCACTCGTTGATGCTCCAAGAATCTAATTCTACATCTCTGCAATTGCTCAATTGCTCCCGATGCCCCCTGAAGAGTGTTCTGTGACCTGGTCCAACTAGTCGTATGAACCCTGGCGCTGTTGCTGTTAGTTGTGTCTGGATTGATGGTGACCATAAAGGGTTCTTACATCAAATGCGTCCTCATCGAGAGTATCCGAGTGACCGCGAGTGGCAACAAAGACCCTGTGGCCGTTCTGGAGTGCAGCCTATAATTCGACATTGAGCAACAAAGAAATGCATCATGGATGACTTCAACTCACCGAAGCGCAGGTAGCCTCACGTGTCAGATGAGTTCTAGTGTCTTGGCTCCAGTAGACCTTGTCGTGCTGATATGGTTTGCGGTCGAAGATGCGTTCGTTGGGCTCGAAGACGACAAGCTCAAGACGCCAGATTCTACAGCCGGGATAGTTCGAGGGGGTGAGCCAACGGATGGTGATGGGGCTGACGGGGTCATTGGTAGGAGGTGCAGCTGGCTCGGCGGACCTGCGCTCTGCCTCAAGGTATCCCTCTGGAGTTGGCCACTGTGAGAGACCCATGATGGAGATGGTGGTGCTAGACCGGTGTCCTGAACTGGACAGAGACGAAGAGCTAGAAAGCAGCCATAATATAGCCATACTCTGCTTAGTCGTTGAGAGGTGGTCGTTCGCTCCGGAATCTTCTCATGGTTACTTGAAACGACACCACCGTAGCCTAAGACGATATCTTCTTGTCGCCTTCTCAATGTTGTTCGCTAAGGTGGCTTTGACGATAGCTACCAGATATTGTCAAAGAAGATTCGTTGATCTCAGCAGACTTCGTTTGCGGTTTGCTGCTTTGCTATTGTTATGACTACCGGGAACTTGTAGCTATAAGTCACCAGAATGTTCATGTTATAGCTTACGACCAAGGAAGTCTGCTTGTTTCAGCCCATACAAACTGCAGAACAAGTGCTTGCTAAACTAGTCTTGCACAGAGCCATGACTTTGACAGTCTTTCCGATAGAATAAGATGCCTTGACTAAGGACATCTAGCAAGTTTGACAGGTTCAATCCTCCGGAGCATCCGTCAAGTCCTTTGAGTAGAAGGCTGCGCCCAGGAAAGAACTTCAACCTATTGCGGTAGAAGAGAGGTACTCGTCGAAATCCAGAAATGGGTTGGCCTTCGCGCTGAGGTGTCCAGCCATCGCCTGATAGATTCGGCGAGCATTGTCTTCACGAATCGATCCGTCTGCAAAAGTTCGTACGAAGTGAAGAATGGAGATGTTGACGAGAGAAGGAAAGGACATCTCCTCTGCTCAGCTCAGGTCGCCAGCCACAGCCCCTCAGCTTGGACTCTTGGCATGCAGCTTCATTGGAACCTTCACTGCTTGTTCCTCCTGCCAGGACCACCACAAGACGACGATCATTCAAGCTTTATCGTGGTCCCCCGTCGGTTTGAGTCCTGCATCATGTAGATGGCGGAAAAATCATTTCGGTGGTCGGTTCATCAGTATCCGATAATCTATTGCAGCACGCCATGTGCTTGCGTGATGATAGCGATGTTGTCGACATTGTCTTGTGCACATGGTTATAAATTGCCTGGTAGATTTGACTGTTGCCTTGTCCATGTCTCATTTGATGCCATCCACATCTCTCGAAGTATGCCTCATTTGAAGTTCTTTCTGTTTACATTGCTTGGCTTTTCTGGTCAAGCAGTATCTCAGCTGTACAGCAATTCGACTATTCCTGAAAATAGATCCGTAAAGATCCAGTGGTTGGATCAGAAGCCTGCCTACAATCCTGGTACGACTTTTGGAGTGCCATGGCCTCGAGGAAGATATCAGGCAAACGACACGATCTTTGCGGTATCGTCTGAGGGTAACCCTTCGGTCGCATCCGAATCTTGGATCACAGGATACTGGTCCGACTCTTCGGTCAAATGGACGGCTCACGCGATCGCAGCTGGTGTGACAGAGGAAGATTACACTGTCACTGCTATGTCGAAGAACTCGACGCGCAGCACTCTTGGAAATACCACTTTGACGGCGCATAACAGTCCAGACATTATCGAGATCGATACTGGCAAGATTGCGGTCGCNTTTCCGAAGACTGGCAATGTCCTTGTGAAGCAGATAAAGACGTCGAGTGGTCAGGTTGTTGGACAAGACGGCAAACTCATCCTTCGTTCACAGTCATCCGTTTTAGACGACGAAGACAAGCAAGATCAATCCGCCCCCGAGTATTTCAACTTTGAGAGCAAGATAAACAACGTCACGGTCTCAAAGGACAACACCGCTCGTGCTCTGGTCACTGTTCGCGGTGATCAGCGACAAGTCCAAGATGGAAATTCGTCAGTTTCCGCGCACAAAGATTGGCTCCCCTTTGTTGTTCGTTTCTATCTCTATTCGAACTCGGAGTCAATCAGGATCGTACACTCATTGATATATGATGGGGTACCCAAGAGTGACTTCGTGCGCGGTATTGGTCTTCGCTTTGATGTTCCCCTCGAGGATGAGTTTTATGATCGCCACATTCGTATTGCTGGTGTGGATGGTGGGGTCCTGAACGAAGCTGTCCAAGGCATCACAGGGCTTAGAAGAGATCCCGGACAAGCGGTACGGACTGCGCAGTATCAAGGCAAGAAGACTCCTGCCCTCGAGACTTGGGACACGAGAGTCTCTTCCCGGCTAAAGTGACTCCCTACCTGGAACGACTATAGCTTGGCTCAGCTATCTTCTGATGGCTTCACTCTGAAGAAGAGGACAAAAGCTGGTCAGTCTTGGATCAATATTACCGGCAGCACACAAGCTGGAGGACTTGCATATCTTGGAGGAGCTACAAAAGGTGGTCTTACTGTCGGGCTCAGAAACTTCTGGAAGCAATATCCTTCTCAGCTGGATATTTCGAATGCTGCTACAGATGTCGGTTCGATCACTGTTTGGCTGTACAGTCCTGCTGCCCAGCCACTGGATATCAGGCCCTACCATGATGGCTTGGGCGAGACCGACTATGCAGATCAACTTGATGTTCTTGAGATAACTTACGAGGACTGGGAAGGGGGCTACGACTCGCCTTATGGAATCGCAAAGACAAGCGAACTCTTCCTCTTCGGCTTCGACAGTACTCCTGAGTCTGATTCTCTTGCAACTTTGACCGACTACATCAACTCTCCATCTGTTCTCATCGCCGACCGCGACCACATCGCTCACTCAGAAGCTCTCGGGACTTACTGGCAGCGCCCCAAGAACAGCAGTGCATCTGCTCAATCTCTCGAGGATCATCTTGACTTCCTTACCGACTTCTACCAAGGTCAAGTGTCTCAGCGTAAGTGGTATGGCTTCTGGGACCACGGCGATGTAATGCATACGTACGATGTCGATCGCCACGAGTGGAGATATGATGTCGGAGGCTATGCTTGGGACAACTCAGAACTGTCCCCCAACCTCTTCTTCTGGAACCAATTCCTTCGAACCGGACAAGCCGATCTATATCGTTTCGCTGAGGCTCATACTAGGCACACTGGCGAGACTGATGTCTATCACCTTGGTCCTTGGAAGGGTCTGGGAACAAGACATGGCATAAACCACTGGTCAGACTCGTCGAAGCAGATCCGCATCTCGCAACCACAGTATCGCAAGGTCTTCTACTATCTGATCGGTGGTGACGAAAGAACAGGTGATCTTCTCACGGAAATTTTGGATGCCGAAAAAGCGTTCTTGGTCGTTGACCCAAGGAGAAAAGTTCGAGCTGCGAACATCACCTACGTCGCCGATCCAAAGGCTCTTCTCATCGATGTTGGTTTGGATTGGTCAGGACAAGCAGCAGCCTGGCTCATCGAGTGGGAGCGCCGTGGACCTCGCTGGCAAGAAGCAAAATCCAAACTTCTCGAAACCATGAAAGGCATTGCGAAGTTGAAGAATGTTTTCGTGACTGGCGAAGCGCTTTATAACCTCTACAACGGCACCATCAGCCCCCCATCCCAAGATCCTGACAACAAAGGCGTGGTCGCGGTATCTCATCTGACCGCCGTGTTTGGCCTCGTAGAAGTGATTGCAGAACTGACAACACACTTCGGCGACGCTTTGCCTGCAGACTTTGAACAGGCTTGGTTAGACTACTGCTATTACTTCGGCGCCAAACAAGCAGAACAGAAAGCCAGAGATGGCGAAGCCTTTGGCAAATTGAACCTCTACCAAGGACATTCGCGCTTGACAGCCTACGCTGCGAACAAACTGCACAATGCGACGTTGGCTGCTCGCGCTTGGAACGAGTTTCACAACACTGACGGGTTCAAGGCAGATGCGCCATGGAGGACTGAACGTATAGAGGGGAGTAAAGTACTTTCCCCTGTCGATGAAGCAGCTTGGGTGAGTACGAATGATGTAGGCCAGTATGGGTTGGCGGCGATAAAAAATCTGGCTTTGATCGGCGAGTATCTGCCGTAGACTCTTGATCAAATCTTGACTACTTATCTTGTTGGCACCTTCCCAAAGCCTTGCTGATTGAGCATCACCAATCCTTGGATAAAGGTGACCTGCACATCAGATGAATCGGAAGATGTCCCGTGCGACACGATTCCGAGTGCCTTCGAACCCATAGTCAGACTAGCACTCGGTATGAATACCGCATTGTTCTAGACAGTATCGAGCCAGAATACTGAGGGTATTATGTCGGTTTTGGTAACGATTCCGTGAGAAGAAATCGATGTTCCCAGAAACGGCATATCGACCTTTTGATACAGGTTTGACCCATTCTCGCGTTGTGAAGAGTATTTGAGCACAGATCACAGCGAAGGATGTCAGAGACCAGACATCGGAGGGTGACGAAGCTAGAACCTCTGCGTCAAGCTCCAGAACAGATAATTGGGCAAGCATGGTTGACATGATCACTAATCGCTTCTGTCGGTCATGGCTGCTTGGGCTCACCGGTACTTCCCTGCTTCTCTCCTGCTGTGTGATGCTCTCCTCCATAGTTTTGCGACTCGTCGTGTTTCTGACCGACTGCTTCGTGTGTGCCCGACGAGTCGACATTTGTGGATTGTGGCTGCAGGCTTCGGCCATTGTAAAAGCGTTCTGCCCCTTCTATTGGCACGATATCGGACAAGTCTGATGAACAGAAGCAGGACAGACAATCCCACAATCCAGGGTCAGATTTCCTGACAAACCACAATCTTCTTCGAGAGGCCCGACTTCCGGACCCGCAAGCAGCACACTTTCTGTCAATTTTCTCGGATGAAAAGATGGGTTTCCATCGCTTCCATGTGAAGGTATCGATATCGTCCTTGTGCAACCGGAACCATACCGCTAAAGCGCTTCGTCGTCTAATTTCGAAACTGGCAGCATATCGTTGTCTGTTACTCTTGTTGTTTCGGGCCAAGAATTCCTCCGTCGAGGTCTTGTCTTTACGTATTTTCTGCACATAGCGTCTTCGAGAATCGACCATGGTTTCCCAATATTTTTCTCTCAAGACGTCGTCACTCTTTTGCTTTTGCAACCAGCGTGTTTGGCTTTCCGTTCTAGATCTTTTGTATTCAAGCCAATTTGGGCCCTCCTTTTCCTCTGCACATAAAGCTTATGGTACTCGCTTCTGCGATTCTTCCGCTGTTCGTCCTTTGATCGAGCTTCATCAAGATGTTGGCGGTCTTGCGATGGTTGTGGTGCGAGGACGTCGTCTTGTGAGCTACCGCGAGCAACAAAAGTTGAGCGGCATGACGAGAAGGCGGAAAGACCAAGGGGTACAGATTGACGGATGGCTTTGATCGGTATACATGTCGTAGAGTTTCGGCGACTCGCAGTAGCATCGTGGGCATGGAGAAGTTGTGATGTGCTGCTAAGAGGAGTAGAGTCAGTAGACAGAGCGCGCCAGGGAAGCGCCTTGCATGTGAACGCCAAGAAAACACTTTCGACGCTCGAGTCTCGCGTGCCCAACTCTCTTCATAATTTCCTTTGCAATTTTCACAAAATATTAGAAGCTATGCATGGTCCTACTGCGTAGTCTTTGCCCTCACCCTTCTCAAACTTCGCTTCGAACGTCCATCTGCTGTCTGTTCCAACCGTCGCATCTGTTTTTCCATCCGCAGAAGGATCTATCGCTGGTCGTGACAGACTATCTTTGGCACAGTGCTCTCATCAACTGCGAACAACAGTCTCAGTAAAGAGTCAACACGTTGATCAATGCGCATATTGATATGAATTATACAGAAAGGGGTCCAAATTTATAACAACATATGTATAAATGCTTGCAATACTTGGCTCACGCGTTCCATATTGCATATGATCGATCTGCAGTCGCACCAATATCAGATCTTGCAACAATCGAGGACGGCCGGACACGAAAAGACAGGGGAAAGGGCTGGATCTCCCGTCCTGCAAAGAGGGCCAGATACGAGTACCCCATCGCGTCATGTTGTCAGAAGGTCGACACACATATCACCATATCACCATATGCTGTGCCGCCTCCAAGCGACTTTCCTAAAGCGGTGTTTGCTTGCGGGCGAGAGGCCCGTGTCCGGCACGTTTTATGTTTGTGCGGAGTCTACCCCGAATTTAATTGGAGAGCGTATGGAGTACGTTGCCGCAGGCCTGCCCCTTTCGCCGTATTTCAGTCCCTGTCAATCTTGTTTTGAGAGTGTCAGAGAATGGAGATTTGCGTATTTCGTGTCGGTCGTGTATCTTTCATTGCTTCTTGCAATCAGCCTGCAACGAGCGTGTTTCGTATAGCTAATTCTGGAGCCTGGAGGGCCCACGGGCTGCACGTCGGGTGGCCGCTCCAAGACAGGAACGCCGTCGTAGGTCACCGTGCGTCTTCTCAGCAGGGCAGCGCGTCGGTTGGCGCATTCGCAAACAGACGCGCGTGTCATATGGTGGAAGTTGCACATTTGAGCCCAGGCCCTTGGCGCGAGACCCTCAGGACCCTCAAGGACCCTGTGGATGGGTTTCGTGTTCTTTGGCAGATCGTCCAGGAGGGAGCGAGCTAGTTTGTCGAGATTGGGGCGCAGTGTTGTTCGACGCAGTGCGCGCAGCGCGAGTCTCCCTAGGCGATGTTGTGCCTGGCGGGCGGCATGTCACTCTAGGATCCTTCTATAAGTGATGAATGCAGTCCGTGGGCCGCACCTTCTTTGTCCTTTCTCTTTGAACTTGTTTCCTGCTTGTTCACCGCACATTCATTCGTTTGCATCAACATGTCGAGACGCGATCAGATTCTATCAGCAGCGGCCATCGAACAGTCAATTGATGAAGGCCACATTATTGTCGTCCACGAAGGATACGCCCTCAAGCTGGACGGATGGCTCAACAAACACCCTGGTGGCCGACTTGCCATTCTTCACATGGTCGGCAGAGATGCGACTGACGAAATCAATGTGTAAGTCCCTTTCCTTATTGTGTGAGCATCGAGTTGGTCGCTTGACGTTTTGATGGATGGTCAACGCTGTCGCATGATTTTCTGGGGTCAGGGTCTCAGGGTCCCTTCCAGAATAGCAACATGGACGTCGAGCATGCATCTTAGTGATGATGCATACCAAGATAAGCATGGTGACTGTAACTGCTATTGGCCAGTTCAAAGGCTTGGTTAGATTAGGTTGCTGACATGAATCAAGNNGTACCATTCGGCGCACACGCTCCAACGCATGAGAGCATACCGGATCGGCCGGATAGCCCAACCCTGGAGGAATCTGGAGCCGCCAATCCGCCGCGCTGCCATTCGTCAGCACGACGACATGCCCTACGACGAGAAGACCCAAGGAGACATGATCCTTGATGAGACTGAAGCCATATCAACACAGACCAAGGCAGATGCTTTGAGAGTAGAGCACTCGTCCCGCATGGCCTTCACCTCGGCCATGGAACAGAAGGAGATTGCCGAGGGCCTTGCTAGTATGCCGTCGGTCGATGGAAACACACAGTTGGCCATCGCCATGGACTTCCGCGCCCTGCATGAGCGTGTCAAGACTGAAGGCTTTTATGACTGCCCGTACATTGAATATGGCAAGGAGCTGATTCGCTACTCGCTGCTTTTCGGTACCTTCATCTACTTCCTCCGCGCTGAGTGGTATCTCACATCGGCCTGTTTCCTGGGCATGTTCTGGCAGCAAATCATGTTCACTGCTCACGATGCTGGACACCGTGGCATTACCGGCAACTTCATTGCTGATACTCTGATTGGTGCTTTCATCGCCGACTTTTGCTGTGGCCTCAGCATTGGATGGTGGAAGAGCTCGCACAACGTCCACCATCTCATCACGAACATGCCCGAACACGATCCCGACCTTCAAAACGTCCCTCTTTTTGCCACATCGCCCACCTACTTCCGCTCCGTCCTGAGTACTTTCTACAACTTCACCTTTATCTGGGACGCTGCCGCCGATTTCCTCGTGCCCTACCAGAAGTACACCTACTACCCTGTCATGGCCATTGCGCGTTTCAACCTATACCTTCTCTCCTGGCTCCACCTCATGTCGCCTCGCGCTGCCAACTTGGGCTCTGCTTGGTGGACTCGTCCCGTTGAGATTGTCTTTATGGCTGGCTACTGGGCTGTCTTCGGCTACGGCCTGCTCTGGTGCACACTCCCCACCTGGCCCATTAGAGTCGCTTTCGTGCTCATCTCCCACTGCATCACCATGCTCTTGCACGTACAAATCACTCTGAGCCATTGGGGCATGCCCACCGCCGATCTGGGCCCCACCGAGAGCTTCCCCCAGCGCCAATTGCGCACCACTATGGATGTCGACTGCCCCGCCTGGTTGGATTTCCTACACGGCGGCCTCCAATTCCAGGCCATCCACCACCTCTTCCCTCGTGTGCCCCGCCACAACTTGCGAAGACTGCAAGTCTTGGTTCGCGAGTTTTGCGACAAGACAACCATCAAGTACGAGTGCTATGGCTTTGTGGAAGGCAACAAGGTTGTTTTGAGCAGACTTGAAGAAGTAGGCAAGATGGTCGAGACGCTGGTCAAGTGTCAGAAGTTCATGGCCGAGACTGGAGAGAGCGGACTTCATTAGTTTCGTCCTTTCTCTTCTTACTTTTTTCTCTTCTCTCGCATTGTCCCTTTTTCTAATGAATACCCCTCTATCGACAGTGTTAGCGTATACACTGATGATTTTCACTTCTTTTGTTTGTACTCTGTGCATGTTTAAACATTGACCTGTTATGGTGTCTATTCGAAAGTAATCTCGTCCTTGAGGAAAAACACTTGAACTTTACTGCAGGCAGCTCTAGGTGAAAGAAAGAGTATAAGCAGGACTCGTGGATAGCTGGACCTAATTGTTTGTCTCGAGACATAGTGACATTGTAAGTGACTGTGAAGTGTGATCAAACAGCTTGCACCATACCCTCACGCTCATATCCCAACTCGGAACCTCGAAGCTCCCTTGTCCACAAACCACAGTTTCGTCATCACTATCCCCCACCTTTACTCTTTCTCTCCTTAACCTTTGTTTGCCTCAGTAACAGGAATTGATACTATATGAGAGTGAAACACTGTCATTGAAACGTGGCCGAGAGAAATTGCAGACGGAGGTGAGAGCACCGGGTGAAGGTCATGTAAAGGTCAGCTTTGATATACCCTGCCAGGGTCCCTGTGGGATATGGACGGAAGGCTTGTCCGCTTGCAGATCGAACATTGATCAGAAACTTCACCAAGACGTCAAAAGAGTACATGCTTGATATACGCATACATGACCTTTCTCTGAGCACTCTGTTCGATCGATGAACATCTGGATTATCCAATCCCTTTCTTGCTGAGGTGTACTCCTTGAAATACACTGGGATGAGCATTGCATGGTTGTAAGGTTGTTGAAGTGCACAGAGAATGCAATATCGACATATCAAAATGACGTAGACGTGACGCAGGAGCATTGATTGTCGTGCGACCCTCACGAAGAAAATGATTCATGCAATGACAATGTTGATACCCGATGAATATTTGTATTCGTCCTTGCTCCTCTTATCTGCTTCGCCTTTGTCTGCTCCATGTATAGTAGGTTGTTCGAAACTTAAGCTTAATCGATGTGACTCTTCAAGAACATCGGCATGCGTGCACTTGTGTCTTCTCCGCCGAGTGTTATTGCCTTCCACAGCGCCTTGTCAGTCTCACCCTCGGGCAAAGGATGCTCTACCTCCTTGTCAAATCCATCGAGCGGAACACGGTCTGGATGGCAAGTGGTGTCCAGCTTAGGCAACTCGCCAGTCTGGAAGTAGGCTCTTACAGCTTTGACAGTGCAGAGGCNTAGGATCTCTTGGTTAGAATTCGAACTTTCTCCGACTTGAAGAGGAGTCAAGTCTTACCTGACGCCAGAAGAAGAACCATGCCCCGCTGTATCTTGATGCAAAACCACAGAACCCGAGAAACCTGTTGACATCTTGTAGGCATTGCGGATGGGCGTGACAGGGTCGAAGGTGTTCCCGATGAAAAGGATGGGATGGGCGGTTGTTGCATTGAGGTGACCAGTGTAAGGCCATTTTGGGCGTGCGTGCCACTGNNGTCGCATAAAGTCAGTACATGGGTTTCTCTCGACCTTGTGAAAGAGGGAGCTTGGGCTTACCTGTGTGCAGGGTATCATGCTTGTCGCCCAGACATCTCCAAACATTTTGCTCTGCTCCATCAAATCCCCCATAAGCTCTTCGACCTGCTCCTTCGTTGTGTTGATCTTTGATTCGGCATCACTGCACATGATTGCCAGATGGATCATATACTCGTCCGATCCTCCATAACCCGGATTGCAAGCTCTGGAGTAAGGTCCATCTTTCTGGCACTCTTTGGGAAGGGTAGTGAGAAGCCGTGAGTCTGTTGCGCGCTTCGTTTTCGCCAAGATATTGCCCTTGCCATGCTCGATCTCTGCCATGACTATTGCGAGAGGACTGAACATGTAAAGAGGGCCGTAAAGAGCATGCCCGAGGAATTTCTGGAGATCACTGTGGGTTATCAGGTCGGGAGAGGAGACGTTGGTCCCTGGCACACCGATTGGGTTCTGCAAGAGACTTTTCGTGATGTTCGAGAACCTCTGAGCGATAGAATCGAGACCATCTTCGTGGTAGAGAGCGCAGTTCTCCGGTCCGCCCTTCCAGCAGTATTCTGCAAACGTGGCGGCATTCTTGTCGGTGTCTTGCAGAATAGTGGACCATCCGCCCTTATACCAGTCGAAGGAATCGACAACACCGTCCAAGATTGTCCGCTTCACTCGGTCAGGGTAGAGGTCGGCCAAGGTAGCTCCGAGAACAGTGCCATAACTGACGCCCCAGTACTGGACCATCTCTTTGCCAGGCTGGTACTTGACATGATCGAGTAGGTCGTTTTCTGAATTGCCAGAAGACGTCAGAAGTCTGCTGGCCTCTTGCTCTCTCCACTCGCCGTGTCTTTCGACGATCTCGACGATATCTCTTGCCACACTCGTCGTTGACATGTGCTCTCCAATGCCTGCTTCAATGGCTCTCTTCGAGCATGAGTCTGCCAAGGTACGATAAGTGGTCCAGAGGTTTGGGAGAGCTGTATCGCTGCTACCAGGCAGACCGTAAGCCGCCAGCTCCTGCTCGAAAGTCAAACGCTCGAGGAAGTGAGGAAAGCAACGGAAACTGGGTGTAGTGTGTTTGACACCACGAGGGTCGAAGCTGATGATATCGAAGTATTTTGCTGTCTTTTCGTCTGCATCTGGTCCTGCGCTGGCGATGGTCTGGGTGTTCTTGCCTCTGTCAAGCACNNCTGTAAAACGTTAGCACTGAGTATCATCCATTGAAATGTTGGCACATACCGTCTTCACGCCTGAGCCACCTGGGCCACCTAAATCACCAGTCAGTGACCAGATAGGATAGTTGGACGTAGTATTGCAGCAAGACTCACCAGGGTTGAGGATCACAGCACCACCATATCTGCTATCCGTCACCGGGACAGATGCAGGGAGTTTGATCAGAGCGATCTGAACAGTGCGGTTGTCCGCTGCTTCTTCAGCGGTCCAGTCGAGAGGGACCTGTAGCCTGGCGCACTGGAAGTCGCCATAACAGTCGTGGTAAACAAGTGATTCGGTTGCGGTGATCTATCGATGGTCACTATTCAGCTGCCAGAGTATGTTGAGGTCTGCACTTACGTTGCCCCAATTGAATTGGGATGTGGCTGGTGGGGTTGGGGCTTGAAGGTTGCTGAGAACATTTGTGGATGCTTGCACCAGATGCGTGATGGCCAGCAAGACAGCTGGAATGCTGTCGAAGAACATATTGGACAGAGCGAACAGCAAACGATGCAAGCGAGCAATGGAATGCGAGAAGCTCGATGGAGGAACAATTGGGTGCGAGAAGCTAATGGTAGAGGAATGGGTTGTGAGGGATATGATGATGGTGGAAGAATCGGTTGCAATATTCTGATGATGATGAAAGCGTGGGTTGCGATAATCTGGCAATGTGATGGTAGAATGCGAGGATGCAATGTTTGGGTCAGGGTAAGTTGTTGCCTTGATGTTCAACATGCAGGAGCGATCGTTCGCGCGGTGACATCAATAGTAGAAAGAGATGCGGCTTGGCGAGTTGATATACTCCTTCCCAACGCGGAACAGGTTGTCTTTTGCAGCAGTCAGCACGGAAAGGAAATGTTGTGGCTCATCGTGTAACAACAAAAGAGGAGATCAGTTTTATACATGTCTAACCACAACACCTATAGCCCCTCGAACGCCGATGCTTTTAACAAGGTAAGTGCTGCAAGTCCCAATCGTGCTGCGGTATCAATCCCTTGCCAAACAGGATCCCCGTATCGTACAGTAAGAAGTTTTTGGTATCCCTGAGAAACGCCCGAGTAAATGCAACTCATAGATCAGACATCGTGAAAGAATGCTCTGATCCACGCAGATTAGTAACGATCACCACCTCCTCTGCTGAAACCACCTCTGCTCTCTCCGCCAAAGGTTCTGTCGCCTCCTCTGCTGGAGAATCCACCTGAGAATCCACCTCTGCGCTCGCCACCGCGCTCGCCACCACGCTCGCCGCCTCTGCTGAAGCCACCACGGTCACCACCGAAGCCACCTCTGCGATCATTGTCACGACCGCCGCCGAAGCCGCCACGGCCGAAGCCTCCACGGCCACCTTCATTACGGTCGTTTGAGTATGGACGGTTGCGACCGCCGCCATAGCCGAAACCGTTGTCGTTGCTGCGAATGGGTCTGTCATCAACGTCGTCGATGTTGCCCTCAATGATTCTTCCATCGATGTTCAAGCCGGGTACTCTTGTGAGGCCAACGCGTCTGGCAAGAGCGGATGAGATCTCTGGAGGAGTGGACATGCCCCAGGCGTAGCGGGAGAGGTTGTTGATAGCCTTGACAAGAGCCTTCTTGCGGATGAAGCCGTAGGTGCCGATGTAGCCTCTGTAAGCATCGCCCTTGGCCTGCATGGGAACACGCTTGTATGCCTCGGCGACCTGGGCCAAGATGGTTGCAGCAGATCTGGGGACGTCTGCTTCACGGGTCATGTCGACGGATGCGGTAGCCAGGGTAGTGTCTTTCTTCAGAGGAAGATCTCTGAGCTTGCGAGGAAGATCCTGAGCCTCGATCATGGGAGAGATCAACCAACCTTGACCCTCCTTACCAGCACGAGCGGTACGGCCAATACGGTGAATGTAAGTCTCGCGATCGCGAGGCATACCAACTTGGATAACGTGGGTGACATTGGGGAAGTCCATACCACGGGCAGTGACATCAGAGGATACCAAGATACCAGAAGAGCACTTGCGGAAATTGTCGGAGGCACGTGTACGCTGGGCTTGACTCAGGCGCGAGTGGATCTCGAAGATACGAGCAGGGTAGAGAGCACTTGGAACAGTGCGGAAGCGGCTGCGAGTGTCTTGCTGGGGCTGGACAGAGTCTTCGTCAACAGGAAGCTCGGTGAGAGCGGCGGAAGCCAATGTGACTTCGGCAGTCGAGTTGAAGTAGATGATAGCTTTGAAGGGGCGAGCGTCAGGCTGAGAGGCATCGGCAATGGCGTTCTTGCACAGCTCAACAATAGCAGGGACGGTGTTCTCCAAGCCATTGACAGTAACCAGGTGCTGAGGAACACGAGCGTGGGTGGGCTCCTCGTCGTCACGCACAGTCCTGACAAAGTCGAAACCGGGTCTCAGGGTNNTTTCTCTGACCAGCCTCTGCACCTCGTTGGGCACAGTGGCACTGAACATGAGAGTCTGGCGGCTCTTCTCCTCGGGCTTGGGCAAGAAGTTCATGATCTCCTGGATCTCGGGCCAGAAACCCTGGTCGAGCAGACGGTCGGCCTCGTCAAAGACCAGGGCGTCAAGACCGGGAGCCTCGACACCAGAGTACTTGTCGCTGAAGATGTCCTTCAGTCTACCGGGGGTACCGACCAAGATGTGGCAACCCTGGCGCTGGATGGCGCGCAGACCAGCGGACTTTTGTGTTCCTCCTACTGCCGTCTGTACAATGACCGAAGTGTTTGCAACGAGACGCTTTGCCTCGACGGCAATCTGTTCGGCCAACTCACGGGTGGGCGAGACGATGATGGCGCGGATGTCGTCGGCGGTGGTTCTGTTGCCTCTACGAGCGGCGTAGCCTCTACTGCGCTCACCCAGAGAAGAGTCGGTCTTGAGGATGTTCTGCAGAACGGGGATCAGGAAACCCAGGGTCTTGCCGGTACCGGTCTTGGCCTGGGCGAGGATGTCGTTGCCGTTCAAAGCCTGGTTGATTGTTGCTGTCTGAACTTCGGTCATGTTCTCGAGGCCCATGTCCTTGATCAGAGTCTGGACGACTCCTTTGCTGACCAGTTGTCTCTTGCCTAGGTCGGCGAAGGTCGTGATGGGGCCGTTGTCGTTTTGCTCGGACTGAAAACCAAGACCCTCGTCCTCAGCGACGGCGGCATTTTGCTGCTTCCATTGGCTGCTCTGGTGCAGGCTTCTGGTGATGAGAGCTGCGTTGTATGGCCTTGAGATTTTTGAAACAGCAGAGATTCTGGGTGCGGTCGAGATGTGAGCAACACTGCGCGGCAGTGCGGTGGAGCACCTTCTAAGAGCTCCCAACATTGCGAAAGATGAAAATACACAAAAACGAGGGAAACAAGTCGATGTAGATTTGCAAGTTGAGGCAAAGGTAAATTTCAATGAGACTTTCACATGGCGAGTCCGAGCGCCAAACACCCCCGGACTTGATGCTCGCCGCCTCCGCCGACATTTCCATCATCATGAACATCCACATCTCCATGATGCCATGACCTTGACCTTTTGATTCGTCTCTCACTGGTTTCGCTTCCTCGTCATGGCTAGTATATGCCCTTCAGCAGCCTCTTCCTGCATGTCGCGCATACCTAGGTTCTTCTCGTAAAAGTCCTTGCCCTCCCCTGGCGAAGCCATGAGCATCGCTCTCATCAGATGTGGCTTTGAATCGAGAATCTCTCGACAGCACGAGATCAACCATTTCCCTAGTCCTTTGCCTCGAGCCTCAGGTGCAACATAGACGTCAGTCAAGTAGAAGACTGTGACATGGTCTGTGACAAAGCGAGCGAATCCCACCTGTTCCAGCTTTTCTGCTCCAGCTCCGTTACCCTGAAACTCGTTCGAGAAGTAGAATGATGGGTCCTCGAGTGTGGGTGAAGGTGTATCCGGTGATGATGGTTCGTCTGCTGTCTTGGACGGTGGGAACGGTGGTTGCACTGCGTATACCCCCATGACAAGTGAGTTGGATAGCATGTTGCGAAGAATGGCAGGAGGCATCGCTTTGGCCCAGTACATGTCGTCGCTGGAGTATGCATTGTTGACAAAGTCGTGTGAGATGTTGTTCAGGTCTGTCGATATGAGATACTCTTGGTCAGAAATTGTTGTCCGCCATTCTCTCGGCTTGTGATAAGAGGACATGATGAAGACCAAGTTGTGACTACGCTGTCGGTCGTTTACGTGTGTGTCTTGTATAGGTTCGTCGCCGTGATGAGATACGTCATGAGACAGTCCCTGCCGAGGCGTGACTCGGGCAGTCGTTATTAGTTATGCTTCTATGCTCGCATATCTCAGCTGCGACACTCCCAGCAATCTTTGGTCTTGACGACCGCCCGAAATAGAGTGCCGGTGGTGTTCTCCTGGCACCACAGAGGTCGACCAAGACCCAGATCGTCTTGATACAGACGACAATCACAAGTCTGCGCCATGACCCTGACCGCGACACGGATTCAGCCGCCGCCCACAGCCAACAGCAAGCCGAAAAGCACAAAATCCGAACACGGCCAACCTCAATCTTTGCTCTTCCGTCTTCCTCATGAGCTCCGCCATCTCGTCTTCCTGCTGGCGTTAGCCAAGCCGCTCTCGACCACTCTCTTGGACTCGTCCCACGATGACAGCTTAGACGTCGAGCCCGCTCTTCTCTCTACCTGCCATCGCGTCCGCGCCGAGGCACTCCCTCTCTTCTACGGCACCAATGACTGGGTCATCAAGACACGGCGCGTGGGAGGTGACACGGGTCGTCTCGATCCCATCAGCAAGAGGTTGATCACATACCAGTGCATACCTCGCTGGCCCGATGCCCTGCCAGACAACAAGCTTGCTCTGATCAGATCCATCGTGGCCATTGGCTCAAGAGGTTCTTATGTGGACTTCAAGGGCAAATGGTGGGATGGTGACCGTGCTGCCTTTCGCTTGCAAAAGTCGAATGCGCTTATCGGCTATCGCGTCGATGAGTTGGATTGCTATGATGAAGAGTGGGATCTGCCAAAGCAGCACAAGGACAGAGAAGCCTTCTGCAGTATACACCTTGTCGACCTATTACATGCGAGAATGCGCATCAATGCGCGGGCTTCTCGCGACAAGTGGCTCTGGACACGAGAGCGAGTACATGATCTTGCTTTCCTGCTATGATCATATCAAGCCACGCTTTGCACTGCCATCGCGTGCAGAGACTCACCAACCAGTCCACAGGTCCTCGCCAACCTTTGCAGACCTTGCTCGCGTAGTGGAAACACACGACACAAAGCTCTGCAAAGGCCACTACATCTACAACCTCCTTTCAAACAGTATGTTTCCCCTTCTCTATCCTCACTACCCCTTCCGTCCCTCCTAAAATGATGACCACACTTCGTTATACCCAGCTCACTTTGATGCAACAAATGTTGTGCTTGATGCAAACGCGATTCTGTTTCTGAATTTTCCCACACCCATACACTGTCTCTTCATACAACTCAATCTTTCGAGATCGATTACTGACGTTGAGGATTAGGACTCTTTCTACAAGACATATTCGCCGTCTCTTTCTTCGTGATGAACCATGTCTTTTTTTTTTATGTCGTGATAGCATAGTATATACCTGCTTGATAATCAAACCAACTTTTTCCACGAGACTTGTCCTTGTATCTGTGAATCTGAATCTCTTCTTTAAATCCTCGTCCTTTTTACAACCGTATACCTTTTTGCTAGCAACCTGGACCAAAAAACCTGCTCAAAGAACACAGATATCCTCAAAAAAGACATGTATTTCCCACTCCGATATGAATTCATCACGATCAACCACCCTTTCTCTTCCTCTTAAACCAGGAAAATATTTCTTTGCGTCAAAAATGTCAAAAAAAAGCCCAGGTTTTTTTTTTGCGTCGTATTCTCACCACCACCACCCACGAGGTCAAGAATCTCTCCTTGTAGAAGGGGCCCAAGAGGTCTCTCGTCTTCTTTGGACAAACAGTGTTGGAAAAAAAAACCCGGTTACGGTGATTCTTGCCTTGTCCCTTCATGAATGTTGGTTTCTGGTATTCTGTTTTTTTGGGAGATGACAAAGGACGAAGAAGACAGACACGTATGAACATGAAAACAGAGTCTGCAGGCTAGACATAAGAAAGCAAAAGTCGAAAGTTTGCAAAAGACAGACGACTGCAAGAAACAAAAAAAAAAAAAAAACTCTCTCTCAAACAACAACAACACTAGTATAGTGAACAGTCTTGACGCACAAGCAAAGACAGAGGAAACAGATGAAGATGGCAAGAGCGAGAATAACGGAGATGGTAAATGTGCGAGAACAGGCCGACAAACTCGATAGAGAATATTGGGAAAAACACCCGAAAAGCGACAGAACAAAAAACGCTACTTTGATGCAAATTATCCCTCTCCTACTACAACACCTTTGATGACAGTGTTAGGTCCTTAGATACCACCAATGCCTGATGCAAATTGAATCCCTGAGCCCCCCTTTTGTGTTGGCCCACTATGAAGACCGTCCCGATGTTATACTCCATCCAAGAACAAGGAAAAAAAAAGAGACCCGAAACCCAAGGTTGAAGAACCAAGAAATGATCCAAGAAGAAAAAAATCGCAAAGCAATCAAAGTACTTTTGGCTTCATCCACTCTGAAGTGCCAACACCAAGGTTCAAGCCATTGCGCGCCCACCATCGTCTGACTTCCATGCCTTTTCTGCCTTCGACGCCATCTTCAAGTGCCTCTTCGACATCGCAGGTCTTGTACTCAACCCTCAGGCCACTCTGCTTCCACCATTCGAGAACACTGACGTGTCCCATTTTGGTGGCGCCAACCAGGACTTGGTTGTCAAAGATCATTTTAGAGCCCTTGACGGCATGCCAGACCTTTAATACCTCTACATGCCCATGAGTGCTCGCCAGTTTAGCAACAGAGTCCTCGTGAGGAAAAGGGATGCCAGAGTTTACCCACCATCGCACCACGTCTGCATTTCCAGACTGCGAGGCATAGCATATTGACTTGCCGGGCTTCAGACGAATGGGTTTGGTGTCATCGTCGGGGCTTGAGGCGTGATGGTGGCGTTGAGAGATTTCACGCCACCATTCCAAGACAGCAATGTGGCCGGCGGAACTGGCTTGTTCGAGGGCAGCTTCGGTAAAGACCAAGGTGAGGCCTGATTTCTGCCACCAGTCTAGCACGTCGATAAAGCCTTGTCGTGATGCACCATCCAGTGTTTCGGCTGTATACTNTTTGTTTAGGAACCAGGCTGAAGTGTTCCAATACTCTAGGATTTCGACACGGCCAAAGACAGAGGAAGCTTTATCGGGCAGGAAGGTGCCGTCAAAAGTCGACCAGAAGAGATCTTTGTGGTGAGATTCGAGATGAGAGAGAACAGAGGTCATGCTGAAGCGCATAATGACCTTGATGCAGAGGCGAGAAAGCCAGCGTGGTACAGAGTTGTCGGCAATGAACTTTTTGACGTCAGAAAGGTTGCCGGTCAACAGAGTCCACTCGAGTTGCTCATGGTATGTTGTTGGACCTCTAGCACTAGCGTGCTGTTGCCACTCGGCAGGCGGCTCAAGGTTGGTATAGATATGTAGTGTTTTCGCAAGCTCCCAATCGTTGGTGGCGTCGATGATCATAGACCATAGCTCTGGCGGCAAGACAGTACGTGACTTTTTGGAACTCGTCTTGAAAGATGAGGAAGCATTGGGCGTGACATGAACACCGTGGCCAATGTTCATCAAGTCGACCTGGTTGCGTGCCGTGTCGACAACCTCATCCAAGGCATCCCAACACGTCACCTTTTTCTTGTCATTCTCAAAGGTCCACAGCAACGGCTGCAAGACTTGTATCCAATTCCATTTCCTCTTTATTTTTGTGAGCTGCTTTTTCGTCATGGGATTCTCCCACATCAGACTCGACATGCCGGGCACCATAACGATCTTCTTGGACACATTCCAGCTTCGCAAGATTTCGAGTACCAGGTTGTCCGTGTCTCCATGCAGCATTTTGGCAAGGTTGTTGGCGTCGATGGGAGCCAGAACCAGCAGGTCAGCCCATTGACACAAGTCGAATGCCTCTTTCTCGATGTCGACCACATCTCCGGTCGACTTCATCTGAACGCGCGATACATTAGGGATGGCGAGGCAACTGCTGGAAGCGGCGATGAGGTCGGCACCACGTGAGCCAGGATCCAGTACGGCTCTGACAGAGCATTCGGGCAGCGATGTGAGTTGCGGCAATAGATTGTTGATGATATTGGCATCGGTGCATCCAGTTGACGCCACGACTACGTTCAGCGACCGGGGCGACATGGCCTCGGCCGTCTGTATGTCGGGCACGGTGATGGCGCTCCGTGCCATCTTGTTTGCGTAGTAGGTATCAGTAGGAGGTCGAGTTTGAGCGAAAGACACATTCGTCTCCTGACAAAGGCAAAAGGCGCATACAGTCGGCCTTTTCTTTGTGATTCCTGGCGTGACGTAGCGAACGTCGAATTGTCACGAGCTGGTTGCAGGAATGGGGAAACGATGTATCGTCCCCTTAGTCAAGTACTGGTGCGCCTGCCTTATCGGGTGGTCGACATGCTTGTACTGCACCGTGCTCTCGAATCGTCCAGCGATAGATCGAGGTGCGTTGTTGTGTATTGAGGAAAAATTAGACTCGTTGTTCAGTTGCGGTAGCCACTTGAGGCTCTTCATGACCGCCATTTCGAGGCCAATCGCAAGCCAAGACCCTGACCATCTCCGATCTTCCCCGATCTCATTGGCTCCTGCCTGTTTGAACAATATTCTCCATGTATCAACATCAAGCCTGGTCGGCTGTGCCATTCTATCGAGGTAAATAGCCATTTGTCTCAGAAAACAGGTCTCTGTCTCAAAACAGTTCGCGCATTCTCACAAAACTACATAAAACTTACAAATAATTCACGAGATATTACATACCGGACACTTGATGATCTCCCCACAGGCGCCCGACATGAATACAGGTAACCTTACCATCTCTCTCTCCCAACTTCCATTGACTTGCTTCAAACGAAACACTCACAAATCTCTTGTGCTCGGTACATGGTTTTTTTCCTTCAATCTAGAAAACAGTAGCACCACCGTCAACCACAAAATCAGCTCCGTTGATATAACTCCCCGCCCCTGAACACAACAACACCACCACCCCATCCAACTCACCTACAGCCCCCATTCTCCCTATCGGATTCCTGCTCGCCCAGATATTTCTCGCTTCCTCCAAGCCTTGCCCCTCATTCAACACTGTATCCATATACCCCGGCGAAATAGAATTGACCCTGATACCAAACCTCGCCCACTCGGCCGCAAGACTGTTTTTCATGGCAATGACAGCAGCTTTGGAGACATTATACGCAACCTGAGGTTGAGGAAAATTGACACGGTGCCCAGAGATTGATGCCGTAAACACGATACTGCCACCGGTGCCTTGATCCTTCATGTGCTTGGCAGCAGCTTGAGCACACAAAAACGAACCGGTGGTGTTGATATCGAGTGTTCTCCTCCATTGTGCAGCAGTCATGTCCATGGCGTGTAAACAACCCACAACACCTGCAAAGCAAAGTAACATATCAATGGATCCTCTGGTGGCAGCAGCAGAAAAAGCACGCGTCACATTGTCCGCGTCTGTAACGTCAACGGCTTCGGTGATGATCTTTGCAGAAGGGAAATCGTGGTGTAGAGCTTCGATTGCATCCTCCGAGGAGTCAAAAGTAGAGCGTAGGTCGAAGAGGAAGAGGTTGGAAAGCCCGTGTTCGAGGAGTGCTCGTGCGGCTGCTAGGGCGAGTGTTCCGGCTCCTCCGGTGACNNTGCTCAATAGATCAGTATTTGTTGATTTCCATTTGCTCTGATTTGATTCATGATTGAGCAGCAACAGTTGGATGTACGTACTGATAGCATTGCCCTCGACGGCGAATCGAGCCATAGCTCTTCCTTCGGCATTCAGATAATGAGGTAGCGGTGGGGGAGCAGCAGTCAACGAAGCATTTGTTCCATCCGAGAGTTCCATGAACGGAATTGCTCGAGAAGACAGAGCATCGCGTTCAGACATGTTGAAGTTTCTCGAGTGCAAGGGCATGCAATACAGCTTTGGGATGAGAACGAGACGTGGTACAATCTGTGGAAAGCAACGGATCCTTGAATTGACAAAGCAAGATCGATCAAGTTATAGCAAAGCAAATGATATATGTGATAAAGAGGTTCCTCGGGTGACACTTCCCGCAGGTGGTCGGGGGACAGTGTACCGAGATACAAGTGCAACGTCATGGTGGACCATGACTGAAACAGGAAGGTTATCCGACAGAAACCTCAACCCCAGTCTTCATCTCTCTCTTCCCGTTTCCTTGTTTGAAATGTCGTCAAGGAACAGCAAGGCAAGCGAATGGTTTACGTGAGTCGTACATCTCGACTCGAGGTGTAGAAGGTATACCGGATCGCCGAGCAAACAGTGTAGATCGGTGTGAAGCCAATCATTCTTCATCGGGTAACAGATGTCCGGCCAGCTTCTTGACACCTTTCTTGGTGTTATGGATGATGGGAAAGAGGCCATCTCCAACAGTCATGTCAGCTCTGGCCTCAAGCTCAGCTTCATGGCTCCCCTCTTCTTCCCTGGTCTCGTCTCGCAGGACCTGGAACATGGAAGCCACATCATCCAGCTTCTCCTCAGTGAACAGAGGTTTGGTCTTGTTACGCGGAGAGTCGCGGTCGTCTGATCGCTTCAAGACTTGCTGGATCTGACGGCGAGCAAGTTCTTGACCAGCGTGAAGCATCTCGGCTACATCATTCTTGTCCTTTTCAAACGTCTCGATATGGTCAGTGGCCAGTCTGTTTCTGCCTGTGTCGATGGCGTCGGAAACGTGGTTGTATTGCTTGATCAGGTCTTCGGCTTTGGCGAACAAGAGGTGAGCGTGCTCGTGCGCGGGTCTGAGGTAGAAGGTGTCTTGGGTATTGGTGCCTTTTTTCTGCTTCGGAGCAGGTCCGCCGAGGACTTCGGTGAGGAGGCGGCGAATTTCGTTGTGAAATTGCGAGTCGAGATCTGCTCTGCTCATGTGTCAGTCAGCGGGAAACAGAGAAAGATGCGACGCCTTNNACAGCTCACGCTCCTTGTCGTCAAGCATCTGGATGAGCGCCTCTTGGTCCTTGTCGACGCTGGCGCGCATCTTGTCAACCCAGCCATCGTCTTTGTGCTTGAGGCGATCGACCACCAGTAGCATCTGTTGGCTTTCGATACGTCCCTGATCTTCTTCCTCCTCAGATGCGCTTAGGTCGCCAATCTCCTCGGCATCTACTCTGCGCTTGGAGGATCTGCTTTCTGGTGACTGCGTGGCTGTGTCTGGACGTCAGCATTTATTTGACTCGGTAGTGTCGTGCATTTTGTACCTTCAGCCTTGCGTTTGCCTCTTGTCGTCATCGTGGCTGTCTTTGCTTGCCGTTCAATGTATCGGCTTTGATCAAAAGAGATTTCAGCGCAGTATGTTGATGGCTGGTCAAAGAGAACGTAAGCGAATTCTCATAGTCAAGTGTCAACTCCAGCGGCAAGCACGCTGCATGGCTCCTTCTTCGCAAATCATCAAGAGATGGAAACCGAGAAGGCTGAAATTGACATCGAACCAAACTCAACGGTCAGAGTCAAGAAAGAATCGAGTCGACGCGGAATGTATTCTTACTATGTATGTTTCCTCCCCCGAAAAGCCTCAACGGGCAGCACACCAGGTTGTATCCAAGAAACCAGAGAGCGACTCAAAGCATGCCAATGCTTCAGATATCCTTCTTCGTCAAACAAACGACATGGTCTGACGTAACGCACGACTTCAAAATGTCAAGTGTCAAGATCTTCGAGCGTCTTTCGATGGCTCCGGCACCGGGTTCCATTGCAAGGTTAGCTTTCGTCTTTGGTCGAGGAGCAGAGTTTACTTGACGAAACGCATAACCCCGAACGATCATATGTAGCCAAAGCTGAGCGTCTCGGAAATTGTGACGCAGGTTTTCATTGAGGACGACAAGGAGGCGACCGGTAAACTACCATGATGTTGCTGTCTCCTTCAGCAATCTTTGTCATTCAGCAAAAGACACAAAGAAAAGTCGAAAGGCAATAGGCAATAGGCAATTGGTAGTGCTTGTACAAGCATTCTCTGCAATCTCGATTCTGAAAAATGACTATCTGAGTTTATTGATACAACCTGTACTGTCTTTTCTTCCACGTCTGCTGTCCGTAGTGCCATAGCAATTTTCCTCTGCTATCTGGGAAATCATCAAGAATAAAAGAGAGAAACAACACAAAAGCAAAATGAGAGCCCTTGTGACCATTCATTCCCAGCCATGCGCTTCTTCATATAAGCTCCGCTCTACCCATCTTCCCTTTACCATATGTGATTCTTACTTTTTTCTTCTTCTTCTCCATTTTTTTTACCCTTTTTCTTGTCGTTCATCGCTGCCCTGACCGTGGTTTGGCTTCTAGCGCATCTGACCAAACTCGCCAGGACGTGTCTGGCGGTTACTGTTTCTCAACAGACTTTGGCCGAATGNGGGAGCTGGTCTGAATGCCAGTTCCTGCGAGGGCGACGGGTTACCGCCGTAGGATGGCTCATAGGGCTGTTGATCGTAGGAGCCGACGGGCATATACCAAGGCTGTTCGGAAGCACTGGGGAAGCCATTTGAGCTAAAGTATGGTGGTCTGCCGAAGCTGTTGCGGGATGCTGATTGTCCCTGCATCTGAGCCTGGCTTGCGGGAGTCTCGTGATATGCCTGAGGGGGAGCTGCGCCAGTCACATCATCGGCGTAGTTTGAGCGGCCACCTGTATGGGGCACGAAGAAAGACGATGCCGTGGGATTCATGGTTCTGGGTGAAGAGCCAGGTTGAATGGCACCAGGTCCGATCGAGCTTGGTGGCTGGTTTGGACGTGAACGGAAAGCAGCAGGATTGATGGCTGACAACCAAATACGTGTCTTGTAGATCTTGAACAGGTCCCCCACAAGCAGGTTGAAGTTGATGTATTCAGTGGAGTAGAAGTAGAAGGTGAGCTTCTTCCAGTCGAGCTGGAACTCGGCATCCAAGATCTCCATCTTGAGGTTATGCTCGTTGGCCTTCTGTTGCGCGATTCTCTTGGCCTTGGCTTCGTTTCCTTCCTTCTCGCGAAGGTTGGCAATCTCATGAGGTTGAGCGAGACGTTTGATCATCTTCGGCTTAGTAGGCTCTTGAGGGAGTTCTGGAGGTCCGCCCATACCAGGTGGATACTCGTCCAGCGGTCTGTCTCTGTGCATGCTACCGCTGTCTGTCCCATTCGAAGCCATAAGACCGCGTGTCTCTGAGTCCGTCAGAGCGAGATTGTGACGTGAGAACATCATCAGCCACTTGTAGTGATCCTCTCCAGTCTTCTCTAGAGCTTCCTTGGCCCTAGGCCAGTCGATCTTGGCATGAGTGACAGTTCCGAGGTCTTGACCACGGTCTGCTTCGACGATGACCAGATCGCCCTNCTTGACATCGAGGCCTGTGCCTTCATGGATGTAGAAGATACCAGATCTTGAGCATTTGAATGTCACAATATACAATGGAGCGCTCCATCCTTGACGTCCAAAGACACTTCCTGCGGATGCCGCTGATGAGTAGGGGCTGCTGTTCATCATGAGGCTTGTCGACTCGGCGCGGTTTCTGTGTGCAGTAGCTGCACCAGAGAAATAATTCTGGGCGTAAGCTCTGTGCTGCATATCTGATTCTGTCATGTTGGTCTCAAGGTCGTGAGATGTCTGACGGTAGTCTAGACGAACACTGCCATTGGATCCGTTTTCCGAGCCATGAGGCAAGATGGCCAATGCTGAACCGACGCTGCTGTAACCTTGAACAGGACCAGATAAACCACCAACCAGAGATCCTCGGCGTGTGGGGATATCCGCCAGCGAATGTCTCCTGCTCTGAGTGAGATCATCCATTCCAAAGCCAAGAGAGGTAGACCACATCCCACGATGAGTGCTATTTTGAGGTCGTCCAGAGTAGAGCTGTTCAGACTCATCGTCTTCTATAGCGGACTCTGCACCAGATTGTGCATAGTTGTCAGACATGGAGCGACGGACGTCTTCGGCAGCTGAGGCTCCGAGTGAGGCAGATCCATGTTTTGCGCGTGCACTTTCGTGTGTAGCCTGACGAAGTAGTGCGTTACTGAGATCCGAGAGCGGGTCTTGGCGTGATCTTGGATTGGCAAGCAGGACTCCTTGCTCAGGTCCTTCATCATCCTCAACCTCGCTCAACTGTCCCAAAGGTCTGCCCTCGGCATAGATTGTTTCTCCGAGGCCGCTCGGACGCATGGGACGGTACTGAGAGCCTGGGATGGCAGCACGTGCTCTTGAAGGCGTGCCCACCGCACCAGGGCTCTGGGGCCCCGCCTCACTCTCGAGTTGGCCGACCGAATATGATTGCGATCTGTGTGTCTTCAGAATGGGCTGAAGTGGAATATTGAAAGGGAAGGACTCAGTGGGATCCACCACGCCAGGGCTTTGCTGAGGAAGGTATGAGCTCAGACCGCTATCATTTGGTCTGAGAGGTAGCTCTCTTCGATCGGCTCCCCAGATCGAGTTGGGCGCAGCCCATGCGCCGCCATTCGAGCCGTTGGAGGGGACACGGCCGAGGGCGGAACCAAAAGTCCATGGATTATGTTCTGCAGAAGGAGTGGATGGTTGCGATCCATTAGGAGGGATCATAGGGCCAGTGACAGAGGACTTCCTGAGATCTCCCGACTTGATCTCGCTGAGAAACGAAGATCTGCGAATGCCTGTCGCTGCTGTTGGTCGCACAGCTACCGAGGAAGCTGAGTGAGAGAGCTCAGGCTCGTCCTCGGAAGACGCGAAAGCCTCAGAGTCTGGTGTCGAGCGACCAAATTTGATCTTGTCGGCTCGGATGGCAGTAGGACCAAAGCCAGAACGATTGACAGTACTAGTTGCCATGTTGACGCGAAGTATTGTTCCAGTGCGTGTATGAAGTAAAGGTAGGAAGTATGAAGAACAAATTCAGTAGGTTTCAGTGAGCTGTCAGAAGAGGTTATAGCTGGTGAGTCGCGTCACGCTCGGTTGGTGTGAAACAAAGGATGTGTCGATTGATCGCGGAAGCTTCCTAATTCTTGAAATACTCAGGAGAACTTGTCAAGTAGGCGATTCTGCGTTGTGCAAGGTAGCACTGAAATGTGGTTGGATGGAAAGATGGCAAATCTCTCGATGTACTGAGACTTTAATTGGTCAGCGGAGAAAATGATGTCGTCCCCGAATCGACGTTGCCTGATCAATCCATGTCAGCTGCCATTTGCATAACCTCGTGTTTCAAGTGATGCCTCTCCGGTTGTCGAGTCGTCGTGGTAGGCGTGCGTTCGACGTCGAGTCCGCCGAATCGGGCAGGAGCTTGGCTTCTGAAGCAGGGTCGATGGCATGTGAAGGGAAAACTCACAAGTGATATGCCAGCAAAGTAGTCACTGGTTCTGCGTTGTTACAGGGCGTGAAAGCAAACGCCGAGAACAAAGACTTGCGCCAAAGCGTATTGATATCCTTGAGTGAGAGAACGTCGAAAGTCGAGCGTGAGAAGAGAAAGAGGTCTGTGGGAAAATTCTGCGCACCCAACAGTGTTAGATATAAATTCACGAGGCGAAGACCGAGCTCCAGACGCCATATGCTCCACCGAGTCACAACTTGCGTCGTCTGTCAGGCTGTACGCCTCTCGAGCCCAATAGTCGATGGTGCCTTGGGTCAAGAGTGGAGCGTACAGCCTCGATCACGTATGGGACTATCGAGTCAAGACTCGAGACAGAAAACCAGACATACCTAAAAATCGATTGTACTGCCTGTATTCGAGCCCGTTTCCTTCTATCTATTGATCGTGTCTGATGGATTCAGGTTAGTGTCCACGTCGAGAGTGCTGGAGTTCTGCACCGTGAGCAATGTAAGATAATCTGACCTATTGATTGCGAATGTCTCGTCTAAGCGAAACAGAATGGAAACAAAGCGAGAAATATTTGCAACATTAACAAGAGGTTGTGTGTAAGCTTCTCAAATACCTATCACCAGTCAGTCGGCGACCACCATACGGTCGCGAGTCTGATCACGAACGCTTAGGCATCAGATTCGAGGGATTTTCGCTTACAAGTTCGGTCTAACGCCTGAGTCACAGTCTCATGGTCCTTTCTTTCGGATTACAGCAGACTGTCTCGATGGAATTGGTCCTGTACAAAGCAAGGTACTCCAAGATTCATTTGCGATGTTTGTGGAGAATCGTGCGACACGTGGGGTCGAGTCAGCACACCGTGTCGTCGGATATCTCCAGGCTGCGAATTCTGAAGGACGGCTTCAGCTGTTTTTCGACTGGCAGAGACTCGTGAAATAGGACTGCAAAGCGACTCCGCACCTGAAGAAGGGCGAAATGAACAGATGTTCTGGATCGCTCGGGCCCCTGGCTGTGGGGGGAGACTTCGGATGATGATGCAGGACGCCGATCACCTCACGACCGGGCGAGACTTTCGATACAAACCTGTTCGACGCGAGGGAGGATTCTTGAGGTCTGAAAGTCGTTCTTTCTTTTGAAGATGGAGATGAGGCTGGCGAGGTCTGGAGGGAGGAGAAGATATGTAGGCACGCGCAGGCTCAAACGACCACATAAGGAAGGCGCCAGACGTGAACGAAATGCGGAGGCGGCGCAACTGCTCTCTGTGGGCGGGGTCTCGTGCCCTCGATCAGCCACTTCCCTCGGCGCTAACCGACTCGACCTCGACCACCAAAGGTGGTGCAAACCACTCTTATTCTACTCGCTCGACATTCCGCGTGCTGCCATTGGTTCCTGTCTCTCCTTGAGATGGGTAACTACAAGCATCAACCTCATCTCCAACATCATCTGGCCAGCGACCCTTGAATCTTCTGTCCGACTGCGTCAGCGCTGTCAGGCCACCCCCTTGGCACGGTATGCAATCCCCGGAGCACCCGCTCAGATCCTCATCGCATGTTGTCCCACACTCCGACTGTGATGACAACGAGTGGAATACCGCAGACACATCCGAGTCCGCGAGCAGCCAGTATTCGGTTGGACAGGTACACGAAATCATCGCATTGGGGTGTTCCCACTTGGTACTGCAGCGGATAAGAGTGCGGGGTGCAGTGAGAGCCGCCATCTGTGTGGTTGACCCGGAGCATGTGGCCCTGCATCGAGTCTACACTTCAACACTAGCCATCCGGCTCGTCTTCCAGATGCCGTAACTATCAGACACGGAGTACAGAGTACAAGCAACAGCACCTGGTCGCTATGCGTTTGGAGGTCAGCGGTCTGCATTCGTTGAACTGCAAGCAATTTCTGCATCGAGATGAAGTAGACAACCAATCGTAGATACTACTACTTTGCCGCATCATCAGTCGACGTCCAATATGGGCAGGCCTTGGAAGTCTTCCATGCTTCTTCCCATCTTCTTGATCGCCTCTTCAGCTTTCTCCTTGCGCAGCCTCAACGTTTCCTCCACCGTCACCAGCACGAAGTCGTAAGTCAAGAGAGCTGTTCCTTCCTCGACCTCGTATCTCTTGGCCATTTCCGGGTCTGTCACTGTCGAAAGATCAACGATAAGAGAATCTTTGACGCCAAACACAGGATCAGAAGACTCATATGGGTCTCCACGAGGATACAAAGNCACTAGATGTCTGTCAGAATTCGAACGAAGTATATCTCTGGCAACGGAAACTGACGTGATCAGAGGGTCGAAGCTGTCTTTCTTCAACAGGAAATGAACATGGCCTGGTCGGTTTGGATGCCTTCCCAACATCTGAAGCATGCTGAAGACAGGCCCATCCATCGGGATTGGATAGGATACTGGCTTCACAGCCTTGAACCAGAAAGATCCATCCTGCTGGGAGAACAGGATACCTCTACCGTCCGGACCATCTCTGTCTGAATATTGCACGTCGTAGTTTCCATGCGAATCGCCCTCCCAGACATCGATCTGAACACCTTCAAGTGCGTTGCCCTCAGTATCTCTGATGGTGCAGAGGACCAGCAGAGGTGTGCCGTCGGGATCTTTGTGGATCGCATAACCATTCTCCACTTCCCGTGCATCGTGAGTATGGAAGGGGCCTAGCACAGTTCCCTCTGTCGAGTTTCCTGTGCGTGGGTGGTCGATTGAGTCGACCAGAGCACTCAATCCTAGGGTGTCTGATAGTAGGATCATCTCTCTTCTCAAGTCGGTGCTGATTTGGCCAACGTCTGTGAGGAAGTCCAGTCCAGTCATCCATTCGTCCGTTGAGAGTCTGGTCTCTCTTGCAAAGTCGTGCAAGTGAGATACTAGACGTTCAAATATGTATCTTGTCCTGGGATTCGTGCACTGTTTGTTGATGGCATGGACACTCTCCGTGATATTTTCTGTGGTGAGGTCCTTCATGGCGTATAGTGTATATGTCGGTTCCGATTCTGGGGGTTCTTGAACTTCTCGAGACGTGCGCCTCGCACTCTTATAACAGTTGCCCACATTTTTGGTGGTTATCGTTGCTCAGAGTGATCATGACGGGGTTTGTGGGGCGGCTCCAGTTCCCGTAAATGCCCCACCTCGAGGAGCTTCGGAGCAACAGCCAATCATGTGGTGGATGACCACTCTCGCTCGGGACCACCCTTCGGCACTTTTCTTTCTGCTATGTGCTCTGTTGTGGTTAATGCTGCTCATAATCAACTCATGAGTTGAGAACGAAATTCATGAATAATATGGTGACACTCACGCTCCATGCAAGCATGGGTTCTCTTCTGGGAAGTACACACGATAATGAGCTGGTAATCTGACATGCGGGATGAGCTAGCTTCGTGGCAGCTGCAGCTGCGTTTCCTTTGATCCTTCTGCCTGGAAAGCGTCGTCTTTCAGTGCACATCGGTGTCACCTCTACGATCTTTCACACAATTACCACATGATGTTTTCTCCTCATCCATTCACCGTGGCCGCGATAGGTACGTTGCTGGTTGGGAGCTTCGTCTATGTCGCTCTCGGCTGGTGGAAGCTTCGGCAGTCAAGGCAGGAACTTGAACGAATCAACAAATGTCTCCCTCCGCATGCTTTCTATCCTAATGTGGAACCCTTCATGGCACTCGACATGGTGCTCTCAGTACTGTCTGCAGCCAGGAAGAAAAAGTTGCTGGACTGGTTCAGAGGTAACTTCCAAACATATGGTCCGACATTCGTTGTCAGCACCCTCGGAAGTATCGCCGTTCATACCACCGAGGCCGAGAACATCAAAACAGCTTACTCTATGAAGTTTGATGACTGGTCCGCTGGACCTGGACGACAAGCTTTTAAGCATGTAATGGCGGGTTCGACATTTATGTCTGATGGCCCTGCATGGTCTCACGGACGAGGCATTCTGCGGCCAATGTTTGCCAAGGATCGTATCACAGACCTCGATCTGTTTGAGGCGCATTTTCAGCAGTTGCTGAAGCTGATACCGGAGGATGGGTCGACCTTCGATCTCAGTCCTCTTTTCCATCGCTTTGCAATTGATGTGTCTTCCGAGTTTCTGTTCGGAGAATCGGTCGGTTCTCTCAGAGAGTCCATGGGCGCCAAACCTCAGCTGGCTCATGATATCGAACTCGTCATTCAAGACTGTGCGGACCGCTCCCGCTGGTCTCTGTTGTACCGTTGGCTGAAGCGGCCGGGCGTTGATCAGGCCATTCGAAACGTGCAAGTTGCAACAGCCAATTATTCGCAGATGGCTCTGGAGCGCGTAACTAAGGATCAGAAAGATGCTGGAAAGGCAAATGAGAAGGACTCCCCGTATTCCTTCTTAGACGAGATGGCACTCCAGACACAAGACATCAAGAAGATTTCAGAAGAAGCCTTCAGTCTGATGTTTGCTGGAAAAGATACAACTGCTTCACTGCTCGACAGTATGTGGTATCTACTGGCCAGGCATCCCGGGGTCTGGAACAAGCTTCTCGCAGAGGTCGACCAACTAGAAGGCGCGCCACCGTCATATGAATGGGTAAAGAACGCCAAATATCTGAGATACTGTGAGCATGAGGGTACGTACGCACCGATGCTGTATTAAGGTATATCGACCTAACAAGTGTATAAAGCTATGAGGCTCTATCCAGTGACCCCAATCTTGCCACCTCGTGTTGCCAACAAGGATACTGTACTTCCGCTTGGTGGTGGTAAGGACGGCAAATCACCCTTGTTTGTGCCTAAAGGCTCGGTCATGGTGGTCAACATTCACTCTGCGAGCCGACGTCAGGAGGTTTATGGAGATGACGCCGAAGAGTTCAGACCAGAGAGATGGGAAAACCTTCGTCCCGGTTGGGTATGTATTCTGTGCACAACATTAGCCACAAGTCCGTTGACGATCTTGTGTCTAGGCNNTTACACCCCTTTTGGAGGCGGGCCACGGATTTGCCTAGGCCGTAAGTGAAGACGAACACATTGTTATACCGATGACTGACACCACACAGAGCAATTCGCCATTACGGAGGTGTACTATCTCACCGTGCGCCTTATGCAGCATTTACGCCGCATCGAGTGTCGCGACTCGAGGCCGTTCCAAGAGGATCTTGCTGGTGTTACATTGAGCCCTGATGGTGGCGTTCAGATTGGCCTGTGTCATGAGTGATAGCCTGTCTCGCCTGGTCAAGTATGCAGTGTTGCTGTTACCATCAAGGTCTCATTCATAGTCGTCAGTATAATCTGCGTGAGTCCATACCACAATCAAGACGCTTTCCATCCTCCACCGGTCCAGTCATCACACGTGGTGAAACAAGAGGCTTGAAAGCCTATAAGGCTCAGCTAGTACTACCATCCAGCTCAGTCGTCCCTGCATCTTGCTCTCTTTTGCATAAGGCTGCTAGGACTATGGTGTCACTTTCGGATGCTCGCATGTGTTTCACCGATACACGCATTGCACGAACTGTCGAAGTTTACATGGAGCTTTATCCTTCAATTGACTATCTATCCCACCATGCTACCTTCCGACTCGGATGTGCCATATTCTCCAATAGTACGCAAGATGCATGTTATCTTGCAGCCAGATCACGCCTGCTTCTTCTGATGGGTGGTACTACAGAGGTAAGGCGTGCTTGCGACATCTTTGATGTGCTCAGGCATTTCCCACCAGTTATCTTCCCATTGTAGCAGTGTTGCTGATCTGCGAAACTCTAGGAAGTTCTCTGGCTTGTAGAGGTCTGCTTTCGTGTTGCCGAGTATCGGGTTTGAATCGGCTTGGTTGAGAGGAGCTGCTGATATTGTGGGTGATAAAAGCATAGCGGCAAACAAGACAATGCCTGGCGGATTGATGGGTCGACTTGAGAGCAGAGGGATTATCATGTCGCTTAGCAGATATTTGGTCTGAGGTGATGCGGTGGTGTGCACTTGGGCTCGACGGTGGTGTGGAAGTGTGTGGTTTTGCTAGAAACCAAAGACAAAGATGATGGTTAGTATTGTTCTTGTCTAATCTCATGCTTTCCATCACCAGCATACAGAGCTAATATTGAGGTATGCGCTAGAGAGTATCTGTATTGTTGTCCATATGCAAATGAACAACCAATATCGATATCTTTGGTGTCTTTATTGAAGAATAACTCCGAGAGGTCAGGGTCATCAGCCAGAATGTGGGACTTGGCCGAAATCTGAGCCGCGTCAACACAAACGCGCAATTCGTCGAGCGAACTTCTTTGAGATTTGCGACGACCAACATCGAGACTAGTTAATCAATGAGATTACCAGCCACTCTCAATTAGAACAGCTACGACCGAGCTGCTTGATATAATCACAGGCTTCAGGACAGCCATGCATCTGAATAATGCAGCGTTGACGCGTTCGCTAGGATTGAGAAGGCCCGTCCCTCAACCTGACACGTTGAACGTCGCAGAGTCTCTATACACGATACGGTGAACCTGTCAAGCAGCCCATGCCCTCACTGCCCTAGGAACCAAAATCAAGTAGGTCAAAGTAAGGTGAACTTGTAGCTGCATTGCGCATGCCTATAAAGACCTAAGAGGTTTGCTGCTTGATTCCTTCTCATCACAACTCCAAACAGATCTCGCAAGCAAGCTGGTCTCGCTTTCCATTCACAGTCACTCATTGCAACTTCGATACTTTTGACTTTCATATCATCAACCAAAAAATCATGAAGATCACCGCCAACATCCTCGCCGTCGCCCTGACCCTCGGCCTCGCAACCGCTACCCTCTCTCCCGCGCACTCCAACACCAAAGGCAAATACCCAAAGTCGCCCTCTTGTAATCCCGCAAAGACCAGCAAGGCCATCCAAGCCGCCGAGTGCAGTCACAATACAAGAACCTCCAAGACCCAAACCTTTGCTGTCTTCAAGGTTGACCACCAATACGATGCCAACCATGGTGCTCCCTATGGTACCTGTGTGGCTTACACTTGCACTGCACCTACCGATGGGCAGTTGAGCTCTGACTCTGATTACTGGACTTTCTTCTGGAATGATAATGGCGAGAGTAGTGGTGAGGGTGCTGGATGTATTAAGGATCCTCAGACTGGCGTCTGTGGGTGCGAGAACTCGAACGGGCAGTTTGTTTCTGGATCTAGCAGCTGCAAGTAGAGCTTTCTCGCACTGGAAGAGCACAGCGACGACCATAATGGATGTTGCTCAGGATATCGATTGAATATGCACAAGTCTTTATGCTCATGCACAATTTATGAATAGAAAGCCTGGAGCTCCAACCTACATTCTCAGCTTCGAGCTCAACTTCATCCTTTGTTCCTCAACATCAGTGCGTAATTTCTTGAGAACAACATCGCACCGCTTCTCACTGGTATGGACCAACACCTTGGCTTCCAGGCCTAGCACTCATATGCCATGTCTGAAATGCACACCATTATCGTCGCAGCTGACCACGCGTTCTGTACCATGGACTTTCGTCATGNNAAGCCTTGAACTTGACGCTGTCGGCTCAACATATCCACAGCATGTTTTCATCTCTCAAGAGGCGTATAAGATCAGTAGGTATCAGATTCGAAACCACATTCTCCGCATTATAACCTCCNNCTCGACCCAACATAAAATGGCGTTCACACCTTATGATGAAGCTCTGCGCACACACTTCAAAGTCAACACCATTGGTCCTCTTACTTTGTTTCAAGCTTTCCTCCCCTTGCTTCTCAAGTCTGCGAAACCAAAGTTTGTGGCTATGAGCACTGACGTCGCTAGTCTGGGTGATACGGATACAATGCCATTGATGCCTGTAACTGCGTACGGAGCCAGTAAAACAGCATTGAACTATATTGTCAAAAAGATACACTTTGCGAACCCTGGAGTATGTAGTTGGGTGTTGAGCCCAAAATGAGTGAGGACAGAGATGNNCGAAGCCGTTGGCATGGAAAGAGCACCCATGGAGTTGGAAAAGAGTGTGCAGGCTATGNNCTTGGGATGGTGAGTCGGATGATGCTCTCCGACAACGGCTGACAAGATGTTCACTGATTGCGCGTTACAGGTTGATAATGCGACCTAAGAAGAGACCTCAGGCACCTTCCAATCGTTTGATGATTCCGAATGTCAATGGTGAGCACTGCACACATGAACAATTCGGTAATGATGGAGAGACAGGTAGCTTTCTTCTTATGATGTAGCAGCCAAGATACAGGCGGCTCGCGATTGGGGAAACTTTCGATCATAGCGTGACCTCAGAATCTTGGTTATGCATCTCTTTCATCGATTCATCGTCCTGCACGTGTCCTAACCTTCTCATCACGGGTGGCGATATTGATGTATCAAGCATAACCATATTTTTCTTTGCAGCTTTGAGGTCTGTAAAGTAATCATTGACCTCATCTCCAACATGGCAGAACAGCAAAGCAAGCGGATCGTCCTTCCAAGCCGGCATGTTGTAGCGTCGGGTATCCCACATACAGGCCAGCAAAAGCGCCATGGAAGCAATTATAATCGATGCTGGGAATGCTAGCCAAGCCCATCGTACACGGACAATGGCGCTTTGAAAAATGGTTGTTCCTCGATATCGGGAGCTCGGTGCTGATGTGAGGCCGTTTGCACGTATATTGTTTGTCATGCTCAAGGCGACTTTGTCAACCCAGTCATGCCAATCTTGTACGTGTACCAGGAACTTGCCCCAATCATCGTCGTAAAGCCATTGTCCTGGTATTTGATCAGTGGGGAAACCTGTTCGAGACTGGAAAAATGTCTTTTGTTCGTATGCGATGGTCGTGCCCATACCATATGAGAAGTTGGTACCAGCAGGTACGTTGACTTGCTCGGCCGTGAAGCCTGTGATATTGCTGAACTCGCTTTCGGTTTGGCTATTCAAGAACAGACGATCGGCTTGACTGTAGTTGGCAACGATGGTTTGGGTCTGTATGCCGTCCTGCACGACTGTGCGATAGGTCTGGACACACCACCAGAGAGCAAACGAATAAACTTTCGGTTGCGAATATTGACGAAAGGTTGAGTCTGCCACCACGAAGTTCTTTATGTAGCCGAGATGTGGGTCGTTGTAATAGTGGCTGGGTGAAACCCCCGATTCGGTGTCGTTGTTGGAAGGCAGCCAGTGCAGTTCGTACATGTTCAGAGCATCGTACCCATAATCCCCATAAGTAGCGTTGAGAAACTCTATGGAGAGGTCGTGGTTGCCCTCTGGAATGTGATACGTGCAATTTGGTTCGATATATTTGCCGGAGCTACCCGCTCCTTTGGTGCAAACATATGTGACAGTGTCTGTTATGTCTGTACAACTGCCACATACAGCCAAAGAAGATACATCGGGCCATGTGCAGTTTCCCGTGCTGCACTGAACTGCTGGAGGATTGATACTCGTAGGATTCATCAGAGCGTTGAATATTGCAGCAGTAGCGTTAGCNNATCTGGCATCTGATCTATAGCAATTCATCAGCATGTTGGTTGTGTCGATCCCGTGGAACCTCCTCACTAGTCATCTGCCCGTTGATATCCTTGGCATCATATGTCTCGCTCCTTAGTATATCACCAGGCACGGTGCCATTCAAAAGAGGCGTTGCTCTATACTCGATGACAGTAACTTGCTGTGCAAAAAGTCGAAAGCAAGCGTACTGACAGTAATCAGAGCTCCAATCATGGCCAGTCCGCTGTNTCGATTAGCTGAGTGTGGTATCAGACGAGCATCTCCTTACAAGTGCGGTCTGATGAGCAGGTTCAGACTACCCCACGGGCCACGACTGGCCGAGTCGTATCGGCTCAGATCATCTAAGGGATGCAAAGAGGTATTGCTAGCGAAACGATTCCACTTTAGCTGACTGAGAGAAGCGGCGACAGATACCATGACGCTTGCTCGTGTAATGGTGGTGATCAGAGCCACCAAACCGTTCAAGGTGATATGGCCGCCAAACCAGTATCTTTGCTCTTTGCCTCGAGACACTGCCAGCAGAATGATGAGACCAATAAAACAAGCGACTGAGAAAACTGCGGCCACTAGTTCGAACGACCACGTCAAACGACCTGTTTCTCTGTACGGAGTGTGCCTCTTGTCGACCATGGAAGATCTCACGGTCGAGTCTTCCAATCGCACTTTCGTTGAATTCGACGTGTCGGACCTCTGATAGGTATCGCTGGGCTGCAGTGGTTGGGTTTCGTGTAGGTCATGGTCCTCGTCACTGTGTCTAGGTCGGGCGTAGCCAGATTCCAGTGCTGCCGTGCCAATATCCATTTCGGAATACTGGATGTCCTCTTAGAGGTATTGTAAGTCGGTCGAAAGTCAAGAAATGATGAGAGGCAGCTGGTGGTGGATATGACGGTGACCCGATCGTTGTGCTTCAAGAAGGATTCTATTGCATCGATCCGTAAGCAGACGGCAGAGGTTCGAGTGCGGCTGTGATCTAGCCAGCGGTTATCATGCATCGCAATACGCTACTGCGGAGAAGTATGATTGGCTATCCTGAGAGCGGATGGAAGTCTGGCATGTTTTACCTAGAGAGCTTGTTCCAGTTCACAAGTCAAAAGCAATATTCGTGCATACGGCTGCGCCTTGTACTGAGCTTGTTTAAACCAAGCCTGGGTATCGTAGGTCGGTCACACCAACGCACGAGCATGCAGGCTGACCAAAGGATCCTGGACACCACCCAGCAAATATCGACTCGGACTCTGCAGCGATCAGGCTGATCATCTAGGGGTTTCTCTAACGATATGAACTGAGGGTCTCTGCCAGTTCTGCTCGGACAAATCTGTCATGTTTTGTTCACTCAGTTCGATGCGACGCCTGCGCACAACAGTTTGGACCGTGTTGATCCAGGTATCGACCAATAGCAACATGGGAGCGAATACTCTAGCTCTTGCACAGCCGGCTTTGGAGCGGTCTCCCTCAGGTCCATTGACTTTGCCGGTCTTCAGAGTTGACCCATGGACTGCCGGTGGGATGCATTGTGTCAATTGTGAGTTGTTTGGAATTGCGAATGCCTGAGGATGCGCCCTGGTGTTTGGCTAATTAACTGACATGGATTACGTAATCAGTGAGCTTCGGTACACCCCCCCAGCCCTTAACGTTTGTTCTTGACGTCCAAGACAGCGGCTTTCTTGTGAACGCCGTGAACAACACCCACTGCGATCCCAAGTCCAAATCTCGATGTATTGGTGGCACATACGATGTTGGAGCGTCGATAACATCCAAAGAGATTCAAGCGTGCAATCCCTGCACCAGTATCAACCTCACAGATGGAAAATTCCTGACATCGCGAGTGTCTGACTCTGTGCAAGTCGGCGATGCTCTCATAGCCAGCGTTGATTTTCAGCTAGTCATGTCGGACAATGACTACTATTGGGACTCTGACAGCGCGCAAGTTGCGAATCTTTTAGGCCTTGGATACACGCTCAACGAATTGACAAGCAATCCTTACCCAAGCCTCGTCGAACTTCTTGTTGATGCAAATCTTGTTGAGTCAACAATTTTCGCGATCGCTCTACCAGTGGAAGACTCATACCCCGACGGAGTCCATTTTGGTGAGCTCGTTCTAGGAGGTTTCAACCCAGCGTACATTACCAAAAACAAACGGCCGATCACCCTGGATTTTATGGCCGTCGATGCCGAGCCTGCTAAGAATGTCAGTGGCTTAGTGCGAGCACCAGTGGTGCCTATCACCAAGATCACTCTCAATTCCACCGAGCTGAATCGGACATTCCCCGCGGTCGAGACTCAAGGACTTCGCGGATACGCAGTCATGATCGACTACACATATGGCCAGTGGCAGGTCCCGCCGGAGCTCTTCGACGCCTTCATCTCCGTATATAATACGACTGGAGAGATACAGAGTGACGGCGTGGTGACTTGCGATAACAACTTGACCACTGGCATAGAAATCAACATTGATTTTGGTCAAGGTTTCAGTACAACTGTGTATGAATTTCTGACACCGTGGTACCAGAAGAGCGGTCAGCAATCAACGGATGCCACCGACAGACTCTTGTGTGTACTGGCTCTAAGCAAGGCCGACATGACTGATGGAGCGCCACATCCATCTATGGGCACAATCGTGACTCGAAACCTGTACAGTATCTTTGATCTCGATCACGGACAAATCACCATTGGTCAAAGAGACACCTACGTCGACACTTCGAGCAACGCATTACGCCTACCCCAAGGACCCAATGTCGTGCAGGACGCGCTTTCCAGACTGTACACCACCAGTTCAGTCAAAAGTCCCAGCACTGTAGCCACCAAAAGTGTTGAGTTGACTGTAATCACATACACAACGGCCAGGAGGATTGCAGCCCCAGCCTACACTGGTAGTACTTCGTACAAGGTTGTCTCAGACCGCCCCTTGAACTACAGTATGGGCGGGCCTCAGGACTATTTGCCGTTGGACGCCCGCACCTCCGATATGATCACTGTTCAGTCCACACTTTCGGCGGGAACACTCACTCTAGAAACACCCAAAGTCACAGCGATAAGCTTCTCTGCGCTCAACACCACCGTGTCTACTGGAGCCAGAATATGTGGTATCTCATCTCTCAAGATGACAATCATGGTGATGCTCTGTTTCCTGTCATCCTCATGATCTCTTGGCTTTGTAAAAACTCGCTTCCAGTCTCTGCTTTTGCCTCTGCTTGTGATTTCATCATGATGGAAGTACATCACATAAGCAGTTTGATGTAGGGGTGTCGGTATAGACCAAAAATGCCACTCTCCTTCACTCACAGCTATAAATGCAAAACAATAATTTGTCGCACCCTCAGAGTCGAACCCTGACCCAATACGTCAAGACCATATAGTTCACTAAAGTTGGCTTTGTTCTTGTAATCGGTCGAGTGGTGTAACGACTTATACACTCCCGATTCGTGATAAAACGCATCCCTGCCTTGTACGTCTCAATTCATGACCCCCAGATGGCCGACATCTGGTGACTATAATCAAGGAATTCGAGGGTGGTTTTCCCATAAGAGCTCTGCTCTGGTTTTTTGCTATCTTTGTGATTGTTTTATTTTGTTGACTGTCGACGTCTGTTCGCATATCTACAAGGGGAGTTGCTTTAGCATGGTGGCCAAGAACGAGTATGTACAAAGGGCCAACACAGAAGCCATGGAAGACAGGAGCGAAAACGGCCAGCAAAGTAAACCACCATAGTCTTAACAATAGTTTGTGACCAGTATCGATAACCTATCTACCAGAAACAAGTCACTACCAATCTACTCACCACCAAGCTCTTACTCAAAGCCCCCATTCTTCCACACTCTCCATATCCCAACTCCACACCGCCGTCTCTTTACCCTCAAACTCTTTGACCTTCCTGACTCCCTCCCACCTGAAGCCTAACTTCCTCAAAACACCCATACTGGCCTCATTGCCCTCATGACAGAACCCAAAAACTGCTTTGACACCCTTTTCTCCATCCACATGTTCAATCAGCGCCTTGGCAGCTTCAACAGCATATCCCTTCCTCATATGCTCAGATAGCATGGCAAACCCTATATCAGGAGCCAGTAACGAAGAATTCTCCCCACGCATTAGGGATATAGTGCCAACGAGAGTGTCATCCCCAAGTAAAGAGACAAGGTACATTCCATAGCCATTGCGAGCATGTTCAGCCAAGAAACGGTTTTGGATTAATGATTTAGCGGCAGAGGGAGTGGTGATGGAAGTTGGTTTGCCGCCGAGCATGGCGATGAATTCTGGCGTGTTCCAGAGGGAGACGAGAAAGGAGCAGTGGAGAGAATTTGAAGGGTCTAGGTGGGAGATTGCAAGGCGAGGTGTTGTGATGCGAAAGGTTGGGTCTGTCATGTTCGGCGGCAGTAGATGAAATGTTTTGTGTTGGTTGAGTCGTAGGCTTGTGGTAGATAGGTATGTCTAAACTCTGGTGGTTTATTCTGGGAGTTCGCTGGGCTGTTCGATCGACTATGTATTTGTGGCAAAGACAAGATGAACTGTCTGCCTGGGCTCATGGCGAGTTCTCGCAGTCATTATTGGTCAACTAGCAATTCGGACATATATGCTATCGTCTCGGTTGACTGTTCGAAGCCGGTGGCCGTGATAGGAAGGTACGCAAACTAAGGGCCGTGCACACTGCTCTCTGATGCTCGACCAGAAGAGCCTTTTGAAGTTGTGCTTTTCGCCGTGGACAATCATCATATGGGAGTGGAAGCCCCCTCACTTCGAAGATCTCATTGACCTTTTCGACATATGCTTTCCTTCGCTTCAGCTTCCGTTGATTAAACTTCTCCTGCCACAGATGTTCCTCGAGCCACGGCGGATAGTAGCCCGAGTATTCCCAGTCAAGGATGGCTGTGATCTTGTAAGTCGCGGCTTGAACAACTTGTAATATGATGTCAAAACATGAATTGTGAGCTCGGATTTGTTAGAAATAGGTATGAACAAAAAAGAAAAGTCGGTATTGAAATTGGACCTGGACTGATTACACTATGATACACCACCAGGGGGTCTAGTTGGAATCGTTTACTTCTTCTCCTCGGGCTTGGGCTCAGGCTTTGGTTTGGGAAGCTTGAACTGTGGTTCTGAATCAGTATGCAATGCTGACAGCATTCAAGTAGGGCTGAACTTACGCTCTCTGGCTTTCTGTCGTTACCGGGGCCAACCTGCTCCCAAGCAGCGCTACCACCCTCAAAGTTACGGAAGGCCTGGGTCAACTCGAGAGGCTCAACAACAATGCGCTTCTGCTCCTCGTCGTAACGAATCTCGGTGTAACCAGTAAGAGGGAAGTCCTTGCGGAGCGGGTGGCCGTCGAAACCGTAGTCGGTCATGATACGGCGGAGATCGGGGTGTCCAACAAAGAAAACACCGAACAAGTCGTAAACCTCACGCTCGTACCAGTTGGCACCATCGTAGAGACCGCAAAGCGAGGGAACGGGGGTAGCCTCGTCGGCGTAGGTCTTGACGCGGATGCGGGCATTGTGACGGACGGAAAGCATGTTGTAGACGACCTCGAAACGCTGATCGCGGGTAGGGTAGTCGACAGCGGTGATGTCGCTGATCTGGGTGAACTCGGCGGCGGTGTGGTACTTGAGGAAGTTGAAGACGGGGAGGACGGCGGCGGGGGCAATGTAAATGACGAGCTCATCCTTCCACACCGAGAANNCCTGGACGGATCGTGTCAATGCTAGTTTTGCGGTTGCGAGGAGAGGGAGCACGCACTGCTGGATGTACTTGGGCATGCAAGCCATCAAGTACTGGCCGTACTGGTGCAGGCTGTCGGCCTTTTCTTGAAACTTGTCGGCAGGGTTGACGATGGGAACATGGAGACGACCTTGAGCGCTTCTTTGGGCGTGCTGATACAGAAATCAATACTCGGACATGGGCCTGTGGCAACGGTAGCTGGACGGTCGTACTCTCATGTTGGGCAGGTCGGACACATCGGCGGCGAGCTCCTTCTGGCGCAGAGCCGAGACGGTGAAGGCGCGGGTCGAGGGGGCGACATTGCGCGAGGCAAGACGCAGCGAGCGAGTGGCGGTTTGTCGTAGAGGCATTGTGTGGATGTGCACAAAATAGCTGGCACGCAGGAAGGAGCGACGATATGATGGTCATCATCGTTCTTGCCTCGCTCGGCCAATCAGCGTGGGTGGTCTGTGCGCGCCACAGTCTCCTTCTCTCACAAGCCAAAGCAGCAGTTGCTCTTTCCCGCGGCCGCGCTGTTCCCTGTTACACTGCAACAATCGCATTCCATCTCCTTCTAATTCACTTGGGAAGCTGCCTTTCCTTTCTTGTCCATTTGTGAAAGCAGCTGCAATCTTCCCTCCGCCTCTGCGCGCCTCCTCCCCCCCTTCGCCATCTCCCACCTCCACCACTCCCGCTCGCTCACAGTGCCACACCATGTCGCGGACCCAGCAAGATCAGTTCATCGACGACGATGAGGAAGAGACATGTCCTCTCTGCGTCGAAGAGTTTGATCTGTCAGATCGAGGCTTTCGACCATGCGTCTGTGGCTACCAGGTGTGTGCTGACTGCCCTCCCCGTCCACCCATGGCCCAGCTAACCTCTACTCTNCAGATCTGCCAGTTCTGCTATCACAATGTGCGCAACAACATGAACGGCCTCTGTCCTGCCTGTCGCCGTCCATACGATGATGCCAACATAGAGTTCCGCAAGCCTGGCCCGGAAGAGTACCCATCCCTGTCCAGCTGCTCCTCAGACCCATCGCTAACACCCATCACAGGGAAGCCCTCTGGAGANGCCAAACAGGCCGCCAAGCAAAAGAAGCAGTCCGCTGCCGCCCAAAAGGAAGCCATGAAGCGCGAGGCCGACACTCTTTCCCGCAAGCATCTCGCTGGCCTGCGCGTCGTGCAAAAGAACCTGGTTTATGTGACTGGTTTGAGCCCGAGAGTGCAAGAAGATAGACTGCTCGAGACTCTTCGCGGCGATCAGTACTTTGGTCAATACGGCAAGATTGTCAAGATAGTCGTCAGCAAGGCAAAGGACAACATCAANCCCCAGTCCGTCGGCGTCTACGTCACCTACGCCCGCAAGCAAGACGCCGCCTCTTGCATTGCTGCCGTCGATGGCTCCCAAAACGGCGATCGAGTGCTGAGAGCCCAATTTGGCACTACCAAATACTGTTCGGCTTACCTGCGCAACGAACAATGCACCAACCGCAACTGCATGTTCCTGCACGAACCTGGCGAGGAAAATGACAGCTTCACCCGCCAGGACTTGTCTTCGATGAACGTCATCTCGACCCAGCATCCCCAAGCACCCTCGCAACCAGCATCGCAGCCTCCGCCGCAAAGCCAACAGCCCGTTGCCGCCGCCCACACCCTCTCCAGGCAAGACTCGCAATACATTCCTCCAAGCCCGAGCCTTGAACATGATGGCCCTGCGCTGCCCTCAACTGCCAGCTGGGCCTCCAAAGCTCCTCAGATGAGCCGCACAGCTAGTAGTCGCTCTGTCTCACTTGTCATGCCTAAAGAACCAGCTAGGGAAAAGCCCAAGCCTGAGCCCCAATCTCAGCCGGAACCCGAACGCGAACCCTCTCCTTCGCCAGAGCCCGAAGAGCCTGCAACCCCCAGCCCACCTCCGGCCCCTGTTGCACCTGTCAGAAAGAGGAAGCCGGCCGTCGAGGATCCTCTCACGCACATGTTCAAGGCTTTCCAGTCCTTCGACCTCAAATTCGTTCTGTCCAGCAAGACACTGGAAGACAGCAACATCGACTTTGACAACTTCCCCTCGCTATTCGACCCACACGGCGGAGCCAAGAGACGGGCAATGAGACAACGTGAAGAGGAGGAAGACGAGGAGCGTAGACGCCTGGAAGCCGAAGCTCAACTCGCTCAACAGACTGTGAACAGTGTCGAAGACGAGAGCGGCCCCGAGACTGGCGGTAGCATGCAACTCGGAGGCGAGCCCGAAGACACCATGGGCCGTGGTCAATCTCCGCAGCACGCCATCGAGCCTCCTTCGCGCACCAACTCGGTCATCGACGGCGGGTTCCTCTCCAACGAGCTCTCCAACTTGAGCATCACTGCTCCCAACTTGACCGCTCAACAACGCCAGCAGTTGCTCCTTCAACAGTTCAAGACCCCCTCGGCCGCATCTACTCAGCCTCCCTTCCCACCACCACCACCTGCTGCCCCTACTGGCCATGCACGTAATGTTTCACGATACACTTTCGCAAACGATACCAACACGGCTTCGGCTGCCGTCAAGCCTGTAGCCAACGCCAAACTCATGAACCAACAATCCTCCATGATGCCTTCTCAGTCTTCCTTCCAACAACCTCCTCCCGGTGGATTCTACAGCAATGTCCAGGGACCCCCTCCTGGCCTCAAAACCACAGGCACTCCTCCATTCAGTGGAGGCGGCATGTTTGGTCAAGGCCATGGATTTGCGACTAGCGGCCTGGGTTATGGCGCCAACCTGACCGGACGCAACCCTAACGACGAAATGATGAGAGATTTATTGCGCAACCGCAACCTCGGTGGCAGTGCCCAAATGTCAGATGCCGCAAAGCGTGAGTTATTGTTTCCTTCTTTCTTACACCAGCACCCCACCAGTTCCACTCCAGTCCCAGCCCCTGGTCTTCTGAATCTTCCTTATGGCACTCAGCCTCAAGCCTTCCAAGATACTGTCCAGAAGCCCAANAAAGAAGGGCAAAAGCACAAACATGCTAACACTTCCTCCTCTGGAGGCGGTGTAGTTGATGTAGCAGACCCGAGCATTCTTCAGGCAAGACTGCACCAAGCTGGCCAAATCGGAAACCAGGGGCTCTTCACTGGTCAGGGACAAGGTGGGTTGCACAATGTGTACGGCAGCGCCGACGCCGGTGCTTTCCGCAGATGGTAGACGACCGCATCCCCTTTTTGATTTTGTCTGAGTCTTTTGTTCTGTCTGCTATTTTGTTTTTTGCTTTTCCCCTTCTTCCATCATGTCTATCTATCCCTCATGACTTTGCTACCGGCGTCTTGATCTAGGGTGGAAAGCAAGCACAGCATTGGCCTTCCCAAAAGAGATCTTCAGAATCTCGAGCCATTGGCGTTTAGGGTTTTATATCATGTCCGGCTGGCTCTTCTCGTCAGCTTTGGAGTTGTCATCGATGCATTTGCCGCTGTGGCTATGTGGACGGCAGGAGTTTTCACTTTTCCTTATGCCTCTCACGTCTCTCCAACATTAGCCACATTCTTGTACGTATCTTCTTACCTTTTGGTGTCGCAGATTGGTAGATTAACAAAGTCAGTGTCTGCCGTCTTGCACCTATTTCTATACTTTCAACTGGCGTTCTTGTGTGATCCACATCATGTATACTAGCTTTTCCTTCCTCGGCGGTCGTCTACCATCTGCCGAACCAGTCGCTACCATTCGACGTATACAAAACACATCTTCTAGAACTGTGCTGACTGGAGGTATAGATATTTCAGACATTTCATCTCTTGGTGGTGCAGCTCATCTCTCATCAGATCTCTTCGACGAGCCCGGACGATCCACACCGCCAGTTCCTCCAGGCCTGGAAGGTCTTGGTCAATCATTGCCGCCCCTTGATCTCGACGACGAAGATGATGTGCCTAGACGCTCGACACCATCAATCCCTCCAGGTTTCACGGCTCCAGTGATAGCTCCTCTGAGGGATGATTCGGCTGCTTCCCTTGCGACTTCGCGCTCTAGTTCGAGAGCAAGTCTCAGACGCGGAAACTCGCAAATCCTACCTGCTGTCCCAGTACTGTCTGGCACACCATCTCGAGCCCCCACGCCTTTGAGACATGAGACTAGACCTTTCGCCAACGTCATCGATGACTTTGCTACGCCTACCAAGCGTGGAAGGTCCGAATCACATCTTGCTAACGTTGAATTCGCCGAGAGCAATGACACTGCTCCAAGCGCTGAGGTTGAAACTCCATCAAGGGCAGAAACCAAGGCAGAAAAGGCCGAAGCAAAGAAGGCAAAGAGAGCCGACAAGGCGGCTAAGAAGGAAGCCGAGAGACTTGAAAAGGCAGAGAAGGCGGCTGCTGCTGCATTTGCCGCAGCTGAAGCCACTGCTCAGAAGAATGCTGCCGAGAAGCTCGAGAAGGCAGCATTGCAGGCCAAGGCCTATGAAACACTGCCGGATCCGCCAGGTGCTTCCAAGGAAGAGAAGAGCAGGGCCGCAACCAACACAGTTGACCTTGTCAAGGATTTGACGCCTGCCGAAGCTGCTGCCGCGGCCAAGTCGGCTGCTGGTGAGACCGTTAGTAAGAAGAAGCACCCTGGAAAGATTGACATCACAGCTGCCGTCCTCAAGGGTGGTGAAGTCCCTACTTCGCTCAACTTGACTCCGGTCAAGACTGAAAACGTTCCTCGCACATGGAACACCATCACTACATCGCGTCCTCAGAGTCCTAGCATAGCATCAGACTCGGCCAGAAAGGTGACGGCTCCACGCACTTTGCGCCTCACCACAGCTCTGCCTCCACCTGCACCAGTGGTCGCTCCTGCAATTCGCCCACTTCCCGCCGCAGCATCCCGCATGCCATCAAGACAGCCTAGCATTGCTTCCATTCAACTTCCCGGCACTCCCAGCAGTGAGCACGTCTCTGACGACGTCTCGGTTACATCTACCTCGCTCTCTCGCGCAAACACACCACCCCCGCCATCTTCGAGCAGAGTCGGCTCGGCATACGTTCGACAAAACACCAAGAGTCAGCAGAAGAAGTTGCGTCAAGAGAAGGCCAGACAGATGACCGAAGAAATTTTGTCCAAGGATGTTCAGATCATCTCGGAGCCCATTCAGGAGGCTATCACCAGCCGCAAGAAGAAGTCCAAGACAGCCAAGCCCGCGACACCCGCTGCATCTACGCCTGTTGCGTCCACACCCGTTCCCTCGCGTCCTGCCTCTCCTAAGATGAAGGCTCAGCCCGTTGAGGAACCACCAAAGGTAGAGAAGCCCGCCACGCCCACGCCCACGCCCACGCCCACGCCCACGCCCACGCCCACGCCCACGCCCGTTAAGGTCGAGACTCCTCCCCCTCCTCCACCTGCTCCTGTCACTCCGGTCAAAGCCCCTACACCGCCACCACCAGCAGCGCTGACTCCTGCCTCTCTCATTGCAGAACTGCGCAGCGAACATGGCTCTATAGCCGGCGCTTTCGACGCTTTCTTTCGCCCTTTCGCCCAGACCGTTGCCCATTACAAGCCTACTCAGCAACCCACTGCCGCCGACCTGACTCCCGAAAACGCAATCCCGCCTCACCAGCCTGAGCTCAAGAAGGAAGATATCGATATCCTGCTTTCTGGACATGCCTGGCGTCCGGTAACCGACGAGCAACAGCGTCTGTGGGATCGCTTGGTTATCTCACCAAGTGGAACCATCATTCGTCACATGGAGCCCCAACTTGAAGAACGCTTCTTGGCCATGGAAGCCATGAACCGCCGAATGCCAGAGAACCTCAGGTTCCACCCCATCCAGCACAGCAACACTCCCGCCGAGGTTGACTTTCCGGCCGTAGACTTGGCCGTTCTGCGTCGCGAGTTCGAGGGCGCATCTAATGGCAACCGCCACCGCAGTGCCAACGCCATGGAGAAGGCTGTCGAGGAGGGCAGCAAGAAGGGCAGTTTCTTGGTTGACACTGCTGGCAAGTACGTCAACGAATTCATCATGCCTCCTGTGCCTCTCAGCCCTCCCAACGAGAAGGCCGCCAAGGAAGAGCAGCAGAGAGAAAAGAACCACATGGTCAGCGTCGAGGACTTGGAGCGCAAGCTTGCCGAGGCCAGACGTTTCGCTGATGACAAGGAGGCTGGTCTGCGTCGCCTGGTCAAGAGAAACAGGAAGGTCATTGGCCTGACTCACTGAGCGACGTGCCATGGAGGCCAAAGAAAGAAAGGAAATCTGCTTATCGTGGACAAGGAGTTGAGCAGGGAACGTGGTTACTGGCGTTTCAAGGGCTAGAACACATCATTACCGGAGAAGGAAAGAACGAGATGGATGTCTCATGCAAGCATCCAAAGTGCGCAGAGAAAGACCTATCATTTCGATATCTCAAGACCTGTGAAAAAGAGGTCATTCATTGTACTATTAGCATCGCCCAGTAGCATTTCGCATCGCAGTCTCCGAGACGAGAGCTGCTGAGTATCCCATCACTTGTATCATAGTCAAATAGTTTTCTCTTCACCGCTGTACTGTTCCTTGCCATGGGTCTGTTGTGTGTGACTAAACGGGGTGGAATGATTTGTGGCATCTTTGCCATCCATGAAGCACCTCTACCCTCGAGTCAAGTCCAACTTGTATGTTTTATCCGTGTACAGAAATGGTGAATACATGTGTCCCATATTGCTAGGTGAATTTGACGTCTCGTCTTTGTATTTTTCTACCTACTTTCTACTTTTTCGTGAATAGTATCGCCTCTTCACGTTTGAACAACGTCTGCCCTTTTTGCTTTTTTATTTTTTTTTAGTTTATAGATTTCTTTCGAACTTTGTGGGTGATGTTTTGTTTGCCCTGCCACTAGAAAGAGTATCCTCGTTTTCTTCGAGCCTTTTGAAGGGTAGGTGAGTCTTGTTGGATTTGAGTTTTGAGGACACTTACGACATCAAAGGTATTATGGAGAGTTAAAGTGGTGTGTGTGTGTGTGTGATTTGATAATACCGAAGAAAAACCATAGAAATATTGCCAAACGGCTTTTGCTTGGGTGTTTATCAGACTGTTCAAGAGAAGGTACTTGGTGCTTTGCGTGTTTTTCTGCTTGACTGCGTGTCTAAAAAGTCGATTGAGGGAATTAACGTTGATCATCTGCAACACAAAGTAAGTTTATGGTGACTTGATTGTAGTTGTTATGGATCATATATTCATATTCACTTGGACTTTCATGTCCTTTTTGGATCGTTAGCTGGTCTTCTTACTAGCGAAAAGTGCGATGGTGAAGTAACGCAAAAGTGTTTTGGGCATGGAGGAAAAGAGGGAAGGGAATGGCCCGTGTAGTTTCCATCGGTATCTTCGATGGAAGTAGCGGAGTAGTGAGTTGATGCGAAAGTGTTGACGGAGAGATCGGCAATAGCGAGACAAATATCCTAGGAGGGATGAACCTGCACCTTACTCCATTCTGCGAAATCTTTTGCAGTATCGCTCTCTAACACTTCACTGCTCCAAGCACGGTACTCAGAAACACACTCTCGATATCCGTGGGCCGTCAGAGCCATTGATAGCATTCTCCCCCAGTCGCCTCGTTCACTCATGGGTATTTTGTCGTCCTCCAACATGAAGCCGGCAACGGTGAGCGGAGCAATAGCCACCCAGAAGCGAGGGAGGTCTATGATCGCAGCAACACTGTTGCCATCGTCCGAGACCAAAACATTGGTGGGGCCTTGATCATCGTGGTAAAGGACGAATTCGTCGTCGAACTCAGGAGGCGGAGTGCTAGATATGCTCTTCATGTAGGCCCAGTACCTAGCGGCGGACATGGGTCCATTGGTACGAGGGAATTAGTGGTGTATGGGGCCCTGTTGAGGAAGTCCCTGCATCAGGGACGGGATGCTCACTCCACAGCTCGAAACGGTTTGAAACTGGTTGCTGGTCTTGGTGGCTACGAGGGTAGTGTACTGCGCCACGTCTCTTGCAATACTAAGTCGCAGCTGATAGGACAAGTTTATCTACACTTGGTCTATTGTTCGAGCTTGGATACGCCTCGTGATGAGAAAGGAGCGGTTGATGGGCTTGTCGATCCATGTGTATAGTACTTCTATAATGGGAATGCNTGGAAAATTCTTATGGACGAACGTGATTGTGTCTGCTTCGAGCTGAATCCGTTCTTTCCATGGGCGGACCTTGCAGACCGCGTGGTTTACGAGCGTCCAAACAGCATTGGACGAGCCAGCCTCGTGTATGAGTTGATAGTCGAGCGTCAAGGTCTCGATGGGAAGAGACCCGCATGGGAGAACATGAATAACCGAGTCTCCATCTTGCCAGGAGACGAGCGATCCGCATGGAGGAGACGCCGAGATTGGAATTCTGATGCAGCAGCGATGAGTGCCCATATTCAAAATGTTGTTACTCGACGATGTTGTGGAATCAACGTGACGCGTTCTCATTTCACTTTACAAGAAGTCAGCAAGTTGGTGCCTAAAACAGACAAGTGCGTGCTGGTAGGAGCATACCTGAACATCTCGACGACTTCTCGACGTGATGATCATTGCAATACAAGTAATATATCCGTTGTGTACGAACACCGATGGTGTCCCGTCGAGATACCAACCTTGGAAAGAAAAAAAGCGAAGATGGTGCGTGCATCAAAGTTGGAAAGTGAATGAAAACGTCGGAGCAGGGCGCCTGCATGATATTACTATACCTCTAACGATGATTCCTCTCAAGCGGGATTGTGCATAAACACGCAAGCACTCGAGGAAGGGCCATCGTCGTGCCCCGGCTTGATCCAACAACGTTCAAGAGCTGAAAGGGAAAAGCCGGTCGGAGAAAGCTATTGATGGAAGAGCAGGTCATGATGTTTACGGGGTAGAAAACTGATGGAGAAGGAGTCGGTCGGGATGTTTTTGGGAGGACCCTGCCAAGCAAAGGACCCTCGTTCAGGGGCCACCTTCCTTTCCTCTTTTCCTTCCCTTGCTGCTCTCACACATCCTCCCGAATTCTTCTTTTCGAACCTCATGGCGATCCTCTTAGATTAATCCACCTCGGCTCTCGGGTTGGTCGTTGTATCGACGATCCGCCGGAACATGACCCTCTGTTCCGCATATTGCTGGACAGCATGCTGGACTCCACCATGGGGTACATCATTCCAATTCTTTCTTGTACATTCTGTCGGGACAATGGCTTCTATTAGGTCAATACCACCGTTGAGCTGAATGCACCATGCGACCTCAGCACTCCCGACCAGGGAACGATTACCACTCCAACTGTCGATCCCGACCAGATGCCTTCTCGACCCCGTGTATAACCTCCTATAGGCCACGCGCAAGATGACCATTGATCGACATGATATAGTATTGTACAGTAGCTTGCCGCTGTTAGTGGATGCTGCATACCGGAACGGAAATCACATGAATGTTGTGGTCTGATGCCCAGGACACCGGCTGAACGAATTAATCACATTAGCGAATTGTAATGCCGTGGAAACAGCACTACCGGCCCAAAATCCGACTGTTGCCTGTCTAAATACGCAATCCTGCTTCGGTACGTACTCCACGGTGAGTGCGTCGAGCATTCGGCACCGCATGGCTGTGGATGTTGTTGGGTCATGATTGGCCGGCGAAGCGCTTTGCGCTCCTTCCGCGTTCGAAGAGCCTCAATGCCATGCATCCTCCACGAGCCCTTCGTGGTCGAGCCTCCATATGCAAGACCGCGCTCACGCCTGCATGGCACGTACCGAGACCGCATATGATGAATCAATTTGGTTGCCGCCAGCTATACCTTTATTGGCTGACCATCAGCTTCGCCGTTTCTGCGCGGACATCGCGGCATCCGCGACTATGATCTTGTTGGTAGGCATCTTCCTTGGACCATCCATCTTGGATCTTTCAGTCTCTCCGAGCTAGTGAATTGCAATTGCGTTGACCTTTTGCTCAACCTGAGTGAGAATAAAAGCCATGAGTCGCCTACTACGAGAGACCAGTAAAGTATTCCAACACAATCATGTCTGTCAAAAAGTGTCCACGTCTGTCAACAGAACTTCAACTGGAGATACTCGAGGTTCTTGCAGAAGATGCTCGACATGCAGTCTCAGAGTTTCAATACGACAAGGCATGGCGCTGCTATGCTCAGCTCCTTTTGCCTGCTATACTAGTCAATCGAGACTGGGCCACTCGAGGCACAGACTTGCTTTGGCGTGAACCCTTCACTCCAGCATTGGCCGAGATACACCCTCAACGCAGACAGTTGTACGCTGATAAGGTTCAGAGCATTGGACTCTACCTCTACCGAGCCGACCATCTCGATTCTCCTGCAGCTTTCGCAAACCTCAGCTTCCCGCAGCTGAAGAGACTGGAAATCAACTCTTGCCCACCTTGTATGAGCCTCGACCTTCGACCATATCTGAGCTCGAGCATCACGTCATTCACCATGCTGAAATGTAGTCATTTGCCCAAGTCACTACTTGACCTGGTCGCTTTCTGCTGTCCCGAGCTTCGGGACGTAAATCTGGACTATGGAGCCGGAGACCAAAGGAATGAACATTTCCTCAAGTTTCTGAGGAAGTGTAAGCGTTTGCGTGAGCTCACTTTGAGCTCTGAGAATGGCTTGAGATTTCCAGTAGATGTGCTGGAGAACCTGGCATCTCGAAAACAGCTTGAGTGTTTTTGTGCTCCACTCAATCTCATCTCGTACCGTTCGGTAGCAGCAATCATGCAAGACAATCCACGCCTACGCCCTTTCCGCAACGCAAACAATCTNTTTTTGAGCATCGAATCGAGAGCAGTGAGGCCTGTTCTTTCTGCAGCCGAATCCCTGGTCGAACTGCAGTTGAATCTAGCCGATTCCGAGATTGATGTCTTCGGGCTCATTGGAACGTTGCACTGCTTGGAAACGGTCGAGCTCTCCTTTTCTAAGCCAAAGCGTCTCGCCATGCATGAACTCCAGTCAATCTCCGGCTTGACACGTCTGAAAGAGCTAAGCATCTGTGGGCCTCCAGCAGAGCCGCATCGGGAGACTGGGCCTCTACTGGTCGCTGAAGCATGGACCGATATTCTCTTCGACACCTGGATATCAAGCTATTCTCACCTGGAGAAGTTGCTGTTTGGCGTTTGCCCGATGGACAGCCATTGGATCTCGGAAACCAGGATAGTTGGAAAGAGCTGTTTGAAGCTGACAACGTTATCCATGGCTGGTATACATGATATAGGTGTTTGGAGGGTGTCGTCTCCGCCACTCTTTCCCGAGTTGCGTTACCTCGAACTCGGGCAGCTGAAGCCGTGGCCGTTCTCCACAAGGTATGTCAATCTCGATTGTNNGCTTGTTGCTCAAGGCTTATACTAGAACAGTGCCGAGGAGACTGATGAATATGCCAAAGGACTCGCACGTATGATTTATCAGCATGCGCCGATGTTAGAGAAGTTCAGCGTTGGCCAGAACGATCTTGCTGATGCTGTTGTTGAAGCTTATGAGGAAGAGAAAGGGTTGGATGGTAGCGCCGGAAATGTAAACATGTATGATGCACGATCGCAATGAGGTCACAAGATCCCTGGTTTAACTCATAAAAACTCCATACTCGCCGGGTCGACTTGACAAGAGGACTCGCTTTATATTGTCGATGCCCTTCGTTCTTACTTGCTTTGGGTCTATGGTGTCATCGGTGTCATCCTGTATAGAAATGATGCTGTGTGATGACGTTCATTTCCTCTAGTACCTACCTTCCATTCGCGATCATCGAAGTTGAGGAGGCGATATGTATCGAAGATGCTGGAGTGACACTCTGGTAACCCGAACCGGAGCTTCAACAATAAAGGGTAATAGTATTTGGGGCGTTCTTATCCAGACTTGCCCAAGGTATCCAAGTAAAGCTGTGACAACCAGAAAAGGTCACCTTCTAAGTACCCCTTCTTTACACGTTCCGAGTTCTCCTGGAACTCTTTGGCTAGATATAGTAAGCTCAGAAATGTATTCCTCTTTGTCTCTGGAGAATTTGGGTTTCGCATACCTCGGCTACGAATATCTACCGATATCCATTTGACGTACTTGACCGCGTCAGAGTCGAGGTACTTGAGGTCTTTCTTGTCTTTCACATTGTCCCAATCTAGTGTGAATGGTACTGGACCTTTGAGCGAATATCTGAAGTGAGAAATGAGGTTCCCAGCTGAGATTTTGTAGGTCTCCATGAACCGATATGATATGGACTTGTATCCAGCTCCAATGGAGTTGTCTTTACCCTGTATGCTGTGAGTACATGACTTAGTCTATTGTGTTAGGTCTTACGGTCAGGTTATGTAATCTCCACCAACGTTCTTGTTTAGTGTAAACGTACTGAAGTGTCGCCAGCAGCACGAATACGGTCAGATACACTTCGTACCAATGATCTAGTTTCCGCTTGAGAATTATGGTTTGCATCTCCTGCAAGATACTATGCTTCATCTTCAGCATTGCATGTATCATCAGAACATCGACTTGATGATCGAGAACAGGCGGAAGGGGGCAGTTTCCGTTATGGATAGAGTTCGCATCTTGGACCTCAGCAACATCTAGAGAATTGTTTTGCTCGAGAGCAAAGAATTCCTGTGCCATACGAGCTCCAATCCAGATTCTCAGGGAAGTTCTCACCATACTTTCCTGGTTGTTGTCAGTGTTTGATCAGAGCAAGGTAGAAGCATGTGACGACGGAGAATGGAGGACTTACAGGATGTTTACGTGCAAATCGAATAGCTTCACGGAATGTGGCACTGATTACGAAGTCACCTCCTTGTGATGTCATGTCTCTAGCATAGTGATCGAAGTTGTCGTCAACCCATGATACCAGAGCATTAGTGGTCATGTCATTATCGACTGCCGCGACACAAGGAAGTTCCAGTATGACCTCACCATTAGAGCTCCTCCATCTCTCAGCGGTGATGTCACTGTCGCCGGGAATGAAATGGCGAACCTGAATTTCTAGCCCGGGAACATGGTCCCCTTTGGGCCATTTCTCCGATGAAGCATACGGACGAATCAGTCGGATTGGAAACGCTGACTTATCGGACCGCCACGTGGGATATGCTCTTACGCCTGCGATATCCTGCTTGAACTTCGAGTTACCTGAGGCAGATATACATGAGTAAGTGAGACTGAGAGGTAAAGAATTACGTACCAGCACGGAAGACTGTAGCATCAACAAGATCCATTCGTACGCAATCAGGCTCATAGTACCTTGCCTTCCCGGCAGCTTGAATACATCTGGAACAGACCTCTTCGGTGTCACACTGGTTCGAGATTAGCGTATTGGCACTCATCAGTCACACATGGATCACTTACAGGTATTTTTTGTATCCGGCATCGCAGGCATGCTCCCCTGGACCTTCGGACTCTTTTTGCATTCTCCTTGGAGGCGGCACTCAGCACCCTGCCGGGCTTCAATGCATACTGCCCTGTGTGCTGACCAGGCAGCGTAAGTTGGAATGTAGCAGTCCCTGGAATGGCTGATATGGTGGTTTCTTCGCCAATCGAGCTAGGTATCCTGCGTTTTCGCGAACCACCAACGGTAGGATATCTCTGGTCAGTGAGAGACTGATCTTGCATCATGTGTGAAGTTGGGAAGGCATAACCCGGTCCAGTCTCGAGACTTGAGACATCAGGCCACGCATTGGCCCGAAGACCCTTGTCGATGATCGGCTGGCCTGTGGTCGTTGCTGTTTGTGGCAGATCTTGTTGTCCGTCAACAAGTCGGTCAAATGCTTTCTCACCAGGCTGTATGGTATTTTCTTCCACAGATACATTTGGCTCTAGGTTCAAATATTCCAGCGTACCAAAAGCTGCAGTTGGAACATCTGGGAAATCATAACAATCCAGCCAAGCGAGATCATATGATGGACTTGCTGGCTCAAGTTCAGATGTCGCATCTACCACCAGAAAGCATTGAGCGTCTCCGAGACGCGCTTGATCAGTGGCCCAGTATTCCTCCAAGAATTGTTGCACAGCGTTCTCGTCCAAAGTATCAGACTCCGGTGGGAAATCGATCTGGTCATTATGATCTGGTACATTGGGATGTATTATCTTGCAGAACTCATCGCTCTCATCCGAAGTTGGTGTGGTATTGGTCATGTCTGGAATATCTGATATGTCGGCAGAATAGGCCACAAGCTCCCACTCTTCCGTCGAGGTGTTAGTCGAACTGTGACCTGTGAGAACGACTTCTGTCATGGTTTCGCAACTAGCTGGCGAAAAAATATACCGAGCCGTAAGAATGGTGCCAGACAGACATATTTATGCGCCCTGCATGCCAGTAATCGCGCTATGCCATATCCGCTACTCGGTGAAGAGCATGCATGTATGTGGCTGCCCCGCTCGTTTGATCAAGCGCGTGGGGGAAGGGGGCGTCCGTAGAAGTTGCCTTGACGGGCATATAAGGTGGTGAACGCCTGCCTTCTGAACATACTCTCATACTTCGCTTCCATAACGATGGCAGTCCGAAACGCAGTTGCGAATGATCTTTCAGCTACTGCGCGTATAGCCTACAGAGGCTTTTCCCTATCCCCATGGAACACATTCTATCGCCCTTATGCCGACAAATACCCCGCTGATGTGGAGAACTCGTACTTGCTTGAGCAGCAAGAAGCTTTGGCAGACAAGAAGAAGCTGTTCACAGTGCTTGAGCTTGATGAAGATTCGTCAAAGGGGAAGCAAGTCGTCGGCTTTGCAGTGTGGAACCTCTCACCCAATCAAAAGCCTCGCTCTCATTCAGTCAGCGTTGCCCTCACGACTAAGCAAGGTTCGTATATACAGTATAATGGGCTTGCTGGCTTCGTTATTCTTGTCTCATAATCTTTCGTTTTGACTGCGAACTTGGCTCACAATCGCAAGATCGTAGTGTGGACGAATATCGTTCAGATCTTCTTTTTCTCACCGCGAGGTCCGCTACCCAAAAGTAAGTACTGCATTCCAGGATCGCTTTGGAACACATGTCTAATTGACGCTTTGATAGCTTCTTGAAAGATTTAATGGAGCTTGATAATATGGCTGTTGATCCAGACCATTTTAGACATGGCTACGGGTCACTACTTTGTCGACATGGCATGGCTATAGCAGACGCAGACAATGTTTCGGTTGGTCTGATCGCTGCTGCCTCGGGGAAACCGCTGTATGACTATCTCGGTTTCCAGACAATTGTGGAGATGATATTGAAGGACCCAAGATCAGGTCTTGAGGCTGAAGTGTCTTTCTGGGTTCAAAGATACCCATCAGCTAAGCTAGCTTGATATTGCGTACTTTTTCCACAACATGAATGGGCTTTGTTGGTGTGCTGTCCCTGAATTATTCGTGCATGGTCTGTGCTGAGCGAGCTGGCCGCCTTCCAAGCGCCGGACTAGCACTCAACTCAGAATGCCTTCGTAAAATGGAAATTGCGCCTCGAATCTGGTGTCATCTGTCACTTCTAGGCAACGACAAAATCCATCCGTCACGCATCCATAGATCTTGAGTCACGGATTCGACTTCTAGGGTACTCGGTGTCAAGCTGAGATACGGTGGGTGTTCTGGTCCCCAAGGTTTGAGCTCACCGAGTACCACCTTGAGATATCGCAGCAACTCGGACCTACGGGACATGCAAACCTGCATTCAAGTGGGCAAGTGGTAGGCTCTCCGCTCCTGAGTGACGTGTCTGGCTTCGCCTCACCCTTCCAACACCTTCTCCCGAGTAGCACTTACAGAGTCCAGCAGTAATCGGCAAATCGACCCCGCGCTAGCCTCTTCTGGCACACTTTGGACGCTGCATCTACCCAAGACCTTTCGCCGTCGGAAGTTCCTGTGCAGCTCGTCTGGTCTCAAACTGGTATCCGCGAATTTGTGTATCAAGCTGTATAAGAAATAAGAGCCAGGATCCACACAATGCGCTCCATCTTGAACACAAATCATCTGTACGACAAGTTTTGTACGACTTTATAGCAAACATACCATGGCCGGGAGCACAATCCCGTTTTCGAAGAGAGATGCAGCCGGCGATCCTTCTGTGATTGTGGCCATTGTGTTCGGCTTATTCTCCGTCATCACGACTATCGTCGCCATAATCGTACGGATTAAGCGCAGGAAGAGTGACAAGGGAGTGGAAGACTTCCAAGTTGAGGAGGGCCTTATCTGTAAGCTAAGCAGCACAGGATCATGCTCTTGCTGAGCTGAAAACATCATGCTAGCGACCGAGCCGAGTGGATCTACCACAGATACAAGCGGGCAAGACTCACGAATGAACACCACTCGTCTCAACTCCTTGGTCCATGTCTCCCGCAGTTCACACGCCCTTCATCAGTGCACGCGCGGAATGCCTGTAGGTACATGTCGCTCGGCCTTCTGATCTGCGGCTTCTGACTTGTCAACCTAGCTCTGTTCTCGCTCTGGTACGATTCATGATGATCTGAGAGGGTCGGCTCAAAATGCCAGCGTCATGCTACAGGATCTGCTCACGGATTCTGACGCTACAGAGGTTACTTACAACGCTGAGATGGTCAACTGCCACATCCATGTTGCCAGAATCAATCACGTTTGGTATCATAGTTGAAGCGCGACGTAGTTATATTGGAATATTGCTTGAGTGTGGGAATGAAAGATAATAGACCGTTAATCATCAGAAGCATCTCCATCGGCATTGTATTAGTCATGACCTTGGAGGCTGAAGGCCCAGTGAGCAGGCTGGAGAGGAAAATCCTCAACGGAAGGATGGTGGTCATAGTATCTCTTCCAATCTTGCTGCAAATCCTTCGGTATGGCCCAGCCACACGCCTCGTCCCGAAATACGAGACGAGTCAAGTGTCGATACTGGACTCCCCCTTCATCCACGAACGCATTGCGTGCGTGTAGAACAGAGAGATTGTTAAAGAACGTCATGTCTCCTGGTTGTTGCATCATTGTGATCGCATGACTACGAGCAATCTCATCAACAGTCTTCAATGCGTTCAGCTGTCTTCCCGTCAGTGGTTCCAAACGATCGTCTCTACGCTCTTCTGGAGTGCCTTTCAGCGGACGCTTCTGGTAGTTGACGACCAGCTTATTGTCAAGGTAATACATAAGTGGCGCTTGCCTGGAACGTAAGGTAGGATCTCCGCTGTTTCGGGTAAGCATATTGGGTCGGAACACACTACACGTAGCAACATACGTCCTGCTCTCTTGCCAAGTCCAGGGTGCTGCCAATTCCTGCAACGCTTCAGGATGTTCGGCAGCCAGGATATTGTATATCTGCCAAGCGCTTGCGAGGTAGAGCTCACCCCCGACCGCGGCTTTTCGTCGACAGTAGAGGGATACATTATCGCCGCTGTCGCTATGGAANNACCCTGGATTATCGTAAGCTCGTGTTGAATAGATATTGGACGTGAATGCGGATGCACACCATAGCGATGGATTGATTTCCAGGAGCCACGAAGGTTTCATCGTCGGTTCTTTTAGACCTCTGCTCAATGTCGGTGACATGGACTGAACGGTCTGTCAGCAAGCTGCGAGATAAAATAGATCCACCAACTCACGCAAAGCTTCCGCTTGCTGTCCTGTATGGTTCTGCTGTAGAGCTCTCTTGTTCCCAAAGTAGGAAGCGATACCGACATGGAGAATATTGTTCTCCAGATCGTCATACTTGGTTGGTTCGAGACCACAGATGACAAAGAAGCCGAGACCGTCATGCAAATTCTGCTTCAGCTCTGCAAACCGTGCCATAAGTCCGGGCAACGGAAAGGTGGTGGGCGACAAAGTATACAGAGGCTCTCCAGAGGCTGTACGTATCAGTATGCGGAGCGAAACTTTTCCAATACTCATGACTAACCTTTGAACGTGTTNCATAGCGGCTTCAAGTTCGATCAGTTGCTCATGGCTCAAGTGGTGAACGACCCGAGCTGACTTTTCCAGTACATCCTGATTACTCCAGGCCATGTTCGATTCAAGACTACTCGGGAAGCCAGATGGCAGACCCACCTTGGGGATCTGCCCACGAGAAAAACGATGTCGGGACACATGAGGGTTGGAAGCTGTCAACTTTGAGGAAAGACATGTTTAAAGAGGGCTGATGGTATGACTGGGGTTGGACAACCCTCTTTTATGCTGCTCGTCTTCAAGTACACAAGTCTTTCGCCAGCACTTGATGACTTTAGGCTGTGTCTATACAGTTTTGCTAAGCAGGACATGCCGTGGAGACAGATCGATACAAGCATCTCACTACTCTTTTGGGTTAATGATAACGGAACAAGGCACGATATTCAACTGAAGCGGTCGACTGCATACAGGTCATTGCCAGCTCATGTTGGCTTCGGCGAAGGATCACGAGCCCATGCGACTTGCTGGTAAGTAGTCTGGTCATGCGTGCAGCGCATGTACATCAAGTAGTATGAGCGACTTCTCCAGACAAACAACCAACTTGGGCGACTTGCGTGGAATTTCTATCTGCTGGTCATTATATGCCCAGAGATGATACTAGAAGTTTGAGGCACGCAAAAGCAAGTGGAGGGGCAAAGAGAGAGTGGATGCTCTCCTCAGGGAAACCTCTCTGAGTGATCCTTCGTTGCAAGTGAATCACTCGGTAGCAAGCTATTGTGTCCCGCGAACGTTGGTTTGTATATTGAAAGCGATTAATCCGGCCCTCCGGACTCTTGTAGAATTTGATACTTGTCGCCAGCGCACACAAAGTACGCAAACGAGAGTCTGTCAATTATATCCACCATGGGAAATGGTCGACCTGATAATCGCTGGCTTTCTAGTACGTCCCTTTATAAATCTGGGCCGATTGAAGCCACAGCATCACATGCGTACTGCATCTCCACCTTCCCCATGTTTGATTGGGTGCGGCTTGAGGAGTCCATTAGATGTATTTCACCTTTGATGTGCACGCATGTGTGCCATCCCTTTTCTAGATAACGCCATGCGGGGCTGACCACCAGAGCATGCATTATCAACGCGGCTTGCATGTCGGCGACTCCGCTCGCATCTCTGTTTTGGGATACGGCCATATCTTGTCACGATGGATACTATATGCTTTTTGCTTCGACAACGGAATGGGTCCGCCCTCTAGACATTGCTGAATCTGGGTACTACCAAAGGTACTGTATTTCATCGCATACAAGAACTCATCTGACAAACCATCAATGCGTCTCAGAGTTGCATGTCATGTCATGCTTTGTTCGCTCATGCAGACCTGATTTGACAGTAAAGAGGGGAAATGGGAACAGACTTTTCCTGAGTCACTGTCCTCTCCATAGAGCAGCATACTTCCACTGTACCCAAGCACCCACGAGACTCACTTCCATGATCAAGACACACAGGCTAAAAGCCCAACCAACACCGATACTCGAAATCAAGGGACTGACGAGAGCAGTGCCCCCAGCGGCGAATAAGCATCTCGCAAGGTTTAAAGCGGCACCTGCGGCAGCGCTGTGGTCTTGATAGACATCTATCAAATAGGTCATGACGAGGGATTGAGCAGAGACTGCACACCAGCCTGCGATGAAGGTTGCTATGATGGGCACTGCGATATGGATGTGGTATCGAATTGTCCACGCGAAAGTCAAGATAGCCAGAGATTGAAGTAAGGAGAACAGAGGAATCAGACGGAGTCGAGCTTTTTCCAGCAGGAAGTTTTGGTTGGGGTCTGGATTATTGTCGGTGGTTGATCGAGGCATTTCGAGAGCTTTTTGCTTGAGTCTTTTGTAATCCGAGTCGAGGATCTTGCCTGTTACAAGTGTACCGATGATAGAGCCTGCGCCGTTTGCGAGGAATGTGAGACCAACCTTGGATGATGAGAGACGATAGGTGGAGAGGAGGAGGGTGGACATTGCTGTTATTGTCATCTGCCAGACTGCGTAATGGATCGCTAGGTAGAGGATGATGGGAGCCGCCTGCTTGCTGCAGAGTATACGCAAAGGCTGTATAATGTCGACTCTCTTCGCTGTCTCTGGCTGTGTTGACATTTCTGTCTCTTGTGTCCAAGCCACTTTTGTCGTTTTCTGGTAGAGGGCTAGGGGTATCTTGTCAATAGACCCGACACACTCCGATCACCGTTGCCGACCTTGTGTCTCAGAGTCTCTGGCAATACAAAGACGAGGAAGACCAAGAAGATACCGCAATAGATGGCGAGGAACCAAAAATGCTTCTCCACCCCAATGCTTCAGTCAAAGCGCCTCCGATTACCGGACCTATGGCAACAGGTACCAACAGTCCAGCTTGGAATATAGCCATATAACCCCCACGATCCTCACGAGTCGTGACATCTCCGACGACGCCAGAACCAATAGCAATGGTGCTCGCACTTCCAGTACTTTGCAAACATCTCAGCACAATCAGAGTTGCGTAATTGCGAGTCAATGCCAGTCCGACACATGATCCCAGAAAGACGAGGAATGTACCGATGTAGGCGATTCGGCGACCTTTTACGTCGGAGATAGGGCCCCAAAGACTTGGTGCTAAGCCTTGGAACACGAGATAGGCAGTTACGCTCAGATTGATCAGTTCGAAGGAGACGTCGAGGTCGTGAGATATGGTTGGAATGGCTGGGAAGTAGATGTTTGAGGCAAACCCCGAGACTGTTCGATTGTGAGTGGGAGTGGAAGCAATGAAAGAGAGTCGACAAGCCAACGTACAAGTTGCAGCGATGGAGGCAATCAGAATTATGATGGCTCTCTGTCTTCTGTCGAATATGCTGTAGACAGCGGGTGGGTGTAGGTTCAGAGCCTGCGACGATGTGTTTTGAGCCATGGTATTCGAAGACCTTAGCATAATGACAATTCAGTCAACCAAAATATTGCAACATTGCAACGTGTAGGCGGTTTGAAATATAAACAAGCATATGCAAAATTTGGGATGGTTCATCGGAGTTGAGCTCGGAGCATGACTTCAACTCCGGATTTTCACCAACCTCAACTCCGATGACAAGAATCCTTCGGAATTGAGAACACCCACTAGAGTTACGTGATTGCTCACATATACAAAAAAAAACATCTTTCTTATCTTTTATGGTTAGTAAGAGTTTGAAGCAAAACTGTGAGGAAAACAATCCACACTGACATTTTCGCAGGATTCCTCCGCTAGGAAACATGACCCTGGGTTGAATCGATGGTCGTATGTGCGTGTCACATCGACCGTGGTAGCTGGTTGTTGGTATGGGATCACGAGATCAAACCAGTCTCTAGGTACCATGTGTACAGCTCGTGACAGTGTAGATCATCATACCAAACTCATCCAAATCTTCCAACCACTGCTCCACTCTAGAACGTCTTCGTGCAACATCCTGTTCACGGAGTTCCTGGGGTATCGCCCACAACTCATCGATGCGGAGTCCGCCCTCGGGCCAATCAGCCAGGTGTAAGTTGTAGCTCTCCTGCCAGCTCCTTCTTCCATTCGCACTCCAGAGCGACTTGCTCCCAGGGACTGGCAACCCAACCAGTTCGACCCCGAGAAAGGTAGGTATGCCTTCTTGTTTGGATATCACGTCGTCGAACATGTACATGACGTACAGTGATCGACGTTTGACTTCCGTCACTATCCACTCTTCCCAGGTTGGACGTGTATGCTGCTGTTCCGCTAAACAGAGTACTCCATGGCGTGTCGTCGACCAAGCTAGATCCTGGAGATTTATCATCGCTTGTCGAAGAAACGCGGTCGATGCTTGCTTCAATCGCAGAAACAAGACCATTGCATATATCAGATAAGCTTGAAAAGAAGCCAAGAGCTCCATAGGACAACACTGCGCTCGTCTCTCGTAGATCTTTGACATTTCTTGCCGCAAAATCTCCGCAGCTGCGGCTTGGCTGCCCGGAATCGGGTTTTGGCATATACGCACCATGTTCAAACATGTCGCTAGTGGCATGGATGACACATCGTTGACTTGGGAGAAGTGGATGAAGGGAGGAGGAGCGTTGTGACCACGAACGACTGAAGCGGCATAGGATTGGAGCATGCGGTTGATGAGATTCGAGATACTGGGCGGATAGTTTTTGACGACTTGGCCTGGCAAAGGTACGTAGGTGTTGAGCCATCGCGACGCTATGTCGTCGACATCTATGGTGCAGACGAGATTAAGGGCTGAAAAGTCGAAGTGTTTCGTTAGCGAATGAGACGAATCATCTGCCATCGGCGTTGACGCGGGAAAGCCGGTTCTAGGAGATAATCTGTCTGGCCTTTCCATAGACGACACGTCATTTATCAGCAGTGCCTGATGATCATCCAACATGTCTGGACCAGGCAAGGTAGTTTCTTGTGGGTTCACCTCTGCATCGTTGGTTGAGTTGGAAGATGGCGTGTCCCGTATTGTTACATCCTGCGGATACGCGCACAAGAGACCTCGCTGCCTACACCTGGAGCAGCCTGTGGGATCCTTATCACACTTTGTCTTACCCCTCATGCAAAAATTACAAGCCTTCTGCCGTGATGTCGAGTACCTTGAAGACTTCATGACAGTAGATTCTCATACTTGTCAAAGTCTTGCAAGAATGATAAGCTTGGAGAGGTTATGTTTGTGAACCACATCCGAGACTGGATGGCTTCTGACGCGCGAGTCAATCACGCGTCGGGCTCGCGCTTGCCGAGGTTCTTCAAGCCGTCGGGTTCGCCCGCACAATCTCACATGGTGAAACTACCCTCTCCCAGTCAATAGCCTTGCCAATTTATGTCCTGGTTGCCCCTGATCAAGAGTCAGCTTGCTCTTCGCGTTTTGGGCCACTGAAGCGTAGTACTGTCAATCATGAGACATGAAGCGGCTGGCTAGGGCACGGTCGTCCTTAGCCTCATATTTGAGTCATAGACGTGAAGAATTTCTTGAATCCTGCTTACAGTTTCCACGTCTTCAGTACAGCTTCGTTGACCTTTTTCATCTTCATCCTTGCCCTGGATCACCACATGGACACCCAGGAAGCCGAATAAGACTCTGGCGACGATGAGTCCAGCCAATCCAAATTCTCAGAGACTACGTCTCTGGGTGGAAAATAGGTTTTAATTATCAACCCACCTCGCTATACTACCTGCTTTGTCGGGTCACGGCCGATTTGAACGAACCATGGCAGTGGAGAATTGGTTTCTTCGATTATGGTTATGCCAAAATCGACCTTTGGGACAGTCTTCCTGAGTTCCCTGATTGGTACTGCAGAGGCTACGATCACGTTCGTTGGTACTTTGTTGAGTCAAGTCTCCAAAGAATCCATACAAATTGTATGGAAGCACGGAAGGAGAGAGAAGAAGACTAAGCATGGCAGCAAGAACGGGACGAAGCAATTGAATGATTCGCGAAAATCTCGATGATGTTCAATTCTCCTCGACAACTCATTGCCCAACGGACGAAGTGTAGCTTTCCTAGAACTCGGCTGCAGTGGTCACATATGCCCTGGATGCCAACACCTTCTGCAATAAGACATCGTGAAGGTCCTTGTCTGCATCGGCACATGCGTCGGAGATGATTGTGACCACATACTCGTCATCGGTAGCAGGAATTGCAGTCCTCATGACACATCCAGAAGTGCTCAATCCAGTAAGTATTAACGACTTGATGTCCTTTTGTCTCAGATAGTCTTGCAGACCAGGCGACTTGAGCGCCGAGACGTGACCGGGTGTTCTGGTAAAGGTGATGTCGCCATCGTCGTAGTTGTGTAACAACTCTTGGGGCTCTTCACCACCACTGGACTTCATAGCATTGAGGACTGCAGATAGTCGATCTGCACCCTTACAGGTTGGGTAAGGTTGTTTATCGATTTGTAGCAGGGCATGAATGACCATGATGCCTTGCGATTTTGCCCAGATCCTTAATTTGACAGCGGTATCCATCGCGGCAGGGGCGCCAGGGCCACCAGCTTTCGCTACGAACAGAGAGTGGAAGTCAAGTAGAAGCAGAGCAGTTTTTGAAGGTCGGTAATAACCAGAAGTACTCTGGTCGGCAATATCAGATGGGGTCTGCATGTTTGACGTGGTGATGTTGGAAACAGTCGAGCGATGATAGTTGGAGGAGAAAAAGGCGCAAGCGCACATATCTTCTTATACGATCTTGGCTTGTTATCGAGTTCACGATAACCTGCGGGCTCAGCGGCGTAACCTTGTTCATTTTCCCTATCTCCGAGTGTTGGTCAGGCCGGTATCAACCCATCAAGCAGCAAGTGTGGAGAAATGTCACAGGACAGGCCCGGTGCCGGGCCGGTCTACTCGAAGTTTCAAGGTGTAAAAACTGTCGTATCCAAATAGCGGGTTTAGCGGCGTTATAGGGGTTGACAGGAAATGGTCTCCCCTACCTTGATGCGGTAAAATGTCGGTCAATCAAGATAGCGAAGTTTGATTGCGCGCGAGTTTTCTACACTGTTTTCTTTGCAAAGACCTCGATGAGCTAGATGACACATGGCAATGGAGGATTTTTATCAACAACTTCGACTTTCACGATCTCGGCTATTATGATAGCCTGCATGACTTTATGAGTTGGTATAGCAGCCCGTATGATTAGGTGGACTGGAACGCTGTTCAACAGGGCGTGGACTCTCTGCACCAAAGGTGCCAGGAAGCGTCATCCGAAGATGAAGAATGATTATTGCATGAGGGTTCTGATTGAGCGCACTCCATGTTTTGCTCATCACCAGTATTGTGTAGAGTATGTCTGTTCAATGTCTATCGCTGCGCTGGCTCTCGGACGTGTGAGGATTTGCTTCTGTCCGCTTGACGCCCAGTTTGTTGGTCAAGTCACGTTTCCCGATCATTACCCCTCATTCTTCTAGGATGCCTGATCGTGAGTCGCTCAGCCTGCGTTCACAAAACACAAAGACTACAACCCGTACGTCGCACCGCGCACCGGACCAGTTCTCAATGGCGAGTCTGACCCTCTACGGATATTATCGGTCGTCTTGCTCAGCTAGACTTCGTATCGCCCTCGACTTGAAGGCCATCGAGTACAAGCCTGTCTATGTGAACCTCAACAATGGGGAACATTTCAGAGAAGAATACAACGCAAAGAATCCCTCGCGCTCTGTGCCAACCCTGATGGTCGATGACGCATGGTGCATACCACAATCCATGGCAGCTCTAGAATACCTCGAAGAAGCCTATCCAGAATCGACTTCCCTTCTTCCCGCAGATGCAAAGTCAAGGGCAGATGTTCGCACCTTGTCAGAAATCATCGTTACCGACACTCAACCACCGACCAACGACACGCTCATGAAACGCGCCGAATCGGCTGGGGCCGATCACCTGGCGTGGGCACAGTTCTTCACCGAGAGAGGTCTCAAAGCCTTTGAGGGCGTTGTCAGCAAAACAGCTGGAAAATATTGCTGCGGTGACATGATCACTCTTGCTGACGTTTGTTTGGTTCCTGCTCTGTGGAATGCGGAGAAGTTCAAAGTGGCAATTGAAGCTTTCCCGACCGTCTGTAGGATTTATGGCGCGCTGAAGGAGCATCCTTCGTTCAAGAAATCGCATTGGCAGAACCAGCCAGACTGTCCGGAAGAGCTGAGATGAGCGAGGACTTCACTAGTTCGATATCCCTGCATTTTCCGAGATATTCGAATGCAGACACTCGCTAGTGAGAGAGCAAGATTGCCGTATCAGATCTTCCATCTTGTTAGCAAATTAAAGGCAGCAGTAAGCATTCAATTACTCGCAGGATCCGGACGCGGAAGTTGTTCCGTTGTGGTGACTGCATCGTTGCTTCCCCAGCTTCACACAGAGCGGGGTGACGAGCCAGCCGGGCCGCATCCGCGTTCACACCTTCCGTAAACAACGACACGACCACATCGAGGGGCAGATAGTCAGCGACTCCCCTGCTACTATCACGTTCATCAATTTCAAAACCCAAACTCATCACAATCGACAGAATGCCCGGTCTAACGACGCGCGACTCTTTCGTTCTCAAATCACTCTTCGACCCAGAAGCCACTGCAGCCCCTACAAAGCATGCATCATCACAGACATCACTGCCCGGAATGACAGAAAACCAGTTCTCCATGCGCAGGTCGACCGAACTTCAAATCATCTCGCAGCTGCAAACCGACACGTCAAATTCAGAGACTGTTCAGAAGGCCATCCAAGATCTATCATCACTGATCAAGGAGTCGCCTGGCTATGCCTCTGCGTACATCAACCGCGCACAGGCGAGCCGACTTCTCATTGCGACCGACAATCTCTTCACATACAACCATGCCGAAGCAAGTGATCAGTTGCTCAGAGACCTTCAGATGGGCATTCAGCTCGCCGGACCCACCAACGCAACCCAACAACTCTCAAGCCATCAAACCACCGTTCTTGCAGCTGCTTACACACATCGCGGCTTCCTGCTACTCAAGATCGCTGACATCATCCGCAAAGGCGAGCAAATTCATGGTGTCAGCGACACACTTCAATCGGCTTCTGCTGAAAGTGTCGAGGAGCAAGCAAGCAAGGACTTCGCTGCCGGAGGCCAGTATGGAAGCAAGGAAGCACGTGAGATGGCTGTGAGAACGAATCCATACGCCAAAATGTGTGGCGCTATCGTCAAGGAGGCATTGAAGAAGGAGACTGAGGAGTGGAAGGCAGGTCAACTTTGCTGAATGAGAAGACATTTCCAAAGCCTTGACACTATTCGTCAACGGCGGAGGGGACAAGTTGGCCACGAGGGTGCACGTCAAACGCTGTAAAGATATAAGATGATTCTCAATCGACGTGCAGGAGCTGCATAGAAGCTTTTACCAAAAGAGGTTCTCAAGCTACGATGGTCAAAAACGTCTCTCTACCCATGTGCCTATACTACTCTTGACCGTGACACCTCACATGTCGCCCATGCCTTCCCGTATCTGACATCGCTGGTGTCGTCCAGAGCGGAAGAGTGCCGCCTTCGAGAAGCTTACCGGGACCCCACCCCACACCTTCCTTCCCAAACGGTGTTCAAGGCATCTACAATACGACAGGGGCTAACGGACCGCCTTCCGCCTCACTATCTGAGCTCATGACCTTGAAACGATATATCTACATCACAAAGCTCATCGAGTGATGGTTTATTGATATATAGCTTACGCATTCACTTTTGAAGCACTCTGACACGATTGTTATTGTCGCACCAACCCGCATCCACAGCTTTACACAACATCCAATCACCGCAACATTCACTCACCGCAGCATCAACCAACAACATCAGCAACCATGGCGCCCATCGCCTTGTCACCTCCCCGCGAAGCATCGCCTCCTCCATCATCACAGGCAGAGATGTCCTCCTATCAAGGCTATGACCACGTTCACTGGTACGTGGGCAATGCCAAACAAGCAGCCGCCTACTACATTGCACGCATGGGCTTCGAGAAGATTGCATACCGAGGTTTGGAGACTGGGTCTAGAGGACTCGCCTCCTACGTCGTGCGCAACGGAGGCGTCACCTTTGTCTTGACTTCCCCTCTGCGTGGCTTGAGTATGCTGCACGATGTCCCCGAAGACGAGCGAGAATTGGTCAGAGAAGTACACAAACATCTTGAAACCCACGGTGATGCCGTCAAAGGTTTGCTTTACTACAGATCCTTTGATTCTGAACATTTACTGATGATAAATACAGACGTGGCTTTCGAAGTCGATTGTGTGGAATCAATCTACAATGCCGCAGTCTCGGCAGGCGCAACCTCCATCAAAGCCCCCAACACCCTTCACGACGGCAAGCTCGGCTACGTCAAAACCGCCACCATCCAAACCTACGGCCAAACCACACACACTCTAATCGAACGCCAAAACTACCGCGGTGTCTTCTTCCCTGGCTTCCGTCTCGAGCCCACTGCAAAGGATCCCCTGAACTTGATTCTCCCACCCGTAACCCTCGAAGCCATCGACCACTGCGTCGGCAACCAAGACTGGAACGAAATGGACGACGTTTGCGCCTACTACGAAAAAGCCCTCGGTTTCCACCGTTTCTGGTCCGTCGACGACAAGGAAATGTGCACAGAGTTTTCGGCATTAAAGTCAGTCGTCATGGCTTCTCCCAACGAAGTCATCAAGATGCCCATCAACGAGCCTGCAGAAGGAAAAAGGCAGTCTCAGATTGAGGAGTATGTTGACTTTTACGGTGGCGCTGGTGTGCAGCACGTGGCTTTCAGAACTACTGATATCGTTACTGCCATCAGAAACCTCAGGGCCAGAGGTATGGAGTTTATCAAGGTGCCAGAGACTTACTACGTGTCCATGAAGCAGAGACTGGCTGCTGCCGGCATGGAGCTCAATGAGGACTTTGACGTCCTTGCCAGTCTCGACATTTTGATTGACTTTGATGAAGGCGGTTATCTCCTACAGTTGTTTACTNNAAAGTAAGTGCAACTGATGACTTCTCAATTGCGGATCAGAAACTGACTTTGGAGCTCACAGCATGTGCTGGACCGCCCTACCGTCTTCATCGAGATCATCCAGCGTAACAACTTTGACGGCTTTGGTGCTGGCAACTTCAAGTCGCTCTTCGAGGCCATCGAGAGAGAGCAGGAGGCCAGAGGCAACCTGATCTGAGCACTGCCGCATGCACCAAAGAAAGGAGAGCACGAAAGTGATTGTTCTGATGCTGGTCATCGAATGAGAGAACAACGCCGGAAGACGAGAAAGGCGCCCGAGGGCAGCCGAGGTCACTCAAATGATAGTGGGAGAAGTGCGAAGCTGGATGAACAGCACATGACTGCGAGAAGAGGGAGATGATTCGCCGGAGACTTCAAGAAAGTCAAGTAACGGAGATGAAGAATGAATCCGAGAAGGCGCAAAAGCAGGCCTAGTCAGATGGAGGAAGTAATCAAAGCGCAGTCTCCAACATATGTATCGCAAGAAGATGAAAGAGAAGAAAGCAGTTACAACTGACATTCAATCGTGTGCCAGACCTGTCATGGTCGTCTGTTGCAGATTCTCGAGTAGTCTTCTGCGACCCGAGCAACACATGAGAGATCCCGAGTTTCGAAAAGCCGTGGGTGTTGACTCCAAAGCCAACAAAACTATCCACTCATACCGAGCTCTTAGAACATGAATTCTATACTAAACTCCAGATTACTCCGCCAGTGGAAACGATCATTCATCGCTCACACTCGCTCATCTGACGACTCTTGACCACAGCCCACAATCTAGCTCTCATTCGAGCCAGAGGATCCTGCGTTCCCATTCCTGTCGCCGCTTTCGCTTTATAGTATTCATCCCGATGCTGGTCTTCCAGCTGCTTGAGCCAACTCTGCCAGCCAGAGCACTGTAAATTGATCGCAAAGGGCAGCTTGACCATGAATCGCTGGCCGTACCGTGTGCCCCAAGGTGCTGTTGGCAAAACGTCAGCTTCTTGATTGTGGAGAATTGAGGATTTGGGTGAGGATACCACTTTTGCCGAGATAGACGGTTTCGAGGACGTGGTCGGGGTGGTCATTGTGTAGGGTGTGGTTACACATGAGGCAAGCTTTGCCGCCGCAAATTGCGCAATCGAACATGAAGCCAACCTTTTAGTGAGTTAGCGGTCAATCCGATGTGTGAAGACGGATCGGGAGGGGCATACCAAAACTTCCATTGCACACAGATGGCACATGATGAGGCTGCGGTATTTCTCGACCACCAGCTTAGTATAGTCAAGAGGGTTGTCCGGCAGGTGAGAATCAAGGTCGACCTCGTTCGATCGACCAAGCATGTCTAGCATCGAGTCGTCACTCTTCTGGACATCAGCCTTGTCGTAATGCATCAAGATATGATATGGCGTCCAGGACTGAGGAGGTTGAAGTGTTGTGAGCTTCTTCACCTCTACTCCATGCTCAAGAAGTGTTTTCGCCATTCTAAAGTTGCCCTTCCTGCAAGCCCAATGCAAACACGTCCACTCACGCGCTTCTTTCTTGACTAGTCCTGGGTCACGCTTCAAGAGGAGTCCGACAAGCTCTGCATTGTCTTTTCTGCACACGGCATAATCCACAAGGTTCATCCCAGCTTTGGATGCGGTAAACATATCGGCTCCTCGACCAGTGAGGTATTCGAGTATGCGAATCGAATCTGCGAATTTGACCCACCGGATGTGTTTTCTAGCACCAACAAAATAACCAAGGACTGGTACGCCTGTGTCATCGGTGGCGTTCATGTCAGAGTTGTGAACCTCACACAGGAATTTCACCATTTCAAGACTGCGCGCCATCATGAGTGGAGTCCGGCCGATTGGACCTAACAATGTAGCCGAGTGATCGTTTGTCTGCAGCAACAGTTTCGTGACTTCGAGGTGATCTTTCAGTATGGCACGATGCAGTGGAGATAAACCATCTACATCTGTGCAGAGCGTGGCGCCTGCGCGCAAAAGTATCTGGACAGAAGTACTGCATCCCTGGTCGCTGGCATACCACAAAGGCGTTCGTCCGTGCTCATCAAGCTCGTTCGCAGATTGGCCGTTCGAGAGCAGGTAGTCCAATTTCTCAGGGCGGAACATGACTGCGAGATGAAGAGCATACTTTGGGGTTGCCAGCTTACTCCAGTCAACATCTAGTCCTGGCAGAAGGTGAAGGTCCGATATCCACAGAAGATAGTGTCTTGAGAGTGTCTCATCAAAGCTCCGTCCCAATGCCTCTTGCCCCAGTTGCGTCTGACCTAACCGCAACTTCACCAGCGAGGCGAGTTTCCTGTCGTCTGTACCTAGAAGTCTTCTGGTACTGGCCAAAAGATTGTCGGAAGATCTGGTAGACCCGCTAATGGCACGTATTGCATGTTTGTCGAAAAATCTGATTGGATATGTTAGATTTCCCCAAGCAGTCACATCGCTAAGATCATATGGCAGTGCAAATAACAGCCAATCCATACAGCGACATGCCAAAGCACTTTCGGCATTGTTCCTGTCTGTAAGAGGGCTCCACAGGTCTCCTTGAAGCCTTGCTAGAGGCAAATGCTGAAGATATTCGAGAAAGGAAAAATGGATCGGAACGACTTGATGATGCAGTCTAGAAGGCAGTCGCAGCAAGTTCTGGCATACTTCTGAAATATACTCAGGCGATAGCAGCCGCGTTCGAAATTCCCCTTCTGTACGAGGTGAGTCTAAAAGGGCGACAGCGGCTCTCAGAGTATTTAGTGACGGTGGGTGTTTCGCGTACATGATCCAGCAAAAGCACTCCAAAGCAATGTTCTGGACGTGTACAGGACCATTAGAAATCTCATCGAACATACGTGTGTACATTGCAACAAGACCTTGAGGTAGATGATCAAGCGCTTGCCTCAAGTATTGGTCGTTGTCTGATCTGCTGGTTCTGCAAAGCTGTTGCAGTTGGAGACTAGCCCACAGGAACCTTGTACAGTCAGTGGGACAAGCTAGTGAGCTTGGAGGTTGAGTGTACTCACATGCCATCCGACTTCTCCACCAGCCTCTCGACAATCTCTTCAAACAAAGCATCGCTTCCAACACGGAGCTTTGACTCTGCTCTGAGTCTCAAGGTCTCATGTTGAACAAAACTCCGAATATCTGCATTGTTCTTTTCGGTCTCAAGTTCGATGGCAGGTGTGTCGAGGTACTTGAACTGGGCACTGATGTCAGGCTCCTTGCGACTACTCACAAAGATCTTGAGGTTGGACTTGCTCAATGCATTGACAATGAAGTCCAGTATTGGTTGTCGTCTCTCTTCCGGACACTCGTCGAGCCCGTCAACGACGACAAAGACTTGGTGATAGAGCTTAATAACATCGGCGAACATTTCAAGTTCCGACACACCAGCAGGCTCTCTTGCTTGCCGCTTAGCGTCTAACAGCTTTTCGGGAATTGAGCCGTGTTGTTGACAAAGTTGCTTCAAGAAAAGTGGAATCAGCAGCATCAAATCTTGGAAGGTCGGGTCACTGAAGCTGAAGTAAGCAAAGCAAAGACCCGTCTGGCGTCCAACGTGACTTTTTTGTATGTGATTGATGACATGAGATCTTAATATCGTTGCATTAGCTCATGGCAACGTGAAACAGACATAGATCTTACGCTAGAATAGACTTCCCTGCACCAGCTGTGACATTTTCAGTAGGGTCAAGCAGATTGGTTAGAGATACTCACGTTTGCCATAGCACCATAAGAGCTGGGAGGATGTCGCTTTCTGCCATTGCAAGAATTCATCCGTCTGCAAGAGCCAGTCGCCTGTACCTCGATGCTTAGTTTTGAAAGTAAGATACTGCTTGTGATGAAAGTCGTATGGCGACAACCAGCGTAGAAAACTCTCTCTTTCGTTGACTATGTCACATCAGGATATTGTCAGAGTCTGGTACGAAGAAGTTCTTACCCTTGTCGGCGTACAACAACTCTGCTTGTGCTGCATGCAAGAGAACGCCGCAATGACGGTCCATTCGGCCAGCTATCTCACCAAACTCCATCTCGAAAGGTGCCCATTGTGAGTGCAGGAACATCTGCAAGGTAGTATGTGATTTAGATCTGCCGTCCCTGTCCAGAAACAAAGCGCTAGATGCTTTGCAAAAGTCTAGAACATCGCCATAGACATCTATGAGCGCATGCCCGACGTTCAACAGTTCAAAGCGCTCAGAATACCGCTCGAGGGGAGCGATGATTTCACTAAAACGATCAAGCATATCCGCAAGCTTGCCGAAGAATTTGGCAAACCCTACAGCAATGTCGACTATCAGCTTCACGCCGCCAACGGCTATAGAGGAGATGTCAGGATTCGCCTGAACCGCAATGGCGACTCCCCCAAGCAATCGGTCTAAAAGACCTAAACACTTGGCGATTCTGTCTGTACAAGGACGAAATGACGAGTTCGAGGCATGTTGCGTATCCAGTGATCTGATTCGTTCTAGAAGACTGTCTGGCGAGATGGTGATGTTTGCTTGATAGAACGCTTGCCTCTCCACTTGCGGTACTTTGTCAAGATGCTTCTGTATTGCTGCAAGGAAGGCAGGATTGGTCGAGAGACTAGATATCGTAGGGGAAGACACTGTTGAAGTGACAAGTGTTGCTTGCTGGAGTGTTGGGGTTGCGGTCGAGATGGATGCGGACGGCGATGAGATTAGAGGTGCAGTAGAGTTGAAGGTCGAGGCTACCGAGGCAGATTGCGGCCAATCCTGTGATGAGCTTGAGGACACGGTAGCCGCCAAGGGACCAGGAGACACTGGCTTCGGCCTCCCAGGCAGGATGTTTTTCAGTCTGTCTCTTTTCCTCAGCGGTGGTGTTGTAGTAGACATGGTCAACTGGATGGAACACAACCAGTCGTGAGGTACACGGCTGAACGTCCGGCAGTAACAAGGGACAGCAACACTTGTCTTTGTAGGACACCTACCCCACTAAGCCACAGCGCGTGCATGCATATTAGATGAAAATCTATAGATGCCCAATGGCTGCTTTAAAGCGCGAGCCATTGCGAGGCGCAGCTGGAGGCCAGCCTGTAATGCTCCAGATAGCCTGCTGCCACAACGCGTGAACATGCATTGTGATAGAATGTCGGCGATGGCCAAGAGGTACGCGTGAATCCGAATGACCAGCACGACTTGAGGAAGCCATCATCGCATATGCGCCTTCCAGCACCAACACTACCTAGTATCCAGAGTAGGCGCGCACCTCACGCGTTCCATCATCTTAATGACGTGGGTGGAAAGAGCGAAGGAGGTGGGAAGGAAGGTGGCTGGGAGAGCTTTGACCTCAACATGAATCCTAGTCGCAGGTATCACCCTGTCGCAGATTGACGACGATGATATCTAGACTCAGTAACATCGCTAGCATTCAGAAGTTGCAGGAGCAGTTGAGTGCGCTGTTTAGATTGCGTTGGGATCTCTTTTATCGTCGTGGAGATCTTGATAGCGATATATCTGCTAAAAACACATTTGACATGATTTACACCAAGAAGCCTGTAGCATTCCGTGTGGTACACCACCATGTGTAAGGATACAGATGAGCCAGAACTCCACTTTAGGTAGAGCTACTCCCAGAAACATGCTCTCATAAAAATGCATGTAATCCCCGTCCACAGAATCGTCACGAAATCATCGCATTCACAGATGTTGAACAAAAAACTCGAGTCAAAAAACGTCGCTTTTCGTGAAGCAATTGATAGCATAATTATACATGGATAGCGAAACGAACAGCTAAGATCAAAGTGCCAATCCTCGTCAGACACCTTCGCATGCGAACTTGCAACCAAAAAAGAACGCCGAAACAGGATCATCATCGTTATCGTACAAGTACAGAGCAGAGAAACAAGATCGCGCAGTCATGGGCATAAACGTGAAAGCAAAACAAGTGAATAAGACATTACCGGATGAATCAATCATCCTAGAAATGATCGCCCTTCTTTCCACGCTTACCGTGGAAATCAACTTCGGGGTGAACGACCCTCATATGACGCGTAAGGGCATCTGCGCGAGAGAAGGTCTTCTCCTCGCGACAGTACTGACAGCGAACCTTTTGCTTTTGGCGGTTGTGGATGGTGTCCTCGTGGCGAGTAAGATCGTAAGGTCTGCTGAAAATGCTGTTACACGGCTTGCCAGTTGATGGATTGGTACGTGTGCATTTGTGGGGGCCTTGCTGCGAGTTGCGCTCGGCTAGTGCAGCAGCAGTCATAGAGCTACCGAAATTGCCAGGAACGGCAGCAGGAGAACTCGAGCCACGGTCTTCCTCGGGAGATGATGTGGCGGTACCTGTCGACGACAAAGACTGACGAGCAGGATGAGCATCACGCCCGTGCTTCAGCAGCTTGACGGCAGAGTCGAAACGTTGGTAGCAGCCATCGGCAGTACATGTGTAACTGCCAGTATCGGCAGTAGTGTGCTGTGGCCGCGAGATGGATGCAGCAGTCATGCTGCCCTGAGAAGAAGCACCGGGACCCTCGCTCATGGATGACTCCATAGTAGCCAGGTGAGCAGGGAAGTCTGGCGTGGGCTCAGCGTTGAGGTCAGTGGTGCGATAGTGTGCTGGAGCATAGGGATTGCTAGGCATTACTGGTTGCTGGGGCGGCAAGAAATTGAACGTGGTAGATCCAACAGAAGATTGATCAGAGGATGAAGCACGGAAGCCGGCAACATTGGTTGGAGGGGCAGCCATGCTAGTGGCAAAGTTGTAGCCCGAAGGCAGCGTGTCGGCGAACAAAGGCATGTCGGAGCCCTCGCTATCAGTAAAGTCGAGGAGGGCATCCTTCGGAGACATGGTCTTGGTAGCCTCCCGTCGTAGCTTGGGCTGGTGCGACATCCATTCTCTAGCGCTTGCCTCTTCCCTCTGCTGACGTCTTGAATCTGCAGCGGTGGCCAGGAAAGGACCAGGTGATTTAAAGTTCTGAGCAGCGGGTGCTGCAAAGGGTGAGTTTTGTCTGAAAGGGGATCGCTCACGAGACATATCGCCAACCGGTGACTGTGATCGAATGCTGTTGGCAGTACGTAGCCTTTCGTCGATCAAGTTGCGATGAGGCGAAAGCATATTGGTGTTGTTGTTGGTATGCACTGTCGGTGGTTGGAGGGAGTCAGAGTTGTTTGGGTTGAAGAGCTCGTCGGCAAAGGCAGCAGACTCTGTGCGGTTGAGCTCGACGCGAGGAGCATTGGCTTTGTAGTCTGGAAGCGAGCTCATATATAAGTATCGCTCAAACAGTTCCAAGTCTGGTACTTCCTCACCATTGGTTGGCATCTTGAACAGAGGCGGTCTCTCGTCATTGTCATGGTCAGAACTCGACCTCGGCTGAGGCGTCGACGGCGAGTCCTGGCCCTTGCTTGACACCGAATGCCGTGATGAGTGTGCAAAGTCCGGAATATCCTCGTTGTAGGTTGAGTTGTGCTGGTCGATGGCCATATTTTGCATGGCCAGATGGGCCGCGGGAGTGTGAGAGAGCTTTGATGGAGCGTAGCCGACGTTGTTAAATGTCTGGTCGTTGTCGCTGAAGTACGACGTGGTAGGAGACTGGTCGGCGTTGGCAATGTAAGGGTAGGTGCTGGCCTGCATGAATGGCGAAGAGGGGCCGGTCGAGTTTACAGTCGACTCGGACGCGTTTCTCTGGTGGCCCTGACTTTTCCGCAGCAGTCCGGCAGTATGGTTCTGCACTGGAAACATATGCCAGTCGCTTGTTTGTACTGTCGAGTCCGGGTCGAAGGAAAATGTGAATGAAGGGTTGTATTGGAATGGTTGATCCAGTGTCAATTGATGTGGAGTGTTGATCGGTGATGAATTTCCTTGTGTCGAGAGAGGATCAGGTGTCGATGTGTTGGAGGAAGATCGAATGCCTGAGCAAGAGAAGGAAGTCCGATTTGGCCAATATGTCATGATTTCGCTCAGGGTCCGATNTATGACGTCGATGAATCTCAGACTAGAGCCTTCTAGGCAAGTNNCTTCGCCGATCTCTTTCTCGTGGCTGCCGCTGAAAGGGTCACGGGGTATCCGTTGAATTGGTAATCTGCTTCCTCTCTTTTCTCGACTTTCCTGAATTGTTCCGTTGATTTCGATTTGCTCGAGAACGGTCCGGGGAGGGACGGCTTGGTTTAATAGAGAATTTTTGGTTTCCAGTCATCGTGTCTTGGGACTCGGTTATGCTGGCCGAGTGCGAGTGCTGCGCCACGGATTATCGAGCAGGCAGATGCATGCCGAGACGCACCTTACCGGATCGCGCTGTTCCGTGATGCGGGCTAGATGCTTCTATGCGTACATCACCTCCCAAAATATCGACATCGATGCTGCTTCGACTCGCTCTATGCGGTTGTGTTCTATTGAAAGAGCATTCTCCGTAAAAGTTCTGGCTCGGAGTGTGGCTTCCATCCTGTCAATGTGCTCTGTTCCAAGGACCGAGATAGCCCTCAATTTTGCTGCCTGCGATGGTCGACTCACCGCGCTGTACCGCGTGACCTGTCAGAGTCACCGCTGCACTTGCGACTCTCTCGGTGCCTAGAGTCGTATGCTTGGTCTTCCGTACTCGCTTACCATATTCCACTTTCGGCCTTGTTGGTATGCTCGGAATTCACTGTGACAGGAGCATGGTTAGGCAAAGAAAAGCCAGAGCAGATCTTGGTAATCGAGCGTTGGGCTCAGGGTCCGATCGGGTAGGGCTGCATGGAGCATGCAAGCCACATGTAAATTCTACGACCCTGTCAGCAACGCATCTCGGAGATGGCCTACTGTCACCGACTCTGTACTCCAGTACATTCGCTCTCACCGAACGACTTTTTGAGTACTTCTTGAATTTAGATTAAGCTGCAAGCCAGCTCAGCAGAATGTTTTTGCTCTCAGCTTTTTCTGTATAGTTCCTGGATGCTTCTATGCCGCAGCACACATCTGTCTCCCACAAGACCGTTTCCACAAGCCACACTTGACCCAGCCACAAGAGGAGCTGTCCATGACGTACCTGTGGCTGTTACAAATCGTCACGGCGTCTGAGCAAAGCAAACATTGGGGGTTTGAGGAAGCGATGGACTGTCATTCCTTTCCTTTTTGCTGCATGCTGCATGTCTGATGTGCAGGAGAGGCCACGTCAGAGGGGCCGTGAAATCTCGAGTCGTTCCCACCACTCTCACAGCCGGCCACTCCGACTCAGGCACGCTTTTACGACGAACGAGGATACTGTGTACCCTCCGAGGACAAAGATTGCGTTCGACTGCTCGAAACTCGGTCCGTTCGGCAGGTGTCAAGATCCATTAGGCTCAATGTTGCAGGTCGACGATTTGTTCAGCATGGTACTTTCTGCAAGAACAAAGAAGCATTGATATCAGCTGCTTAAGCGGCCGTGTTCGGCTCGTTCATGCGTGCTAACCGAGCTCACCGCTGTCGTTGACGAACCTCGTTGTTCAGCCGACTTACTAGCGAATAGGCATCTATTGGTAGTTTGACAACGCGTCGTCTAAGTTAGCTCTGACTTATGGTTGCATGCACAACCTGGTTTCTGTGTTCACCGACAATCCGGACACGCGACACTGCCGAAAAATCAACTGCTTCACGAGCATTCTACCCATGGGGTAAATGATGGCGTGTATCACTCCGAAGATCTCGAAAGTGGGCTTCATTGCCTTGAGAAGAAACTAAACTAACAACTAACTTAATAGCGGCTTCACAACAACAGAAGAAACGCATATCCCCCACTACCTACTCTCAGCACCACCAACAGTGTCACCTGTTTCAAATATTCTACCGACCTCGAAGATGCGCCTGTCAGCGCCGCCCTTCTCCAGCAATCTAGCAATATCATGATCCCCTTGTGACTCGGCCATCTCCAATGGGTAAACTATCCTGCCAAATGATCGCATGGGAATATTTGCTTGTACTCCAGCTTTAAGCAGCACCTCAACTGCTGCATAACTTCCCCGGATATTGCTGCAAACAATGGTGTACTTTTATCGAAACAGACACGAGAGTTGACCTTGATAGTAGCAGGTTCTGGTCTGGCACCTTCTCGGATCAAAAGCTCAATGAGTGACGCATGTCCTGATGCATGTCCATAGTATGAAGCCAGGTAGAGAGCCGAACGTCCAAGTTCATCCTCGTCGTCAATGCTGATTTTCCCTTTCTTGAAGAATCCTTGTCGTATGAAGTTCTCTGTAGCTTCGACTAGACCAGATTTAGCTAGCTTACGGAGAGTTGCGCCTGGTGACTGGCATAGCACGCTCTTGCCCATTATTTTGTATAGCTGAGTTGCCCATACGATGTGTTCCGGACCCGCTGGCCCCATGTAGAGCTCCACATATTGTGGTTCGACGAGGCCATAGGCTATATCAGAATTCATCATGAGGCGCATCTGGAGCAAGTTATCGAGAAACGTCTCGTCACGATTGAGCAGGTGCTGCATGAGATCCAAAACCGTTGACGATGGACTTCCCGCTGAAGTGGAAGCAACAAGATGACTGTCGAAGTTATGGATGGCGTAGTAAGCAAAGGCGCTGCCATCAATCTGCCGATCGAGGTCTTTCCTAGGATCTAGGTCTTTCATCAAAAGGCATAGAAAGGTGATGCATTCTGAAGCATTTTTGCGGTTCATGGCATCTGGATCAGACAAGATCTTCCAGGGATCTCCGGTGTATCCTAGAGTCGCAAGGTTTTCTGAGAAGAACTGAAAGACCGATGAATGTATGAAAGTGATCTTCTCATCACCCCACCATGTCATCTTCTTCTTGGGTATGTGCACTAGGTTGCCACATGCACTCGAGACAAAGGTGATTGAAGGACCTTCAGCACATTCCTGATAGGATTTTGGAGGACTTGGATCCGCTAGCGGTAATGCCGCTTCAAGCTCAACCCAACGCATTTCCCTGGTGGCCGAAAGGATCCATCGGAAACATGCTATAGCAAGCGATCTCTGATATGGGTCTTTGCGATTGATCTCGTCGAGGATACGACTGTATGTTTCAGTCAGGCCCATCGGCAATTTGTCCAGGGCTTTACTGATTTGTGTGTCGGTCTCGAGAGAACAGAGATGGTCAAGTTGCAGAACGACCCATAAAAACCTGAGAGAGATCGTTAGCCGTGTTAGATAGAATCGATTTAAGGTACGAAGATTTGTGTCTAGGCATTGTATGCGTGTGTCCTTGCACCCTTATAATTGCCGTCATGACTTACATTCCATCAGCTCTCCGAATCAATGTGGAAACCACCTTCTCGAACAAAATGTCATTCTGTACAAGAAGAGTCTGACTTTGCCTAAGACTTTCTGTCCTCTGGCGGATGAGGAAATTGATGTCCTTCGTTGTATAATCAGAATCGGTCGTCACCTGCAAGACCCCTTTCCGATCGAAATACCGGGCGATATCGCTCTTCTTCCTGCTAGTCATGAAAATCTTCAGAACTGGCTGGTAGAAATGGAGATCGTTGAGGAAATCCAGCACAGATTTTCTTCCTGCGTCAGGGCATTCATCGAGTCCATCAATAACGATGAAAGTCCTCGCGTAAGAAGCAATCAGCCTGAGAAAGTTGTCGCTTGTGGCAAACTCCTGAGGATCTCGATCTTCTCTTTTCGCTCGTAGCAGCCACTCTGGGATATGCTCCTGCTGGCGACACAGCTGCTTGAACAATGCTAAAATGAGAGAATTCGAGTCCTTAAAGGAAATATTGCTGACAGTGAAATATGCAAAACAAACAACACTATCGGTATTGTGGCACATGTCTTGGAGATACTGGACGACTCGCGATGCGAGAATCGATTTTCCGGACCCAGCTATGCGTCAGATGTCAGCATGATCACCATGGGAGATCAGTCTTATCGCAAGCCACCTCACAGTGTAAGTTCAGAGACGTGCATCATATTCTGACTTACGTTTACCTTGGCACCACAGCATTTGGGACGTGTGGGACGACAGCCATTGTTTGAACTCATTTGTGCCAAAGAGCCAGCCGCACGTACCGTGATGGCGGGCTTCGAGCGATTTTGCCTTTTGAGCTCAAAATTGTTAGTCGAAAGCCAACGATAAAATTCCTCCCTTTCCTTTGCTAGAACAAATTAGCAGGTATGCATCATAGTTGATACTCAGCTACAAAGGAAAGTCTTTCCATACGGAGATGGCTGGCAAAGATCGCTCGATATTTGTATGATCTTAATGGACCTCTGATGAGATGCTAAGAGCTTTGGAGACTCACTGCTGTCTACAAGTATCTCGGATACCCCTGAATGTAACAAGATATCTTTGTGACCTTGAAGAGAGTTTTTGATCTCGCCGAACTCGGCTGCAAACGGCGTCCATTGAGAACGAAGGAATAGCTTGAAAGAAGCGTAGTTCTTCGCCTTACCAGTATCGTCGACGAAGAGTCTTCGAGCTGCGCTGTAGAAGTTCAGTATATCGGCATATACATCGGCCAGCGCATTGCATATGTTAGGTAGATCACACTTTTCGGCATATTTTGCCAGAGGAGCCAGATACTTTGACAATTGGTCGAGCATGTCCGATACCTTATCAAAGTATTCAACATAGCGTAGGGCGAGACCAATGATCAACTTGGCGCCGCCTAGTGCGATCGAGGCGGTCGACTCTGCTTGTAGGAAGACAGATGCCCCGCCGACTGAAAGCTGGAAAATGTTCAAGAAGTTGGTCACTCTCACTGTGTATTTCCTGAACGAAGACTGCTGTGAGTGCTCTTCGTCGAGCTCATGGACTCTGTCCAGAAGCTCATTGATATCGACGGCAGAAGCTTTTGTAAAAGCCATCCTGTCTGCGTCGGAAAGCTGTTGGATATGGCGGTCTATTGCTTTCTTCAGTGCCGGATTGGATGTGTTTGTCGATGCGGATATAAATGTGCTCTTGGAAACAACATCTCGGCGAATTTGAGGGGGCGAAGGAGAAGGGCTTTGAACTGGTTGATGCTTGATATTAGGTCGAACCCGGGAATTATCTGGAAGGGAACGTGGAGTAGATTGAGGCTTGGGCTTGAAGTGACTTCGGAGATGTGTTTCGTCGGAGGAAGATGGGACCTTCTCTGACTTTGAACGTGAGACCAATGCTTTCAGGCGGTGCATTGTGCGAGCTGGATATCAAAGAAATAACTGGAATCAGCATACTCGGCAGAGGAATGCCTTCTTATACCTGCTCCCAATGGTTCATGCATGTTGGAGGCGGACATCTTGCCGCGCGCGTATACAAGACACCACGAACAGGAGTGGTAAGGATGCGGCTTGCATCAGACGATCATACAGACAAGATTAGTACGCGCTTAGGATATGCACGAGTGCGGCGCAGAATCCAGATTTCGAGCGGCTAGGAAGCGATAGCAATTTCCTCGTGTGGAAGCGCTTAATCAACTTGCCAAATTTGAGGATGGTCACCAATATGAGCGGTCGACTTATGTGTTATTTCTGCAATGGATAGCTCGTCCTCTGCAAGCAGTTCTGCATGTATCGGAGCATTCAGTCGGCGTGACTATATCGCACATCATCACTCCTGTCATCTGTCCTGACTTGATTCGCGGATCTAATTGCCATGTTCCAGATTCCTCCAAGTCAAGTAGATCAGACGGCGGGAGACTGATGATACAAGAATCTTCGAGCATTCGAAGGAAACACGGAGTCTCCTCTTGGTCGACGTTGCGGGAGTGACGCGGGTAATAGCGAGTCAGGATGTCATGATGAGAAATACAGAGAAGGAGTCGGAAGCAGCACAACAGGTGTCCTCCAAACCTTGGCAAATCATGTCGATGCTCTCGAGTGTGGGGAAGGAAGTTGATGGAAGCTCCAGATGTCTCCTAACTTTGGACCTGGTTCGAGTCCAGTCTCCTTCTGACTTTGTTACCTCTGCTCATCACACAAGACGTCCACTTTCTTGTGAGTTTCTTACCTGCAGTAACTTGAGCAGTCCTTTAACGCACGCACAGATTCTAATCCTGCCTCTCACACTCGGTTGAGCCGCTCGTCAGTAACGGTTTCAACTGTAGGTGCATCCCCGTGGCCCTGCCAACGTTCATCTCAGTCCACGCTCTGACACACCCCTCCCAGCATCTTCGACGGTTTTCTTATCGGAACTGGTATCAACATGGCTTCTGAGGCTCCCACCGTCGCTGGCTCTTCTGCCGACAACCTGACGCCCGCCCAGCGTCTGGCCGAGAAGCACGACGACCACAAGCCCACAGTCGAGGAGGTTGTCGACGAGGAGGACATTGCCCACCCTCCTCCTTCTGCCTCTGCCACCGCTTCGTCGTCGGCTGGTCCCTCGACCGCCGCCCCTACTCCCGCCCCCGAGTCCGCTCCCGCTCCTGCTCCTGCTCCCAAGAAGTCGTCAGTCCTTGACACTCAGTCCGAGGAGCTGTTCCCCTCGCTCGGCGCCTCCAAGCCTCGCTCTGCTGCCGGCCCTTCACCATGGTCCAAGAAGCCTGCTGCCGTCGCCAACGCCAACGGTCTTCGTAATGGTCAGGTCGCCAACAACGCTCCTTCGCGCACCTCCGCTCCTGCATCGGCTCTCGCAACTCCCGCTTCCACCACTGGCTCCTACGGTGTCTCTCTTCCCGGCCGTCACACCGAGGCCATATCCTTTGCTCCTTCTCAGCTCGCCCAGTCAAAGGACTTGAAGAAGCCCGTCTCCGAGATCCTCCGCGACATCAACAAGCGCTCCAAGGCCAAGGTTGAGATGGGTCAAGGTGCTGGTGGTTCCTACTCATTCAGAGCCACCGGTTCCACCCCCAACGATGTCCGCGAGACTCTGAAGGAGGTCGCTCGCCAGCTCGGTTCCAGAGTAAGTCACTGTCACACCTCGTTGGACTTTCGTTGTTACTAATAACAAGCANNGCAAAGCGTCAAGGTGCCCGTCCCGCTTTCCGTCCGTCCTCACATCATCGGCCGTGGTGGTGCCAACATCACCGCTCTCAGCCAAAAGACCGGTGCCAAGATCCAGGTTCCTCGCCAGGACGACATCGATACCGCCGACGATGACGACTCTGCCACCATCGACGTCCTTATTGAGGGTGACGCTGTTGCTGCCGAGATGGCCCGTCAAGAGATTGAAAAGATTGTCAACGAACGCACCTCTTCCATCAACCTCCGTCTGAAGGACATTCCTGCCGAGTTCTACCCTTTCCTTGCTGGCGCCCACAACTCGCGTGTGGGTAACCTTGAGAACGGTCGTGACTTGAAGGTTCAGATTCCTCACTACCACACTTGGGTCGAGCAGGCTCCTCCCGAGCCCGCTGCCTACCGCCAGCCTCCCGCCTTTGTGCCCCAGGCCAGCCTCCCTATCCAGATCTCTGGCGACCGCCTGGCTGCCAACGAGGCCCGCGCCCAGCTCGAACGCCAGGTTGAGCAGCTCAGGCGCGAGCTTGTCTCGGAACAGGCCGCCATTGAGCGTGGTCGTCATCAATTCATCGTTGGTGACAGAGGCACTTCCCTCCACGATTTCCTTGCCGAGACCGGATGTACCGTTGTCCTGCCTCCTGACGCCGAGAATGACGAGAACCTGACCATCGTTGGTCCTGCTGACAGACTCGACGACGGCCTGAACAAGGTCATGGAGCTTGCTGCCAGCATGTCCATGGCCAGCGTTGACATCTCTCGCTCTTTCCCCAACGCTCCTCTCGGTGCCCAGGCCCACGCCCGCAACGTCACCAAGTATCTCCAACAGAGACGTGCTATCCAGGACCTCGAGCGTTTGTACAATGCTCGCATTGTCGCTAGCACTGCCCGCAACGGCCCCACTGCTTGGGAGGTTGCGTCCCGCGACGGCAAGAACACCATGAAGGCTCGTTCCGACATCATGAACCTCATCAGCGGTCACCCTCCTGCTCGTCTCAACCCCGTCCAGGTCCACCCATTCTACCACCAGCACCTGCGCCAGTCAGCCGGTCCTCAAATCCGCGACCAGTTCGGTGTGCACATGGTTGTCCCGGAGGAGTCCGACAGTGATGACGAGATCCTGCTCGTATACGAGGGCCCTTCTTCGGCTGCGGATTACCAGCTGCCCAGACGTCAACCTGCCGCCAACGAGGCCAAAGACTTCGAGCGCGCCCTGAAGGAGGCTCAACAACATCTTCTTGGTCTTATCAGTGGACAGCAGGAAATCGTCTCCCGTGACGTTGATGCTCCCTCCAAGTTCAATGACAAGATTAGAAGACACGTTGATCGTGAGCAGTCGAACCTCCCTTCAGGCCAGATTCCCATCCAGGTTCTGTTTGGTGGACAAGCTGTTCGCAAGGCTCCTGCTCAAGGTTTCTCTGTTCGCGGTCCCAGCGACCGTGCCGATGCACTTGTCGAAAGCCTTCTCGCTTTCATTGAGCAAGAAAAGCAGGATGAGCTCGAGCGCGGTTTCACTCTGACCTTTGACTTCCCCCAGAAGTTTGCCAACATCTTGATCGGAAAGAAGGGTGAGAACATCAGGAAGCTTCGTGAGGAGTTTGATGTCGACATCCAGGTCAACGATGGTAAGGTTGAGTTGAAGGGTCCTCAAGCCAAGGCCAATGCTTGCAAGGCCCACATCCTTGCTCTCGGCAAGAAGCTTGAGGATGAAGCCACACATGTTATCAAAGTCAAGCCCCAATTCCACAAGGATTTGATTGGCACCAAGGGCAGCATGGTCAACCGTCTCCAAGACAGATACAACGTCAGAATCAACTTCCCTCGCTCGAACAACACCGAGGATGATGATGCAGCTGAGGGAGAAACCTCTCGCAAGTCGAACCAGGCTCCTGACGAAGTCATCATCAAGGGTCCCAAGAGAGGTGCTGACGAGGCTAGAGAGGAACTTCTAAACCTCTTGCAGTACACCATGGACACTTCTCACACTGCCACTGTCTCTGTTCAGCAGAGCCAACTGCCTTCCTTGATCGGAACCGGAGGCCGTGAGCTCGATGCTCTCCGTCTCGCCACTGGCGCTCACGTTGACGTCCCCAACAGCCGCGAGGCCGCCGATGCTTCTGGACGTGTTGAGATTAAGATTAAGGGCTCAAAGAAGGCTGTCGAAGACGCCAAGAAACAGATTGAAGAAGCTGCCAAGGTCTTTGACTCGACTGTCACTCGCACGCTCGATGTTGAGAAGAAGCACCACCGCAACATCATCGGCGGTGGTGGCGCTAACATCCGTGACATTGTCATCAAGGCTGGTGGCCCTGACGATAGACAGAAGCTTGCCCGTATGGTGCGCTTTCCTCGTGCCGAGGCCGAAGGCAACACTATCCGCGTTGAGGCCAACCAGGCCATCGCTGAAAAGATCATCGAGGCCATCCAAGCACAGGTCTCTGAGCTCGAGAGCCAGACAACTCAGATTATCGAAGTTTCNCCCGAGAAGCACCCTAAGCTGATTGGTCGTGGTGGCGACATCAGAAAGAAGATCGAGTCAGAGTTTGGTATTCAGCTCGACATTCCGAAACAGTCTGTCACTGGTCCTGAGCGCTCGAAAGTTAAGCTCATTGGACGTGCCGAGAACATTGAAAAGGCCAAGGAACACATTGCAAACCTCACAAAGGATGCTGAGAGCACTGATATCCAAATTCCCCTCAAGTTCCACAATGCCATTGCCGACAACGGACAGTTCTTCCGCCGTCTTCGTAACGACCTCAAGGTCTCTGTTGACCACAAGGGAGTGCGTCCTCCTCAGCGTCCTGAGGCACTCTCCACCCGCAAGGCTGGCTCGGGAATGCCGTTGATCACCGATGATGCGACCGGCGGCGCCTCTGACGATAACGTCTCGTGGGTCGTGCACAACCTTCATGAGAGCGCTCCTGAAGGCGAGATCACCTGGGCCTTGTCTGGAGCTTCTCCCGAGACCCTCGAGAAGGCCAGCGCTCGCGTCAAGAAGGCTCTTGCCGACGCCGAGAAGCTGACCCATGCTGGTTTCCTTGTCCTTCCCGACCCCAGCTCTTACAGAAGAGTTGTTGGTCCCCAGGGCAGCACCATCAACGAAATCCGCGCCAAGACCGGTACCAAGATCCAGGTCCCCAAGGCCCAGAGCGGTGATGAGGCCATCGAAATCACCGGTACCCAGGACGGTGTGGAGAACGCCAGNGAGATGATTCTCAACGCTATTCAGGGTTGAGAAGTTGAAGAGTAGGACGTTTGTATTGTTTTATGTTCGCATGGGTGCGTCGGAGTCACAGGGCATTTGCAACAAAAAGCGCCAGAATGTACCATCTAGATGATGTGTTTTTGGATGGGACCAAAATATCTCAACAAGCTTAAATTTCGTATCTTCCTTTTTATCCTAACTTATGCAAGATTTTGCAAAAGGCAAATGTACAGCGGCTGCTTTCCAAGCCAAGTCAAGAACAATTTCAGACACAATGAATTGAAGTATGTCAGGCACAAAAGTTCCCAAATCGTCACGATCAGTTCTCAGCTTTAGCGATTCGCAGGAGTAAATTACTGTTTTGAGGCAAGGCCTACTCACGAGCCTCTCCCATTCGCCGTCTCACACTCTCAGTCCCCAGAACTTGCGTAACGACGACCTACGTAAGACCTGCTCGACATCAGCAATGCACTTGTTGCTCCATATCATCTGATACCTTGTCTTGCTCCTCATCTGCCGATTTCACTCTTTGCTCTAATTCTCAGCTCCGACCCCAGATCCAGCTTCGTCGTCGATCAAAAACGTCTGCAACTGTCTTCACGCCGTGCGTTAAGCTGTCTAGGAGTGATGGCCTCCCGCATGTCGTGCCATTTGCAAGAGAGTTGTATTTGCCAGTAACGAAATCCTGTCACCAGCGCAGATAGGCCTCACTAAACGCCGTGCCTAGCGCCTTTCTTCCTTGCACTTGATCGCAACAACAACAACAACAGCTCAAAAACTCACAGGCAAGCCTTACCAGAAGTCCAACCTTTTATCAACACGAACCGAGGTCCGAAAAAGAGTCCGTGTCCTTGATATCGTGAACTCGCACACGCCGGAAGATTGACGGAATTGTTTGCTGAGAATCAAGGTCAACACGACTTTGCCGTGTCCGACTCCTACTTGCTTGCGCTTTGGATTATATGTATACTAACGTGTCTCGATTACGATTGCAGTACCGATCCGGAGCATGAAGCCGAACAAAGGAGTGAGCTCGACTTTCGACAAGGGCTTTGCTGGTGGGTGGTCGTCCGGAAGCGGAAGAAGCTCGACAAAGAAGATGAGATACAAAGAGCTTCACGAGGAACAGAGCGTGGAACGCATAAAAGAACGCTTGTCGGCTCATCTGCGTGAGAGTTTTAAGACACAACCCCGTTTCTGGAACTGACAACATACCTGCTTTCTACCTGGACAAGAGACCTATTTGCAACAATGACGGAGTCCGAAGTGAAACGACAGTCAGAGCGGATCGCGGCACAGAAGGAGAAAGAAAAGAAGGAACTAGCGGAGAAGGAAATGCTGAAGAAGGAAATCGAGATTGCGGCGAAACAAGGTCTCCCCGAGGATGGATCTCTCATGTTCAAAAAGTTCACGTGGTACTCCGGACCATTCAATATTGACCGCCAAGAAGTCTGGCAGAGAAAAGAAGACGTCAGGGTCGGTGTATGGGCTACCAAAGCACACTGGAGACCTGAGAAGTTCTATCCCGGTCAGATTCTGAGGATCACGCACACTTACCCTCACTCCAACCTTGATGCAAAGTACAGCCCAGATCTCGGGCAGATTGCCATGACAAGCGTTGAGCCTGTGGCTTTGAAGATGCGCTGGGCTGTTGTACTATGGGCTAGCTCGTGGGGCATATTCGTTTTACCGTAAGTCGCGAGAGATGGCACCCAGCGAGTTGTTTTTTGAGAACTACGCTAACACCATATCATCTTCTCATAGTATGTTCAAACTACAGGGAAAATCATCCTTGAAGGATCTACCCGAGGAGCGTAAAAGAGAGTATGTTGCCATGGCCACCGAAGGCACAACCCCGCCAGAGAATGAATGTACTCCATGGTATGGTCATCCCATCACCATGAACGTGAAGCCAGACCTCAAGATGCCGTTTTCCTCACTGTGTTATGCCGACCTGAGCCGTCCAATGGCCATCAGCCTACACGAGTACCTAGAGCAAGACCTAGGCTCCCTCGACGGAGACGAGTATTTTCGACTGCTCAGCCTGTTCAAGCTGAAAATCGACTCTTGGATATCCAAGTCTTTTGACATGTTCGAGACGGGCACTTCGTACGACCAAACAAAACTTGTGCTTCCATATGCAATGCCTTTGCCCCGAGAAGCCTTTGACGACTTTGCGGAATGGAAAAGAAAATGGCAAACAAAAAGTTCCCGGGACAGATTCATTCAAAGGCAGCAGACGACAGACAATACAAAGATGTAAAGCCCAAGTCTAAGAGTGTGAGTGGAGGTAGTAGCTCTGGGATCGTCAAGAAAGCTCGCGGTGGTGGGGGCGCTGGTCGAGGCGGTGGAGGCAGGGGAGGCAGAGGAGGAGGAGGATTTAGCACGCACTGAGTCATGGGCAACCTTGGAGTATCACAGCAAGTCGAAATAAGCGAACCAAGCAATTGTTGACTATGACAGAGTAGACTGTTTACTTGGCCCTGCGTCCACACATTCTCTGTAACTTTCTCTGCTTCCTATTCCTTAGCCGCAGCTTCCCTCGAATTGGATCACTCATCAACTGGCTGGTTTCTTCGATTCGTCACTTTGTTAGTTTTTCCACATCATACAGATAGCCAAGTCATCAAGAGTCTCCATCAAGTTAGCTACAACAGCGATCACACAAGGTCTCAAACTCTCATGTGACGCTGTGACAAAACTAAACCTGTTCCTTTTTTCTTTCGAAAAAGTTCAGGAGAACCATCAATTGAGACAAGGATTCGACAGGAAGATGTCACTTCGTAGGGCTGACAAGATTCGACAAGACCGAAGCCCACGAGCTGCCTTGGAACGAGTGTACAAGATGTTGAGAGGCTGCATTGAAGTCAAATCTTATGAACGGAGATTTGGATCCAAGGCGAACCTGGGAGAACGGAATGGTCTTTGATGGCGAGAAGGAAGATCCGACAACGACCATCAAGGGGGATGACGAAGCGACAAGCGCTAGCAGAGCCGTCAATCAATCTGAAGGCAGCCGAAGCTGATGCCGTATCGATTCGTGGTGGAAAGATTGATGAAGCTTGCGTTCAAGGTGAGCCGTCAAAGATAAGCGAGCAGTCTATATGTTCGGATATGCGCGACCTGCCAACATTGACCTTGCGAAACACGGTTTCTGAGCAGCACACAAATGCTATAAGAATGATAACTCTTTGGCAATCAAGACGAGGGCGAGTGCTTGATATTGTATGCGCTCCAAGTAGTACAATGGACTGCACAAAGGCATCCGTGCAGGTAAGCAGTTTTAGCCTATGAAAGTGCACCATTGCCCGTGCATTGTTGGCACACTTGTTGTGTGGTGGCTTACATCACGTGACTCTCTAGCGCGCAACATATATATATCTAGCTCGCCCATATGTTGTTGGTTTCCCACCTTCATTCTCAGTAAAGACCCCCAAGCGTCGACACAATGGCAGAAACACAAAACACTCAACAAGATGAAGACAGTCCCCCTTATCCGACATTCAACGAACGCAAAATCGAAGACAACAAGAGACCATATTTCTCAGCAGCTTTCAAACGTTTGATATGGCCGGTCAGAGGCGAGTTCCCATCTGCCATTTCGGTCATGCCAGAACCTCACCGAAACATTGGCACTCCGCAACCATTATTCAACCCAGAGACTGGAGAGTGGCATGAAATCACTTCGCAATCGATCACGGATACAAAAGTCTCACACCTCGAAGCATCTCTTGCGAACCTGGACTCTTGGGAGCGTAACTGGGAGCGGGTGCATATGGAACATGCTGATCCAGAGTACGACGAGTGCGAATTTGTCACCTATGGCGATCTCGACAATGACGAGCGTCCCTTCGCAGGAGAACCTGAGCGGGAGGATGGCACGTGGAGTTGGGACGAGTCCTCGGACACCGAGATCCTTGTCCACTGCTGCGGCGAAGATCGTCCACTGGGTAAAGAAGGGCTTACACTCGAGGTGCGCCCATCGTCTGAAAATAATTTCGTCACCGTCAAGGACTACGTTGGCGGTAAGTGCTCGCATCAATCTGGTTTTCAGCGAACTTGATCTAACCTTACGACGAAATATNNAGCCGTACACCCTTGGCTCATGAGTATGGAAGATGACATCCTTGCAGCAATGCGCACAGCAGAGCCTGGATATCCGGATTCCACTGAGTGGAGGCTGAGCAATGCTTACTCTGATGGCCCGAGGCATCAAATCATCCTTCCCGAACTTTGGGAGTCGCAGAACCGGCCGAATCAAAACACATGGTGAGTGAACCTTGGAAGGCCCTTTTTCCATTCCAAGCAATTTTCATCCGCTGATGTTTTTCCTTTCTTGCGACCAGGGTCAGTTCTGTGTTGGTTGATGGGACTGTTGTGTACATTTGATTATGAGAGGAAGTGGATGAGTCAGTTCGCGAGGGAGAGGAAGTGAGATTAGACAAAGCAAGTCCTTCCTGGACCTGTTGGGATGACAAAGAGAGACTTGCTGCATGTCCAAACCGACTCGGTGCTGGTTTTGACCCTCAATATTCGAAACTTGGCATAGTTTGCACGATAGCCGATGTGATCAAGAATAAAAACCAGCGGTTAATCACGATAGAGGCACGATTGGCCGATAAACAACTCAAGGAAGCGTTCAAAGCCGTCAAGACAGCCATCATTCACACCGTTGTAGTCATGGTCTTTGCATCACCTAGACCAACATCTGCAAAATCAAGCCTTAGCAGTAGCAGAGGCACAGTACGAAGACCCATAGGCAACGACCGTCGAAGCGACGGCTGTGCCGCATGCGCCATTTGCGCAGTCCCTCAATCCATAACCAAAGTTCACATTCTTGCACAGGCAAGCGGGATCCGGACTAGAGCAGCCCAGCGTCGAATACTGAGCCTTCATGTTGTTGAGGCACGTTTGGCCGCAAGAGGGCAGTGCGGCGGCACTCGTCGAAGTAGTGGCAGTGTGTGTTACGGAAGCCGTTGAGCAGTATGCGCTACCGTAAGCGACCACGGAGCTCGCCACAGCTGTTCCACAGGCAGCGTTTGCGCAGTCCCTCAGTCCATTACCAAAGTTCGCATTCTTGCATAGACAGTATGAATCCGGGCTTGAGCAGCCTAGCGTCGAGTACTGAGCTTTCATGTTGTTGAAACAAGTCTGACCGCACGAGGGCAGTGCCGCGAAGCCCGTTGTAGTGGCAGTGTGTGTTGCAAACGCCGTCGAGCAGTATGCGCTGCCATAGGCGATCACGGTGCTTGCCACGGCTGTTCCACAGGCGCCGTTGGCGCAGTCCCTCAGTCCGTTACCAAAGTTGGCATTATTACACAAGCAGTATGAGTCCCCGCTTGAACATCCCAGCGTTGAGTATTGAGCCTGCATGTTGTTGAAGCACGTCTGGCCACATGAAGGTAGCGCCGAGAAAGCTGTAGTCTTCGGGCTGGACGTAGAGGTGGTCGAACTGCGTGTGGCGGTTGTTGTTGGTGGACTCTGTTTGGTGGTCTGCACGCTGGATGAGGTGGTTGTCGGATTCTGTTTGGTGGTTTGCAGGCTGGACGTAGTGGTTGTCGAGCTTCGTGTGGTGGTTGGCAAGTTTACCGGCACACTTGTTGTGCTCGGAGATGTACAGTTTCCGTATAAAGGTTGGCTATCCAGTCATGTTAGCAGCCGTCATACTTTTGCTTCAGATGATGAGATGTGGAGCGCGCGGCTCTTTGGATGGTCAACGCGCTTGCGAGGAGAATGCAGAACTTACCATCCTTGTCCACAGTCCGACGCATCTGAACCGCACATGCCATTCGAGTTGCAGCAGTTGCCCCAAATCACATTGCAGGTGTTGTGATTCGATGGACCACAGGTACCATCGGTTGTGTTTCCTCCCCACCATGAAGGAGTTCCTACAGGCGCTCGGGGGATGGTGCAATTTCCTGACTGACACACCGTAGTTCCACAAAAGTCGGCGCCAGTGCCACACTTTCCAGCAGCATTACAGCAGTCACCCCAAACTCCAGCGCACTGCTTGTTGCCGTTCTGAGTGCCGCACTGGCCAGTGGTAGAGAAGACAGAGTCTCCTGCACATGCGCCTTCGTAGCATGTTCCATCGGCGCAGTCCGCTCTGCAGAGACAGCCCGTGTCAGTGTTTGTCACTAGTAACCATGCAAGATGGTAGGAGTTGGGGTATGTGGGTCAAATGAACTTACGTCGAATTGCCACAAGTCCAAGTGTTGGAGTTGCAGCACTGATTCGCTGTGCCCAAGCATGTGGCATTGCTGTGTAAGGGACCGCAGAGCCCATTGTTGGATCTGAGTGGCTCGATGACTGTTTTATCACATCGATCATTAGTGCCACGATTGTGACTTGCCAAAGCAGATACACGTTCTTGACTTACAGCCAGCGACGCAATAGTCCGTGTTCGGCTTTATGTTGCTGCAGTCCAGAAGCACGGTAGGGTTCAACTTGAAGAATGTCGCAACGTCGATACCATAGTCTTGAGCCAATTCAGTGCAGGTATAGTAGTTGATGTCCATGCCTTCCGTGTTGGCCGCGTATCGACAGTTGACCTGACCGACATCGACGCCACCACTGGTGATCAGAGGGCTGATGATCACTGTAGGCAGAGGCGTCGCTGAATTAACCGTAGAGCTGGACAGGCCGGTGCTAGTACTAGTCGACGATGTCGGACGCAACGATGAGGACGTCACGTCCCGTTTGAATTGTCCGGGTTGCCATGTCGAGGCCGCACAGTCATTCGAAGCGGCTGCGATGCTCACCAACGAAGAAAGAACAATCCAGAAACCAAGGCCGTTGGCCATGGACAAACCTGAGGCGAATCTCATGCTTGGGGCAGGAGGTTTGGGGTGGGGTAGAAAGGCAGTAAGTGAAGTTTGTTCAATAGCACGAGCTCGTCAAGAACCAGCGAGCACCTACCATCGAAGACTTATATGACAACCAGGCTGAGACCGGTGATAATATCTGTTCTGTCACCCGCTCTCCTCGCTTGTGTAGCCGGACAGTATCTACTCACAGATGTTGGTTCAAGGGTCCACAGCACGCCAAGCCCATAGAAGCAACGACCATCTGTGGGCAGAGGATTGATACATACAACGGCTGGACCGAGAAGCGAGAGTAATTTGCACCATGGCGCAAGATGTGGTCAGGTACGAATGAGCAGGTGCAGGGTGGAAATGCAAAGTCACAGGGGATACGGTTAGCGTGCGCCAAGGCGGGATGGTTGACCTTATTTGACACAAGTCACCCTCCTCGGTGCCTGCGGGGTAAATTCGTGCGGGTCTGTGCTTGCCAACCACGACTTCCGCAAGGCTTGACGAGGCTTGACTGGGCTTCAACCTCACCTCCTGCTTCATACAGTCAAATTATCGCAATCATTCCAGTCAATTTATCAGAGTTTCTCGCAATCCAGCTGACAATTCTGAGGCTTGGAGAGGCGCCAATATGGGCTCAAATTTCACATTAACTCGATTCCACGCGATACCGCACAAAAGATCTACCATAGATGAAACAATGAGGCCCCCTGCAGACCAGTCACAAGGTGGTGAGCGATAATGACTATCTCGGGTCAGCAAGCCTCCTTGCCCTGCTGCTCACAGCCTTTTTCCACAGATAGCTGTTAGCTCGTCACAGAGCTTGATCAGCGCAGGCCCATGGAAGTGTAAGGCCACCAATCAGGACGGCGAGCTTTTGCTTCTAGAGTGTCTCGAGCCCTTTTGCAGGAGGATCTGCCACTCAAAAATAGTATTCCGGCGTGGTAAGATGTTGTAGTCAAATTAAGGTACTCCCGCCGTGAGGCTACGCTAAGGGCCCATGCGAGCGACCGGTGAAGACTCCTTCGATGACATGCAACACGAGAGCGGTTTCGTCCATTTCGTTCAGCCTTCACGTCACAGCGTCTGATAGTATCACCAGACTGCTGTGCGGCAAGAACCAGGAAAACCGAGGCGTCCTGCAAGCACGCTCGGTATCCACCGACAGAGCCCATCTCGCCCTGCCCTCATCCCAGCTCATTCGTACGGTACTAGTCTTACAGCTGCCAGGAGTTGGTGGAGCGAGTTTCAATATTTCCTGCATCTGCATACATTGCATATATACGATCCACCTTACGCACCTGACACGAAGATGCTGAAACAATAACATGGCTTTTATCAGGTTCCTTGACAAGGGTTTTGTCTGCGTCTTGCAATCTTGACATGCAGACCACGATGAATCTGGCTAGAGAGGAGCGATCGACGACGAACCACACTTCCAGAGGTAGCATCTGTTCCAGGGATCAGGTGCTGACGCTCAATGAAGCCATTGCGCTCACCTCGTGATGAGTTCACGTGTCCATGTTTAGGATAGACAATGGCCTGCGGATAACTCTTCATGAGTTCTTCCGAACACGAGATGGCGCTTATCGGCAGCTATGGTGAGATGACATGAAGGAAGTGACCTAGCTCTGACTCGTGATAATTAGCGAAATTGCCGGCCACACCAGTCGACCATGCTACTCCTTCGACAGAGTTTCTATTGCCGTTGGTGTTCTGATGCAATCGCTGTCAGAGGTCTAGACAAGGCTGAAGCAGTCCATGTCCCGCGGCTTATCTGCAAGCGATGGCTGGTGCCCAAGGTATCAACGCCGAGGAGGTAGTGGCACTACAGACATATATACTGCCCATCACAGGTCTCTTCAACGTCTCGAGTTATTCATAACATCACGAGACCTCTCTGGTTACGTGCTTGGAATTGCTCAGCGAAGAGATGGAGCTCTCCAATCTAGTTCGTCTGGCGATCGCGTGCTGCTGTCTCTTCGCCAGCCAGACAGCTGCTCAGTACCTTCAGGACTACATTGCCAATGCACAAGCAGGAACTTATTCATAGTGAGTCGTTACAACCCATGCACGAGGAAAGCATAGCGGAAAATCTCTGTTGGCCCTCCTCTGCCGAGCCCCTTCGACTAACCAGTCTCTGATGCCACAAGATCGCTAACATATGCCATCCAGCACGCCTCTTCCGGGTATCGCGCCAAGGCCTGTCGTCAACCTTGGGACGGTAGTACCCTACTTGATTTACAACTGCTATTATATGAAAGACATCTGTGTCAACTATCAGCAATTTGCGTCGACTGCGCGAGGCCAGGCACCTCATCCCCAAAGTGGACTACCCAATGATGTCTTTGGATATGACTTTGATACTGGTGACACCGAACCACGTTCGCATCAAGAGTATCGACGAGATGCTTCATGTCCGACCTCTGGCGCCAGGAGATGGCTCACTAATCATCCTTGCCCGGAAACAGCCCAGTTCAACCCAATGCGGAACAATGGCCCATGGTACACAACACTACTCGATCCTCAAATAGGTGTTCCACTGCTCGGAAGAATCAAGAACTTGTTACAGCATCGATATGATGCAAACGGCAACATTGTGGAATACTCCAACATTAAGTATACCTGCGATGAGTTTCCGCCGGCAACATGGTAAGCCACAGTGCGATATATTAAAGAGATGCGGCCTAATTTGATGTGTTCAGGGTGGAAGGCGGAAACGGATATGGCGGTGGTCAGCCCGCCAACACACGATGTGCCGCACTTGCTTGCCAAGGGCCACGTCTTCCTTTTTGCCAGTCGTCAAGTCGGAACAGAATTGTAAGTTGGCAGTCGTTACATCGCTGGGCGTCCGCAAGCAGCCGATACATGGAACCACAACATAACGCCGCTAACCAGCACGCGCGTTACAGGGCAAGGCTTATCGCACGGCGTATTACGATCTCAAATGGCAGCAGCTGCCAACACCATACACGGACAGGGCACTTGGGACAACCCGACTGGTCAGCGTGCCGTCATCAACTTCAGGTTTGCCACCAATAACTTCGCAAATGGTATTGCGGCTCGCGTCTATGTCGTGGATGAGCAAGCCATTGGCACAGTAGTGCAGTCGAATACACCGATCCCTCAGGCGAAACGCGCAGTCGCGATGAATGGAACTATGGCCGGGCCAGGCCTGACCGTCGAGCAGCTTGAAGCCTATGCACAGGCTGGCATGGCTCGGGAGATTCAACAACAACAGGATATCCCGCTCGGAGGCTTGTCTGCCAGCGATAACAGAGACTCTCCTGTATCGTTGTATAAAAATACCTGTGCTAACCTTTGCGTGTCTCAGGTCAGCGGAGAGGACGCAAACTTGATGGGGCTAAATTTGGCCTCCCTACCTCTCACAGGCGATTCTGACTGGAACTTTGGAGACGCCGCCACCTCGAGGAATGCAACCGATGACTATTCCCACAGCCAAAAGCTCCCCGTATACCCCCGTATTGTTCCGCGGATGATCCCTTTCGAGAAGAGCAGGCCACTCATCAAACGAGCTTCACCCGACGACCTCGCGGCCGCTCGCAGTCTTGTCAAACAAGCATTGGCCGAGGCGGACAAGCTCAACAGAGCACGTGTGGCGAACCCGCGCCGCAACAAGTACAGCTTGAGTTCTGACAAGCAGATCAGTCGACGTGGACTGTCTCCTGATGGAACTTTCCAGCTTTCGGATTCAGCATCAGCACCACTTCTCGTAATCACCCCAGAGATCGCCGCCGCTGCAGCACTTGTAGCTGAGGCAGAGGTCAGCGGTCACTTACTGAATGTGACTGGGGCAGAGATGGGTAGTCATTCAACGAATGTGACGAAACGTGCTGCGGCTGCGTCTGCAGGTACTTTCTGGATGCAGAGGTAAGTGACTATTCCATAGCGGTTGTCTTGATCGAAGAGTGGAGTATGTTTACTGACGGATTGTCCTGACAGTATCGCGCGTAAAGGTTCCGTACCTTGGGGCGATGATCCCAACTATGTGAGGCGTCGTCCCATCATCCCCACCACTAGGCTGAAGTGATATGCTGACAGGGCCGTACAGAAAGTCTTCAGGAATGTGCTTGACTATGGAGCGGTGGGCGACGGTGTTACAGTAAGTCTCTTGTGCCAACGTGCCTGGCTCGGTGCTCGGCAGGCCTGGAAAAATACACAGACTCTGACCATGTTCTCTCGTGATACAGGACGATACCAAGGCGATCATCAAGGCTATGGGCAACACAACTCGCTGTGCGAAAGGCTGCAACGGATCGACCACCAAGAACGCAATTGTGTACTTCCCTCCAGGGGACTACCTGATCTCATCGACTATTGCGATGCCCTTTGGGACTCAGGTCATTGGAGATGCGAACACCAGGCCGACCTTGGTAGCTGCACCCAGCTTTGTTGGATTGGGCGTCCTCTCCAATGATGAGTATACTGGCGGCGCCGGTGGTGATGAAGAGTCAGTGATGCCCTCGAAGTTGCCCCTGTTTGAGCCAAGAGAAGCTGACGTGTGCGACACTTATGAAGATACTACATCAATACTTCGAATTTCTACCGGCAGATCCGCAACATCGTCATAGACATCCGTAAGGTCTCGGCTGGAGCGCTTGTGACGGGCATACATTACCAGGTAGGGCAGGCAACCAGCACACAAAATGTGCAGTTGATCGCGCAGGCTGGCACGTCCCAAATTGGGATGTTCGCCGAGAACGGCAGCGGTGGTAGTCTTACTGATATTACCTTCACTGGTGGTGGTGTTGGTCTGAAAGGAGGCAGTCAACAGTTCACATCGCAACGTCTTACCTTCAACGGCTGCGACATTGGTGTCCAGACTATTTGGGACTGGGGCTGGGTATGGAAGTCCATCACGATGACCAATGTCGGAGTGGGCTTTAAACTGGTTGGTGATGGTAGTGCTGTCAATGGCAACAGTAAGTATCCTAAGGCCCCATTCTGACCACAAAGGATGTTTCTTGGTTCTACGATTTTTAGATGCATGGGCCGTCCACGACCACTGCAGTGACACCCAGTTTCGAAATTCGAGTTCTTCTACTGACACTGATTTAAAATAGTTGGATCGATATCACTCTTGGATTCTTCATTCAATAACGTCAAACAGATGCTCGTTGTGAGGCCCATTACCTCAAGCCTTGGACAAGGCAACACGGGAATATCTCTCGAGAACATCGCTCTCTCAGGGGTCGGCGTGGCTGTCGCGGATACGACTGGTGCAACACTCCTTGCCGCGTCAAGCTCCATAGACCAATGGGTTGTCGGCCCGGTCTACGAGGGTTCAACTACAGGTCGCACGTTCTCGCAAGGCGCAAAGGTGGGACAGTATCGACGGGAGCACTCTCTCTTGGATGCCAAGGGTAACTATTTCGAGCGTGCGAGACCACAGTACGAAGATCAACCAACATCCGCATTCGTGCATACCAAAGACCTGGGCTGCGCAGGTGACGGCTTAACCGACGACACCGCAGCCTTCCAGGCAGCGCTGTACTCGAGCGTCGGCAAGATCTTGTTCGTCGATGCCGGCACATATATTCTCACCTCCACGGTCACCATCCCGCCAGGGTCCAAAATCGTCGGAGAGACGTGGTCACAGTTGGCCGCATCCGGCTCGTTCTTCTCTGACGCCAGGTATGTGCATCACCGTCTCTACCAGTTCACCATCAGTCTAATATTCCCGCATTTGATTCGATTCACTGACCATACTCGAATGTAGCAATCCTAAAGTCATGCTCCAGGTAGGAACGGCAGGGCAAGTGGGCGATGTCGAAATGCAGGACCTTTTGTTCACAACCGTCGGCCCAACTGCAGGTGCAGTCCTCGTCGAATGGAACCTCCAGGCGTCATCTCAGGGTGCTGCCGGTCTCTGGGACTGTCACGCACGTATAGGAGGCGCTACCGGGACGAAGCTAACTCCAGCTGAGTGTCCAGCTTCTACAAGTGGCACTGACGCAGGCTGTAACGCTGGAAGTCTGATGATGCACCTCACGAAGACCGGCTCGGGCTATTTTGAAAACATGTGGCTCTGGGTCGCAGACCATATGATAGAGTACGTTCATGCATATTTCCGCCGCCTCGAGCATCGAGTACTACAAAGGCTAACACTAATCTTTTTTCTTTTTAGTGATCCTGACCTCGTCAGTCCCAGTAACGACATGACCCAAGTATCTATCTATGTCGCCCGTGGATTCCTGATTGAGAGCACAAGTGCTTCCTGGTAAGTCTGCGTTTTCTCTGAGTCTTTGCAGCAGTCTGACTTCGTCCATTCAAAGGCTATATGGTACCGCGTCCGAGCACGCCGTCTTTTATCAATACAACTTCCACTCGGCATCAAATCTTTTTGTTGGCATGCTTCAGACAGAGTCTCCTTACTACCAGCCAATGCCCAAACCGCCCGCACCATTTGCCAACGTTGTGGGTAAATTCAGCGGCGACCCCGACTACACTTGTACAAGCGGAAATGACTTCAGCGGATGTGATCAGTCGTGGTCGACAATCATTACGGGGTCAGAAAACATTCTCATCGCAGCTGCGGGCCTTTACTCGGTAAGTCCACACAGTGTGGCCACGGAAATGTACAAAGGATACGCAGCCGTATCCCCACACACTTTCTTGACAATAAGCCAGCCATTCAATCTGACTAACACTTTCGTAGTGGTTTTCGACTTACACACAGACTTGCATCGACACTCAACAATGCCAGAAGGCGCTCATGCTTCTTACCGCCAACGGACCCGGTGTGCGAATCACGAATTTGATCACTATCGGCGCGAAGTACATGGCTGTCATGGACGGGAAAGGCATAGCGGCCGCTGACAACCTCAATGTCAACACTCACCCCGACTGGTCGACGATCAGTACCCTCGATGTAGGCAGCAATGGCACTACCGATTTCTTGAGCTACCTCTGGATCGATCCGAAGATTTGGGATACGGATACGCCAAGAGTCACTTGTTCACCACCTTGCACAATCAAGATTCCGCCATGGACGAGCGCAACCAGTGTTGTGAACTACCCATTCGTCACTGTGAGTCAGGGTTCCTGGACCAGCACCATCACGAATCCGCCGTTCTCAGTCACGGAGTGGTTGTTTGAGCCCGTCACGGTGAACCAGGCTGCTGGGAACAAGGCCAAGCGTGCAGCGGTGACGACTAACGTTTGGCCGGTTCCTGCAACGACACCGTTCTGGCCTGCTTTCATCTACACCGGAGGCATTGATGGCAAACCCACCACGACATCCGCTACTGTGCCGTTCCCGACCCCTCCTGCGTCGATTGGTCCAAACGCACCTGCCCCGCCTATCGGCAATTGGCCGAAGCGGGACATTGAGATCAATTTCGGGCCTGTAGAAGGTCCGCTAATAGATCCCTGCTCCTTCGACAGCTTCTACAACCCGACCTGCAATCTTCCTCCATGGTTCGGTTATCCCTTCGGCAGTATGGGCGGCGGCGGCGGTGGTGACGACGTCGAAAACATTTTCGATGTATGGAAATGCCCTGCACCGCGTACCAAGAGCAGCAGCACGAGCAGTAGCTCCAGCGCGAGCACGATAGCAACTCCAACGCCATCTCCAACTTACTACTACAAAGAAGGAGACCCAAGACTCAACAAAGTAAGCTGCTATGGCAGTGGAGAAAACACCGAAGGCATCCGCATGCAAAACGCGGCAAAATCCTTTTGCAACCAGATTGCCGGCGACTTGCTCGCGCCCAACTATTTCCACTCGGGATCTTTTCCCTTCCCATATAATGGCGGCATTGGAAGTGTGGACATTACCATTTCCCTCAAGATCAAATCTGGATGCAGCTTTGGCCAGTTGAGTTATTTCAACAAGCGTGATAGTATTATTGGCCGCGACACTGCTTTTGATACTGCGCTTTGTCTGAAGTACTTGTCGGTCCCTACCGATAGTTGCAATTGTGCCGGAGTCAATGGCAAGCAGGGAGGCATCGTCGAAAACGACTGTTACGTCTGGCGCATCGATCCCAATGTCAGTATTTAAGGGCGAAGGATGAAGGAATTCTCAGCTTTATCGGAGACAAGATACAGATGACTGCTCTCTTAAGGCTAATCACTAGGGAAACTAACATACCAAGTGCAGAAGTAGTTACTCTGGCTAAACTCTAGCAATAACTCTTTGTTGTAGATAAGAAGACAAACATTTGGAGTCGAGATGTTCAAAATCCTATATAGAATTAGGCTTGGGGCTGATGTCGAAACTTGGCAGAGCATAAGATCGCGTCCGGCATTAATGAGGCATAGAGTCTTGAACACTTGTCCGGTACGTCAAGGTGGAGAGCTGAGTATGCAGAAGGACCGATGTGATCAGCGATACAACCAGTAGGTAATCATACGAGTTGCCCGATGACCGATAATTAATTTGAGTAAGCATTCAGGGCCGTCAAGAAAACCATCATCCGCACTTGCTAAGCTGTCAAGATTTTGCCATCCATTTCTCGATCCTCATGATGTACAGACGAGTGTTTCCGATCCAGAATTTTCGCATACGGTGGTGGGTGGTGACACTGTTCACTTTTGAATATTCGATTGGCGGCATCCTCGCCACTGTATTCTCTTGCAACCCGATTCATGCGGCATGGTATGTGTCGTTGATCCAAGCACTGTGTTGACTCTAACTGACAGTCAGGGATATCATCGTTTCTGATCGCCGTCGTATCAACACTGGAACCGATGTATTCCGCATTTTCGCTCAACATAAGCGTCATGAACCAGATCGCAATACAGACAGCAAAACAGCGGAAACAACGGTGGTGATGCAGGATTGGAGCTCGAGAGCGCAACCGTCGGCGTGACATCAGATACTGACACCGAGAGCACTCACGGCATCATCCAACATCACGATCCAGATGGAATCACTGTTCAAACCACATATAGAGTCCACAGGATTTAATTGAGTTGTTCTCCTAGTCACTATCACAGACTTCTGATAGCATCATCTCTACTGTCTACAGCCATCTTCCCATATCTTATCTGCGGAGCCAATCCTTCGAATCCGTGTGGCACCCTTGGCCAAATGTGCAGCTCGACTTTGACATTCTCTTGCAGTAACCTCTGGACATAATCAACGCTGTCGTGAAAAAAAACATCCAACGAGCCAACCTCAAGGTACGTGTTGGGAAGGCCACGAAGGTTGGTTGCGCGGGCAGCCGCTCCATAGCAATCGATCTCTCCGTCTTTGTCGCTGANTGCCTTCCACGCGGTTTCATCGTTGTCGTGCGACCAGGTGAACAGATGCTCGACCTCGGGAATTGGAATTGTGTTGCGGTCATCCATCATTTGGTACACCAAAATCTGCTTGGCCAGAGGAGGTGACAACTTCTCATCGCGAGCCTTGAGAGCTAGACCCGCGGCCAACCCACCACCCGCGCTCTCGCCAAACACGCCGAGTCTCGAGTCATCGACACTAAACATGTCGGCAGCGTTTTCGTGCACCCACTTCAACGCAGCAAAGCAGTCCTCGTGAGGGATTGGAAGCGGGTGTTTAGGTGCGACACGATAGCCCGGAGCGGAAAACGGGACTCCCGTAGCTTCGTCTCTAGCCTCGATCTGCTTGTGCAGGAAGTCGACCGAGCCCGTCACATAATCCCCTCCATGCACATAGAACACGGCGCTAGTCATCTTGGTCTCCTTTCTCTACTTGCTAAAGAAGAACCACACGGGGATTTGGTGTCCGTCTTTCGAAGTCGTATAGTGAATCTCGTGAGCGACCGAGGGGAATTCTGGCAATTGAGATACCATTGCAGAGTAAAACCCGTGAATCGACGTTTTTGCGTCTTTGAGGTTTCCAGGACGGAGTTTTGGCGCTGCTGCTATGGCCGCCGTAAAGGGGCAAATGCCGCATCGAATTCTGGCTCGTAGGTGATCGTCATGATTTTTGCGTATATGAAATGCTATCTGTTTGGCGGAAACGAAATGCTCACCGCTTTTTATATGTGGAAATGGAGTCTACATTGACTATTAGGCGAATTGTGGGTCTCCAGACGATAGATTATGGCGTTGATTGAAGTAGATCGACGCATCCTTTGCCGACGATCAATCATCTGATGTGCCTTGATTTGAACATGTGCCAGAGTGGATTGTATCATTTGTTATGTATTTATTTTACGAACTCAAGAAAACACTGTATCAAGATCGGACTCCTCAAGCCTCAATTAGGCGCCACCAACTTGTAAGTCTTGGTCTTGTTATCGAGCTTAGGAACCTTGTTTTCCATCTTTGCAAGCCTGAGTTTCCAATAGTGATCGTTTGGCGGCCAGGTCTCCGGGTTAGGCAATACGGCCACTTCTCCAAACTCGTTGATTGCGTTTTGCTTGTATTCGTTTTGTAGCTCGATGTACGCATGGAGCAGTCTGCAGTATTGGCTGCCGCTCAAGTGTCCCAGGTTTGTCTTCATTTCGGAGATCATGTCGATCCTGGTGGGAGACGAAAGATCGATGTAGGATCGCCCGGAAAACTTCTCATCGGCGGGGCTCTTGGGGGATGACTTGTGTAGATGAGGGGAGAGCCNAGGTGTCTTGCTTGTCCAGGTCTTGTCGTCTTCGTTCGTGACGCTGATATATTCGTTCCAGGTCCCTGGGTGGGTTTTCATGACAATCTTGTCTTCCAGTGTCTCGCCCCTGAGTGGCAGACAGATAAGTGCATGTCGTGTTTTCCACAATATGACCATGGGTCGCATCTTAGCGATGACTGGGCCATCGGTATGTGAAGCCGTGTTTCTCTCATTGAGGGGAGCTTTGAGATCTGACATGAAACGAGAGTCCATGGCCCGGATGATCTGACCAGGATAGAAGTGATCGGCGACTCGTTCAGTCAAAGAAGCCCACAACACGCGTTCATTCGTTTTGACGTTGGTCTTCCAATTTCTCTTGCAAGTGATACCATCTGCATTGAGGAAAGATGAGAGTTCTCCTTTGTACTCGGCAGGCTCAGTGCCGAATTTCTCCCATGTGCCAGGGAGCGGACCACCTTCAGGCTCCTTTCTCTGCTGTCTCAGAGATGACCTAGGGGCTGACATCTTCGTAGGCGATGTGGGAGGTGTTCTTTTCACCCCGCTTTTGACGTCGCCGAGTGATGATTTGTAAGATGAGTCTTTTCTGATTTTCTTGCTGACCAGCTTCATTCTTTGATCAAGAGAAGCTGTTTCGTTGATCGAAGCTGTGGAGAGAGACGATGTTGGCTGTCTCAGCTTATTCCTTGGGCGTTCGTACAGTCAAGTGTATACGAGAGATGAGGTGTGAGACCAGATCTATGACTCGAAGTGATGGCGACATAATCTTTGACGGAATACAAAGCAGTCTGACCCGGAAGCGGTGGAATTAGTCGAAGCCATTGTTCGAATCCGGATGCGGTATCAAACGAAGGAATTCGGACTTCACGTTCGGTGAGAAGCATCTGATAAGTCTAGGATTAAGCAGTGGATTGAGAATGACCAAGAATGGATTACATGACACACATACAGTATTGCAGTATTGTGCCTTCCGCTAGACTGGATGCTGTAGTAGGGTTCGTTTTTGCAGAGTTTGGAGTTGAGGTGGGCATTGTGACGGAAAACAAGAGCTTACGAAGACGAAGTTGACACGGGAAAACTGATGCTCGGATGCTTGGAATGGCCAGGAAATGGCCTTTCTAACGGCCACATCCTTAGTTCCTACCCTATAGAATGGGAGTTGGCTTAAATGACGATTAGTACTGTCCGCTTTTTTCGATTCTGGCAAATCCATGCTGAGGCAAGTCCGATCGAATGGTGGACACGCATATGTTCAGCACAACAATTCAGATCAGAAGCGCTTTCACCATAATTTTGACGAGTCGCTTCACAAGGATGAGGATTCGTTTCTGGTGCGATTTCTTGAGCCGTCTGCAGCCGACTCAAGATCCGCAAGTACAAAGGAAATCTTTAGATCGTATCAGCAAATCATTGACAGCATAGCTACAACGCCGCATTCGGGTAGACTCAACAAAGAAATGATCTTCCTTGAGTTTTGGACCAAAGCAGTTTCTTTGTTGTAAGGAAAATTGTCTTGATCGTAGCATGATCGTCTCTTTTTGTCGCCCTTCCGCTCGAGTTCAGTAAAGATCAAAGCACAAGTTGAGATTGGAAAGAATAAGGGGTTGGAGATCAGCGACCCTGGCAGGTATACCCTGGTGTCCAATCCGTTCTAGAACATAGCTCACACGTAAATTCGAATCCAATCATGTAACACCCAGTGGAGTTCTGTCATGTGCTCCGCGATGCCGTTCCTGGCTTGCTCAACAACTAGCAATATGATCGAAACCTTTGAGTCAACTGCACCCGAGCCTATGACCTGTTGATCAGCTCAATTTTGCACGACCTGATGGAGTTTTGTCGCATGCGAATCTTGTGTTATATTGCGACCGTTTTCCTTCACTTCAGAGCAAAGACCGCGTAGAGTAGGATATCTTTTGATCACCCTTCAACCCTCCTGCCTGTTAACCATAGTGTAGTGTTGAGAGATTGTTCAGTGCGCTCTAAAGCCGAATGTCCGTTATGTCGGTCCCACCTCATATGACAAGGTCAAAGAATGTGTTTACGATTCCGGTAAACAACGACCTCCTTTGTCCGCTTCAACACCAACAAGATGTAGACCAGCTCGTACCCACACATGGATTTACCAACACTTCCTACGGTAGCATAGAATACTGGCAGCACGTATGGTTTGCAGAAAGAGTTGTGTTTGCTTGATATGTTCACTTGTTAATTTTCTCACAATGATGTGTCATGTATTCCAGATAGATAAAGAACAGCCAAAGCAGAATGCTGATGACTTTGCGCCTCAGGGTAGTGGCTGCTTTTTGTGTCCTTGAAAGGCGTTTTTGAGAGATTAAGTGTTGGCTGTAATTCAGGATCCTGGAAGCCAGACCATAGCAGAATCGAGAGACTACGTGCCATCACGCCAGCCACTATGATAATATTCATGACAGTGCGGCAGACCCTGGACGCCGTCTTCTGTGATCGGGTGCATTCAAGGCAAGTTTTGGTGGCGTGTCTGAAAGCTCCGTCGAGTTCATGGTCGTGGCCTCGAACGTAGCGGTAAACAGAAGAGGAACCCTCGGCACCTGCCTCCAGGAGGAGTTGGAGACAAGTTCCATCCGTCCAGTTCCGCATTCGGGGCAGATCGGGAACGGCTCTCCGCCCCGTCAACGGCAACCATCTCCGCAAAGGTGGGGGATGTGCGTTTCTCCACCTGAGTGGTCAGCAAGGAAAAGACAACAACTTCATCCTCAATCCCCACGCAAGATTGGAAAGAGCCGTTGTAGTTCACAGCGAAGATGATGTTCATGGACAAGGTACCAGAGACCCTTGATGAGCAGGGTGCCTGATTCTCCGGCTCGACCTGGGAGCTGGGACTTGTTCTTTGACATGGCAGCTCGTGAAACAAGCAAGCCCAGCAGTTCACACGCGTAACGTAGCTACCTTTGTGTACCCCTTGGGCGAGCGAATGGCGACGCGCCAGCTTTATCCAGAGTTCGATGGATTGGATCGACTACAGAGAACGGCGACTGCCATTGGGCGCGGGGCAAAGGTTGGATGCTGGCAGCTGCTGATACAAACGACTTGTGATCGACCCCGCATCTCTCTCGCAGCCTCGTAGGAAGGCGCCAGTTACGGAGTGACTTGCCTCGTCAAGAAGCAGCTCTGCCCTCTTCTGTTCAAAAGGTTCGACCCTCGAGCGAATCGTAGAATTTCGGGCCATCAAAAGCCTTGTTTCCAAAACTTGAGGAACATCCGCAAATCCGATATATATAGCATTATCCGCTTCCTCCTCAATCGTCCTTCACAACAACCACCACACGCTGTTGTTATATGCTTTCATCTGCCTTGCGACCAGAATAGCTTGGACGTTGTCGAACACACGATCCGTTTCATTAGCAGAACACGCCAGTACAACAAGCAGTAGCTGTCGGGTACCTGGACATCAAGGTAAGCAATCGATTCCGTCCACACCACGAGTCCCGGTATGTCCTCGCATGGTTGCCGAGATAGCGCTGGCTATCGCGGGTAGCAACATTGTCTATCAAGTCTTCAAGGCCTGGAACGACAATTGTATGGACGGAACATCTCGCGTCGACGGGTACCGGCTGGCTTGCCAGCTCTCTCCACACATCCCGAGATGAAACCGCTCCCAGCAATCACATTGATGCACTCGACCGCATGCTACCCGTACTCACATTTGATAAGAGCCACTGGCTAACATTTAGTGCTACTCAACGTAGAGCACATACGCTTCATCCTCTGAGTCACGACTTGACCATCGCATAACCGAGGTCGAAGCATCTTCCATCAGCATATAACTTCGATCAAGCAAGATAGGATCTTTCTTCGAACACTTCTGCCTGCCCAACATGAGCACCACATCGACCATCTCCGAAGCTGCGGCTGCGGCCCGTAACGCGGCCAAAGATGCACCTCAAGCCATGAAGGCTGCTGCTGAGAATCCCAGAAAGGCCACTCAGGACTTCCTACACGCACCCTTCGTTCGTGCTGCCTTGCCATTCGTCAATGGCGGTGTCGCCGGCATGGTTGCCACATCAGTCATCCAGCCAATCGACATGATCAAGGTGCGCCTGCAGCTTGCTGGCGAGGGTGTCAAGACTGGACCCAAGCCCACACCTCTCTCGATCACACGCGATATCATCGCAAGCGGTAGAGCTCGTGATCTATACACTGGGCTTAGTGCGGGCCTCCTCAGACAAGCCGTATACACGACAGCTCGTCTTGGCTTCTTCGACACATTCATGGCGAGCTTGACCAAGAGAGCCAAGGACCAGGGCAAAGGAATTGGCTTCGCCGAGCGTGCAGTAGCTGGTCTGTCTGCGGGTGGTTTAGCAGCTATGGTCGGAAACCCCGCAGATCTCGCACTCATCCGCATGCAGAGTGATGGCCTGAAGCCTGTAGCCCAGCGTGCCAACTACAAGTCAGTCTTCGATGCCCTGACGCGCATCTCGCAAAAAGAAGGCGTAGCTGCTCTCTGGTCAGGTGCTGGACCAACGGTGGTGCGTGCCATGGCTCTCAACTTTGGACAACTCGCCTTCTTCTCGGAAGCCAAGAACCAACTCAAGGATACCTCACTGTCGCCTCGCACCCAGACCCTTACAGCATCGGCAGCAGCAGGATTCTTTGCCTCGTTCTTCAGTCTGCCCTTCGACTTTGTCAAGACCAGACTGCAGAAGCAGACCAAGGGACCCAACGGCGAGGTGCAGTACAAGGGCATGTTCGACTGCTTCAAGAAGGTCGCAGCTGAGGAAGGACCATTGAGATTCTACAGAGGATTCTCAACATACTACGTGCGCATCGCGCCTCACGCGTAAGTTTCATCGAATCATGTTAAATGACAATGGCTGACATCTATGACAGANATGGTGACACTGATTGTTGCTGACTACCTTGGCTTCATCACCAAGTAAGAGGATCTGGGGGATGGAAGACGAAAGACGAGCCATGAAGAATGAAGAACGAAGAAGACCTAAGAGACAGTAATACCCACGAGCACTTTTCATGTAATTAAGAACCAAGGCCTGGTAGCCTAGATATGAGTATAAGCAAACTACAGATTCAGTATCCCATGCAGAGTTGAAGAATGATGGATTTGAGCAAGTGTGAAGAGGCAGGTGCGACTGTGTCCTGGATGAGAATGAGAATGAGAATGGGAAGGAGCACAGCGGGCTTGGCGCGAGCGAACGCGTGCCTGAAACGCGTCTTCCGGCGAACGACTTTTGGAGAGCTTCAGCCATCTGCCTGCCACACAAACACACAGACATCATGTCGCTTCGGACGAGGAACTCGACAATCGCATCGACGCCTGCTAGAGGTACGCCGAGTCGAGCTGGCACTGTCACATCAACACAACGAGCGCCCACCAACGAACTTCCGCCCTACCAACCACTACAGCATCCTCTCAGCGTTGCCGCCCGCGACAGACTACGCCACCTATCACAACCCCTCAAGTTCCAGCAAAACCACCAAATACTTGCCGAAGTCATCTCTTGCCTCAGTGAAGCCGCCGCCGAAACCAACGAGGCCTTGAGTAGCAAGGAAAAGGCTCTGGAGAATGCTCGTGCAAAAGCTAGAAACAATGACGATCCATCCACAAGCCAACAGCGTGTCCAAGAGATGGAAGCACAGTTTGAGGAACTACAAGCAAAAGTCGACAGCATGACCGCCCAAATGGACAAGGATGTGCGCAAGATGATCGACGCCGACAACAACATCGAAGATATGCAACATACCCTCACAGACCTTATCAGAGACGTCTCGAATGCTTCTACCCAGCGCACTCAACGCACCCAACGAGGAGACGACGAAGACGAAGACTACCCTGACTTTGACCCTACCGATCCCACAAACGCTACCCAACGTCCCCTTGCCGTCGCCGAACTCTTTGGCGATCGCGTCGACCGCGCCAAAACAACTTTCAACAGCCAATCTCTGACTGCTCGCTACAGCAGAAACAACCACTACGTCAACTTTAAGCGAATCACCCACGAAGCACGTTGGCAATACGAAGAAGATAACGCCATGCCNCCCGCACACCTCTGGTTCAAAGAAGACCGTCCCGAAAATGGGCAGACCGCCTTGGGTGCAGAAGACAGCGACGACGATTTCCAAATTGCAAAAGAGACAATCAGCACAAGATGTCCATTGACGCTCAGAGAATTCGAGGATCCGGTTACCAGTCGCAAGTGTCCGCATTCGTTCGAGAGAGAAGCCATCACCTCAATGATCAACATGCCTAACAATCATGTGCGATCTGAAGGTGCCGCCGCTGTGCAATGTCCAGTCGCTGGATGTCAGAAACTGTTGACATTGGCGGATTTGTACAGTGATCCTGTCATTAAGCGCAAGATTGCCAGAGTACAAAAGGCCACTAGAGATGCGGATGATGAGAGTGATGACGAAGGGGTAAATAGACCACATAGTATCGCTAGCGATGACGATGATGATGCTATGGATGTGGACGAGACGCCTGTGCAGAGGATGAAGAAGGAGAGGTTAAGTGGGAGGACGCCGGGTCCTTCTGCTGTATCGGCTTCGAGTCAGAGGAGAGGACGAGCTGCTGTGTTGAGTATTGACGATGACGATGATGATGATGAAGATGAATGAGATGGCTTACTCGCATGTACTGCAAGAGAGGCACAAGCATGAGCCATGAGAAAAGCATAAACAGCAAGAAAATTTAGATACCATTAAGCTCTTGCAAGACTACACATATAAACATTCTATCACCTCCATTGTCCTGTGTCCCTTTCCCAACTTACAGAGCTCTAAACAAATCCTTCCAATCACCTCTCCTTTTCTTCTGTTGTCCTTGCACACCTCTTCCTTCTTCCATTCTAGACGCCACGCCAGTATCAACCCTCAACTCAGGCTTCTTCCTTTGGCTTTGACTCTGCTGCAACCTCTCCTTGGCCATTGCTTTTCTCCACGCTTCTGGCCCTTTAGATGCAGTTCTACTCACGCTCTCCACACCTCTATAATTGGTGTGTAGTGTAGCGTCGATATTAGCAAATCCTTGTTGACGTCTACTAGAAGGTGCAGGACGAGGACCCAATGGTTGCCTTGGCTCGATAATCGGTAGAGTGGGTTTCTTCTCCGAGCGTAACGCTGTTCTATTGGGATGAGAGTAGAAGCGGCCAGTGATGCGACGGGAAGCGCGAACGATAGATTGGCGTACTTTCCATTGACGGCGTTTGGCGACGACGAAGAGGACGAGGAATATTANCTAGGGTTTTGTTAGTTTTGATTTTGAAGGGGGAGTACAGAGGAAGAGTGACGTACGGCCTAGACCGACTCCAATGGAGACGACGCTGATGATTGCTGCAAAGCCTCCTTTGCTGAGCTTGAAGCTGCCAGAGTCGCCGCCTGAGGCTCCCGCTTCATTGTCGGCGGCAATGTCTGCTGCGGCGGCGGATGCACTGCTTTGCGATCCATATACTGTGATGAATGGCGAGGAATCAGAGGTCTGTGCAGCTGATGGGATCCCGGAGCTCTTGACAGAAGAGGTAGAAGTGGCACTGGTGATGGAGACCGGGAGAGTGTACACTTTGTTACTGGTAGAAGATGCAGAGCTCGACAAGGACACCCCTCCTGAGCGCGATGTTCCGGCAGATTCTGTCAATGAAGATGAGGAGACAGCCGAGCTTGTAGCGGCTACTCTATCACTGGAAGGCAAAGCTTCAACCAAAGCTGTCTGTGTACTTTTGATCTGAGCAGCATTTGTGTCGACCGCCACGGATGAGCCGCTAGTCTGTGTGGTCTGTGCAGGAGCTTCTGAGCTTGTAGTCTGTCGAAGAGCTGTTGCAGACGATGAAGTCGAGACTTGTGAAGAAGCGATAGCTGCTAGCAAAGTCGGCGGTACAGATGTCATGATTGACGTTGAAGAGCCAAAGATCACGGCAACCACTGTAGCTGGAGCTTCTGCAGTCGTTGGCTGTTTTTGGCCATTTGTTGTCGTTCCTGCGTTGGATCGAAGTTCGAGACCTATTGAAAGCATCGAGTCGCTGCTGCTGCTAGGGTTGGTAACGACAGCTTGAATGGTAGTCGAAGCAGAGCTCGAGTTGGTGAGCTGCACGGTCAAAGGTTGAGTAGGTGATGGCAAAGCAGTAGTGGTCGCCAGCACTGCCACAGTGGAGTGCGCCAGTGCATCAGACTTGGCGGATGAGATTGCTGCCGCCAGCTGAGAAGACGACAGTTCTGCTGCATCCTCTGCAGCCGCCTGAACCAGAGATTGGGGGACATTCGTGATGGTTGACACCGATGTTCCAACCTTGCTCGCGAATACTGTGGATTGGACTTGGGCTATTGTCTGTGTGACTTTGATATGCATCGTACTGGTCGCTTCTCCTTCAGAACGCAGTTCTAGATGCGTCGTCGGTAGTGCTTGCCAAGGAACAGATTTGATTTTCAGTGTGGCGGGAAGGTATTCCATGTATACTGTGGATGTGCCCATACGAACATCATAAACAGTACTGGCCAAGTTGATTGTGGTTCTAGTAACGTGTGTGTGACGTGTGCTGGTGACTGTTTCTTCCTTGGGAGGGAGTGGCTGCTGCCATAGTCCAGCTATGGCAGCGAAAGCAGAAGAAGGGAGGCGCATTGTGTCGTCGTTGTCCGTTTAACTGGTCGCGAGAGAGCCGATATCCTCTACGTGAAGAGTACTTGGTGAACGATGGTCGGAATCAGACAATAGAAGGACAATGAAAATGAGAGAACCAGCTCGATTGAACAATAAAAACAATCGCGATACACAAGAAAAATGAACAGAAGGAACGAACAGCAAAACGCAGGAGCCGGTCGGGAGATACAAACCAGGAAGTCACGTCTTCACCTACCATTCATACTTCAGGAGCTTTTGGCTGCTACGCGCCGAAGCCCATGTCGCAAGTCCGTGCTACATGTTGTGCGCCTCTTTCATGCGCGCCAATGACTTTTCTGGTTACCCAAGCATTCGAATTTGAGAGTGGCTTCCATCGTAGGCGCCTGCTCATTTGTTGAACGGCCTGACGCCGTTGTTGGTAGTGAGGAAGGTGATGGGTAAATTTGGGAGGCGGCTATCGAAACAACAGCTTGATGCGTGACTGGTCAACACAATATTGTGTTCAGACCAGCTCGCAGACACATACGACGGACACTTGACTATTGCATGGTTGTTTGCAGCTATGTGACAACTTCAAGTGGTCAATATGGGTCTGTTGTGCGAAGGACAGGGGTCGGTAGAGGATTAGAGATCAACTTGTCCTCGTGCAAGAGCCATGGCGAAAATTCGGCACATTTGGCGGAGCTCAGACGACGCCTGCTAATGCACCTCTCCTTCTTTCTGCACATACCCATCGCCAGCCAACATATCCTATCCTGGCGTTCTCGGTATACCGCTGTGGAAATCTGGTCGACGAATAACGCATCCAGATATGCGGGTGTCGTCAGGTTTAGGAAGCATCTAGTGAGAGCTGGTAAGCTAACGGTTCTTGGTTGAATTGCTCTGTGTTCCTGAGTTAATGTATGGCTTCAATCGACACAGACTTCAACTTGACTGGACAGAAGTGCCCAATCCAATGGCTTTGAATAAAAAAATAGTATCTAGATTAGAGCCGGTGCTTCACTATTGCTACTCTAATATGGCAGCATCTCTGGTTCCCGCTCCAATCGTCCCCAGTCTGCATGTTTGGACCTATCTTTGACTAACTCTTGGAGATTTTTGCTGGCTAGAAGAGACCAAACCATCGTGTCGTCGTCTCTCGCCGGACGGAAGTCTTTCATTCTGTGGTTCTGCACTTCCACTTGTCGTTTCTCATTCTCGCGAACATCGTCCCTATCAGCGACCAATTTCATCCCACGATTCTTGTAATCTTCCTGGAAGTATTCGTATGCAATGCGTTTGCGAGTCTCCTGGTAGTAATCGAGAGCAATGATCAGCCGATTGTACATGTCGCCTGGAAGGTAACCCAGATCAGTCTCTACATATTCTCGTGTGCTGACATACAACGTCTGGTGCAAGCTGATATAAGACCTTCCTTCCAACGGCCTTCGCTGTTAGGGATGTGGTCGGAATGTGAGTACACCAGCCCAGTCTGTCTCACCTTGCCAGTCGTCACCTTCTTTAGTGATGGCGATGTATTCATACTTCCTCCTATGCCACTGGTTTTTGTTATCGAGAGAGAACATCGGAGCGCAGCACAAGCCTGAGTCAGTAGAGTACAACACCACCATAGGTCTTGGCTTGACATAAACAGGCGCGTGCCGGGTCAGAGCGATGCGAGGATCTCCAGGTGTGGCATTGAGGTTGTTCTGGAAGAAAGCGTGTGTTGCCCAGATGATCATTCCTGGGAAGAAACAATCGGGCTTAAAACGTGGCTCCTGGCGGCAGAAGAAATGGCCGAGAAATTTTCCTTCGAGGTAGAGGTTTGTCCACCAGTGGGTGATGCCATCAATCTCTTTTGGTTCAGCGTCCCGCTTGAGTTTAAATTCTCGGTTGTCTGGATCTCTGTAGGGCTCATCTCGCGTCCATCTGGAGTCAAATGAGCGCATTGACATTCGCGATGCAGATCGAGTGTGAGAGATGACAGAACCTCTAGAAGCAGATCTGTCACGATGATCGCGAGTGTCTCGAGATCCAGCCCGAGAGTGCGAATACATGTCTGGACGGAGTGAGCTGCGGGAAACCGACGGACGAAGTGAGTGTCGGGATGGCTCTCGTTGCAACGGACGTTGAGGTAGGTCATGACGTTCTCTGCCCGCTTCGAGCAGCCTCTGAGGCTCAAATGGAGGTAATGGCTTCTGTGAATTCTCTGGGCTCGTAGGCGAGAATTTGTCCTTCTTGGGTGTCAGGAAAGAGACTACCCTGCCCGCTGCACGTTTAATTGCACTGGACTGCGTGTCGATGGGTGCAGGTCTGCTCATGATGTATATGAGGTGAAGAAGGAAGCTAGACGACTGTTCTGTCCGACGACATACGATCTGTCCTTATGTGTGGCCCAGACAAAGAAGTCACACAGCAAAAGCGCTCTTTATCTTTGGTGGTGAGCAGGACGTTTTCAGCCTTAAGCCAGAATCTTTGTTCTGATGGAAGTCCTCGGTTCTTGACACATGATGATAATCACCCATCTGAAAGGGATCAACGATTGCTCGAAGCTCAAGAAATGTTGGAAATTGGAAATAAGCTTGTAAACACAATATTAATTCCCCGATCTGCCCCAAACCAAACGAAAACGATATCGCGATTCAATCAACTATTTCAAACTTCTACTTGCCGTGCTTGAACTCCTGGAAGTTCATTCTGTTTACTTTGTCATCCTTGAACCTCTCTTTCGCCTTCGGCTGGTGATTGCTGGTAGGCGTCCATGGGTCCCAAGTCTCTGAAGTGCCATCTGGTTTTGTTTTGAACCTCGCGAAGGCAGCTGTTCTGAACTCGCGCTCTTTCATGTGGAGCAAGTCTATCAGTCTGCTGTATTCTCCACCCTCGACGTGACCGACGTCGTCAAGGATCGTTTCGCATTGTCCTATCCAGTGTGGACGGGAAAGATCGGCGTAACATTTGTTCTCGCAGTTGTATTCTGGGTTGAAAGATACGAGGATTGGCATGCCTGCCCATGGTGTGTCTCCCGGCCACTTGGTCATTCCCACCGTACAGACGCTTACGAGCTCGCCCATTCTGTTCTTGCTAAGTTTGCTCTCTGTCTGGGTATAGAGAGGTATCGCCGCCACTCCCTGATTAGTCCTCCACAGGACTATCATGTAGCGGAACTTTGCCGCGATGGGGCCGGCAATGGAAGTCGCGCCGATAGTGCCATCGTATGGTCGGCATTTGAGGTCTGTCTGAGGGTAACAGTCGATTGCCTTGACGATTTTACCAGGCCACAAGTTGTCGAGGTTGATGTCGAGCGCTTTGACGGCATAGAGTTTCTTGGGGACTCCGTTATGGTTGTACAGACTGAGTCTCTCGTAGTTCGTGCCTTTGACTTTCTGCAATCCTTGCCAGATCTCGTCTTCGCTCTTGAGTTTATTGAGACGTTCAGATCTTCGGAGGGGTTCTCCATTCGGTCCAAGTGGGACTTGAGTAAGTGACATCAAACTTTCGACAGTAGTAGCCATGGTGACTGGTCCGAGGTTGTACAGGGTAGTGGAAAGCTGACCGTATGATAACACATATCAGGGCGCTGGGTAATTTTATCAAGGGTATGTTCAGTCTTTGTCTCTTTGTGCTCCTATCGAATCCAACCAATTCCGGCCAACATAGTCTGGAGCTTCATGATATCAATCCTTTGTCTTCTCCCATTCAAACAAACCACCGAGTCATTGACGCAAGCATAGGGAACTACGAGATTACTAGTGTGTTTGATAACATCTCGTAGGTAAAAACAATTTGGATTGACAGGAACGGCGTTCAGACTATATCGGAGAACAATCCAGAGGCGAGTCTCTAGCAACATATCGAGTTTCAATTGAATCGACTACCTAACATGAGATAATCTATCTGCATCCCTTGACTCTATCGCCACCTCATGTATGTAACTCTGTCCATCTGCGCCTTGTGATAACTTCTGTATCTTGCGCCCGGCACCCACATCTGATTGGTAAAGTATTGGGCGTGGTACAGTTGAAAAGCATTTCTTCTCGCCTCATTCTCCTTGTACGCCAAAAGCCTGATCAATCTAGCGTATTCTCCACCAGATATATAGCCGATGTCCTTGATTCTTGATTGGGCAAGAACATGGACGGGTTGACACAACTCGATGAAGGAGTTGGCGGCGTACTGAGAACCCCCATACATTGTCATATGGAGTGGTGGGCCTACCCAGGGTGTAGCACCGGGCCAGGAACGATTTTGGCTGATACTGACCATCTCTCGAACTCTCGGTGCAGGTATGACGGTGTTTGAGGTCTGAGTATACATAGGTAAACACAGAATACCGTTGAACGTGGTGTTGATGACGACCATAACCCTCATCTTAGCATTGACCGGTCCACATTCTGTCTGGGCAATCTGCGGATCGGTGAGTGGTCTGCTGAGGATGGTTTGAGGATGAAGATCCATTGCCATAATGAGCTGTCCTGGGTAAAATGGCTTCCTGCGAGAGGTTTTGTTGACTCGGTAGGACCAATCTCCATACGATTTGACTTCCCATCTATTCCATCTGACTGTGCGTTCGATCAAGACGCCGTTTTGTCTGTGTGAGTGGGGTCGTAATTCCCATTCTCCTCCTGGAGGTTCTCCAGCCAATCGAGCGGATCTTCGGGGTGGGACGCTTGTGCTACGGATCGCTCTTGGCGTAAAGGGGGCTGGGCCGACCATGATATTCTTGATATGGATTGAATCTCGCTGTCTGTGTAGTATGCTTTGAGAAAAGCTGGGCGATCCCAGGAGTCAGATCAATCGGAAGAACGGTTCGTGGCTTTCAATGAAGACCAACCGTCAATACCACACCGGAAATGGCAAGCAAGTGTTGTCAGAATCTGGCTGACCTTTGTTCCTTGAGCCCAGACAAAAGCTTTGATCTTGTAGAATCTGGCATTCTCGTCAACAAAGCCGGCCACTTCGCAAGCTGCGCTTTGGAGTCGATGTGATAGCCGCTCTGCTGGAGGGTCAAAATCTATTCATACAAAGAAGAACCGAGAATTCATTGTTTGGGAAACACCAACATAAACCCAATCCGGTCGAGATTCTGATCTTTGTTTACATCCAATAATTCAATACCTGTCAATGCCTGTCAATGATGCCCCTAGCATCTGCACCATTTCGACTCGGTGGTGTGCCATCAACAGGACCTCTGACGGTAGGGCTCTCATCTTCCCAATATTGCGAGATCATAGTACTGCGTACACCCAGCATTCTTCGCGGCCAGAAGTTAGAGATTCCATATCGATCGACTTCGGCCCAGAACTCGTGTGTAAACATGCCCTGGACGAAACTCATTTCAACGGCAAAGTCCTGTTGAACGTTACTCAGTCCCCACTTCTTGTGACTCATGAGTGTTTTTTTGGAGTCTTCTTCTGTGCCGCCTGGGAAGGGCCATTTATTGATTGATAAAATCTGNNAGTAGACGTCAGCAGATACTCATCTCCGAATGTGTCGCACACTTACATAAGGGCTTCCTCTGTCTCCAGTAGGATTATCGATCTGACCAGAGTATAGCAGTTGCTCCCATTGAAATCCCAACTCTGCAGCTCTCGTGTCCATATAGAAAGGCTCATACTTTGGGTAGTACTTGTTGCGCCATAGCGCATGCATGACTTCGTGGACCATTGTTGTGGCGAGATTGAACTTTACTCTCAGCCGAGCAGACTCTTCCTCTGAGCCCGGTGTCCAGTCGATGGCATCCTCGATAGGCGAGCATTCTCTACAGACATAGTCGATGTGACGCTTGTCAAGGACAATCTCGATGGAACCTTGTTCGCCCCTCGTGTAAGCATGAAGGCTCTCCTTTTCGCCAGTCATGTCCTTTTCGGTCCACCAGAGATTTTTCGACAGCTCATAAAGATCTTTCCAAACTCTCTGTCTTTCTGTATCTCTGAGGTTGTGGCGTTTTTCGAACCAGTATGCTTCCCGTTTCAGCCTTTCTCTGACACCCGCAAGGGTGATTTCCTTGTGGCTATCGATGTCGAGCATGCCATATATGTAACCCACCACATTTTCATCCTCCAAAGGCAGAGTGGCTAGTTGCAATACTGGTTTCAACTTCTTGAATGCACAGTTTGTTTCGTTCCCTATCAACAGATCGTCCGTGGTCCAGTTGTCCTGACGAAAGATGGGATGGATTCGATGAAACTCATCTAGCTTCCCATACTTTGTTTTGGTCTTGCTCTTTGCTTTGGATGGTTCGTTGATATGGACGCACAAGCCCATCTGGACTTCATGCTTTGCTCGCCATCTTGCTGCGCGCAGGGCTCGACCGCCAGAGTAGCCGAAGGTACGATCTGTACAGATTGTCTCCAGGTTCACGTATCCCTTGTCATTCAGCCTTTCGAGGCCGATCTTTCTGAGTAAAGGATCGCCTTCGTGCCACTTGAGTCCTCCGCCTAGACTTGTAATCGGTGATGTGGAGATGGAAGCTAAACTGTCATTGCAGGGCTCGTCATCGGCACCGGATTCGAAATCGTTTTCAGAAGTCGACCTCGAGTCGTCCAGGTCCATATCCTCGTCATCATATGTCTCGCCATTGCCAGCGAGATTGAGGGTCTGCAAATCGGTATCATCGAGGTGAGTATCATCGTGCCCTGAGCTGCCACTGTCAGTATCCATCAGATCATCGTCCATGGTCTTTGAAGGTCCAAGCAATCTCGTCGAAACTATGCCTAACAATCTAGAGGCCCAGTGAGTTTGGCAAGGTCTAGTTGCGGAGAGAACTGTCCCAATCCGGACTGCAACGAACAATGAGAGAATGTGCAGGCTACAATCTGGGCTGGAGAGTCGAGAGATCTGCGTGGGCTTTCTTTGTCCGCAACATCCAGGACTCATTTTGCAGGTCCAGTTTAGGTGACGCCAGAAGCTATGTAGGAGATTTTGCATAGTATTGATTGTATGATTCTGTAAATTGAAGAGGTCCGATACGAACGAGAAGTGGTGCTCTGGATGAGCATCATCGCCGACCATAGACGCTTTCATGAATCTTAGCAGCTGTGCATTTACATCCTGCGACAAACAGAGTACGCACCTCTTGATGACGGAGTTTGCATTCATCGTAGATGGATAGGCTATTGATCGATCCCTTCTGAACCAATGACATCTTGCTCTAGACGACTGAAGTGGGCTATGTGTTGAAGCCGGACCATCGACGCTATACAATCCCAAGTGAACGATCTGGGAATCCCAGATCTTCACCATCCAAGTGAACAGTCGAACTGATGGTGTGTGTGCGCATCGAGACGGGGCTCCGTGAGATTTCTTGAACCGATCAGCACATTTCCAGACCTGCTCTTCACCTTCGCCATCTGTACCAAAGCATGGCCACAGACGACCCTCCTGGAAGGCGAATGGCCTCTATGCTCACTTGGCAAGAACTCTCGCACCTGATATATCGGCCAGTCTAACCGTTGTACAGACTTGCAGACAACGGCGCATACTCAGACCTCAAGATTGTGTGCGGCGCAGACACGTACCAAGTTCACAAAGCCATCATCTGTCCACAGTCCGACTTCTTCAGAGCCGCTTGTCGCCCAGATACATTCCAAGAGGGAAAGACAGGGCTCATCGATATCCCCGCCAGCTCCGGTCGAGACGACAACTTCTTGACTCAACCCATCCGAGCCGAGGACTTTGATTGGGACCTTGACGTCGAGACCACAACAAGCATCAAGCTCATGATCCACTACTTCTACCACCAAGACTACCTTGAGCAAGAGAAATCAGCAGAACGGGAATCGTGGTACAATTGCCAATGCCGCAAAGGAATCCTGGCCGAACACTCGAGGATGTATGCAATGGGAGAAAAGTACGGCATCCACGAATTGAAGGCAGTTGCTCTTGCCAAATTCCGCAACTCGGCCTACAAAGGATGCGATCAATCTGGTCTGGCTGCGGCGATTGTGATTGCATTCAAGAGTACACCTCAGACAGACACGATGCTACGAGAGACGATTCTGAAGATACTTGATTATAATGGTTGTCACTTCAGATGCAACGCGGAGATTCAAGGAGTCATATCCGGCATCCCAGATCTGGCTTATGGTCTGTACTGTAAGGCTCTCGAACGTCTTGAGCGTTAGTGCCGATGGACAGCCATATCCAGATGTCGCCGCAGGACAGGTTGGAGGTGACTTGAGAGAAATTGGATGGGGAGATTGCTATGCCTGTGAGCATGATTGAACACAGTTATACAAGACCAGACGACAACCAGTGCTAAGAACAGAATGGTCATCCTTCAACTTTGCATAAGTGGTACTCGAATACTCGTCCTGAGAATCTGCCCAAAGTGACTTGGCGGGCCAACAAATATGACCAGCCATCTCCGCTCCAACGCCAAGAAGCTCCGTAGACGTCGATACAGCTACGTAAGTTTGCGAATCGCGAATGTATTGTTGTCGCGTGCATTTTCCATCTCAACGTCAATCACCCGCCGCCCTTGTCATCTGCGCGCGCACCGGCCGGACTTCTCAGCAGCCTCCCTCTACCACGGTCGTTTCGCAGGATACAAAGAAAGAGCAAGGAAACTTCGGGAGCGCGCGCGTCTTTTGCATTCATCGCCAGTCAAAGCGCCATTAGCTTGGTCGCCTTTCACTTCTCTCGTCGCCAATTTCACTCTGTCACCTCTCGCGACTCTCACATCGATTACCTTGGACCACCACCTCCATCTCGCCTTCCGCGACTCCTCTACCCTCCAGCGCAACACCACTCCTCGCTCCACGCGCCTACACCCCCTCACATCACCACCCACAATGTTCTTCCTCCACGAAATGGAACGCGTCGTAAACCTGCACCCCTCCTACTTCGACAAGGACACGCACAAATACATCACCGACACACTCTACCAAGACGTCGAAGGCACAAACACTGGAAACTTTTACATCGTGTGCGTGGTGTCCGTCATTGACATTAGTGAACCCCGCGTGCTTCCCGGCTCAGGGTTTGCAGAGTTTACAATCATGTTCCAAGCAGTGGTTTGGAGGCCTTTCAAGGGTGAAGTCTGTGATGGCATGGTGAGCAGTGTGGTCAGCAATGGCTTNTTTGTGGATGTGGGGCCATTGAATGTTTTTGTGTCCAAAGCTGTGAGTTGTTGCATCGCTCTTCTGAGGATTTTTTGAAGGGGTGAGAAGGGGCACCAGTGCTGATGTTGAGGACGCAAACAGATGATCCCTAGCGATATCAAGTTTGATGGCAATGCGACGCCGCCGCAGTTTACCGATAATGCCGATCAGGTCATCGAGAGGGGCACGCACATTCGTGTCAAGATCAAGGGTATCAGAGGTGAGGTTGGCCAGATGTACGCCATCGCAACCATCAAGGAGGATTTCCTTGGGTGAGTTTTCTTTACTGGTTGCTTCATTTGTGTTTTTTGGCAATGTGCTGACTTCTATCATAGCCCCCTCCTCGAGGCTTGAGAGCTGCTGCTGCAATAAACAGAGCACACACGACAGACAGCTACGAAACATCACGAATCAGAACAAAAACAGAGCAATATGCTCCCGAGAGAAGAATGGGAAAGAGCGTTCAAAGACTCCAAGTCCTGGTGCAAATCTAAAGCGCAGCAGAGAAAGTGCCAAAAAGAGCCGGTTTTGCAGATCACGGCTGTGTTCTATCCTTTTTCAAGCATTATTCGAGAGCAGGCACAGGAAGAGGGAAAAGGGAAGAGAATGATAGACAGGTCCCGAAAGAAGGAAAGAAGCAGAAAAACGCCTTTGATATCATCCTTTTGCGATAAACAAAAAAAGAACACCAACCTCCCCACCCCCATTCCAATATTCGAAAACAAGAGAAAATGCAATCATGCATATCCACAAAAACCATCTCAAGCAATTCCAGTGACCCTTCTGACACTACGCCTTTGTCCCTCGCCTGAAATCAACAACTTGCCTTCACCCTCGAGAGCGCGCAACGCCTCAGCCAACTCAACAGACTCGACAGGAACAGTAGAATCCTCACCAACCCTCCTCAAAACATCTTGCACCCTAACACTCGAATTACCACTTCTCAGCATATCGTCCACAGCACTGAGCACAGCATCCTTGAGATCACTCTTGCGTTTCCTCTCCGAAGCACTGGTGCCTTCAGTCAAAAGTCCCATATCGATTAACCCAGTCCTTGAATCTGTGGCTGATTGCTTGAGAGCAGATTGGATCAGGCGAACGGCTTCGTTGACATCGTCGGCGGTGACTTCGCTGCGTAGGTGCATCTTGGCGTGGGCTTCGGCGAGACGGATCATGGATTCTAGTTGACGGGTTGTGGCTGTGATGCGGCGGTCTGCGGCGCGGACGTCGGCACCGAGGGCGCGCATGGAGACGTAGGCGTCGACGAGGGCTTTTGACGCATCTTCTGAGATTTTGGGTTGGATGTTGTTGCGAGCGTAGGAGATGTAGGAGGTCAGGAATTCGACGGGCTAGATTTTGGTCAGTGACAAGGATAGCATGGCGGGTACGCAGTGTAGACTTACCAGAATCTCGTTTGCGCTGGCGTTTTCAGGGGCGTCGTCGAGATACATGCCGACCAAATGCTTTGCCATACGACGATCGTTCATCTCGTCGATGCGGTCAAGCACAAGATAGACCAGATCGAAACGCGATAGTAGCGTAGGTGGCAGGTCGATGTTTTGCGGTACAGGCAAGTTGGGGTTATACTTGCTGCCGATAGGGTTGGCAGATGCTAGAATACTGGTTCTTGCGTTGAGGGTGGTGATGATACCGGCCTTTGCGATAGAAACAGTTTGTTGCTCCATGACTTCGTGCAGAACCGATCGTGTCGAGTCGTTCATCTTGTCAAACTCATCGATACAGCAAACACCACCGTCTGACAGGACGAGAGCACCGGATTCCAGAACAAGTGTTCGTGTCTCTGGGTCGCGAGTGACGTAGGCAGTCAGACCAACAGCTGATGAACCCTTACCACTGGTGTAGACACCACGAGGCGCAATTCTGTGTACGTAAGAGAGGATCTGCGACTTTGCCGTCGATGGGTCACCACAAAGCAAGACGTTGATATCGCCACGATACTTTGGGCTACCACCCTTCTCAAATGACTTGTTGGTGCCTCCAAAGAGCTGGAGCAGGATACCCTTCTTGACATCATCCATCTCGTAGATGCTGGGAGCCAGTGACCGTGAGAGTAGGTCATAGACATCGGGTCGAGCGCCGGTTTCTAGGATCTTCGCCTCCTCCTCTGCGCTGACCTTTCTGACTTCTTCTTTACCACCAGACGCTTGCTCTGACAGCTCTTCCTCGAGGGTTGAGATGTCGATGCCCATGCGGCGCTTGTCAACTTTCTTGATGAAGACACAGTCGATGTAGGTCTTGAAGATGTTCTTCACTGATCTTTGACGAGGGTTGATGCGGACCTGATTGCACTTGAAGACACCAGTAATTTCGACTCTGTCACCAGCCTTGCAGACATCTACAAGATCGTCATAGACGCACAACGAGACTGAATGAGGGGTTTGACCATCGGGTACACGATCAGGAGTCTCTTGCAACTTGATGACTTGCTTGTTGGAGAAGACGCAACGGTTGTGTACAATCTGCATGGAGTTGGGAGAAGCGCAGACCTCACGAGGACAGACAGTAGGCTCGGCGATCTTACCACGATCGATATCGACCTTGACAGTATGATGACAGACGGAGCAACGGAAGAAGGCTTCTCTCATGTCAGGGATGATGGGTGTGGTTCTGATGACAAGACCCTTGACACTGACCATCTTGTCCATGTCGCCCGGGTTAAGGTCGCGCAAGTTGATGGTCTTGCCCATGTTGAAAGGTCTGATTCTGAAGATGCGGCTCTCGACTTCTTGGATGAGGTCGGGAATGTTCTCGGTTTGGGTGGGTCGTGGTGTGGTAGCATCGAAATCTGATGAGGGCATGGCTGGAACAGAGTCGTCCCTGACAGATTGGTGACGCTGCGATGGAATGCGCATCTCTGACATGCGCTTCTCTGCCAGCTCGTACATTGTGTCTTTCAAAGCTTGATCGAAGATGGGAAGGATTTCGGCAGGGAAATTCTGCATCTGGTACCACAGCTTTTGCGTCGAGGGGTATGCCTTGAGGTTCTCCATGTCCAGATTGAGCTGACTGGTTCCAAGATCCATCATCAACTCTAGAGCATTCATGTAGACCTTCTCATTCCCAGCATGATCAGCAGGCAGGTTCTGGGTTTCCGGGAGGTCCCCATCGTAGCGCATGCGATACTTTCTCTGGAAGTCGCGGAAGAAATTCTGACATGTGCTCAAAGTGTCCGAGACACTGATGTTGGTACCCCACACGGTCCTGGTTGAGTGTCCTCCAAGAATGTTAGCTTCGGAGGTTTGAGGGTCGACGTTGGAGAAGGTAGCAGTGTCGGAGTGTGATGCTTCGTCGCGGGTAGGTCTGCCGTTCTCATCGACGAAGAGTCTTCTTCGGCCGCCACCAGAGAGAATGTCTGATTCGATGTCATGGCGTCTGTTGGCAGCGCCGACTGGACCTCCAGAGTAGGGTGAGCGCACAAACAAGCCGCTGCTGTCGCTTCTTAATTGGTTGGCGCGGTTGCCTGCCGTCAGAGGTGCTCCGCTGGAACTGGATGCGTAGCGGATAGGAGACGAATCNNTGTTGTCTACAATCAGTCTTGTACCGAGTACTCGGTGGAATGAAAGTTGCGCACCTCCTATGGTTTGGCCCGAGGCCCTAGGTGTAGGACCGCCGTCGCTTGGGAGTGCTGACTCGGCCCTCATGGGTGAGCTCATAGCATCAGCACCGCCATTGACTGCAGGTGACGAGTGAAAGAAGAGTGGTGACGAGGCGGGCGGGAGTTGTGATGAATTTTGAGTGGTGCCATCGGTAGGGGGCTGCAAAGAGTTCTGCGATGCTTCTTGCTCGTTGCGCAGTTGTTCGTCAGGGCCGTAGTTGTCCTGAGGCGGACTGCTCGGCGCTGCTGGTGGAGAGGACATTGTGATTGTGTTATACACAGAGCATAGACTGGCTACCGCTGTGTTCAAGAGTTGGAAACAAACACTGAGCTCGGACAACTTGTGGTCGCGCGACGTGCTGCTTTCGTGGAGAGTCAATTATCTTCCCCTTTTGGGAATAGTCTCGCGCCTCTACCAAGTGTTCGACAACAACATTTGGAACCAGATAATCACAATCCAATCCAGTCCAAAACATCAGAATGGCTCCTCCTTCGCAACTCGCAATCGCCACCTCGGCAGTCGAACGCCTTGTCAAGGAAGAGGCAAGCTACCACAAGGAGCTCGAACAGCAACAAGCCCGCATTGAAAAGCTCAAGCAAACTAGCAGCGATGAAGAAAATGCTGAGTGGAACTTGAAGCAAGAGGTNTTGTGTTTTAATTTGCCAGTAGACCCTATGGTCGTTGACGCCATGCAGAACAGAGCTATGGACGAGACCAAAGCCATGTTCCCTCAGCTGCGCAACCGCATCCAGGAATCTCTGGCCAAGCTTGAGCACCAACTTGTGAGTTTGTCGAGAACCACTCTGAATCGCCTCATCTAACATCAACTTAGNGAACAGAGCGAGCAGAACAGCCCCGAGGAAGTCACAAAGGCGAAGGAGGCCGTAGCATCGGCCAAGAATGCCATCAAGGAAACATCCTAAACTCTCACATCACCACGATCACTGTAAATATCCAAAAGCATAAACGAGATTCATGATGACCACATTAATTTCCTACGGACTGTTCCAGGCGCGTCTTTGAGGCTTGGTATCTAGGTCACGTCCATGTGCTCGCCTTCTTCGACCGAGTCTTCTGCTGCTTCTCCCTCTTCGAGTTCGGAGACTGGTGCAGGTTGTGGTGTCTCCCCAGCCTCCATCATGTCAGTGTCCATGGGCTTCTCGGCTGGCGCGGGCACAGTGTCTCCAGCATCAGGTGTTTGTGAGTCTCCTCCTACAGCAGGTGTGTTTGCTCCAGTACCTTGTGATGGGCCTCTACTGCGTTTTGAGTTTGACGCATCGTCGTCCTCGCCACCCATATCAGGTCCGGGCGTACCCATCCTACTGTTATCCTTGGTGGCCTCGCCATCTTCAGGCTCCTCGCCATCTTCCATTGCCTCATCTTTCTCTGGCTCGTCCTTTTCACCCCTGATGACCCTGAGCATTTGCTTTCCAGCAGCCATGATGTTGTCGAACTGCTCTCTTCGCTCAACCCAAGTTTGCTCGTATTCTTCACCTTCATGTTCCAAGTCTGCAATCTCGGCATTGAGCTTCTCCAGATTTGCGCGCTGCTCCTCGCGCGGCTTCAGCATGCGGTTGTTCGTGATCTTCTCGGCGAGGACATCATATTCCTTGCGCAGAGTCAATGTCTTTTGAGCTTCTTCCAGTTGCACGCGTAGTTCTGCGGTATTGTCGCGCACCGCTTGAGCGGTCTCCAGAATCTTGTTCTTTTCGTCTGCGTATCTTTGGCGCTCTTTCTCATTGCTGTCTTTCAGAAATTGGATACGGATAAATGTGCTTTCGAGGAGAGCAAAGTCGAGCATGACATCTTCGCGCCATTGCCTCCTCTCCTGCTCTTTCTTTTGGCGATCTGCTTCCTGCTCTGCATCGGACTCATCGGGCGGCGGTGTTGGTAGTTGGGCAGGTGATCTGAGAAGCGAGTCTTTGCCTAGTAGTCGCTTGGAAACGCGTGCGAAGGGACGCTCCTCAACATTGAGCAGGCGCGCGGTGTGCAATGCATCTGCAAACACGGGTCAGTACTCTGCTCTCGAATCGTCGGCTCCGGCTGGCTGACCTTCTTCTGACTGTTCGAGCAGTCCAAATGGATGACCAGACATTGTACAGTTGTCTTCTCGGGCGTCTTGAATCCTGAGTGAGAGTAGTTATTCTTGATGGCTGTGAAAGTTGCGGGCCGCGACACAGCAAGCAGCAAACGCCAGAGAACGAAGCGCCGATCAGCCAAGCAAGAATTACCCCAGACTTTGCTGCAGCGGGCCGAGACCCGAAGCACATGCCCTACCCGTATGAGTCCAGGCCGAATGAAGCCGTCGAGGTCATCGGCCGCTGGCTGATTGTGAGTCCATCTCATTGTTAGCCACTCACCCTTTGTTCTCTCCAATAAACAACCGGCATTTCGCTGCCTGTTCCTTTCCTGCTGTATCACGATCGGCTTCTGACTACCATCACACCATCCATCTGCGACATATTTTACTCTTGTGCTGCATCGGTACCTCCTGGATTCATAAAGATCTTTGAAAGAGTCGACATCTCTCCGTATCCACGCTACAAGGAGGTCCTCCTTCTAGATGGCAGCCACACTATTTGATATGGCACAACGTGCTTGTATCAGAAATGTCATGGACATGTACGACGTTGGCGAGCTACGATACGAGACAATCAGACCCGTCCTTAAAACCGTCACCAACCCAGCACAACTCGTAAGCACTCACCAAGAACTGAGGCTATCTTATGATACTGACACATTACCANNGCGACAAATCGAAGAAGCCTCACCTCACATCGCCGAGGACGACGCCGAACTCTGGCAAGCCTTTATTAGAAGAGACATATCGAAAGCCGAATCCAAGCTGCAAACCACACGACCAAAGAATCCTTCTTCGTGGTGGAAGGTATATCGCAAACTGAAGAGAGAGGACGAAGCCGAGACTCAGGAAGCAGAAGACAGACTCAAGGCTGCTCTCAACAGACATAAAGTTGACAAGGGAGCCAAGCAGACGCATATCGTACATGCCGTTATTCCTTCAGGCGAAAAACGTTCGGGTTGGAGCTCGGGACCTCGCGACAAACCTTTTGGTGACCGGGCGTTACAAAATGCAAAGACGACAGCTCAAAAGATCACTGTCCTCAAGCGTCAAACTGCACAGAGACAAGCAGGTCGCAGTGTCGCTCAGTCTGTTCCCATGCATCAACTGTCTCAACTCAGGGGCAAGGTCGCTGAAGCACCTGCACACATGATCCGCAACTACGTCCAAAAGCCAGGACCGTCGAGGCCACTTCCTGCTGTGCCTCAAGGTCAAGCATATAGACCGGTCTTTGCTCGCCAGCCACAGACTTATGCTGATCGTGCTCTCACGACTGCCATCAACCAGACCAAACAAGAGCAAGAGGCCAAGGAGAGAAGACTTTTAGCTCTCACCAGTAGCTCGTCTGCGAATAAACCTAGGCCAACTGCACCAACACCAGCGAGTAGGTCGTCAACAGCAGCAGCACCGCCACGGAGGGCATCACCAGTTCCAGCGCAGAGACCACTGCCGGGGCAAACTTCTTCGACATCTACATTAGCGAGGAAAAGACCTGCATATGATCCGTTCTTGCCTGCTAAGAAGAGACGAACTTGAAGACTACAACGTACAATTGGAATTCGACCATGATAACACAGACAAGAGGGGGCAGTTTTGTCAGGGTAGCCATTTTGCAGCATAGACGGCATACTCAGTCTTGCATTACGGGTTCATAGACGGGCGCAGGAAAGACAGGTCTACAGGAGAACACTTCTCACCAGAAAAATGTGTAGACGAGTTCGGTGAAAATAGAAGGAGTCGGTTCTTATGAGGCCATGATCTCGTGTACATTGATCGAGGAGAAATCTATGCTATCTATAGCCTAGCTCCTGTGACCAGGCTTGATGATGGAGCAGTCGTTCTCTCGCCGCTCTTTCTGGCATAACATCCACCACGATCAAGCCGTGCAGTCTCATGTGTGAAGTGTGAAGTGTCAGGTTGATCGTTGTATCTTTCATTCGCTCGTCATGATCTTGCTGCGAGTAAAGGTATCGTTGATTCATCGTCCACCACGGAGAGCGAGAACCAGATGAAGAGTGGCTCCACCTTCGAGTTGGTATTCGCTGGCGGTCTTGTCGTCGTTCCTGTACGTGTCGTACCGTCAGTCGTGTATTCACCATCTCTTTTGCCAGTGCCACACATACATTTGCTTGCCGCCAAAGATGAGACGCTGTTGTGCTGGGGNGATGCCCTCCTTCTCCTCGACACGCTCCTTGATGCGAGAGANCCTGTGGGTGGCGCTTTGTCAGCCATGTGTTCTGGTGTTTCTTGAAGCGTCCGGATCGTCGTGGCAGGGTAAGGAGAGTGATTCGACTTAGGGGTAGTATCGTACTTTGTAGTCGGGCTCGATGTCGAGCTCGATTTCCTNTCCGGTCAGGGTGCGCACTCTACAAGAGGAAGCGATTAGCTGCTGTTTGCGGTATAGGATCTGGGTCTCGCCGTGCTCACTTGATCTGCATGTTGTGTGGTTCCTTTCAAGCTTCTGCAAGACTGTGGAATATGTGGTTGGCGTGTGGTCTGGATGCACAGCAGATGTGAATTGTTCAGATGAGATGGCTTCTGCTAAGGCCGACAATAATGACGGAGCGCGAGTTGTCCGGACGTGTTTGGCGGGGCAAGTGTTCACCGCCTTCGGGACGAGTTGCTGCCTGCACCAATCCAAACCTTCCGATGTCCTCCTTGGATCCTTCTTGATAGAGCACGTGTTAACTTTCCTCACAGTCTCGCACTTTTCATTTGCGTTGTGATTGCGCGGCAACGTCTTGCTGACTTTTTCTATCTTCGAGCCTGTAGGTTGAGAGGATGTTTCCCTCTTGCATCTGCTTGCGTGACTTTCGTCGACGAGTACGGAGGTACAAGTACCAACTACGTTCGCCTATTTCGGTATCACACACGTCTCGTGGTAGATCCTTAGGCGTCTGCATACCGATCGCTTCCACCGTCCTTAATAATACCGCATCCCCATCTTTCTCCTCTCTTTGATACCTTTCAACCCCCTTTCACATTCTCATGGAGGTCTCACACCTACACTCGGAACCCTGGTCATTCCTGGGCAACCTCTTTGGTCTCATGGTCTCAATGTGCTTGGCCATCCTGGACTCGATCAATTATGCTGCACGTGCGCTCGGTCCATACCTCTGGGCTGCTTTAAAGTGGACTGAGCATGTGCTCGCCGCTGCAGGAAACGCTTTACTTGCAGCAACATTGGTCCTTCTACTGTGGTTCTCCATCATTTACTTGTGCTGCTTCACCATCTTCATGTTCTGCAGACTGCTTCGCCGACATCAGAAGTATCGAGACCGTGCTGAGCGCCAACCACTACTCCCGCGACCACGCAGACGTCAGCCCTCCTGGACACTATCAAACTCAAGCAGCGAGAGACGACGAACACATGACCATCAGGCCTACAGGGACCTTTACCGAGTTGAAATCGATAGAAGACGTCAGGATGTCTTGAGACGAGAACAACACAGAGCAATCGAGACTCGCAGCCGACAATATCGTGAGCGAAGACTCAGAGAGGCACTCCAACAATCCACGAGCACGCCTCTGTATAGACAGCCCCAAACCATCGTCAATTGGTTGCAGGCCTCTTCCAACACCACAACCCTCACCCATTATCCGAGTTATGGTACGCTTCCGACAAGGGGTGCTCAGTCACGCCCCGAACGACGCACAGATCCGCCACCGCCGTACTCGCAGAATCTGAAAGATAAACCACCACGATACTCAAGTCCCGGAATCGTTTTGCCGCCCTCTTACGATTAACGATTATCACCAAAACGCCCATGAACGAATGCTAGGAAGCTGATCTCTTGTGGAGAGCCTTTTCTGCCACTCTTGCCTATGGGTGCAAGAGGTGTACGTACAACGATTCATGACATTGCGATGAGATTAGAGTTGCATGATTACAAACGATGGGTATCACAATGCGCATATTCCCATATCCTCCATCAGTCCCAGGACTCCACTTGATAAAACCCCAAAAGTCAGATCATTACCATGCCCATGAATTCCTGTGTGGTATCATCCATTCCATCGTGACTCAAATTGGTGCAACTACCAGCGTTGCCCTCTTCTTTGAGAGTCAACTACTCTGTTTCGAGAAAGCCTTCTTCTTGCGTCTTCTGGCTGCGGTTTGAAGTGTCCAGACCCCCATGAACAAATCTTCACACTCGTCTTCGTCCTGGCTGTCGAACTCGATATCATCCAGTGCTCCCAACCCATTCTTTGCAGCGACACCGCCAGCTTCCACAACAGCATCTGCCTCGCCCTGCCAACCACTTTCCCGACAAGTGCGTCTGGTTTCCAGGATAAACTTGCCGACTTTGTATTGTTGAGATTCTTCCTCAGCAGCGACATATTTCCAACCCAACACACTGCCACACTGAGCACAGCTAATGTCGCTAACCGTGTGAGCTCCAGTGACAAGTTGCCTCGAAACAGGCTTATGAGTGAAGATATTCGGTAGATTGGGCAGAGTGTCTCTCTTGCTTGAAATTGGGGTCGCTTGGATCCAGCTGTCAGAGGCAGAGACAAGGTAGGCGCGTCCATGGCGGCCTGTGAAGCCTTTGGAGACGATTTGGCTCGTTAGTGCTAGGTCGGCCAGACAGCGGGAACAGCGTATGAGGGATGTGTCGCTTGGGAAGCAGTTGTCTGAGCTTGAGCTGTCATTTGTGCTGGTGCTTGAGTTGGAGACATTGGAGTCAGTGCTTGATTTACGGCGGCGAAATGGTAGAGAGGGCACGAGATAAGATGGGAAGATTGACGGAGACATGTCGAGTAGCTTCAACGACTGATAGCTCGAAGTATCGCGTGATTTCTGGAAATGGACAAGCTATGAGTAATTTCGATGTTCAGCTGTCGAGGATGAGACGAGCACAGAGCTCGACAGAGAGACTTGGAAGCACAACAGAACCAAAAGCTCACAGGGTCGAGCGGCATTTGTTTCTCTTATCCATCCCTATTTGGCTCATGGCCGTGTCGGACCATGGGAGCGCGTGACTGTCTGTTGACAGGTCGTGACGTGCGCCGGAGATCAAACCTCAGCAGCCCCGCGCCATGCCGTTGGTTGGAAACGCGGTGTGGGTGGGGAAAAGGAGCCTTCTGCATGTGACACGACATGCTCTTTCAGCGCTGTCAAACACGAGGATGTCTTGCTGTTACATCTACCAGATGCTGTATCCTATCAGATATGGCTGTAGACCGTGTCGCGTTCTAAGCGGCAGTACGGAAGACAAGAAGCTGCACTCTCCTTGGGCATCGCGCGTGTGCACATGTTGAGGGCAGGAGTAAGCAAGATGCTGCTTCCTCGACAAGATCTCGTTGGGCAATGAGTCTCAGCACAGTAAGTCAAGCGTGTACATTTCTTCTGTCTCCATCAATAGTGTGCGTCTTGTCACACAAGTATTGTGTTCGGTACCATCTTTACGCCGCATTCTTTTCAACCAGCATCTTCATCATGCCCGTCATCCCCAACATACAGATACTCCGAGTCCTCGAGAAACGTCCCTTCTCAACTCGCAGCAGGGATGAGCGACGTTCGCGTTCTCAGCCCGGTACCCCCAAGCTACGCACACGTACTCCTCCCCCGCCCGGGCTTCGTCACAATGAGACTATCTACTTTGGAGAGACTCCTGTGACAATCATCGACAATGGTAACAGCGAACTCAATATCCGACCACAAGGATCTCTTTATCTGGTCTCCGACCCTCCGCCGACCCCCTTGAACCGGCTCCGCCACAGGAAGAGCAAGTGGTTTGCCAACAAGCGTGCTGCCAATGGTATGTCTAACTGATTTGATCTCCCCTCATGCCCTTTCCCTCCCACGTCTGAACCTGGAACGTTAATGAGGGTTCAGACATTCCACCTCTTGATCTTTCTGCAACTTCCGTCTTACCAGTTCCAAGGCAAGCCAATGAGACCACGAACCTCCGTCCAGCAATCAAAGCCCAAGTCGAAAGTCAAGACGAAGCCCAAAGACTTTCCGAAATCCCAAAAGCCTTCAAAGCAGTCCACTTCGACGGGGCCCCGGAGTACATTGAGGACAGCTTCAGCATTACCCCTTCTTTGGGAACTTGTCCCCAATGGGTAGGCATCCGGAGCACTATGTACTACAGCATGTCGGACCCTGCTGAAAATCTCAGTGATCTACTGCAGCCCCACACTGTTGTCCGACGTGCTCCTCGACGCCGAAGATCTGGTCTGCCCATCGAGTACCGCTATGACAGTAAGACTGGCTCCTCTTCCGGCTTCGACGACTGTTCTTCTGCAAGTCCGCTAAGCCAGAGGTCGACAGGTCGGACTTCGCTGTAGGTCAGCTGTCCCGACACGTCAATGAACACTGCCTATGCAGGCCACACTCCTGCAAGTTCCAATTCGTCTCCCACCCCAACCACAGTCATCTGTTCCAATGTACGAAGCAAGACCTCGGGCGATCCCAAAGATCTGAGCGACGCACTTAAGAAGTTTCCCGTCGATGAGAGATCCCCAAGGACTCAACCCGTGAAGATTGAGACTTTCGAAGACATCTCCGCTCTCAAAGTCTATCTGGAAACATTCTATAACGAACGCTATATGCAGCCAAGATCTGAGCGCAGTCTTCGAAGACAGCGTCTACTCGATCATCTTGCTCAAAGCTCTCTGTCACTCTCTGAAAAGGATGAGCTACTCCGATCATAGGAGCGGTCAGAGTCGACTCATCTTCGACAACTGCGCACTCTCAAAACCACTTCAGTCGCAAGGCATACCACCAAAGGCGTGTTCCACGCTGGTTTTCAAGAGGTTCGCATCCTTAGCAGGGGCACTTTCGGTCTGGTCAAACTTGTGACCGATGCCGACCATTTCCTAACCGAGGATCCATCACCATGCATGTCGAATAGTACACCACATCCTACCTTGGTTCCTCGTGGTTGTCAGAATCCACGTCTCATGAAAGACTACTACGCCATGAAAGTCATTCGAAAGGCAGAAATGATCCGAACAAGTCAAGAGGGTCATCTTCGTGGTGAACGAGACTTTCTTGTCAAAGCAGAAGGCTCACAATGGGTGGTACCCTTGGTTGCGAGTTTCCAGGACAACACGAATCTGTATCTAGTCATGGAATTCATGATCGGAGGAGACTTTCTCCAGCATCTTTGTCGTCACGATATACTCAGTGAGGATGACACTAGGTTCTACATGGCGGAGATGGTCCTGGCTATCGAAGAGACTCACAGGCTAGGATGGATCCATCGCGATGTCAAGCCAGACAATTTCTTGATACACTCCTCTGGCCACCTGAAGATTTCTGACTTTGGACTGGCGTTCGATGGACATTGGTCCCACATCAACGACTACTACGACACTACCCGGCACTCCATCTTGAACAAGTACAACATCCACTTGCAAGGTGACGAGCATGACACCGCAGCGAACCGTAATCTTGGCATACCTCGTATGGCAAGCAGTCGCCTCCCTTACGAGATGCACAATGCACGCGATATGGAAGAACTCTTGAGGGAACCCGAAAGGATGCGGAAGGAACGTCCCCAGAGCATCGTCGGCACGAAGCAATACATGGCCCCAGAAGTGATTCTAGGTCACACTTATGATGGCAGATGTGATTGGTGGAGTCTTGGTTGTATCGTCTTTGAGGTACGTCTCGATCGGATCGGAGAGCTACAGTCGTTCTAACAGCTTCTAGTGTTTCTACTCGAGAACACCATTCCTTGGTGCGGACAGACAAACGACAGCGAGGAACATTGTGGTATGGCACTTTTCCCAACAAGTCACTGTAAGGCATGATACTGACAGAACAGCATCATCGTGACGTGCTCCGATTTCCCTCGGGCNGAGCGACTTTCCGGTACAGGTCTACGATACCCAGCACCAACTGACTCCGCACTGGCTCTCATGAAGGATCTTCTGCGGGAAAAAGACCACCGACTAGGTTCAGTATCTTACGGTCCTAAACCCTGTCGTCACCTGAGACGCCATCACAACATCTCGGAAGCAAGTTTTGTCGCTGCTGGAGATGCTGAGGATATCAAAGCACATCCCTTCTTCAAGACCATCCGTTGGAATACGCTGCATCGAACGAAAGCACCATTCATACCCGAACCGGTAGAAGACATTGCAGAGTACTTCGAACACGAAGACACTTTCGTTAATGATATCGGGACAAGCTACATGAGTTTGCGGGAGAAGGTCAAACCAGGCGCAGAACCACGGGCTAATCAAAGACTTCTGGGTCCTTACTTCGAGAGGTGGCAAGCCGAGCAGCGGGACATTGAGAAGGTCCAGATGGGCATCGAAACATGGACTGACGCCAATGTCGCGGCGTGCAAGAGAGAGAAAGGCGAGCGTTGGGAGGCTTTCAAGCAAACCAGGATCAAGAAGGCCCGCGAACGGAAAATTCAAGAAGGCAGGGATCCAGACCTGGAAGTCAAGCAGATCTTAGGATGTCAGCCTCGAAAATGCAGGCCCAAGGACATCCTGGTGCGTGATGTCAAGTATGGGCAGCGAGTGGTGGAGCGAAGGAAGAGGGGAGCATTCTTGGGATATACGTATCGCAGTCCTCGATACGTGTTTCCAGAGGTTGGCAAGGAGAGGAGGCCAGTCTTTTCACGACCTACGATCATGCCTGTGACCGACAACGACAATGAATGAGATGGAGGGGAAAAGTCAGACGGACGTTCTTCGATTCTTACCTAGACTCTTTAGACCTATTCCATTCTATTCCTTTTCTTTGATGTCCTGTGCTCTGTGTCCTCTCGAATGTTCAATCTACCCAGCAAAATCACAGATTCTGCATGGACATTCGTCAACATGGCCTTGTACTCTCTGCTTCATATATTGACCTTGTATTTCGGCTACAGTTTTGGATATCTTTTTTGGTCTGGGAGAAGGATTGGACGACTTTCGGAAGGGGTAGCAGAGCTTTCTACAGTCGATCGATCGGACATGTGATGTTGGAGTACTTTGGGTCATTGGAAAGCAGGAATGGGTTTTGTGATGATGGATCGTTTGTGGTACATGACAAAGGGTTGCAAGTTTTGATTGACGAGGAACAGATTGCGTGATGGAAGGGGCAGGTTCGTCTATTCGCGCGAAATATAGAGTAGGAACTTCTTTTTTCTTTCTTCTTCTTGGATGGCTGATGCAAAAGTTGCCAGTCTAGCTCCTTGGTGAGGAAGCCTTGTCTACTAGAGCAACTTTTCTTGATAATATGGTAGAGTGCATCAATGCATTTAGAAAGGGGGAAGCCAGAAGGGGTAGCCGCCGTTCTTGATGCGGAAAGTGCTGAGCAGGTAGCTGTACATGGCGAGCATGACGAGGCCCCATGCAAGGGTAGCAATACCCTGAAGACGAGGGTCCGTCATGCGGGGCACCTTGAGAGCCAGAGAGATGGTTGCGAAAGCAAGAATGGCGTCTGGATATTGTTAGGACTCATAAGACGAGATGAAAGGACGTGAAAGATGATGACTTACNNACATGGCAGCAACAATCTGAGTCTCGAGACCAAACTGGTTCTGGAAGCCACCGGCAAAGTAGGAGATGCCGCCCTTGCCGTCGCCAGCGACGTAGGGGACCTTGCGGATGTGGTTGAACATGTGGCCGCTGGTGAAGAGGAGGACGAGGATCAAGCTGATGGCGGCCCAGAGGTTGCGGCTTTGGAGGATGGGGAGGACGTAGGGAGCAGCGACGGTGAGAGCGGTGATTGTTCCAAGGACGGCTACGGTGGTGGTGATGATCTTGACGTAGTTGACGGGACNGGACAATGGGGGAGTAGGGCCAGCGACATGGCGAGCGAGCCAGGCGTGGACGGGCTCGGCAGCAATGANCACTGTCGTCTTGTTAGCTGTGGACTGGTATAGTGGTGGGCTTCACGGGACACACCCAGTGGTAAAGTCGAAGCGCAGGGGGTCGGCGTTGGGCTTGGCGTCAGGGCCAGAGGTGGGAGGGAAGTAGAGCAGGACGGGAGCGGTGGTGAGCTGCAGAGACTGGAAGGTTCGCTGGCCATTGACAAAGTCGAGGGTTCCCATGACGAGTCTGGACTCCTTCTTCTTGTCTCCCTTGGCCCAAGTCTTGCCCAAGAGGTCCCATTCAGGCTGGAATTCGTGGCAGATGGCACATCCGAATCTGGCCTCGAGGGCAGTCAAGAGGACGGCGACCGAGTAGTCGCGCGGAGACGAGGTCAATTTGGAGTATTCATTGTCGTCGAGCTGCAGGGGAGCAGCGGCGGCCAGCTGTTGCGATCGGTAGTCGCTGAACTTGTCGGCAGAGCTCTTCTTTGCTGCCAAAGCTGTGAGTGGCAGCAGCAAGGCCGTCACGGTCTGGAGGAACTTCATCTTGTCTTTGACGAGTGCAGTTGGAACGACAAACAGACAGACAGTCTATCTTCAGTGACTACGTATGCTTCGTGTCCCCAAGCTTGAATCGGCCACTCGGTGCTTGGCGCGCGCTGTTTCGGGAGAGGAAGCCGCGGCCGGGAGAGGGCAGCGCAGGGCAGGGCAGGGCAGCGCAGGGCAGGGCAGGGCAGCGCAGGGTTGACAGCGGATGTTGCCGTGCCTGCGATAAACAAACAACAGAGTCCCGTCACGTCCGTCGCATCACACTCGCATCCAAAGCCCAAGCCAGCCTGTGGCCGACGTCTTGACTATTCTTCCCATGGCCACCGCAACAATGGTCCCTATCCATGCAGCACATACTTCCACCACTATCAATGACCAATCACTCCACTCCGCATCGCTAGAGCTCAACTATGAGCGCAGCACCCACCTAGTCGACATCATCTCCAAGGACGAGAATCTGCGTAAACTGCGTTTCGACATGCACAAACTCGAAGACGACAATGAAGAGCTGCGCGAACTCTTGACACAAGAAGAGGACCGCTCAGAGTCTCTTGAAAAGACCATCAGCGACAACCTCGCTCGCGCCGAAGATGCTGAAGCCCATGCCATCGATCTGCAGACTGACCTGCAAGCTGCCGAGCAGGAACTCTCAATACTCAGAGTATGTATCTCGTACTGTCGTCGCATACACCAGCTTACCATATCCCCATACAGNGCAGAAACAAATGCTCTACGAAACGTCACAACAGACTCTGAGAGGCTCCTAACCGAGAAACTCGACCTCGCACGCCAGATATCCACCCTCAAACCAGAACTCGACCATCTACGCGCCCAAGTTGAATCCAACCAGGACCTCCTCTCCGAAAAGCTCGCCCTGCAACGACAAGTCAGCGAGATCCAAGTCGAACTCGACCACGCCAAATCCGAAGCTAAGCGCGCAATCGCTAAACGCCGCAACACTCAACATGATCTGAACCAACAAGACACTATCGACGACCTGCGCAAGGCTCTGACGAGGGAGAAGCGATTGAGAGAAAAGGCCCAAGAAGATTTGGAAACCGCTCAGGCTGAGCTGGAACGTGAGAAAGAAAATTCTCAGCGCAAAAACACAACAGAAGCTGCCAAAGCAGAGGAGAACGCCAATGTGCAAGTCGAGACCGAAGAGCTGCGTCGCCAACTCGCAAAGGAGCGCAAGGAACGCGAAAGGACCGAGAAGACACATCAAAAGACCCAATCCGACTGGGACGCCACAAAAGCAATCCTGGACGACAAGCTCAACCAATTCCGCACAAAGCTAAAGTCGACCAAGGAGAAGCTAAAGGAGACTGAGACACAACTCGAGGAAGCTCAGAGATCTGCTGCAGCCGACGCAAGATTAGCACCTGTCTTGGCCGAAAAGACCGCCAAACAGACAAAGAAGAGAAGCGCTGCACAAATGGATCCGGACTCGCAAAAACTAGGAACACCAGGCAACGCCAAACCAGCAAAAAAGGGGCGCAAGGCTGCAGCAGTCGGCGACAAATCAACCTTTTCCATCACACCATTCTTGAACCGCACAATGAGTGTTGCACCTGAAAGTCCAGGGCAAGCCGAGGAGGCCCCAGCAGAATCAGCCGCTGAAGAATCAGAATCGGAAGCTGAGGCAGAGTCTCCGAGCGCATCTAACGTTCGACCAACCGCAGAGACCGCTCCTAANGCCGTTAGCGACCGTACCTGCGAGCAAGAGCAACATAAAAAGGCCAAGCCAGCAACCGAGCCAAAACCCAAGAAACAAACAAAGAAGCAAGCACTGGAACAAGTCGTCGAAGAAGTCGAACCTGCATCTCAAGAAGAGACTGCAGCAACCACCAAAGTTCCCACATTCAAGGCCAAGAAGTCCGACGCAGAGTCGAAACCAAAGCCCAAACAACGCAAGTCTCTTGCAACATTTGCTGCCTTCACACATGAGCCAGAACCAGAGAAGAAACAGAAGAAGCGAAAGCTTGGTGGCTTGAGCAAGACTCTGTTCGATGACGAGGACGATGCGCCTAGTAAGCCACTCCCCGGTCGTGGAGGTGGTTTGTTCGGAGCAACACGTCTGGGTCCTCTTGCAGCTGGTGGTGTAAGAGGTAGCTTCATCGGTGGCATGGGGAAGAAGAAGTCTGGCCTGTTGACAGCGGACGACGGCTTCATGTTTTCACCTCTTAAGAAGGAGAGGAAAGCGATGGCTAGTTTCATTCAGTGATTGTTTTAGATCTCATGGTCATGGTGTTCTCGGGTTGGGTTCAGTGTCCAGAAAGGCAGGGGTTCGGAACATCGGAGTCTTGTCGTTGGGTTTGTCGTGATACCTCATTATATTTTGATCTCTTGTCGCGCATGGATTTAACGACTGAAATCGTCCACCGCTACTATTGTGTTCCAAGTCATCGAGACTGTACCATATTCAACCGCGCTATGTCTTAATAGCTTTTTCTTGAGAGTCGTGGATGCAGATGGATAGTGATCAGGGTCATCCCCGCGGCTTCAGAGGACCAAACAGAGCAAACAGAGTTGTTCTCTCCATTGAACCACCGTGCAGCTACATGTTCCCCACTCTCTCCGTCGCTGTTGTCTCACTCGGTGCAGATCAACAAGACCGCTGGGATGCAATCCTCCGATTTCATTCTTCACTAGACTTGCCTCGTGCGATATACCCGATCTCCCCTCCCTGGAACTAAAGTAGTGTCAGGCGAGGAAGTCACTTCCCCCTGGTGGCGTGCGGACCGAGGCACGATCAACACAACATGCGGGGCGTCCTGGCTGGTCGGCATGACCATCTCCTTGAGCACCAAATACTTTCCTTCTGATAGATAAAAGTAGATTGTTGCGTTTCTCATCGATTTCCAAGGATCCTCCGCAGCTCTCAATCATGCCTGGTGTAGTATCTTCAGGCACTTTCTCACGTGACGAGGTCGCAAAGAACAACACCGAAGATTCCTTGTGGTGCATTGTCGACCACAAGGTATACGACCTCACAGATTTCTTGGACGCACATCCTGGTGGCAACGTCGTGTTGCAACAGGTTGCAGGTCAAGATGCCACTACAGCTTTCTACAACTTACACCGACATGAAGTTTTGCAAAAGTACTCGTCTCTATGCATTGGTACTGTGCAGGACGAAACTCCGGAAGTGATTGATCCTCAACCTGGTGATCTCAGCGCGGTACCATATGCAGAGCCTACTTGGCTCAGCCCACAATTCACCAGTCCATACTATACCGATTCACACCGCAAGTTCAGAAAGGGTCTCCGAGAATTCGTGGATGCGGAGCTCAAACCAGAGGCACAAGAAAAGGAAGCCGATGGCACCTATATCAGTCAGGAGATGATTGATAAGATGGCAAAGAACAACATGTTGGCTATGCGACTCGGTCCAGGTCAGCATCTACACGGCAGGACGTTGCCGGGCGGCGTCAAGGGCGAAGACATTGACTATTTCCACGATCTCATCACATGTCAGGAACTAGCTCGGGTCTTGTCAAGAGGCTTCCAAGATGGCAACATGGCAGGCATGTCAATCTCTCTCACTGCCGTCCGAAGCTGGATGAAAGACGTCAAGCTGCGAGATGCAGTCACGGAAGAATGCCTCAGTGGAAAGAAGAAAATGTCGCTTGCCATCACCGAGGCTTTTGCTGGTAGTGATGTCGCTGGTCTGCGCACCACAGCTGAAAAGACAGCTGATGGCTCCCACTATTCGATCAACGGCACGAAGAAATGGATAACCAACGGCATGTTCAGCGACTACTTTGTCGTTGGCTGCAAGACTACCAAAGGCTTCAGTGTGATTCTGGTTCCGAGAGATGACAATGTCGAGACCAAGAAGATCAAGGTATGTTACAGTTCTCTGCATTGATTCGTTCAAGGCACCTTTCTGACTTTATGCAGNACGAGCTACTCTACAGCGGCTGCCACAGCCTACATCCAATTCGACAATGTCAAGGTTCCCGTTAATCATCTCCTGGGCGAAGAGGATAAAGGCTTCCAGGTCATCATGAGCAACTTTAACCACGAACGGTGGGCAATGACAGCAGCAGTGATACAGTGGATGCGAGCCGTCACAGAAGAATGCCTAAAGTGGAGCAACCAACGCATCGTCTTTGGAAAGCCACTCTCTAAACAACCAGTCATTCGTGGAAAGTAAGTTGTGTCGTCATCAAAAACATACACACCAGACACTGACATCAATCTCTCTCTCTCTCACAGACTCGCACGCATGATCCAACACACAGAAGCCACCCAAGCTTGGCTCGAGCAAATCACACACCAAATGAACACAATGTCCTACCAAAACCAGAACAAGTATCTCGGCGGACCCATCGGCTTGCTCAAGTCCTTTACCACTCGCTGTGCCCACGAAGTCGCCGACGATGCCTGCAACGTCTTCGGAGGTCGTGGTATCACTCAAGGAGGCATGGGAAAAGTTGTCGAGCAGTTCCACCGCACGTACAAGTTCGACGCCATCTTGGGTGGCACGGAGGAGATTTTGAGCGATTTGGGTGTTAGACAGGCTCTCAAGCAGATGCCCAAGGCAAGACTGTAGAGTCGAATTTGTTGATGCATGATGATACATATTCTGGATTCACACGCAATTCGCAAAGTTGCCCATCTCCCTCTCTCGTTGTCTTGCTGCTGCTGTCTTGCTGCCATCTTGTTGTGTTACTATTGTCAAGCAAAGTCGTCAATTCTCGAGAGATCTTTTACTATTTTGATGCCTATCATAATATATATGACTGTCAACAGCCTCGTTTTTCATTCCAATTCCATCATATAATCATTGACTCGATGTAGCCGCTCTGGCAGCTCCAGTCGGCATCCGTCACTTGCCACAGACAAACCCTCACCTTCTTGTCCAAGCGTGCTACCCTCATGACCTTCAAGGTTCCTTGCGTACTGCCCGATCTACTCAAGACAAGGCCTCTAGCCACCAACGGCAAACTCGAAACCCCAAGCAGTTTTTTCATCCTGAGAAGTTTGATATACAGGAAAAGTGACCGTATCGCCGTCATACTGGTGACCATACACACCACGGTCCGAAGGACCAGCCACAGCACCAAAGTGTCCCGCATCATCAAAGCCCCAAGTCTGTATGTTCAAGACGCCAGAAGCGCTCAAGCCGAGTGCAGAGAGGTTGTTGAGGGTGATGAACCAAGTACCCTGTTTGTTGAGGACACCGGTGAGCACACGAGCCTTGTCCGAGTCCACGGTGGCATAGACATCCATTACGCCATCGCCAGCTCCTGTTGTGGTTGCTCTCTCGCCAGTCATGTTGTTGTGGTAGTACTTGTAGACGTTGAACTCGCCATTGCCGGCATATCCAGTACCGGTGTAATCATTGGTATCGGTCTTTGTCAACAGACTAGCAAGAAAGTCACGGAGTTGCCACCCGGAAAGCCAGTTTCCTCTCAATCCTCTGAGATTGTAGCGTTCGAGGCGAGAAATCCACCACGCCGCTCCGGCAGAGATTTGCTGGTCGAAAGTGGCGTATTCGTTGATGTTGATTTCTTTGTCCGGGAGCGAGTATTGCGATCGGATGGATTGCCATTGGGGCATGTCTACGGCCACGTCGCCGGGTTCGTCGTGCCAGGTGTATTGGTCGGGGATGGTGTTGTCGGCTACGATGCGGGCTGCCCAGTTGGTCCACCAGTCGTTGCCGGTGTTGGGTGTGCCTGCGTAAGAGGGGCCGCTGATCAAGACCTCTGCTAGATCGGTGTCTTGTCTGATGCGTTGATAGGTACGGGACCATAGATCCAAGTACTGTGCCTGTGAACGTTTCCAGAAGAAACCGCCATCGGGCTCATTCCACGTGTCGTAGACCAGGCCGTCGAGCATATCATTGGCCTTGAGGTCGCCAAGCAGTTGATCAAGATACTGATCATAGTTGGTCCAGTCGCCATTATCACCTGGCCATACAGTCGAGTCATTCGCATGATCAGTTCCCCAAATGTCGTGAGGAAGAACAATAACCTTGGCACCAAATTTGCGAGCCTGGAAGTAGTTGTCTCTGGTGTTGTTGAAGCGTGCATAATAGGCATCAATGCCTTCAATCCAACCACCTTGCTCTAACTGAGCGCCACCGATACGGGCATAGTTGAAGCCCATATCACTGTAGAAGTGATCAGGGATCTGTGTTGGGTCGTCGGGAATACCATAGAGAACACCCGAAGCGAGATTCTGAGGTGCACCACGGCGAGCTCCTACTGACAGGTCAACAGTCGCAGTGTTGCCAGAATCTTGACGAGGAAGAAGGTTGGGTGCTGCATTGATGCAGATTGGCAAGGCTGCCAAAAGGCCAAGGAACTTGGAAGCCATAAGAGAAGATCCAGAAGTGATTGCGGAGTTGTCGATTGTTGTCGATGATGATGATGATCCAAGACGAAGGATTCACAGGCTTCTTATACTCCAAGCCCGTCGTCTACCATTTCATCCCCCGCTGCGGGGATACCTGGGGAAGATGGGGTTGTGGAAAGATGCATCACTCTTCTCAGAAACACGAGAGTATGTCCTGCAAGATGCGTTTGCATAGAGTGCAGATCAAAGCCTATAACGCGACTCTCCGGAGGGGCTCCGGAGGGTGAACACCGGGGAGTGCAACTTCTTGTATGCATTCTACCTTACGGGAACGGCCGTATCATTACACACCGTACTCTTAGGACAGATTATACCGACCCTCCGGAAATATGAATCAGCTGTCGGCAATTGCAAGAACTAAGGTTGCATTGCTTATATCACGAGGCTTGCCGTTAGGTTCATGGAAAGCTTGGATATTATCAAGGCGTCTGTCAACCACATTCTCCAAGAACCATAAAGATGTTCGCGAATAGGCTTTTGACAATTTGACAACTTTTCATCAGCAGGCTTCGGAGGCAAGATCATTCTGTTGGTCGTCGCAGCAGTCCTTGCCTTCTTTACCTCCATCGTTCTTTTGAACTCTCTGCTCGGCATCTTCGCACAGTGCTTTATAGCTCGGCACCTGGAGAAGCACATCCACCTCCTTACAATTGCCGACTTGCTTCCTTGTGTAGATTGAGAAAGATCCATTGGCTTCGATGAAAACACATTCAATCTCCGACACATCCAGTATATTCTTCTGGCGTAGGGATGTGTAAAAGTCGCCCAGGCAGATACGGTGTCGAACCATGACTTTAGTCAAGAGCTTGCCACGGAAAGCAATCATGATGGGAGGCGAAGTCAGTAACCATCCGTGCTTGGAAGGCAGACGAGAGCCGACGAAAGACATCAAATACTGAAAGCCGAGGATAGTAGCAAGTGACAGCATGCCTCGGACGAGCGAATTGCCGTTACAGATTCCAGCCAGTGTACTGCCGATGGCAACGTTTGCAATCCAATCTGTTACGTTCATGGCTGCGATGGAGCGATTGCTGAAGAATCGTAGTGAGGTGAAGAGCACAATAATGGCAATCGAGCCAATGACCAGAGGATGCAGAATAGAGGCTTTGACGTAGAAGTCGGCGACTTGTATGGTGTCAGGGCCAGCTACTACCAGAGTGCCATTGTTGCCTGAAGAACCGGAGGACATGATGAATTGATTGTTAATATGATGAGAAAATAGATGAACAGAGCACTGTAAGGATAGATAGATGGTGGGGGATGCTCTTGGTAGATAGAGTATTACCCCACATTCATGGTGGAGGATCTGCTTCTCTCTGCGTAGGCCAAGGCCCCGGGTACCTTAACGTCATGCTACAGGGACCTTCCACGTCCGCTGAACCTTATTTCTCACACTTTCATCCTGCTCCCTTCTTCAGTCTCTCTATACTATGTGCCTTCTGTCTTTCGAACTTACTAACACTAGCCGGATAACAAATATTCACTTATAGATCATGTACCTATCTATCAATCACTCATAATTCATTATAGGGCTCATCTTGCCAATTCTCAAACCCAAAAAGTCGAAGGTTTTACAAGCCTTGTTTCATGTGACTGACTTGCGGGCTGAGGAAAAGTCTAGATGTTGTTTTCCCTAAAAGTACCGCATGGCCTTATGATGGCATATCATCTTTTGCTAAGACGACGGGAGTACACAAATGCACAGTGACGATGCTTGGGTCTGATGCTTACAACGACTTGAGAGAAAAGACAGGGTATACGTGGTTTCGATAGAGTTGGATTTTCTTTTTGCTTGTGGCATACCAGGACGATCGATCTACCAAGAGTTCCAAATGATTTCTAGCTACATGCACCAGCTATGCTTGCGTCCAATGACTTGCTACAACTTTATGCAGTTTCTCTGCGGAAGAAGTAGACATAGGCGAACTTCTTCATCTCGTCGACGTCTCCGCCCAGAGCGACCTTCTCGTCGTTGAAAAGAATCCATCCCGGATCCTTGCGTATGAAAGCGACATAGTGACTATCAGGTTGGTCAGCACAAGTCGTTCGATAAGCTTCCAGAGCCACTTACCCGGCGTGAATCGAGCTGCCCTTATGGCATACAATGGACTGGAGCTTGAATTTGGCAGGCTTTGTGTCTTCCACGACTGCCTTGGGCTCNNGTCCTAAGGGCGTTTGGTCAGCATGATCATCATACGAGCATCATGATTCGTCTAAACTCACATCAGCAGCAGTCTTGTCACCAGTATCCTGTTGCTCGTCTCCAAAGTCACCAGTGGCTTCGGGGTGGTTGAACAGCCATTCTACCGCACGCTCCATGTCACCGTTGGTCTCCTTCAACGCCTGGCGTGCTTGAGGTGGCTCGAAGCCCATGTTGCCAAGCATCTCGATCTTCTCTGGGTCTACTGCGCTGCCGGCACCAGCACCAGCGCCAGCACCACCTCCAGAGAGGTTTACGGGCTCGTCAATGTCCGGGTCTTCCATGTGCTCAAACAACCACAAGCTGGCTGTTTCCGCATCTGTGTTTCCAGTAGCGTGGAGAGCCTTCTCGCATCTGACTCGAGGGAAACCCATGGCTTCAAGCATGCTAAGAGCAGCTTCATTGGGCGCAAAGGCAGTCGAAGCGGCACCAGTGTCTGCAGCATCATCGGGCAAAAGTTCTTCACCAGGTTGTTGGCCCTTACTACGGTAGGCCTCGAAGTCAATGGCACCCTCGTCAACAATGACAGGAACGTCTTGCTTGGTAGGGACCCAGTTGACGATCTCGAAGCGACGAGCGTTGACCGCCAAGACAGTAGGGAAGGTCTTGAAAAGAGACTGCTTGCTAAAGTTCTTGCCACCACATGCGCCGCAGTTCAGCTCAACGACTTCTACAGCGGTAAACTCGTCTAGACAGCGCTGTAGAGTCACAGACTCAAACTCTTCGGCTTCCTTCTCTGCAGAACCATCAGGACCAGGAGTAACACCTTCCATCTTAATATCCTTCGGTAAACGCTTGATGGGTACAGCGACAGATATGTTCTCGGCCTCGTCTTGGCGATAGCGGACCTTGTTGCAGTTCAAGCATTGCAGCTTCTGTTCCATGACGAAACGGAAGGCATCAACTGGATCTGACACGTCCTTGTAGTGATCTTTCGCGGCGCGTTGGGAACGGGAGACGAGCTTGAGCAGATGGAGCAGGAACTCGAAGGCGTCTTGTTGGCGCATGGTGGAAAACTCTTCGTGGCCTCTGCCGATGAGATGCTTGAGCATGGCAGGAGCCAAACCTTTTTGATGTGGTTGTTCTGTCGTATCTTCCGAAGCGATAACATCTGAGTTGGGAATTGCATAGCGTCCAGACAGTAGGCCATCTGCCATTTTCCGAAGTTGAATCTCGAGATCCTCAGCAGGAGTCGAGGTGGGTGGTAGTTTCTCGTCAGGTCGGTAGTATCTTTGGGCGAATTCAGGCATGGCAAATAAGCTTTGAACAACGCTGGCAAGGTAACAGCTGTTTCCAAGGTTCTTCAGACCTGTAAGACCAGGACCACACATGGGCTTGAGTTCCTTGCCATCCTCGTTGGTCATGCTGAACTCCCAACGCAAGTTTTGCTCCAGTTGCATCTCAGTCAAGCTCTTCTCAGTCTTCTCGCGACCAGCGATGTCGATGCCCCAGTGGGCGAGATGGGCGACAAGTTCGGGATCAGTACGTTCTTCGTTGCAGGCGTAGCAGTAGATATCGGCACTGCCATCAGCGGTCAGAGAACCCAGTTTCACAGCGACGGGGTGACCGGTAGAATCGGTATGCGCCACACCGTGCGAGTTACCACCAACACCGCCAAACTGAGCTCTTCCGCAACCCAGGTTGCCGCAGGTGAGACAAAGCCAGAGATTCTGGTTCAAGTCACACTGGGAACAGTGACCCAGAGACTGCGAATGGATCTGTCGAGCAGCCTCTTGCTCCAGACACAGTGTATGCTCACAAGGAATCATTTCCTGCTCCCATGCCTTGACCTCCTCTTGTTTTGCGAAAGTGTTTGCCTTGAGTACACCGTCAACCACGGCGGCTAGATTTCCCTGGCTCTTATCCAGATCGCCGTTGGCACACTCGAAGCATTTGACCGCCGAGACAGTGTGGAAGCGATCCTCCTCGGTTTCTGCGTTGATTGCCAGCTTGGACATCTTTTGTGGCGGCTCATCTCTGTGCTTTTGCTTGCGCGTGCGCTTGATATTGAGAGCTAGAGGGTGATTTGCTTCCTGAGCGTGTTTTACACCATGCTGGCGTTCGGTGGCACATCCTCCGTTGAAGCAATGCAGGCAGACGTCGAGGCCTTCGGGCGAATCGATGCTGTCGAAGCAGAGTGTGCAGTCTTCTCTGTAGACGGATTGGTTGGGACGCGGCGGGCTGAGCGATGCTGATGATACGTGTGGACAGGCTGACATTCTGGGCAAAGGTGATGTGATGGGGTAAAAGAGAGGAAGAAGAAGTGACCGAGTGATGGTTTGTTTGCTCTCTTCGTCTTCCAAAGCTCCAACTTCAGTGCGTCACTCACGTCCGAAACGCGGGGTCAAACTCCGTTTCATCGCCTTTTGGTCAAACTTTCTCCTTCATTACGGCGTCGCAAGCAATAAAGCTAAGGTATTTTGTACACGAAGTCATCCATCTCTTCTGCCCTCCTGCCTCTAGTCCCTAACAGTTCAATGATCCTTCTTCATCATGTTTCCCAATTTCCTAACACAGCTTCGTCAATACCATCGACTAGTTGACGAACAGACTGTCATTGTCCGACAAGCTGTACTGCTTGATCATGTCTGCAAGCTTCTTGCCCTCTGCTGACCAGTTGACAGGGCCTGCTGATGACACTTGGTAACGCACCCTNNGTATGTTTGTTAGTGTCAAGGTTCCGAGCTCATGTCACATCGCTGCTTACCTCTGCTGGTCTTGGAATGTGTCCATCTTGGCTCTGCATCTGAAGACGTACGTCTGGCAGACAGCATTGGCAAACACCTCCTTCTCGCCGGTGCTCATCTCGTCCCTCATCTGCATAATGTCGTTGGCAGGTCTTCCCATGATCATCCTGCCCACATCGTCGAACAAGCTGAGCCACATCTGTCCTGTGTGATCGCTGACATTGATGCTCATGATGTATCTCCACTCAGGCTTAGGCCAGCCCTTGTCACAGCGCTCACAGCGCCACTCACCCTCTGCGACCTCGACCACCTTCTTGTTGCATCCCTCCGACAAGCAGGCAGGGTAGGCAAATGTCGTGTCTGACTTGACGAAGACAATGGTGGCCTTCAGAGAGAAGTAGTCTGTTGACTCGCCCATGCCCAGGTTCTCGTCCCGTACTTGTGCAATCGTCTTCATCTGGTCATTGCGTCCGCTCGTTGTTGTCGTGGCCATGCTATTGGCGTGTGATGAGAACGTGTCGTTACGGCCTTGAGCGTCGTACCAGCCCTTGAGCTTGTGGCCTTCATCAATGTCGGGGTTGACATTCATCGTGCCGGATGACAGGAGTGACAGACTGCGACCACCGAAATCGCTGACCTTGACGCCCTTGAACGCGATCACGGTCTCTGTGGCAACATCAAAGTTGAGCGCAGTGTTGCCCCAGATGGTGAGGCGAACGTTGTAGCCAGTGTTATCGACCAGAGTCAACTCTCTCTTGCTGAATGGCTTGGAGGTAGTCTTGGACACGATCTCGTTAACATCGCCGACTTCCTTGAGCACACCGATAGTATCAATGGTTGTGTCCTTCTCGACGCTCTGAAGGTCGGCGAGAGTAGTGAAGTTGTAGGTGATCTGAGGAACGCCCTCGTTGTCCTCTGCCTTCTCGATGCTGGTGTCTCTCTCAAAGGTCAGCTCGTAATCGTGGTTAACGTTGGAGAATTGCTTCTTGGCCAGCTGGACCTTGCAAGAAGACACGTAGTAGACGGAGCCTTCTTGCAAGACGTCGTACCACTGATCCACAGCCTCCTTGAAACCAGTCGCTCTGATCTCGCCACTCTCGTCGAGGAAGTTGCAGCTGAAAAGCTTGCCCTCTCCGTTCTTGTTGTGCCATGTCTTGATCTCACCCTTGTGCGAGCATCTGGCCTTGATGGTCCATCTGGGCTGGTATGGCGAGAGGGCTTCGATGGGGTAGATGTTGCCGCCATGGGGAGCATTTTGGCCGCTGGAGCGTGTGGGTAATTGTCTTTGTGGGGCCGACTGTTGTTGTTGTGGCTGCTGTTGCTGTTCCTGAGGCCTGTTGCCATAGAACTGGTTGCCGGAGATGCCGGCGGGCTGTGCTTGTGGTGGTGGGGCGGCGGCAGGTTCGGACTCGGATTTGACTACTTCAAGCGCGCCAGGCTGGCTGAGTTTCTCGCATTCGCCGTACTCTTCGAGCACTTCTAATTCGATGATAACGAGGATNNGCTGCGGAGTGGTCAGAAGAAGTAAGGAAAGCATACACAGACGTGACACTCACGGCTTGTCCTTGACTGAGTTGGCTTGGAACGACTTGAGCTTGACAAGCGAGCCCTTCTTCAGCTTGCCTTCATGTACGATGTGGTTGGTTTGCTGAGCAAGCATGCTCTGGATGAAGTTGACAGTGTCGTTGAAGACAACACGGAATCTCTCGACACCAGTTGATGAGTTGTTCATGGGCTTGATCTGAACGCATTGAACGACGGGGTCGATGATTTGCTCGCCAGCGAAGACGCGGCGAAGGCAGCCGGTCGTAATGGCATCCATGGGGTTGGCCATTATGAGGTGTGTATGTGCTTGCTAGTCAAATTCTTGATATTTCACTCGTCGTAGATATCTCTTCTAAGATGTCGGCGATTAGGTGAGGTGATTGTTCTTGATCCCAGAAGTTGTTGCGGAAGGCGTTGGCTGCGTCGCGCCTGCCTTTTTGGAGACGCGTCGTTTCGCGTCCCAAGGCAGAAGTGATTCTTGGCATATGCATTCGAAGGCATCACGAAGGTATCTCCATCGCCACAAGGATGCTTTCGATATCTAGATAGATACTTGGTAGAGCTGGCAAAGATGTCAGAAGACACCCGGGCATTATTCAATGCTTGACGTAAAGAGTCCGGGCGAATTTCTCTCAAATGATGTTTTGTGTGGAGATACAAGTCTCTGCCAATACGATCACCTGGGCAGTCAATGTCGGATAGACCATGACGACGAGGCGACTGCGCGTTCGCTCACTTCTGTGGATGGCAATAACGCGTAAAATCGGCTTTGGCTAGATCGCCCTGTCCGCTTCGGACATAATCATCATTTTGTTACTACAAAGCTCTATCCTAGCGAGATGGTCGAGCAAGACCACGCGACAAAATACAGCTTTTTCTGGCGAGAATGTTAGATGAGCAAAGATACCAGCATCGATCTCGCGCTCCGAATATATGCAGCCATATCAGACTCGCGATCTTTGATTGTCGAAAAACATCTTCCGTCTTGCTCCTGCCTCCTGCACGATTTCTGCACTCAAATTCAAGCTTGGTGCAAGGTGGGCCAGTCTGTTCAACTCTGAAACTACTTCCGCGATAATCGCTTCGACAGATATCGTCGGAGGGAGCAGAGCAGCAAGCTTAGGCGACATAGTGGCTCCCATCACCAGCAGCGTTTGGGAAACCAGACTAAGAGCACCCTGCCATAGATACGGAAGATGCCCGACTTNGACTAAGCCACTGTTAGCTTTGCGATTTTATACTCGAGATACTAGAAATACTGACTGCGCAGAAACATTGTCGATCTGCCTCAGACATGCTTCCAGACATTTCCGACAGTTCTCTTTAACCACCGGATCAGCAACTGCATTCTCATCTGAGAGCACAGCAAAGACATAAGGACGAAAGATGATGGTCCGACATGCAAAATATCGCAATCTCAAACAGACTTGACCAGGCGAGCCTGAAGAGAGAGTCGTCATCGAGAATTTGATCGGTTGTGGCAGGCCCTCATACCACTGTGATAGTTGGAAATCGAGTTCGGCAGTGACCCGTGCCAGCTTCGAGGTAGGAACAGTGGTTGGCGTCTTGACATAGAGCAGATGGCTGACTCTATTCAGAAGCCGGCGTAGCGCGATCTCTGCAAGAAAGTACCATAGTTCGTCCTTGCTGGTATATTCTCCTTCTACATCGGAGAAAGGACCCGGCAGGCCTACCAGGTCTTCGAAATTGACGATCCCAGAGTGTGGCAATTCAAGTTCTGCGAGCAAGTCTGATTCGGCCAAAAGAGTATCCCAGTACAGCCTTACAAGAAGTTCTCTCTGAGAGGTCGGTATTCTATCTGGGACACCAAGAACCAGCTGTAGCTTGGTAGAAGCGATTGTGAGCATATTCCATGCCTCCAACGGCCGAACAAGGTAGAAGAGGTAGGCTGCGGCTAGTATGTGGCACTGCACAGCTGGTATGTCGTTTCTTATAGCCAAGTTGGGTATGATCTTCCAGGCGGACGCGAAGTAATCGATACCACGAGGCTCTGCGTTATGAGGATGCCTCGAGATGCTTCCACCATGAGCTGCGGCACCTAGAGCAAGCACCAGCATTACGAGACAGCTGTCTGCTCCTTGTATAAAGCCAACCGAGGTGGCTTCACGGTAGTGGTTGGGCCATGCATTTGGGTTAACGCAAGCATACCAGACATTCACCAGATCGAAATATGAGCTCGCATAGACTGCCGTGTTCGCCATGTCTGGTCGAGGAAAGTGTGGAAGATTGATCGGAGGTCGCGACATTTCCATTTCCACCAGAATCTGCGGATCCAAGGGCTGCGAAACCAAGTCGCGGATGAGTGGCCATTGCAAGAGATTCAAAGCAGGGGTAGTATGGCCTTTGGGCATGGTCGAGATATTCACACTGTCCCATGTGCCGAGGCCGTTCAGTCTGTTGTTCTCTAGAGCAACACTGCAGCTGATACGTCTTGCTGAGGTATCATCTGTGGTACTAGTGCTTGCGGTGGGGGATGCGCCCATGTGAGCCGCCGCTTTCGTAGCGTTGACACTCATGTGTGCGGTGGCCATGGCGGACTGCAACATATCCTCGATGTGGGTCAACCTTTCCAGGATGAGTTTGTCGCCTGCATCCAATTTAATACCGGGTTCTCGATAAACACATCGCGCGTCGAGTTCGATACACAGTTTACACCTCGCNNTACGCGGATTATCAGCTGGAGTAGCACTTTCGGCCAGACTCAACATACGCTTTCCACCATCGCACCGTGATTTGCGACTTCGGCAGATCTCGCAAGCGATGATGGCTCGCTTGCGAGGATAGTCAAGTGGCTCTTGAGCCAAACCCCGGGTCAGAGCTTCGTTCGGCGTTCCATCCTGAGTAGTCCCATCTCTCGGGGATTCTGAGATGGTCCGCGGCCTCTTCGAAGGACTTGCCTGCGACATGGCTAGATCCAGGAGTCGTATCCTGACGAGAGGATTTTACGCGCCAGTCGGAGGGCGACTCCTTGTGCTAGAGATATTCACCGGGTGATTCTGAGAGATGGATAAAGATATGGTCATGATCCTCTACAAAGACGCCAGAAAACGGCCGCGCGTGTTGGGCCTTCACGCAGGATGGTCGAGCGAGTATTGTCACATAGTAGAAACATTGCGGTTGGAACAAGTGTGCAGGACAAAGAACACGATGCGGAGTCGGTGATTTGATCCTCTCCACCTTCCTCGTTCTGCCTGTTCTCGAGGCCGGGGGTCGGCCTCGGCCCGCGTCGCTAGCGCATCAGCCCGCAGATGGCACGAATTTTTTGGACCCGTCAAGAGGCGTCGCATCTTTGTCGCATACACAACCAAACACATTCAAAATGGGAAAGAGAGAACGCGAAGAGGCTGCGGCCACCGTCGACGCCGAGGTCCACAAGAAGGCAAAGAAGGACAAGAAGGAGAAGACCGAAGACGCTGAGAAGGCAGCTCGCAAGGCAGCCCGCAAAGCCGCAAAGGAGCAGAAGAAGAGCGAAGGAACCTCTGGCGAGACCGACGCCGACGATGCAAAGGCAGAGGCTAAGAGATCGAAGAAGGCCGCAAAGGCTGCCGCAAAGGCCGAGTCCACACCCGCCGCTACCACGACCTCATCTGAGGCTGTTGCCGCCCCCATTGCTGCCACTGGCGGCTACACCGAGCACCCCGGTTTGACCGCCCTGCCGCAATCCGAGATTGACGCCTTCGTCGCCGAGAAGTTCATCACCATCACCGACGAGGCCAAGGCATCGCCCGCCTACAGACCCATCACCTCGTTCGACTACGTCCCTATCACCGACAAGGCCCAGCGCGCTCCTTTCGCCAACTTCAAGACCCCTTCGCCTATTCAGGCTGCCGCCTGGCCTTACCTCTACGCCGGAAGAGATGTTATTGGTGTTGCCGAGACCGGTTCCGGCAAGACCATGGGTTTCGGTGTCCCCTGTATCAGATACATTTCTTCGCTTTCTGCAAAGGAGCAGAAGAAGGGCATCAAGGCCTGCATCGTTTCTCCTACCAGAGAACTTGCTGTGCAGATTCAGGAGCAGCTCATCAAGCTGGCCGAGCCTGCTGGCCTCAAGGCCGTCTGTGTCTACGGTGGTGTGAACAAGGACCAGCAGCGTGCAACTCTGACCGGTGCTCACATTGTTGTTGCTACCCCTGGTCGTCTGAACGATTTCGTCAGCGAGGGCTCCATTGACCTCAGCAACGTCACCTACGCTGTTCTGGACGAGGCCGACCGCATGCTTGACAAAGGTTTCGAAGAGGAGGTCCGCAAGATTCTTGGAAGCTGTGCGCCCACTGGTCGTCAAACTCTCATGTTCACCGCAACATGGCCTCCGTCAGTACGCGAGCTTGCCGCCACTTTCATGAAGAAGCCTGTACGCATCAACATTGGTGAGAACACCACCGGAGAGCTGCGCGCCAACACCAGAATCGTTCAAGAAGTTGAGGTTATGGACCCTTACGACAAGAACGACCGCCTGATCACGCTCCTCAAGAAGTACCAGAGCGGCAAGAACAAGGAGGACCGTATCCTGGTCTTCTGCTTGTACAAGAAGGAGGCCACCAGAATCGAGGGCTTCATTCGCTCCAAGGGCTTCAACGTCGGCGGCATCCACGGTGATTTGAGCCAGGACCAGCGCCAAAGAAGTTTGGACGCCTTCAAGGCAGGCAAGGTTCCGCTTCTTGTTGCTACCGATGTTGCTGCCAGAGGTCTCGACATTCCTGCAGTCAAGGTTGTCATCAACGTCACATTCCCCTTGACCGTCGAGGATTACGTCCACCGTATCGGTCGTACTGGTCGTGCTGGCCAAGACGGCAGAGCCATCACTTTCTTCACCGACCACGAGAAGGGTCTTGCTGGCGGTCTGATCAACGTCCTCAAGGGCGCCAATCAGCCCGTCCCCGACAGTTTGATGAAGTTCGGTACCACCGTCAAGAAGAAGGCTCACGACGCATACGGCGCTTTCTACAGAGACCCTAGCGAGATGAAGGCAGCCACTAAGGTCACTTTTGACGACTAGTTTTGTTATTGGGTATACCTGACCGGAGCATGCATATCACGGCGTTATGGAGGATTTTTGTACGACATAGATGGTCCTTTAGTAGACCCGAAACCAAAAGTACTGTCTGAACCTGTCAAAAGATCCTTATGGTTCGTCCTGTGACTTTGATTTGCCTTGTAAGCTTTCTTTATGGTGACCGCTTTTGGTATCGCATGTCTTGGCAGATTTCGGGCATGACAGGAGGCACCGTTGAAAGACTGTTCTTCACGTCGGCGACCTTATCTTTCTCAGTCACCAGTATATCTCGCTCCAAGGCCAACCTCTCCAGATCAACTTCCCAAGGCCACACTCATAAACAAAAAGCAGACATGTGTAAAGGCGCTATCTGTGGCAACTGCAGTAAGTGCACGCATTCCCCGCCACCCACCGCATCCCACATCTCAGCCAGCCTCGTCTTCACGAACTCATGTACCAGCCTCTTTGCTGACCACTTTAATAGGCAAGCGCACCTGGTGGGGATGCGGCAGTCATGTACCATCGGTCATGGACTCGATTCCCAAGAATGAGTGGTGTGACTGCGAGCCAAAGACCGAAAAGGACGGCACAGAGTACCCTCCTATGGGTAAGCTTGATCATACATATTGCTTGTATTGATCGAATCTCACTGATGTCTTGCAGGTACCATGGCCGGCGTAGCGAAAGCTCTGGGAGACAGCTAGAAGTCTTTTATCTACTTTTGGATCGAGCACATTGATAGGATGGATGCTTTTGGACCTGTTCGTCATTTTGGAGCTCGATAAATAAAATCTTGGATTCACGACCTGGCGACCAGCCATCCGCCTTCTTTCGGCAGCTGTGACTTCATCGCTCTCGTTACTGATCTTGCCATACCAACCATCCGATTCACATGGCTTTGAAATACGATCACTCCTCCGCTGGGCTTGACAATTTTACACTTTTGCTGACCACTGATATATATTTTTCCAACCCCTTCATGTGCGCCACTCCGACGAGACAAGTATGCCCGTCAAAGATAATTGGCCATCGATGAATTTTTCTTCGTCATCTATTTTGTTCGCCAATGATAACAAGTTAAAACAAGGTTTGGAGGAGCCGAAGTTTGTACCCTTACCAGGCCAAGTCTTTGACCTTGGTCGCCCTGTTCCCTGCAGAAGTAACAATATTTCATCACAAGGCAAACATTTTCATGATTCCATGGCAAGGAATGGCGCCTCGAGATGCGCTCCACTGCATCCACACAAGTATCTCGATAGCCTCAGCAATATATGACAGCATAGCACAGTAGGTCCAAGGCTGCTGACGATGGCTAGCACCAGATATCCAGCCTTTTTCTTTCTTACATCTGCGGGTGCCCCTTTGTACGAGCGTCTTCTTCCTCTAGCTGTTCTGTCGACCTCAGCAGTGTAACATGTCGAACCCAAACGAAGCACAAGCAGGTACCCTCAGACCCATGTTCTGGGCTCATGTTTCTACAGACGATGCTGGTTACTCCAGCATTCTGCATTCGCGGGAATCTGCTCTCCTGCCCGAGCGCGAGCAGCATGGTGCGACCAATGCAAGCTCTGTATCATCTACCAGGCCAAGCCATCGGCCAAGCGCATCTGTATCATCGGCCTCTTCGACAGTCTCAACAGAGTCTACACCTTCATCGCCGGAAGCATCCGAATCAGGATATCCTGTCCAGATCAAAATCCGACGAGCCCCTCTGAAGCGCAAACCAATACTGCGAAGATGCTGTTCACCCATGACCGAGAGCTTACGCGAGATACGACAGAGGCAGTCCGAAGAAGACTTGCGCAACCTGTACGAAGCGCAGACTCTGGCGTATCTGAATGATGCGATCCACTTCTGATTCCCTCAAGCATGACGATCATCAGCAGGGTGGTGCTGGATAGAAGATGGAGAGACGGAGAGAGCTCGAAAAAGAAGGTGGAAGCCTCGGTCATACGTCACCGAGGTGACCCCACCAAAACATCATGGTGCTTACTAAAGCCTCATTTTCGAGATGCCGGCTTACCCTGCGACATTGATCTTTTCTGTTTGAGACTCCTTCCTGCGGACTGACTTTCGTATCTTCAGACACCAAAACACACAGTCACAATGGTCAACATGCGTGCAGTCGGTACGTTCTCTACCGATATTCGAGGCTCCATGAGAGCTTCGCTAGAACATGGCACTTACAAGCCACCCAGACATCAAGAATGGCAAGGGCCCTGCCACTTCCCTCTTCATCAACGAGATCGAACGTCCCAAGCCCACCGCCGCACAAGCTCTCATCCGCGTCAAGGCCTTTGGTCTCAATCGCATGGACCTGCTCCAGCGCGAAGGAAACTANCCCCTCCCTCCCCAAGCTCCCAAAACCCTCGGTGTCGAGTTCAGCGGTATAATTGAGGAGCTTGCGTCAGAGAGCGAGAGCGGTTTCAAGAAGGGCGATGCTGTCTTTGGTCTGGCATACGGTGGTGCTTATGCAGAGTACATTGTCGTGAGCACGCATATGCTCGTCCACAAGCCTGATGAGTTGAGCTTTGAGGAGTGCGCCGGTATCCCTGAGGTTCGTCTTTCCACTCCTCTCCTGTCATCTACCCACTAAGAAAGCCCCTGGCTGACACGAGAATACACANNGACATGGATCACCGCCCTCCAAGCAATGTACATGGTCGCCGACTACAAGCCCAACCAATCCATCCTCTGGCACGCCGGCGCCTCCAACGTCTCCATTGCCGGAATCCAACTCTCAAAAGCCGACTCGGCCTCCAAGATCTTCGCTACCACCCGCTCCGACGAAAAGAACAAGTTTGTTGTCGAGAAGCTCGGCGCCACCGCGGCCTTCAACTCAGAAACCCAAGATTGGGCTGAAGAGCTTTTGAAGGCAACAGATGGCAAGGGTGTGGACGTTATTGTCGATTTCATGGGCGCTGGCTTCTTCGCCAGCAACCTGAAGGCTGCAGCCAGGGACGCCCACATCGTCACCCTCGCCGCACTGACGGGCATGAAGCTGCCCGCCGAGACCGACATGGGTGCTTTCCTGTTCAAGAGAGTGAGACTGGAGGGCTCAACACTCAGAGCAAGAGACGAAAAGTACCAGGGCAAGTTGAGGGATCAGCTTGTCGAGCACGCTCTGCCCAAGTTCAAGGACGGCACTTTCAAGGCTTATGTCGAGAAGGTCATGGATTGGGAGAAAATTGTCGAGGCTCATCAGCTCATGGAGTCGAACAAGACAAAGGGCAAGATCATCATGACCATCAACTGGTAGACGTCTTTTGCTTGTACGTACACTCTATACCGCATATGCATACGAAGTCATGTTTTAGATGCCTGTAACATTATCACATCTGAAGGAAAAAGTGTCCTCGATCCGCATGTTCTCGCTTCTTGGAAATTCTCTTGGATACACAAAACAAGATATCGCTCCTGCCGCGAATCGAACACACGCTTTCTGCATTCTTCTTCATCCAGCTCTGTGTAAAATCAAACCTCACCTCACGGACACGCAAGTCGAAGTAGGAAGATCTTTTGACAATAGCATCTATGCCTCATTACGGCAGATGGATGTCTTTGCTGAAGTCAGACATCAATCACTGAGATGGATCAATTGCTTGACAATCCCGAATGGCAGACGTTTGTGCGGAAAGGTGCATGCTACCCGTTTGCACGAAAGCTCGACCTGCGATCAACCTGCTACTGCCGTTACTTGCGAATCTATTCTGATAAAACGACTGTTCTCCCCATGACAACTTCCTCTCTTTTCCTCCATCACCATGCCCAAGAAGCGTAAGCCCTGTCCGGCCTCAACCTCAGTCTGCCCACACTCCCATCACGTGGATCCTGCGTAAGTTCATCTTGGTATCTCTAGAGAGTCGGTGTGCTAATGGTTATGTAGTATGGAAGCTCCAGAGCCTACTCCAGAAGAGACAGCCAAACCCGATCCCGAACCTAGCCACAAACCCAATGCCAGCCCCGACCAGACTTCAGAGTCCATGTCCGAGCAACTGAAGAAGACCACCGAGCAATTGGACCGGACCATCAAGGTCTTTGAAGAGAGGACGGGCAATGTCGTTTCAGTACTAGTGTCGCAGTCGAAGCAACGCGTCCAAGAGGTGGGCTGCAGTGATCTCTACGCACAGGTGTTCCAAAACTGATTCACGATGCAGATGAAGTTGCAGATTGAGCATCGTGAACAAGACATCCAGCGTACGACCGAGATGTTTTTGAAAATGCATGACGACATCTCCCGCTGGAACTTGGAGAAGGTGCAAACCCTTGCCAGTATCAGAGAGCTGGAATCGTTGGTCGAGGCGCTGGCGAAGCCAACCTCGAAGACGGAAGAGCTGGACTGAGAGCTCGCAATCGGTCTTGAATTTCTTGCAATCAGCATGAGGGGTCAATATCCGAGACTCTGCAGCTACCTATGTGGCAGCTTTGCAATGGTTCGATGGTCTTACCGCTATAATATGCCGTGCCTTGACATCCACCATCATGATATACCACTGCCGGACTAAGCAAAATCAAAGTCTCAAATCCAGTCGTCGTTTCTCCCATCGGTTTCTTCTTTGTCTAGTCAATGTCGCGTGTCTCGATTGGCACTCACAACCCAATGCGGTCTCGAATCCTACAACAAAGAACTTTGTCTCGCACAAATCACTTGTTCACCTTCCATGAACATATACTCCACCACTCCCACATTAATCAATCACCCATCACATATCCTTCACAATGTCCTCCCAAGATCCCGCAAACACCAACATGCACCAAATAATCCAAGAGATCGATTCCCTCCAACTGCCCTCAGCCGCAAAAGCATACTTTACCTCTGTGCGTCTGTTCCCCCTTGCCGCCATTCGAGACACTAACCTCTACAGTTAGTCAAACACATGGATTCTCGCGACAAAGAATGGGCCAAAGTAGTCAAGATGTGGGAAAAATATGAGAAAAACTCAAAGGGTCATAATAAAGCCATGATCGAGATTATGAGTAATGTTCAGGAGATTTTCATGAGGGATGATGGGTTTTTGAAGGAGTTGTATAAGGGGAGGATGGAGGAGATTGGGAAGATGAGGGGAGATGAGGGTGCGTAGAGTAAGGTCTGGATGGAGAGATTCCCAAATGATAAACTATCTGACGTGTCGATCATTTGGTTCACTGATGTTATGTGATACTCGTGGTTCCTCACTACAATACCGCTTAGTAGTTTAGAAAAGTGAGCGATTTTGTCAAACAAGCTTTATAGCCACACTGAAGTACACTCTGTCTAATCAAGATCTAGTATGGATCAGCCCGATGCCACTGTTCTAGAGACCGCCCCCACCTGTGTCCAAGAAGTCACCGCAGCGTAGAAGAAAAGAGCCTTTGAGGGCGGAGTCATTTATGTGAGTCAGCTTATCCGGATCATCTTGAGTGATAAAATAACTCTCGTCTAGTTGGTCAAGACCGTCCCTGTCAATCTCTCGCGCATGAAACTCATCCTGAGCCACCTCAAAAGTGTGAGGTCGATTACGCCAAGGTTCTCAAAACGATACAAAAACTTGAGGAGACCGTCCATAGTTCCACCGAACATGATGAGTGGAAAAGGAACAGAGTCATGAAAGAGCTGAGAAAGAAGCTCGAAGATTATTTCAAGATGGACGACGCCTTCTTTAAACGCATGTACGAACGACAAGGAGATGAGATGGAAGCCATCAGCACTGAAATTAAGGATATGATGAACAAGCTTGACTAGATGGCAAACAAGATTTGGAAACAAGGAGGTGGATGGTAGAAGTTAGGAGGTTCACACTCCAGTTGATTCCATTCTTTCGACCTAGCCCTTTGTTTTGATCAGCTAGACAATCGAGAACAATGATATGTTTGGTCCTAGAAATGCAAAAAGGCAAACAACATAGCTAGATGCTTTCACATATAGATTTGATCACATCTCTGCTTGGCAATTGATCCTCGCTTCTCTTCACCAATATGCGCTTACCAGAGATTGCTGAACACCGCTCAGTCTTATAGCGAAGTAAGTACGATCTTGTAACTCGAATTGTGCGTCGTCTAATCATGGTTTAGGATGGACGGTCCTGGTGCCCCTGCTTCGAAAGCCGCGCCCACCAGAGAAGATCAGCCCTTCGAAGGAGGAGTACTCATAGGCCGCATGGAAGCAGGTGAGCGAATTTGATCAGACGATAGCAGTAGCCAAAGCTGAATTCTTCCAACAGCTTGCTGAAACACTCTTCAACATCGCCTCCCACCTCCAATTCACCACCGAGCAAGCCGAATCACGCGAAGTGCAGCTCAAAAAGCTCAGCAGAATGTGCAAAGAATATGTGCTTTACTCAACCAACCTCGATGGCAGCATGCTTGAAATCCTGGATACGGTCCAAGAAATTGCAAAGGACCACAAAGAGTCCCTCAAACAGATGGTCCAACGCTACAAGGATGATATTGAGCGTTTGAAGAACGAATCCAACAAGATGGAATCCCAAATGGAGCTCTTCAAGAAGGATCAAGCATCAGGTTGAGGGGTATGATTGTGGTGCTTTGGAGCATATCACTACTGTATGCAAAGTAAATCATCGAGGACGAGCCAAAACGATGGAAAGGTGCGGTCGGTGGATTGGACTGACCAATATACTGTGATCTTTAAGGTTACAGGACTTCTCTTTCTTTGCTTTGATGTGATGCGAGAGTGGAAAATATTCACTTTGAGATGTAACAGATCCGAACACCAGCATCGGATGATCGAAGGAAGCGTGTTGGGGAAATTAAAACAGACTCAAAAAGAACATCCAAGGACGACGTAAACACACATGCCACAAATAAGTGAAGAGGTCCTGCCCCTGCATTAGACCATATACTCTTGGAAGATCGCCATCCCTCCACCTACTCAGTCAACATCATTTGGCCGAGGGGAATAGTCGGTGCTTGCATACTCGTTCGATCATTGCATCTCTTGTATGAGCAACTTTTCTTCTGCCTCCGCTTTGTGCTCCCAATGTGATGGACTTGGCTGGATTTGTTGTGACTTTCACATTCACTCTCGAGGCGGAGCTGGACAGCGAACGCCATATCACCAATGTGGCAAAAGAACTAGAGAAGGTCTTCTTTGCGTCCCAAGTCTTGAAGGTCGATTTTGAGGAGGAGAACGACAAAGTCAAGGAGGAAACTGACCTGGCTAAGATCAAGGAGGAGAAGGACAGCGGCAACCAGCAAGCTACAGCGCAACTGAATGAGCATCGCGTCGTTTGGCCTTGGAAGTCTTTTGAGGTTGACTTGGAAAACACCCAAAAATAGAAATCTCAAACCCTGAGTTCAGCAACACTCTCCTATATCACGAATTGCGTGCTTGTGGTGTGCAAAGTGTTATGTGACAGGATACTGATTCACCTTTTCGGCTTGCACTATCACAAGTGCAACTCCTCTTCGTAAATAAACCTTGCTTGACCATGGGAACTCTTTCTCTTCTGACCATCCATCACCACAACCGAATCACCTACCACTATCCGCAAAGTAAGCCTTCACAAGATCCTCGAATCACAGAGCGCTGACCAGATACCAGCATGGAGGATGTCCGTAACACGTTGAAGAAGGCTACATAGTCCACCACTCAGGCCCAAGAGCAGCACGATATCACCAGACACTACTTCGAGGATATCAAGAAGACACTCGAAAATGTCAGTAAGAACACGGAATCGGTCGTCAAGAGACTCGACAAGACGGCACACGACGCTGTCCAAACCTCGATCAACCTAGTAAGACTAGCCTGAATATAGACTCCAAGTAGCCAACTGACAGACAATATAGCTCCANNAGCACAGATCAACCAGCGCGACCTCGACATCGAAAAAGCCAAGGAGTGTAAGAAGCGCCAGCTGAAGAACTACCAGCTCTACCACAAAGCCGTCAAGTCGATGGACGAACTCAAGTCGGGAGAAGTCGATCAGCATGTAGGATCGATCTACTGTGATGGCCACGACTGGCTCACCGAGAGTATTGCTCGTTGGGAGGAGGAGAACAAGAAGGCCGAGGCCGAGATCCGCAAGCTTGAGTGGCAGTTCAAGAATTGAAGTCTTTTGAAGGAGACCATCAATCCTGATCTTGGAGAATAATCTCTGAGCTGTCGAGGGAGATCCAAAGCTTTCCATGAAGGCGGTTGGTTTGCATGGCCATGCTCGATCGAGGTTGGAAAGAATGACCTCCTCGTTGTTGGGCTGGAAAATTGTATCAAGGTCAGACAGAAGTCACAATCGAGCTTAGGCAGGCCAACAAGAAACGACAGTGTTAGAAAACCTCATTTGCTTCTTCTATAATGCTGTTACTGAGATACCTGGTGAGATGAATGGACGGAAGGAGGTTGGACGGAGTCGGCAGCCGGATACCCCTCGGCTAGTGGGGTCAACCAGGGCACGAGCCTCGGTCGGCAGTGGGACGATCTGTTGACTTCTTGGTGAGAAAAAGCTGGACCGAGACCGAGAGAGTCGCATGTTCTCACGGCCTCGCATGAATATTCCAGTATGCCAATTAGAAATCAAAAGGGATGACTCCGACGTGAGGAACCAGATGACACGACACTTTACTCCTGTCTCTTTGTCCTGACCTTGTAGCGCGTGTCAATCTTCGTGTCTCCAACCTCGCCGTCGCTGAAAGAAACGACAATACCAACGTTGCTACCATGTCTATTGCAGCCAGTATGCTTCGCGCCGTGCGACCCGTTGCTCGTCCAGTCTTGCGCCCGGCAGCACCGGCAAGGCTACTCCAACCTGTCCAATGCATCCGCCAGTCGTCGCACTCTCCCCTCGGCAGCTCGTCGTCGCCGGCTCGCAAGAAGGTCACGCTACCAACAATCATGTCGCTGTACCGCAAGAACGAGCCCATCACCGTCATTACCGCCCACGACTTTCCCTCGGCACATGTCGCCGACCAAGCAGGTATTGATATAGTCCTCGTCGGTGACTCTCTGGCAATGGTAGCTCTGGGCATGGACGACACCAGCGAGGTCCTCATGGAAGAGATGCTCCTGCATTGCCGCAGCGTAGCCAGGGGCGCCAAGTCTGCTTTCATCGTATGCTCCCCTCCCTCTGACCTTCTGCTCCCTCCATCGACTAACCACAAACAGGTCGGCGACCTGCCCATGGGCACCTACGAAATCTCCCCCGACCAAGCCCACCAATCCGCAATCACCATGATCAAAACCGGCCGCGTGCACGCCATCAAACTCGAAGGCGGCGCCGAAATGGCTCCCACAATCAAGAAGATCACTTCCGCCGGTATCCCCGTCCTCGCCCACGTCGGCCTAACACCACAACGCCAAAACTCACTCGGTGGCTTTAGAGTCCAGGGAAAGACGACCGCAAGCGCAATCAAATTGCTCCAAGACGCATTGGCTGTACAAGAGGCGGGTGCATTTGCAATGGTCGTCGAGGCAGTGCCAGCTGAGATTGCGACTTTGGTGACGAAGAAGCTGCGTGTGCCTACCATCGGCATTGGCGCTGGAAATGGTTGCTCAGGACAAGTGCTGGTGCAAGTCGACATGCTGGGCAACTTTCCTCCTGGCCGCTTCCTGCCAAAATTTGTCAAGAAGTATGGAGATGTGTGGGGTGAAGCCTCGAGAGCGATACAGCAGTATAAAGAGGAAGTCAAGAGCCGAGCATATCCTGCTGTTGAGCATACGTATCCCATGCCTCAGGGAGAGCTTGCCGAGTTTACGAAGTTCATGGGCGAGGAAGAGAAGAAGATTGAGGTATAGCATATCTCCTGCGTGGCGTTTGGTGCTGTTTTGTGTTGTTGCGTATATACCCTCGTTGGCGATGTATATCCTCTAGAGTCTCGGACTATCAGCTGTAGTTTTTTGATCGTATGCGCTCATGGCGTTTTCTTACTAGACATCTCTCATCTCCTGTCTTGAACTTGCTTTGTCTCTGTGCATAAGCATGTCACCCGTACCAAAACTCCATCGCTCATCCCCATCAACATCGACTCTTCACCCTACTCACCCATCCCTCAAAATCAACCAAAACTCTGCGCAACACAATAACTAACCACCAACTCCTCCCCCGTCCTAAAACACCTCCACAAATTCCCCACCCCTTCATCCAATCCCGGCGCAAACACCTGATTAACATAGCAAAACACGCTCTCATGCGGTTGAAGCGACAATCTCTTTCTCAAGAATTTGACAACGGCATCAAAGTGTAGAGACGAGGACATTTTGTATTTTTGACCGCCGCGGAGAGGTGGGGTGGAGGGCCCAGGGCGAAAGTGTAGCATTACTGCTCGCTCTGTTAGTTCGTCATTCGAATAGAATGGAAACTATGAGGTTGATGAGAGAGGAGAAGAAAGAAGAGACGGTGACGAGAGCAAGAGGAGATGAAGTGTAAGTGCCCTGTGATGCCATACTTTNNTCTCCTTGTCAAGCAATCCCGCTTTTGAGAGTGCGGTGTGAGCGTCTCGAGGTAGGTGATCTAGCACCACTGATGCGGCCATTGTCATGGGCATATCTGTCTGTAGAGATTCATCGGATGCTAGTGTTGCTTCTGTTTCTGTTGTCGTGTCTGGTATTGGTGGCGATGAGGCCATTGCTTTGCGAAGTGTGGAGTTGTGATGCGTTTGAGTGGGTGTCTTTGTTCTGCTGGTCGAGGTGTTTATTGAGAATGTGTTTTCCCGGGTTTGTTTGTTGATGAAATGATCAAAAGCTGGCGGTGAGTGTTGGTAAGAGTATCGAATGTGGTTGCTGGCAAAGGAAGTCGCAAGCGGAGGTCGTTATCGACAGGCGTCAGGCAGCTGGCTCAAAACACAATCAAATCGATCAAGTCATCCACTACTTCAATATTCCAAGCTCGTGAAACTTGCCCAAAACAACCAACGATCCACCGATCCATACATTTCAAAAGCTTTAGCTACGACGCATTGTTTCGTACGATAAACTCTCAACAATCTCAAGTCTGCATGGCGACCCTGGCTCGTATCATCGAGATCGTAAAGTGACACAGAGCACGGCAAAAACAACATCATCTGTTGTTTGGTTCGATGTGTCCTTTCTCATGCTAGTTTGACCTTCGTGACAGAGTTTCTGCATCGTCGTCGCCATGAAGATGCCAGTTGGACGATCTTTCTTGCTTGCTTGAATCGACCAAGGGGATTGTCAGAACGGCATAACCACCACGTGAAGCTTGCAATATTTCAAAGTGAAAAAGCTGATTTTTATTCTAGTCAAAAGGTAGTCTATACACAAGTCTACAGACATCTCTACCTCAGTGGGCTGCCGAATATATCCTTCTTGATGGGTGGAGTCTGGTTGGATCCTCCGAGAAGCGCAGGTCCCACCGTCTTTCTAGCAGGTGTGCCTGGTACAGACATATGCCCTGGAGTCTCAGGTCTCCATTCTCCTGTCTCTCGTTCTGTTTTGTAAACTGATGGTGGCTTGAAGTTGGTCTCTCTGCCGCGGTCGAAGATGTCGTCGAGCATGCTTTCGATGATACCGGCGTCCATGAACTCTTGGTACTTGCGCCATAGCTTAAGTGCCGTGAGGGCATCTTCAACACTGTCGTGACCTTTATCAGCATCTTGTTGGATCTCTTCCCTTAGCAAGTACCAAGCCAGGAAGCGTAACGAGAGACGACGCTGACTGCGCAGACGATGGGAGAAGAGATCAACCGTATCGACAACCTGCGCTCGTGGGACGTGAATGTTGATGATACGGAAGTCTTTAGGAAGGCCGTGGCCGACAAACACGACACCCAGATTAAGCAGCAGCCATAGCTTCTTGTAGGCCACTTTGAGGTTGACCAAGTTGTGTTTGCTGACAGCGCGGTCGAGATCACCTGGACTGATGCCCGAGTATGCGGTCAGATAGTCAACTACAGGTTCCGAGCTTGCGATGTAATCGTCAATGAACGGCAAGCCTTCGTAAGGACCTGCACCTCGTAGTACTGACACACGTGCAAGGCCCAGACGAGGTGGTCGAACCGTCTCGCGCGTGCCATCCGCTTTAATGTCGATCTCGGCCTTGGAGAGTGCAACAAACTCGGCGTCGATTGCACATGGCATGCCAGCCCGAGGAAGCTCAGTCGTAGGATTGAGGTTGCGCAGTACTGTTGGATCGGGCGATTTGTGCGGCCCTCTTGGTAAATAGTAGAGTAAGGATGGGTCAAGGTTCTCTTTCCAAGAATCATCAATGACATGAGATGCTGACTTGGCTTGGTAGGTAAGAATGGATGGTAGTTTCCAATTCATGTCAAATCGAAGGGCTTCTTCGGATGTTGTAGACCTGACGAGGAAGTCATTAAATAAGTGCCACTGGTCTTGATCCGCTGGGTCAGGCGAAGATGGCGCGACGTTGATCAACGATACCAGATGGGACTTTTGGTTGTCTGCACTGTTAATGTCAACTACCATACCAACAAGTTCGTAGACCATGATATCATAAAAGCCGCGCTGGAGGTGGTATTTGAGGTCAGATCCTTCATAGCAGAAGAACTGTCCATTCTGAACCACAACGCCGATTTNCTGAGGTAGCCATCCAGGACTTGACCATAGCTGCTTGTGGTCTGGCGAATGAATGGCAGTATTGACCATCAGAACTTTAGGAATGCTCTGGATAGTCTTGCGGGTGCTGAGTTGTTGGTATCGCTTGCATCGGTCACACCAGCCACGAGTCTGATCTTGTCGTTCGACACTCGCTTTGAGGACCTGAGAGAATGCTGGTCTCGGTGGGGCCATGCGTGGGTGATGTTTTAGTGGCTTTGGTGGATAAACCAGATCGTGAACAAGAGTCTCGCCTGGCTTGAGCATNNTTTCGTTAGCGCAATGCCCGCATCTTATTGCGAGCAAAGCGCCTGTAGTGAGAGATTGCTCCATGTGCCTGTTGTGCGGAGGTAGCTGTCGGAAGCTATCACAGAACGTCTTGAGCAGAAATCTGTTCGCTGCTTGTATTGTGACAGAAAGTGGGTTGTTTGCGGCGGCAAATTGTTCGAGCAATCCAAGAGTCGATGCATCAGACAGGCTGCTGAAGACCTTGAGGAAGTTACTAGCTTGGCAATTCATACCCGCAGCTTTCTCTAGCATGTCTGTCAAGAAACCCATCTCGCAGAGCAGGCAGTTATCGTAAAGGCAGGAAGTGGCTGTGTGATGAAGCGCGAGATTGCGTATCATCGGTGTGAAACGCAGAAGCTGTAAGAGCGGATTGGTGTACGAGTTGGCGATGTGAGTCTCCAGTCCAGAGAACTTGGTTTTGTTGTAGTANNCCTGCAATATGTCAACACCAAGCGAATCAATGCAGCATTAGAAGACTCACTCAAAGTCGAAATCATCTACACCAAATTTACTATATTTGATCTCGACGTTTCGATACATGACTGGGACGTCTCGTCGAATGGCACCACCCAAAGCAAGATCGCCAAGTGCTTCGAGAGCATCCGACATTCTTCTAGGACCTTCATGGCCTTGTGAATCATCTTTCTGTCGCTCACTAAGGAATCGAGGTGCCGAGAGAGTGTCATGCGCTCTTTGAACGGCTCTGGTATCTTCGAATTGGTACCTTCGCGTCTTGCGTGGAAACGGCGCATATCCTCCGATATCTGATCGTTTCAATGCGGCGAGTATGCCAGCATCGATCTTGCTCGGCGGTGCGCCAACTTCTGAGACAAGGTGACTGGGCCAGGCGGAGAACAACATCTCTCGATAGTATGGCATGCCGACCAGATTCAAAGNGACTGCTGACAGTCAGCGGATGTTAACTCTGAAATAGAGCGATACTCACATATCTGGTGACCAGTCGATTGGAGGAGTAGGTGCAGGTTGATCCGCAAACTCAGTCGGACTGCCATACTCTGTGAATTGAATCTTGTTAGGTGATCCCCAGAGATGCATAGCACATTGGGCATCAGCAAGCACTAGAGCATCCCCTGATGGTGCTATGTCTAGAGATGTGATATGGGTATCGAAGACGTTTGCATGCCGCATGCTAGGCGCATCAGGATTCATGATGTCGATCGCATAGATGAGTCCACCTTGAGATGCGACCATGCAGGTTGTGGACATTTTCGGGTGCATCCTAACAAATGCGGCGCCTGGTGGAAATGGTACTGGGGGCAGAGGCATGAGAGTCTTCAGGTCGAAAACGTTTGCGAGATGATCCAACATGTAACCATGCTGTGGCCTCGAAGACCATCCACATGTGACAAGGACGTCTGATCTAGCATCCATGTCGTTGATGAATGCCGAGTGCGCTTTCCAGGTTCTGGCGACTTTATAGTTGATCAAATCTAGGAAGTGGACGTAGCCATCAGCGGTACCGGCGCAGATGTACTGTCCGCCGCGTTTCATCATAGTATATGGCGCATCGGCTTTGAGCTGTGGTCTGGTCAGTTGAAATCATAGGGAGATGGAGTGCAAACCTACTGTGGACGTGATGACTCCTTTGTCAACATCAATCTTGTACATCGTCTCCTGGCATCCGGCAACTAGGACTTCGTGAACACCTTTTGAGGTGAACGCCATGCAGCGCAGATCTTTCATGTCATCTTGACTAGGAGAACGTCAGGTGTGATTCAGTCGTAGATAGACAGTGTTCGAGGCACGTACTTGAANATGCCACTGTGTCACTCCCTTCCGCGATGCCAGATGTACGCTTTTGGCTGTGATTGATATGACACCGCGATCGCACATAAGCATCTGCTTGACAGGTCCCTCGGCGGGTGCATGGCCTCGGTAAGAGGTATATCTTTGCAACTCAGGTCCATAGAAAGATGTGATTCGACCCTGATGTTGAGGATGAGCGGGACTGGATTTTCATAGACAGACGGAAGACGAGCTTACGAATTCGTTTGCAGCCCATAACAGCTCTTGCATAGAATCAAAAGAAAAAGTGCTGATGGGCGTGTTCAAAGCATTTGGACTAGGCGGAGGAAGCACAACGCGAGCGACCTGAGAAACAAATGAACATGGTGATCTTTGGAAATGCAACTATCCGGGGGATACAGAATTGCATTCGAGTTGTTGGGCGAAGCCTTACCTCATCCCAATCTGTCTCCATTGTTGCGGGATCGACTCGTTTTATGCAGCATTACTTGCGCAAACAACGACATATGGGTTAAGAATAAAGGAGCGTTTGCCTCGCATCAACAAAGGGAACAAACAGAACAAGCGACAATGGTGGTTCTCTGCAGCAATCAAGCGGCCTTGCGAAACCGGCGGGACGTGTTGTCTCCTTGGACTTGGAGACGCGTCTCGATGCAAGACGCCTCGGGGGGAAGCCGCAAGCAGGCCGATGCCGAAATTTCCCCATTAGTAATGACGTCCCCCAAGCGCTCTTTCTCGTCGAGAAGATAGTCGTCATTGACATTGTACAAAAATGCAGAAACGGTTGTTTTCGTGTCTGAGGACGCTGCAACATGAGAATCCGTTGGTATGTTATCGTTGAGACTGGAATCTGTTTGCTCTGATCTAAACCACAGCANNGGGATTGCCGAGATCCGGCACGCCGCCGAATTTGAGAGCTCGCATGCAAAGAGGTCTGCCAGAGAAGCGACCGATAAAGGATGTCAAGAAAGTCATTGCGGTGTCTTCGGCCAAAGGTGGTGTGGGCAAATCAACAGTTTCTGGTATGATTCAGTTTTTAATTATCGTTCTTGATCTCTCTGCTAAGAAAAACCANGTGAACCTTGCTCTAGCATTTGCAAGAAGTGGTCTGAGAAGTGGTGTCCTGGATACCGATATCTTTGGACCTTCAATTCCTACTCTACTTGACCTTGAGGGAAACGAGCCAAGGTTGTCAGCCAGTGAGAACCGTCAAGCCATCTCTTACATTTAGAAGCCATGGCTAAACAACAAAACAGATAACCAATTGATTCCGCTCACGAACTATGGACTGAAATCTATGTCTATGGGCTACCTTGTGCCAGAGACCTCGGCAATTGTATGGAGAGGTCTTATGGTCATGAAGGCACTTCAACAACTCTTGCACGAGGTCGAATGGGACGGACTCGATGTTCTTGTCCTTGATCTTCCGCCAGGTACTGGTGATGTACAACTGACGATCACGCAGCAGATTGTACTCGATGGTACGTAGAGGTGCGTGTCCAATAGTATCGCAGATGTTCTGACAACCCCCNNAGGAGCGGTCATTGTGTCAACACCCCAAGATGTTGCACTCAAAGACGCGGTCCGTGGTGTAGAGATGTTCCGAAAGGTCAAGGTGCCGGTACGGTATCTTGTGTGTATCCTACCTTGTACCCCAGCTGACATTGTATACAGNATTCTCGGCATGGTCCAGAATATGTCTGCATTCACATGTCCGAATTGCTCCACCACGCATTCAATCTTCGGCCGCGAGGGTGTTATCAAGAAGTGTGATGAGATGAACATCAAGCTACTTGCAGATATACCTCTTCATCCCAGCATCTGTGAAGATGCAGATCGTGGTAAACCCACAGTGGTCGCAGAACCAGATAGCCTGCGAGCACAAGTCTTCAAGGATCTGGCAGCAGACCTCAGGAAACAATTGGGATTCTGATCGCTGCAAGCGCTTGTCTCGAAAGTTCAGGAAGCTGCAGGAAGCCCCTCCACGTGCTCACCGAACATGGACTTTCACCAATACTTTGCCAAGAAATTTATATAGCCCACCCCTGACTGGCTGGATCAAGGGACATTGCCCATGTCAACTGGCAAAGATGGTCGGGCGTCCACAGATAAAGAGTGGTTTTCGCCGCAGCCTTGCGTCTTGCCCGATTGTTACCCACAAGCCCCGCCACGTCAGCAAGGCTGACTACCAACAACAACTATAAGCGCCCATTGATCCAATCTGTACAACAACCTTTTAATTCTTGTCGACTGTTACATACCAGGCTGTGCTGGTCAACATCCATCATCTTATGTTGGACGCCCGCACTTATTCTATATCGTGAGACACTAGCAACTGATATGAAGCTTTGGCTTGGAGACAACAACTCTCTTCAACTGTCTTTTGCGAAGTCAGCATACCGTCTGCCAATATTTCAAGCAGCCATGGTTTCGACAATTCTAGTATTCAATGTTTTGCGAGGACAAGGTTCATGGTTTCTTTCCTGCGTTGCTACATGGGCTCTCTTCTGCGGCCCAACACTTGCACAAAGCAAGATCAATCCTAATGCGAACCCTTGGGTATTGAATTACGGTTCAGAAGGTGAGTCCATCCTGACGACTGCTTTTCACGAGCTAACATGGCCTAGCTGGCCCCAATGGTACAACTCTCATATCCCTTGTCTGATGGTGTCTAACATCATGTCCAGGGCCATGGAATGCAGTCATCCAACTGGTAGATTTTCCAGAGCAAGTGAGTATCACTGTTGAATGCTCATACGACAAGACAGATCTAACGCGATGGTGCTAGAATGTTACCTTNTTTCCTTCTCTCACACAGACGACTTTATTTGTCTCAGCCAGCGCTTGCGATACGCAGGATTCTGCCTGTCAGCTGCAGCGAACAGGCATGTGGACGCAAAGTCCTGCCCATTCACTGTCCGATTGGGTCAATATCTCCATACCAGAAGCCTCAAGATGGGATGTAGCGGCCGACCCTCTAGCACTTGAGGGGACTGGTACGCTCACCAGAGACCGTATCGTCTTGTGGTCAGCAAATCGCGCAGACGGGCCATACTATCTGGACGGAGTGGCTATATCCATAGCGTCCAATTATACCGTTATGGATTCAGTAGATACGTCCTATACTCTGGACGTTGGCATGGTAAGTGTGTCCATGATGGAAGGTAGCCGATGCAAGCTAATCTATTCTCTGCAGTTGTCGTTGCACACTGGACTGGACACGATTAATTGGACCACTGGCAATGGCTCGGATGTCTCGTACGATCGGTTCTTGAATCGTGCTTATCAGACTGGGAACATACCATCTGTCTCATTCGGCCTCCATGTGGGCTCTGTCTGGCCTTCGATCCCGGGCAGTCTTGTGTTAGGCGGTTATGATAGGTCCCGGTGCATCAGTACACCCATTGTCTCAGAAACTGACGACTTCTCACTCACCGAGCTTAGCCTAGAAGTCACCTCTGGAGGATGGCCTTTCTTCAACGTCACAAAGGTCGACTATCAACATCTCTTGCGCAGCGACGATGCCAACATAAACGGCGGCAACAATTCTCTGATAGTGGTACCGAACCCTGGGGTGCCATACATGTACTTGCCGAAGAATACATGCGAAACGATAGCAACATTCCTTCCCGTGACCTTCGACCAAAGCCTTGGACACTACATCTGGAACACGACGAAGCCGGCATTCAAGAAAATAATGTCGTCACCATCAGCACTGAAGTTCTCGTTCCGTACAGAATCAGGGATTGCAAACATCTCAGTGCCTTTCGCGCTCCTGAACCTCACTTTGGATTATCCTCTCACCAGCACGCCAACACAATACTTTCCATGTGCTCCTTACACACCTTCGGATGGTTCGCCGTACCACCTTGGGCGCGCTTTCCTGCAAGCAGCGTTCTTGGGACAACACGGACAGGCACAAAAGACTTTCTTGGCTCAAGCTCCAGGACCAGGTGCAAAGGCTGAGGCTATAACAAAGCTTGCCTCAACCGACACGACTCTGACAGCTATGGCGAATCCACCGTACTGGAATGCGACGTGGACTGATCAACTGAGCGCACTTGCTGACAATAACGGCATGGGTAAGTCGGGTACAAAGAAATCNCGGAGGGTTGGTGGAGGGGCGATCGCAGGGATCGTAGTAGGAGTAGTCGCGGGGCTTGGGCTATGCGCGATTGCAGGCTTTGTTTTGCATCGACGACGCAAGTCCGGCAAGCAACAGACTGTCCACCACCAGGANGATTCAGGGAAAGAAGATTTTCTGGGAGTTCCAGGCCCGGTCAGCGAATCTGCTAGTGAGCCCATTCATGAGATAGCAGCTGCTGAACAGGCGAGAAAGAGCGGCAACAAGATGCGGCCAGCCGAGATGGCAGTGGCAGAATATGTTGGAGAGTTGGAAGGAAGCGATGTGTATCGGAGGAGTCAGGTTTCGTCTTGAAACGAGACAGGTTGTATGCAGGCCAAAGTGGTTGAGGAGTACTTCACATGTCAGCATGAGCATGGCGTTCGGCGAACCGGGCTGCCGGAGATGGGGGCATGGATCACGATATACAGTATCTCTGCACAGTATTCCTCAAAAAGCACATGTGAAATCATGACATGTCCTCTCGAGGATGTATTTGGAATAGAGGGAGAATAGATGGCCTTGACTCGGCGTGATAATGCTGACCTGGATTGATGACCTTTTGACAGACGGTGACGCGGGCAACCCCGGACCTGAGTCTTGTTCTGCTTCGTCTCCAGAGTCTCCACGCCGTCATAACCAACGCATAACGCTGAACCGAGTCGCACTGCATGCCGCCATTGGTAGGCATAGCCCGAGCAATCAACACCCAGGTACAACCCAGACCGTACCGCAGCATCCGACATCATGGCAGGCGGTGATGACGCCCCGGCGAGCCCGCTGCCCCCGAGGCGCCCTCCTCTCGGCCACCGACACTCGAGCACCTCGTCGCATGTATCCCAGTCCCCGAGCGACTCGACCACCAAGGCCCACCACAAACCCGCACACCACAAGCCCCAGCGACATGTTGTCAGCCACCACAATCGCATGGGCTCGCGCAATCCAAGCTTCCACCGTTCTCTGAGCAAGATCAAGATCCAACAGCACGATTCACGTCAGCACGACGACGACGAGCCTCCAACGCCGAAAGCGAAACAGCAGGCCTCGGTAGCCTCTCAATCCACCCTCGTACCGCCGAGCCCGGCCAGGCCCAACATGAAGCGCAACAATACGTCTGTTCACCTTCCACGAAACCACTCACACACCGGCCTCAAGAAAAACCTGTCCAGTGGCCAATTGTCTCGTCTTACCGCCGGGAAAACCACTTCACATGGCCGCACTACCAGCCAGCACCAACGACCCGATATCCGCCGCGCTCACACACAACCATACAAGCGATCCAAAAGTCCTGCGCCGAAAGCTTCCCAGGTGGCATTCGACGTTGGGGACGACGACGATGATGATGATGGTGAAGAGATGGAAGGTGTTGACGACCAATGGACAGAAGAGAGCGCCTCGGCCTCGCCCAATACCACACGCGACAATACACGAAACAACACCCGCCAGAACTCGGTCGTCCTAGATCCCAAGCTGAATCCCTACGCCCGTCAGCTCGCCGAGGAAGAAGCTGCCGCCGACTCTTCGGGGAGCGACACGGTTGGCTCTCGTAGTCCGCCCAAACCCACCAAAGCTCCTGTCGCTCTCACCATTCGCACCAAGGATTTTGCTGCTCCTCAAGCTGCTCCTACTTCTGCACCGCAACAGCACTTACAACAACAGCAACCACCCACTTCATCATACAATGCTCAGGTTGCTCAGCAACACATGCCTGATGCTGACGCTATCGCACGGCGCCTACTCGAAAGAAACTCAGCCTTGAATGCTGCTCCTCCGAGGGTGTCGTCTGTCTCTGCTCTGGCAAACCCAAATTCTGCCGACTCAAAGAGTTTGTCGGCCTCGAACGCTGGACAATCTGTTACAGGTGGCTCAACCACACCACTGGTCTCGCGTTTCATCTCCAACGACGGCATCAACAGTAAGGATGGGACGCCAGCCGACCAATCGGGTTTCCTACAAGGTCCCAAAGGCCACTCTCGCACCATATCGCAAGCCCAGACGCGTAAAGAACAATCAGACCTATACCGCAATCAATCTACTCCCAACTTTGCTTCTCAGAAACAGCCCCCTACCCCATCGGGCTCGGGTGCTGTCACGCCAGACCCGGCTTTGAACCAAAGCAGAACGCAACAAAAGCTATGGCTACAACGTGGTCTCTCCAATATCGAGGCCAGTTCACAACCCCACCTACCCGGTCTGTTGCCCACAGGCCGTGCCCAAGCCATGCGCACCCCGCACGCCGGCAAGCAGTTTGAGTTTGTCGACAAGGAATGGGCCGTCGTACGTCGCTTCCAAAACCCACTCGATGCAGGTCTCGAACGACTGCGGAAAATGAATGGAGGCTCTTTACCCGGGAAACCAAGCAAGTCAAAAGCAGGCGCAGCTCAACAACATACGAATAGCGGCGTCAATGGGCACCGAAGGGGCCCTTCCAATGCAGCATCCATCGCTAGTAAGAAGAGCGATGCCACTATTGTCGCAGGCCCGGAGCACTCGACAGCAGGCAGAAAGTCTCGTGTCAGTTTCCACATGGGCGAAGCTGAAGGCGACAATGACGATGACGAGCATGAAGAGCACAACTCACGGTCTGACCGCGAAACACCTGCAGACATCGCTCGCAGGTTATGGGATGCACCCATTGGTATACAAGTAGAGGGGTAGGAGGAACTCTACGATTCTTAACATCTTCGGATCATGTCTTCGTTGCTCATTATTGTTCTTTCAGTCCTCGCCCTTGTCTATTCATTGACATCTTCTCCTCATCTTACACTCTTTTCCGGCCTTTTGGTTCTGTGTTTTCTCGGTGGGCTCTGGTGGTATACATGCATCTGGCGTGGCGTTTGGCGGGCGTGTTCCTTCTTTCTTGGGAAAGTCAATTGAACGAATTTTTTTCCCGCGTGCACAATTCTTTTCCTTCTTCTGGTTCACGCAGCATCAATAGAAATATATGTTTTTCTTGGCAGACACAGGCAATAAAAAGCCGTTGGTGGTCTTCTAGACTTTCCAAGCCTCTTCGCTTGGTTGAGGGGACGGCGGCCACGATGGCTGTAGTGCGCAAAAGCTTCCAGACCATGGACAAAACATCCCAGGCACACGACAACAGCGATTGGTTGTTCGCAGCGAATCAAATTGTGCCAAAAGCATATCCATGATTATTGCAAAAGTTCTGCGTTTTGCTCAGTACAGAAGGGCAATTTCGGCATCTTCACACGTGTGGTAACGAGAATGACAATTTCGAGGTGAAGGTACCTTACGTGCCTATCTTGCAGTACCGGTGACGATGATATCTAATCATTTTGCATTAATGAAGTAGGTAGTGCCGATGGTATAAGGCCGACCTGGCAGTCGCTGCGGCAAAGAAAAAGTCGTTGACCGGGTGTTTCTGGGTTGCCTTTTTCTGTTCGCTTCTTCACACTGCTCTCCGACTTGGTAGAACCAGCAACCAACCGAAACGAACTCTTTAATGCGTGCACTAGATTTCTGCGACGGTCGTGAGGGTGTGGGGCAGACCACATGTGCGACAGTAGAAACTATTGCCTGTAGTTTCGACTCGCGATTCAGAAGGATGCTACTCATCTTGTACCTTTTCGATCAGAATATCTTGTTGAATGGTGAAATCGACAAATGTCTCAGTGGTAAGAGTAAGCAATTCTACATGGCCGGCATGTCGCGGTGGAGGGTTGTTCTAGTGGTAAGTGGCATAATCTTGTTTGGCACATAAAGCCAAATCTCTTTTCCAGCCTATACCATATTGCCGAGGAACAACAATCTCTCGTCGGTATAAGAGGAGAAAAGAGGGGTATATTATTTGCCTTGCTGTTCAGATCGTTTGGTTATGACGGCTTTTGCAATTTCCCTTGTACAGCAGAAAATGCGTTGTGTGAACTGTTGATCTTCTCATCTTTCGATAGCATGGTCGTTGTTCCGCACGCCCGTTTTCTGTTGCGACTGTTGGTGTTTCCTCCCGTCGCTCCCCACATGCTGCTGCATGGAAGAGGTTGCACAACAGCGAGCACGACCAAAAGTTTCCGAGTTGACAAGGCACAAGCGCCAGGTACCAAAGTCTATGTCGCACCGGTTCGATCTAGCGCCCGCCTCATGCATTTCTTGCGCGAAATGAGGTGTGACACTAGGCCGAAAATGGGTGTTTGCGACCAAGTGCATACCGGGAAATGAGATGAGCACGTTCTTTTTGCTCTCCACACAACCAACTTGTCCTCGTGCCCGCGGCTAAGATTGAGGGCAGAGGCATCTTGGACAGGTAGGTCGAGAGCTGAGACTGATTTGGTATATCTTGTGCGGGGATCCTCTCGTATCGCTCGCCTTCCCTTCCTTCCTTCCTCTATCGATACACAGTCATTCCAGCTGCAAGACAGTAACAGTCACTCCTTCCTTTTGGACCAATTGCCAACTGCGAGCTGAGCTCTGCCCTCACACTCTTTACACCACTATCAACACTAGCCAACCTCGACGGCCTAGCATCAACAACATTCATTGACCAAGCATTACCGTCATCAGCTGAACATATCACAATCACCACTCAACAAGCCATCATCAAACACTTCAGTCAGCCACAATGCAGTTCACCAACATCCTCCTCCCTCTGCTGTTCGCCATCTCTGGCGCCAACGCCCAGCAATCTGGCGATGCCACTTCCGTCACGACCTACTACACTACCTTCACCGTGAGCCGTGTCGTCGAGACTACCACTTGCACTTCGACCACTACTCCTACTGCTGAGCCCACCACTTCCACCACCGAGGCTCCTATTGTCTCTACTTCCGAGGCTCCTGTTCCCTCCAGCTCGCCCTCCACCTCATTCACCACTGAACTCCTCACCCAGACCGTTCAAAGAATCGCAGCCAGCTCTGCCGTCTCTTCTTCCATGGCCACCGTCTACCCTGTTGCTGCCAGCGCTTCTGCTGTTATTCCTCATGCTTCGACCAACGGCACTGGTGTCACCTCTCCCACTTTGACTCCTTTCACTGGTGCTGCCTCTGGCTTGACCATCCAATTCGGCGCTGCCGCTGTCATTGCTGCCGTCGCTGGTGTCGCTCAAATGCTCTAAGCACTTTAGCGACTACCATTTCCTTTTCTTCATACCACATCTTCCTGGAAAACGCCCCGTCATGTCAGGCTTGAAATCCTCCACCATATTTACTCACACCCTTTTGTATAATGTTTTCCTCTGCTCCTCTTGTGAATTGAGGAGCCGTTGATGATGTTCTCTGTTTTCCATCTTGTCGCCATTTCTTTTGTCTTTTAACGACTTTCTCCCACTTTTATCACACACACTTTTCTCATCATGAAGAATGATCAAAAAGCGAACTGAACGGCGTTCGGAGACAAAATCTTCTTCCTTCTTCTATTTCTTCTCTGGCGGAAATACCCCTTGAGCTTGGAGATGTTTTTGTATTTTTTCTATTCTTATACTTACTTGTTTCAATTATTGGTTCATATGTTGAATATACCATCTATCTTCAAAACTATCTCTGTGCTTCTGGCTAAATGAGATGGATTCATGTTTACTTGTCACGTCATTTTTTTGCTTATAGGGGGTTCCCTGAGGTCTGGATGGAATGAGGAATGCAGGAACGTTTATTGAAACAGTGTCGTTCGTCATAGGTAGGCAGGTCTTTGTTATCCTGCGATCTACCATCGATAAACAGTGATCTGTGATCGATTGGCATGCCTTTAACTCACCATTATGGCATTTTCTGCGACGTCATTCTGAGTGTACCTGACTTTACCTCGTTGCCATGTTTGCCAGCCTGATCTGTCTCGGCTGCCATTGCTTCATCCTTAGCTTGGGGGTTACACCTTATTGACGATCTATTCATATGCACGAAAACATGTTGTTTTGTCAGAGATTATGAATAGCACGAGTGTAAGCTATTTTGGAGTTTTGACATGAATTCGAGGATCTGAGGATAGGGTTGTTTTGGTTTGAGATGTTGATGGGGGAAGGGTAGGCTTTTGTTTCAGGAAGTGGGATGTGGGAGTTTTGTGAGAGGATTTGAGGGAGTATTGGGTGCAGCCTGTAAAGATAGAACCGGCTCGCTTGTGTAGCCTTTTACCTCTTCTGTTTTTTTGTTTTGGTAGTGGTATGGTGGTGGTGGGTGGTGTCTAAATTGCTGGTTGTTGAGGGTGCAATCCGTTTCGAAGGTCTTGTGCAAGGCTGGAATTACCTCGAGCCTTATGCGGGTGTCCTCGAAGTTCACGTGTTCTCGGGATGAGTAAAGCGGAAGAAATGCTGTGATCCGAGGTATCGACCAAATCCTATTAGATTGGAAGATTGTATTGATATCGCTGTGGGTTGCCTATGATTGGCGGCCATGAGATTGTTCCTGACCGCCAAGCTCTGACAGAAACATTGCCCGAGATCTTTGAACAACCATGATACTGAAGGTCAGGTGAAGGGGCCATGGACAGGGGATCTGAGAAGCGCAGCTCTTAGTCGACAGTGTGATGTAAGAGATCCAAATATGTTGCGGATTCTGTAGGTACGGTCTTCCGTTAGCGCGGCAGTGAACATCGCGGCTTTGTTACTAACAACCGCCGTATCACTTTCACAGACAGCATACTTCTCCATTCACGACGTTCAGTCGCTCGGTCAATGATAACCAGTCGGTGCTTGCAATTGCTTTGACATAGCTGGACTCTTGAGATATGCAGAATCGCCAGCACAAACATCAGCACACTGTTCCAGCGAATGATGGATTGACTGTAAGCGCCGTGTTGCACAATAATGATTGCCCGATGGCCATGGCAAAATAGCCGCTTGGTGCAAAACATCAAAGACGACAAGATCAAAAGAGAGAGCTGCCCTTCCGAGTCTCCAACCAGTGACTTTCCATTCACCAAAAAGATACGATTTGCCAGCATCGACTCGAACTGACTCCCCACGCGAAAAAAAAAATGGCACGCTGCAGCTCGCCAACATTGCTTCTCCTTGTACTCATTCTTGCACAATCTTCTCTACAGCAAAACTGCTACTTTCCAAACAAAGTGATTGCGAGAAATGACTATCCATGTACCGATCTCACAAACAATCAACCCGGTGTGCAAGTCCATTGTTGCGAGGTCGGAAGAACTTGCCTACCAAATCGGATGTGTTCAGGAAACGACCAAGATGAAAACCCAATGAGAGGCACTTGCACAGATCAAACTTGGGACTCTCCGAATTGTCCAAAGTTTTGTACGCCATGTGAGTCTGCTGCTTTCTTGATCTGTCAAGTGATCGTGTAAGACTGATTCGCAGACACACAGACTCGAGACTTGGTAAAGTGTACAATTGTACTTCGATGGGCGGTGTCGTGGGACAAGACAATGAAAACGCTTTTTGCTGTGTGGACAATGGGCCCAATTGTTGCAATAATCAGAGCCAGTTGTTTGTCGCAAACAATTGGGATTTTGTGGCTTCTGCATCTTATGCTGCTACGATATTGTCGGCGACTTCTTTGACCGGGTTGACCTCGACATCGATATCCAGCTCGGCATCCTCATCGTCCACAAGTTCTTCAACTACTTCATCGCCTTCTCAGCTGGAAAATACTAGAGGGATAGCTAGTGTAATGACCATCACCGCTGCTACACCGACCATCAATATTCCTGCAAGTGGTGCAGCGACAACAGCCACAGCATCAGGAAATTCTTCAGGACCCAAAAGAGATTGGACAGGCATCGGTATAGGAGCAGGAGTCGGTGCTGCTGTGCCTCTCCTCGCGTTGATCGCCGTGGGCATTGTACTCTGGCGCCGCCATCGCCGTCGTGCAATGCATGTCTCACCTTCAACAAGCAGTTTCTCTCACGAAAGCGCTTCTGATGCGCCCACCAAAGAAGCCTTTACTACCAAACCTGCTTACCTGAAGGGCTGTGACACCAATTCGACCCGTACCTACGAGATGGATGCCATGGGCGAGAGAATAGAACTACCACTAAAGAGTCCCAGAGAGTTACCAGGATCGGAAGGGGAAAGACAGCGTTACCAGGCCTATCAACCAATCCCTTTCAACCAATCGTATCGGCATGGATAGAGGAAACCCTTAGAAGAAAGTGTTATGCAAGTTCCAGGAGAATCAAATAGAGCTGTAGTTCAACACGTTTACAATGTCTGCTGGAACAAGTCGCGAAGTGTATACTGTCTCGTGCGGATGATGTCACGTTGGAAGGAGCGGACTTGCGTACAAAAACAAGACATACTTGGAGGATGGGGTGCAGAATGAAAGCTTTCGAGCGAGATAGCTAGAAACTCTCTCTTATTGACATGTCCTCCATGTTGGTGACCATCATGAAAACTTGAACGTCTTGGTAACAAAAAGATCAGGACAGTGGGGTTGGAACGCGGCACGACAGGTTTCTCGCAACGTACAGGGTTGGGATCAGTTAGTGACCACGATTAGGCAGAGAATAGTGACCACGATTAGGCAGAGAATAGTGAGCACAGCAAGATCCCGGCAAAATGTCGGTGCAATTTTGTATGCCAATCAGATCACCATTAAGATATTCGCTCATCATCCACATGTCTTCCTAGAATCATACGAAATGTCCCTCGGGTCAGGTAAAATTATTCGCTCACGATCTAGTCCAGAATGTATAGGATTATACCATATGCCAACAAAACCAAACAGACCGCTATGCTCAAGAAGCCAATGTGACCAAACAGGCGTCCTAGCCATATATACAATGGTTGTGGCTTGGTGTCGCTCCTCTTATTCTTCCTTTTTGGTTTCTTTCTCACCCTCTTTTTGGGCCTTGCCTAGCTTGCCTTTTTGGCGCTTCTCTTGGAGATACTTCCAGGAACGAGTAGGTCCACCGGTCAGGATTCCTTTTAGAGACTGACTTGTACTCGGCCAGCTGATAGTCTTCTTGATGCAATCACCAACAGCCTCGGGAATGTCGTCCTGAGTGCCGATACGACGCTCGAAGTCACCACCTTCACGACGCCTAATGCTCATAGCATCTTCATCTGTGGCTTCTTCGATAACTTTGTCGAACGCTGAGCCAGGAATCTGGAATTTCTTCTGATAGTTCCAGTAGAGCTTTTGGCGGAAACCTTTGGGTAGACGGCGGACCATGTTTCCTCTGCGCTTAGGATCCATATCCTGCTGCAACTTGAAACCGTCCAGGCCACCGATGATATCTTCAGCAGGGATGGCTCTTCCAGAAGACGAGAGAGCGTTAGCGATAGCGGCCTCTTTCTCCCAACCATGCTCTGCAGGGACTCTCGAATCGTTGAAGCTAACGTTGGGCAAATTCTCGATGAGCGGGACGTATAGCTGACGGAAGCTAGGCAATTGTGCGTCGACAATGTTGGCAACCTTGCGGGGGTTCTCACTACCAAATCTGGGGTTCATTCTAGGGTCTCCCATGTAAGAGATACCGGCGATAGTTGTGTAGAGTTGTCTCTCGGTGAAGTTCTCAGGCATCATGAGTAGAGCAGTACGGACGGCAGACATGAGGTTGATCTGGTTGGCAAGTCTGACTCTCGGGTCGTCTCTGAGAATTTTGACGGGCTTTTGTAGTCGTCCAGCCAGATAAAGAGTATTCCATTCGCTGAGATCCTTGCAGATGGTGTCGATATTGACTACACCATATTTGATCATAACACCATTGACGGTGATGTAAGGGTTGAAGTAAACTCCAGCGCCAATGCTGTCCTGAACCTTTGAGACGGTCCAAGATCCCAAGCTTTTCAAGAAACTGTAGTGATGGGGGTTCTGGCGCATGTTGGTCGAATGCCAATGTTCAGTGTGGGAGACACCAAAGATGAAGTCGATGATCTTGCCTCCTCCTTCTTGCCATTTGGTGACGGCCTCTGGCGGATGTGGGTGAGGAGAGAAGGACTGGGCGACGCTGGCTGCTGACTGGTTGGTGGACTGCGTAAAGACACCACTGCCGTATGCGAAAGCGTATCGAATGGGAGCACGGAACTGCCACAGGATTTGGCGCATGGCTTCTTTAAAGTCTTCATTGATCTTGATGTGTTGATTGGTACCGAAGAAGCGATGGGGAAGTTGCGAGAATGCGGTGATCTGCGAATAGTCGGCGTTGTCCTCCCAGCCCTCGGGCATGGTCTGATTTGGAGTAGCTGCTGCCGAGGATTGCGGGCGTGACGTGGCTGGAGTCGAGGCATCGGAGGAGTCGGATGTAGTTGAGGAAGAGGATTTATAGGAGGCTGTCGAGTATGCAGAACGAGCAGCTTGCTGTCTTGGGAGGGATTGTGTAGAGCGAAGATGGGCATAGTATGATGTAGAAGTTGGCGAGCTGCGGCATGCCACAAGCGGCCGGACAGAACGGAAGACCTTCAAGACGCATCAGTCTGACCGAACGATGGGAAGCTGGGAGTGTGAACATACTGAAAGCATTATTAAAGCTATGGTTGGCACAGTGAGGAGGGGTGCGTCGAGCGGCTTTTTTCTAAACGGTAATCGTGAATAGCGTGAGATCTAGGGCAATAGAGAGCATGTCTATGCAGACAGCGAACACATGGTACAAACAAGAAAGTAGGATACGGCAGGTAGTTCTTGAATAGGAAGGGACAATTGTAGAGACAGAAGGACAAGAATGCAATTCAGGAACAGGAAGGAGCTGGAACCTTTCCCAAGCACCTGCACTTTGCGTCAGAAGCTGGGGAAAGAGCCCCACGCGTGCCTGAGGTCGCGCCTTGGCAATCACGTGTCAGTCCGGCGGCTAAGCCTTCCAGCTTCCGATGTGTTTGTTGTTGCAAGACGAATTGCGACCCTGTCAAGCTTGTCTTGCCTGTTTATTGAGCGCCTTGTCTTGATCAACTTGCAGCCAACACCTGCCTCGTCGCTGGCAACATGGCAGCTACACCGGCTCTGGACTTGTCCATGCTGACATACTCCGCTCGACTGGCCACTTTCAACACCGAACACCAACTCACAAAGAGACGCGCCTCGAGCCAAAAGAAGAAGCAAGCCTCGACCGTCTCATGGCCTCACGAGTCGCCTTCTGGTGAAGAGGTAGCTATCACTCTCACTCCCCTGTTGCTGCATCACTCTAATGTTCACAGNCTCGCTCGCGCCGGCTTCTTCTTCAAACCTGCCCCCGACAGCGACGACAACGCACAATGCTTCCACTGCGCCGTAAAACTCGACGGATGGGAGAGTCAGGATGTCCCTCTCCAGGAGCACCTGGCCCACTCCGCCCACTGCTCCTACGCACTCAGCTTGTCCGTCTCAGACAAGCAAGAAGAACGCGATCCCATGAGTCCCGGACTGGTCGAAGCCCGCACAGCCACCTTTGGCGACGTGTGGCCACACGAACACAAGAAGGGATGGAAGCCCAAGGTCAAACAGATGGTTGAAGCTGGTTGGGCATACGACCCTTCGCCAGCAGACGAGGACGGCGCTACCTGTTTCTACTGTAACATGTCGCTGGATGGATGGGAGCCCAAGGATAGCCCGCTTGAGGAACACCGCCGCAGAGAACCCAACTGCCTCTTCTTTGCACTTTGCGACCGTTACAAGTCTACAAGACGCAAAGGTGGGCGCGGCCGTGCTTCTACTGCCTCAAGAGCTTCCCGCCTATCCACCCAATCTGTGCAGTCGACCTTCTCCGAGGCTCCTTCGCTAATGTCTTTGGGTGACGCAGGTCCCCAGCTCGACGTCGAAGACAGCATCGCCCTCGATACTACCATCTCGTCCGACGCTGCCAAGGGCCGTAAGAAGACCACTAAAGGAAAGAAGAAGACCGCCCGCCAGGAATCCGTCGACCTTTCTGTTCAATATCCGACTCTGCAAGAAACCGAACAAGCCGAGGACGACATATACGCTGTTCCTATCGAAGCCGACCCTGAGCCTGTTGCAGAACAACCCAAACCCAAGCGTGGTCGCAAACCCAAGAATGCTCAAGAATCCACCATCATTGACGACTCTATGGCGGAACCGGCACACAAGCCTGCGAGGGGTCGCAANAAGGCAAAAGAGCCTTCTCCTCCTCCCTCCNNTGAGGCCAGTTTGGATGAAAGTCAGTTGCAGTCTGAGCTGAAGGAAGCAGCCGAAGTTGCTGTTGTGGCACAGAGTCCTCCGACGAAGTCTGGAAGAGGCGTCAAGAGAACGAGTGACGGAATCGAGAAGGCCCCGCTCCATGAAGACATGACCGCTGATGAAGAGCCTGTCAAACCGAAGAAGACCACGAAAGCAACGAAAGCAAAGAAAACCAAGAAGGCTACCAAGGATACCCAGGAAGAAGTANNGAAGAGTCTGTCGCAATGTCACAGCCAGAGGACAAGCCTAAACGAACTAGGTCTAAGAAGACCAAGAAGGTCGACCCTGAACCCGAACCCGAACCGGAGGCAGAGCCCGAAGCGATCACCGAGCAAGTGGTCGAGGTACAAATAGGATTGGAACCTGCCACTGAGGACGCAGAAGAGCTGGAACCCGAACAAGGAGCATTTGAGAGAAACTTCGAGATCGCCGAAAGTGACGCCGGACTCGACAATGGAGCCCAGGATGGAATCCAACAACAGCTACACAAGNGAGGAACTTGATCAAGAAAATCTGAGTCAAAGTGCAGAAGTGGACATGAATATGGAACAAGAGAATAACCAAACTCTGGATCATCACGATCCACAAGATGAGGACGTACTGGAAGAGGAGTTTGACAATCTCGAGAATGTGGAACCTGAGGAGGAAGTTGTGGAAGAGGTGGTGGACAACGAGGTCGATGCAGAGGAAGAAGAACAAGCTGCCTCTATTGCGCAGACTCCTGCAGCTGAAGAATTCGAGCCAACACCGACACCCGAGATCAGCCGTCATTCTTCAGTCTTTAAATCCTCTGTGCGGAGGTCTGTCATACAACGAGCACACTCAGAAGAGGTCGAAGAATCAGCTCATTCGACGCCGCGTAGTGCAAGGAGCCCCCAGCAATCAGACGCCGAGAACCAACCGCCATCCTCATCAACACACGCACCTCCCACAGCTCAAAAGCATGCTCCTGCCTTGAACGCGACGAATGCTGCTATTCAGCCCAGAGAGATCTTCGCAAGCCCCACCAAGACCACTCGAGTTCCTCTTGCTGCATCTACACCTAATCGCTCTCCTACCAGACGATCACCATCCAAGTTTGGCAGACTTGTATCGTCGACTCCATGGGAACCCGTTGATCTCGAATCCATCTTCTTCCCTGACTCAGAAAACGAGAATGGGGGCGCAGACGATGTATTCAGCAAGCTGCTCGAGGTTGGTGGTGCACTCACCTCACCGGAGAAGAAAATGACGGTCGAGGAATGGGTTCGATCACGCGCAGAACTGGGAGAGACCAAGCTCAAGAACGAGTGTGAGCGTATGGTAATGCTTCTCGAGAAGGAGGGCAATAGGGGTCTGGTAGCTTTGAACAGCATCCAGACCTCATCATGATTGACCAGATGAATAACGAATTTCGTATTTCTGTTGTTAGGAAAGGGTCTCAAGAGTTTGGAGTTTTAATCAGGAAACAGCCGCATCTTCTCAGGTTCTCTTTGGAGGCACTTCGAGAGGGTCTCTCACAATCAATTTTCGCATTTTTCCCGCTCTTCTGAATTTTGTTGGTTTCGTGATACTGCATGTTTGGCAAAGCCGTGTCGTTCGTCTTCGCTCCGCACGCTTCGTAACGGCATGTCAATATATTCTGGACTGATGATCGACATGGTTCACAAGCGCCTCAGGGCTTGTATCGCTTCGAGTATATAAACTTATCGGGCCAATCATCACTGACCTCAAAGGATAAACCAACCATGGTTGAGTTGTTGTGATTTTGAAGGGGGGGAGCAGAAAAGAAGAAAGCGACTAGGTTTGGAGATGATATCTACAGAGAATATCCAAAGATGCTGGCATAGCAAGCTAGTAGATGTCGACGAAGAATGAAGGATCGAGCGCGGCGGGCCGACCCCAATGTTGACCACCACCTTCCTGTCTTGACACCCAGCTTTTTCGCCATTGCCTACGCCTATCACGAAATCAAGCCCTCAGACAAGCTTCCGCCAACAACAACATATCGAATCAAGTCCGTTAGTGGCGTCCTTTGCAGACGCCGAAGAAGCTTGGTGATATTGCTCACGTATACCTTACATGCTCTCGTCGATTACCATGTCTGCACTGATAACGGTATATTGCCCTCGATGTAATCTACCTCACTGGCTGGATCGTTCTACTCGTTATCAGAGATACTGCCGTATCCAGTATTTGAACGACTTGCTTCCGTTGATACCTTGTGATGGAATCACCCTGCCTCGGCTAAAGCCATGTGTTCGTACCATTGCCGGGTCTCAAGTTCTTGCAGTCCTGGGCGGAAATGCGATGCTTCTAGTATCCGATAGGTCTCTCCCAGCCCTTGACTGGATATCTCTCGGCCCAGCCCGCTTCTCTTCATGAACCTCATGCATGATGTTCAGTCTCATGTAGGCGAGCAACAGGACCACCTCACTTCCTGCTCGCCAATCGCAAAGCGTATACAACCTTCGACAAACTCCGCAGCTATAGAACACAAGGCTCAGAGATCGATTGACATACACCTCTCATACGTACACACCTCGGCGTCACTACGTACTCGTGGGTACCAAAATACAGTGTTCTGAAATCCATCGAGACACCACACCGCTTCAAGATCCAGCTATCTACACGGCTGACAGGTCTACATGTTCGCAATCTATGCCTTAGCCATGTGGGCCTCTCAATCAAAACAATCATACAATACGAAAACAGCCATGCACAAACATGGAAGGTCGTACTTAGCAACAGCACTGTAGGTTAGCGAGATGCTCTTCGCTACGCCTATCACGCCATTCCGGGGCCTACAGAGGACCGCAAGGGTGTCTCGACACTGTCTATAAAGCTCGAAGAAGTCCGTACATCTCTGTCTCCCTCATCCACCAACACCACCATCGTTACATCCATACAAACCACTCTCGCTCTTCCTGAATCTATCTTCCAAGACTATACATCAGTAAACAGTTCATCAAGCCAATATGAAGCTCACTACTGCCTTCGTTGCCGGTCTGCTGTCCGCTAGCACCGTTGCTGCTGCTCCTGGCACTGCTATGCGTCGCAAGCGTGCTGAGGGTGCCATCGCCGCCAGCCGTGCCGGCTTCATCAAAGCCCCAAAGCCTTTCCTTCCAGCCACCAACGTGACTGCCGTCGTCCACGGTCCCGAGAACAAGCAGGCTAGTTACTCCACCAACTGGGCTGGCGGTGTCCTCGAGGGCTCCGGCTTCAAGACCGTGACTGGCACTTTCACCGTACCCAAGGTCACCATCCCTTCCGGTGGTAGCTCCAGAACCTTGTACTCGGCCTCCGCTTGGGTCGGTATCGATGGCTACTCCTGCTCCTCGGCTATCCTGCAGACTGGTGTCGATTTCAGCATCCAGAATGGCGCTGTCACCTACGATGCCTGGTATGAGTGGTTCCCCGACTACGCCTACGACTTCACAGGCATCAGCTTCTCGGCCGGCGACAGCGTGACCGTCACCGTCACCGCATCATCCAAAACAGGCGGCGTAGCCACCATCAAGAACAACAGCAAAGGCACCTCCGTCAGCCATACCTTCACCAGCCAAACCGCTGGCAGTCTCTGTCAAACCGATGCCGAGTGGATCGTCGAAGACTTTACCCAGATCCAGAACGGACAAGAATCTCTTGTTCCTCTGGTCAACTTTGGCACTGTGACTTTTACTGGTGAGTTTTTGAGCCCATTGGTGTTGTTGCCCCCTTCAACTTTATGTGATCATGCTAATTGTACCTTTTGCTTTNNAGGTGCTTCGGCTACTACTAACAGCGGATCTAAGCTTGGTCCTGCTAGTGCTGATGTTATTGATTTGATTTCTGCTAATGGAAAGACTGTGCTTACTGATGTTACTGTGGGTTCTTCTACTGTTGCTGTTGTTTATGGTTGAGTGTGTTGATTGGAGGAGCATGATGGGATTGGTGAAGGTGATGGGCTTCTGCTGAGGTGGACATGTGATACACTTGGTTCATCCTCGGTGCTTTGTCTAGGGTAAATACCATAGATAGCTTGGTGTGGAGAATGATTCACGACCGACCATCACTGCCATACAAGATTTTTGACATTCTTTGCGACCATGACCAAGAAGGGGCGAGCGAAAAGAGCGATCAGCGAGAAATCGAAAGCTGCGGCATGCGTGTCCATTGCACTAGTGTTTTGGGAGGAGAGGCACTAGATTCTATGAGGTAGAATAGAGATTCTGGGTTTTGGATTGCTTATGATACACCTACTCGTACAATTGAATACTCGTACACCCAGGATCTTTACTGGCTTGTTCCCTCAGTTCTCCAAGAGATCAACAACAATAGGAGTGATCCTCTCAACACCCTGAGCCAACTTGGCACTGATGGGAATGGCATGCAGCTTCTTCTTCCAAGCATTCTTCTTGCCGCTAGGGTGTATCGTCTCACCCTCAGCAACACTCTTCAAATATCCCTGCAAAGCGGCAAAATTCTCCCTCGTCTCTGGCAAATCGGCTTTCGTCGCAATAACCAACCAAGGCTTTGACGAAATCGGCGGCAACTTGAGTTCAGGCAACACACGCGATCCATCAGGTTTGAACAAAACAGAGCCATCCTCGAAAATGTTGGGCGGTTCGGCTTTGACGAGAGGTGAGTAGCGCACCAGTTCCTTTTCTTCTTCGACGCGGCGTTCGGTTTCGGCGTTTACTTCGCGGTCGCGGAGGAGTTCGTATTGGCCTACTTCTTTCCAGAGGCCTTTGAGGGCATGGATGGCGTCGCCGGCGCTGAGGTCGACGACAAAGGCAAGGATGCCGGCGCGTTCGATGTGGCGCAGGAAACCGAGACCGAGACCGCGGTCGAGGTGGGCGTCTTCGATTAGACCGGGGATGTCTGCGATGGTGAAGTTGGTGCGAGGAGGACCTTTTCTGCCCGCTGAGGTGGCGATTAGAGGGCGGCCTTTGTGGTTGTCGAGGACGACGGTGCCGATGTTTGGTTGCAGGGTTGTAAAGGCCCAGTTGCCGATGCGAGCACGGCTGTTGGTGATGGCTCGTAGTAGGGTACTCTTTCCAGCATTGGGGAGACCGACGAGACCAACATCTGCGAGGAGTTTGAGTTCGAGCTGGATCTCGACCTTCATGCCTTCGTCGCCTTTCGTGCCGTACTTGGGACGGGTAATGCTTTTTGTCACGAAGTGGGGATTTCCTAGTCCGCCCATAGATCCAGCAGCAAGCAATTGAGGAGCTTCCATGGGTGAATCCAGATCCAGACGGATGGGCGCCGGAGGTTGGGACATGGCGATCTGCGATCTCCTGGGACGTGGTAGAGGGGGAAAATCGGCCGACGTGAAGGATTGAGGCATAGCACCAGGAAATAACAACCACTTGTCACGCCTCCATTTGCGAGTGTTGTCGACGACGCCTGGTTGATCGTCAAAGACGGCATCTGCCCCCATGGCCTTTGCCCTCTTGTCTGTCAACTCTTCCTCGGCCACGGGGTCGTGTCGCCACACCTCACGCACAATCGTACCAATAGGCACTGTGATCAAGATGTCTTCTCCTCGTGTGCCTCCCTGTCCCTTTCCTTGACCATTCTTTCCACGTCCAGCCTTTAATATTCCTCGTCGCGCAAGCTTGTGCAACGATGTCTCGCCCTGCACAGCCTGGATGTAGATGTTTCCTCCTGTTCCTCCGTCGCCGCCATTGGGTGGACCATTCTCGATGTATTTCTCGCGCAAGAAACTGATGCAGCCGTGGCCTCCTGCTCCTGCGTGTAGAACGATTGAGCATCGATCGGTGAAGGNGGTGATTGAGTACGAGTCCGGCGGCGGATCCAGGCGATCGAGTCCGGTCTCGGGTGTGTCGTCGAAGCTTTCATCCTGGTGGCCTCCTTGTGTGCTGGAGACTGTTGCAATGTGCCTCCTGGACAGACATTGTGTGTTTCTATTCGGTCGTCCTAGTTGTAGCCATCGTCTCAACACGCGCGGCGCATTGCCCCTGTGCGAGTAGAGACATGGGTAGAGAAACGGCAAGAACGTCCCATGAGCGGCCATTGTGCTCTTGCGACAACGCTCCGTCGCAAAGATAGCTCTCTGTAAATAGTGGCAACAGAGAGCAGTTTCATTCTTGCTGGACATCGGCATGGCAGGATTTGACGAAGCCGAGGTTTGTCGCCTAGACTTGCCCTTCTCTACCTACCTAGGCATCCTCGATATTACCCCTCATGCATACTATTCGGTATATATTACCATCACCTCATCCTCCTCCCTTCCTGCAAGGTGACAGAGTTTCACGTCATTATACATACATCTACCATGGCAAGCATCCTCAAACAAGCGCCTTTCTCTCCAGTTGTCACGGGTGCCGCCTTGCTGGTGCTACTCAAAGGGCCCGAGTCAATACAACGACCAGTCTACGACTATCTACATCAGCTGCTGAAGCCTCACAACATTGAGCGTCTTATCACTACGCTGAAATGGCTGTTCGCATTTGGTCTGATCAGGAATGTCAATGAAGCATTCAACCAGTTTGCTCGCAACAACTTCTCCCTTCGCTCCAGCAAGGCAGACTGGGACTGGGACAATGAGATCGCTGTAGTCACTGGTAGCTCCTCGGGCTTTGGCGCTCTCTTCTCAAAGGACCTCTCAGACAAGGGTATCCATGTCGTTGCCATCGACATCAACCCTCTGCCAAAGCACTTGGAGAACAACCCCAAGATCACCTTCTTCAAGTGCGATGTCACTGATGTCGAAGCCGTCAATGCCGTAGCTCAAGACATCAAGTCCAAAGTCGGACATCCCTCCATCCTGATCAATAATGCTGGCATCGGTGGCCAAAGAACAATCCTCAGCACCACACCCGCCCAAGTCCAGAAACTAATGGGTGTAAACCTCTTCTCGCATTACTATCTCGTTCAAGCTTTCCTGCCCGACATGCTGGCCAAGAAGAAGGGACATGTGGTGTCTATCGCTAGCATGGCATCTTTCTTCACCACCTCCGGCATCACAGATTACTCGTGCTCCAAAGCCGCAGTCTTGGCTTTTAACGAGGGCCTCAGCACCGAATTGCGCACTGTTCACCGCTGCCCCGAGATCAAGACTACAATCGTACATCCTTTCTTTGCAGACACGCCAATCATCGCAGCAGGCAAAGCCGAACTCCANAAAGCAGGTGCCAAAATCTTGGATCCGCAGGATATTTCTGATGCCGTGGTGGATCAGATTCTGAATGCGAGGAGCGGACAGATTTTGCTGAGCAATGGGTTTGGACCTGCTATGAGGGCTTTCAGNGGGTTGCCTTGGTGGTTGCAGGAGGGCTTCAAGAGGCTTACCGAGAGTAACCTTTCGCATTACGACAAGAAGTAATTTGTACGAAGACATGTTTTGTAAATTTGGGGAACTATTGGAGGTCCTAGTTAGATCTAGTTTCGGGCCACACGGCTCTATGTAATATCATGCTGATTTCGACTTTTTTTTTATTATAGCAGAGCGAATGCGATGCCACCGAGTCCCATCAGAGCTGCGGCGGGTCTCTGTACGGCATTGAGAGTAGGCGCAGCAGCGCCGAAACTCGTGGATGACCCACCAAGCGCAGTACCAGTCACACTACCTGTAATCTGCTCACTCGCAGCAGCAGTCCTAGTAGCCACCGCCTCCACCGAAAGAGCAGTATTGGTAAAAGTCGTGTTCCATGCCGTCCAAGTATAAGTCGCGCCACTCACGGGGCTAGCGAGGATACCATTGATATCACTCCACGTGCCAGTAGCCGAATGCAAAGGAGTAGGCTTGGCATAGTCGGAAGCATTCTTGCCATAAGTACTAAAGCCATAATCCACACAACTGAAGTTTCCACTCGCAAGACGGGAGGCACAGTGTGTTAAGCTGTTGTTGTTTCCTTCGCGATCGCTGTCGATGTAGATTTGCTTGATGGTGGCCAGAGCTATGTATGCGGGATCCTGGCTCGGGCAGGTATCCCAAANGTCTGTTGACCACCATATTAGTCTCGAAAGTTGGGAAAGTCTGACGATATCTACTTACGCAGCAGCAACAGAGCCGTACAGACAACAGGCACAGTCAGGTACCGGCCCTTCGGTGTAATCCGAGTCGTCATCCGACTCGCCGTTTTNCTTGCGAACCTTTGACTCACATGCCAGGTAGTTTTCAAAAGCACCACTTTGGATACTGTTATCGATGGTATTGAGGTTACAGCTGCACTCTCCAGCGGCACCGGCAGCCGGCGGAAAAAATGGCAGTTCCAAAGCTGGCGGAGCAGCAGCAGCTGTCGCGTTTGGTTCAGTGTGGTCATCGGAGCAAGTAACATTGTAGACGAGCAGCAGTTGCTGGTAGTCGCATGAGTAAACNNCTTCAAAAACAAGTCAGTGACATGACATCTAGCTATATGACAGAATATACAATACCCTATTCCAGCAGTTTGTAAGGGCGCAGTCAATCCTGTTCTGCAGACCAGTGCATTCGTTGTCGAGATATTCAGCAGTGTAGTTTTGCGCTTCCCAGCACGTTTGCATCTCTTTCGGTGCGGCGCACTCGGTAAATGTAAAAGGGGTATTGACGCGATCGTAGATGGTAGGGATTTGCGTGACATCGTCTTGTGCATGACCCACAGCAGACAGAGCTGCAATGCAGCCTACAAGGATAAACTTGGCATGCATGGTGAGATTGGGCTTGTAATCCAATGTGAGATAGAAGGACGACAAAAGGAAAGGTGGCTACGGTATAAGATGAATTGCATTCCTCTCTCAGGCAGCCGTCGAAGGATTTAAGCACGGGCGCTGGGCTGTGTCGCATCTAAATTCGCTGTGCATAGACGGGACATTGTTCCTTTGACTCTAACTTATCATTACTGTGGCATACATGGATCAAATACCAACAAGACCAAGGAGCAGGCTGGTGATCGAGGCGCTGTCGAGCGATATGATCTGGGACATGATCTTGTCCTTAGGAGCCGGCAATGTCAACGCGTCTCCGACTTCCCTGGTACGCGGTTGTCGCGGCTCCTCATCCTTCGTGGCCACAGGATGCAGTCAGCTAGACCACGTTGCGACACGATGGGCGTCTGTTCAAAAGAGAAAGACGATGGAACCGGGCTATCAGAAGATGATATTCAGATCTTCGAAGATCCTGTCGATGATGGCTGGCAGATCACTTCCCTATGCGACAAAGACATCTTCCCTGACGTATCCTCGATGACTCCACGGCTTGTGAGTCAAAAATAAGCAAGGTTTTGTATACAAAAAGGCCGGGTAATCTAGGATTTTATATATCTCCAAGGGTCCATAGCCGTCTTTGATTTCTTCTCGTGATATTCTTATACCAATTCCTCAGCACTATCCAAAATGTTCAAAGCCGCGTTGCTGGACACAATTGACGCCGATCGACAGGATCTCATCAGCTTTCTCCAATCTTTGACTCGCGCCGACTCATCAAATCCTCCCGGCGACACAATAGCAGCAGCCTGTGTTGTTACTACCTTTCTGGCATCTCGTGATGTCCCCTCCACGATCATCGCGCCAAAAAGCCATGCGCCCAACGTCACCAGCACTTTCCCGGCAGTATCACAATCACCAGCTCACAGCCGTTCCTCGTCTCTACATCAAATAGACGGTTACCATTCTCCGACAGCAGTGGACTCGCCGTTCGAAGGCAGCGGAATCTCGACGCCGAAACCTGGCCCGCGACTGGTCATGAATGGACATATTGATGCTTTTCCCATTTCCGAATCAGAGAAATCACAATGGACACACGATCCCTGGTCTGCGGATATCGAAAATAATCGACTCTATGGACGTGGAGTTGTGGACATGAAAGCTGGGACCGCTGCAACCATTGCCGCCTATACGTATATCTTTGCGCATCGACATCTGTTGAACGGCACCGCCGTGCTCGAAGCAGTATCCGATGAAGAAACTGGTGGAAGATGGGGAAGCAAGTACCTTCTAAATGACGACGACAGAAAAGACACTTGGACGGGAGACGTGAATCTCAATGCTGAGCCAACAGGTCTACAAAGCATACGCTTCGCTGAAAAGGGCACTTTGCGCATCACCTTTTCAGTAAAGGCTAAGAGTGCACATGGAGCCTACACACATCTGTCCGAAGGCGCGATTCGGATTGCAACAAGGTTGATCACTGAATTAGTCAAACTAGACGACTTTTCCAACTTCCAGCTCGATCCTGAAGTAAGAAGATATCTGAATCGACAAGAGGTGCGGCACACTGTCGACGAGATCATGGGTGCTGGTGCCTCCAACAACATTCTCAAGCCAACAGTGAACATCGGAACCATCAGTGGCGGTACAAAAGTCAACACCATCCCAGGCGACTGCAAATTCGAAGCAGAAATCCGCTTGCCAATCGGTCTAGTCGCCGAGACAATTCTCAAAGAGATCGATGCCATACTCAAAAACNNTTTCTCTGGAGCCTCCTACGAGGTGCAGGAGGCAGCATCCAATCCGCCGAACCTATGTCCTTTTGACCACGCACTCACTCGCGCGATAGCGGACAATGCTGAACACATACTCGGACGAAAGCCAATCGCCATACCATCACTCGGTGCGACTGACGCCAAACACTGGCGATACAAAGGCGTACCAGCATACAGCTATGGCCTTTCGCCAGAAGGAATGGCCGGTATTGATGAGAGTGTAGACCTTGACGATTACATTAATCTTGTCAAGATTCTCACCTTGACTGCATGGGATTTTCTTACTGGCCCTGAGTAGTCCCGATGTTCGACACACGCTGCTCACATTTGTTTACCATCTAGACTGTTACGATAGACATGACATCTTTTGGCACAAAAGCGATTCCTTTATTGTACATAACAAGCACTGCAACATAACCCTGGTCCTCTTCTTTTGCTCTGCTAGCAATCATCATTCACGATGAGTTTCCACCGAAGCTTGCACAGCTCAACCAAAACGTTCAACGTCCCTTCCAAAAACTCGACAAAAGATAAGCCTAGTCGGCAGGTTGGCCACCAGCAAAAGGAAAGATCAATGGAGTAGCTGGGAATCGAACCCAGAACCTTCTCCACTCAGAAATGCTCGAAAAGCAATGCTAAGAAGATGTCATACCACTAGACCACAACCCCTGTTGATGTAGTGATCTCAGGCATCACCGTTTACATAATTTCGCAGTTGCGGAGTAGTCCCGAGGTTAAGCCATTCTCTAAGCTCCAGCAAATATCTCGAAGGGCCTACGAGCTTTACTTGCTCAATCGATCTTCTTAAGCAGTTGGAAAAAGAGAGAGAGAGAAAAACTGCAGCATAGGGCGGGGAATTTGATGTTACAGAGGGAGAGACGAGACGAATGACAGGCACAAAGAACCGGCTCCATCCATGATGAAGCCAAGCTTTCGTCCTTGTTTCTCTTGCGCCGAGGCTTGTCAAAGCTACATCCTTCCTGAATCCTGACTCCTTCCACCAGCAGAAGCAGGCCGCAGAGAGAGGACATCAACCACGTCATGTAATATCTCGTCGGCCCGGCACACCGTGTCGATGGCTCTCTCTTTAACCGTGATCATCTGAGAAAAGGCGTCCTGTCTGTGGAGGCTGGTGCGGGGATCGTGGGGCGTTCAAGGATCGCCGCTTTTGCCCTCGTCGATCATTTGCCAACTTCATGAACTGCTGTATTGTTCCTCCAACCAGCGACAAGCATCGAGCGGTATACTGTATGGTACCTGCGTCCGACGGTGGTTGAAGGATTTGTTTCGGCAAGTTATCTGATCGTAACTACAGGGCAGATGCATGGGTGGATGAATTGAAATCTACCGCATTGATGCACTGTATGAAGGCGTGCAAAGGTAGGTTGGAATAATTACTGAGCGAGCTCGCTGTTTGTGGTCAGGAAATCGAGCTCGAAATTAACACAGCATGAGATTCTTTTCGCTACTGGCAGGCGCTGCCGCGTTCGTAACTTCTACTGCTGCTCATTATACCAACAGCACACCGTCGGGCGATATCGACCATGTCACCATCTTTACGCCGCCGAGGAACTACACTGTCCCTCGCACACTCTACGCAAGATCTGTCTTGCTGAACCAGGACTGTGAGGAGGACAATGTCATCCTTGCGACATGGGAGAACTACCTCTACAACAACAACTCGAATCCTTACTTCCCCATCTACCAATCCTATGATGGTGGTCACACTTGGTCGGAGCGCTCTCGCGTTTATGACCAAGTCAACGGGTGGGGACTGAGATATCAGCCTTTCCTTTACGAGCTTTCGGAGCCCATTGGCAATTTCTCAGCCGGCACTATCTTACTTGCCGGCAGCTCTATCCCTCAAGATCTCTCAGAGACCCAGCTTGAACTCTACGCCAGCACGGACAAGGGTTACACCTGGAATTTCGTCTCTCACGTTGCTCACGGCGGTGAAGCTCTTCCCAACAACGGTCTCACTCCTGTCTGGGAACCTTTCCTGATGACCTACAACAACACCTTGATCTACTACTATTCCGACCAGCGCGACCCTCGCTACGGTCAAAAACTAGTCCACCAAATTTCTTCCGATCTCCACTCTTGGGGTCCTGTGGTTGACGATGTTGTATACGGCACCTACGACTTCCGTCCCGGTATGCCCGTGGTCTCGGAGATGCCTTTTGGTCAATACATCATGACGTACGAGTTCTACGGCGCCCCCGAGGTGGACTTTGCAGTATACTACCGCATCTCCACCGACGCTACAAACTTCAACGCCAGCATTGGACGCCCTCTCGTCGCCACCGATGGCACTGTTCCCTATGGAAGTCCTTACAATGTATGGACACCTGTAGGCGGTGAGCTCGGCACTATAGTCGTCAGCTGCGGTAATCTTGGCGAAGTATACCTAAATCACAATCTCGGTGCTCCAGGTGCTTGGACAAAGATCAATACTCTAGAACCTGCTTCTTATACTAGGAGTCTTTTGGTGTTGCCTGGACAGGAGGATATTTTGATTGTTGGAGGTGGTGTTCTGGGTGGTGAGTTCAATGCTGTTACGGCAAGCTCTGTCAACGTGAAGCCTAAAGCCCCTGCTTTTGCAAAGTGTAATGCCAGAAAGTAGGATACTTGATATTACATAGATGCTATGTTGGACTACTCGTTCTTCTATTCCTTAGCCTGTCGGTTTGACAGTATCGGTGTCATAGGTGACGACAGTCTATATGCTAATAGTTCAGAGAATGATATGGAGATCATTGCAGCGTATCTGGTACCTCGGGAGTCACGCATACGGGTCTTAGCGGCCACGGCCTCCATCTTGTGTTCCAAGATGTTAGCGTCAATAACGAGTGCCAGGGTGACACCCGCAACTAGTCTTGTAGAACATTAGCGATAGCATCACGAGAGCATACTCCATGTGACACTCTCTGAACCATGTCTACACTCTTTCTATGAGTCTTAGAGACGAGGTTGACAATCCATTGGGATATAGCATAGTCTCCAATAACTTTATGCATCGAAAAGCAGTTTTTCGCGCAGACCATCTGAAATGCTCACTGAAGTTGGAAAGTCCAGTCACCGTTCTCCTGACGGGTGGATGATAGCTCAAAAGCCTTATGGTAAGTTGAGGACCACGAACGACCTGACATCCAAAGTAAGCAGAGTCGAGAAAACATCCCTAGAGGCTGTAAAGTGAAGGGCAGTCATTTGACAATGTGGTACTCGTGACGAGATGGTGGCAGAAACAAACGTAGTACAAGAAAAAACTCGAGTTACCAATCACGCCCACAATGCACAAGAAAAGGCCAAGCAGTAAAGATAGAACAAAAGATCACTTTTTCCAAATTCTAGAGCCCTGCTTGACATCATAAAAAAGCCTCTCTACCTCATGTACCAGAGCTGCTTGTCCTTGGTCTCGGTACCCTTGATCTCCCAGTTCATCGAGATATTGAGGTTGCGCTTGGCATCCTTGTTCTTCTTGAAGGTGACCTTACCTTCAATAATAGTACCTTGCTTGAGAGTCTGATCGTCCTTCTCGGTTGCGTCGATCATCAAGACACCGCAGCGCCAATGGGTCTCGGGGCCGAAGGGGCCGGTGGTGAAGAAGACGGTCTTGTCCTCGTCGGTCTTGGGAGGCTTGACTCCGCGGAGCATGCCAGCGGGGATCTCGTCCTTGCGTGATTGCAAGAAGAGAGTGTCGAACCAGGTGCAGAAACCATCGAGGTTGTCAATGTCCTTGTTGAGGGTGAAGCTGACGTCCGAGGTAAAGTCGAGGTCGGCAACTGTGACGGTGTGGAGATCGAGGACCTTGAAGGGGAGCTCGTCTGTCGATCTGCCGACGATGGTGTCTTTGTTGGGGTAGCGGACCAGTGTGTCTTCGTAGATCTTCTCCATCATGGAAGTCATGTCGAAACCGTAGACGTCTCTCCAGAAGGTGATGTTGTCTGAGATCCAGTCTTGGTCGGCAAGAGGAGCGAGGTGCATGGTGCAGTGGCTGGGGACCATCAAACCATCGGGCTTGAGATATCTGTCTCTGGCGTAGAGAACAGAGTCAAGCATGGCCTCGTACAGCAAGCAGTAACCCATCCATTCGCTGACAATAATGTCGACCTTCTCAATGCCATCAGGCAGCTGGATCTCCTCAATCTTGCCCCTGACGCAGGTAATAGTCTTGGACTGACCGTTCATAGCAATGTTGGCGCGAGCCTTGTTGATAATCTCAGAGTTGTCGACAGCGATAACACGAGCGGCACCAGCCTTGGCGCAGAAGAGAGAAAGAATACCAGTACCACAGCCAACGTCAAGCACAGTCTTGCCGGCAAAAAGGTGCTTGTTGGCGTAGATAAAGTCTCTGTAAGCGTCTGTACGGACAGTGTCTTGAAGCATAGTCTGATGAATGTCGTTGTATGAGTACGAGTCAAAATATCCAGGGTCCTGGTGGTTCTCGTTCTTGGTGTTGCTCGATCCAGCCTCGCCTTCTTTGGCAGGCTCATTCCAGCGGTCATCCAGGGTCTTTTCGACGGTCAACTTGTACTCGGCAAATTGTGCGCGCAGACGGTCCAGTTCAGCTTCGAGCTGAGCGGTCTTGTCGCTTGACGAACCGATAGGCAGATCCTGTGCAGCAGCGTCTTCAGAATCCAGGACATCGTCCAGAGAGAANNAAAGCAGGGCATCGTCTTCCAGAATAGGTTGCATGTATTTGTCGTCATCGAACAGAGCTTTTGAGGAAACATCAGGCTTCTGATTGCCATTCTTGGCCTCTCCACGAATGTAGTTGACAAGCTTAATAGCACCAAAGAAGTCAAGACNCTTGTATTGTCAGAAAATGTTGGATCGAATGGCATAAGCAATATACACACCAAAGTCTTTTGTTATCTTGATGAAATCAAAGTTGTGTTGTTCGGCAGCATACTTGATCATAGAAGCAGCATCGGGAAATGTCTTGTCGCTGAAAAAGTCCTTGACTTGAATTTCTTCATACTCTTCGGGCTCAGCATCCTCCCAGCCTTCACTGTCCTCACGCAACAACTCATCGATTGACGAGGTGCTCGAGGCGTCTGAAGATTCGAATTCGTCGCGGACCATTTTTAGCAGATGTGATAATACCTAGTAACAATGATAGGCCTGGTATTGAGCCGGGGCGGGCAGGAAATATTTGCTAAAAATGGGGACGCGCTTAAATCCGCCCTTTCTCCGAGTCGAGCTTCGGCAGTGGTGAGGTCAAAACGTCATGTGAAAGCACGACATTGATAAGTCGTCGATATTGGTTGTGAGTGAGCCAGCGCAATAAAGACAGCATGGCGCCCGACAGGGGCTCGCCCGACACCCACGACGACATGGACGCTCCTTCGGACGCTGCTTCGATCCTCTCGTCGCGTGCTCAGCAGCCGCAGAACTTCACCCTCCGCTCGCTGCTCCTTGGACTGGCTATCGGCACTGTCATCTGCTTCTCCAACACCTACTTTGGCCTGCAGACCGGATGGGTCTCGAGTATGGCCATGCCGAGCGCTCTACTGGGCTTTGCCTGGTTCAAGGCTGTCTCGAGGACCTTATCGTATCCCTTCACACCTGTTGAGAACGTCCTGGTCCAATCTGTCGCTGGTTCGGTCGGTACAATGCCTCTGGGATGCGGTTTTGTTGGCGTCATCCCGGCTCTCGAGTATCTACTCAAGCCCAACGAGACGCAGGGTGAAGGCACTGGTGTCCACCTCTCGCTGTTCAAACTTATAGTCTGGGCCGTGGGTATCTGCTTCTTCGGTGTCGTATTCGCCGTGCCACTGCGAAGGCAAGTCATCATCCGAGAAAAGCTCAAGTTTCCCTCTGGTACAGCCACCGCCCTCATGATTGGAGTACTCCATGGAGGAGAGAAAGACGCCAGGATCGTTGACATGGACAACGAGAACGAACACCAGGGCAGCAACGGACAAGTCGAAGAGGAGGAACAGAGGCTTATTGCAGGAGCCCCAACACAACGTCGGAGACAACAGTCCACTGCATCCGAGTCTGACGATGTCGAGGCTTTGGACAAGGACAATCATGCCGATTGGAGAGCCAGAATCAAGCTCCTGACTGTTTCATTCGGTATCTCTGCCATCTATGTACGTATTCACTGCAACCATCAACCCTTGATATCTTTGCTACATTTCCCAACTCTGTTCGTGAGCTCATGTATATCCTCANNGACCCTCTTGTCCTACTTTATCCCTCATATTCGCGACATTCCTTTCTTGGGTATTTATCTGGCGAAAGAGTGGCTCTGGACACTGAACCCTTCACCTGCCTACATCGGCCAAGGTATAATCATGGGTCCCGCGACCACCCTACACATGCTTCTAGGTGCCATTCTTGGTTGGGGCATTCTATCTCCACTCTCCAAAGCCAGAGGATGGGCACCTGGTGCTGTAGATGATTGGGAGAAAGGCAGCAAAGGCTGGATTGTTTGGGTCAGTCTCGCAATCATGCTTGCAGACTCGATTGTCAGTCTGGGCTGGTTGGTATTGCGTCCAACAATTCAACTCGTCCGAATCTTTGGTCCGCGAGCCAAGGACAGCGTTGCTCGTGGTACTTGGAAAGAAGATCTTCGCAATTTTGCTCACCCTCACATGAGAGGTTACAGTCCTGTCAACCTCAACGAGCCTGATCACGATTCACCCGAAACTGACGGCTTGATCTCCGGAGCCACGCAATCAAAGAAGACTGCTCAGGACGTACCAGAGCCCGATGCCCCACCTGAGCATCTGATCAGCAATAAGGTCACCTTGGTTGGATTGGTGCTATCCTTGGCTGCTTGCGCTGGTGCAGTTCACTTCGCTTTTGCAAACCTCATCCCTTTCGCTCTCACTCTTCTGGCACTAGTGCTCGCTCTTCTACTGTCGATCATGGGCGTCCGCGCCTTGGGAGAGACAGATCTGAACCCCGTATCTGGTATCTCCAAACTAACACAGCTTTTCTTTGCCCTAGTCACTCCCTCAGGCTCACCTAATGCGGTGATTGTCAACCTTATCGCCGGCGCCATTAGTGAGTCCGGCGCACTGCAAGCGGGAGATCTCCTCCAAGATCTCAAAACTGGACACNNCCTGCTCGGCGCAAGCCCGAAAGCGCAATTCTGGGGTCAAATTATCGGAAGTGCTTTTGGTGCTGTGATCAGTGCTTGCATTTACAAGCTTTATACCCGGGTGTATGAAGTTCCTGGAGGCATGTTTCAGGTGCCTACGGCGTATGTCTGGGTGTTTACCGCACGTCTTGTCACTGGACAAGGTCTACCNCCCATGGTAGGCGAATGGGCAGCAGGAGCGGCCGCAGTATTTGCCCTCTTGACCGCTCCNCTGCGGATCTACGGCAATTCGATAGGAGCAAAGTGGACACCCTTTGTTCCCGGAGGAATCGCCGTAGCGGTTGGTGAGTTGATCCCGCAACATATTCGACCAAAAGAGAAAGATCCATTGACTAACAGACTTACAGGCATGTACAATACCCCGTCTTTCACCATGGCACGGACCATTGGTGGACTGGTAAACTGGTACTGGCGCAACTGGCGCAAGGAGTCGGAAACACCCATTATCATTCTGGCCAGTGGACTCATCTTAGGGGAAGGGTTGTTTAGTATAGTCAATCTTGGTCTAGCATCTCTACAGGTACCGCACTTGTAGTGGTCGCCCGTGGTCATCCGTGGCCGTTGTTGTTTGGGCGGATACATGAATCATGTCCTAGATATCCACTTCTAGTAGTCGTTGTTTACTACCCTTCTTTAACGCAGATGGCGCAAAAAAAAGTAGAAGTGTCAGATTCCGAGTGTCTGGGAACCTGCCACTCAAGCAGCAGGGGCGTCTGATAGCATTTGGGGTTGGTCTGTCCCTGCCAAGCCGGACGATGCCAGAGGACGGCAACTGCGGCGGCACTGGTTGTTCTTCCCACTTGCTGCTCAATCTGTTGAAACATTTCAAGGCCGTGTGTTTCTTGCACTGGTCTATAATCAATATCGTGTATATCGATCTCATCACAGAAATAGTCTTGGCTAGATAAGTAGCATTACTCAAATATTTCCATGAGTCTTGTTTGTCATCGCAATCCCTGTGCCTCGTGGGCGAGTCTGCGGGAACTGCGAGCCACGATCCCATCCTCAGGATCCTCTATCGTTTCAGAAGTCAAGTAAACTTTGAAGACTCGGGAACCGTTCGCGTCAACCCTGCCATCTTGAGGTCTCGAGGTTTGACAATACTTAGGCTTGAACTCAACCCTCAGCCTGGGCGAGTTTGCAATCGGTCGCGAGACCGAGCCCTCGCCAATTCTCCGCTTTGCACGCGACAATGGTGCCCTTGGTGGCTTGATGGCAGTCTCGCAATTCTCGCTAAACTGATAGCATTCCATCAGCTTTTCTAGGGTCATGGCTAGTCTGCGATACAAGCACTGAGCACAGTCCTGCGCAACCATGCAACCCCACCGGCTCGAGCGGGCGATCGTGGCTCTCGGACCATACGCGAATAGCAGTATGGATAGATTCATGGAATGACCAGCGTAACGTTTCCTTGAACAACCACATACTCCAAGTTTTTGAGTGAGGGTCGTTCTGCAAAAGTTATGACTGGACCTTCCCTCCATACTGTCTGGTTATATGCTTGTCTCTCAGCCTCCGCCTTTGCGCGTTTTACAGAAGACAACGGCCTACCATGTGCAGACAAATCTCCCACATGCCTAAACAGCATCCATCAACTCGCTGAATCTCGGCTCGCTTCCGGCAAAATCGCTATTGCTCCTCCCAGAACTGGAACATTACGCGAGGAATCCTCAGCCACTGCACACTAGCCAGCAATCTGCCGTGGGCTACCTTACAACATTCGTCATACCACTCTTCTGTAGCCCTGTGGATATGGCCAGTTTCACTTCGATTAGACATTGTAGGTTAGTAAGACGACTCCAACCGTATGAGTTTCAAGATGAAGACAAACTTTACAAGCCACCCTACTCGATCTGCCGGTTGACCCATATAGTAGTAGTGATGATCCCGTCCAACATACGAAAGCCTCGAACGTCCCTGTTCTGCAGAAGCCTGGTCCTCCTGTTACTTCAGTCTTCCTTTACGACTTGATTCTTCCCAGGCTTGCCAGCCGTTTCGCTCTTACATCCAACGTTGATTCACGAGCATGGGTAGTGCGTCCCAGCATATGCCTGATGCAGTGCTCGCTGCTGCAATTCCAGTACTGATGTACTCTTTCTTCTGTCTTTCCCTTGGAGTATTGCTCGTGACTGTCTTACATAAAACGAGAGATGGATTTAANTTGTAAGATTATTCTCGCCTTGTCTCGCCTTTTGCTAACTTTCTCCAAGATGTCACCTTATTCGCTCTTGCGACAACGTGCACTACTATAACGTCGATTATCCAACAATGCAACTACATCGCCAACTGGCACGACTTACGAATCCAACAATACGAGCAGTCCATCATCGTTAAAGGCAACCCAGCGCTGGCATTGGGTCCTCTGTCTCGAGGCTTCAATGCTGTTTTGTTCTGGACAATTTTGTACTTTTACAATGTCGACTCAGTCACTATGCTCTTCTGGTATGATGATACTATCTCAGACACGGGGCGTTGCTGACATNNAACCAGGGCAATCGCACTGGTATTCAGTGTTTGGAACATCCGACCGAGATGGCTTCAACGATGGCAAGGCGTAATTAGCTGGATTTCCAAGATATTGGCAGTAGTGCTGCCTGCCATTTTCTCAGCGCTTCGGAAAGGCTTCCAAGTCAATGCTGGTTTCATCGGTACTTTGATCTTGATGAACTTGCTGAGTATCTTTTCACATATCTTTTTCACATCATGTTCGGACTAACACAAAAACNNAGTGCTCGTGAGTTTCGCATTTGGCGCAATCTGTGTTATCCTCATCCTTTTCAAGTATCTACGCGCCAAGATGGGATTCGACAGCTACGCATCCGCATCGGCGTCGAAATCATACGCGATCGGCAGTGTCGCAGCGGTTGAGAGCACAGCTAGTCGAGCGGCACATTCAGCGCCCAAGGGAGTCCGAGCACGAGTCGACGGATGGCTTGTAGTCCGCTTCACTATCGCCTTCCTGATTCTGAGGTAAAGACCTACCCAGGCCATTGGAAGAAGAACTATTCGCTGACCCCAAACCTCTCTCNNCAGTGGTTTCGAAATCTTCCTCATCTCGTTTGAAATCAACAGATATCACAAGACCAAAAACGCAAACATTGCTGGAGCGCCAGATTTCGGCGTCCGCGCTTCTGTCGTCGATGTGTTGAACTATTTGCCTGGCGTTACGGCCAGTCTACTCGCTTTTGTTCTGTTTGGGACCACCGCACAGCAACGCGCCATGTATGCGCCTATGTTGGCTGCTCTCCACCCCACCCGATGGCGTAGACGACCANNAAAATCAGCAAGGTTCAGTGGAAATGTGGATCAATGGAGGCGGATGGATACTGCAGGCTCGAGACAATCGCAGCAGATTGTGCATAGAGACATTGAGATGCAATTGCCGGCGAGGAAAGATAAAGTCACGAGAACTATCGTGACGACTGTGGAGAGGGAGGAAGCTTTGCTCAGTCCTTCGCCAACGGCTACGGATACTAGGGGGCATGTTGCGGTCTTGGATGATCATCATACGGATAAAAGATTGACGAGATGAACATCTGATAGTTCCAGACAAGACTTTAATATCTTCTTCGTTCGTCATCGTGCGTTATCGTGTTCGCATTACCTATTCAGTAAGAGTTGGGCATGATGTTCAGGCGTCCTCCATCCTATTCCACATTGTCAGCCATCCAGCTTCTACAGACAGAGATATTGGAACTTACAATCATTAGAATGTTTCCATTCAGGTAAGCACCAGCTCTGGACGCGATGTACAGAATGGTTCCAGCCATGTCCTCTTCATCACCAGTTCTCTCAGCAGGAATATACGACTTGTCAAATGATCCTTCTTCTCGAGGATCCGCCTTCGAATTTGAGATCAGACTCGTGGCCAACTCCGAAGGGAACACTTTGCGAAAAACGTCAGCAAAGATGTAACCATTGTCCCTCGGAAGGATATGAAACTTACAGCCAGGGGCAAGAGCATTGCACCTGATATCGAACGGCCACAATTCACTCGACAAGTTCTTTGCCAAATGCATGACTGCCGCCTTGCTGGCCTTGTATGCCATGGATTGATTAGGCTGCTTGCTGAACCCAGCAATACTTCCTGTAATCAAGATCTGACTCTTTGTTTTGTTGGCCACTGGATTCTTGTTGCCTGTATCCAATAACTCGAGGAAAGCATATGCGGTAAACAAGACTGCTGTAACGTTGACATTCAGCGTAGCCGTCACATCATCCCAGTTTTGGTTCATGGCTGCAGCTGCATATTCGGCAATACTGACTTCGCGGTTGTTGACGCCTGATGCAGGACCCATGGCTCCGCTGTTGCAGACTAAGAAGTTGATATATCCGGTTTCGGATTCGATGCGCGAGGCAATGGCTTTCAAGGTGTCTTTTGAGGTGACATCGCCGACGACTGGGATGATGACCGAGGGGTTGGTGGAAGCGGCTTCTTCGAGTTTTTCTTTGCGGCGGCCGATGATGTAGACTTTCTTTGCTCCGTTGGCTGCGAGGGCTTTTGTCATCATGAGACCGATGCCTTTTGGTGTTGTTAGTCTATGCTGATAGAGGTTTGTGGCATGGAGCATACCAGAGCCGCCGCCGGTGATGACGGCCACGAGGCCATCGACCGAGAAGAGATTGTTTCTTTGATAGAGATCAGTCATAATTTTGAATTATCTCGAGGGATTCAAAGGGATTGATAGAGATCTTTCGTGAAACTCTGTGTTGAGAGGTGCTTTGTATGTCGACGGAGTTAAGAACGAACACCGAATTGGTGAGCAACGACAAGGAGACGTCATCGGTGATCTATAACTTTTTCGGAGTTCGGAGGTTTGCTCTTGATATTTCCTGTCACACGATGCGATGCGAGGTTTTCCTAGTGACCCTATCTACTTGTATCAGTGGAAGTAGAGGGGCTGAGCGAGTAGCTAGCTTGGACAGAACAATTCGGCATCCTTCGGAGGAAAGCTTCGGCTGTCGAGGAGCTCCTGCATTCTCTACTCAACTTCCCAATCTCCACAAGAAACATCACATAGTCCTCGCTCTCACTTCCAATGATACAAAATCGAAGCTTGAAGATACGACCCAAGTTACGACCTAGATGAGCGCAGTCAGTTGTAGCGCGCATTGATCACCTCGGACAGCCAATCAACAGCGACATGGGTTGACTCATGTATGCTCCAGGATCGAGGCAGCAATGGCCCAGCAGCCACCAACCATGCTCAAATCAAACAAGCACGACTGCTCCATATAAAGTAGGGCAACCCTTTCCTCAAGCTCGTCGCAACACCATCACAATGCCAGGCTTACAAGATCTTCCATTCGAGATTCTGAAGTACATCTGCGAACTGGTCGCTGCACTGCAACCGAGACAGCTTATCCCATTCTCGGAAGTCAGCAAGATATGTCTCGCAGCATCGTCACAACCTCTTTGGCAGATCATACCCCTGAGAATTACTCGTCGAGACCAGATCCCACAAGCCGTCAAAAAGCTCAAACATGTCCTTCAGAATCGGCTGAGTCGTGATGGAAGAGTACGCTGCATCTCGATTAGGGGTCGCAAACCATTGGACTACCAAGGGAGCAGGAAATCGAGAGTCAGACGCATCGAAAAGACCTACCTGGACAACATCGCCTGGCAACCCCTCGCGGACGTGTTGGCGGGAATGCCACCTTTATCGGAAATGGAATGGGAGAAGGATGAGCTTCCGTCTTGCATCTTCCATTCTCTCAATCGCCATCACCATAGTTGCAGACTCCGGATCGTAGGAGCCAAGTGTCATGTGAATAAAAGCCTGGATCCAGACGAGCGACCTGCAGCAACATCGTCATTCATGTATGAGCTACTCTTACCATTGAACAAGGATTACGACTTCTGCAGTGAGAGTCTGAGCGGAAGGGGAGCTGGAGATTGGTTGGGCGTAAGGGCCAGCTTAGTCATAGTCGGGACTCTGTCAGCAAATCTCACGCAGGTGAAGCATCGAACAGTGACCCAAAACCGAACCGATGATGGTGTCCGACAAAAAGATCCGCATGAGTTTGACCTGGTCATGAGATCCATTGGACCCCCAGCGCGTTACAAAGCCGCTGCTCTATCAACTCTAGAGCTTACCGATGCACAAACTTCAGCCTCAGGAATGACAATTCTTGACCAACACGTCATTATGTGGAACAAGCTCACCCATCTCCCTGCTCTGCGCATCCTCAAATCAGAACTGGAAGTTCACGCAATTGCACTTATGTTGTTGACAGAAAAACTCTCACTTGACATCAAGCTCTAGAGCTCAAGCATGTTATGGCGGCCTGAGGCTCTGAGTGACTTCCATCGTGGCCTNCCACCCCTGGAAAATCTCGCGCTTACTGGCGAGATCAACCTAGCCCAGTCTCAGGAATGGATATCATCTCATGCTTCAAGTTTGAAGCGACTGCAGCTGAGGCCGTTGGAGCACTGTAACAGGACATTTGATCTCGACTCACTGAGCTCAATGGTCCAACCTCCTTTACTACTTCTCGAGCATCTGAGCATCACCATAAAGCGATTCAAAGGCGATTCGGACGAAGTCGACACTTACAAGATTCTCGGTGCGATGCCCAAGCTACAGAGCATCGTGCTCGGACTGGATTGTTCAGAGCGTTCTGTCGCGACATCGCCCTACCATCTGTTGGAGCCGGAAGGCCCAGACACCGACTTCTGGCAGCGGACCTGGAAANNTGTGGGCGCGAACATACACATTCGACATCCCCGCTATCATAACATCAAGGATGCTCTGATAAACAGTGCCGTTGATAAGAAGCTGGCAATGGCCATTTTTCGTACCATCTCAGCCGCGAAGCCGGTCTGTTCGCTGCCACTAGAACGACTCGAAGTCCGTCCTAATGGTGAGTGCGGTTTTGGTGGAACACTCCGTCGTTTCAGTGCAGATTGGTCGGCCGTTATGCAACACATTGAGCGTTCCTGGTTGGTCAAGCGAAGGTATCCGGGCTTAGGCTCAGATGAGCTATCCATAAGCCAGGTCCGATTCTGCCGTCCACGCCAGATCCTATCCGGCCGTCCAGACAAAAGATGTCGGATACCTGAAAAGCTCAAGGAAAGAACAGAGGCCATTTTTCGCAGAGTGTTTCCTGTACGCCCAGAAACCGAGGGAGACTGGCAAAAGGACTGGCATAGCTTCCCGCTTGAGCAACAAAATCAAGATGTTTCTTGAACATATTGTATAGACATGAGGCAAGTATGACTCTTTGTGTGACGGTGCTGAGCCTGTTGTAAGGTCAGGCACCGCGGCAGAGTAAACGGGTTTCCTTGACACTGCTCACACCTCCGTCACCGGCGTCAGGAGTTAAGGTATGCGGAATACATGCCGCTTCTTACATTTCCCTTCTCGAGCACAGATTGGCTTTTGTACGATTTGGATCTATGAATTTTCGGCCTTGTGACCTTTCTTTCCGAAGCACAATGACGTTGGAGTTTCTGTGACCAGAGAATAACGCAACTGTGACTGGTGAAAACGTGTAGCTGACGACCCCATGCGGCTCCTTGTTTTTTTTGAGGCTCTTTTTGCGGCTCAACTACCATTAATACTACCATCCGCATCCCCTGCCACAATTGCCTAGACCAAAAACCATGGAGAAAGATTCGGAGAAGACTTCCCTCTATTCGAGCAGTGAACATGTTGCTGGCGACAGACTGCTCACCTTTGACGAGATTCGTACGTCACTGATGGTCATTGCTGAAAGCGTACTTGGGCTAACCACATCTCATCACTANGCGTCGTGGCAGAAGTATGTCTGCCAGGTTCTGACAACTGGTATACAAGGCGATGAGAACTAATTCTACGATAGAGATAGTCCACACATCCACACAGGATACCGGTATGTTAGCTGAGGCATTATAATCATCGGGAAACTTTTCTGACCCTCTGCANNTAGACCACTGACCGGATCATGGTCACAATCAATAAAGAGCATGTTTCGTTGGCACAATGAGACGAGTATGTCCCTTTCTTACCGTATACGTACCTCGAGTATGCTGCTGATGTTAAGTCTAGTCAACATACACTCACATTCGATTGGAGCTATCATCTTTTCCTTCTTCCTGCCACTCCACTTCTACTTCGCACTCTACCGAAATGTACCAGCAGCGCAACCAATTGATGCAGCAGTGTTCTTGATATACTTTGTTGGTGTCGCGTCATGTTTTGCTGTTTCTGCAGCGTGAGCAAGATCTTGCCTTCAGCAAATTGACCACAAACTAATCGGACACAGATTTCATACCTCTGGCAGTCACAGTCAGGCTGTGCACAGAAAGTACAACAGAGCCGACTGCTGCGGAATTGTACTGCTCATGTGGGGAGCAAGTCTCGCCTCGATCCACTTTGCATTCAATTGTGATGCTCGAATGAGAAGCCTACACTGGTTTCTGGTCCGTCTTACCTATCTCCCATGTCTGTTCTGTAAATTATTCTGATGATCTTGTGCANNGAGTTCTGCCAGCGCTACCGGCTGCATCACATTCATCCTGGGACCCATGTTTATCCGGCCGGAGTACAGAACCCTTCGCGCACTCACCTATCTCAGTCTGGGTCTCTTCGCCATCGTCTTTATCGTACACGGCATGTATCTCCATGGGTTCACACTGCAACGGCGACGACTGTCCCTAGAATGGATGGGCTTGATGGCTCTTCTCAACATCCTTGGCTGCTCAGCATATGCTTTCCGCGTAAGTCGCTGTTCTATATGTATATATCTGGCATCGAGTTTCTCTGACAATGAAAACAGNATACCGGAGTCGAAATTCCCTGGCAAATTTGACTTTGTGGGTGCGTCGCATCAGATTATGCATGTTGCGGTGTTGGCCGCCGGGCTGGTGCATTATCATGGTCTCTCGAAAGCGTTACTGGAGACTAGAGGAGAGTTGCGACCGGCTTGCCAGAGCTAGACTGCTGGTTAGAAGAATGATATAGCAAAGACATAATGCGAAAACGTGAAATGTAGACACCCTGATCGGGAGGGTACAATGCACGCGCTGTGGCTGAGCCTTGCATATGATAACGTGACTAGCGGAAGGCTCGGTGATGTTGGTAATCCCCGAGTTTATCTTCCGCTCGCATCTTACTCATACAATTGGTGCGAGTCCTATTGCTTGGGTATTTGTGTGCAGATTTATAGACTTTCGAACGAGTAGGAGAAATATAGCCACTCGATGCTTCACATTCAAGACGTACTCAATGCCTCCATCGAGTAAGTGGCAGGTATCGAAGCGCGGAAAACGGTGATTGACCATTACAGCATTGTGTTCGTTCGAGCGTTCACCAAGTCACAGAGCCTTCTGGAGTTAGATAACGATCGAAATGCATTCGAATGTCGGTTTCCGACAGCTCGAGTGCTGTGGTGGTATCAACAATATCCAGCATCCAGGACGCCATTGTCCTCATACCATGCCGATGACATACTGAAGGCTACAGACGAAGCAAGGCAGTCTTCAGACCAGTCGCGAGAAAGACCGATCATCTTAGTTTGTCAGGGGCTTGGAGCAGGGCTGGTGGTGAAGAGGGTGAGCTTGCCAAAAACTGATCTTATAGGCGATCGGCTGATAAATGCTTCTTAGGCATTGGTTGTGTCAAAGACACGCAGAACTAATTACCCAAGCTTACTTCGCAGTATCTCCAAGATCTTCCTCATTGGATCCACTCACGACGAAAGAAACAAGAACGCTGGAGTTCGCATGTCGGCTTGTATGATGCTAGAGTACAATGCAGTCGAGCTTGCTGAGCGAAGGAGTGTCGTTAAGCAGGGCAATATACTCTCCGATTTCTACAGTGACAAAGCTACGGAAAGGATTGAATCTATCACCAAGGGTTTCAGACAGCATTCACTATCCTTTCCCGTTTTGTCGTACTACGAGTCGGCTCAGAGCTATTATAGTCGATACCTACGGAGTATTGGTATGATATGGATGACTCGGGGAGTTGTAAGTAATAGTAACCATAACACTTCAATTGTGGTGTTCAGAAGTACTGATTGGACTTGTGTGTATCAGCTATGCCCGGCGGAAAAGGATGTTCTCAAAACTTCGCCGTGCAAGTCAAGGACGGTCAATTTACCTCATCACGAGCTCTGTCAGCTTCCGTACAGCAGGAGATCGAACACGTTCCTAACGGGCCTACATCAGATGGTGGACACAATCTTGGAAAGCCAGAAGAACAAAACGTCATCTATGAGTGCCTTCGAATTCCTGAACATCCAGGAGGCCCAGAGTAATTTCAAGAGCTGTGAGCATGCATTGTGTGACTTGCTGTCATTTTTTTCCCAACAAGCTGTATAGAAAGTAGACTTCGTAGTTGAGAAGCATCTCGTAGTCAAATAAGCCAAGCTGACCAGTTTGAAAACTTTCAGATCAAACGAACCAATCCACTCACTCTTCGGTGACCGAAACAGCCCCGAACACCAACTACACCATCACGGACCAGGGATCGACTGACAGCGGAAACCATAATGCCATACAAACATCATGCAGTCAACCATCAGATCAAAGTGGCTTTGAGTACAAGATCGGGTGGATCTGTGCACTACCATTCGAAGCAGCAGCTACTGAGGTCATGCTTGACGAACGATACCCTGACCCACCTTTCAATGTACGCGATCCAACATTATACACACTCGGAAGGATCAGACATCACAAAGTTGTGATTGCTTGCCTACCAGCCGGCCGATCCGGAATTTCAGCCGCCACAGCTGTGGCAAGAGGGATGCTGGANGAGTTTCGCGGCATTAATTTTGGCTTTATGGTCGGGATAGGAGGTGGTGTACCTAGTAGAAGCGATGACATCCGTTTGAGAGACGTCGTAGTATCTAGCCCTCATCTAGATCACGGCGGTGTGGTTCAATATGATTTTGGCAAAGCAGAAGAAGGAGGCACATTTCGTAGAACCGGCCATCTCAACAGCCCACCCACGTTCCTCTTGAACGTGGTTAACCGAGTCCGAACCAAGCACGAGCGGGGCAAACGACTCTATTCTAACCACATGTCACGTTTCTTCGAAGAGGACATGGAGGAGTATACTCTTCCACAGAATGAGCGAGACATACTTTTCAATGCAACCTATCCTCACACCAAACATCTCGACTGCACCAGTTGCGACCCCAGTCAGATCATTCAACGAGCGCCACGCAACACCAAGATCACTTCCGTCAAGGTTCACTACGGTACTATCGCATCTGGCAACCAAGTTATCAAGGACGCCCAAACACGCGACCAAATTGTCAAAGATCTCGGCGGACAAGTCTTGTGCTTCGAGATGGGAGCTGCAGGCTTGATGAACGACTATCCATGTCTGGTTGTCAGGGGCATCAGCGACTATTGCGATTCGCATAAGAACGATGGGTGGCAGAGGTATGCAGCTGCCAATGCTGCAGCACACACGCGGGAGTTGCTGCTATTGATACCTTCGGAAGACGTGGTGAGATAGATTATGAGATCAGTGAGTTGGCAAGGTGTGAGGGTAGATTGAGTTCCATTGTACCTTTCTTGTTGTCGTTCTTTGTAGCGACTGTTTCTTCTTTCGTCAGGACCTGCTGCAGGATCGACGTTCAACATCTTCGTTCTGGTATTCCTCAATTCTCTCCAAAGTGTTTAAATGACCTTGTCTTTCCAAGGATCTACGAGGAGTTGACTTGTGTTCTCAGTGACCATCCTCGCCATTCTCCGAACCATCCTCATCGTTGCCCAATGCCTTCTTCAACTGTTCGATCTTGAGCTCATCACCTGCATTCTCAGCCATCCACTGATCAATCATGTCTCTGAGAAACTGCACTCTGATTCTCAAGTTCATCATGAGGTGCATCTGGTAATGACTGCCTCTGCGAACGCCTCTACCAGCCTCTGCATGCTCAATCTGACGGCGAGTGTAAGGCGTGATGTTGGTCTGGATACTGGAAATATGTTCATCGTGCAGAGATCTGTAGTTCTCAATCTTGTCGTTGCGCTTGGAGATCTGGGCTCTGAGNNCTATAGTATTGTGAGTTAGGGGTGTGGGGGTTGCGAAAAGGAGACCTACGCTTGCGATCTCAGTGCAGATGTTGACTTGTTCGACTGGAGTCAGGCGCAGACGAGGCGACTTGGGACCTTTGTCTTGGGTGGAGTGACGATCTCTAGGGCTGGGACAAGGGGTTAATTGCATGGTTATAGGACTAGAGATCGTGAGGTCATACCTAAAGTAGGGAGCCATGGTTGCTACGATCTCGCACTACGACCCAAGCGCGTTGTATCTTGGGAAGAGAGGAGGTAGAGCTTGGTCGAGTTACGGCGGAGTAATATATTGTGCGAATTCAGTTTTAGTGAAAGCAAAGCTAAAGACAGTGAAGCGTACGTGAGTTACGGCGGAGCCCAGTGAGAGTCGATATTGTTAGAGCGTTAACAGTACCAAGTGAAAATAGAAAGCTTGACCAGTGAAGTATGGAACAAAAGATCCTGCTGCAAAGAATATGCTGCATTGCTTTCACTCCGGGTGAAAAAACAGGCTTTTTGCAGAAATCATGTGAAGTGTGGATTAAGAAATCAAGTATGAAAAGGTGTCAGAGTATAGTGCCAGAGAGAATAAGGCACTCTCACCAACGCATAGAGCAGAAAATAGAGCTTTGAAAATGCATAGAGTACTTGGTACTAGGACTACTGTCCAACGAGAGTGGGAGATATACAGGCTCTCACTGGACAGTGGTCAATCTCGAAAAAGTTCCTGTCTTTTTACGAGGCTAAGATACATATCAAGCAGACAGGGAGAGCGATAAAGGGAGAAGGAAGGGAATCTGACTCCCACTAACGTTAGGCATGGGAGATAGTGTTAAGAGAATGCAGAAACTGTTCGCGATTTGGAGTATCGTCCAGTGAGAGCACTAGATATATCGCCTCTCACTGCACAGCACTCCAAGTTCCAAGTAATTTGCGCATTCTTACAGCCTTGACACAAACATCACCCAACATGGAGAGCGTAGAAGGAGCAAGGAGAGAATAGGACTCCCACCGGTTGTCAAGGGTAGAAAGTGAATTGTAGAGATACAGAAGGCTTTTCATATCGAGGAGCGCATCCAGCGAGAGCGGTCGATGTTTGGGCTCTCACTGGACATTGCTCTGATTTGGCTGAGTCCAAGCCTTTTTATAGCCACGAGTAGACCGAGATGCGGAGAAGGAGATCGTTTTGCAGCTCCTTTTACAGATCTTTCCACCTCCAGAGACTCCATTCAACCAGTCTCTCATCGTTGAAGAGGTCCTGGCTGGCCTCTTCTCTTCCCTCCTCCATAGCTTCCAAGCCGCCCTCCTCGAGTCTCTCCCACATTTCTCTGATGTAGTCGATATAGCAGACCCTCAAAGGGTATGCTATCAAGAATCTGGCCTCCTTGTCTTTCCTTAGCCACTTCAAGATGACATTTGCAAGCAATTCAGGATGTTCTTCCGAGTAGATGGTGTCGGCTGCAAAGATGACGTGTGCTTCTGTCTGAGGTCGCTGCTCGTCTTTGACAAGTAATGTGGTAGGATGCTTCCAGTCCAACGTCCCTGCTTCCATGGTTGTGTTGGCCTTCTCTAGGCCCTCAGAGTTGAGATTGATGTTGGCATCTAAGGCGGGAACCAAAGGTGCTAGGTCAGTGAGCACTACTGGCTGTTTCCAGAGCGTTGCTGCTGTGACACCAACAAGACCTGTACCAGCGCCGAGTTCAAGGATAGGTAGGACATCTGAACTTGGCGTGGGAAAGTGTATTTTCGGACCAAGATGATGAAGCTGAGATGCCAGGATGTGTGAGGCGGCCCATGTTTCCAGGCCTAGGTTCTCGGACGTGAGATTGGGCTCGCTGATGCGGACTTGTATAGTGTCGCCGGATCCATTCGACGGCACCGTAAAATCCTGCGTTTTGAAGCTGCGTTCCTCAGTTGCAATATTGATCGAGGCCATATTGAGATCGTCTTTTGCCAGGCTGTTTGTTCGCTCTTCAATATTCTAGACGTGTAGTTCTATGATCTATGAATGCAACAGCAGTCCAAAATTGTGATGTGTTATGTCAAAAGGCAATACTGGGCCAAGTTGTGATGGAAGCGAGTGTCGCCAAAATTTCTCCTTTCGACTTTTTGTGAGGGTCCGCGATTTTGCGGGGAAGACGAGGTCTAGAATGCATGGCATAAAACCACAACTCGAAATGGCTCGACTCGAGGAACAAGAGGTAGCAAATCTCGCTGACGACCAAAGAGCATGATGTGTCTGGTTATCTTGAGCAGCTTTACCAAATTACATGAGGTGTCAGACAGGAAACAAGTGGCATCGAGCAAACAGAAGGGACTGTCCATACTATACGAGCTAACCCAAAACGGCAATCGCTGTGCTTACCTTGTCGTTGCCAACAGGAGTGATCTGTGAACAGCTTCTTCGGACAGCTGGATTCCTGCACTTGATCCTTATGCCACAGAGAATACACTTGCTGCAATGGGTGCCGATACTAGACACTGAGGCCGAGTACGTCTAGGCAGAGTCGGATGTCCTCCTGATAAGGTCTATGGACAAGCTACTTATTGAACAGAATCTCCCCTCCTTCCGGACGCCCTGCTTGGCAGAAACCCAATTCGTTGCCCTCGACAGCGTAGCACCACGCTTTTGTAGGCTGTGGCATAACTTGTCCGGTATTTGAGGCTTGATCTGGACTGCTTCACGGCTTCTCAGGGGTACTGCGAGTACGATGCGAACATCGGCGCAAGAGCAACGCGAAAATTCGTTGGCGTCTTTCCGAAGCGTCTCGATCCTGCCAACCTTTCGGACTTTTACTTATGACATTTCATCCATAGGCAGCGTCTGTAGCCTTGCTACGGACGTATACCATACCGAACGGATTCTTTGGGTCGTACCATACAGTAGTCATTCGGACCATGGCGCCATGTACCAACTGTCGGTGGCAGATCAACCGCGCGAGTCAGCTACATGCTATACCAGCACACGAGCAACATAGATTTCTCTCACAGCAGCTCGTCTTCAAACACACGAGTGTTTCAACTTGAGATACTTGGTTCTGTCACTCGGGCTGCCGTGTTGACCCGTCTTTCCACGCGGAAAAAGACGTTAGGTTCTGCGAAAGACGTTGAGTTTTCGAATTTCTTTGGTAAAGGCGTTGTGAATGTCTCACGTGGTGCTGTAGGACGACTACCGTGACATCAGCCGACGGACTTCTTGTCTTGCGCTGCCCTCTTCGAACTTGGAACCTCTATACTTGCACCATAGTCTTCCGTCATCAAGTCAGTGAGTCGCTTCTGGCCACCTATTATATCACGTCGCATCGCGTCACGAGGAAGAGCTGCTTACTTCACCATGAACTTATAGTGGTTGGTGGAGAAACATGTCAAACGTTCATCCTCGGGTATGGCTTGACAGTTATCTTTCGATCCTGGCTTCGGACTACGGACGTTGTTGCGCTCGACTCAAGGCTCTCTTCCAGGTGCTGGAAACAGATGGTATCGTGCAGCACTATGTCGTGGCGCATACACTGCACGCTTGCCAATTGCGCTGGTCGCTTATCCGGACCGGATCTGTATCGACTCCTCCGCCAGCCGAAGCTGCTACACTATGGATATCTTGCGCGAGACATTACACGAGCTTACTCCGTACTAAGCTCCGTCGGAACGGCAGGGCATACCTTGGATGAGGAAGGGTCATGACAGCTGCCGTTGAACCACCTCATGGCTCCCCACAGAGCAGCAGAGTGAGTCTTGCCCCACACAAGCAACCGCCATACTCAAGCCACAACCATGGGCACGAGTCGATAGACGGAGAGGTAGTCGCTATAAGTACTCCTGATCTTCATCCCCTAGAACTCTATTCCACACACACGTTGCTATTCTTTTTTTGGTTATCGGGTCTTCTGGTAGGATCATTGCCGTCACGCTCTCTTTGCTCGTTCCTTGCATTAGCCCCCTTCCACGCTTCTTTATATTCTTGAGACGATCCCCGTTTTGCTGTGCGAAACCTGGACTCCAGCTATCACTATCTCTCCACACAACACAAGATGCATTTCTCACGGACTCTCTTCCCCATAATCTCAATCTCGAGCTTGGTTGCAACTTCACCACTTGCATACAACGAGCGTGATGTTGCATCAACAAGTTTGCGGCTACCATCTGCCACCACCACAACATCCTCAGACGCGCCTTGTCCAACCACACCAGAGGCAGGCACCTACTGCGGCTTCGTGAATCCAGAAGATCCTTGCGCACCGCAACCCGGCGGCCAGGGTCCCAGTATAGTCCCGGACACAGTGTCAGCCTTCACACACTACACACCCTTCCAAAGCATGTCTCTAAACAACACTTACACCCCCGGCTACACATCCATCTTCACAAACCTCACTGCAGCAGCAAATCTCAACAACTACCTCGGTCTCTACTACCTAGACACCTACTCACCCTCTGCCTGCGCCGCAAAATGCGACTTGGCAGCAAACTGCTCAAGCTTTAATATCTACATCGAACGCGACCCCAGTCAAACCCCCACAAAAAACGACTCTACAGCACCCACAGTATGGGGCTACTGGTGTCCAAACCCACCTTCCATAACAAACTACGTCTGCGCACTGTGGGGCGATGCAATGTACAACTCTTCAGCAACAAACCATGGCCAATACCGCGGCGGCGACTTTAAAGTCGCCATTGTGGGCAGTAATGGCTTTGTCAAGAATGGGGTTTACAATTCTACGGGGTATTGGAGTGGGATGCCTGCTTCGGTGCCGACGTCGGGGATGCCCGGGCCGAGTGCGAGTGGTATTGTGGCGTTTACGGGTGGTGTGGGGAGAGCTGAGAGTGGGTGGATGTGGATGGCAGGTGCGTTTGCGGGTGCTGTGGTGATGGTGTTGTGAGGAGGTGCGATGGAGACTGGTTCTTCGTTTTACTTGTGTATGTCTTGTTGTTCTTTCCTGCTGGCTCCAGGGAGGTCACTTGTGTGGCAATTTTCTTGTATTTATAATGATTCGCATGCCCCATGTGGCTGTATGAAATACTCGAGCATCTATCTTCTCCATCTGTTCCATCCTCCCGGCTAATGGTATCTTGTGACGTGTGAATTCTCACGAGTGTTTCGTCAAATCCGGTCGTTCAGTTGCAATAAGAAAGATTTTGCCATAGCATATATACATGTTTTCCTCTTGCTCACTACTTAACAAACACATCCTCGAACGGATAGAACAGCAAAGTCTAGAGATCATCTATCATGAGAAAAGGAAAAGAAATAAATTCGATCAAGCACGCTCGAGCAAGTCCAGATCTACAACCGCATCTAGCAGAAAGCGGTGCCGTTGAACTTGGACTCGGAAAGAATGACACCGTTGGCGATAAGGTCAGTGTAGGACCAGTAATCTCTCTGGGTACCCTGGCCATCGACCAGAGCAGTAGAGTACGAGACAGCGGTCCAGAAACTGCCACCGCTGACGTACTTGCTCCAGGCAAAGCGCTGGGTGTTGAAGATCAACTGGCGGTCAGCAATGGCAAGGCTGTTGTTGTACATGGTTTNGCCTAGAGGTAGAAAAGTCAGCATAATCGTCGTAGTGTGGCAATTCAGGAATACTTACAGAGACCATTCACCGATGAAGTTGGGGAACTTGGTAGACTCGGCGATGAAAGCGGCCTGACCGCAGACAGCGGGAGCGACGTACTGGGAGTAAGTACCAGCAGCGGCAAAGTAGTAGACGTGAGAGTCGATGACCAAGTTGGCCGATGCGTCGAAGTAGGGCTCCCAGAAAGCGGCGCCCTTGAAGCAGTCCTGAACCATGACGGGGATGCGGCTGTCAACTTTTGCAGTACGGGCAACAACGCCATTAATGTAGTCGGCAATCCACTGAGCACCCTTGTCGGAGAGACCAGCAGAAGTACCGAAACCGGAGAGGTTGTCAGATGCCTCGTTGATGGGTCCGATGGTCCAGGCAGTCGTGTTTCCACTGGCCTTGATGAAGTCAAGGATGGCGTCGACGGCATCATAGGCGTAGTTGAGGTTGGTGGTGTTGTAGAAGAAGTCATCGTGCATGAGAGCCTCACCAATGTCGAGGTTGTTGACACCACCGGGAAGAGAATGAAGACCGATGATAACGTGCATACCGTAAGTGTTGATTGCGTAGTCAGTGATGGACTTGAGGTATTGCTGCTGGTTACCATGGTAAAGAGCCGAACCGGGAACGTTGACCCATGCGGCGTAGGTGGTGGGGATTCTCAGAGTGTTCACACCAACAGAGGCAAGCTGATCAATGGTCGAATGGTTGAGGAAGCTGGCGTAACGTGCCTCCAGGGTGGGACCACACTGGTCACCAAGAGTTTGGCAGAGAGTCCATTCGTCGGGAGTGGTTGAAAGGTTGGCGACAGATGCCCACCAGATAGGGTCGTGAGTCTGCTCCTTCTCCAACCATCCGCCAAGGTTAGCACCATTGGCCTTGAAGGTCTTCCAGTCAATAAAGCCCCCAGAAGTGGTGGGTTGAGCAGTAGCAGTGGAGCTGGCAGTAGCAGTTGCGGAGCTGACAATCCAGGTAGAGGTAGTGGGCTTCTTGCAGGTACCAGCATCGGCAGAGCTGGAGAAACCATAAGAGTAAGTAACAGAGTACTTGTTGCCGCCGCTGTTGGATCCCTTGTAGGTAGCATACGAAGATGCCCAGGTCTGAGAGTAGAGGTTGCAGTATTGGCCAATGGCGACGTTGTTGCGAGACAGAATGTAGGTGTTGAAGAACTTGCAAGTGGCTTTGTTTGCCTTCAGGTTGGTAGCGCTCTGAGCGTCGCAAGCAGCGGCACAAAGGCTGGCATCGAAGGGTCCGCCAGTGAAGACCTTTGATCCGAGCAGAGTGTTTTGTCCGTTGCAGTCGTTGGGGGCGTCAATAGCAGTGTTGCCGTAGTAAGTAGGCGAGGTGAAACCGTCGGCTCCAGCTATGCTGTTGTTGACGTAACCGTTGCTACCAGCAATGACGACCTGGAACTTGCTTCTCCACTGGCCAGCGTTGTTGGCATTGGCAGAAGTGACCGGGCCACCCCAGAATACACACTGCGAGTGATTAGTTCTCTGTCAAAAACGTTTTGCAATGCCGATAATCACCTTGATGTTGGTGGTCGAAGAAGGCGACTCGCATCCGCTTCCAGGGTCCTTGCTAGGATCGCGCTCGAAGTAGGTGTTGAAAGCAGCGCAGCCAGAGATGGCATTGCACTTGGCCGCGCAACGCTCGGAGTCGTACTTGTCAAGGTTGGTGAAACCAAGGTAGCCGTANNACTGCATGAAGTGGTTAGTATCTTATCAAAGAACGACGCTTCTAAGAGATACTCACGCGTTGTTGGAGGCGTTCAAGTTCTTGAAGGCCTGAGTGTAGCCAGAAGGAGTGGCGGCAGCCGACGCAGCGCTGGCGAAGGCAGAGTAGGAAAGGAAGGCCGAAGCAGTGTCGGGAGAGGGGATAGGGCCAGAGCCGCTAGCCTGGACGGCACAGGTGCCACGTCTGCGAAGAGTGGAAGAGCTGGTGCTGTTGGTAGTGCTGTTGGAGATATCAATCTCAGTCTGACCAGTCAAGACAGAAGTCTGGACGGCGGCAGCAGCAGAGTCAGAGTCGTAGACGACAATAAGCTCATCGGTGTTGGTAGGGATGGTGACGTTCGAGGGAGTCTCGACGGTATCGATCAAAGAAAAGTCAAGCTCTTGGGGAACAGGGGAAGCGAGCGTGAGAGCCGCAGCGGCGGACAGTAGGACGAACGAGCGCATGATGAAATGAAATGAATGTCTTGATGGAGCTGTTGTCTGATCTTTGGGTGACTTGGGGATTGACGATCACTTTATACGCTGCCTCGTGGCTCCTGATTTAGAGTCCCGGAGATCGACTTGCAGAGCTCAGGCACACTGTCAAGCTCTGACCAGAATGTCGAAATATTGATGACCCGGGCGCACTGAGCAGGCCTTACCTATGGAAGATCTTGAATGGATACAGATCGGGATATATCTCTTCCAGAAGCCCTAGAAGGAGACCATAATGGGCGAATTCTCGTCTAGAAGGTCAGTCCAACAAGGGCAAGAGATCTTGGCTATGCGTGCTTGACCCGTCTTTGACATCTGATCAGGGGAACTTGGCAGCTGAGGAAGAACAATGACCAGCAGAGTTTGTACGGCAACCATAACAAGAGGCGAAACACGAGGACGGGAGCTGTGATCAGTGGGTTCGGTCTGTGCTCGTCGAAGGAAGATCCCCCAAGCCTCTCGTGCTGCATCAATGCATATAGGGGATGATGATCTAGCAAAATCTAGAAGCCGTGATTGCCACGTTCATGGTATGCCAACCTCGAAAAAATTGTGCTTTGGTTCGTGAGGACAACAATTGTCTGAGGAGATATGCCTGTGTTTCGTCCTGCGTCAACACGCCGTTGTATGGAGCTCTTCTCCGTTGACGATTTCGCTTCTGAAGGTCAAGGGAGATAGCACTCTTCGCTACAAGCGCCTGCTAGGTAGGCACTCTCATCAGCCGAACCGGATTGTCTGTCTCCATTGTAACGGTTGTCTATGGAGCGACGCAAGCGAGCAATATGATATGGGGTCGGTGCACGATTCAATGCTATGTTTCGAGATATGGATGGAGGGCTCGTAGGATCGACCACATGAAGGGTCTTCGAGAGCCCTAAACAGACGACAGGAACGAGTTTAAAGTTGTCCGGATGAGGCTTGGTCACTGCGAAGCTTGTCCTGCAGCTCGGCGTCCAGCTCCCGCTTCCTGCCCTCATTTCGTTCTGTATTTGGTATCGCCGCTGTACTCGTCCGTTCTGTGCCGAGCATGACTATGATCAATTTCATGAGTCGCGGTACGAAGTTCGCGGGTTGTGCAAGAGGCAACGAAAGACAAGAGCTGTTCACGGTTGTGCTCGAGCGCCTTGGAGGAAGAACGATATGATCATCATGATGCAAGAGATCATGACAGACGCAATCATGATGAGCCGCATCATGTCGAACCAATCATGATGAGGTGTCCCTGCGCGTGAGCGAATGATCGTGATCTCGAGCATGATGCTACTTGAAACAACAGAAGATGCTCCATCTGTGCGAGGTTGATGAACATAGAACCTTCTATCCCGATGGGACACGCTGATTGTGTTACATTTCCTCACTGAACTCCAGCTCCATAGAGAAATGATCCTGGATGTTTGTTCCAGCAGTGTCCCTTAGGACTTTGTAGGTAATTCTTCCGCTTCGTGTGCTAGGGACAAAAACGTCTGCAACACGCGGCGCGTGCAATACACACGGTACGTTCTCAGCCCTTACTATGATAAACCTCGTCGAGTTCTCCTTAACAATTGTTCAACATCCTATCATTCAATATGCAACGACAGCAGTCTCAGGCCTGGTTGCTAAGAGGTGCACCCTGACTCGACACGACTCGGTACGTCATAGTCAACAACATGCAAAACTCAGAGGAGTATAGAGCATACACTACCAGCCTCTCGAGTATGTTATGTATCTCGGCGCCGGAGTACGCTGAGACAGCTCCTGAGAGTATACCGTGGCAGTATTGTGACTTGTGAAAGGATGAGGTCAAATAAAGTTCTTCGAAAGTGAGACATTCGAGGACCGTTGCAAGGCCGCAACAGCTCTCATCGTCATCAGTGTGTCCACCTTTTGCATCTTCATCCTTCGATCTCCTCCTCACATCCAGCATCTGCAACGGACATCCAATCCAACCATGTGAGCTGCAGTTGCATGAGCCAGTTCCGTAGCACAAATGCGCTGACACACTGTCAACAGGTCGTCCTTCCTTACCAAGCTCGGCTTGACCGCCAACAACTCGCTCACCNNCCCCCTGCCCAACTACGGCCCTCAATTCCTGCTCGCCAACTTCGTACTCAGCTACGTTCTCACCACGACCCGCTTTCAGAAGACTGGTTACGGTGTTGACAACAACATGAACCCTCGCTACGATCTCGTATCTCCTCGGGCCGAACAACTCGTCTCCAAGGGCAAGCTCACACAAGAGCAATTGGACCAGTTGCGCCGTATCCAGGCTGCTCACTCGAACTCGATGGAGCATTACACTGTTTTCACAGCTGCGGTCCTGTGTTCGATGGTCGCAAAGTTGGACAGTGGTATGCTCAACAGGTACGCCACCATCTACACCTTGGTGAGAGCTGCATACTTCTTGGTCTACAGACAAAACACGACCAGACAAGCTGCTGGTATCAGAAGTGTGCTGTGGTGGGCTGGAAACATTGTCTGCATTCGCCTTTTCTGGTTCGCCGGAAAGGCTTTGAACGCACATGTTCTGTAGAGCCGTAGCCGAAAGAGCAGATGAAAATATATCGAGCTTCTAGAGAGCTTCTGCGTTCGACATTCGCAAATGGACAAGTCACCGAGTTGCTGTAGGAGCCTTCATCAAAATGTTGTAATCGTATCTTTGACATTACTCCTCCACATCCCGTAGCTCGACTACTTGATCTAAGGACGACCAGAGCTGCTTTGAGCAGGCAACGAGAAACAAGTGCCGTGCATTGCTGAAGATCGCCCTGCATCAACACCTCCGCACCCCCGCGCTCACCCCGCCTTTGCCTTGCACATCTTGTCCTATCTGCACCAAGCCCTCTTGCATCTTGTTGATTTTCAAGTCAAATCTGGAATATCGAGGCGATGAGCTAACCCATGTGTCTCGCATGCCCAGGGCTCGGTCGTCTGCATGTCGGCATCCTCTGGGGCTCGGAGGCTATTGCACCGAAGGATGTGAGATGATGTAGGCACTATCGACCTTGATAGAGATTCATAAAAGCGAGGGCTGCCGTCTTCCAGAAACGAAATCGACCAAACACGCGTCGCAAGACCACCAGAATGCATCGACTACAGACTGTGGCTTTAGCCGCTCTCCTGTCTAACTCAGCTTCTGCTGTTCCGTATGCCGAGTACATCCTCGCACCATCACAACGAGACCTGTCTCCTGTCAACGTCTATCGAACCAATGGCACTGTGATTAATGCTGCTGGCGTCACAACTTCTGGATCTGGGAGCACGATTTTCAACAGTGTGTCAGCAGTCACATACGACTATACCAAGAACATCGGTGGCTTGGTATCCTTCATTGTCAGCTCTTCCTCCGACAGCGAGCAATACCTCGGTATCTCATTCACCGAGTCGTCCATGTGGATCTCACCTGACGGGTCGGATGCTACACAGAACATTGCCATCGACGAAACGTTGTGGTTCAGGATTACTGGCCCGGGCAACTACTCTGTTGAACCTTTGCACGATCGTGGTGCCTTTAGATATCTGAATGTCTATCACAACACCACGGGCAATGTTACGCTGAGCCATCTGCAGACATACTTTACTGCCATGCCGCATTTCCCTGATGATGGTCTCCGCGAATATACGGGTTACTTCCACAGCAACGATGAGAAGCTGAATCGAGTCTGGTATGCTGGTATGTGTTAGTCCCAGTCTTTTCCTCTTCAGAGCACATGGTTCAAAAATTGGAGAGGCTACTTGGTGTCTGGATACAGAAGAGGCTGACATGATTTCNNAGGTGCCTACACTGATCAATTATGCACGATCCCCTCGACATCAGGAAACTCCTTGGTCGACCTCGACGCCACAGACCCAAACATGCCAACAGTATGGTGGTCCAACAGTACCTTGACCAACGGTAGCTCGGCATTCACTGATGGCCCAAAAAGAGACAAGTTGATCTGGCCCGGTGACTTTGCCATCTCTGTTCCCGGCGTGTTTCTCTCTACAGATGATGCAATCACGGTGAAACTGTCCCTGCAACAACTATTCGCTAGTCAAAACACCACCACTGGTGCACTTCCTTGGTTCGCTCAACCTGTGTATGCATTCCCAGAGAATGGCTTTCTCAATCTAGGGAAGGTGGTTTTCAGTTTCAACTACCACCTGTTCACACTCTTGGGATTACACAACTACTGGATCTACACTGGAGACGATGAGTATCTCCAAAACAACTGGAACAGGTTCAAGCTTGGGTTGAACTACAGTCTGAGCTTCGTAGACGAAACTGGATTAGCCAATGTCACTTCCTCCTTCGACTGGTTGAGAGAAGGCATGGGTGGCCACAACATCGAGGCAAACAGTATTCTAAAACACACCTTGGATGTTGCAGTCACACTTGCCTATGCAGTAAACGATACTTCGCACATTGAAAGCTGGACCAATGCATCCACAGCCATCGCCAGCGCTGCGAACATACTTCTCTGGAACGACACAGCTTCTCTCTACAAAGACAATGACACCACCACTTCGCTACACCCACAAGACGGCAATGTATGGAGTATCATCTCCGGCATCGCCTCTGCAAACCAAAGCACCGCTATTTCTGCCGCCCTCGCCGCCCGCTGGGGACCTTACGGCGCCCCAGCACCAGAGGCCGGCACGACCGTCTCGCCTTTCATCACAGGCTTCGAATTACAAGCCCATTACCTTGCTGGCCAGCCTCAACGCGCAATAGATCTCATGCGCTTCATGTGGGCGGACTTCATGCTCGACGACCCACGCATGACAAACAGCACCTACATCGAAGGCTACGATGTTAGTGGCGCACTACACTACCCTGCCTACGCCGACGACGCACGAATTTCTCACTCCCATGGCTGGAGTTCTGGACCTGTACTTGCGTTGTCGACGTTTGCGGCTGGATTGCATGTCTTGAATAAGACGAGTTGGGTGGCGCATCCCCAACCTGGCAATTTGACTGAAGTAGAAGCTGGGTTTGAGGTTGGATATGGGAGTTTTGCTGCTGAGTATTTGGTTACTGCTGAGGGAGTGAAGTATACGTTTTCGACACCGGCAGGCACCAAAGGCAGTCTGATCCTTGATGCTCCTGGGTGTAAGGGAAAGATCAGCATTGTGGGCAGCAATACCGCTGGTGATGGCAAGGTCCAGAGAACCGAGCATGGTGGTGGACGCGACAAGGGCTTCCATTGGAACAAGCAGGTCGAAAATCAGGAAGCTTCGTCAAGTCCCTGGAAATGTGGTGTTTGGGGTCCTTCACCTGCAAGCCAACGGAGCGCTAGTGATAGCACCATCACCATCGATGGTCTGGCTGGAGGAAACTACACGGTGGAGATCACATGTGCATGAAAGTGGACACAGATATGGGTGATGCGGATGTGGACATGTTCAAACAGTTCAAAACAACGAATGCAACCCAAGATCCGTCCATCAAAACTCTCCGAATCCCAAAACTCATCTACCAGCAAACATATCAACACTACTCCTCGAGTACCCTAGAATCTTATTCGGCCACCCACTCCAATCAGCAGAAAACAAAATCGCATCTTGGCACGCACTGCCCAATCCAGTATTGTTCAACCAAGTCGGCTCCCAGTAATTGACTCCTTTGCCCCACCCACCAGCAACATTCTTGACCACACTAACAATATCCCTGACCCATTCAGTTTGGCCTGCAGCACTGATGGGCACAGAAGTATCGCTGAGCTCTGGCGCCGTGGCTCCATCACAGATGGCAGGCCAATCCGTCTCCACCACATGGACAGGTTTCTGATACTTCGTAGCCACAGCGTTGAGTGTATCCTTGAGATTATCCAGTGTAGCAGCAGTACCATAAAACGGGTAAAAGGAAAAGCCAAAGACATCCCAATCTCCAGTTTCGACCTTGCCACTACCAGTCAAAGCTTCAAACCAATTCAATTGCAAAGTCTTGTTCCAACCATCGTCGATATGGATCATGACGGCAGGTTTCTTGACGCCAGCTTTGACTGCATCGTCGACGCCCTTGCGAGCAGAGGACCACAGACTAGCCAACGAGCTAAAATTCGCGATCCTGGCTGAAGTGGGAAAAGTATCGACGTCGACATATCCAGTGGGCCAGAGCATACCGTGACGAATCTCGTTTCCCAGAGAAACAAGAGAAAGATCCACGCCTCCGGCTTTGAATGCTAGTAAAGTAGTCTTGACATAATGGCGCAAATCTGAACCCAGAGCAGAAACACTGCTAGTCGTCCAGGCGGCGGGCGTGAATTGTTTGTTGGGATCTGCCCAGGTATCCGAAAAGTGAAAGTCGAGATAGATACGATAGCCCTTTTTGGAAAACCTCTGGGCTTGCGACAATGTATATGCCAAGTCATATTGTCCAGGTTCGGGGTTGACCCAGATCCTAAGAGCAGTTAGCCATCTCTTGTTTCACCAAGACACCAGAAACATCATCACATACCTCAGTCTTACTGTATTCATCCCACCGTCACCAAGGATATCCTCAGCAGGTCTTGTAGCGTTACCCCTTGCGGTGTCTTTGTAGGTAACATTGCCGAGCTCGAGGATATGCAAAGAAGACAGATCAAACCCTTTGTAGAAAAAAGGGTCAATCGTTTGCGTCTGAACGGGTTTGTGAGGTGAAGCACTTGCTGTAGACAAGCACAGCAATGCAGTAGAAGCGATGGAGATGAAAGAAGGCATGATGGAAGATGCAGAACCTACGATAGTCGTGGGAAAGGCTTCCAGAGTTGTACTTGGCCTTCTTTATACTCGTCAGAAGAAAGGACGTCTCGTAGATCATCCCTCGGTAACATGCACTCTGATGCCTATATTGCTCCTTCCCCAGCCGCTTCCAGAACATGGGGGCATAGTGCCGCCCTCGATGGAGAAGTTGCGGGGCGCATATCAACATCCACCAACTGAATGATCTTCCGTCAAGCACAGATGTTCAACACGTTCCGTGCGGGAATGGATGACCAGGGCATGAACACTGACTGCAAAAAGTCAAGAAGGGCCAGAGAGCTTATAAGCGAGGGCTTTCTTGACATGATGATATTAGCCGATATTCAGCCTCATGAGCCCGGCAAACCGGGTCGTCAAAAGTATACCGACCGGTACCTATCAGAGAACATAAAACAAGGTACAATTGGGCAAGACGGTAGCACGTTGGTGTATTTTCTTTCCATATCTCATATGTTCATTTGTAAAGCTTTGTGTTGGGTAAGAGGAGAGAGCAAGAGAGATGCTGGCATGCAACACAAAACAGGGAGAAAAGCCCGCCCTATACTCCTTCCTGTCCTTCCGTGATTTTATCTTTGATATATGTGTTCGCCTTTTCCCATTTCGTCCCAAGCTTTTGTTGTTCCTTGTCTTTCGCCAGTTCCAGAAGACCCAAGGCAAGCCATGAAAGTCAGAGCGAGTGTTTTGGCTCAGCTCCGATGACGAGAGCAGCTCGAAAAGAGGCAACATCATGGTTCCAATGGTCCTTGAAGAGACCTCCTGCATCAAAGCTCAACCTGACATGGTATACTTCTAGGCACCACCGCCGCCGCGAGCATAAGGATGGAAACCACGGTGCCCGCCTCTGCCACCACCTCTGTAATTGGCGCCCGGTCTTCCAGCATTCTTGGGGCCTGTGGGCGCATTAGCAGGTGCATTAGAGGGACCCGCAGGCGTGGGAGTGTGACCGCCACCCCCTCTGCCGCGTCCTCTGCCAAAGCCACCGCGAGGGGCGAATCCGCCGTTATTGCTGCCGGGACCGCCGCCTTGGTTGGGAGCGGGGACATCGTCGTACATGCCCTCCCAGCTGGTGGGCGAGCCCGAGGGTTGGAAACCGTTGCTGCTGTTGGGAGTTGCGGATGTGCCGGGCATGGGACAGCGCTGTTGTTGCTGGCGTTCGTACTTTTGTTGTTCAAAGGCGAGTTGTTCTTGAGCGTTGTAGGCGGGGCGCTGACCAGGTCCGCCGTTCATGGGTGACATGGGGTTGTTCGAGGGTGCCGGGCTGCCCGAGTTACCAGGACCGCCACCTTGCATTTGCTGCTGCATCTGTTGCATTTGTTGCATCATGGCTGGGTTCATGCCGCCTGCGAGAAGAAGCTTGTTAGTAGNTCTTGACGAGTGCAAGAGAGTCGTGAACCACTTACCTTGACCCATGCCCTGTTGCATGGCCATCATTTGCTGCATCATCTGAGGGTTCATGCCACCACCGCCACCCATCATGGGGTTGCCGCCTCCACCCATGCTAGTAGCCAATTGCTGTTGCATCATCTGGAAGTATTGCTGCATGCGCTGCCAGTATTGGGCCATCATGGCTGGGCTCATGTTGTTGCCTCCCATACCAGCGGGTCCGCCTTGCTGCATGCCACCCTGTTGACTGGGGTCAAAGCCACCTTGCTGGCCGCCAAAGCCCTGTTTCTTGAAGCCGCCGTTGTTGTTGTTGTTATCCTCGTTACCGCGCAGGTTGCCTCTGGGTTGGGCCTTCTTGACCTCAATGTATTTGCCCAAGATCTCTAGTGGTCGTTCAAGAGTTCTGTCGACTGCAGCTTCGCTGTCGAAGGTGACGAAACCAAAACCACGAGGGCGACCGGTATCCTTGTCCATCATCAGAGTGGCATCCAGAACGCGACCGAATTGCATGAAGAAGTTCTTGAAGTCGGCTTCAGTGGCTTCTTGCGAGACACCACCAACGAAGATCTTGCTAGTACGCTCTTGCTCATCGCGAGGAATAGCTCTCTTGGGATCAATNNCTGTATCATGGTCAGTCGTGCGTATGACGGATGCAAAGGAAGAACCCACAATCTTGCCGTCAAGCTGATGTTCCTTCACCATGACGATGTTAACGGTCTTGGGGTCTCTGAAAGTGAGGAAACCGAAACCGCGAGAACGTCCAGTTGCACCGTCACGCATGACAGTGCACTCCGTGACTTCGCCAAACTGTGAAAAATACTCCCTAAGTGATTNCTGAAAAGGGGAAAACATCAGTATGCAGTCAAAATGGAACGCAAGGGCTCAAAACTACTTACGATCTGTTGTCTCCCAGTTCAAACCACCGATAAACATTTTGCTATCAAACAACTTCACGTTAGCAAACAGTCATCGAGAGCTGCATGTTGGGTATTGTGGTTCCGGAAGACATGATTGCGCAAAGGAGCAGGTGATTCGTTTGGTTTTCCGGGAATACGTGATGCGGTCGGATGGGAAGCTTCAAGGTGTCTTCTTGAAGCGTCAACGATGCAAGAAACCGCATTATGACGCATGTAGAGACTGCTGTCATGCAAATGCTGGGATTGCGAAGCAGAGCAAGATCAAGATCAGGTCGAGGTACGGTAGTGGTGTGTATCTTGAGAAATGGTCTGGAGAATCGCTTTCTGCGCTGACGGGCCGGGACAAATGCCTCGACACGCCAGACAAACAGCAGCCATCGAATTCCGTGCTTTAGCTAGGCTCTATGAAGAGTTATCGACATGAAGCTAAATAGCTATAGGCTTTGGCTAGATGGGTTCAGAGGGTGTTTTGACCGTCATACAACGTACCACTACGATCTTGAAACTCCTGCCTCTGCCTGATATATATTGCCTGATGGGTCTTTCCGAGGTATGTAACTGGCTGCATAATGCTTGCTCTCTGGAATGGCGGACTTTCGACGCCGCTCTCCATATTCTGGCGTAGAGCCATGTAATTTCTTGTTCCTTGCCTCCAAGGCCACAATGTCAGGGCGCTCAAGAGCACACCAGATGAGGTGCTTGATGGAAAAATCCTTTTCAATTGAAGACTGCCGAGAAACGAAGCAGCACGACTATGCCTGTGTAAAAGGCAGTCTCAAGCATTCGTGCTTGTTGCATCACGTCTCGCAGTAATATGATGATCTGCTGACGCAGAAAGTTGCGAAAAATACGAGTTCCAGCTGACTCCAGTGCGCATCATGTCTTGTGTGTGTGTAGAACTTCCTGAGAGGGGGTAACAAAAGAGACGCGGCACGACTTACCCGTCTTCCTTGATGCCGATAGGCTTGTAGTCATCATCACCAGCTCCACCGTGGTTCATCTGCTGGGCAGCGTCATAATCGTTACCTTGGTTCTGATTGTTGTAGTCCCAGTTCTGTTGGCCTTGTTGCTGCTGGTCGTTCCAGCCGTCGTTGGAATATGATTGAGGGTCGGCGGGGATGTTGGATCCATTTGCTATGGGCTCTGACTGGGGAGCTTGCTCGGCAGAAACGGCTACCGAATCAGTCTGTTCGGCGGCGGCGGTTTCGACGGTGGCAGTGGCAGGAGCAGGCGCGGGTGCTGCTGGGGCAGAAGGAGCGGTATCGTCGCCCTCGTNAGCTGGCAAAGATGTCAAAAATCATGGTCGATGGAGAGCTGTCAGGACGGAAGAGGCATACAGGTCGGCGAAGAGATCCTCTTCTTCGTTGTAATCAGCCATGTTTGCTATAGGTGAGGGGTCGACTGTGCGCTGAGAAGAAGATGTGTTGGTGTTGCGAAGAAAAAGGTGCGCGGGATGAACCAAAAGAAGGTCAGACGCGGGCAATGAACAAGATGAAGGAAACTCGGCGTGAAAGGAGTCGCCGTTGTTATGTCAAGTGGTCGAAGTGAGAAGTCAGAAGCAGCAAAGCTTCTGTCTCATCGGCCAAGGCAACGCGACTGCTCTGGAACCAGTCAACCTTCGCTTCCGAGAATGACCCGTGCGGCATCTGCCTACCGCCCGTCGCACCTTCCCTTACTGGCCACTAGCTGAGCCTCTTTGTCCAGCAGGCAGCTGCAGAGACATGGGACATGAGGAGAAAGGTATAGACTGGCCGTCAGACGACTTGAGTTGAACTCGTGAAACTAGACCTAAAACCCTCGATAATCGTACCAAGTATGGAAGCTCAATCACACTCAAACTGTCAGAGACGCCGTGTACGAGAGTGGCTGCGTTCGCTATGGAGCGCGTCATTGGCGTCGCATGTTGGAGTGATGTGGGTGGCCGTTTGTTGTACAATCGTCTCATCTCGACACAACCACTCGACACGCCTCGTCTGTTAGTTTCCGCATCAAATGGCTTCCAAAAAGCTGCAGCAGGTACTGCCTTGACCATCTTCTTCTCCGCCGTACCAATGCTGATCCTCCGCTCGCAGGAAATGGTCCAGGTCGGTTCGTCTCCTCTCATGACCCTGTCGTGCTTTCCCCACAACTCGACTTCCTTAAGCTAACTGCTATACCGCCGCATATCAGACAGGTCCGAGTACGAACATGTCCAATCTTTGGCCGCTATAACCATCATCCTGACCACATGTTCGCAGGTCCTCCTCCCCTTTCTGGCGCACCTCTTCGTCCAACAGCAAGCGCGAAGCCAGTCTTGCTGGCGACAGAAAGGTCTTTGGAGCTTCATACTCTCATGCAGACATTCTCAAATTCGACAACTTGTATGCACGACCGACTCCTTGCTCCTTGTCATGTTCTGACGCTCTCTACAGGAACATCTCCAACAGCAGCACACCACGTCCACACACACCACCCTCGCGCGACAACCGACCGCCCTTGAAGTCCTCGACTAGTCTCTCTCCTCCAGCACCGCGCCGTTCCTATTCCAACTTCTTTGGCGAAAGCACAAAGACCTATGATTCACCCCAAAATGAGGAAGCCTTGGACTTTGACGAAGATGAGGACGAGTTTGGCCTACCCAGTATAGCGAGCATGAGGAGGAAAGGCAANAAACAAATCGCAAAGAAGAAGAGGGACGCAGGAGGTTCACAGTCCTCGTTGACCACCGTCCCCTCAGCAACCGCGACACTAGCCTCGTGGTCCATGAATAATGGAGACATCGCCGAGGAACGCAGCTTGCCAAACTATCCTACCACGAAGCGATCAGACGGCAAGATCCTCCGGCCACAGTACAAAGACATCCTCAGAGACCCCGCCAATGCCCTCCACTTGATCAACCACGCTCCAGCTCCACTGAATGCCTCTCCCAAAGAAGTCGAAGCCCATTCAGCCCGCATCACACGCATCAACAAGTTCAAACGTATTCTACAAGCCTCGTCAATCAATCTGGCAGAGTTGCGCGACTCTGCTTGGTCCGGACTACCTGAAGAAGTCAGAGCCATGTCATGGCAAATCCTACTCGGCTACCTTCCAACAAATAGCGACAGAAGAGTAGCTACGCTGGAGCGCAAGAGAAACGAATACCTGGAAGCTGTGCGACAAGCTTTCGAAAAAGGAACATCTACAAATGAAGCTGAGTCTGTGATTGGTATTGGTGGCATCTCCTCGTCACCAGCGACTCAACGAGGCAAGGGTCGTGGCTTGGACGAGGCCATATGGCATCAGATCAGTATTGATGTGCCGCGGACGAATCCACATCTTGAGCTGTACAGCTTTGAGGCAACGCAGAGATCTCTCGAGCGAATACTGTACGTTTGGGCTATCCGTCACCCAGCAAGCGGCTACGTCCAGGGAATCAACGATCTGGTCTCTCCCTTCTGGCAAGTCTTCCTCGGCATGTACATAACAGATCCAGAGATCGAGTTCGGCATGGATCCTGGACAACTACCCAAACAAGTGCTCGACGCTGTGGAGGCCGACACTTTCTGGTGTCTTACCAAACTTCTGGACGGCATTCAAGACAACTACATTCACGCACAACCCGGCATTCAGCGACAGGTGGCGAGTCTTCGAGATCTGACCACGCGCATTGATGGCAACCTGGCGAAGCATCTCGAGAATGAAGGAGTCGAATTCATTCAATTCAGTTTCCGATGGATGAATTGCTTGCTCATGCGCGAGATCAGTGTCAGAAACACCATCAGAATGTGGGACACGTATCTGGTAAGTTGATTGTTCAATGCAGACAGTAGAAGAAGCTAATTGTGAAAGGCCGAGGACCAAGGATTTTCACACTTCCATCTTTACGTCTGCGCTGCCTTTTTGGTCAAATGGTCCGATCAACTGCTCAAGATGGACTTCCAAGAAATCATGATGTTCCTACAAGCCTTGCCAACTCGCGGCTGGAACGAAAAAGACATTGAGCTCCTTCTGAGCGAGGCCTTCATTTGGCAGAGTCTTTTCCGAAACTCCAAAGCTCACATTCAGAAAAGCTCTCAGAACGGGCCTCTGTCAGTCACGCTATAGTGACCAGTCTTTTAATGCACTAACCCTTGTACTCTGGTAATGCCATTATCTGTACTGTATGGGTCGAGTCATCGAATGTCAATGAACCTTTGGACCGAATAAATCCTCATGCTGCATCAGTGTCCACGACACCAAGGTCACAAAGATTGACGAGACCTTCGCGTGNGCTGTTGGGAGTTAGTGTAAGGACTGCGCAAGATGTCAGGGTACTCACCGGAGCATATTGTCGGAGGTGAACGCCCGCTTCCTGGAATATCTTTGCGCTCTGTCGCACAGTCAGTCATATTCCTTGAAGTGACAGACATCAACCAACCTGGGTGTCCATGTGGTAGCTCTGACTAAAAACAACCTCGGTGATACCGACTTGGACGATCTTGACGCTACATGTCAAACAAGGACAGCTACAAGGATCAGCACGAGCAACAAGGTTGAGAAGNNAGAACATGACTTGCGTATTGCAGTACAGTACAGCACCATCACCGACACGCTCTCGACCTGCTTCGAGAAGGGCATTTTCCTCGGCATGAAGGCACAAGCATGTACTCAAGCCGGTACCGCCACCTTTGCTAGTATTGCAACGAGCACAACCGCCTTCATTGCAGTTGGTGACGTTTCTCGGAGTACCATTATAGCCTGTACTGATGACACGCTTCCCTCGGACGAGGACACAGCCGACTTGTCTCCTCATGCAGTTGCTTCGTCGGGCAGCAAGGTCAGCGAGTCGCATGAAGTATTGGTCCCAGGTCGGTCTCATCCTGGCAGGGTCAAGGAGATTCAAGGCGTCGAGCGAAGCCTGTAATTGAGGGATGGTGGTGGTAGGGTTCAAGATTCTGATCTGAGCTCTAGATGAAAGAGCTGCAAGGCTTGACAGAGGATCGTAAAGGTGCTCATCGTTGCGCAGGACAAAGTCATCTAATGCTGGAGGTTCTTTGTTCTCCTGAGCGCACCTCTCACGGAAACGCTGCCATCTCACACTGATGGGAGCATCGATACTTAGCAGGATGAAGTGAGGTCGTTTAGCCAAGGTGTCGAGGATAGCTTCGTTCCAGATAGTAGTCAAGACATAATTCTCTCTCCAGTTCTCGGAAACATATTGGTCCAGTAAAAGAGCAGTGGGAAATTCCAGAGCGGCAGATGTCCAGTGAGCAAAATTTGCAGATTTTTCGATTGCGGGTGTATGATCATCTCGCTTGATTGTGAGGGGAGTAAAGTTGTGTTNTTTGATCAGATAGTCTGCTACGGTTGCTTTGCCCGCGCATATGGCTGTGGATTCTGTTTAGGAGAGATGGTGAAAAGGGTCACATGGTCACTTACGGCCACAGATGCCGATAAGCATGATTGATCAGATGTCTTCTGTGAGATTCGAGCTTGAGAAGAAGAGTCCGTGAGTTGCATCAAGATATGCAGCACAAAGAAGTCGGAGCAGAGAAAGGAGCTTTCACATGCAATGTTTGGTGCAGAAGGTGGACGCGCTTCTTTGAGTGAGAGACCGTGCACTGGTCTGCGAGGGAAAGCGCGACCCAGACCAACGTCACAAGTGAAGGAGCATCACATTCAGCAGGTCACGACTGCCATTGAACCAACGCGCCTGTCATATGCTACGACCATAAACACTACCCTTATCCTTCACTCCACCCCTTGCGCAGACTTATTCCCGTATCCATAACACGCACGACTGCAAAGACGACTGCTCGTATCGTCTGTTTCACCCCGCAACGCGACAAACAACCATGATGGAGCCGCTCAAGTTTGCGCCTTGGACGTCCGAAATCGACCTGGGCTTCTACTCGGCCCTTGGGAACCTGAAGCTCAATCATGATCGACTGGACTCGTCGGCGCGAAGGGTTCTTGGTGTCTACCAGATCCAGACAAAGGANCCCCCAGAGCGCTCCGCCCGCATGCAGGTCCACAACCAGGCCTTGACCCAAGACCAGTATGATGATCTGTACTGCCCAAGGTGACGAGGGTGATGGCTAATGCGACCTTGCAGTGTCCCTGCCGGCTTCTATCGCGGCGAAGGCTACATCCGCAACTTCAACACCATGGACGAGTACAAGCAAGTCGACAAGGCCGCCCACATCGAACGCGCCGGTCGCACCATCTGGGACGCCATTAACGATGGAACAATCTTCTCGTGTCCCTCATTGCTATCGTCATTCTCAGCCATCTGCTATGCCGACCTCAAGAAGTTCAAGTTCACCTACCAATTCGCATACCCAGCCCTGCATTCAGACCCCACATGGTCGTGTTCAAGTGCTCAGAAGATGACACCAAAGGAAACAGTCGAGTTGGTCGACAAGGTACAGACTTGGAGGTACAGCGTGGACACAAGACAGCATGGCTTCTTCCTGGCCAAGAAGATCAGGGGGCATGACCTGGACGACGACCATGAGTCACACACCCCACTCGACGAACCCGATGACCGCGACTTTGAGCACGACCGCTCCCACCCTTCCATCGACACACCAGACTACCGCTGGAAGATTGGCGCTCTAGCCAACTACGAAACCGGCTTCTTCAACAATGTCGACCCCGAAGATCAATACATCTGTTTCGCCGACCCTTCAACCTTCGAGGCAAACCCTGGCTGGATGCTGAGGAACCTACTCGTCCTTGTCCGTCAGCGCTGGAGGCTCGACAAACTGCAAATCATGTGCTATCGCGATACACACGCTCGACGAGAGCAGCCACACACCATCTTCTTCAAGGCAGAGTCTGTCAAGCCTACCGAGAGTGACTACTCTGCAACTTTCCCCACAATGCCTGAAACTCGCGAATCTTCATCATCTTCACCCACACCGAGGTCGATACCACCAGCAGAGCGTGGTCCCATGCCCAAGATTACGGGCTGGGAACGAGACACAAGATCTAGAAACTCTTCTCGCACCATTGAAATGGGCGCATACATGGACCCCACTCGTCTTGCCGATCAGGCCGTCGACTTGAACTTGAAGCTCATCAAGTGGCGCATTGCACCCTCGATTGATCTCGACATTATCAAAGAGACCAAATGCCTTCTGTTGGGTGCAGGTACCCTGGGCTCCTATGTCGCACGCAATCTCATGGGCTGGGGTGTGAGGAATATAACTTTCGTCGACAATGGCAAAGTCAGCTTCAGCAATCCTGTGCGACAGCCGCTCTTCAATTTTGATGACTGTCTGAAGGGCGGTTCTCCCAAGGCCGAGACGGCTGCTCAGGCGCTAAGACGCATCTATCCTGGTGTCAATGCTGCCAGCTATTCGCTATCAGTGCTCATGGCAGGACACCCAATCATGGACGAGAAGAAGGTGAAAGCCGAGTTTGACCAGCTACACCAGCTTATCGCGGATCACGATGCCATCTTCATCCTCATGGACACACGCGAGTCACGCTGGCTACCCACCGTCATGGGCAAAGCAGCAGGCAAGATCGTACTCAACGCCGCTCTTGGCTTCGATTCATACATGGTCATGAGACACGGTGTAACTTCACAGTCAGAACAGGAGCAATTAGGATGTTACTTCTGCAATGATGTCGTCGCGCCTGCCAATTCGCTCAAGTCCGCCACGCTCGATCAGCAATGTACTGTCACTCGTCCTGGTGTCGCAGCCATCGCTTCAGCACTGGCAGTTGAGTTGTTTGTTTCAATATTGCAACATCCGGACAAGGCAGCAGCTCATGCCCCGCCAGTGAGCAATCCCCAAACTCAGCACCCAGACCACCCGCTAGGCAGTGTTCCCCACTCACTTCGCGGCTTCCTCACCGACTGGCGTACTCTTACGATCAGAGGGCAAGCATATGACTGCTGCTCAGCTTGTTCACCCACGATACTTTCGCTCTACAACAATGAAGGCTGGGGCTTCATCAAACGTGCAATCAATGAAAAGGGTTATGTCGAAGAAGTATCTGGATTAGCAGAAGTTCAGCGACGAGCCGAGGAGTTGGATAACGATGTGGATTGGCAGAGTGAAGGAGAGGAAGATAATGAAGAAGCGGAGATGATTTAGGCAAGTACTCGGCTCTCCGTATTGGATACAGTAGCCGTGAAGTGTTTTTGAAATGCAGAGTTTTTCTTGTAGAAAAGTAGAATATATCCATTGAGAGTGTCTGCCTTTCTTGATGCCTTTTCTTCTTCTCATCTCATCGAATATCATTTTTGTTCTTGCTTCTGTTGCATCTTCATAGATATTTCTGCTGGTATCGGGGTTCGGGGAACAAGCGATCTATAGTGTCAAGGCCTTTTTGATAATTGTCTCGATCATCATCTGTCTAATAATCTTTCATTTATCAGGCGGATCCTTGAAACCTTTTGTGTCTGTTTTCTCCATCATCGATACCATCATCACCAATACCATCATACTAAAGTGTGAGTACCATAAGACCTTGTTCTCCCAAATCTCATTTCCAGAGGTTGCAGAATCGATGAAAACTTGACGATAATTCTTGAGAAGTGAGTATGCAGTAGGTAGTGTACATGTGCGTTTTTCTTTTTCTTTTCTTTGTTCTCTCTCCCTTGCTTTTGGTTTCCTGTGATAAGAAAAATGGGTAAATTATCACTGGTTTACCTACTCTCTAGACTATTGTCAGATGTTTTTGGGAAAAAAGAAAGTGCAAGTGAGTTTTGAGAAACGGGCTTTCTTCTTTGTTGCATTGGAAATGGGTTTGTGATGTATAGAAATGGGGCAGTGTATTTTTTCTCCCTTTCTCTTTCTCTTTCTCTTTTTTCTTTTGGTTGGGTTTATGGGGGTCACGGAAAGGTTTCTGTTATGATATTCTAAGTGCTATTCTTGATGTCTGTGGTTTTCTTGGGATTGTAGGTTTAGTGGATGGATGATACTGATCATTTTGTACAACAAGGAGAAAAGTTCAGAGTGCTTTTTAGATGGTGCACACTCGAGGATATCTCAAAGAAAGATGGGAGGATTTGCGAAGGTTGTCTTGTTGGACATGTTTGGTTTACATACTATCAAGACAAGCAATTTCCTTTTTCCGTATGTAGTCAAGCTCGAATACAGGTATGCAACTGACCCAAATTTTGATCTGCTCTATCTAGTGCTTCCAAGCGCATGTTTGAAGTCAGGTATCAACTCATCAATCTTCTGAAAGTTATCTTTCTTCCTCTGAACTGCCTTTTACACCATCTCTCTCATGTTATCCATGTCTCGCTTCGAACAGGACGAACCATCACTCATCTACTCTGCGAGCATCACAGCTCAACAGTGTATCCCATACGGATTCTGCCTGCAAAACGACACTTCCACAAACTCCTCAAACGCCTCAGACTCCTCCACCATCAACACACAAAACACAAGAAACAAGACTTCTCCAAGAAACTGCATCCACACAGGTTCTCTCGTTGCTTCTTTCTTTAGACACTTGCGTGCTTTGGCGCTTCCAGTTCTCCACCAAGACAGCATTGGCAGATCCAAATTTCTGCAATTGGTGAGTTGATAGATGGTTACAGTAAACCCGAGTGCAGCAATGGAAAACAGAAACGAAGCTTGAACAGGGATTTCGAGTATCGTGTCAATCTTTGAGGTGAAGTAGCTTTTGCCGTGACGGATGTAGAGGTAGCAGATGAACAAGACAGTCTCGAGGTTTTGGCGGAATGTGGTGTTGTAAGAGGCTTCTGTTTCGAGAACTTCAATGTGGATCTTGAGGTTTTGGATGTAAACTTCGAGATCCTCGATGGTGTCTTCGAGTTCTTGGTGGTCTGAAATGTAGTCGTAGTCGGTGAGGTCTTCGTAGTTGCCAATGTACTCGAGATATTCGAGGTTCTTGCTCTCGAGGGTCTGGGTGTTGAAGTTTTGCATGCTGGCCACGATGTCGTATGATCTGTTGATGAACAGGTGACGGTATTGACGCTTTCAAGGTCGATTGTAAAGTTCGGAGACAGCGCAAAGGTCGCAATGTCTTGTTATCTTTGTCCGCTGGAAGATTGGGTGAACAGTGCGAAGAATAGTTTCTTTGACAGTGTCCTTATACTGCACCAGAAAGACTCTCCGCGATGACTCTGAGAAGATGACTGTGCTTGTAGTTATCGAATGCGTCAGCGAGGAACATTTTTAATCGCTAGGCAGGATATATTGCGTTGATTTCGTTGGATGGCAAGACGTCCCACGTGCAACGAGACTCTCGGGCGCGATGACGGCTCTGGGGGATCGCGCGTGCAGTTGTTGTAACTCAATCTACCTCTACCTTTTCTCCACACCGACTCTTGTAATCGAATGGTATGTGGCAAAATCATCGAGTCTTGAGAGTCATCAACGCCTAGCTGAGACAATGTGCTCAATATGCCGCTCGCCCACCACAGCAGAGAAATTCAGAACGGCAAGACTCATACAGGATCGTGACTGAGTGAAAGTGCTCGCCCTGCTTCAAGATGTGAAAAGAAATGTTTTCTGCCGAGAAAAGGTTACACTTACAACATCCAATTCAACTAACCAACCACACCCTTCGAAACTTTCATCATGAGCGAATCGCAATCTCATAGCCCTTTTGATCTTATGACTTCTGCCACTCGTCGATACATGCATGATATGGCGATCAGCAGAAAAGTCCGCCACAACTCAAGCATGCCAGCCGCAGCGCCCGGAACCTCCCCAGACCGTGCTCCAGAACCTGCCTCCGAGGCTGGCTCAGAATTTACTGATCACGCTGAGGCGAGCCACCAAGACGAAGAATCTGTTGCGGTGGAGTCTGATGAAGAAGAGTCTAATGAAGAGGAGTCTGGTGAGGAGGAGCCTATTGAGGAGGAGTCTGTTGAGCGACAGTCCATTACGGAAGAGTCTGTCGCGGACTTTTCCGAAGAGGAGCTCGAGGAAAGATTTCCGTGGATCATGGACTTGGTTCGAGGATTCTCTTCCTCAGGGGATGCCACGTCTTTCAGGAGCCCTAACCCTCTAGGTCCCATTGCAAGACCTTCTTGGCTGCAAGATTCACAACCTCCTCGTCGTTCTGCCCAACGCATATTCGGAATACCCGATTCGCAACGCCAGAACGAGCCACAGATTCGGCGAAGCACGATGCTCACACAATCTTTTGACATGCAGGCACAGCAGACTGAACTCAAGCCACGTCGGTGCGTGATACAGTCACACCAGACTGAGATCCGGACACCCCAGACCGAGAACCAAACACTTCAGTTGGGCATGCTGGCAGAAGACGGACAACCATTGGAGAACCGAGTTGCCGATCATGGCCTCTGCGACAACTTCTCTCGGCAACCGGTGCACCCAGAATCTTCGTCTTGGAGCCGAGAGGACGCGGCCGGCCGGTTTTTACCTCCAGTGACTCAAGAAGCAAGACAGGGTTGCATGGCACAGTATAGAGACATCGAACAAGAGCATGAGAGCCATATCTGCAGCATGCTGCTGCCCTGTTACAACATAGCCTGTATGCGCGACATGCCTGGGGGCAGAGGATGTCGTTATAGCGATTTGTTCTACTCGAAAAGGGTCGACTCTAGAACGCTAAACTCCGGATCTTCCAAGTCTGGGTCAACACGTCCATGTGTCTGGGGTTGGGGTAAGATCTTGAGGGAGTACGAGAGAGAACATGGGTTGTTTGCAGCAATAATAGATGATTGGGAAAAAGTCGCAGCGTGGTATCGGGAGCGACATGTTTATGATGAAAGGTTCACAGGTCCGGTGTTGGTTCGAGATCCGCCTAATGCTGCTGAAGGAACCAAATATTATTGGGTGCCCGAACCAGCACAGAATTGGCGTGAACGCAGGAGTACTCTGTAGAAAGCCATAGTCTTGGCTCAGAAGTGAGACTTTAGTCTTACGATCTGGTTGAACATATGAAGATAGCCAAGACTGGCACACCATGTGGGAGCTGTATCTGGGCCGAGGGAGCAAGAATAGCAATGCAATCGTCGTCAACTCGTCAGTCGAGCAGCTACTAAGACTCATGGATTGGCCGTTGGCGATATGACTGTTCCTTGTTTGGTCATAACAGCTTGTGGAGAAAATTTCGTGGTTGAATAGAACTTACCTTCCAACCCCAATATCCAGACAGCCCCATACTTCCTCTCTAGAGAACAATACAATCATGAGCGCCCAGACTGTAAGCACACAGCAACAAGGTACTCTTCCTCCGCTAAACCTCTGACATTCAAAAGGCGCATGAGCAATGTGTGCACTTCGATGTGGCGTGAAGACAGTTGGGCCGGCACATATGTTGTTAGGACCGGACAGCTAACGGTTAGCAGCAGGCCAAGCCGTCCCACTGGCAGCTGGAGTACGTGTCGAAGAGCCCTGTATGATCAAAAGATATGGATATCCTCCAGAGGGATTTGGCCGGATCAAGAACCCAGAACATGTCGCGTGGCGACACCGGGTCATTCATATCTGGTCCGCCAGCAGAGCTCATCACGACGGCTGTCGTTACAGCAATTCCTTCTACACTCAGGACACGCTGCCGTGCGCCTCGGGTTGGGGAAAGGTGTTTTACGAGTACTCGATGGCTCACGATGTGTATTCGATGGAGAACGATCCGATTGACCATGTTCTGGAAGAGTATCGTCGACGACACGCTTCTGACGAGAGGTTCGAAGGTCCCAATCTGAGACCTGAGCCTGGCGTCAATTCCGAGATCCACACTTACGGAGTGCTGCCACCACAGTAGCAAACTTCCACTTTGTGGGTCACGTATAGCAGGCTGCAAGAGCGAGGCGTGCCCGAGGGTCCAGGATGAATAGCATAATCCGAATTTCGAACATAGCAAGACGTAAAAACTGTGGAGATCCCATCTTTGATGCGTGCACTGTGACAACGTGAAGAAGTAGCGAGTTGATCGCGTGATCGGTGGAATTGTGTTCCGAAAGCACCTACCTTCTCAGCTGCTGCCAGATGGCACGAGAAATACAGTAGGTGCTGGTGACAGATCGAGAAGGTGCGACAAAGGCATTTCTTGAACTTTGAAAGCAGTGATCTGCCGTAGGTCATGATTGAAAATTGACGCGTTCCCGACACGGCATACAAAATTGCAATCGAGGCATTGTCCTGATATTATATTGATCTGTCCTCGTATCAACAAATACAGGAGCTGAGGTTGGCAAAAAGTAGCTGAGGATCGTGCTTGGCCGTTTCTCCCGTTTCGGCGAGTTTTGAGCCAGAACACGTCTATTCTTGGGACGTGGTTCACTCAACCAACTCTCATACGCGCCCAAGAGGCCGACCCTGCATGCTTGTACGGACAACCGGCGCCTCCGAGCAGAGCCGCTGCTTGTGATAAGTTTTTATACTTTTGATATCTGTGAGACAACAGGCAGGTCCAAGGAGTTGAGACGAAAGAAAACTCAAGTCGTTCCTTCTTGTTTCTTTCCCTTTTCGCGTTCAGCTCTGTTTATCGCGCCTTCCATACCACTTTGACCCGTGTGTGTGCTCACCTCAGCTTCGTTTCTGGAACCGTCGATCGACATACCAATACACCCTCCGCCATGCTCGTCTCAACTATCGTCTCCGCGCTCTCGCTGTTCGCAGTCGCATCCGCCCAATCCTCTATCTCTACCAGCAGCTCAGCTGCCGCTTCTGCCTCAACTTCTGTCGCCGCAGTCGCCGCGACCGGCTCGAATGGTTACAGTTACGCTGGATGCTACAATGAGACGACCGGAATAGCAGGCACGAACGGCGACCGCGCTCTCTCGGGCGGCAAGATGGAGACCGGCGATACCACTACCGTTGCCGTATGTCTGCAGTACTGCGGCGACTCGAACTACCAATACGCTGGTCTGGAATATTCCAAGGAGTGCGTGTGATCAAGATGAGGATTATACAAGGATTCATACTGATTGGGCATAACAGGTGCTGGTGCAGCAACTATCTCTCTGCTTTGTCGACGCAATTGTCCGCATCGAACTGCTCGCTTGCATGCGTGGGCAACAACACAGAGCTGTGTGGTGGTTACCTTACCCTCAGTCTCTACAACCTCACTAGCAAGAAAGCTGGCTCTTCTGGTTCTTCGACCAAGGGTGATGCATCATCGGTCGCGGCTTCGAGTTGGACCTTTGTTCTGGGAGCAGGTGTCATGGCGTTGACGCTCGGTTCTGCTTTGTAAAGAGGTGCTTGAGAAAGAGGTCACTTTGGGAAAGATGATACACGATGGTTGGAATAGACGGATACGGCGTTTGGGTATATCGGGTAGCATGAGGAGTTTCTGGATATGGTCATAGCAGGCAAGATTATCGCATCCTGCAGAGAACTTTTGCAGTCTTTTCAACTGAATCTTCCTACATCCAATCTTATCAGTTGCTAATTGACGGCATCGACTAAATCATACATGGCCGAGTTTGTCACAGTAGGCTCCGGAAATTTCGATTAAGCTCAGCCTTTGACGCAAGCCACTCAGCTCCCAGCTGAACCAGCTGAAGCTCACCCACACCGCCACTCCACTTTTTGTACGAACGATGTACAATCTCATGGTCACTACCTGAACACCAGGTGATTGCACACATCGTCGAGAAAGCAGACATACCATGGAATACGATGCATTATCTCATACATTTCCATCGTCTAGTCTCATGGTCTGACAAATATCATACAAACACAACATGGTATAGAAAAGCCAACTAAAACAGGAACTTGACAAGCGGCTATATCTGTCTAGAATACAGGCTCAAAAGGTGACAGTGTATGTCTATCATACAGAGGCTCCGAGCGCCTGTGCAGCGTGAAATTCGAGCCACAGACTCTCTATCATAGATGTCAGTCATTGCACGGATAGCATGCCTGAAGCACTTACCCCTCGTCGTTCTCTAAACTCGACATAAATCTCGTTCCACACTTCGCGATCACTGCAGTCGTGCTCTCCTGAGGTAGTGTTGTGGCAAGCAGGTTGCACTTCCAGCCTCACGGATTCAGCACCAGCGAGCCAAGGCTTCGGGTAGGGCCAATCCGAGAAGTGTACGAACTTGGCCTCTTGTAAAACCTGGCGAGGGTCCCAAACTTCAGCCGTGGATCCTAGATATTTGTGATGATCTTTGCTGCGGAACTCTCCAGTGAGTAGATCGTAGCGGCGATGTGGCAGAATCAAACAGTCTTGTCCGTAAAGGTTGTTCACGATCTCCATGTCGAAATCGGTGCTGTTGCGGTGCTCGAAGGCGTATAGAATGCGCTCGAACTCTTGCTTCGAAGGTTCGATGACGACGAGTTGAGATGATAGGGTATTTTTCAACCAGTATGCTCGAGGCATGGCGACAGGGACCTTTGGTAAGAAAAAGAGCTCGTCCATATGCTGTGTGGCATATCAGCATCAGAGGGCAACACGACTAAGGGGAGAAAGCACTACCTGCAGAACGTTCGCATCAGAGTCCAGACTGATCACACGCTCATATTGTGTTTGGTTGAATGCTAAGAGCTTCGTGAAGCTGTCACCCCATGTGGCTTCTCCAGAGAAATGCTGAACGTGAATAGGCACTAGTTTGACGTTGTAGTCGTCCTGTGCTTTGTGAAGTAGCGTCGACTCTGGAGACTCAGACTCGAGGGACCATTGCTCGGGGTACATCATAAGACGCTCCGCTCTGCTGCCCAGACGATGTAACGTCTCGAAGATCATGAGAGAGTTGCATAGGTAGTTCTTCTCGGTGACATATTGCGCATACGCGAACTTGGACCAGTCGACCTCTATCCCGCTATTGGGGTGCAACTCAAGATCAGCATCGAGGAACGATGAATTTGGTGAATCGCCATTGTGCTTTACGGTCGAAAATCGGTCAGTGGTAGACAACTCCGATCCTAGGTATGCAAGCAATCCGATGGAAAACAGGACCAGAAGAAGACGTGCGTTTCGAGTGAATAGTCTAGAGATGACTTTCGGTAGTCCAGGGCTTGCTGTGGGTTCTGATCTGTTGCTTTCTTCATCTGATGATCGCACTGCTGTATAGTTATGCACCAGAGGCAGCAAATTCATCCACCTCGTCGACATGCTTGAAGGACGATAGTTGCACGAAACGATATCGATAGACTAGAGAAGAGAAGAAAGAACCATCGTACGCATCGAGCGAACTCGAGGGCAACCACAGAGAGACATGGGAAATAGGACAGTACCTACCAGATCGGGTGGCCATGAGATGCGCAGCTGCGTGCTTACCGTACCAGGCTAGACATACTGTACCTAATCTGCATGTAGCAACATGCGTACCCGTTTGAGCGCATCCATCTCAAGCTGAGGTCGGATGGCCAGGTGCATGATTTGATGAGTCTTTGATGTCGAAGCCCAGATTATCGGAGACGGACGGTGCGCACCAAGTGCGTGCCCCGCTCTCAGCTCCTCGGCGTCTCAGCTTTTCGGCTTCAACCTTCTCCACCTTCTTTGCAGACACCAACAAGAGCCGATCCTTAGCGCCGATACTCATCTCTTGCATCAGGGGGTCCGACCAGTCACACTGCTTACCAAGAGCCGGGCAAGCAGTGTCTGAGGCTGAGGCCGATCGTCAACCAAGCCTCGTTACACCATGTAGTCGAATCTGGTCAAAGGTTCATAAACGACAACGTCTACACCACGATTGCAAGGCTCGATTTCACCAACCCAGACTTGCTAGATGCATGACATACCAACATCACACGCAACCACTGCATAGCGAAGGATTATTTCCTGCACGCCCGAGCAGCCCAGATAAGGCCCATCCACTCGGTCGCAATTTCACCGCGAGCCACTCGAGAACTGAAGCTTACATTTGAAGAGGATTGTCCTCAGCGTGTTCGTGATGTTGGAGCGCTTCACACTCGTTTGAGAGATCTTTCCCTTGTCTTGGAATCATGTTGACGTTCAAGACGTCCACTCGATTTGCTATCCTCACATTCGTCTCGTTCTTCTTGCCTCGTATCAGTGCTCAGACTTTTCTCGCGGTGGACTGGAGCAAGCGTACCTATGGGCCAGATGGACCATGGAATGCTGTTTCTGTTCAAGTTGGGGGCATGAGAAACTCTACGCCTATCAAATTACAGCAAGTCCCCATCGATCTCTACCCTGGCAGCACCTGGTCCACATTCGTTCCCAGTAACGTGTCTTGTGACTCAGCAGCTCAAAATTCCTGCGGCCAGGGGGCAACATGATTGCCAGATTTGGACCGCGGCACGGAGCCCTCACCTGAGTGGAATGTCAGCGTTGGTTGGCAGCCGACATTCACCTACAACAACACAAAGACCAATCTTCGTGCATACGTAGTCCCCCAAGCGATCACTATAGGTGGACAGACGATATACCAAGCCGACCTGGTCAGCGTGGAGCCCGATGATTATGACGAAGGCGACGATGACTCTGTCACATATCCTAATGGCGTGTCGGCTCTTCCACAGGTCGGACTGCTGGCGCTCACTGCTGGACCCAACGAGAAAGACATGATCCAAATTTTTGACAAGAGTGCCACAAATACTTCCGTCGGCGCAGCCAGTGTTTGGATACCCGCAGGATACCTATACAATCAAAGCATCATTCCATCTTACTCTTATGGGCTACACATCGGGTCTGCTGCCTTGGGTTACTCTGGATCTCTGTTACTGGGTGGCTACGACAAAGCAAGAGTGATCGGACCATATACTACTTATGGCAGTCAAACCCCAACCCTGCTTGACATAGGCATTGGTGTCGAGACAGGAGGCAGTCCGTTTGCATTCCAGAACAAGACTGGTCTACTAGTTGTCGACAACGACAATAAGATCAATGTAGAGATTGTGCCACATTCGCCCTCTCTCTATCTTCCACCCAAGACCTGTGATGGACTGACCAAAGTACTACCGATTTACTTTGACCAAACGACCAAATACTATCTGTGGAACACTTCTGATCCTGCTTACAAGCAGATAGTCACTTCGCCAGCCTATCTAAGCTTCACTTTCCCTCCAGCGCCTGGCGCTACAAATAATGTCACCATCAAGATACCTTTCGGCTTGCTCAACCTGACTTTGAGCTCTCCCATTGTCTCTACACCACTTCAATACTTCCCATGTCAAGCTACAACACCCAGCACAGACAACGGCATGACATACGCTCTCGGTCGTGCCTTCTTGCAAGGAGCCTTTGTTGGCTGGAACGTGAATGCAAACATTGGCTGGCTTGCTCAAGCTCCCGGTCCGGGTGACTCGAACATAGGACTTGGATCCGAATGCAAGATCATAGCAAACGATGCTACCATACTCGAAGTATACGATGGCACGCAGACCAATTACTTTGCACAATCTTGGGCCAAACATTGGACACCACTTCCACCGACCTCAACAACGCCATCCTCTGCGTCTTCTACGCAGACAAGTCAGTCAAAGACTATCTCAACAGGCGCCATAGCTGGTATCGCTGTTGGGGCTATCATTGCGATTATTGCACTCATCACTGGCATCGTTCTCTGCATGAGACGAAAGAGAAAGCACAAAGCTATCAAAGAGATCCCTCTCGACGACCGTAGCGACTCTCCCAAGACTGATGACATAATGATTGATTCTCCTTCTCGCCTTCTGACTCCTCCACCTCCATTCACTCATGGTCCGAGCGAGCTTCACCAGGGTCAGTTCTATCAAGTTTCGGAGATGCCCAGTAATCGCGAGATTCAAGAGTTGCACTCGGAGGCTCGAGCTCCTCCTGTGAGGCCTGGTAGGGTGGAACAGCGTGATGTTCATGAACTTGGGCTTCCTCCTACTCCTATTGCTTGATTGATGTTGTATCGTGGATAGGATGTACATTTTGTTGCTACCGTGATGAAGAAGAAGACTTGGATCTGGGGTGAAGCGGCTCGTTATGTATATTTGTCCGTTCTCTTTGGTATGCAGATGGTGTTTCAAGTATTCATTGTAGTGAGTAGACAACGCGTGGTCCACTAAAACTCTGGAGTACTTGTAAATGTATATTGTATTAGTCTGCCGATCGCTCCTGCCTCGTGGGTGAAACCTACCTCAAACTGTATCCAATTTCAGTCTACTACAGCCCTTCAAGGTCAGGGCTTCCCGGTCCTACATTTTTACGCCTACGGAACGATAATTCACTGGGTCAACAACTCATCCAGCATATGCGTCAGTGTTCGCGCAACGCTAGTGAGCGCAAGGAAGTAAGCGAAAACAGACAATCTGAACATGATCACTCTCAAAGTTGTGTGACTGACTACAGCGTTCTCAAGTCATCGCTCATAAGACATAGATTCTTGTACTTGGACTCTTTATACATCTCCCCTTTGCATCTCAAAGTTGACTCGGTACCGACAATCAGTCTCTCACCATGTCGTCCAAGTGGGATTCCAAAGATACTTTTCTCGAAACAATCGCCAAGTGAGTAACGTCGTTCGCTCGCATTCCGTTGAAATCATCAACTGACGAAAGACTTAGTCTTTCGGAGAGCGGCGCGTACTCGGACTTCAAGATCGTCTGTGGAGTAGACACATACAATGTCCACAGAGCCATCATCTGCCCCCAGTCAGACTTCTTTCGCGCAGCTTGCCGCCCGGACACTTTCCAGGAGGGTCACACTGGAGTTCTTACGCTTCCCGCAAACGCTGGACGTGATACGGACGCAATGAAAATCCCTCTCACTCCTGATGAAGTTGACTGGGATCTGGACGTTGAAAAAATACCACGACGATCAGACTCTTGATCCATTACTTCTACCACCACGACTATCCCTCCGAGCCAGCACCAGTGATGGAACCCTCGGGCACGTCTGTATCACGAAATGATGCAAAATGGAGCTCGGCCAGACATGCGAGCATGTATGCGATGGGAAAAAGATATGGCATATCGACGCTCAAAGACATACATATGATTAGCAATAAAACACCTTGCCGTACAATGGCACAAATCAGAGTGCTTTACAAGACATGAACGCATGACGGACCTCAAACTGAAGCCGCAGCCAAGCAAGCCCACATGGCGGCGTCTTCCATCACAAGTGTCCAGGATCTGAACCATCCGTGTGTTGTACAGGAACCACGATGTAGCTCGCAACACTGGTTGATGTTGATGTGAGTGAGAGAAGAGGAAAGTTTAGCCAAGACTTGCCCCAGATTCATCTCACTTGGTGTGACTCCGCCGTCGATGACTCCCGGCGCGGCCAAAAAGTTGAATACCATTCCACCACCTTTCTGGGCCGCACACGACCGGAAACAATCACAGCATGGCGGTCAACTTTCCCAAGGAGGAGGAGCGCATCCTCGCTCAGTGGACCGTACGCCTTTCTCAGCCCGCACGCGCAGTCAAGCCGCCGTGACTAACACGCAACTGTAGNGAGATCAATGCCTTCCAAAGACAACTCGAGTTGTCGGCGCAAAAGAAGCCCTACACCTTCTACGATGGTCCTCCTTTCGCCACCGGCACCCCTCACTACGGCCACTTGCTGGCATCCACCATCAAGGACATTATCCCTCGTTACTGGTCCATGAAAGGACACCATGTCGAGCGTCGTTTCGGCTGGGACACCCACGGTCCGTCTGATGCGCAATCCGTGGCGACAAGCGGCTTCGTCTGACAAAGTCTAGGTGTGCCCATCGAGCAGATCATCGACAACAAGCTTCAGGAAGAGCTCGGTGTGCGTGGTCGCAAGGCTGTTGAGCAGATTGGTATCGCCGAGTACAACCGCAGATGTCGCGAGGTCGTCATGACCTACGCTCAGGAGTGGAGAAGGGTTGTTGGACGTTTGGGAAGATGGATCGACTTTGACAATGACTACAAGGTGAGCACGAGGGAGGCCAAGGCACGAACGAGCATGCGCTGACAAGGCGCANNGACCATGAACCCGACCTTCATGGAGTCATGCTGGTGGGTCTTCAAGCAGCTCTACGAAAAGGACCTTGTCTACCACGGCGCAAAGGTCCTGCCCTACTCGACCGCCCTCAGCACCCCTCTCAGCAAGTCTGAGGCCCAAGAAGACTACCGTGATGTTTCGGACCCTGCTGTCATCATCAACTTCCCCATCCTCGGTCGCGACAACGAATACTTCCTCGCCTGGACCACCACACCCTGGACTCTCCCCTCCCACACCGGCCTCTGTGTGCACCCCGACTTTGAATACATCAAGATCCACGATCAAGAGACGGACAAGAAATACATTCTGCTCGAGGTTGGCCTCAAGATGCTGTACAAGGACCCCAAGAAGGCAAAATACACTGTGCTGGAGAAGATGAAGGGTTCCGAGCTGCTTGGTGTTGAGTACGAGCCTCCATTCGACTACTTCAAGGAGGAGTTCAAGGGTGTTGGTTTCAAGGTGCTCAACGACACTTACGTCAAGGTCGACGAGGGTGTCGGTATTGTCCACCAGTCTCCGGCTTTCGGTGAGGACGATTACCAAGTCGCCTGGAAGGCTGGTGTCATCAACGAGAAGCGTGCTCCTCCCAACCCCCTGGATCCCTCGGGACACTTCACCTCGCAGGTCCGCGACTTCGAGGGTCAACACGTCAAGGCTGCCGACAAGGACATTATCAAGTACCTCGAGAAGGCTGGCCGTCTCGTCAAGAAGAGCCAGATTGTCCATAGATACCCTCACTGCCCTCGCTCAAAGACTCCTCTCATTCAGCGTGCTGTCCCTTCATGGTTCATCAAGGTTGAGCACGTCGTCCCCAAGCTGCTCGAGAACCTCGAGAAGACTCACTGGGTTCCTGGCTTCGTCAAGGATGGTCGTTTCCACAACTGGCTCGCATCGGCAAAGGACTGGAACGTGTCAAGAAACCGCTTCTGGGGTACTCCCATTCCTCTTTGGGTCAGCAGCGACTTTAAGGAGATTGTCTGTATCGGCAGCATTGCTGAGCTCAAGGAACTTAGTGGCTACACTGGCGAAATCACCGACCTTCACAGAGACACTGTCGATGGCATCACCATCCCCAGCAAGCAGGGCAAAGGTGAGCTCCGTCGTATTGAGGAAGTTTTCGATTGTTGGTTCGAGTCTGGTAGCATGCCCTACGCCTCCCAGCACTACCCCTTCGAGAACAAGGACACCTTCCACGACAAGTTCCCTGGCGATTTTATTGCTGAAGGTCTTGATCAGACGCGTGGCTGGTTTTACACCATGTCTCTTCTCGGTACCTTCCTGTTCGATACCTTCCCTTACAAGAACTGTGTCGTCAACGGTATCGTCCTTGCTGAAGACGGCAAGAAGATGTCAAAGTCGCTCAAGAACTACCCCGACCCTAATCTCATCATGGACAAGTACGGTTCCGACCCTCTCCGTCTGTACATGATCAACTCTCCTGTCGTTCGTGCTGAGCCTCTACGCTTCCAGGAACAGGGTGTTAAGCAGATTGTCTCGAGTGTCATCCTTCCCCTCTGGAACAGTTACAACTTCTTCGAGCAGCAGGTTGCTCTTCTCAAGAAGCAGTCAGACATTGACTTCATGTACGACACTTCCATCGAGGCCAAGAACACCAACGTCATGGACAAGTGGATTCTCGCTTCTTGCCAGTCTCTGCTCAAGTTCGTCAACAACGAGATGTCAGTATACCGTCTCTACACTGTCGTGCCTCGTCTGCTCGAGTTGATCGACAACACCACAAACTGGTACATTCGTTTCAACCGCAGACGTCTGAAGGGTGAGACCGGCCAGGACGATGCTCTTCACGCTCTCAACACTCTCTTCGAGGTCATCTACACCATGGTTAGAGGACTTGCTCCTTTCGTTCCCTTTATCACCGACAACATCTACCAGCGCATCTCCAAGCACATTCCCGAGAGCCTGCACTACGAAGATATGCGTTCGGTTCACTTCCTTCCTTACCCCGAGGTTCGTGAGGAGCTGTTCGACGAGGTCGTCGAGAGACGTGTCAAGCGCATGCAAGTCGTCATTGAGCAAGGTCGTCTTTGCCGTGAGAGAAGAACTGTCTCGCTCAAGACTCCTCTCAAGTCATTGGTTGTCATCCACTCCGACCCTCAATACCTTGAGGATGTCAAGAGTCTCGAGTCGTACATTGTCGAGGAGCTCAACATCCGTGATCTTATCCTCAGCTCTGACGAGGAGAAGTACCACGTGCAGTACTCTGCTCTTGCTGATGTCAAATCGTTGGGTATCAAGTTCAAGAAGGATGCTGCCAAGATCAAGAAGGCCATCCCTAACCTCTCATCTACTGACATCAAGTCATTCATGTCAAGTGGCGAGATTACCATTGAAGGTTGCCACCTTTCAAGTGAGGACCTCAGAGTGCAGCGTGGCATTCAACAAACACCCGAGACCAAGCATCTCGAGGTGTCAGTTGACGACAGCTGCCTTGTCATCCTCGACAGCTTCGCCTACCCTGAACTCGCACAAGAAGGTATGGCCAGAGAGTTTGTCAACAGAGTGCAACGTCTGCGCAAGAGTGCCGGCTTGGTACCCACAGATGACGTGCGCATGGTGTACAAGGTTGTCAAGGACGACAACAACGAAGTTGACAGCATGTTCAAGGAGCAAAAGTCGCTGTTCGACAAGGCTATTCAGGGTGAGATTCAACGCGAGGATGCTGCCACTGAGGGCGCATTGGCGGAAGAGGATGCCAATGTTAGAGATGTGCTCGTCAAGTTGATGCTGTTCAAGCTATGATAGGATAAAAAGATGATGTTTCATTCTGATTCGATAGATTATTAGGTCAGAGATATGAGTTAAAGACAAAAGCTGGATTTCTTTGATTTTTTGATCGCTCGTGAATTATGTTTTCATCGTTTCCTTCCTGCCGCTGCCTGTGAGGACTTTTTAGCATCACCACTTTCTCGTGGAGAGTAGTTTTAAACATACTAGATAACAGTTCTTCAGCTGCATAAACTCCTTTGCACACATGTCCTTGCGAACGTTTTGATATTCGGCAACAATACATTTGCCGTATGCGGTTCCCTGAGATGATATGAGGATTGGTAGGCCGGGTTGTTTGAGAGGTGACATACNCTCAAGTGTGCATTTTGAGCTGGCTGTGATGAACTTCTCGAGGGGCTTTGCTCTTGCTGTCGACATGATTAGGGTGTGCTGGAATGGTTGTAGAACAGTGTGAGGCGTCTGGTAGAGAAGGAGCGATTGGCGATGTCATTGACTCGGAAGGCGGTCATCGGAAGCAACCGAGGGCTGACGTGCATGTGAAAGCCGCGTTCCTCCCATCAGCGCTTTCCATGCGACAACAACAAGAGTTGCGCTTTCGTAGCTACATTCTTTTGCAGACGAAGAACATGATTTGACTCGCTCATATTGCTTGATTCATTCGAACGCATTCACGACATATACGAACGCGCGAATGCCGTCTCCGCCATTGATCCAGCGCCGGTACAGACGACCGGACCGAAACGCGTCAATAGCACAATCATCACACGAGCCGAATGCCAGACTCGTCGCCCATTGAGGAGTTGCCGCCCTTGACTGACCAAGGTAATCATCTCTCTGCCACATTATCCGCCGTCGTCGGCTAATCGAGTTCTCGCNNAGATATCAACATCCTCTTCCAGATTGTCAGCGACGCGCAACAATCCCCGGACCCTCCAGTCAAAGCTCTCTTCGCCGCATACGACAAAGTTCTCGCCGACCATGGAATCGCTCAAGAACATGATCAGCGCTTCTTCCGCTGGGTCTTGCGCCTGGGCGAGGGTGGCTCCCACAGTTCCCGATCCTTGATGCTCAAGTTGCGCAAATTGCTTGCCAAACTAGACATTCACATTGTTGTACAGGACGATCAAAATGCCATTGAAGACGAAGAAGTCGACTTGTCTCCAGACGATGTTCAAGAGCTAGGACAAAGCAGTGCGACAAGAAGTCGAAGGGCAAGCTTCAATGACACCAGGTTAGATGAGACTTGGGTCAGTGGTGGAAGAGTTGACGCTGTTGGATCGAAACACAGCCTACACGCTTCGTTTGACGACTTGTCGCGCACACGAAGACCCTCGGCCAATGCGCCCCCTGCCCAAAACGGTGCGTCCTTTCGAGGCAGAATCTCAACCCAGCATCAGACACAACCACGCAGAAGCCACTCTCTGTCGACTCAAGGTAGTGTCAGAGCTACCCGCCCGCCAGCTCCCGAACCCTGGACTCGTTACCCACCTCCAATGGACCATCAGAATGGCATGACAGACGATGAGACCGAGTCCGATATCCCCAGCTCTCCGCCACCCTTGCCGTCTCACTACCAACCTGCGCCTCAGCACGTTGAATCTGTCGAGGCAGAGCTTACCTACGAAGCCGAGGCCTTTTACCATACTTCACAAATCAAAACCGCGCGACGATGCCTCCATCAGCTGTCTCTGGAGTGCTCGCGCCTCCAGCACATGGCCCGCATTGCTCAAAATCACGATCAGCGTCTTCTCAAAACACAAGCTTTCAGCATCTGGGCCGCAAAACTACTAGACAAGCGTCAGGCTGCCGAAACCGAACAGTTCTTTGAGCAATATGAGCGCAGAGCAACTCGTGCACGAGACCTCTTCCTACTGAACAAGGCTTTTACACATTGGGCCCAGTCTACAAGCGACGAGGTTGCCAGGACATCTGTTGCTAGAAGACACATTCTGCGCACTCGCTACTTCAATGCATGGCGTGACATTACAGCCGTCAACGATCTCAAGTGTCGTCGCTTGGGTTTGCGCAAATGGCTCTCAGTGTGGAGATCAAACGCTGCCCGCAAAGCCGTCGACAATGAACGTGCCGTTGCTATATATGAAGAGAATCTTGTTCAGAAAACTTGGTGGAAGTGGTTCTGGGCTTTCTGCGAGCGCAAAGCTCCTGTGTGGCATGATCATCGTACTAAACAGTCTTGTCTCCACCGCTTGACCGGTGCTGTGACACGTCTTCAACAGCATGGAGCCGCAGCGACACATATGCGGAACACCAATCTCCTCAAAAAGACGTTTGGAGCTTTGGTCGCCCGCCGTACTGCCATCCAGTCGCTGGAACGAAATGCGGAGGAGGTTCACCGAGCAAATCTAGTGAACAACTGTTTCCATCACATGGTACAAGAATCCAAAATGGGACATGCATCCAAAGAGATGTCAATTGTTGTATCGAGACGACTGCTCACCACAGCTGTCTCTGTTTGGCAACTCAACACCCAGCTCTCTCACCAAGCCACCATTGCGGATCGCCGACGCATCCTCCACAATGCATGGACGAATTGGAATGATAATCTGCGAGCTCGTGCACTCGTCACGAAGATCAATGATAGAATCGTACTTGAGAACCTCTACAAGTGGGTCTTACAGTCTCGATTCGCTCTCTTCCGACGTGTCATGGACAGTAGATTGCAAGAACGTGCGCTGCAGACTTTGAGTTTGAGACTCATCGAGCAGCGTTTCCATCTCGAAGAGGCGGCGATGATCTTCAATGAACACAAGCGTAGGCGTACTTTGGCTTCTGTGATGCTGAGATTGCACGGTATCTCACGAGCAGAAGAGATGATGGAACGACAAGCAATCGAATTCAGGAATACACGCGTTATGAACGCCGTGTTGCCCGTCTGGATTCAGCGCACGAAGCATTTGATGAAGCTCGACCGCTGGTCAAACGATGCTAGATTCTACTGTTCAGCTAGTGGAACCATCAAGAAGTGGAAGGACGCTACTTCAGAGGCACAACGTCACAAACGAAGGGACGCCTATGTTCAAATCCGCGCTCGCGTCAAGCTACGTATGGTTCGCGATTGTTTTGCTGCTTGGAGGGGAAGAGCGACTGTGGTTACGCAGCTTGAGGCCACTGCCGTTGAGCATGTCAATAATCGGCATATCAACGCTGGCACCGCCATCTTCAATTTGTGGCGTGGCAAAGCTCAACAGAACAACGACCTCTCCATTCAAGCCGAAGAGTTTTCTGCACGCCTTCTCTTCCTCCGCACAATTGCCACTTTGGTATCTAAAGGGCAAGAAGTCTTGCTTCACCACACGCAAGCTCTAACACTCCGCTCTCAGACCGTCGACTTACTCGCTACTGGCACACTCNNAAAAAAACTCAAGTGGGCTCTCTTCTGCCATCGACGTAATCTGGACTCTGCAGCAGCACTTGAGCAACGCAACTCCCGACAACACCGTAGGAACATGTTGAGGTACTGGGCTGAGCAAGCTTCAAGGCGAAAGGCTGCCAGGACTTTGCCGCGTCCATTAGATCCTCAACAGGATGATGTGCCCGATTCTCCTACAAAGGCACCATCGCCAACCACAGCTCATACACCTGCTCCAGTCCCTCTTCCGCCTTCTTCGAATCTGTTCAGCAGTCTCAGATTACCGTCAGCACGCAAGACGCCTGCTCCGTTGTCAGCACAAAGCAGACTTGCCCCTCTCCTTGATGGTGATGAGGAAGAGTCAGATATTGAAGAGATGGACTTTGGTGCCACTCATCGCGCTGAAGAATGGACATCTTTCGACGTTCTGAGAAACGTCATGAATCGACCACAGCCACAGTTCCAACCACACCAACCTCAATATCAAGCACCGCCGCGATTTGACAGTGCAGTGACCTCGACTCCAATTCCTGGATACATGGCTCGTACTCCTAGCAAGCGCAGCCAACGAGCGAAAGCACTCTCCGCCATTCCATCAAATAAATCAATGCGCAGAGAAGTCGTCGTCTCCACCACTCCAGCACCCACTCGAAGTAACAATGAGGTCAAAACGCCCATAGTCACGCCCTTTGAACGCAAGATGAGAAAAGGTGGATATGGTAATTCGACAGGAAGTGGCGGTGGTGTGGAACTAGCTGAAGAGAGTTTTACTCCCGCTACATTCAGACGCACGAGGTTTGGAGGATCGCCTGGCCTTGGTGGTGTAAATGGGAGTGCAGCGCAGCAGACAGGACGGAGTGTTAGGTTTTTCGATGTTGAGGACGTCAAGGAGGATTTAGATGATGCGAAGTGAATGAGATGTGTGAAATTTTTGTGTTTCGTTACGATACCCCGTTTCTTTTTATTCTGTTTGGCTGTTTTTTCTTGGGGGCCTTTAGAGAACATGCAGTGATTGTGAGAACATGCAGTGATTATGAGAACATGTGGTCAGTCAAATTCCCCTGCCGTACCTGCCTTTTCGTTTCCATGTGCACAAGACTGGTCGATACATATAGCTTGGCGTCCCTTATTACGCAAAAGGATAGGCTAGACTCTAGAGTCTACTTTAGCAATCTTGTTAGACATACTACCTATCATCGCTAGGAGTCTTTACTTTGTTAATCTCTTTCTAGTAACAACTACCTTATAGTATATATATAAAGCTAAGAGAAGCGTTCTTAAATCCTCCTTGCTCCCTCCAAAAACCACGGCTCGCTAACGTCCGCCCGCATTTTGGTCGTCGTCTTGAAACACGGATGCCTGGCAGGTGACATGTAGACTGCTAGGACTCTAACACTTATAGCTCGCTCAAGCTGGAATATGGCACCAGGCGATATAAAACCAACGCTTCTATCATAACGTCTCGAGTGGGAAATGTTATGTGTACCAAGCATCACAACTGAGACTGATACGACCGTTTAATCCAGCTTCCTTCGCCAAGCACGAGATAGGTACTAGTAGGCTCTAGGCTAGTTGCTCAGGAGGTCGCTGTTTTGGGTGTCAAATTAGACAATGATCTCGTTTTACGACTTAGGTGTCACCCCCGCCAGACAAAGGTGGTATATTTCTTTTCGCCTGCTCACCTACCCAATCATCTACTTTTCGTGGTCTTCAAATAGCAAAAGCCATCATCTTGTCAATCATGGCTGAGACGCAGAGACTCATGTCAGACAATGAGCTCTCGATTACAGATACGGAACTCCTCAATCTTTTTCCCACCACCAAAGCCAGATTCATCAGACATTTTTCCATGCCATCAACATTCACGATTTTGCAAGCCGTCAGAACAAGCTCATTTTTTCTTTTGCCGACTTTTGTGCAGTCTTGCTTGTCACCACCACCTTCCGACGCTTACTCCTCCTCCTCCTCCTCCTCCTCCTCCTCCTCCTCCTCCTCCTCCTCCTCTTCTTCCCGCAAACTTCGTGCTACAGCATGGCTAGATGGCATGCGAGGCATTGCTGCGTTTCTGGTTTACATCTATCATCTTTCCTACTCGACCCACGATGTCNNTTTTACCGCCTGGGGGAAGNNTGGCGAGGATGGCGGCACGAATCGCGAGTTTTTGCGTCTACCTCTGATACGCNNTTTTTTTTATACCGGAGACGCCATGGTGGCCATTTTCTTTGCGCTTTCGGGGTACGCATTGAGCTATAAACCTGTCAAGTTGATGGGACAAGGCAGAATGGAAGAGGTGGGTCAAAGTCTGGGGTCGGCGGTGTTTCGACGCGTGTGGAGGTTATATGTGCCGTGTTTGGCGAGCACGTATTGCGTGTTTGTGTTGCTGAGATTGGGGAGGTATGACGGGACGAGGGCGGTTGCGGGTGATGTAGAGAGACTTTATGGACATAGGGAAGTTCATCCCGTACGTGTGGGTTCGGTAGGGGAGCAGATGGCGGCTTGGATGTTTGGCTTTTGGAGGTTCGTGAATCCGTTCGCTGGCAAGGGACATGTGTATGATGGACATTTGTGGACCATCCCGCTCGAATTTGTGAGTTATTACAATGGGGGTTTGGTGCCAGGTTTTATAGGGGCTTTTTTTCTTTTTTGCTGACCGGCGGTTTGATAGAGGGATTCGATACTGCTGTTTGTGACACAGTCGGGACTTTGTCGCTTGCGACCGCGATACAGGATACTTGTCCTGCTCTTGCTGATTGCTTGCGCACACCAAGCCAATGCTTGGGACATGTTGCTCTTCTATGGCGGCTTCCTGCTCGCCGAACTCGATATTCGCCGCAACAGCATCACCACATCATCATACAATCCTTTGGACAACGGGCCCTCGCGCTCTCCACTCCAAATCGCCTGGTCGGCTCTCTACATTACCACTTTCCTGGCGGGCATGTACCTCGGCGGCCAACCCAACAAAGGCGTCGACAAAGCTCCCGGCTGGCAGACTCTGATCTCACTCATCCCCGCACACATCCACGCCTCGACACGCAGCCGGTACTGGGTAGGCTGGGGCGCATTGCTGCTGGTCTGGGCAACCTCCAACTCTGCTTCCTTGCTCCAACGCCTCTTCACCAACCCCTTTTCCCAATACATGGGCAAGATTTCCTTTTCTTTGTATCTGGTGCATGGGATGGTCATTCACACTTTACATTACAGTTTGATTGATACACTGTGGACTGTGATTGGCACAGAAACATGGCTGAAAAGGGAAACTGCATTTGTACTTTCCGGCGCAGTAGTCACAGTGGTGGTGGTTTGGGCTGCTGATGTGTTTATGCGGCTTGTGGATGTGCCATCGGTGAGATTTGCGAGGTGGTTGGAAGACAAATGTCAAGCCAAGAAGCATGTAGTTAAGAAGAAGCCCGCGTACATAGAGTCAAGCACAATCGTGTAGACCAGCAGTCTATATGAATCACTAATAAAAGACCACCACTCTCACCTGTCGCGTGCAAAGGCAATCCCGGCGTAGGATTAGTTCTCCTCCCTTACCAACTCATCGTGCCATTATAAGCCATTAGAATGCACAGTTTCATCCCGAAAAGGGGGCCTCCATGGAAATGCCTGAACATGGCGTCTTCTCTTTGGTTACCGTTCTATCATAGAGTATATCATGTATCACTACAATCATACTATACTCAGACTCATGACGGTTAGACCTCAGTGATTTGCATCGCATTGACAAATCGTTCAGGAATTAAAAGACACCTACTGAGCCTATCTCTATGGTCACGACCTTTCTTGGAAAAAATCGTGCGTTTCTAAAGCTTTTGACTTGGTCATGTGCTTTTCTGAGGAGAAATGAAGGATAATTCACATGTTCTCCCCTTAGGCTAAAGCATGTTACTCCACTCTCCGACAACAACGTAGACTGAATCATACACTCTGATAAGGCACGGTTCCATTTCAAAGCAGTGGAGACGTCAAAGAGAGCCTTCAAGATGTTGGCTCTCAGTGGATAGTGCCTTGTTTCTCAAAAGCACTATGCAATTGTATAGCTAATCACATTACATAGATAGCACACGGGGAGATGGAAGCAGTACGATGCAACAGAAAACCGAGATATAGATAGAGATCATAAAGAGAGATATAGTGCTAAACTATGTGGGTGCTAATGCTTCAAAAACAGGCATAGCTGATATTACAGTAACATGGAAACATGATACAAGAAAAAAGGAAAGCGTTTTACTTCATCTAGAGGATGAAAGAGACGATGGAACCAAGGATGTAGGCACCTAGGCCGACGACACCGCGGAGATGAGCAGCGAGCTCGCCCTTGAGACCAACGACGACGGAGCAAGCGATGGTGATCAGACCGTGGCAAGCAGCGGCGAGGGAGAAGACAACACCCTTGAGAGCGCCAAAGCCACAGACCTTGACAGCGAACTTGACGGTGAACTCGACCTCGAGGAGGAGCTCAGCGATCAAGCTGGCGAGCTCAGCGTTGCTGTGACCAGAGATACCGCCGACAATGCTGAGGTGAGCCTTGGCCTCGCCGATGAGACCGATAAGAACTTGGATGTTCTCCTTGACCTCAGCGATTTGAGCAGCAGAAGCCTTGGCCGAGCCAATGGCCTTGAGAGTGCCGTTGATCTCAGCAGTGTAGGAGTGGATGTGGTCGGCGAGGATCTCGAAAGTGCCCCAAACGTTGACAGTAGCGTTAAGGCCGAGATGGACATCGAGAGAACCGCCAGCAGCGCCGGAAAGAGAGCCTGAAACGCCGGCAGAGCCGTCAGCACCGGCTTGAAGACCAGCTGAACCACCCAGACCTGCGTTTCCATTGAGACCAGCAGAGCCGCCAATTCCTGCACCAAGACCGGCAGAACCACCAATGCCAGCACCCAAACCAGCAGAACCGGTTCCTTGAGCACCAAGACTGCCAGTACCGGTAGCGCCAGCACCAAGGCCAGCCGAGCCGCCGATTCCTGCGTCCAGACCGGCTGAGCCAGATCCGTTGATTCCAGCACCAAGGCCAGCTGAGCCTGAGCCGTTTGCGTTAAGACCAGCTGAGCCTGAACCACCAATCTCACCGGAGGCTCCTCCGTTGAGACCGGCTGAGCCGCCGAGTGCGGCACCGAGACCACCTTGGGCCGAGCCACCAAGATTACCTGAAGCACCGAGAGATCCTGAGGCACCTCCGTTGAGATCACCAGCAGCTCCTCCGTTGATTCCAGCACCAAGACCTCCGTTAATTCCTGCGCCAGCAGCGCCTGTGGCGCCTGCAGCGAGAGAACCTGAAGGCGAGGCACCAGCAGACAAACCGGCACCACCACCGATGGCGCTAGAGCCATTAAGACCACTGCCGATACCACCTTGTGCAGATCCTGAGAGAGACCCTGAAGCATTACCCTCAGCGCCAGGAGCGCCAGTTACAGCAGGGGACGAATCGGTGCCTGTGGGCATGCCATTGGCAGCGTCTGCGATCGAGTTGCTGGGAACGGACGAGGGAGAAGAGTTGGAACCGTTGTCCTGACCGTAAGCGGGGACGCTGGTAGGCGAGACGGGTACGTCAGAAGGCGACGAAGAAGACGAAGGAGCATCAGTGGGGGCGGGCGAGTTCTCAATCGCATCTGTGGCGTTGTCGCTAGGGACAGCAGAGGCGGACTCAGCGGGAGTGCCGATGGGCGAGTCGGAAGATGAAGGACCCTGAGAGCCGGAGCCGTACGAGCCAGCGCCGTAGACAGGGACGTCAGATCCAGAGCTTTCAATAGGCGAGGAAGCGGATTCGGAAGGCGAAGCAGATTCGGGCGAAGTGGGAATGTCAGAAGGCGAGGTCGAAGCAGGAACGTCAGTGGGTGTAGAACCTTGAACAGCATCGGTCAAGTTGTCGCTGGGAGTGGCAGCGGGCGACTCGACAGGGGCAGAGGGAGAAGAGCTATCAGAGCCAGAGCTCTCACCATAGGCACCAGATCCGTAAGTAGGAGGCGAAGCGGAGTTGGAGCTCGATGCGGGAACGTCAGAGCTCGATGCGGGAATGTCAGAAGGGGATGCATCAGTTGCGGCGGGTGTGGGAACACCTTGAGCAGAATCCGTGGTGGCGGCGATAGCATCGGTTGCGTTGTCGCTAGGAACAACGCTCTCACTGGGAGCAGCGCTCGAGGGAGCGGTAACACCGGCTGAGTAAGGGCTCGACCAGGTGTAGCCAGCGCCAGTGGGCTGAGCAACACCAGAAACGATGTCGGTGACGGAGGTGCCAGTAGGAATAAGAGTGGTGCTCAGAACAGTCGATGAGGCAGGGCAGTTGGTCACGTCAGCAGCGCAAGAGGTAACGGTACCGACTTGAGTGCTGTAGAGAGTGATTGTGATGGGCCCAGCAGACGTAGGAACTGGGACATCGGGGCTAGACTCGGACGAAACGGGGACAGCGGTGTTCCATAGACTGGGGTACCAGACAGAGGGCATCTGGCCAGAAGGAGCAGCAGCGCCGGCAGGCAGAGTCGAAGAAGCACCACCAGATGCGGTTCCCCAGTATTGGCCGAAAGAGGGCATGTTGTTGGGGGTCTCGTCAGTGTTGGGAGGCGAAGAAGGGACGGGCATGACGGTGGAGGTGGTAGGAACGACGACAGTGCTGCCGTAGGCGGGGACAGCAGGCACATCTGAGGAAGCAGGCACGTCGGGAACACCCTGAGAAGATGCAGGAACGTCAGGAGTACCATTACCGCTGGCAGGAACGCCCTCGGTGGCGGCCGGAGGCATGGCAGCATCGACATCAGAGGTCGACTGAGCAGCAGGGGTCGAAGCACCGTAGGCAGGAGCACTGTAAGCAGGGACCTCAGACGCAGAAGGTCCGGAGTTTCCATTGACTGGTACACCCTGAGAAGCGATAGGGACACCTTGGGATCCAGCAGGAACGCCCTCACTGGCAGCAGGGGCGGGCGAGGAAGGCATGGCGGCGTCGGCGCTCGAGAGAGTCGAACCAGTAGCAGTCGAGGTGACTGTGGCCTTGTTGGTGATGGTCGAAGTAATGACGCTAGGAGCGGTCAAGACAGTGGTAGAACCACCCTCCGAGATTGTGTGGCCAACAGGGCAAGTGGTGACGGTCTCAGAGACGATATCAGTCACGTAGACGATCTCAGGGCCTGCGGATCCCATGGTAGTGGTGCCGGTGACTGCCGGAACACCGCCAGTGGCAATAGGGGTGAAGTTGTTGCCATCGGTCGGGGCAGTAGGCAGAGTGGTGATGGCACCAGAGTTGCCGGGAGCGGCTCCAGTAGGAGAGCCGTTCGCTGGGATGGCATCGACATCAGAAGTCGAGGGCGAAGCCGAAGATGCACCACCATAGTTGCTGCCCTGGTAGCCAGGAGCAGACGAAGCAGCAGCGTCAGTCTGTACAGACGGAACTGCTGAGCCAGCAGCAGTCGTGGTCATGTAGTGAGTGACGTGCTCGGTGATGGTGTGGGTGCGAGTCTGAGTAGACCATTGAGTGATGGTCTGAGTAGACGTGGAAGCCTGGCCATCGGGAGCACAAGGGCAAGTGTTGGTATCACGCTTGTTGTTCCAGGGAGCAGCAGTGGAAAGACCAAAGTAGGCCGCCAGATACACATACGTACTGGGCTTCATCTTGAGATAGAAGCGAAGCGGACGCTTGTATAGGTTTTCTGTCGATTAGGGATGAACGAAGGACTTGAACGATTAAGGACAAAAACAAAAACGAAGGATTGCTTCAGAGCACAGCTCTCGATTGGCAAGGGAAAGAAAGACGAAAGGCAAAACTGAACTGATTCGAAAATTATTGAGAGCAGGCAAGGCGACCTGCTTTATACAGAGGACGAAGAGCATGTTGAATGCATCGACCTCATAAGAGTGGGTTGAGCTGCTACAGGATTAGCAACAGAGCACCGATCATACCAGTCCTTGATGAGATTAAGGATTATGACATGTCTGCGGCGCCGTACTGACATGCCAGTGTGGATGAGAGTGGAGGTTCGGGCGGTACGTTGTAGACGGCTCATGCATTCTTCGCAATGTGGACGGGTGCCGGAGTGCCAAAAGTGAAAAGTCTCGTGACGGTCAGACTGGAAGGAGGTTAATTTGCGAGTTAGCACGTCTCAAACCAGAACCTCGCAGCAGTCGTGGCGAAAAAAGGTATGGTGATCGACCGTCTCGAGTCCGCTCTAGCCTTGTAGAGATGAAACTGGCCTAAGTACTCCACATACCCCGGCTCTCAGAAGATGATGGTGCTTCTTCAGTAGAATGTTGGAAAGCTCAGCCAAGTTCATGCTTGGTCGTTTACTCGATAGCGAGATTACGTTCGCGAAAGATGCGAATGCACTTCAGGAACTGGACTTGGAAGTTGCGATGGCGGTAAAGCGTGCGAAAAGTGAGGAAGCTACGAACAAGACCCCTGCAGCTGCAGCGACACAGTAGCTTGTCAACTCTGCAGACTCTTGACATCTCAAAACTCAGGCAACCACGGAAGGCACGGGAGTGTAGGAAAGAAGCATGGACAATTGATTGAATGGACAAAGTCTGTGCGTGAGGCGGTGTTGAAACTTGGACCTATTTCTGGTTAGGTCGTATGCTGGCAGAGATTTGCCAATACAAAGAACGAGATTTGGTGCTTGTGAGCAGCGTGGCATCGTAGACTTTCAATACTGTATCCTGAAACCCACAGCACAAAGGGGAAAAGATTGAATGATAGATGGAAGTGTTCAGAAGTCAGAACAAAGTCGTGATGTTGTGACACGCAGAGAGATGTGTGATCGACAGTGCAGCCCATCGGAGTGTCGCGGGCCGGAGCCATAATGCAAGCCGATAGGCCGCGGAGCATGGCCAAGAGTCGGCTCAAACTGCCCTGTGCCCGGGAAGGAACATCTCTTGAAACACCATCTCCCAAAAAGACTTCGTTTCAGTCTTGCATCACTATCGGCTTTCGAAGCAACAGCTCAAACCCTTCTAGCTTTTACAAGGTGCTTCTTTAGACACCCAGCTGACGCCATGCGATCAACAGTCGCTGTTCACGCCGACGCGAGCGAAGCTTGCGAGATGAACGTATTTCGTACGAATACGCAGACGAGAGTGCCCATTCCCCAGTCGCAGAATAGGAGAAGACATCTCCGATCTTTGACCATGCCATGACTCTGTGCAGGAACACGGCAGTCGTCTTGTTGGAATCAGGCTCGCACATCACGAGAGCTAGAGCAAGGCTCAGCCTCTCGTTGCTGCACTTCTCGCACATCGATTGTTTCTTCATCGTGACAGTTCTCTTCGATCGCCACAGTCTAGGCATATCATCTCTGCAGATCTGCATCAGGTATTCTCTTAAACATGGTTGACCCTTGGAGCATGCTTCAAGTTTTGTCATATCCTCAACAATTCGATGGCATTGCTAAACGCTCACTTTCTAGCGATGTCGCGTCCACCCAGCCATACAAACATCCAGCTGATTGAGATCATTATCTTCCTCCTCCAGCTTCTCGTCCACGACAGACTACCCGATCGCCATGCCAGCCACGCGCTCTCGCCCGTCCAGTCTCCTTTGCCGCCGATCACACCATCATGCTTGCCCAGGTAGGCCATGTGTACTCTTTGCTTGTACTCGAACGTTTGTGCTGCAGCACCCTCGGCCTCGTTGTTGAGCTCACGTGTGAGATACTCGCCTTTCTGCAGGGCCGCTTCAGCCAGTGTCGGAAGGCTGTAACCTTCAATATCCGCCGCGTCACCCAATGCGTATGTGCCGTCGATCGGACTTCCATCTGGACGCAAGACACGCAGATATTTATCTGTCAGAATGCGAGGCATGCCCTTCTCCGTCTTCTTGACGTCCAGACTGTCAAGCAAAGGATTTGCTTTATTACCAGTAGCCCAGATGAGCATACCATAGGGCAGTCTGCCGTCTTCCTTGGTGTATATGGCATCCTGCTCTACCTTCTCAATGTGAGAACTGGTCTGGAGCTCAACTTTCTTCTGGTGCAAAGACTTTGTTGCATAATTGCCCAGCTTCTCATCAAAGGTTGATAAGATTGTAGGCGCGACGTCATGGATGACGATGGAAAGCTTTCCGTCGAGGTGAGGATAGAGATGTCTCATGTCTTGGTTCCAGAGATCGTAAAGCTCTGCTGTGGCTTCAATACCAATGGCTCCTCCACCAACGACGCGGATCGTAAGGATTTCTCTCTGTTGTTGCTCGGTGACACCAGGCAATGAAGCCGCGTCAAGAATTTCCAGTATCCTCTGTTGGATGAGACGAGCATCGTTTGTGGTTCTCAAAAACAATGCATGCTCCAGAGCTCCAGGCGTTCCAAAAGTTTGAACAGCACAACCAGGCGCAATCACAATCTTGTCATACGAGATATCGTACTCCTGGTCTTTCCAGAATTCCGACACCGATGGCTTGCACTTGATGATGCGCTTCTCCAAATCAATGTTCTCGGCAACCGCTTTGTAGTACTGAACATTAGGTCTGCTGCGACGACGGACAGGCTCCTCGGCGAGTCGAAAGTTGAACAGACCACAAGCTGCACTCGCAAGCAATGGCGTATATTGGATTGTCCGGACGGGCGATATGATTTTGACGTTGTACTTTGCGACGTTCAGTTGTTGCGACAAGACAAAGCCGGCCCACCCGCTGCCGATGACGGCCACTGTAGGTTTTGACATGATGTGAAGATTGTGATTGTTAGAGAGTCTGCTGCTGTTTGTGAGCTGAACCAGTCCAGGTTTTGTATCTGGACTGCGCGATCGTATATTAACTGATGTCACTATTCTCTGGTTCATGGGCATCCTTGTCTTTGCCGAGATAAACCAGATCTATCGCCGACCCTCGGAAGGCTTCATGCCCATCCGCAAGACGTGATGTTGACTTACAAAGCGACACATGTTCAGCGAGACGATTCGTTTACGCTATAAACATCATTGATAGCCGTCGCACCGTATGAAGTTCGACTAACGTGATTATGGCTTCCCAAAAGAAAGGTTGGCTTGCTTTTCCGAGCAACCAGCTTGCCACGGGATCCAGTGGTCACTTGGCCGAATCCTGCTTGAACCACTTGGGAAGTCACATCATCGAATTTTTGATTATCTATTGTCAAAAACAGTCTGAAAATGACATCGAGGCTCTTCTAATATCTGACACATCTTAATCTTGAATCATACTGCTGGTATACGTGGTTATCTTCTACTTTTACACTACCTGACAGGGTCACCCAGAGTACCATGCCATACATCTTGGCGTCGGTATCTACTCCGATTGGGCTGCAAGCACTGATACGGGAGAACGTCAAGACAGCTGACCCGACCACGTCAAATTCCAGCCACCTTGCGCGTATACCAACCACGTTTTTGTATCGTCACTGGAACGAGAATGCAGACAGCTCACTGTTAAGCTTTTTTGTATCAATCCATCCACTCCTGAGCTATACGCTGAGCCCTTCCCTCAACACTACCTGCCCGGGCACGAAAGGCTGTGATCTTGCCTGCTTCTGCTGCACTATGAAGGCATTCCTGAACGATAGAAGGCACAGCATTGTCCGACATTGAAGGTATGGCCAAATAAATCTGATGAAATTTTGTCCCTTAGTGGTGTTTCGCCCTACTTCTCGAAACCATTGTGCATCTCTATAGCTATCCGCGTCACATGCTTTGATAACATCGGGGGTAGTTCTTGCTTTTCGTAGTCATTAATTTCCGCTCCAGTTCATGAGATGGAGGTTCGCAACTCAATCATTTTCTATGTTCTTAGGAAATTCGTTCTGCTAACAATACAGTTCTGAGATACGTGATTGTTTCCTCCCTTCCAGCCTCACACAATGTCCAATGACTGCATCAGCTGCCAGTTTCTTGGCAGGCCGATTCCACCTCTCGCTGACACGGGACCAGACCACCTGAATGCCGAGCCTCGACAGCGTTTCGATCTGATCTAGGAGATCGATCAAGAGATCTTGTACTCCGGATTCGCCGACATCCAACGATTTTCGAAGGTGATTGCTCGACGTCCAGCTGCTTATTTCATCCAACAATGCCTGGCAATCGGTTGCGACGATGAGATTAAAGCGCGCCACAGCTTGGACATCTATCTCTGTCCAGCCATAGCGTAAGGCAACCTCTCGCATAGTTTGGATCCTCTCTGGCACAATTTCAGTGCGCACAGCTTGAAGTGCAGTCCTCGCTGCTGTAAGATGTGGCACCAAACCGCGAGCTCCGGAGCGAGATGTTTCCAGCTGGTATGTCATGTTGAATGAATCGGAGATGTTCAAGAATGAGTGTTTGTTGAAGAATGCACCAACGCCAGCAGGTTTAAAGTATTGAAATTCCTCGGGCAGACACGCCGCAGCAATAAATACCACGAGAGATCTGGTGGTGACGCCTGCGGCATCGTAATGAGTGTGGTGAAAGGGATGCGATGCTCCTGCAATCCCTTTGCCCTCCAGATTTGGACGAAGCCATAAAAGGTTGCAGGACTCATAGTTGTGCAATCGAAGATTGAGTTGTGGGGGAATGGCAAACTCGTCCACGGTCCACCTAGTAGACTCTACCTCGAATTGAGAGCCACGTGGTGATGATCCGATTAGATGCTCATGTTGATGGACGACCGGAGTCTCATCCTGACTATGATACGCCTGGACTTTGTGGTCTTCCGCCGACTTGATTTCTATATGAGGTTTGTGAAGCGCGCCAGTCTCCTCATGTTGAAATCTATCGCGGCACAAAGTATTTCGAGAGACTTGTTCGGAGCTGGAAGAAGGCGTCACAGACTCGTGGAGCTGATGGATGTCGCAAGGAGGCAGATAAAGTGATGCGATGGTGGAGCCATGACTCGCCGTCCTAAGAGAGCAGGTGCTTGTGGAGGTCGTGGTCGTACATATTGTCGAATCGTCCTGAGCCGGGAATAGATTGTCAATCCATCTCTTGATAAGAGCAGGTTTCATGATCGTGGGTGACCTAGGTATTTTAGGTGAGATAATTGGCGATATTGATGACAGCCAGTGGTGAAAGCGGTTATGTTTTCGAGCAGCATTGAAAGTGGACGGAAGAACCAAAGGGGCAAAGACAATGAACAGACTTCTGGGACTCAACGGAAAGAGCTTGTACGTCAGCGTCTGGCATGTGCTTGCGACCAAGGGGGAAGGAGCAGGCCGAATGCTGTACTCAGATCAACTTCACGCCCGCTACATTTACCAACTCAACGGAACATCGAGAGAAGAGGCTGAATGGACTTACAACGCGAGCGGTGAGCAAAAGCCTTGTGCTACGAGGTGATGCTTGATGAAAGCTGGTCGGACGGTGCCGTCTTCGTAGTGCGGATGGGTACCTGCATATTGACCCCTGCAAAACACCCCACCAGCCTGCAAACCACCTACCCGTACGAACGAAGAGCTGTTGGCTGTATCTGCTCCAGTATACGCTGGTTCTCGCCATTACTTACTGAGCAAATCAAGACCATGCTGTTCTGAGCAGTTTCCTGGTCAAAAGCAAATCTTCCATCGCAAGACTGGCTTACCAAGTCGTGAAAGTTCGCAGTGTGGTTTCACTGACTCTGGCAGCCCATGGACGATTGCTTGTCGAACACCTGTTTGTTCCCGTCTGCAGGTCTCGTGAACCAGCGACGTCTACAAAGGAAGACTGTCACTAAGCAGACGCTGGGAACACCTCTTGTTGCTTTCACCCATATAGGCTCACTTCCAGCCTTGCTCCTTCTCCTTCCTTCTCTACCTCGCCTCTCCTACCCTCGATCTCATAGCCGAATAGCAGCCTTCTTGACCCTTGCACCTTCTTCGATTTCCTCAACATTGTCAGTACTTATCACCTTGCCTTCCCATTCTGTCGTCTCGCTTTCCCCTTTACCCAATCCTGCTGCCTCAGCTTTTAACTTGCGGTTAGAGGTTCCCTGGGTATCGTCGGCTTCAAAGTCTCTAGAGGCTTCCCAACTTCGGCGATCCGTCCCTACGATACTTTTCTATGTGCCTCTTGTCTTCCCTCCCACACCATCCTCACTTTGTCTTCACCATAGATCTCGTCGATGGAATTTGTCTCTTCTGAGGTCAAAACACCAGAAACCAAGCCAGCAGAAGTCAAGCCCGAACTACTGCGTTGCGACAAAGGAGGGTGCAACAAGTGGTGGAAGAAATCAGACCTCAAGACCATCGGCAACAGCGACTTCCAAAAGTGTCCACACTGCCGAGAAGTGAACACAACTCCTACAAAGTACTGGATCGGAGGAGTAAGTGGACCGAAAGAACCAGCCTACGACTATCCGGCAAGAATGCCTCAAACACCGCAAATCCATCCGCTACCGGTGAAGGTACCTGCAGAGCGAACAAGCAGTGTCAAGAGACAGATCTCTGGCAGCTCGCCTATCAGTACTCCTACGCAGAACAAGAAGGCAAGGACCAGCCTGCATCAGGTAGGTGTATAGGAACAAACATTCCGCATCTGAAATCGATGGCTGACTAGCAAGCAGCTTACTCCTGTGCAAGTCTTAGGCGTCATCGAGCCGGCGAAGATGGAGCGCAGCAACAGCCTCCAAAACCCTACAACTGCTGCAGGTCTCCCTAGCAAAGAGCCTGGCCTCGAAACGTTCCGCTCCAGGAGCGACCATCTGTTTGCAGCCTGGAAAGCCTGCAAAGGTTGCCCAGACCTCCGCAAAGAGAAGGAGCTTAAGGATGCAGAAGAACGCCTGAAAATGCTTCACAACAGCATCCCTAAGATCGAACGTAAAGTTCAAGAGGCGCAAAAGGAACAGCAGGCCACCATGGCAGATCTGAAAAGAAAGGAAGTTTTCCAGGAAAAGCTCGACGCACTCGTGGCAGACGGAGAACTGGATCAAGGTGAGCACAAACCCATCAAGGATAAGTGGTACATGTCTGCAAGACAGCATGTTCAGCTGGCGTACGAGAAGAATAATCGCGCCTCGAAGACGTTGCAAAACGCGCGCAAGGACATGGCGGAAGCGAAGACATTGGAGATGAACCAAAGGCATCAAATCGATGTTGTCAAAGAAGAGAGATGCCAGTTGCAAGGCTTTGGCGAGTTCATGTCCAACTGCATTTTGCCATCGAGCAAGGGCGCCTGACTCTGGCGGGCGGTCCTGGACTTTGGACCTGCGTTGTTATTTGCGATGCTGACTTGATATCTTTGAGGGGCCGAACGTGGTCTGGGGCCGTGTTTTCTTCTTGACTTTTATTTTCTCTTGCCATCCTTCTCGAGCTACTCTTTGATTTATGATTATGCAAAGCCCTTGGGTTTAGGGTGCTGTCGTATGCCGTGTCGTGCTGCCTTTTGTGATGATGCCCGGTGAAGAGTAAATTGCGTACGATGCGTATCCTCCTCCAAGTGGCATCCTTTTCCAGCGAGAGCGTGTCGAGCAACCAGTCCTCTTGAGCGCGACTCGAGTCTGCAAAATGTTGCCGGCGTCAACCGCAGCAGGAGAACCTCTTTCCAGCAGACTCGCCTTGTGTCCTGCCCACTTCAGTGACACTGCCTTTTCGACAACAAGTTGCAAGGATCGCGAGAGTGGACAGTCAAACCCGAAAAGCGACACTTTCATCTCTCTTTCTACAACAAGCAAACCAAGAAAACAAGCAAATGAACCTGAAACACAGCAACACCCCGAGTCATGTAACCATCTTACCTTGGTTTCATATACCAAAAAAAAAAATGCTGCAATAACCATCAGAGGTGGAGATTAGCTATCCTTCCACGACTTCCACGCCACTTCCTTCTCACTCACTCACTCATCCGGACTCGGAGGATAGTTTATCTTTGACCTTTTGTTCGCTTTTCGCAAACCACTCCATAAAGTCATGCTCTCCCTACGCAGAACAACTGTTGTAGAAAAAAAAAATACAAAAAGGTCGGCAGAATAAACGGGCATGGTATCTATGACGCTTAGTACACCTTTCCACCAAGCAAAAGAGCCGCAATATAAAATTCCCATTTCTCAACCAACACAATCCCGATAAAATTGTCGCCCGACACCGCGGAAAGGGGGAATAAGTAATAACAAGTTTGTTGCATTAGAAAAAGAAAAAAGAGTCACACCGAGATTTCGGCCTGCTGCTGCGCCTTTACCCAGCTCATTCAAGTTGCGAAAATGAAACGTGCATGACATGTTTCCTGCGAGCGCGAGAGAGGGCTGGTATTGTTTGCAAACCAAAGAGATGAAATGGACATGCATAACACGCGCGTCGAGTTCCAAAGCAAGTGATCAGGCTTCTTCCTTTTGGGATTATCCGACTTTGACTTTTGCGCCCCCTCGGCTCGTTGCCCTGTTTCTCGACGAAACCTTGAAAGGGAAACGTGACGTTGAAGCTTGAATCGATTTGCTCTCTTAACGGTTGCCCGAAAGCTGCTTTCGAACAACGGGCAAAACAGTCGTAAAGTTTCTGTATAGTTCAAGTGGTCGTGAAAGTTTTGGATATGATGGTATTTTCTGATGGGTTTCGTAACATGGTATAGAAAAAACAAACTCCAAAGTTCCCGCATCGCGTGCTTCTATTTGTGAGGTGCCCTTTGACCGGGGCCCACCTCGCATCCCAAAAGTCATTCACAGTATTATAGTGTTTCTTTTTGGTCCGCAGCGTCGAAACCTGCTTCCAGCATGCAAGAACTGATCTTGTCTCCTTGCTATGAATCGAGCTCTTTCGAAGGGGTTCATGCGCCGCTGTTGCCGAAGAAGCCAGTGTACTTGTTGCCAACATATTGCTTGGGGTCGACAGGCAGGGAGGAGCTGAAGGAGCCGAGGAGGAGGAAGAGAACAAAGAGCGCAGCACCGAAGACGATGAGCTTTCTGAGTGCGGGGTGTCTGGCACCGTAATCGGCCCAGGCGCGACCAGCACCACCAGCGTATTCCTTGAGAGCATCGGCTCCGAGCTTGTAGTAGACGAGGCCACCGAGGGCGATCGAGTAACCGAAGAATTGGAGAGGTGCAACGGGGTCGCGGAAGATGAGCATCGAGGCAACGACGAGGAGGATGTCCTTGAGAACACCGCAAAGAGTAAGGACGAGAGAGGAAGTTCTGCCAATNNCTGTAGGGACTGTTAGCTGCGGTGCGTCAAAAGTCCAAACCAAAACACATACCAGGAAAACCACCGAGACGTTAAGACCGAAAGCGACCATGGCGTTGAGCAGGAGGGTGAAGTAACCGACACGGTCAAAGTCAGCCCAGGTCATGGAGGGGACCTCTGCGATCAAAGCGACAACTCCGTTCATGAGGGTGCAAGCGGGCGCGAAGTAGTAGAGAGAAACCAGAGGGTCCATCTTGAACTCGGCAGAAGACAAGAGGCGCTGGACCATGGTCAAGCGAATGGCTTCGAAGATGATACCAGCGACCTGGAGAAGGAAACCGAGCATGACGAATTGAATCTCGCCGAACGAGGCAATGATGACACCAATGACGATGAAAGACACGTTTCCGAGAGTCTTCATGTTGGGAGGGGAAAGACCCATGACCCAGGAGGTGATCAGGACGGCGACGGGCGTGGTGGCNNCTGTTGACATGTCAGTTGTGGCTCGTCCAGAAAGAAGTGGAGTCTTTCATACCTTGATCATCTGGATGAAGGAGACGGAGAGGTAGAGGTAGGTGAGGTTACCGCAGATGAGCGACAGAGAGAAGAAGACACCAATGGGAACGATGGCCCTGAGGTAGACTCTGCCGTTCATGGGAACCTTCTTTCTTGAGTCCAGGACTGTGGTGAAACGAGCGAGGATCTGGGTGCAGATGGTTGCAAAGCCGAGATGCCATGTTGTGAGGAAAATGGGATNATTCTACGAGACAGTGAGCTCGTGCGAGCTTGTGGTTGCTTGAACAGAAGACTCACGGAAGTTCAGCTTGTTCTTGTCGAGAATGTACTTGTTGAAGAGGATGACGCTGGAGCTCATGGCAATCCAGANCACTGCGCGCACGCCATCAGCTTCTGTCGGCGCGTAGAGACAAGAGGGCGCGACTCACACAACATAGAGGGCGGGGTGGATGCTGCTCTGAGGAGGAGCAGGCTTCTCGAGTGCCGGGTTGACGACGGGCAGGACAGGCTCGGCCTGTTCGGGTCTCTCGACCTCGCCAGAGGTTCTTTCCTTCTCCATTGCGCGAACCGTGGGGTGTCGAGGTTACGAGTCTGTTCGATGGGTGCACTGGACGGCGATGGAGCAGCGGACAGCTTGCACGGAGCGGAGAGGGACAAAGAATGGGTGGCAGAAGGATCGGGTGGAAATTTGGGTTGCGCGGATGGGACAAGTTTTGAGGTCTGCGGTTCGCAACCCCTTGATTGCATCGTCACAAAAGCTTGGAAGGCCGCTGCTGTGCAAGTGGAGCCGCCCTTTCGAAACCGTTGACACGCTGAGCAGAACTTCGGGACACGCAATCACATCCACTCTATCACCCTGCAACACCGGCGATACCACGACGATCCGAATACTTCAGGTTTCAGCTTCGAACGCTGTGCAATTGTTTGCGCGAACCCGCCGCTGTCATAACCCATGTGTTATGTTTCGCAGCTTGCCCATCTTCGCCGCCTCTGTAGCCGCGTGGTAGTACACGCTCAATCCATGCGGTGCGGCACAATCTATGCTCCTTCTCCTGACTATCAACAGCGACATCTGATCCAATCAATGCAAACACGCTTCTCCAGTGAATGGACCCGAGAGTGGTCAATTGCAGCACTTGAACGAAGCTTGACCGAGCTTGATCATGTTGAAGATTGCATGCACTTGTGTAACTTGACTCTGAAAATGCCACAGCAAAGTGTCGAAGATTGGTTGTTCGGCATGCAAGCTGGCCGCGCGGAGAAGGTGGCTGTACACTCTCGCAGAGATTTGTTGGCTGCCGCATCCTCTCTCTTAGATTTGTCCCAGCGGCACGACTGACTCGACACATCTATGCCGCGTGCGACTGACAGATGGTAGATCTGGCCATGTTGCTGTATGGCGGCCATCTGGCATGGGATGCGATGGTTTATAGAAAGTCTGGATTCGGGATGGCGGGGCGGGTCTAGTGCATGCAAGGAGCTGGGATGTTGAAACTCGAGGGCGGCGAGCGGGCATGCTGAGGTCGGACCCTCTTGCCTGCGACTGCCCGCCAAGTATTGAGAGCGGCGATTCACCTCCTTTTCTCCAATCGCAGCAATCACTTTTAAAAAGAGTCCTGTCGACGCTCGCTCTTGCCTCTTTGCTCTCCAGTGATACCCTCTTTCGTTGCTTTGTCTCTTGTTGTTGCTCTAATTCCTTTAATCCCTTCCTTCACACTCCCACCACAATGTCCAAGCAAATGTGAGCTTCGAATACGAGCCGTTGCCACCTCAACTCTGCTGACAAGTATACACAGTGAGGTTGACGTTCTCGTCATTGGTGCTGGCCCGACTGGTCTCGGTGCCGCAAAGCGTCTGAACCAGCTCAACGACCAGTCATGGATGATTGTCGACTCCAACGACATTCCCGGTGGTCTTGCCTCGACCGATGTCACCCCCGAGGGTTTCGTGAGTAGCTTGACAAAACTTCTCGACCGACTTGAGCAGCGCTGACAGCAATTGACANNGCTCTACGACGTCGGCGGCCACGTCATCTTCTCGCACTACAAGTACTTCGACGACTGCATCAACGAGGCCCTCCCCAACGAGACCGACTGGTACACCCACCAGAGAATCTCCTACGTCCGCTGCAAGGAGCAATGGGTCCCCTACCCCTTCCAGAACAACATCTCCATGCTTCCCAAGGAAGAGCAGGTCAAGTGCATTGACGGCATGATCGACGCCGCCATGGAGGCCAGAGTCTCCAACACAAAGCCCAAGGACTTTGACGAGTGGATCGTCAGAATGATGGGTGAGGGTATTGCCGACCTCTTCATGCGCCCCTACAACTACAAGGTCTGGGCTGTCCCTACCACCAAGATGCAGTGCCAGTGGCTCGGTGAGCGTGTCGCTGCTCCTGACCTCAAGACTGTCACCAAGAACGTCATCTTGAACAAGACCGCCGGCAACTGGGGTCCCAACGCTACTTTCCGCTTCCCTGCCGAGGGTGGTACCGGTGGTATCTGGATCGCCGTCGCCAACACTCTCCCCAAGGAGAAGACCATGTACGGAGACCACGCCACTGTCACCAAGGTCGATGCCGACGCCCACACTGTTTCGCTCAAGGATGGCACCACCATCAAGTACGGCAAGCTCATCTCGACCATGTCGGTTGACTTCCTTACCAAGGCCATGGGCAACCACGACCTTCACCAGCTCTCCCTGGGTCTGTTCTACAGCAGCACCCACGTTATCGGTGTCGGCATCCGTGGCCACCGCCCCGAGCGCATTGGCGACAAGTGCTGGCTCTACTTCCCCGAGAACGACTGCCCCTTCTACCGCGCCACCATCTTCTCCAACTACTCTCCCCACAACCAGCCCGTTGCCACCAAGAAGCTCGCCACCATGCAGCTCGCCGACGGCTCTGCTCCTGAGAACACTGGCCTCAACGAGGGCCCTTACTGGAGCATCATGCTTGAGGTTTCCGAGTCTTCCATGAAGCCCGTTGACTCCGAGAACCTCCTCAAGGACTGTATCCAGGGCCTTGTCAACACTGAGATGCTCCAGCCCAAGGACGAGGTTGTCTCGACCTACCACCGCAAGTTCGACCACGGTTACCCCACCCCTTCGCTCGAGCGTGAGGGAGTCCTCAAGGAGCTTCTTCCCAAGCTCAAGGACATGGACATCTACTCTCGTGGCCGTTTCGGCGCTTGGCGCTACGAGGTCGGCAACCAGGACCACTCGTTTATGCAGGGTGTTGAGGCTGTCGATGCCATCGTGAACGGCTCCGTCGAGTTGTCNCTCTTCTACCCCGACTTCGTCAACTCTCGCTCAAACGACGAGCGCAGACTGGTCGATGGTGCTCAGTACTTCAAGAGCATGAAGGGCATTCGCGACGAGAGCAAGCCCCTCAAACCTTAAGTGGAGAATAGAAGAAAAGCAGTTTGAGATACCCATAATTGTCGGTCCACGTTCACCCAATATATCACGGCGCATGCAGGAGTTTCCGGAAGAGGATGTTTAGAAGGTGCTGGTGCATTTTACCGAGCCACGTGTTGCATCAAGGAGTCAAGAACAACAATAAAGAATCGAATACAGTCGCATCACCACGTTACATTCAGCTACATGCTGCGAAATCATTCACTTGTCCCAAAATCAATCTCATTCACTTGCCCCTAATCGCTATCACTCATGGTTCCGCTGCTCCTGAGCCTCTCGTGACCATTGCCTCCAACTGTCGCATGTTGGCTCCTGTCAACAAACTCTACGACCAATGTTCTGTGAAGACACTTCAAGACGTGATGTCGATTATCAGCGAAACATCCAGGAGGATAACTCTTCGAGCAGAGAAACACTACTAAAGCGAATTGATTCTGAAATCTCATGATTGTTCTCTTACTGTTGGATGATGTATTGGTCGTCAGTAATGGTCTCGATTGCTGTTTCCGCTTTTAGTTTGGCAAAGGACAAAGAGAGGTTTGTCGATACCTCCTTTCTTTGTCAATAACATCTCTCAGCGCCCAGTGCTAACCAATCTCCGTCGAAAGGCAGATCTGACTGTCTTCCCTTGCGCTCGAAGCTCAGTGTACAATACCCAGGCAGCCACTTTTCCATCTCAACGTCATCCTCAAAAATTATGTCAACTGGCATCTCCAATCAGCAAAACCATACCCGGCAGAGAGTATGAACCAGTTGCCGTGCATTGGACTGGAGGCTATGCTGTCCACTCTGTCTCTAAATCAAAGCGCCAACTCCGGCTCGAGCGCTTTGCAATCACAACTCCTGGGGTTTCCAGCATTCCCAAAGCTACCCACGGAACTGCAATTGTTGATCTGCACGCGAGCTTCGAAACTCCTCCGAGCTGAGGGCAGCAAGCTTTATTACCGTCAGAACACCTTNTTGCTTCCACTACCCAGTCGACTCACACGCACCGAAAACATTCATCTTGATCAGTGGCTCTGTGACGCTGCGACCACTGATCTATGCAAGAAAATGGGAAAGATTATCGTTCAGGTTTCGCTACCGCCAGACAGATCGAGCATTGCCAATTTGCTTCTGTTAGCCACCCATCTCGAAAGCATATCCAGCGAGAAAGCTAGAAAGACTGTCAAACTACAACCCTTCTTCACTGTACCGGCCGAGCTGGAGGATACCATGCCTGTAACTCCTGTAGCCACCGAACTTGAGCGGCATATCTCCAAAGCTTTCTGGGGTGAATTTGATGGGAGCTTACAGAATCTTGCTAGAGGAACGTACAAGATCGACTGGGTAGATGAGGAAGAGATGGAGATGAATTGCGGTGTACCTCTACTCGAGAGATCTGTAGCTCTCGGGCGGATATGCGAGGAGTTATGGCTAGCCATCATGAATGTGTGGCATCCAGACTCGTGATGGTCCAATGCGGATCACATTGCCAAACACCTTTGTTCCATCATTCTCAAAGAAGGCCTACCCCAAGCGAACATTACCCCCTGAAGACCGGATCTGGAAATTTTCTTTGTTACAGGAAACTCAAGCTCTCCATCAAAAGCACAATAATGTCGCTCCTAGATACCGTCGACTCCAGTATACTACACCATATTCGTAATCATGACTTCGTCTATTCCAGACAAGAAGCATCATATGCGAATGATTAATACTCTAGAAGAGTACGACTTTCTGACGGCAATTGATCCCGCGACACTGGAACCTTGGCAGCAAGAATACCAGGAAGAAAGAGTCAAGGAACTCGAGCTGGAGGCTGGGATCAGATCAAAGCTTCCATACGAGATCAAGAAAATGATATACCGACATCTGATTCCTGATTTTGAGCCAATCGACATTACCAGATCCGAGAATCGGGTAGCTCCAGCATACTATACCGACCCACACGCTGAGTTCGACTACTGGAGGCTTACGCCTTTTGTATATCCTACAGACAATGTATACGACGCTGTTCCGTGCATGAATGCGCAAAAGTTCGTGGAGAATATCCTTCTCGATCCTAATCACACGGCACGCCTCCATACTCTGGATCCACCTAAGCAAATCACGTTTGAGGTTCTGATCGGGTGGGACTTTGATCCTGTGTTCTTGCCTCAAATCTCTCTGGGCAATGTGGAATCACTTTTCGACTTTCTTCACGTCTTGGGTGGCAATATCAATCACGTCAAGCTCAAGTTCATGTTCAAAGACACCAGAGTAGCTTACGATACTTCTCCTTCATCCAAGAAGGAGATCGCACCCGATAATAGAGGACGCCTTCGAATCATGAAATCCAAGATACTGGACTTACTCCAAACAGCCATGAACAGATATCGTGCCCTTCTAGAAACACCATCCACCGTCTCACCCATGCAAAAATGGGGCCGCTACCTCGATTTCCAACATGCGACTGATGTCACCACAACAGATCAGGAGAAATACAAGCAAGTCAGAGTATGGATGGCAGATTCTTGCTCGGATCTTCTTGACGATATGTGGAATAGTGGGTATGGCCGCAGAGCTGGATTTATCAAGTGTCATATGTTGGAGGCTTTTAGGATGCCCCAGGAGTATTATGATCGGGATGCTATGGTCGTGTTGTATCGCCAGAATATGGGGATACCGTGTTTGCCGTTGAACAAGAGTCTTTATTTCCCGTAGGGGCTTGTTGTTGGTGGAGTTGAGTAATGTTGCTTCTGTAGATTGTTCGCATATCAATTCAAGTTTTGGAATATCGTCTTTTATGGCTGCATGTCGTACTATATTGTCCGAGTAATGGCTCAAGATGGTATTGAAAGTGAGTCAAGCAGTCGCGATAAATCTAACGCTCTTCGCAGTGCTGCGAATCATACGTTTTATTCTGCAAACTCGGCCATGTATGATCTGGAGTGGACTTTGATAGATGATAGTATCCGGTCTTGATGTTCGGTGGATGCGGCTTAGCTGTGGAGTTATTATCTCCACATTCCAAGGCCGGATTAGGAAGGTGCTATATAGACAGCATCGTACTGTGGTACAGAAATCTTCTCCATCCTCATGCTCATGCTCATAGCAAAAGGTCATCTACATCTATCACCTCAGGACAAGGAACGCATAGATTCGGCTGAGTGTAGGCGCCTGGTCCAATCGAAGCGACGTTCGAAGCTCCATACCCGTCCGCAAAGGATTCCTTCCCGATCTGGTCGCGTGACCAGTTGCGGCTGCAGATAGACAGTCAGCATCCTTCGCGCGTTCAACCATCTCATGCGACGATTTACTGTATGACCTTGCTGGTTGCATCCCAGCTCGATTCTTGCTTCCTTCTCTCTTCGCCTCTTTGGTTGTTTCGTCGTCCTGTCCCAGCTTCGCTTGTCCGTCTAACGATATCCTGCAAAGATGAAATCATGGCGGATGGCCCGACCACATATTCGTCGTGTGCTTGGGAGCCCAATTGAATCTCATCTCTCAACAAAAAGGTCCTACTCATCACAGACCGTCGTCAAGCGTGCGACATACACCATCACCGCTAGCGTTCTTGCCGGGATAGCGGTCTGGCAGTTTGCAACCACCCGGGATGATGCACCACTGCTAGAGATACCAGGAACAAGATCAGCCACCAACAAGTCCGGTCTCTCGAAAGAAGAGGTCACCAAGATGCTCTCGCAAAATGCGTTCTCGTTTCCGGTGAAAGGCGTTTCTGGCATACAGAGATATGATGGTGCACAATTGGCTTCCAACAGCATGTGTGAGGATAAGCTTGTGCATGGCAAGCTTCCTTCACCTCGCAATGACGGTAGACCATGGATGGCTTGGGCTGTGTTTGACGGACATGCGGGATGGCAGACTGCAGACCTGCTGGAGAAGCAGCTGTTGCCTCTAGTACAGCAATACCTTCATCAGGCTAAACTCACTTCTGAAACACAATCTAAATACACAGAACTCACTCAACACACCATCACAAAAGCATTCATGGACTTCGACAACTCAATCATCGAGACAGCACGCCAAACCTCTGAAAGTACAATGCCACTACAACAAAAGATGCAAAGATTACTTCCTGCTTTTGCTGGTTCATGCGCTTTACTCTCTTTATTCGATCCCGTAACAAGTACTTTACATGTAGCTTGCACCGGCGACTCTCGAGCCGTCCTCGAAAAGAAGAATCACAACGGCACATGGACAGCNAATCCCCTCTCCATCGACCAAACCGGCAGTAACGCGGACGAAATTGCCAACATCCATCGCGAACATCCCGGCGAGGAAGATGTTGTCAAAAACGGACGTGTGCTGGGTTTGATGGTTTCCAGAGCTTTTGGCGATGGCCGCTGGAAATGGTCGCAGGAATTGCAAAAAGAGCTCAAGGAAAAGTTCTCTGCGCCGGGGTTGCCAAAATCAGTGGATAGAGCTGTTACTCCGCCGTATATTACTGCAGAGCCGGTGGTCACTAGCACTGCTGTTGATGCTGATACACCTTCTTTCCTCATCGTAGCAACAGATGGACTTTGGGATATGCTGTCCAACCAACAAGCCGTCAATCTCGTGGGTAAATGGCTAGATGTGCAGTCCGGGAAACCCATCACCAGCGGTTCACAACCCACTTATGCTGCCTTTGACTTTAGCAAATTCGAAAAAGGCGTAAACGAGAAGTTTGAAGAGGAAAGAGCGACAACTGAAGATGAGAATGTTGCTGTGCATTTGATGAGGAATGCGCTTGGTGGAAACCACGAAGAGTTGATCGCTGGGAGATTGGCAGCTAGTGCGCCGATTTCTAGGGAGTTGAGGGATGATGTTACTGTGCAGGTGGCTTTCTTCAATTGTGGTGTATAGACCTTTCTTATGCAGGAAACATGAACAACAGTTCCAAGAGACTCTTTACAGAACAAATCGTTCCGCTCTATCTTATTCTTTGGACTGCCAGTGCGCAGTCGTTCCAAAGTAAGGAGGGCATCCACTTTGATAAGTCTTGGCATCACGTGGATTGGCGACAAGCTCCTCTTCCATCATCCAAAGCTCGACGGGGACGACGACGACAACCTTCCAACATCGCATCCTATTGTCGATACTTGATATCGTGCAGACTCGACTCTCGCGTCGTTGCACTAGTTATCATTCATTCACTACTCGTCATCAACACGAGGCAGCCGCCGACGCACACCTCGAGACGCGACACTGTCAAGCCTGCCACCAGTAACGCCCAACCGCGAGTGCGCCCCCTTGTCTGCCGTTCGAGTCGAACCCGAACACGTCGCTGCAGTCTTGAGAAAGTCTGTCGTGTCGGTAGTCCCGTTCCTTGGATTGCTTGCAAGCGTGGCCCCCGACCAGTGCAGATACTCGTGGCAGTGCTTGCGAAAGTCTGTCTCGTGCGTAAAGTCGCCGATACGAAAAGAGTCAAGGCTGCTCAATACGACAGAAGCCTGGGTGGGTGGGTCACGCATCTTCGTCTCTTGACAGATGCGGGAGACGAGTATTCCTACTAGTTTCTGAATGCTCTCTTGCTGACCTTTGTACTTGATTCTAGCTGATTATAGCCGATGATGGCTACTCAAGCCGATATAGATGTCCTGTCCGACAAACTCAGCACGACTAGGCCTTTGTCATGGATTATAGTAGATTGTCCCGTTGTTGCCATCTTCAAGAACAATTTCACCGAACATCAGGATTCACTCGGCCAACCTTTGAACCGGAATGGATGTGGTGACTTGCTCAGACTCTGGGTGGGCATGAACGAGGATACCCACGAGCTATTTGTGACCTTGACTATCCGTATTCGAGTGTCGCCAGTCAGAAAGAAGACTCGTCGACAGGGCCGTCTTATGTTCATGATCGTTCCAGCCAACGCCTTGCAGCTGCAAGGTACTGTCGTTGACTATGCGGATCTGGATAACAAGCTTTCGCCGTCCCTATTCGACATGCCCAGTGATACTCAATCTGGAGAGTGCAAACTCTTGCACGTATCTCTAAACCTCGGGCCTCACATTAGTGATGTTATAATGCCCGAATATCAGTGCAGATCGAATGTTGTGCCACAAGCCATGGTTCTGCTTCGCAAGCTCAAGTCACTCTCTGAGGCGTCCTCCTTCCACCTATATACCAACCAGGATGAATCGAGACAGGCAGCAATCCAGCATGTATCCAACATACTGCCGGATGGACATGCAATGATGACTCCTTCTGTTGACCTAAAAGGCTTTTATCCTGGAGGCCGCTCAGCGTGTAGGAACATGTGGGTGGAACAAGGATGGCTAAAAGCTGGAGACAAGACTGTTGCAGATGGACATTATGGAATCGAGAGGAATCAGAAAAAGATACAAGACACCTCTGAACAGCAACCTCCTCCACCTTACGAGCCAAACACCGTGCCAAGTCCTGTAATCGCATCTCAGCGGCCAGACGAAGTGCTCTCATTACCACCAGTCATTGCCCTTGAGCCTCAACAGGGACTGCCAGAACTGCCGGCGACAGCACCTCCGAGCACAGATATACATGTCGGCTTGGACGGCCAATATGCCTGCGCGCACAAGTCTGCATCTCCGTCAATTGCGATAGATCAAGTATGCTCCCATGCTCGTCGTTGTTCGCCTTCGACACCTGAAGCATCTCTCTCATCTGGTTATACCGCGACTTTTCTGTCTGGATTCCCGACCCAGTCGCCAATACATAGGATTCGAGACGCCTTGGCAGCCAAAGCAGTCACGGCAGAGAGCTCTTGCCCATCTGTACAAGTAGCTGCATCTTGCATTGGCGATCGCGCCTTCCACACCGATAATGCTTCAACCCGTGCCAACACGCCGAGCGCGATCTTCAATTCATTTCCCGGCTCTGCGACGCGGAAACGACTACCCTCGTACTCGCTTGAAGAAGTTACCAGCAACATTGCCAAAAGACAGGCTGTTGCTCAGCCAAGCGCACAAACCTTGCATCTCAATAGCTTACGAGCGGACTTCTCACCAACGGTCGCTGATACCATATCTCATCATGATGCGAATACATTTCATGCGTCAACGAAAGAAGACGACTTCTCCACACAAGGAAATCAGCTCTCGCAATGGCTTTCCCATGCCTGGCACCACTGTCCTACAGCTCACTATCTCTTCATTGCGGAATTGTTGAGCTATGGTGCCGCATTGTCTGGCAATCACTCCCAAGACGATATAACAACCTGCCACATCAACTGTACACTTGCCCTCCTCGCTCATTGCACAAAGCAAAGACTAGCCGAAGACTTCAACTATGCTAGCACCGATCGCGAGGTCGATGCAGAGACGAGAGCTTTGATCAGGTGGTTGTATGTGCTTCGACCTGGTGCTGACATGGAGATGTTTTCTGCCTTGCTTCACCTGTCGGTCTTGAGTCAACAGTCACTTCTCGTTTCGCGTCTAGGCGGGGAGTACGATTCTCTTGTGGCTGGCTTCCAACGACAGAAGGCAGAGCTCGTGAGTCAAGTCTGTATACAACACGGTGCAGCAGTGCTGCAGAATCACTCGAACGATTTCATCTCGATGATGCTGAGGGAAAAGGACTGTGTACACGACATGTAAAATCTGCCACTCAGAGGTCGATGAGGTCTGTGGTTCCTGCTGGAAGGAAGATGCCCTCGATAGCTTTTATCGTCTCTGTGCTCACACCCATGACAGCAAACAGCTTTGCTGCACTACCATACTTTGTATCTATCCGTCGACACAATTCTCGAGTCCAAATCGACCGATTCTCTCCCCAGCCCGCCTTTCGCAGACGCTCTCTCCAATCCACATCATCAGCATCTCCAAGATCTTTGGGTAATCCATTGGTCATTTGCATATAAGCACGATCCATGGATGCGAATGAGATGTTGAGCATCAGAAGCAGCAAAAACACAATCAATGTGTTGTCGCGCATGGCTCGATCACCAGAAATCACCAGTGGATACATGTCTTCCTTGGCCAATACCTCATTGAATAATCTGCCGATGGTTGCTGCGGAGGATCTCAGGACTAGGAATACGTCGTCGATGCTATCGCGGTTCCACACAAAATCTCGAGACTGCTGGAGCATGCTGGGATCTTGGAGGTTCTTTTTTTCTTCGCGTCGGCCTCGAAGCGTCTGATTGTGACATGTATCAGCAAGGTTCAAAGTGACAGACCAAGGACGAATCTCACTGTTTCGCCATGAGAGGAAGGCTGTTGAGAACGTTTTTGAGGAAGGCATCACCACGCAAGTTGATCCGGGCAGAGTACAAGCCAAGCACATTCTCCACGGCAAAAACCTCGCGAGTGTAGAATCTTGAAGCATGGGTATCGTGGATGTAACGGGCACCTTTCCAGGTGTCTGTGCTGACGACTGTCTTCATTCGATAAACCTCGCGAAGAACTGTGGTATCGGCAGAAGTCGCTTTGTCCGCGGGAGTGCTGACGAAGAGCAGTCCGTTCTTCAAACACGGAACACGACCTTCTGCGCTGATGCTTTTCCCGACATCGCATAGGGCTATATTGTCAGACAAGGTTAAGACGTAGGTCATGATGCTGTCCTGACAAAGAGCAACAAGATACTGATGAGGAGAGCTTATATCATGCACTCCCAAAGGTCGTCTTACGGTTATATTCCTACCGTTTCATTCTTCAGAAAAGTGCACAGACCATAGATAACACGATATTGACCTGGGTACCTCGTACATCAGCACTTCGTATAAATCTTGAAAACCTGACAAGATCAACCTCAAGATCATCATACCTGAACCGTTTGCGGACAGAGGAATAACTTGCGAAGCGGAGCTGAGAAGCGCGTGATGCGGATCCTGCGAGATGAGCGCGCTGGTTACAACTCACGGCCGCTAGAAACAACTGAAGTCACACGTCATAATCATCTCACAGCTGTGACAACGAAGTTGATTTTTTTGTGAATGGAAGGCATTTTCATTCTAACAATGCGAGCGCCTGCTAATGCGCGCGAAATTCTACCAGCGTCTAGCGAGGTCTACATGAGTTGTGCTCCAATTGCAGAAGGGATAGGCCTACAACTTACCTTGGGCACACACGATCGAGATGGAGGATACTCGAGCGACTAGAATACAACAGATCTACACGGCTAGCTACGGTAAAACACAAGAAGCTGTGGACCATGGCGGACTATCACTAGGTATTGTCACGAAGGGCTACGGTCAAGGATCAATCAGAAGGACTACTGATAGGGGTTGTCACGGAGGATTGTCACGAAGGATTGCCCAAGAGCGTAGTCATGGAGGATTACCACGAAGGACTGTCACGAAGGACTGCCTCGAAGGACCACGATAGGTGGCGCCTGATCAGAATCGACACTCTCTCACAAATCCACACCAGCATATATACTGTGGTCTCATCCAAGCTCGAACATTACCAAGCAAGTCACTTTCACTCACCAAATCTTGTCCGCAATGGCCAACCTCGCAAATCTCTTCAATGGTAGCTGCACTTGTCTGCTCTATAGCCACCCTGCTTCACACGGCTTCAGCAGCAGATCCTCGAGTCATCGCTGGAGACCGTACGCATTCCAAGTCGAGAGGTCTGGCTATGAGCAATGACCTTAGCTTCCGCACCCCTTCTTTGCGTAGCACTGCTGTCAACTCTTCAACAGTGACCTACAACATACCCGAGGATCAGCGTGAGACCCATTACTTCCGAGATTTTACTCTGGTCGGGCAAAAGTCGACAGGCTTCAATATCACTGAATGGGATATTGCCCAGCCTCAAGGTCACACTCGATCTCTAATGACTCCCGGACAATCGCTTGCCGTTGGGAATACCGCGCTTACTATTGTTGCTGCTGGAGCTGCTGGAGCTGTTGGAGCAATCGTGTTGACAGCCCTTTGTGTGGCATGTATTCCATCTTGTGCACAAAACGTCGGCTCGAACATCGGTAATTTCCTACAGTCAGTTGGAGCCTCAGTTGAAGGCCCGGGTGGAGAGGCTGCCGTAGAGCTTCTAGGAGAAGGCCTGGAGGCTGGTACCAACCTTGCTGGCACTTGCGCAGGCGCTCCTGCCCAAGGGCGATATTGCACAAGCGAGATGCAAATGGTCATGAAGGATTCGGCTGCTATTACCAAGATGGTTACGTCGGCACTTGTGGAAACGAAGTTTCGACGCAACCCGCATACCAGACGATCATCGACCATGATAATGTTGACCCTCCCCCACCTTGGTCATGCTGGGAAGCCTCAAGTGGTGGAACCGTTTTTGGGTATTATTCTCACGGCCTTGGCGTTGAGGGGGGAATGTGAGCTGCAATGCGGTGCGGGATATCCTGAGGTCACTAGCCCCTACCACGACATTGATTCCTGATGTGTAGTGTTCTTACCCAAACACCGGACAGCAGCTTGGTAATGCCATGAGGGAGAAGGAGGCTGAAGCTTATTCTACCTAAGGATGTATGTGGTCATCTTAGTCTAGGAAGCTTATCATCCCTTGGAAGATTTGGCTTCAGGACATTGTTGTGTTGGATCGGATCCTCGAGTTTCAAGGCAATTGGTACGTTATGTACAGCATGCTTTTGTCTCACTAGTTGTAGGATGCCTCTTGTGGTAAAGCACTACGGGACGGTTGTCGACAACGGTTGTCAGTGTCATACCAAACATACATGAAGTACGCACGTAATCCCTCCCGTCGGACAGTGATCGTCTATCTAAGGTTCTAGAAAATCGTAGACCTGATTTGTGACTTGATTGTACAAAGCAGACTTCTAACTCCTATGTCAGATATGTAAGAAGGTCACTTCCTTCTTTCTTTCGCACACCGATGATCTTTTATGCCTTGGCGAAGTCTCGATCATCTAATGGACTTCAGAGATGAATCAGCGAATCTTACTGGACCTCTTACCCCGAAGCACCTGACGATTCTGCCACTGGATTTGACTGGAAAGAGACACCATATCTCGTCTATCAATATGGCCTCGAAAAGCAATTGTGATCCTCGTGCGAAATACCATACTTAGCCTTGCAGCCACTGCGAAAAGACGCTCAGTCAGCGAGCGGTCATGGGGGTTCAGCAGATGAGTCCTCGATCCATGGTGGAGCATGGATCAGTCGTGCTATTGTGATGTCTCGGGGCTTGTAGTTTGCGAAGATCGTTTCTATGTGTGGTTCATCTATTTGATATGGTGGAGACCCAAGGAGTCTGAGGACATCATCATCGGTGTCTTCCATCGCTAGAACTCTTTCCAGATGGATATGCAGATATGCGACGATATAGGGGTTCCAAGAATCGAGGGACGGCCATGGTAGTCCATCGTGATCTGGAGTAGGGTTTTCTCTCTTTACCGAAGACAAAGAACGTCTGATTCCAGATGCGGTTCATGGAGACAGGAATGTAGCTGTTCTTGGAGAACAAAGACTTGTCTTAGGCTCATACTCGTAGGATCATTGATGGTATTCAGCGCGTCGAGGAGCCAGAGGCTTTGTTATTTGCTTGATAATACATGAGTGTGCAGGCGATGGTTTTGGGGACTGATCAGAAATGTTCAAACTGGATTTTGCTGTTCGAAACATGTATCATGGGCGATAGTCACGTCCCATAGCTATACAGCAAACTGAAGCCAGATAGACGTCAGAAGATCTCGAATGTCATTCAAGCAAGAATAAAACGCAGAGCACCCACCGAATGTCAGGGAAAAGGCCGATAGCGCCTTCCTCAAGCTTGTCTCAACCACTCCATGACATCAGGGTCCTGTCTCCTTAGAAGCCTTGACTCTTTGAATGCGTCAAACATCATGAACTTCAACATTCCTCTATCCAAGCATGCCAACTTGCCCCAAGTCCTTTGCATATCTCTTTTGACCGCATTGGCAAGCACCCATTTCTTAGGCAATATAGCATCGTAATCTGGTTCAAGTCCTTGCAATTCGTAGTCCAGTGTTAACTTCTTTGCTCTCGCTATAGCTGAGTGGATAATCGCTGTCCATACACGACCAAGCCTGGTATCGTGGTCATACTTGCGCTTTGAGCTGGCGTCATGAGTGTAGCGACCTTTGCGGATATCTTTGAAGACGAAATGCACCGTCAGACGATCACGATGTTGTTCGGGGAAAGACTCGACGACATCGAAGAGGAAGCGTATGTTCGCCGCAGACACTCTAGGAATGGTAAATTCTCCTTCTGGTGCAGCTGCGTTGAAGTCCCACATGATTAGGAGTTCAAAACTGACGCCAGTTTGCGTACCAAATCCCCTTTCGAGATTGAGGTTATGCCGCTCACGCTGGTTCTTGTAGGCGGCTACTTCTGCTCTGGAGGGTACGGCGTTGCCTTCTGTCTCTCCTGGCCCATAAGCTTGCGCACCAGCCGCTGCCCTCCACTCTTGCAGCCAGACTTGGAATCCATCATTGTTGATATCGTAGATTGGCATATCGTCACCAGGAACGAAAAACCGCTCTATGAACAGTGTAGCATTGAAATTTGCATTTGACCATTTCCGATTCGCCTCAGGATTTCTGGGGTCGGTGATTGTGCTTTCGCCTGGGATTACCAAGTCGACCATGGTCCAGTAGAAATCTATCCAATCATCACCGCCCTCACGGATGACATCGGGAGTCAGGTGGTTGTTGTGGCTGCTGATACCCAGCGTCTTGCACTCTTCACCCAGGGCAGGTTTGATCTCGAGTGTCGTCTCGAGACAGTCGAAGCCCAGTCGAGTGTGAAGCTCTAGCTCGCGTGCCGCAGGTGGTGCGAAAAAGAGAGGAGCATCAAGTGGATTGGGGTGGTCAGCTTCGTCCTCCATGATCGGTGTATGCGTGCTTTGACAATAGGGAAACCAAGTCAAGGGTGGTATAGACAATATGCATGAAGCTCGAGTAGGTCGTATAAACCGATCAAGATGGCTTACGAAGTCGCCGCATCCGGTCGCGCCATTGTTGGCCTCGAAGACAAAGCCATGGGCATTTCGACATGAAGCTAAAAGTTGTCCAAGACGCGACACAGGGCGGTTGTAACAAAAAAACAAAGTCGGAGAGAGAAGTCCTGTTCGGGCCGCGAGAGATGCAGTATGCGGAAAGATTGGGTTTGGAGATTTCGACCCTCTCGACTTTACCAGCTTCTCATAGTCCGGGCCTGAGATCAGCAATGCCGGTCTGAGATGGTTTCGGAGCGGTAGTTATTTGTCGCTTGTCGAGCTTAAATTTTCACCAAGACAAGGGGTGGCAGGACCACTTGATATGATAGGTTTGAGCATTCGAATGCCACGATGTAGTTTGAATAGATCGCTTCTTTGTTCAGACGTTGCAGTGACGCTTTCGCATACTGAAAACTTACCTTCCTTGCCATAGACCCATGTAGCATTAACAGGCAACGACATCTCCGTGATGTCTGCGACCGTCACATTTACCATATCTGGTTAACTGAAGCGACGCTCGTGTTCGCGACTTGCTCGAATCTTGCAAGGGAGATCGATGAAATTGTCACCCCTTGCAGCTTTCCTAGCAGCCTGCCGGTACGAGTAGATTCGAGGGCCTCGAGCTCGAGTTGTCCTCCTCCCCTCCAAAAATACACCGAGCAACTGGCTCTATTTTCTGGGCAGATTTTTTCACAAACAAGGTAGTAACACTTTCATGCAACCAAAAGAGCATACTGACACAGCTTCAGTATGAGAGCTCCCAAGTCAAGTCCCGAAGACGCTCGCAAATTTGCTCACAATCCCACTACTATCCCGGAAGCGATCGAGCGACCTGTGCAGAGTAAGGAGGAGTCTCAGCAACAGCTGAAGTCAGCTGTTCTCCAGTATGAGTCAGCTGTTGTCAATCACGTAGAACAGCGTCCGATAATCGTCAGTCCCATCGACTGTCTTGTCATATCCTGCGCTTGCATCGCTGATCCCAGAACAGCTCGATCTCGGCCCCGAGCAGCTTGAAAAACACAATCAGCATATGCTGGATCAGGCACTCAAGCTTCGAGAGATCCAAGTAGGAGATATTCAGTGTATCATGGAGTTTTTTGACAGCTGTGACGAGGAGATGCGCCGTTTTGCGCTGGAAGAAAAGAAGGCCGTCGCCGCCAGAACCAAAAAGCTGAAAAAGTTCATCAATGAAGTAGATGCTGTCGTCGCCAGTCTCGGAAACCGCGAAACTTGACCGAGATTTCGCAGTCGAATCGGTCGTATCCTGTGAGAAGAGTTGCAGCATGACAGGGCATCCCGATCTTTTCATCATGTGGGTCAATGCCGCATTGAGAATTCGAAGTCGGGTTTAGGATCCAAGTTGATTGGGTATGCTTGTGCGACAACCCTATGTCTAGATACAGATGAGTAGCAATGACAAGCATCAATCATTGCGCGGAACATTCAGTATAGGTCTTAGTAGGATGTTGACTGCCACAACTCAGCACATGCTCATAAATACCGCGTTCTTGTAATCATTCTGTGTAAGACCCAACGATGGAAGGATATCAATGAAGAGGGGTCGACCAGGTTTCGGCCCTCCCTCATCCGAGGTGCATCAGAGCCAAGAGTCGCTCGGAGGAGTCGAAGCTATATAAAGTCCCAAACTGCCGCGACTGATTCCCACCTCTCTCCCCGCACCTTCCTCTCACAACATTGCGCGCCGGGCTCGCCCTGAGTCTCCATCATAGACCCACAACGACCTCATATCTCGACGTTGAGACCGACAATGGATGCCGGCTGAACCTTGCATTTTGTTGGGCAGTCTACCTTGATATACGCAGCGCCTTCACTACGATGATGGGACCCGAAACAAATGCTTTACGAGTTTCTAGATCTTGAGAATAGATGTGCGTCATCGCCTGTACACAGAAAATCAGCAGAGTCATCGGCCTAGGAACAGATAGAACAGGCGCAAAGGCGCATCGAAGGTAGGCACGACAGGCTGCTCGGCCTCGGGCTTGGTATCGGAAGCGACATACGACAACACAACACGCATCGGGTCGTTCAACACACCCGAATGCACGTCATCTTTCGAACCCATCCAGGAGCGCCCCGTGGAGTAACTCCATAACTCCAGCATTGTCGCATTACGAATCCGCAATCTGCCTTGGTCCGTGGGGTCGAGTCAGGAAATGCAAAAATTTTGGTTGGTCAAAGAGAAGGACCCGCACGTTCCGGAAGTGGGTGAGAAATTCAGAACGCAGATCATTCACCACCTCTGGTCGAAATCGACCATTGCAGACCTCCGTACGGTAAACCGGCGCGTTTGATATCGGATGCAGTGGTTCAGAGCGATCCGAGGGCAAGAAGCCCTAGAAGATATGTCAAAAGAGCCTTCTCCCTCACTCTCGTCTTTGCAACTTCACCTTCCCAAAACCGCGAATATGGGTGTCCTTGCGAAAGTCGAAGATAGACCTACTCCGCCATGCGTTTACAACTGGCGTGTCTATCTTTCGGCCATTGTGGCTGCCTTCTCTTCTTGCATGATTGGCTATACTACTTCGTTCATTGGTACCACGGTTGCTCTTGACTCGTTCCAAGAATACTATGGGCTTGATCGGTTGAGTGACTCGAAGGCTAGCTTCATATCAGCCAATATCGTGTCTCTTTTCCAGGCCGGCGCGTTCTTTGGCTCCATCTTTGCTTATACGACATCGTACTTCCTTGGCAGAAGAGCCAGTATCTGGATCTTCATCAGCATCTTCCTTGTTGGCGCTGGTATCACCTTGAGCCCAAGCCACAGTCTAGGTCCCCTGTATGCTGGACGTGTCATCTCGGGGTTCGGTGTAGGTGGCTGCACTATGGTGGTAAGTTATTTCTCTGTTCGATGTGCCAACACCAAACTTCTCGTCATTGTTAGCCACCCCTGAATGTATACCACCATCAATCACTGCCCAACTATCAGTAATAAATCTTACCAATCCGGCGTGTACAGNGTCCCGATATTCTTGTCCGAGATCGCCCCTCCAGCAATCCGAGGTAGACTTGTCGGTCTATACGAACTCGGCTGGCAGACTGGTGGCCTCGTTGGATTCTGGATCATCTTTGGCGTCTCAGAAGGCTCGGCTCTGACTGGAAGGAACCAGTTCTTGATCCCATTCGCTGTGCAGCTCGTCCCGGCTGGCATGGTTTTGATCGGCAGCATCATGCTTAAAGAAACACCGCGTTGGCTCTTCAGCAAAGGTCGTCGCGAGAAGGCCATCGAAAACCTCTGCTGGATTCGCAACCTTGAGCCTACCGATCAGTACATCATCGAAGAAGTCGAAATGATGGAAGCTGCGAATGATGAGATACCCAAAGGCTTCTTCCAGCCAATCAAGCTTGCCCTGACCGACAACAAGATCTTGTGGCGTCTATTCCTCGGTCACATGCTGTTTGTCTTGCAGAACTTCTCGGGCATCAACGCTATCGTGAGTTTCACTTCTCTGCTTCTTTGCCAGGGTCATTGCCTGCTCTTGCCTGAACATGATGTACTAACAATGTCAATCACANNGAACTACTACTCTCCAACCATCTTCAGAACCATGGGCATCAACAGCACGTACACGGTCGACCTCATGACAGGCATCTTCGGCGTCCTAAAGACTGTGATGACTGTCCTTTGGTTGACCGTCCTCGTCGACAAGTGGGGCCGCCGCCAACTCCTCGTCTACGGCTCCATAGCAGGCGCCTCATGCATGTACATCATCGGCGCGCTCATCACCTCCAAGGTCAGCAGCAGCAGCGACACAACAACCTCAGACCATCTCTCTTCCCAAGGCATCGTCACAATCGTCATGGTATACCTCTGGACCACCTTCTACATTCCCTCCTGGAACGGCACACCTTGGGTCATCAATGCCGAAATGTTCACCACCGCCTCTCGCAATGTGGGTCAAGTGTCTGCCTCCATGTCAAACTGGCTGTGGACGTTTATCATCGCTCGCTTCACCCCCGACATGATTTCTAGCATGGGGCCCGATGGCTGCGGCATGTATTTCTTCTTTGCGGGCATGTCGACGTTGAGTCTGGGGTTTGTGTGGTATTTGCTTCCAGAGACAAAGTCGGTGCCTTTGGATAAAATGGATAGATTGTTTGAGATCAAACCGGTGAGGAGGGCACAGCCGCAGTTGATGCGGGAGTTGCAAGAGGAGAATTTGGAGATGAGTTTGCAGGCCGGCAAGAGGATGAGTGTTTCTAGTGAGCATCGGGCTTAGAGCATGCATTTTGTAGAACTTGGACATGGGGCATTCATACACAGAGTATAGAATCATGAATCCTACAAGCGAGCTTGAAGCAAGACCAGTCTTTTTAGAACATCGATCCGTCATGCTTGCGAGATCGTAGCAGTTTGTCTATCGCGTAAAGCGACCGCATGAACATTGGCTGAGGAAGTGCTGAATGCAGAGGTGGAAGACGGCATGGCGTGCAGAGAAATGCCGTTCGCTACGTCTTGTTGGCCATCAACTTCATGTTCCCTCTGTGTCCTAGATTTCCTCTGCTTGATCCAAGGTCTCAGATTGTAGTAACCGCCACAAGCAAAGATGCCCAGCCAGAGTACAAGCTCGAGGCCATAGATGATGATCCCCAAGACATCGAGATGAGGCTGGAAGAATACCGAGATCAATGAGGTCAAGTCTCCAAGGGCATCGATGAAGCAAAAGGTGAATGAAATGCCTCTGACGGTGCGATGGGTGTAGATGTCCCAATAGTGCGCGCCCACACCACAGGCAAGGAATGTCGCAGCAAGCACGGCCATAAGTGTCGACGGCCACTCGACGCCTCTATCCTTGCCTCGCTCCAGGGCCACCACCAAGCCGACTTCAATGCCGGCCATACAGATCGCAATGGGGATAACCACGCAGAGACTGCGCACCACAGACCACTTCTTCTCATAGTAGTAGACTTGAATCCAGGTACATAGCGACAGAAAGGCAAGGATTTGAGGTTGAATCTGCAGAGCGATATTGAAGGAAGAGGTTATATTGTAGACGCCTAGAGGCACGCCTGCCCATGCCCAGAACATCATCATTGAGGGCTGAAGACCGGTGGCATTGTGACGACGGTAGTTTATGATGATCTGGGGGATTAGTTGGACAGACCAGCANNTATCTTTTGTCACATGAGATTAACAGGATTCGAGAGGGTCTGGTGGGGTGAAAGGACGACATACGGCTCCGAGGGTGCCGAGCACGTTGGCGACGATAGGGACGTCCATCAGTGCCTGTGAGTATATACTTGTGGAAATGATACTGATGCTCAGGATGTCGTACTCGTGGAATGGATACTGATGCTGAGGCTGAAAGCAGGCGGAAGTGTTGATGGAGGGCTGATGCGAGAAAGGAATGTGATTGGCCGAGGACAGCTGCCTTCTCCGCAAAGCGAAATGAGTCTAAAATTGACCCGTCCACCGGTCGTCGAGACTCGAGAGCACGCACCCGCTGCATTTGGCAACGCTGGCTTCTTTCTCCTTTTGCTATTCATCAACACAATGGCCGACCTCGCAACTCCGTCTGCCGCTGCCATGAGCACCTCGGATGCTGGCGCTCAGAAGCCTGCCTTCACCAAGCCCGAGAGACCCGACCAGGCCGACTACGACAAGACGCTCGCCGAGGCACAAAAGGCCCTCGATGCTGCTGTCGAGAGACAGGCAAGTNNGCTTCTTTTACGTATCCTTGAGTCTCTGATCATGTCTAACACATGGCTACAGAAGTCCATCAAGGCCAAGCTCGACTCGCGCCCCAACAACAAGGAGTCNCCCGAGGCCAAGAGACAGCAGGAGCTGCGCGCACGACTGAACGAGATCCGTGAGGCACAAAAGTCGGGCAAGTCGGGTCGCGCCCAGCAGCTCGGCCAGATCCAGCGCCTCGATGAGCAGCTGAAGTCGCGCATCACCGAGCAAAAGACTGCCCGCAGCCGTGTCGCTTTCCGCTCCGTCGATGACATCCAGAACGAGATCAACCGTCTGCAGGCCCAGGTCGAGACCGGCACCATGAAGATTGTCGACGAGAAGAAGAACCTCGCCGAGATCACCGCCCTGAACAAGCAGAAGAAGGGTTTCGCTGGCTTCGAGCAGGCCCAAAAGCAGATTGACGACATCAAGGCCCAGATTGCCGACATCAAGAAGTCCATGGACGACCCGGCAGCCAAGGCTCTCTCCGAGGAGTACACCAAGATCACCACCGAACTCGACGAGATCAAGAGCAAGCAGGACGAGGTCTTCAAGAACCTGAACCAGCTCCGTGACGAGCGTACCCGCGCGAACGAGGCTCAGCAGGTCGCCTACACCAACCTCAAGGACATCAAGGACAAGTACTGGCAGGCCAAGCGCGCCTTTGCCGAGTACGAGAAGGAGGCATACCGCGTGCGCAGAGAGCGTCAGCAGCAAGAGCGCGCTGCTTACGAGGCCGGCAAGCGCAAGCAGGTCGCCGAGGCCAAGCTCGACGAGGCCAGCGCCCCTGCCTACGGTGACGAGATCCAGACCGCCCAATCCCTTATCCGCTACTTCGACCCTTCATCTCAAGAGGCCAAGGCCGCCGCCGGCCCCGGCAAGTTTGCCGCCCAGGCCAGCCGTACTGTTGAGGCCACCGGCATCAAGGGTACCGCTCTCCCCCGCAAGGGTGAAGCCGAAGAGGACTACATGACCGGTAACGGTGGTAAGAAGGGCAAGAAGAACCGCAAGAACCAGAACGCCTCGCCCGCCCCTGAAGCCCCTGCTGGAAAGTTCAACCTGTCTTTCGGTGTCATTGAGCAACTCGCCAAGATCGACGTCCAGCCTCCATCATCGCAAGCCGCCGTCGCCGGTGTCGTCGAGCAGATCAAGTCCAAGCTCGAGAGCTGGCAAAAGGACCAAGACCGCAAGACCCAGGAGGTGAGTTTTTGATAAGCCCCGAAACACAGACTTGACCAAGTGCTGATATGACCCCTANNGAACATTGACAAGGCCAAGAAGGAGATTGAGCGTCTCGAGGCCGAGACCGAGAAAACTTCTGACGCAAAGACCAATGGCAACTCTGCCGACAACGTTGCCGCCGACCTCGAGAAGACCAAGATTGAGGAGACTTCGTAGAACAGTGTGATCATCACGCTTGTGTCTCTCTAACCATTTGTTTCTCCAAAAGTTGTGCTTTCGGAAAGGATATGATTCGAAGATTGAGCGAGAGAGACCAGAAGAAAAGCGAGGATACAAAACGCGACGTTGGATGAACTCTTTGGGTGGGTTCACAAAACATGTTTTTTCTCTTACACCCCATCTTCTTATTACATTCACATCCCGTTGAGCGTTCAGGGATTTTTTTTGTGCCTGTTTGTTGCATTTCCACTCTTGCCGTTATCACTCTCAAAAGGACCGTCCTTGCATGCCGGAAAGTAGGCGTGTGGTTAATTCGCAACAGGAGACCATTCCTTATGTGACAGGGATCTCTGTGCCTGTGTAGCTAGTCTCTTGTTTGCTATCAATACCATTAGCCGCTATCTGCTTGATAACATAATGTATGGTAAGTGATCCCTGCTTTGGCGCTGTCCATTTCGGAGCATACACACAGACAAACCATTTCTCCAACTCGGTATCTGCTGCTACGAGCTCGAAGAATTCGTTGATGATGAGAGTTTTATGTAGATGGAGCCTCGGTAGGTATGCGTGTACTGTAGCAAGGTAGATTGTGTCTGTACAGTACCCCGCATCCATCCTATCGATCGACCATCCTTCTCCGCACTCCAACGACAAGCCATGGCTCCGAGGATGAACTATATCAACTGACCTTGCCAGATTTCGACCTGAAACTCTATGTACACTGTTCACTCATCATTTCCAGAAAGCTATTCGAGTCATTGTCAGTAGAACACAGGAAGGAGAGCCGGTGACTCCAAATCCATCTCGTCCAACATCACTCACAGCTCAAACAAGCAAACCAGCAAAACAAATATTACTACATCAACAGCAACCATGCCTTTCGAATCTCCTCATCCACCAATCGACTTGCCATCCAAAGAATCCATCTGGTCATTCTTCTTCGACTCTAGTCATAGCCCTTTATCCGCCTCTGCTACATCAACATCAATCTCTGGCTACACAGACGCTAGCACCGGTGCCTTTCTCTCCTACTCTGACGTCAAAGCCAAAGCGACTGCCCTCTCCACCGCTCTGATCCGTCATCATGGCTTTCTAGCTGGCGACACGGTGATTTTGTTTTCCCAAAACTCGATTTGGTATCCCGTGGCCATGTTTGGGATACTCAGGGCTGGAGGCGTGGTCAGTGGAGCCAGTCCAGCGTATGGTGTTGAAGAAATGGAGTATGCGTTGCGCACTTCTGGGGCCAAGTTTTTGATGACGCATCCAGAGTCTCTTGGTGTTGCCGTGAAGGCTGCTGAAGCTGTGGGATTGGGTCGAGAGAGGGTTTTCTTGATTGAAGGGGAGGAGAAAGGGTTTTCTGGGCTGAAAGAGTTGATTGAGGGAGTCAAGGGGAAGCAAGAGGTGGAGGCTTGGAGNGGGGTGGAGGAGAAGAGTAATGGGAATGTGTGTGCGTTTCTGAGCTTTAGTTCTGGGACTACTGGGTTACCCAAGGCTGTGAGTTTTATCTTCCTTTGGGTTTCGCCGTTTCGCAGGCAATCTTTGCGTAAGAGAAGCTGACATTTCCAAAAAAAAAAACAGGTCATGATTTCTCACCAAAATGTCATTGCGCAGTGTCTACAGATGCTGGTCATCACACCCAAAGATCTGGATCGCGTGTTGGCTGTGCTGCCTCTCTTCCACATCACCGGTCTCGTACACATCCTCCATCTACCCATTCTACTAAACGCAAACGTCATCATGCTGCCTTCCTTCAGCATGCCAACAATGCTTGCCACAGTCGTCAAATACAAGATCAAGGAATTGCTCTTGGTGCCACCACTGCTTATCCGCTTGGTCCGCGATCCCATCGTCGCCTCTTACGACTTGACTCATGTCCAAAGGTTTTCGTCTGGAGCTGCTCCTTTGAGTCGAGAGATTTTGGATTTGCTGCANAAAAAGTTTCCGAATACGGGGTTCAAGCAAGGGTATGGGATGACTGAATCCTGCAGTTGCATCACTGGCCATCCGCCTGCATACTATGACTATCAGTATGCGCATGCGGTGGGCCAAATCATGCCTTCCACCTCCGTGAAGATCATCCGCGACGACGGCACCGAAGCTTCCTTCAATCAACCCGGCGAGATCCTGGCCAAAGGCCCGCAAATAACCATGGGATATCTGAACAACGCCACCGCCACAAGAGACACTTATGATGCAGAGGGCTACCTACACACCGGCGACCAAGGCTTCATCTCCCCTCAAGGCCTCCTCACCATCACCGACCGCATCAAAGAAATGATCAAAGTAAATGGCCACGCCGTCGCCCCCGCAGAACTCGAAGATTTGCTCCTGGGCCACGTCGCCATCGAAGATGTGGCCGTACTGGGCATCCCTGACTCCATCTCTGGAGAAGCGCCAAAAGCATTCGTCGTCTTGAAACCCAACTCATCCTCTACGCACAGTAAACAAGACGTCCAAAATGTGGGAAAAGAGTTGCTCGAGTTCGTCAAGCAGAAAAAGATACGCTATAAATGGCTCGTGGAGGTTGAGTTTGTGGAGGTGATTCCAAAGTCTCCGTCAGGGAAGATATTGAGAAGAGTGTTGAAAGACAGGGCAAGGAGAGGAGAGTTTGGAGTTGTAGTCAGAGAAGCGGCAAAGGCAAAGTTGTGAAAAAAGAAAACGGAACATGTGTTCTTCCACTCTTTTAGTATGTTCTTTAGCTAGGAACTTCGCTTTGAGATGGATTCATGTTGCTTGATCGAGGTTTGGCCCCGTCAAGTGAGGTCTTTTATTGCGACATCCAGTATTTATTCTGTGAATGAACATATTCGCTGGAGTGGCATTCCTCCCTGTGGGGGAATGGCAGAGAAGGCCGGTCACCTAATGCACGCCCCTAGTTTACCAGTACGTAGCGGTAGCGAGCCTTGCCAGCTTCCATTTCCAGCAGTACAGCGTTGGCATCCTTCATAGGACGCTCCTCGATCCACGGTTGAATCTTCTTGTCGGCCGCCAGCTGTAGCATCTCGGCAATTTCTTCGGGGGGCCCGATCTGGCTACCGCCAAACTTGACACCGCTCATGACAAGACTGAACGCGCTGACGGGTGGAAGGACGCCACCGTCCGCGATACCGACCTGGATCATGGTTCCCTTGACCTTTAGCAGAGCGAGATGACCGTCTAGGGGCATGTTGGCGCTTCCGACCGTGTTGATGATGAGGTCCAGAGAGCGCATGTTGTGTGATACCCAGTCTGGATCGTCGTCGGTAGCAATGTAGCGGTCGGCACCAAGCTTAAGAACATCGTCCTTCTTGTCAGCTTTGCGTGAGATGCCAACGACTTCCTCAGCTCCCATGGCCTTTGCAAACAGGATACCAAGATGGCCAAGACCACCTACGCCCACAATGCNCAATCTAGAGCTGTGTCAAAATTTTCCTTCATCAGGTGGGTTCAACAGTCGGGAAAGGTTTACCTTCTTGCCGGGTCCGCATCCGTTGTGCTTGAGCGGCGAGTATACGGTGACACCAGCGCACAGCATGGGGGCTGCGCCGGCACTGTCGAGACCGTCGGGAATCTTGACCACGCATCGAGCTGGGTGGCGGGTGTAGGTCGCATAGCCACCATACGAGTCTCCAGAGCCGTCCTTGTACTTGGACCCGTAGGTATGGGTTCCGGCCAAGCAGTGGTTGGGGTTGCCCTCTAGGCAGACCTCGCATTCGCCACAAAANNAGTCGGACTGGGCGCCGACACCGACTATATGCTATTAGAAAACTTGGAGTCGGCGCAGGTGGGGCCAAAGTGATTTACCTCTATCACCAACTTTGAGGTGCTTTACGTTCGAGCCGACCCTGACGGCCTTGCCAACGATCTCGTGTCCAACACAGCAGGCNNTGCGGAGAGAATCAGTCAAGCATTCCAGGACATCGAGATGGACATGTGGCATACGGTAAGGGACAGGCCCCCAGGCGGACTTGAGCATGTGGAGATCAGTGCCGCAGACGCCGCAGTGAGAGACCTTGATGTCCACATCATCTTCGCTCCACTTCTTGGGCTCGAACTGTCCCCATTTCATGTTACCCTCAGCAGCCTTAGCATCATAGCCGAGCCAGCCTTCGAATTTGTAGTCGGTCGACATGGTTGTTCTGATTGTGCTTGGTATATTCGTAGGATATGTTGCCGGACTTGAGGGATTGCTGTGAATAATCAGGGAGGAGTTCCCCTTACTTATCTGCTCGAGTAACAAAGGCCAAGATCCGCCAGTCACTGCTCTTCACAACCAGAGTAGCCATTACTTCGCAAGTAAACGGAGCGATGAGTCTGGCCGAGTCCTGGACGCAAAACTCGAGCTCGCCAGACCATTTCCAACTCTTGCTCAAATCGGGACAACATCTATCCGACGTTGGTTTCGCGTTGGACAAGCTACAACAATGTCTTCGGAGGGTTATTTCGTGCCAAGGGTCAAAGATATAGGAAGAGGAAATGTTCCAAGCGAGGATCAGACGAGAGACGGTGATGTGAAGCGAGGTAATCACGCCCATGGCTTTGCCAGCCCTCGGAGCAAATCCCAGCAAAGAGATGCCACATCTTATCGTCGTTATAGGCTTGGATAACATGTGAGAAACACCTAACGCAATAATATTGTATGACCTGACGTTGCTAAATCAGCCTTTGATCGATATTAGAAGGGTATAAGCTAGATATTCTCGAGTTTCTTCTGGGTGGGGCCCTACTGAGCCAGGGTGTTAAGATCTCGGCAGTTACAAAGCCCTACGTTGTCAAACCCTAGGCTGTCAAGCCCTTGTACTATACTGGCTCAATACGCTTTTCCTCCCAGACTTTCCACACGTTCTGGCGTACAAACGCAGCGGTATAGGGTTTCTGATTACCAATCGCACGCGTGTCTATTGTCGGGAATACAAACAAGCCGACGGCATTTCACCCAACTTGTGATGCTTTATAATCACATGTTATCATAGAGAGTCGTTATCTCGATATACGCAAGTATCTGTTGGTTCATAATTATGCGTTTGCGGTGTGTGGGCGTACGCCTATGAGAAAGTGTTTTGTTGACCACTTGGCAGAGACATGTCACCCGCTCTGATATATAGACATGCACGTCTTCCAAGATTGAATTCCCCCGTCATAGTCCTCGCTGTCTATATCAGATTCCGTAGAACAACCATGACGCACAAAGTACTTCTCTTCCTTGGAGCAGGCCGAAAGGTGGGCGCAGCATCGATCAGTCACTTCAAGAAGCATGGTTACAAAATCGCATCAGTAGCGAGATCCGTGAAGCCCGAGATCGAGGCGTGCTCAGACGACTGTTTGACGGCCGACTTTAGTGATCCCGGAGTGATGGAAGAGGTGTTTGAGAAAGTACGCAAGGCTGTCGGAACGCCAAACGTTGTCATTTACAATCGTGAGTATCTATCATATGGCTGCACGGTTTGTGGCGACATGGAAGCTAACGTGCCTCAAGCCTACGCCTGGTCTAGAGGCCAGGAAGAGGGTAATCCCCTTTCGCCCAGCGTTGAAGCATTCCAATCCGACTTTGCCATCAACACTGCTTCTGCTTATGCCGCTGCCAAATATGCGGTCCAGGGCTTTGACTCGTTGCCAAAGGAAGCCAACAAAGTCTTCATCTACACGGGAAACAATGGGAATACTGCTGTAGGTACTCGTTCGCCGTGGATTCAGACACTTTCGACTCACCGAGCTTAGATCATGCCCCAATTCCTCACACTCGGCATGGGAAAGTCTGCCGGCTGGTACATTATCCAGCAATCAGCGGCCACCGACCGCTTCAAAGCGGCAAACTACCGATTCTACTACGTTGATGAACGGACTCCGCAAGGCAAAGCGACTGTACCTTCGGGGAGAGCTCATGCCGAATTCTTCTTGGAGCTTGCGGAGATGAACGACCAAGGTCCCATCTTGGCTACTTTTGTGCGCGGCAAAGGATACACCAGATTTGCAGCGAGCGAGGCTGCGAGACTACCGACCCTCAGCGTGGCAGAAGCTGTGGATTTCGAGTGGGGATCTCACGAGTACTGAAGACTTTGTTAGTATGCGCTCGAGGAATAAGTTGGCTTTGTGAGAAGACTGATGTTGGCGCTTGTGGGGAGTCGTGGTAGACGGGAGATCTGAGGGGTGGTTGGTTACATAGCATGTGACGATGTCAATTTTCGTGCCCAATCGTTAATATGAACATTCATATACTTCACTGCCACGCCCATGGGGTCTGGGTACCTATGCGTTGAGGTCAAAGCAGCGCTATTGTCTTGATAAGGTGGCAAATGGTAATAATGCATCGCAAGTTAAGCAATAAAGGAGCAATTAAGAATGGCGGATCCCAGGCAACGAGTGGAACAGCATGCACGAAGATGACAACAACGGCACGTCTACTAATGAGAGGAAAGATGCTGCATCATGAAGTCCCCTAGAAGTATTCTTGCTACCGTTATCATACACACATATCAGCCATCTCTTCCTGAACTTGCTGCCACGCCGGACGAACGTCATATATGTACAAACGAGAGTGCTTTGATTGATGTTTGGGAGATTGATGTGATGGTCTCGAGCAGATTTCGCTCCCATAACGTACTATTGTACGTTCTTGACTTTCCTTTTCGCTTGCACCTTTGAACAGGACTTGGCAGAAGTAACGGCAGCTAGTTACACCCTCACCAACATCCATCGTAATAGTGTCTTACTACTCTGTTGCTGACTGGGAAAGAAGCATGTTTCGCTGCTGAGCAAGCTGCGGTCGCAAATGCTTGCATGCCATAGGCCTGACCTTGCAAGCATTCCACGCCTATTTGTCTCCACCCACCATCACCTCAAACAAGACCCTGCAAAACAGGATTGTTTTTACCCAGGAAGGTGTGCTGAACTTCTTCACCTTGGACGCCAGTGGCAGTGTTGTCGATGGTAGTGGTAGTAAGACCGGCATGGATAGCATCGCGGGTATAGTCGGGAATCGCATCGTGAGAGGCACGGTCAACATTACCTGCAGAGTCGCTAGCAACAGTAGACTCACGTCCAGTACTCATGGGAGCCTGACTATTACTGTAGGCAGATGAGTTTTGGTAGGGCTCCGTGATGTTGGCAGTCTTCTGGTCGTGGCCAGAGGCAAGAGTGGGGAGGTCAACACGAACGGGCCCCGCTTCAGGCTCAGCAACGTGCTTTTCATAGTCTTCTTTCTTCAGCCCCAACAACTTGCCAGCAACAGGGAACCACTCGTCCTCCCACCTCCTTCCACACTCTTCCAGAGCACCTCTTCGAATTGCAGCCAGTGTTCTCGCTCCCTTCTTTCCGAACAGCTCTTCAAGCAGAGTCTCCAAGCCATCGGCCGAAGAAAAGCCAAAGCCGTTGACACCTTCACGAACGAGTTCTTTCCAGGCTTCGAAGCGCGACCAGCCGACTACAGGCAGTCCGGTACCAAACATGTCCACAACCTTCATTGGGAGATCTACACCCGAGGACGAAGTATGCAGACTTACGCCAAGGTCTGCAGAGGCTAGCAAAGAAGCATAATCTTCAATGCTCAACCAAGCGGTCGCAATCTTGACGTTAGCAAGTTTCTTCTCCTTGGTGAGGGTGGAGATTTTGGAGAGGTAGTATTCTTTCAGTGGGCCTTTTCCTGTGATTATGGCGAGTATCTTGGGGTAGGCGTGGTGGGTAGCCATCGACACGGTTGCCGAGTAGGCGACCAGAGCATCCAGGAGGATTGAAAAGTCTTCATCGGCAGTCCACGAGGTGGAAGAGACCAAGAGCTTGTAGCTGCCATGGTCGAGGTGCTTGGCATGGTGTGCAGTCTCTGGGCATCTATGCAGGAACTTTGAGCGTTGTGTCTGGTTCAAGGGCTGGAATTGATCGGCCGGTCGGTCGTGGAGAGGTGTGGCTTGTACACCGAATCGCTGCTTGAGCACTCTGGCCATGGCATTGGTCACACTGAAGTGAGCATCTGCCGCACGCGCGACGTAACGTTCGTACATTTCCGAAATTCTGACCAGGGGATGCTTGTCTCCCAGTTTGAGAGCCAGGATGGTGTAGCCAAAGTTATGCCAGTCAATGATCAGACGTGTATGACGGACGAAGCACATGGCCTGTGCGATTGCCAGAGTAGGGATTGATGGTGGGTTCTGGACCAACATCCATTTTGTGGCTTTTGTGCGGTAGCCACATGCATGCCATACAGTGGCAACTTGCCAGAGGACCTTCAGAGGTGCGATGATGGGAAACAAGATTTTGTTGGCATTGCGAAGAGCTTCAGGTGGAGGTGCTAGAGGAATGACGGTGACGAAAGGGTTGCCTCTGATTTCGGGCAGGAGCTCTGATTCCAGATAGCCGATCAGACTGACACGACCTCGGTGTGCAGCTATACTGGCGACATGGTATTGCATGCGAGGGCTTCTTCCAATATCGCCCAGAACCAGAACAGTGACTGAGGCATCATTTGTTGCTCCAGATTTTGTTTTCTTGTCGTCTTCTTTGACTAAAGTGTCCTCCTGTTGAGGGTCATAACGATCGGGCAGAGTGAGGATAAAAGCAGTGACGGCGGTTGATAATATGACAGTAGTGGGAAGGAAGACGGTCCAGAGAAGAGTCCAGATTGTAGATAGCCATGAGCGACCAGTATGCCCTCCACCTTCAATCAATGGCAGATCCTCCATGTTGGGCGGCCTTTGAGAGTGGAAGGAGCAAAGTCACGACTCGCTCCAAAGGTAAGCACGACCAACTTCCAATGTCGACGTCACTTCTGCGATAGAAAGCTGGCAGAAGGTGGCTGTGTTTCAGGTGGGCTTGTGCCAAGGACGGTGAACGGCGGGCGGAGGAGCTTGATGATCTGGAGGCGGGACGGCGGCATCAAGGGCGGAAACGCTGATTCAGATCAGAGTTTAGACCAGCCCCTGAGCCCGACATTTATGGGCAACTGACAAGTGACAACGTCCATGACATGCGAATCGATAAGCGACAAGACCCGTCAGAGAGTGGAAGAACGTTTGCTTTCTCCGACATCACATCCTAGTATACACCATCTACAAAGAAGCTTGGAGTGTTCACCGCATCTGGACATGACGATACAATAGCTTCCAAAAGATCAATCCACGTTAGCCACAAAGACGACAGTCAGCATGGCGAACGGTCGGCCGCTCTCGATGAGCAATGGGCCGTCATGGGCACTCAACGATAGTCCCTTTGACGACGACCAGACGACAGCGGCGCAAGCATTCGACAGCGGGCTCGACTGTGAAGAGACGGATCAATTCAACCCCAATGGCCTGGCTCATGGCGCTCACACTCGCACATACTCGTTCGCCGGTCCAAAGTCGCCCATACGCACGCCCGTGAAGCCTTCGTTCAAGGGCCACCTCCGCCAGGGCTCTGCCTATGCTCTCTCGCCAGTCTCGGCCGCCTTTCCCGAACACATTCTCGAGCACCCCAATGAATCGACGCAAACCCGCGGCCACAGCCATAGCCAGAGTACGCAAAGCACCTACAGCACCTATAGTGCACATAGTGTACACAGCGCACACGGCCATTCCCACACCATCTCTCACGACCACGACCACGACCACGACCACGGCCATGGCCACTCACATACCCATTCGAACGGCCATGCGCATGGCCACAGTCATGATCACAGCCACCCACCCGCACCGCTCAATCCAACAGTCTCTCAAGGGGAAAGCCCATCCTTGTCCCTAGCCGAAGTCCTGACCGGCATCCTCATACCCCTACCGTATCTCCTCGCATCCGCCGCATACTCGACACCCAACACCAACTTCCCTCCGCTGTCTGCCTATGCGCGCCTGCAGCAGTCCGTGCCAGACGGCAAGAACATAGAAGACTACCACAATGCACATCACGCTTCGAGTCTGCTGCAAGCATGTACTTTGACATCTGGCACTCTCCTCCTTATCGCCATACTAGCGACCATTCGTGCCTCGGAGAGAGGTTTCGACAAGCGAAAAAGCTCGAATGCTGGCCTGAACCCTTCTGGGCCACTGACGGCACAGTCAGTGCTCGCTATGGTCACGAGCACCTTGCGAGTCGGTTTGCCATACTATGCTGCTATACAGATAGGCGGTCTGCGAGTTGGCCTGGTGCTGTTGGTTGCACTTGCCTCGGGCATATCCTGCTCTGAGAGGCATTCCAAGTCCTTCTTTGCATCCTTCTCTGCTCGGCCACTGACTCTGGCTGCAATTGGGCTTTGTCTTTTGGCCGATGCTTTTGGATTGACCGTCTATGCTGACGTGTATCATCTCGTAACTGGCTATATGGCTCTGCTCACCTCTGTCTCCCTACTACACCCGCCTTTGCCGGCAAGCGGCTCCTCCACTTCTCCTCTCATTGCTACTCCTTCCGACACTACCACTACCCTCTATGCAGGCGCTATCCTCTCTGTTCTCACCATCGGCGCATCCATCGTCTTTTCCATCGCCCCCTCTGTGACACCTCTGTCAATCACCTTTTCCACTCTCTCCATGGCCATCACTGCAGGTCTGGTCCTGTTTGCTCGCCCAGCACACCTTCGCACCCACAAGAAGATTGGCTTGGCTTTGGGTTGTCTTCTGACTGCGGCTTGCTCTTTCCTCTTCTCTCCCAATACCTGGCCTGGTACGTTTTGCAATGGTGCCATTGCCGCTCTATCTTATGTCGGCGTCCTTTACGACACTTCGCACTCTCACACCCATTCCCACGATCATTCTCATGCCCACGACACTAGCCACGCCCACGCTCATGCTTCTGCACATACACACTGCAATCACCATCATGGCCATCAACACCATACTCACGCTCAAACGTCCATCTTCACCTCATTTCTCCTCGCCCGCTGCCGACCGGGCTCTCTCTTCCACAGCATCCTTTGCGAACGAGATTCTCGCCGAATTGCCTATTTTACCTGCCTCAACTTTGGGTTCATGCTTGTACAAGCCTTCTATGGATGGGTCAGTGGCTCGCTCGGCCTCTTGAGTGACACAGTCCACATGTTCTTCGACTGTCTCGCTTTGGTCATTGGTCTCGGCGCTGCCGTCGCCAGCAAGTGGCCTACCAGTCCGGAGATGCCTTTTGGCTGGGGCAAGCTGAACGTTCTCGCCGGCTTTGGAAATGGAATCTTCCTCATGCTTGTCAGTGTGGAATTCATATGGGAAGCTGTCGAGGGCATCATGGAAGGCACCGAGTTGCGCCATGTGGAGGAGTTGCTTGTGGTCAGCACCCTCGGCTTTTTGGTTAACATGGTGGGATTGTTTGCTTTTGGACACGCTCACCATGGCCACGATCATGGACACGATCACTCACATGGTCATGGTAATGAAAACATGCATGGCATTTACCTGCATGTTGCCGCAGATGCCGGTGGCTCGCTTGCTGTAATCCTCAGCACCATACTCACGCTCTGGAAGCCTTGGTACCTGTGGGACCCTCTGGCCACCATCGTCATTGCCATTCTCATCTTCCTTGCTGCGGTGCCGCTGGTGCGCGACAGTGGGCAGAAACTGCTGCTGGTCATACCTGATGAGCTCGAGTACGGGCTCAAGAATGCATTGCAGGAACTCAGTGGCCTCAGGGGTGTGACTGGGTATGCGGTGCCGAGGTTCTGGGTCGAGGATGACGTAGGTGAAGGACATGATCACGATCACGATCACAGCCATGTACACGACCATGACCACAATCACCACGGACACGATCACCATGGCCACGACCATGACGAGCACGAACACGAAGAAAAGAGGAAAAAGATTATGGGTGTCATACACGTATTCGCTGCTCGCGCGGCAGACACAGAAGACGTGAGGCAAAGAGTCGAGCAATACTTTTGAAACTGAACATGCATGTTGTAGTCCAAGTTGAAAGAGAAGGAGAAGGACGATGTTGGTGTGGTGGTGGCGTCAAGACCGGATAGACTATTCTCAATCGTTGGGGTTTGGTATTAGCATAGCATTAGCATAGCGAAAGTATACTCTGAATATCTGCAAAGTGTTTGTTTCTGATCAACATGGGTCGTTCGGCGAGGGACACTGTGCGTGGTTCTTTCGTCTGACATTCAGTATTGAACCAGACAATTGACAAGTAACAACTCGCAATCTACCTAACACCACACATTGCTGCACTTTTATTACTCTACACATGTTTTTGACATGTAGCAGTTCACACAAATCCATCATGTTACTCGAGTAGTCGGTGGAAAACTGAGCGACCCTGACCACGCCTGAACCCACGAGCTTTCCCCACAATCTTCAAAAGTGCACAGCGCTACAGACCTTCGTCACTGCTTCTCAAGACACATTAATTGCAAAACCTCACATCACAGAAAAACTGCCTGTAATCCCTGCAGCTCCCTAGGCCATTACTTCTCGAACTTGACAATCAGTCACACGTAAACACTCCACACACACATTTATCCACCATGGCCGATCGGGGATGGTGGGTAGGCGACTAAGCAAGTAAGCGAACAAATGGGTAACCTCGTCGAAGCAGTTACATTGATGTCTAAGGCAATGGGCGTGTAAACATTCATGGCGTGCGTGTCTTTAATTAAACAAGGTAACGGTAACGATACAAGGTAAGGAAAAGCTACTCATTAAAGTGTCTAAACATGCTACAAGCGCATAGAAGACTAGCATGAACCATTACCAAGAACGAAAATGATATATGTACACGAAGTTGAAATCAATAGATGCGAAGAAAGACCATGATCCTGTTCTCTTGTTGTGATAGATAATAGGTAGTCAATGGAAAAATGTTCCAGAGCTCAGAGCAACCCTGTCTTCCCCACAACCTTCGACTTCCTAAAGCACCACAACCATTCTCTCACTCTTCACACCGTCGGTCGCAAAACATCTACCACAATTACTCTCGTCGCATCCGTGTCAGCTCCAAATCACGATCAAACACTTCTCACATCCACACGCTTCCACGCCTTCTCCGCACACATCTCATCCCACAATGGCCGACCGCAAAGGCGCCTACGGCGGCGCCCCGGCCAGCGACACGTCCTTCCGCAAAACCTGGGATCGCGAAGAATACGCCCAAAAGGCCGCCGACCGCGAACAACGCATCAAAGACGAAGGAAAAGCAAAGTTCGAAGCCGCCGCCGCGGGCAAAAANTACCATCGCCGTGCTAGCACACCACCCGATGCTCGCGACACCGAAGCACGACGCTCACGTCTGGATGTCAGCGCACAGATAGGAAAAACCATGTTGGTGCCTGCAGGCTCTGCTGTTGGCAAGAGAGGCAAAGGCGCAGGGTTCTATTGCGATGCTTGTGACTTGACGTTCAAGGACAATTTACAATTTGTGGAGCATTTGAATTCGAAGCAGCATTTGTATGCCACCGGGCAGAGCGGAGAAGTCAAGAGGGCGACTTTGGAAGATGTGGTTGAAAGATTGGAATGGTTAAAGAGGAAACGGGAAGAAGAGACTGCCAAAGAGACTGTGGATTTGGGGACGAGATTGGAGGTTGCGAGGGAAGAGGAAGAGAAGATTAGAGAAGAGAAGAGGAGGAGGAGGAATGAGAAGAGGAGAAAGAATAAGGGTAGGGAGGGAGGGGACGAGGTCAAGGTCGAGGTGGAGAATGATGGGGTCATTTGCTGAGAGAGAGAGGATATGGCAAGGCAGCCTGAAACACACATATGATGGCTTGGGGTGGACTGCTGTCTAGACCCCAGGATCCGACTCGAAGGAAAAGATGCACGCCTTGGCTACACCAACACATATCTCGACATGCTCTCGGCTCCGCCCCAGCCATTTTTCGGATGCTGTACATGGAGCGTTCTGATCTATATCCACGCACCACTACACTCTTGGCGCTCTTCGACGTCAGAGTAGCGAGATGGATGGCACTCGGTACAGTGCTCGTATGAAGTCAGACTTGTACAGTCTAGATACGCAGTCCGTCACAAGCTGACCAAGCTTTGCGATGGTCTCGATAGTGAAGGACAAGTGAGATGGCTCGAGGCCAAATGAGGAGCGAGACCATGCGATCACGAGGAGGCACCGCTCAAACAAAGGGGAGCCATGAGGGTCAGCAGACCAGTCGGAAGCGGAGAAGCTCAAGCATCTACTGAACACATATCCTCAGCATCAACATACTTGTTTCGTGCGATGAAATGATTCATCTTATTCATGATGATGAGGACGCGACTTTTCGTGTGATGGACGTGAAGATGCTGCCAAGATCCTGGATTTGCAGGGTCGCATGTTTTGTTTACTCCGCGCCAAAACAGCAGTGACTTGCGCATGCGATTCTTGTCGTCGCCCCTTCGAGTCCTTTTTCTTTCTTCTCGACTAACGATTCCTACGCCCAGCGACTTGTGACGACGCAGAGTGAAGAGTGGATGTTCTAGATGACTGTTGACTGATTACTGTAATTCACCTGCAACATGGACGACTCGATGGCAGAGTCCGACTTTGCCATGGACGCCAGCAGTGACTTTGAGCTGCCCAAGAAGGCTCCTACTGTACCTNNATTGTCTCTCCTACTTTCCATCCACCATCACTTCTGACAACAATCATAGAAGAATGCGCCCGCAAAGAAGGCTGCTGCTGCACCCAAGCCCAAGGCCGCTCCCAAGAAGCAAACCACCCTCAAGACGACCAAGACGACAAAGGCTACCGCAAAGAAGCCGCCGATAAGTGACGACGAGAATTCCGACGCCGACATTCACATCGACAACGACGGCGACGACAGTCTGCTCGCCGACACCCCTCCCAAGAAAGCCGCCCCCAAGAAAGCCGCCCCCAAGAAAGCACCAGCGAAGAAGGCAGCAGCAAAGCCACTACAAGAGATCGACAACGAGAGTTTCGCAGCCGAAGGCGCAGGAATGGACCTCGAAGACGACAAGATGGTCCAGCCCAAGCCCAAGAAGGGCAGCGCCACCTCACAATACCAGAAACTCACCCAGCTCGAGCACATCATCAAGCGCCCCGACACATACATCGGCTCTGTCGAACGCCTCGAGAAGCAGATGTGGGTCTACAATTCCGAAAACGAAGCCATTGAGAGCCGCGAGATCAGCTACGTACCCGGTCTGTACAAGATTTTCGACGAAATCCTGGTCAACGCCGCCGACAACAAGCAGCGCGACAAGAACATGAACGAGATCAAGGTCTGGATCGATCGCGAAAAGGGCGAAATCTCGGTCCGCAACAACGGTCGCGGTATTCCGGTCGAGATGCACGAGAAGGAGGGCATCTACATTCCCGAGATGATCTTTGGTCACCTCCTGACATCCTCCAACTACGACGACGACGAGCAAAAAGTCACTGGTGGAAGAAACGGTTACGGTGCAAAGCTGTGTAACGTTTTCAGCACAAAATTCATCCTCGAGACGGTCGACTCGAAACAAGGAAAGAAGTATTCTCAGACATGGCACGACAACATGACGAGGAAGGACAAGGCCAAGATTACCGCGACCAAGAGCGACGACTACACCAGAATCACTTTCTACCCTGACTTCTCCAAGTTCAACATGGACAAGATGGACGACGACTTTGAGGCTCTGGCCAAGCGTCGTGTTTACGACATGGCTGGTACATGCCCTGGTGTCAAAGTCTTCCTCAACGATGCCCGTATCAAGATTACCAAATTCAAGCAGTACATGGAAATGTACACCAAAGCCATCAAGACCGAGAGCTTGATCAATGAGGGAGTCAGCAACCAAGTCATCCTGACCGACAACCCCAACGAGCGCTGGGAGATTGGTTTTGCTGTTTCTGACGGCTCTTTCCAGCAAGTCTCATTTGTCAACTCTATTGCGACTACTTCAGGAGGTACCCACGTCAACTACGTCGCCGACCAGATCATCAACAAGCTGCTGGAAATTGTCAAGAAGAAGAACAAGGGTGGTGTAGCGCTCAAGCCTGCTCAAATCCGTAACCACATCTTCCTTTTTGTCAACTGCTTGATTGTCAACCCAGCCTTCAACTCGCAAACCAAGGAACAGCTCACAACAAAGGCCTCCCAGTTTGGCAGCAAATGCGTACTCGGCGACAAGTTCCTCAAAGATATCGCCAAGACCGAAGCAGTCAACAACATCATGCACTTTGCTCAGCAAAAGGCCGATCAGGTTTTGAAGAAGTCTGATGGTAACCGCCGTACGCGCATGAGCAACACCAAGCTTACCGACGCCAACAAGGCTGGTACCAAGGACGGTTACAAGTGTACCCTCATCTTGACAGAAGGTGACTCGGCCGCCATGCTTGCGCTTGCGGGTCGAGCTGTCGTCAATCAAGATCTGTTTGGTGTCTTTCCTCTGCGTGGTAAGATGTTGAACGTCCGCGATGCATCTATCGATCAGATCTCGAAGAACGCCGAAATTCAAAACATCAAGCAGTTTATGGGACTGCAGCACAAGAAAGAGTACACCGACACGAAGAGTCTTCGCTATGGTCATCTGATGATCATGACCGATCAGGATCACGACGGCAGTCATATCAAAGGTCTTTTGATCAACTTTCTCCAAGTCCAATTCCCCAGTTTGCTCAAGATTCCTGGCTTCCTCTTGGAATTCATCACACCTATCGTCAAGGTCTGGAAAGGCGACCCGAAGTTCCCCAGAGCNAAAAAGGACTTNTTCACAATGCCCGAGTATGAGGCATGGAGACAAGAGCCTGGTCATGACAAGGGTTGGGACCACAAGTACTACAAGGGTTTGGGTACTTCGGATACCAGAGATGCCGAGATCTACTTTAGTGATCTAGACAAGCATCTCAAGGAGTTCCACACCATGCAAGAGCACGAGAAGCAGTTGATCGACCTCGCTTTCAGCAAGNNAAAAAAAGCCGATGATCGCAAGATGTGGCTACAAAACTTTGTACCCGGAACTTATCTCGACATGTCTGGCAAAGAGAAGATCAGCTACGACGACTTCATCAACAAGGAGCTCATCCTGTTCAGTATGGCTGACAACTTCCGTTCCATCCCTTCTTTGGTCGATGGTTTCAAGCCTGGTCAGCGCAAGATCTTGTACACGGCTCTCAGAAGAAATCTGAAGAAAGATGTCAAGGTTGTTGAACTTGCTGGTTCAGTCTCAGGTCTGACCGCATACTCGTACGGTGAAACATCCCTGCAGCAGACCATCATTGGTCTCGCACAGACTTTTGTGGGCTCCAACAACATCAACGTGCTCGAGCCCAGTGGTAACTTTGGTAGTCGTCTTCAAGGTGGTAGCGACGCAGCCAGCGCTCGTTACATTTACACTCGTCTCTCTCCTTTCGCTCGTCGCATCTTCAATGCCCACGATGAACCACTTCTCACCTACAACACCGATGATGGCAAGACAATCGAGCCAGAGACATACATCCCCGTTGTTCCCATGGTGCTGATCAACGGTGCTGACGGTATCGGTACTGGTTGGTCAACGTCTATCCCCAACTACAACCCTGCAGACGTCATTGAGAATATCAGACTCAGAATGGCTGGCAGCTCCAAGGCTGACATGAAGCCCATGCAGCCTTGGTTCCGTGGCTGGAAGGGTGAGATTGAGGATATTGGCAATGGTCGCTTCAAATTCACTGGTATCATTGAGCACAAGGACGACAACACGGTCGAGGTCACGGAATTGCCTGTTCGTTTCTGGACTCAGGACTTCAAGGCTCATCTTGAAGAGATCATCAAGGCAGAGAAGACACCCTCGTTCATCAAGGACTACAGCGAGTACAACACACCCGAAAAGGTTCACTTCATTATTACTCTCGATGACAAGGGTATGAAGGTTGCACTTGACAAAGGCCTGGAAGATCAGTTCAAGCTCAGCAGAACCATGGCAACCACAAACTTGGTCGCTTTCGATGGCCAAGGCCGTATCCACAAGTACGAGACCCCTCTCGACATTATGGAAGAGTTCTATCACATCCGTCTTGCTTTCTACGAGAAGAGAAAGCAATACCTTCTCAACGAGATGCAGAAGGAACTTGACAAGCTGAGCAACCAGTCTCGCTTCGTCCAGATGATCATCGATGGCAAGCTTACCGTCTCAAAGAAGAAGAAGTCTGTTCTTGTTGCCGAGCTCCACAAGCTCAACTTCAAGCCTATCCCTAAGCTCTCTGATGCCAAGAAGCAGGGAGAGTTCGAAGAGGTTGTCGAGGAAGAGGATGATGCCGAGGACCCTGCACCTGGTGCCAACGACTTCGATTACCTTCTGGGCATGGCCATCTGGTCTCTGACACAAGAGAGAGTTGAAAAGCTCCTCAGGCAGATTGGCGACAAGGAGGCCGAGGTCGATGCTCTTATCAAGCTTTCTCCCAAGGACCTCTGGACCAAGGATTTGGACGAGCTCCTCGAGGAGTGGCATAATCAGTTGGAAATTGAGGAGACACGTGCGAAAAAGTCGAAGGGCAAGGGTCGTCGCACTTCTCACAAGCTCGGTCTGTTGGGCAACAGCAAGAAGCGCAAGTCGGACGATAGCGACGACGACGACGATGATGACTTCGTTGTTTCTAANGAAACCAAAACCGCCGCCAGATCAACCGCCGCTTCAAAGACTGCTCCCGCAGCAAGGTCCAAGGTCTCGAAGGGTGCGACGGGATTGCTTGACAACTTCCTTGTCAAACCTTCTGCTAGCAAGCCAACTGGTGTCTTTCCTGTTGTTGATGGGATTGAGCAGCAGCCTGTTGAAGCGCCTCCGGCAGTCAAGGCAGGTCTTATCGCTCCTTCAGACATTACCAAGCCGCTCGTGAAGAGAAAGCCGACCAAGCTTGAGGACTCTGACGATGACATCGAGATGGTCACCAAGCCGGTTACCAAGGCACCGGTCAGGAGGGTTAAGACTTCTCTGNNGACACAGACGACGAGGAAGAGGTTGTCAGACCAGCTGTCAAGGCCTCGGCAAAGCCAGCTGCTAAGCCTGCTCCCAAGAAGAAGCCCNGTCATCGAGTCTGACTCGGGAGATGAAGATGTTGAGATGTTTGACGCTGCAAAGATGAAGCCCGTTGCTCAACCCGCCACTACATCCCGCGCCGGACGTGCCGCGACAAAAAAGCCAGTCAAGTATGCCGCAGACTCGGACGAAGACATGTCTGACGACGACCTCGGCGACATCAGCAAAATGGTCAAGGAGCTCCCCAGCGCCGCTCCAGGCCGCTCCTTGCTCAGCAACTCGACTCACCGCACAGGCGCAAGCCACGGCATCAAATCTTCGCAAGGCAGAAAAGAAAGCGTCGAGCCCGTCGACGACACCGACTGGGCCGAACTCGCCAAAGGCACACCCGCCAAACCCATTGCCGCTCAAGCCACCGCCGCCGCAGCCTTTTCCGACGACGAAGACGCAAACATGGACGACGACAGCATTCTTTTGTCTACCCGCAAACCCCAACCGCTGAAAACAATCTCCAAGACTGCTGCGACAAAACCTACTGCCTCCACTGCCGCAAAGAAGAAACCAGCTGTTGCACCAGTCAAGACGCTATCGCCAGCCGCAAAAGCATACGCAGCCAAACAAACCAAAGCCGCTTCTGCTCCCAAACCCGCTGCCTCACGCAAGAAGACTGCATTAGACAGTGAAGACGAAGACGAAGATCTCGCCAACGATATCTTGAGCGATGAAGATGAGGATATGGCATCACCTGCTCTTGCCCCTGCTTCTAGACCTTCGAGAAGAGCTGCTGCCGCCAAACCCAAAGCCAAGTATGTTGTTGACGATGAAGAGGATGAGAGCGAGCAAGACGATTTTGTGGAGGAAGATGAGGAAGAGGAAGAGACGTTTGGGGAGGATAGCGAGTAAAGCGTGAATCTCTTCGGTGGCCGAGGGTGGGAGGGCTCGATGCCCTCTTTTCTGCGAGGACTCTTCTGTCTCTTTGAGGGATTGACGAACCTTTTTGTTTCGTATTACTCTTCTCTTTTCTTTTTACATGCATGAGGGGGGTTTTTTCTCCAATGGTCGAGGATGGAGTTTGGGAAGGTGCTGCTTTTTTTTTTTTTCCTTTCTCTATCCCTCTTTTCGCTGTTTTTTCTATAGCGACAGAATTTTAGACGGGGATTTCCTCTGCTTAGAAACCTTTGTATCTGCTTGTCCTTGTCCTTGCTACGTGTATGATGGCTTTGTCGTTGTTATTGTTGTTGTGCTCTGTTTGCCTGATTTTATCCACTCCTTTAGCCTTTTTTCTCGTTTTGCTCTCTCTTTTTTTCTTTGCCCAAATGTAATGATGTGGTTTGATTAGATCTTGTGGAAAGAACCCAATCAATCCTATGTCGTGCAATTTTTTTTTTTTTCAAATCGTTGAAGCATTTTTTCGAGGTGTATATGTAGCAAAAACAACACAATCGAGATGTTTTCTCGAGAGAAACAAAGGATTGGAAAACAGGGGCATGAAAAGATCACAGTAACAGAGTAAAATTTTGACTCGAGGCCATCATGTATTTCTCAAAAGTGTGTTCTTGATAATTTCTCCTTTTTTTCCAACAGCCGTCTTTAGAGGGCTAAACATGCTGAAAGATGCAACGGACTAATATCTGTCATATCCTCCTCTGCCACGACCACCGCCTCCTCTTCCTCCACGGCCACGATGTCCGCCTCCGTTGTTATCTCTACCGCCGTTGTATCCATTTCCATAGCCTCCTCCATTGTTGTTGTAGCCACCGTTGTTGTTATTGTAGCCTCCACCATATCCGCCTTGATGTTGGGGGAGGGGGAGCAGCCATCCCAGGCATCCAGCCAGGTGGGGGCGGCGGAGGAAGTCCTCCACCACCGTTTCGGCCAAAGTGTGCGGCAGCCTGTGCGGCGAGTCCCGGAGGCAGGTTTTGGAAGCCACCAGGAGGGGGAGGTGCACCGTATCCGCCACGACCATAGCCGTCGTTATTGCGAGGGTAGTTGTTGTTTCCACCTCCTCTGCCACCTCTGTAGCCACCGCCGTGGCCTCCGTACCCGTTGTTGTTGTACCCATTGCCGCCGCCTGCGTTATAGTCGATGCGGCCACGACCTCCTTGATCGTAGAGCGGCGCGCCGCCGAATTGTCTGCCTGACTTTTGCGACTTTTGCCTCGTCGACTCAATGTCGCTGTAGTCGAGAACGGGGTTGGGAGGTATTAGGCCTGGCAACAACATGCTCTTGTGGACTGTGTTGGTAGGAGGCATGACGTAGTGAACAGTGATACTCTGATCGTCGTCAACATCATGGAACGGTGTGGCGCCAGGAAGCGGGAAAGAGAGCGAAGATGAGGGAAGGTAGTCTTCGTTCTTCTCGACTTTTCCAGCCAGACCCTCAGACACTTGAGGGTTCAAGCTAAAGTCCCCTGTATTGGCCTTTTNTGAGTAGAAGTTGGTAGCCACGTCCTCATAGAGAGGATGCTTTGTGCTGAAGAGCAACGCGTCGTGACCAAAAGCGTTGCGCGACTTCTCATCCTCAGTGAGCAGGGGGTATTTTGTGGCCATGGCATCAAGCAAGCGCTTTGCATCGATGAAAGGCAACAGAGCAATACCCTGCCAAGCAAACTTCTTGCCGTTGAGGTCTACCACAAAGTCTTGGGGGTAGAAGTCTTTGATGTCGGAGTCTTCGTCAGTCATGAGAGGATGGAACACGGCAGGCAGAACGTGATTACTGCGAGCCGGCATGACACCCATGAGTTGTTCGTAAGGTCTGAAAGGCTTGCCCTTCTTGAAGTCAAGGTTCATCTTTTCGAGATCCACGAAATCAGCGGCGAAAGGAGCGTAATGATGAGGGTAATACCAGGTCCAACTGGCGCATCCCTGGAAGTAGTAGAGCAAGACCCAAGCAAGACCCTCGACGTAATCACGACCGACCTGGTGACGAAAGTCGATGTCGCCAGCTGGGACGTGGAACTTCTGCTCGTAGTAACGGTCGGCGTAACCAGGTTCCCAGAGCATGACAGTGTCCTCGGCAGGAGCCTCAGGGTCCTTGGCAGGGCCTTTCTGAGCTGGGTCAGGAGAGTTACGTCCGGGAGTACCAGCATCATTGTCGTCATCTTCGACCTTGCGCTTGCCGAGGACTGACGCGGGAGATGTCTCTGTTGAAGCACCGACACCGCTCATTAATTGATCGACGGCATCCTTCTGAGATTCAGCGGGTGCTCCATTCTTCTGAGCCAACAGCTTCTCTTTCAAGACAGCTGCAGCACTCTTGTTCGCAACGTTTGCCTTGTTGACAACCATGTCATGGGTCATGTAACGAGGGTCTGAACCAGTCTGGGCAGAACCAGGAGCAAATGTAGGCAGAGCGTTGATGTCGGGGACCATCTCGCCACGCTTGCGACTACCCATGAACTGACCTTGAGGAGTCGAAGGAGCAGCATCTCCCGTATCAGGACCGCCAGATCTGCGAGCGCGTTTGTTTGCCTGTTGAGCTCTACGTTTGGCGGCAGCATCTTTGCGCTCTTCGACTTCCTTTCTACGCTTGAAGATGGCATCTTCTTGCTTGGCGAGACCCTCGAGAATAAGCTGTGCACGAGCGAGATCGACATGACCGTCCTTGGTGACATAACCTCCCATTGTAGGAATGTTGTCTTTCCAGATGGCGATCAGCGTGTCGATGCCCTGTTCGCGAATGTCCAGAGAAGGCAGATGGGGCAAGAAATCGTTTCCGACGAAGAAACACATAAAGACCCAGTCATCCAGTGCACGTTCCAGGTCAAATTTGAAGGGCTGGTTAGGGACGCTCATCTCGACGGCCAAGTACTCGCGCAAAACGGCAACGTGCAGCCAGATGAAGGGCTTCAAGGGAGCACCGCCCTTCTTCTCGCCAAAGTCGCCCTCCTTCTTGGCTGGCACACCCTTGCACTCGGCAGCCATGTGTCCAGGCTGGTTGCAGATGCGACAGCATCCGGGCTTGGTGTCGTTGGCGAAGACGTCTTCACGCAGAATGCGGAAATGCGGTTCGTGTGTGGCCAGACCCAGCATGATCAAATCAGCGTCCAGACCGTACATGACATGGCGAGTGTTGGGGTCGTGCTGGGGCGAGTTTCGCTGAGAGCGCACAAACTGCATGATCTTGTGCTCTCCCTCTCCGGGAACGGTTGCGTCGGAGATGATGACCTTCAGCTTCTCCCAGGCAGGGTCGGTGTTGAGTTTGTATGCGCACCAGTAGCGCAGACTGGCAGCTAGAATGTCCATGAAGGGGGTTCCAGGAGTGATGGCGTTGCTGTCCCAAGTCTTCTTTGGCTTGCCGTCTCCACCCTCGGGCTCCTTGCCTTGGGATCTGAGCATCTTGAAGAATTCCTCCTTTTCCTTGTCCTTGTCGGCAGCCTCCTGGGCAGCGCGGAAACGTCTTGATCGTTGCTGGTTCATCTTTGCTCTGGGGGCGACACCATCGACGGCAATCATGAGCAACTTGCGGGGTCTGACCATGTTGACGACGCGCTCGGTGTATTCAAAGACGGCCAGCATCATGTCCTCTTCGGTCTCTGGGGCGGGGCGATCCTCAGGATGCGAACAAGGATGGACGATACCGTTCATGTCGAGGTACAGGTTGTCGAACTCTTCGCCATTTGGATTGGGCTTACGAGCGTCGATGGGAATCTTCTCACCGTCGACATCTATGGGGTGTTCTTCGAGGACAGGCGAGATGATCTTGGGGTACTTTTGCGACAGCCATCTGAACAAGGCGGGGACACCCATGTTGGCGTCTGGGTCGAGCGAGGTTTGTAGATGGTATTGGCAATCTCTTTAGTCGCTCATCGGGGTTTGTAAATGTGACGATCTGACCGGATTGGATGTCGGGAAGGAGGTCGAGTTGACAGACGCGACGGTGGTGATATGAAGGAAAGAGGCGACAGGCGTGTGGGAAGGCGCGTTGGTGGACAAAGTCTGAAGCAGCAGAGACTTGAGCTGCTCATCGACTCCCGCCGCGACTCTCGACCCTCCGCACGGCCTTCGGAGTTAGGGCAGGCATGACTCCGACTGTGTTGCTTCGTATCGATACACGAGTCAGTCGACGAGGAATAGGAGCTGTCCTCTTGGGAAAGATGATGGTTGTTGGTTGCGACTTCCACTTTGAAGAATATCCAGGAATGGCAAGGTCCGCATAACAACAATGCTGAAGGCTCCAATCAAGCAAACGGCCGGCGACACGATCGCCACTCTGTCCTCGCGCCTGTCGTCGGCGACTCTGCTCGAAGACAGACGCGCTGCCATCCTCGGCCTCCGCTCCTTCGCCAAACAATATCCCGCCTCGGTCGCCAGTGGCTCTCTTCGCGACTTGATCGCTGTTCTCCGCACCGATGGCCTGGGTCTGACAAAGGATGGACAAGGAGATGTCGACACGGTGCGTCTGGTCCTGGAGACGCTTCTCATGCTGTTCGAGCCCGACCGTGAGAGCGCCGAGGCCAGCGAAGACATTGCCCTGTGGTTGGCCGACGAGTTCAGTCAGGTATGCCTCCCTCTACACGTACTACCGCAGCGAGACTGAGCTAAGGCCCAGCGTCAAGACAACATCACCATTCTGCTAGACCTCCTCGATCAGCCCGACTACTACGCCCGCATCTACTCCATCCAGCTCCTTACCGCCATCTCAACCTCCAGACCTGAGAGGACCCAGGAGTCTATCCTCCAGGCACCACTCGGAACCGCCAGACTCGTCGGCGTCTTGGATGACGGAAGAGACGCCGTGCGAAATGCTGCCCTCCTGCTCCTGGTCGATCTGACCAACGTCTCGCAGACCGAGCTGCAGAAGCTCATTGCTTTCGAAGACGCTTTCCAACGCACCTTCAACCTCATCCAATCTGAAGGTGGCCTGTCAGAAGGAGGCATAGTAGCTCAGGACTGTCTCTCGTTGCTTGCCAACCTCATTCGACACAGCCACTCCAACCAGGCCCTGTTCCGTGAGTCTGGCTGCATCCCACGTCTGATCGAGTTGGTCAAGCAGGCTTCGACGGTGCCAGACGAAGAGAATGAATTCAGCCGTAGCGACCGCGAAAAGAATGCTTGGGGCTTGCTCGCCGTCCTGCGTCTCTTCCTCGAACGAGGAGAGCTGGGCACCAAGCAAAACCAGGATGTCTTCTGGCGTAGTGGCGTGCTCCTCCTCGTCTTGACTCTGGCCTTTGATGAGAGAGCTGCTCCACACATCCGCATGAGTGCTCTGATGACTTGCGCCGATGCCATCATCTTCAACGCTCCACTGCAAGAAGCCTTTGCTTCATTCCAAGTACCTGTCACTCCGGAAACTCCTGCTCCTGTGAACGGTGTTGCTACAAAATCACAACCCAAGACCATGTATGTCATTGAAGCTTTGCTCAACCTCGTGCTGTCCGCTTCCGCATCCCGCACATTGGACCTGCGTTCAGCTGGTTGTTCTCTTATCAAGGCCTACTTCCACGGCCACGATCGCATCAAGCTGCACTTCCTGCAGAGAGCCATTGCAGGATACACCGAGGGCGAGGAGGAGGACATCAACATCCTCAGCACTCTGCTCAACGGCCCTCAGCTCGGTGCCGCCACTCCTGATCCACCGCGCTTTGCCTTTGCTAGCGATATCACATGTCAACTCCTATTCAACTTGCAAGACGCCAAGTCTATGCTCATGAGCGTGTCTGAAGGTGACGCTGACAAAGGAGAAGATGTCATTACAGCTATCCAAACACTCTCAGGTCACCTTTTGTCGTCTTTGCAGAACGACCTCGACCCACAACTTTCCATATCGTACCTGAATCTGCTCATCACTTTCCTCTTCGACGAACCTGCTGCTGTCAACGACTGCCTGGCAGAAGGCTCCTCTCTCATGGGTGTCTTGATCGATAATGCGCTTCTTACTGCTAACTCGCAAGTTGCCGCCGATCCCATAAAGTCTCTGTTACCTGGTCTCTCTGCAATCTTGCTTGGAACCATCTACGAGTTCAGCACCAAAGACAGTCCCATTCCTCGGCGAACACTACACCCGTTGTTAACCTCTAAACTCGGGCGACAAAAGTACTTTGATGCTCTGATGCAGTTCCGTCAAAACCCCATCATCCGCGACTCTGACTTCATCCCACCTGAGATCGAAGGTGCCACCATTTTGTTCGACAATGAATTCGTGGATTGGTTCAAAGACGAGTACGGCCGTCTCAAGCGAGTCATCGACCGCGAACCTGGCATTGAGGTTGTTCGTCCTTCAGATGTCGGTGTGGATCGCGACATTCTAGACGACTTGCGAGAGAAGATCAAAGCACGAGACGAGAAGTTACAGCAAATCGAGCAAGATGATCTGGCCGCTAAGCAAAAGTCAGATCAAGCTGAAGCAGAATACCGCCACCAGTTGCAAAGTCTGCAATCTTCGCAGCGATCCATGGAAGCCGAAGTCGAGCGCATCAAGCGCATCAACGAAGCTCTGCAACGCGATCATGATGTTGAGCTCCAACGAGTCTCGGGAGAACTACGCAGCCAACTCGCGCAATTCCAACTCGAGAGCCGGAACAATCTACAAACACTTCGCGATCAGCACAAACAGGAGTTGGAACGTTTCAAGGGACAACATGGTGCTACACTGGCAAGCGAGCGTTCTCTATGGGAAGACAAGGCACGCAAAGCTGCCGAACAAGCCACTCGTGATCAACGAGCCGCTATCGACAAGGCCGCAGAAGAGCACCGTAAAGCTACCGAGCAAAACGCAGAAGAGCAACGGATGCGTGCCGATCAAGTCGCTTCTGAGCATCGCAAAGCCCTGGACGAACTCAACTCTAGTGTTCAACAGAAGGAGAAGACCATCAAGGAGCACGAGACCGCCATCTCAGACCATGCGCGCAGCGAGAGGGTCATCAAACAAGAACATTCTGCTACAACGGCTGCGCTCGAGAAACTTCGTTCAGAGTTCGACACGAGCAAGTCTGACAAAGACAAGCTAGAGAAGGAATTGGAGACAACAAAGACCCTTCAGAAGGATCTGCAACAAGTCAACACCAAAGCTATGGCTCGTGTCAAGACACTCGAGGAAGAAGCCAAGGCTCGAGAAACCAAGATTCAGACCCTCACCTCGGATATTTCTTCCTTGCAATCAGAGCTTAGCGTGAAACAGCAGAAAGTCTCCGAGCTTGAGCAAGAGATATCAGGTCTTAAGCTGGAACTCGAGGGTGAGCGGAAGGGATACAACGACCTGGAAACTGAACTCAACGATCTCAAAACCATTCACAGCAAACTCGAGACCTCGAACAAGGACCTCGAAAAGCAGATCACCGAATCCAAGTCGAAGCCCGCGCCTTCGACAACTCCCGAGAACTCAGACAAGCTCAAAGCACTGGAAAAGGAATTGGCAGATACCAAGAAGAAACTCAGCACTGCCTCCTCGAACTCGAACTCCAAGAACAAGAAAACTTCGGATGACATGACCGCCAAACTTGAAAAACAGTTGGAGGCACAGAAGAAGGAGATTGAAAAGGAGAAGGAAGAAGCTAGTAAAGCAAGGACAGAGCTCGAGGATATGTTGATGGTGCTTGCAGATCTCGAAGATAAAGCCAAGGGGTACCGCGAAAAGCTGAGGAAGCATGGGGAAGAGGTCAGTGAGGATGAGGACGAAGACGAAGACGATGACGACGACGATGATGAGGACGAAGAGGAAGAGTAGTGATGATCAAAATAGCATTGTCATTTATGCATCTTCTCGTGTGAGTTTTTGCTGCATTGATCGTATCTGTCAACTACAATTGATTGCTCAGCTTAATCCATGATGATGCGCAGCGGAAGTCCAATTGCCGTGATGTGTAGATACTCTTGCGTGCCTCATCCACTAAGCTCAAAGCCATTGGCCTTGGACCCATAACCATATCTGCCAATGATGACAAGTGAGTAGGCTATCATCCTCGTCGGAATCGTGTTTGCTGACGACACTGTGCAAGTCTCAAGGAATGGAGGGTGGGCTCTTGTTGCCAGACGTAATCATATTGTGTGGAATGTGTCGGTATTAATTTTGCTCTGCCTAAGCTTGAAGAACAACATGAGTGTGCTGTCTAACGCCGGATTTAGATCGTAAATCCGAGGCGCATCATTACATCACCGGCAGTTCATCACCATATTGGTTATTCTGCCTCTCCTGGTTATGCAGAACAAGTCTTCCTTTCTTTTCTACTCTTCAAAATCAATCACCCAAAATCTAAGCAAGTCAATCAATCATGCAACTCCAACGAGATGCTCAAGATCGCGAGGTCGTTCCCGTCATCATCAACAATGTTGAGCAGCCATTCGATGTCGATCGTGTTCTTCCCGTCAAGAACAGTGTTTCTGGAGAAACTGTCCACTACTATGCCAGCGCGGATACAGAAACATGTGGTCGCGCATGTGACGCAGCCTGGACCGCTTTCCAGACCTGGAGAGATGCAACAATAGCAGAGCGTCGAGGACTATTATTGAGAGTTGCGAATCTCTACAAAGAACGCCTGGATGAGCTTGTGCAAGCTCAGATGAAGGAAACCGCTTGCACTGAAGCATGGGCGAAGTTCAATGTACTTGCCGCCACCAACTACATCAATGAATCTGCGGCATGTGTTAGCAGTGTAAAAGGAACTATCCCTCCTACCGATAAGCCAGACACCATGACTTTTGTTTTCAAAGAGGCTATTGGACCTATTCTTGTCATCCCGCCATGGAATGCTGCTATCGTCTTGTCGACTAGGGCTATCAGCTCTGCAATCGTCACTGGATGCACGGTAGTGCTCAAATGCTCCGAGATGTCTCCCCTCACACATACAATCCTCGTCGACATCTTTCGAGCAGCTGGCTGNCCCCCTGGTGTCCTCAATAGCCTTCAAGCTTCACGTCAAGACGCGGCAACCGTTACAGAAACTCTCATTGCAAACCAGCACATCCGCAAAGTCGAGTTTATTGGCAGTGCTACTGTTGGTCGCATCATCGCTGCCACGGCTGCAAAGTATCTCAAACCGACCATCATGGAGTTGGGTGGCAAGTGTCCTGCCATTGTCCTCGATGATGCAAACCTAGCAAGAGCGGCTCGGCTATGCGCTCAAGGCGCCGTCAAAAATCATGGTCAAATCTGCTTTAGCACCGAACGCATCATTGTGTTGCGCAGTGTGGCAGATGAATTCATCCAGCTCCTTGTCAAAGAAATCCAGAGCCTTCCAGCCGAGTCCGCGGTCTCAGATTCCATTGCACAGAACGCTGCAGCCATTCTCAAAGATGCCAAAGAGCAGGGAGTAAAGTTTTTGTGTGGAGATGGGTTGGTGCAGGAGAATTGCTCCATCAACAATACTCTAGTCCTTGTCGACGCAAACACATCTCCAGATCATCTCCGCATCGTTGACGAAGAGACTTTTGGACCAAGTGCTAGTGTCTACATCGTCAACGACGATGCTGCAGCCATCGAGCTAGCAAATCGCAGTGCATATGGTCTAAACGCCGCCATACATACTCAGAATCTCGAGCGAGCAATCAAGATGGGCAGACGGCTTGAATATGGTCAAGTGCATACTAATTCGTCTACTGTGTATATCAGTCGTAAGTTTGTGGAGTTCATTTTCCATTGATGGATTTGTTTTACTGACGAGCAGCANGCTACTGGGCCTCAAGGTGGTGTCAAGGGAAGTGGATGGGGTACGCAGAATGCTTCTTGGGGTCTGGGTTTGTATTACAACACTAAACAGATTAGTTGGCATGGTGATGATAGTGGGAACTAGGAAATAGCTGCATGTATTGACCGACCGCTACTTCAGAAACCACTAAAACTCGGTTGAGAATGCGCAGAGAGAAAATTACAAGGCGAGAGAGTCATCTACAAAGAAGCTTGATTGTCTTCAGGTGCAAGCCTATATTGCCAGATATACCTTCCTCATTGCCAGATCAAAACAGCCTTTACAGCCTTGCCTGACTCGACGTCTTCGAACGCACGCTGGAAATCTTGTACATCGTAGGAGGTTGTAACCTTCTGCAAGGGCAGTCTCCCTTGTCGATGCTCCTCCAAAAGCATTGGTGCCATCTGTCCAAAATGTTATTAGTATTACATCTGGCCAGAGTTTCCCTACTACATGCTTACCTCGTGCGGATTCGAATCTCCCTGATGACAACCCACGTATTCTCTGCCCAGCACAAAATGCTTGTGTACATCTATGCTGACGCGCGTGCCGGGCACGTTGGAGCCCACCGAGCACGCTTTACCCCTGGTGCCCAGCGAGTCAACCATTATTTCGATAATGGGCGCAACACCCGAGCAGTCAAGTGCGCGATCAACCCCATTCGCCTTGCAGATGTCGCGAATCTGTTGCGCGACATCGCCATCTTCGGAACTGTTGATAGTAGCCGTTGCCCCCAGCTCTTTCGCCAATTGCAGCCGCGATGGCATTATGTCTATCGCGATGATCTCTCTTGCTCGTCGCAATTTGCATGCCATGATCGCATATAGTCCCAGCGAGCCTGTGCCAAACACAGCCACCGTAGACCCTTGCTGCACATCCAACGTATTGAATATAGCACCAATGCCCGTCTGCATACTACACCCCAGTGAGGCAAACAAGTCCAGAGGTGTGTCCTGGGGCACCTTTACCAGACTAGTGCCATTCACAACAGCGATACTGGAAAACGAGCTCTGTCCGAAGAAACTGCTGAACAGTGGTTTCCCATCAGACTTTAGCGTCAATGCCTTCGACCCATCCTCGCGCTTGCCTCCAAAATTGAGGCCGAGCATGTTTTCGCAGTAGGCGCGGTGGCCAGAAGAACATTGCTTGCAGGTGTTGCAGATGGAGTAGCTGAGGAGTACTCTGTCACCTGGTCTGATGTCTGCAACATCGTCTCCTACTTTGAGCACTGTCCCTGCGCCTAGTGATGTGTATTAGATGAGTTTTTCTAGAGGATTCTGATGTTCACAAGAGAAAGGAAAAACACACACACCTTCGTGGCCGAATACGGCGGGTGCTTGTACTGGGCGGTGGCCGGCTGCACAGTGTAGATCCGTTCGACAAAGTCCCGAGGCTTCGATTTTGACGAGAGCTTCGTTGGATTGTATGTCGTCTACGACGACATCTTCGAAACTGAATGGTCCGCCGAGCTCTTTCACAACGAGCGCACGAGCATCCCGAGGCATATTGGAAATTCGGCTAATGGAATGACAAGGAAAACAGAAGATATGTAGGGGGTCCTTGAGATTGAAAATAACTTGTGCAAAAAGAGTTCGAGCTCCAGTGTTGCGAAAGTCGTGTTTGTGATTTCGAGATCGACGTGACGCCGTTCGTCATGACGACGTCTGTTGGAGTTGTCCCGCAATGTGCTTTTGCGCATGGGGTATAAACTCCGAATCACCCTGCTTACAAGCGACACAAACATGATGAACGCAAAGTAAGTTGATAAGACCCTCAGCAATCCATGTCTTGTCTGAGAATCGGAAGAAAACGATTGGCAGCGGTTATGGCAATTACTAGAATCTTACATGCCTGACGGCGAGTAGTGTGATGAGTGAAATGTATGGAAAGCAGACTAAACTCACAATGTCGACAACCCTAGGGACGAAACATTGGTAATTGAGCAGGCTGATTTTGCTCGGGTAGACTCGAGTGGTTGGAAGCGGGTTGTCCAAAGACAAAAAGCAGTAGCTGGGACTTCGGCAGCTTCCTTGTGAGCAATATCCACGAAGGTAGTGATATTGTCCGACTCTTCTATAGAAACTACAGATACTGGCACATCAGTATCTGTAGCTTCTATAGAAGAGTCGGATGTTGATCAGACAGATTGGACTTCTCCGAAGCGGGCTGTGCTCCATCAAGTTCTGAGCGCCAACCAGGTACAAGACGCTGACCGTCGTCGGAGATAGAAGTCGTTGAGTTGAGGAGAAACTCGACTCCCATGCACGAAGTGCACCACACTCGTGCAGAACATCATCTCCGGCTTTTCCCGCAGATCAGTCAAGCTATACCGTGCCGCAAACTTCGAACTGCGAGAGATGCTGGTCAACCCGACATCTCGTGAGCTCTCGTGAGAGTCTTACAGGCATTTTACTGCCGTCAGGCGTCACTGACATACCACCAAAAACGATGTGCCAAATAGAGCTTTGTGCTCACCTGCGGCGGAGTTGCTATGCTTTACCTTCGCACTTCCGTACGGGGGCGCGTGATGTATTGACGCCGACAAGCTGCATGCGACCGCAGACAAACTTCGACATCTGAGGATGTTTCGGAATTCCTAGGGCCTGTAGATCTGTCTCGCGGAATGCAGACGCCTGCTGTCCACGACCGGTGAGATAGCAGCTGCAAGCGAAAGACTCAGTGCAGTAGTAAACGTTCCTATCTTATCCAGCAGAGCATTGCATGGCATGCTTACGAAAACCTCGTCATCTCTCGCAAGCAGCGTCGCCGACTGCTCCAACGTCTCATTCTATCTGCCCAAAAGCAGGGTGCCACGGCGAGCACGGCAAGAACGTCCATCGAAAATCAACGGTGATGGGCGCAGGTTCGGCTCTTCCTGTTGCCAACTGCCACGACAATAACCTCGTGTCTCCGTTTGAACTGAACGATATCGACGAGGTCTAAGGAGTTGAAAATGCACTTTGTAGGATTGTATGTTGACGAGACCCTTGGCGCTTCTCCAACCGGCCTTGGGAGCTCTTCAAAGTCCGCTTTGCCTGGACCGCACATTCTGCCCTATTCATTTCACGAGTTTCTTTTCTTGGACACGCACGTCCAATACTCTGTGGGTCACATCTCGTTATATCGATGATTTCCAGGAGAGATCTAGCAGTGATGATCAATATTGTCTCTGGAAGTGCCGAAGCTTGGCAAACAGGGGTGCATCGAGACTCAGATCTCCACGAAAATGGCGTCGCCGTTCACAAGCCAGGGACCCTTCATTCGACCTCTTTGTCTTTACCAACTCACGGCATGACCACGACCCCTTTCTGATTATGCAGTCGTCCCTACTTCTGGAAACATTAACGACACAGTCTGACTCAGTGTGAAATCCAATACATGGCTCTCCGCGGCTATTCACGTGAGCGATGGCATTTCCGGACTGCGACGTTGGCGACGGATAGGACGTTGAAACCGTACGAGATAGGAGCTGCTTGGAAAAGAAACCCCTGGCAACCGCAAAAGACGCCATCGACGACGAATATAACTGCCATGGATACCTTAAAGCTGTTCTGGCACCTCGTCTCTTTCCTTTGACGTTGTTATACGCGTTATACCACACACTCTCCCTTTGAACTACTTCGATTTGGCTGGTCCAGTCGATTATAACACTCTCTTTCACAATGCTAGGCTACAATACTATGTACGAGAAGAAGTACGAGTATGAGCAGCTTCCACAGTCGCCCCGCTGGGCGCAAGAATCAGCTTACCGTCGTTTACGGAGTTATGGCACCTCAAGAGCCCGAGTGACGCGTTTGCCAGTCATTGTCGGGACATTCATCTTCTCTGCGATGCTGTTTGTGTTTTTCACAGGAGTAAGTTGAATTGATAGTCCAATAGTAACGCGTCTTGATGACTGACACTTCTCAGACTGCCCCAACCATAATCCACACATCNNTGTACCCCAGGCAGCACCAGGCAATCTTCACCTCCTAATACCAGCATCGGGCAAGGACGAGAACCTTTGTAAGGCTATCGTCGGTGCTGCTATCCTCGGCTACCCATCACCCAAAGTTCTGAACTGGGGTAAGACCTTTAACGATGAACGTCTCGTCTCTGGCGGTTCGCATATCGCAAAGATCAGTGGTGTTTCCTCTTATCTCGAAAGTCTATCGCCAGAGCAAGATGAAGATTTGATTGTCATGACTGATGGTTACGACACATGGTTCCAGTTGAGACCAGAGACACTCATCCAACGCTACTTTGACATCAATCAACGCGCCAACGAACGCATCCGCCGCGAACTGGGCGACAACGTCGTCGACGCCAACAAGATTGAGCAAAAAGTTGTCTTTTCCGCACAGAAGAGGTGCTGGCCTTGGGCTGCCGACGCAGCACCCTGTTACGCCGTTCCGCAGTCCACGCTTCCTGATGACATCTTCGGACCTGAAACCGACACAGACGTCGGTGACCGAAACCCATACCTCAAGTTCCGTCCGCGCTACCTTAACTCAGGAGTCGTTGTCGGCACGGCAGGCGCCATGCGCCTACTCTTTGCCGAGGCTCTGCTCCGTGCAAAGAAGGACCCCAATTTTGGCAGTGACCAGAACATCTTTGGAGCCATCTTTGGCGATCAGGAGGTCTACCGAGAAGTTGTGCGACAAAGAGACGTCGCTTTGAACCAACACCAGCACAATCTTCGCAGCGAAGGTGCACACAGAGGTTTGATCCGCGAGCAGGATCTCGAAGCCGTGAGGAACATGACCCGCAGCATGGAATTCGGCATCGGTCTCGACTACGAAGGCTCAATCTCTCTACCCACCGTCTTCTCCGAAGACGACACCGAATGGGTAAACTTCGACAACCAACCCTGGCTCGACTTTTTCAACTACAAGCGCAACATTGACAAGACACACAACAAACTCGTGCTTGCACACGACATTGCGGAAACGGCTGTGCCACTTACCAGCAATGGCACTGATGGTGTTGAGTCCAAGAATTGGTCGCATGTGCCTCTATTTACCAATGTGCCTACTGGATTCGCGCCAGCCATCATCCACCATAATGCTCACCGCGACGGCATGAAAAACTTGCGTCGCACGGTATGGGATAAGATATGGTTTCAGCCCTATGCTCGCGTGCTCATGGATCAGTACATGGATACCCCTCTGTCGGCTCTGGCAGTCGCAGGAGGTAGGGAATGGAGGAGCAGTGATGAGTGGAAGGGCGGTGTAAGAGATGACGTTGGCCAATGGCTGCCATACCAAGATGTCTGTGGCGGCACAGAAGACGAAGTTTTCAGAGATGGAAAGGGCCCCTGGATTGCAAGTCGACATGTCTGAGCGACTTTTCTCCTTTTTGTTTTTCTCTTTTTCTCGCCTTATATATAGATATATGCAACACAATCTCACGATCCCTGTTGGTTCGATACCATCACTTGCAACCGACTTGATATTGTCAAGTAACCGATGAGGGACGACCAAGACTCATGCCTAATGCTACCTTTGTCCTCCAAGACAAGAGAAGTTTGTGTAAGCTGTCACTGCGACCGACGGTCTTCACTTTCCGCAGCGTCAGTCGATTGGTTTGCTGTTTTCCCGCTCACAGAAAAATCCCGGCGAGCCATTGTTCGGGAAACTTCCCCCACCGCCGGAAAACTCTCCACCGTCCGATCAATTCCGCAACAAAAAAAATATTATGACTCCCAACTTTGCAAATCCCGAGTGATGACTCCTTCTCGTTTCCCCGTGATATCGATCGCAGACAAAAAGGGCAGCGGTCAGTGTGAGAGTATTCAATTTGTGTCAATCACCTTGATTTCCTAAATCTTTCGTTGTTTGTCGCATCTGCCTTCAATCCCTCGGACTTGGATTATTTTCCACTAAGAAGCACGGAAAAGGCAACGGACAAAACAATGGGCAAACATCCAGCAGTCGAGTTACAGATTCTGGATCTAGGATCTGGAGATGGCAAGATACCAATTCCTTCCGGATCCTCGACACAGCGAAATCCTTCTTCTGGAGAGGCAACACCGGGCTGCGCAACGCCGGCAACCATAGACACGGAAGCAAATTCCGAGGATGAGGAAACATTACCATTGGATGCGCCTCCCACCTCTTCAACAACTCTCTCGACGACAAGAGCGATCATCGTAATCACGCAACTCATCAGCGTCCAGCTCTTTTCCTCCTTCTGCAATGGCGTTATTGTGGTTGGCTTGCCGGCCATCGCCGCGTCTCTGAATATGGAAGGCGCATTGCTGCTGTGGCCAACCTCTGTGTTTTACCTTACAGCCGGCGCGTGTCTGATGCTCGCGGGCTCCATTGCCGATGTCCTAGGCACCAGACCCATGATCTTGACTTCCAGCGCCTTGCTAGCCATCAGTGCTGCTTGCTGTGGCGTTAGTAGAAATGGTGCTGAATTGATTGCTTGCAGAGGACTGCAAGGCATCAGTAATGCAATTGCGGTGCCTGCTTCCGTGTCCATCATCAGTACCAGAGTCCGCGATGGCCAGCCCAGGAATATCGGCTTTTCGTGCTTGGGCTTTGCGGGGCCGTTGGGCTTTTTGCTGGGTCTGGTGTTGGGAGGTGTGTTTGTGGATGGAGTTGGTTGGAGGCCAGCGTTTTATCTTGTTGCGGCCGCGAGTTGTGCTACGGGACTTTTGGGTGCTTGGGTGTTGCCCAAGGATGAAAAGCCAAAGACTTGGAGGTGTGTCAAGAGGCAGTTGAAGACTGAGATTGATTGGGTAGGGACGATCGTCTCGAGTACGGGATTGGTGACTTTGTCATATGCTTTGGCGTAAGTATTCCTGTCCGAGTGGAAAGAAGACCTACAAGTGCAGGCGTAACTGACATGCGCTTTCATAGANACACTCTCGGCCGACGTCGCCAACATCAAGACTGCGACTACTATCTCGCTGCTGATTATTGGAGTCGCCACGGTCCCAGCTTTCGTTTGTTGGATGAATTATCAGGCCAAACACAATCGTCCAGCGCTCATTCCGAACTCGTTCTGGCGTGACATCAGCTTCACGAGCATCTGCATCATGATTCTCTTCAACACCGCAGTCACCAATGGCATGGAGGTCTTTGCCAGTCTATTGTAAGTCGACCAGACACCAACCAACCTCTTCTTGGTTGTGGCAGAACGTGGTTGCTAACATTCGAGGTCACAGNNCTTCCAGCAAGTTCAGGGCTTATCGGCACTCGGGGCTTCCATCCGTATCTTGCCTTCGCTCGTCACGGCTGTCTTGACCAATGTCTCTACTGGCTACTTTGTCAATCGCATGCCGGTCATGTGGATGGTACTAATGTCATGCGGTTTATCCGCATTGTCGCCTCTGCTTCTGGCAATCATAAACCCACATTGGTCGTACTGGTACATGGCATTCTTCGCACAGGTGAGCGCAAACCGCAATCCTACAACTTTTGACTCGAGAGCTGACACGAATGACAAAAGNCTCCTTCAAGGCATAAGCATGAACGTCTTGTTTACAGTCGGCCTCCTGATCATTTCGGCAATCTTCCCGCCACATACGCAAGCTCTGGGTGGTGCGGTCTTCAATACTTGTGCGCAGCTGGGCACTTCGATTGGTCTGACCATCACATCCGTCATCTCAGACTCGCGAACAGCGGCTTCGCGTTTCGAGGACAAGACCAGTCCTCAGGCATTGATGACAGGCTATCGAGCGGTGTTTTGGGCATTATTTGCTTGGATGGTCGTGGTGCTGTGTGCAGGCGTCGGAGGATTGAGAAAGGTGGGAAAGATTGGAGTGAAGAGGGACTGAGATGGGCAGATGTTGCAACGTTCTGTATTGTGTGAAAATGTTGCCAAAGCAGAAATAGTCATCCAAGACATGGAAATGAATCAGGGGTCGTATTTGCTCTCGTTGGCTGACCTGGATGGGGTCCTGCGCTTGCTACCGAACACCTTGTCCTCGTAGTCGAGTGGCAGAGCTCTGGACCAGTCGCTTGTGAAGCAAGGATGACACATGAATTCGTCAGTCTTCTTGTCCTGCCACCACAACTTGAGAGGTCTGGTGTGTTTGCAGCCAATACAGTAGTGCAAAGCCTTGTCGGACCAGATGGGTCTGTGAGTCGGCCAGCTGAGTCCGGGGACCCAGTCCGGGTTGTTCCTAACCCATTGTCTTAAGCCTGACATTTGGCGCAAGTGATGGTCAGAAGCATATCTGGCCCTTCGAGGAGCGTTATAGCGCTGGTCGAAATTAGGTGTCGACCTGTACCTGTGCCAGGTGGTTTGTGCCTTCTCCGGGTGCTTTTTGAGGTATTTTCTCATGTAGACGAGTCTTTCTTCCTTATTCTCCTCATACCGTGCTTTCATTTCTTCCTTGTTCTTCTGATACCTTGCTCTCATGTATGCTTGTGTCTGGGCGCGGAACTTAGGGTCTGTAGCGTAGCGTTGAGCTTGAATTTCGGAGCTCTTGCTTGCATATTGACGCGTGGGAGTCCACTCGGGTTCGGTGGTTGACGAGTAGTGAGCGCGGCCAAGGACGCCGACAGAGGATGCAGTCGAGATAACGAAAGAGGGCCGGCAGTCTAGTGTGACAGTGTGCAGCAGAGAGCGCATTGTGGCGCGAAGAGGCGTCGTGACCAGCTACAGAGAGTATGGACGCAGCTTCAAGAGATTCGGACAAGTAGAGACAAGAACAAAGCGGACGTCGCGACGCGCTTCCTCTCCCGAACGCGCCACTGCCGCTCTAGAGGCTTGGACAAGCCCAGGGATGAGCTTATTTGCACAGGGCTGAATACATGAGACTCTTTCTATTCCTCCATGGTTTTCGTATGGATATATGCTGATACGGCTAGAGGAGCAGCACTTTAGCTGTCCAGCTCGCAGTCTTGTTGCTGTCGGCCTGTCGTCCAAGACGGGAGCTCGTTGCCGACTCGTAGCCGAAAGTCGGCAGGAAGCATCGGCACGAAAAAGCGAAAAGGCACAAAAGCCAAACTTGACCGACGCCAACGGCTTCTGGCTGACAGGCTGACTCGACACTCGCGTGGCCGTATGCCGATGCAAAGGTCTCGAGCATCTCACAGCGATAACAGAATGCGGAGAGTGCAAGGGCGACGGCGCTGCAATTGATAATAAACGACACTGACCGGCGAGAGCTCTTCGGCACTACTCTTCGGAGTGAGCTGACGTTCAGACAAGGTGGTGTGCCTTTCGGCAACTCGGGGCCAACCGCAAGCAGCTCGGACTTCTCGGCGACGTCATGTTGTCGAAAATTTGCTCGACCAAACCTGCCCAACAACCGCCGCCCTAGAGAAGTCAAAGCCCATCAGCAGTCGACGACCGACCATCGCGCGAGTTTGAGAGTATTCGTTTGTCACGAGAACTCGAATTGGCCAGTCGATATGGTAAGCAAGCTGTTGCTTTTGCGAGCGACAGCTCTTAGAAACACTCCCTTCTCCCACCCTCTCCTCGCTGTGCACTTTCCTTCTCGTCGTCACTCCGCGCCTTGCAGCACGCCCTAAGCACTACAAGCACGCCCTACTTTCCAGTCCAAGCTTCTGCTTCTAGCTGCTCGATCCAATTTCAGACCTCAACATCTGTCTTGGCTCTTAGTTTTATTCTGTGCGTAAAAGCTGCGTAACAGAAACCCCTCTGGCCCAAACCTGCACACAATCGCATTTGCCAATCCCTCGCTCACGCCGCTGATAGGCTTGTGACCTTCTGCTACTTCAAGAGCGAGCCCATCCCCAGCTCCTCTTCCCCTCAGTCACCCACCCTGTCACACATGTCTCTGCCAGAACACCCCGACGCTGCCCGTTACGGTCCCTTTGGCGGCAACCTCTCCAACATGCCTCCCCACTACGAGGACAGCATCGCCAAGACTGGCTCTGCCGACAAGGTCGGCGCACCTGAGCTGGAGAAGACGGCCACACTCGAGGAGGGCGAGGCCAAATTCAAGAAGTTGGGATGGAAGCGTCTGACCATCTGTCTGATCGTCGAGGCCATCGCACTGGGTGCTCTGTCCGTTCCCGCTGCTTTCGCCGCTGTCGGTATGGTGGCTGGTGTCATTCTCTCGGTCGGCATTGGTTGTCTCGCCATCTACACGAGTTACGTCGTCGGACAGGTCAAGATCAAGTTCCCCCATGTCGAGCACTACTCGGACGCCGTTGGTCTCATGTTTGGTCGCGTCGGTATGGAGATCGTCGGTGCCATGTTCACCCTCCATCTGATTCTGCTCTCGGCCTCGCACACTTTGACCGGAACCATCGCCTGGATTCGCATTGTCGATGACCCGACTGTCTGCGCCCTCGTGTGGTCCGTCATCTCGGCCATTCTTCTGTTCCTGTTGGCCATCCCTCCCACCTTTGCCGAATTTGCCATCCTGGGTTACATTGATTTTGCCTCCATCATTGGTGCCATCGGCATTACTATTATTGCTACCGGTATCCAGTCCAGCGATGCAGTTGGTGGTCTCTCTGCCGTTTCGTGGAGCGCGTGGCCTCCGGAGGACATTACCTTCCAATCTGCTTTCCTCGCAGTCACCAACATCGTCTTTGCCTACTCTTTCGCCATTTGCCAATTCTCCTTCATGGCCGAGCTCCACACCCCCAAGGATTACGTAAAGTCCATCTGGGCTCTTGGTATCATTGAGATCATCATCTACACCGTCACTGGTGCTCTCATCTACGCCTTCGTCGGTACCGATGTTGCCAGTCCCGCTCTTCTCTCTGGCAGTCACATTGTCACCCGTGTCGCTTTTGGTATCGCACTCCCCGTCATCTTCATCTCGGGATCCATCAACGCCACAGTCGTCGGCCGCTACCTGATCGGTCGCATGTTCAAGAACTCGCCCATTCGCTACACCAACACCAAGAAAGGTTGGATCGTCTGGATTCTTGTGCTCGTTGCTCAAATCGTGCTCGCCTGGGTTATTGCTGAGGCCATTCCCTTCTTCAGTGATTTGCTCGGCATCACTTCCGCCCTCTTCATCTCGGGCTTCTCCTTCTACTTCCCCGCCCTCTTCTGGTTCCTGCTCATCAAGGAGGGCAAGTGGAATGCCAGCAAAAAGAACATTGCGCTGTCTGCACTGAACGCACTGTGCTTTGTCATTGGCATTACCATTCTGGGATGCGGCACGTATGCCAGTGTCAAGGACATTGCCGATTCTTATGCTTCTGGTAATGTGAGATCGCCGTTCACGTGCGATCAAGAGGCCTATGCTTAGAAAGGTCTTTTTCTTCTTCCTTTGCTCTTTTGAGAGGAAATTCATGTATATATCACTGTGATGTCCTTTTTATTTCTACCACTTACCTACGAAATGCCAATGATCAATATTCCAATATCTTTTTTTTTCGACTGTCTCTCTCCTCGTCTCGATCCTGTATGGATTGGCAAACTTGGTGATGCGTGCGTTACCACCAGCAACAACGACCGCATGTTCGTGCACGACAGACATTAGGCATCCCAGCTCTCCCTGATCACTTGAGATCAGGATTACTCAATCTCTCGGACATGGGCTTCCCTGCTTTGCGCGAATTCGGACACAGTCTTTGCTTTGCTATACCTTCGAGCGGCTGGGATTCTCGAACGTCTCTTGCGAGTGAAAGTAGTCGGGCCTATTCTTTCTTCAAGATCCGTGGGTTCCCGTGGGTTTGGAAGTGACAGGAGGAATGTAGATGAAGGGGTTGATGAGGAGGTAGGTGTTCCGAGGGTTTGGGTCGAAGGGAGTGGACCGTGCATGTGGTTATGCATTTGTGTATCTTGTGCAGTGGCGTCGCTTGATGTGGTTGGCCTGTTGGGAACGCGCATTTATCGTACTCGAATTTGATCGGAATGGTAATCAATAGTGGGTGTCTCGTGTTTTCTCTCGGTATTGGGCTCCAAGATAATGAGGTTCCCGGGCCTCTCAAGGATGCATTATTTCGATCGGAGTATTTGACCGCTGTTTTGGGTTAAGAACTCTCCATAATGCTGGTGTGTTTTGCGCTGTCAGTCACGTGCTCCAGGCTACGATATCAAAATTTACATCTCTTATCACCATAAAGGCAGATGAGGCTTTCACATATGTACAGTAGCACACCACTGGATACATAAGGCCCTCCACGGTATCAGTATATCGTATACCATGGTATGAAGCATGTTGTCGACACTTTTTAGCCCGCCGAGAGTTGCTGAGGGTACCACCCTGTCAGACCTCTAAAGAGGTCAAAAAAGTTGACCGGATCTTACGCTCGCACACACTTTCGGAGGTATTCCTGTTTGGGACATATCTCCGCCAGTGGACCATCTCTCTCTAATGAATGCTCTGAACATATAATCAGTCCTAGCGACGTGTATTCGAGCAAGCTGTGTATGTTTCAATATTTGTTTTCGAGTTCTGATGATATCATGAAAATCCTGGGTTATACAGCACCCGTCGTCGTAAAAGGCTGCTTGCTCTACGAGGGCAGGATCCATCACGAATTCTTGGCGAGGGAAGAGCTCTTTCACAATCAACCACCATCATACAAGACGAGGGACAAGACACGAGCTGGAAACTCCACATGGTATCTTGCAGAGTCCTCCGCAATCCATCAACGTGACATGCCGACTCTGTTCATGCACCCCAGTACTCCAGGATGGGGATATCAACTCTCTCGCGACTACTCGGCCCTTCTGCTGAACGATTCTGGAGATGCGTCGCGAGACATCAAGAAGCTGCGGAGGATCCGAGGGGGACGCGAAATGTGATCTGATCAACTGGAGTCCTTGATGGAGCCGAACGAGGAGTTTGGGGGTGTTGCGAGCTGGGGGTTGGTCTCTCCTCGCATTCTCCAGGGCATGTGGGCCTTTTTGATTGCGACCGCGATACCACCGACACTATTTGTCTCCGCAGCAAGGCAGAGATGTTTTGCGGGAACCGGGGTGCTTTTAACGACCCAGAAGGAATTGCGAGGCCTCCCGAGCCTCTCTCGGATGACTTGTGTCAGGAGGTCACCGATATAAACTGCGCCAACCTGGTGTCGGAATCTTTTCACGAGCGCCAAGGGGGGAAGCGGGAGGCGCGAACAAGACAGACGCCTTGATGCGCCACTTTCGAAGGCTTCCATCGTCGTTTCCACACCTTCTTTTTGGATAAAAGCCTCGTGCGTAGTTGGTTATTCCCGCGCGCCCAACTCAAAACATCTTTTTGAAAGGACGGTTTTCCATACAGAGGATTCATCAGGTCGCAGAGCAACAACCCAAACATCGAGTCGCACCCGCAGGATTCGATGCGGATCTTTGGGAATTGTGGATGCCCCACGTCTCCACCGACAGACCCCGACAATTCGGCCGTGTGCTCGGTGGTATTTTGCATTTTCCGTCCTCCATATGGAGTCGTTGTGCGGATGGACCATCTCCCGGTCCGACAATATTCAGGAACCGCTGCGATGTAACGAGAAACCCTGACCGCACAGGCGCTCGCGTCTCGTGTACCACCGTGGCAGAAACAACCATGACGTCTAGCGTGCCGTGGGGAGCGCATTTGCTTCGAGGCCAAGCCCCGCGATTCGGGAGCGCAATCCTCCAGACCTACTCTAGCGAGTTTATGCTCCGCGTTTGGGAGACGGTTTGATGCACACGGCAGTCGATGGGGGTTGACTTTCGATCCATGCGCTGGGCGCCAAATTGGAGTTGTCGTTCCTTGGGAAAGCGTGGCGTGCGTAGGTGGGTGCCGTCCGAGAACCGTTCTTCTATAAGAAGCACGCAGCCTGCCACTCCGTACAGGTCAGTGATCCTCGTTTTCAATTCAATCGCCTTGCAACCTCTGCTTTCCCGGGTGGTCTTCTCATACCCGACCTTCGCCCTTTCCCTTCGTATCTCTCCTGGCCTAGCACCCAATTATGGGTTTCTCTCTCTCAAGAAGCCCGACGATGAGGTCGGTGCAGCATGGCCTTCCATCATGGTCGGTGCCTTTGCTGCCTTTGCCGGTATCCTCTACGGATACGATACTGGTACCATTTCCGGTATTCAAGAGATGCCTTACTGGATTGAGCAATTCAACGACCCTGCAGCCCACGGAAAGATCTCCTTGATCGTCTCTATTCTCTCAGTCGGTACCTTTGTTGGTGCCCTGGCTGCTGGTCTCATCGCCGACTGGACTGGCCGCAAGTGGGGAATCATCATCTGTGCCGCCATTCCTTTCAACCTCGGTGTCATTCTCCAGGTCGCTTCCACTGAGCAGAGCATGTTCATTGCTGGTAGATTCTTCGCTGGTCTCGGTGTTGGTCTCGTCTCCGTTCAGATCCCCATGTATCAAGCCGAGACTCTGCCCAAGTGGATTCGTGGTTTCATTATCGGTTCTTACCAACTGTGTATTACGATTGGTCTGCTTATCGCCTCTCTCGTTAACTACGGTAAGCTCTGCTCCTCCTCGATATTTTACCAATCAGCGTCTAACATCATCTANGCAACCAAGGATCGCAACGACAGTGGCTCTTACCGCATCCCTCTCGCCATCCAGTTCGCCTGGTCGCTCATCCTCTGCTTCGGAATGTTCATGCTTCCCGAGACCCCCCGTTTCCTGATCAAGAAGAATAAGCAGGAAAAGGCCAGAAAGTCACTCCACTTCCTCCGTCGTCTTCCCGAGGACCACCCCGCCATCACCGCCGAGCTTGCTGAGATCACTGCCAACTACGAGTACGAGATGTCTCTTGGAACTGCTTCGTACCTTGAGTGCTTCAGAGGCAACACTGGAAAGCGCACCTTTACCGGTATTGCCCTCCAATCTCTCCAGCAGCTTGTCGGCGTCAACTTCATCTTCTACTACGGTACCTCGTACTTCAGCAGGAACGCTCCCGCCGACCCTTCCATCCAATGGCTTCCCAGCGCTTTCATCCTTTCAGTCATCACCAACGTCATCAACGTCATCTCCACTTTCCCTGGTCTCTGGGCCATTGATCGCTTCGGTCGTCGCCCTGTCCTCCTTGCTGGTGCTCTCGGTATGGGTATCTCGCAGTACATTGTTGCCGCCGCTGGTGTTGCCACTTCGCCTACCGATTACACTTCTGCTTGCGCTCAGTTCGCCTTTATTTGCATCTACATCTTCTTCTTTGCTTCTACCTTTGGTCCCGCTGCTTGGGTCGTCACTGGCGAAATTTTCCCTCTTAAGGTCCGTGCCAAGTGTATTTCGATGACCACTGCTGCCAACTGGTTCTTCAACTGGCTGCTTGCTTTCATCACACCCTACCTTACCGAAATCCAGTACGCCAACCTTGGTCCCAACATCTTCTGGATCTGGGGAGGCTTCTGCTGGATCGCTGTTGCCTTCGTCTGGGCCTTCATCTACGAAACCAAGGATCTTTCTCTCGAGGAGGTCAACGAGCTGTACAACACTGTCGGCAAAGCATGGAAGAGCAAGTCTTACCGTCCCATGATCAGCCAGTCCAACGGCGATTGGGATTCTGCTCGCACCAAGGCCGCCGCCGAGGGCAAGACTTCGCATGCACCCAGTGACGAGATGCTTGAGAAGGCATAGATATAGATAGATACCTTTTTCTTTCTAGACGAGTTCACAGCTGTGCTTTTGGGCTGGCTCGCTTGATGTATATATCATGATATAATGTGGCATGTTTGATACTGCCTTTTTCACCAAGCCTTGGTTCCCTTTGTTCGTTGTGTGTCTGTGAATCTTGGCTTCAGAGAACGAAGCTTATGGCACTTGTGTTTCTTGTCCTCTGGCCATTACGGCGTTGCTCGATGTGGAGCGCGTCAAGGTGCCGATTTTCAAAAATCATGAATTCGTCTGCGCTCATATACTCAAGCAACTCTCCATTTGCCGAGAGATCAAGTACAGATTAATCCCGGACAACAGCGCACACCAAGGCAAGAAGTGTGGAGTACTGTGACAGAAGGGTTTGGTGCTGGGAACTGATGGACACTTGTGTGGAGACCGCAAAACGGACAGATGTCGAGTTGATGTATACGCGTTGGCAACAAGACTGCGCTCTCTACCAGCGGAGTGGAGAGACTTGGCAGAGGATTTAGCCGAAAGGGGCGACAGGCTCCCTACTCATTCAAGCCCAACAGCAACAAAGTCAGGTCATCAAGATCGAAACATCTGATTTTGTGTCTCGCTCGCGTTGTTTTTTAATCTTGCGATGTTAGAGTGCTACTGTGTCGGAAGCACAGCTGCCCATCGCGCCCAGCATCTCTGCCTACGTCCGAAAGAATCCTACAGCATGTTGACTACTAGAACAGCAGAGCTTGCAGTCGCTTAACTTGTTGTGAGCTTCCACTGATCGCAGAAGATGCGGCTTAACTAGTGTTTCACGGACCAGCCACCGATCGGCAGTTCGCAGCGTTCGGAGTGCCTGACTATACCAGTTCTAGGTATAAGCTGGAGCTGGTATAGGCCGTCACGCCCTTGTCTTGACGTTAGCGCGGCGCGTGTCCGCTCTGTAGGATGCACTGCTTTACCCAGTGCAGCAGGGCCTACACATTTCAGGTATGGTATACGAAGGCTGCCAAGTTGGAGGAAGCATTTGTGTCTTGGCCTTCGGGGTGACCGATTGATCCTGCAGATGCTTAAAAGGGTTTGAAGGTGCTCTTTATGGTAGGTCTCTGTCCTTGCTCATATGTCAGCTCCGACATGAGAGCTACTCTCGCTTCTATTGCCCTGAACCTGTCGCCGATTGTCGTGAGCGCGGCCTCTTACGGTCTGTTCGACTCATCGACTTGTGTCGACAAGTCTGGCTTCGAGCAATGCTACAATTCTTTGGACGAGGCTTGGAGATCTTGCATCAGCAACTATTGTGGAGGTTCGACTTACGTTGCGAGCTGCAAGGGCGATACTGCTTGCGTCCGCAAAAACTGCCCTAACCTTGGTATTGATTGCATCAATGCTTGCGATTGTATCCGCAATACCGAGCGTATCGCTTGTGCGGCAGGAAGCTGTTGGAATNNCAGGTATAATCATGCTGCCAACGCTAGATATGCAAGTATCGTGCAGATTAGCTCACACACTGCGCAGGCCTACTCTTGCGAGTATGAGGGAGCAGTCCTCGACGTGCTGAATAAATGTCTCGATGTAGACGAGGCGGCCATTCCGTATTCCTTAACACCTGACTCGGCGCCAGGATCGTGTAGTTGTAACCAGCTAAAGCTGGTATCGACGCTGGGAAAGATCGCCGAGCAAGTCACAACATGCGGTAACAATCAAACAAATCTGGACACACTGACCACTGCGGCAGATGTCAGCGATTACGGGTTAGAGTGTCTTTGCTGCCAGTATACTTATATTGTATCATCNGTACGGTTCTCTCTCTAGCTAATAAATCATACCCACCAACTGACTTCTTCATCCTCTAGTTTCTGGAAAGTCTGCCCAAACACCCAACCAGCACTTATCGCAGCCGACGATTATGCTTCTCTCTTCCAAAGGCACTACGACGAGTGCTCGAAACTGCTGCCCAACATCAACTGTGAACGCGGCCTAGGATTTGGCGCAGCGGTAGGCGATGCCATGTCTGGCTACTATGCTTTCAACAGCCTTCCGGAAAACGGCACTGAAACATTGTACAACAAGGAGGGTGCGCTGGCGACGCCAACCCAAGCCACCATTGTCTGGACAACGATATCGGGGCAGCCGCCCATCACGATTGTCGCAGCGCAAGCGCCAAAAGACTCTGGCAAGACATATGCATCCGCGGCGGCAAGCAAGACTGGCAGTGCATTGACTTCTGGCGGCCGGGATGCTGCTTCTGCTTCTGCTTCTGCTTCGGCTCCGCCAACATCTGATGCAGCTACCAGAGCACGTAATTCATGAATCCTTGTCTTAGTCTGCATGGTTACGATGGTTGTATACCTCTGAGGATGTGTTCCTGCTCTCCGCTATCACAACAGTAGTCTTCTCTTCTTGAGTTATTAGCTTTGTGACTGGATCGCTCTTGGCAGAACTGGATCAGTCAGCCGCAAACAGATCCTTGTTTCTGGGGGAAATTTATCAGTTGTATCTAATGGTGAACGCCAAACAATGCTACCAGACGAAAGATCTTGCGTATCGAAAGGCTTTGTAACAGGTTTGTGAATGCACTGGGGGTAAGTTCACGGAGATCGGCACTGTTCGGCTCCTTCCTCACACTGAGCACAGTATCATAAGACCACTACGACAGTGACAGCAAGTAGACAGCTCCTAGAAGGGCAGGCGGGACCTCTTAATACGACTTTGAATAAATCGACTTAAAGTTCTCTTGAGAAAGAACTAGATATGACGGCTGTATCATTTTCCAGAAAAGCGGAGCAAGAGAAAGACCATACGGTCGAACACATGCCTCAATAGCGTCGGCTGCTATGGGTGCAGTCGAAATCTTAACGCTATGGTCTTCATCACTTGTGAGTGTTGACTGAGCTGCTCACTAGTTGTTCAGTTCTTAACGATGATATAGCGCAAATCCGGCGGTCAAACCCCTTACGATACTCAACCTTATCAGATTGTTTGCCGCGCAGCAACGATAACGATACAAGCAAACTTGTAAACTGTTATCTCAAAAGAGTGAGCTGATTGCAGCTACTATGTTGTCATCCTTGAAGCTCTAGTTCATCCCGTTTCGTGTCCGCACTCATCCGTTGGCGACTTTAGAAGCAGGCAACCAGTGCGGGGCTACAAGCATCGTGAATGCGATCATTTTGAGCCAAAACACCATCGGCAGTGTAGTAAGCACCGTGGCGGGTGTTGACTCCTTCAGCAGCACGACGATCACGACGGCAAGGTGAGAACCGAGAGGCCCGAGGGCTCGCGTACTGATACAGAAGTAGAAGGTCACGGGTGCATAGCGTAAGGATTGATCGCTGACTGTCGAATGAGCTTTGAGACTGTGGCTTTGTCCCATCCAAAATGAGCCAGAATGATGACCTTACAGCTCATGTCCCCATTCGCGTAATATTGATCTCAGGATTGTAGATGACCGTCTACTGCGCACGTCTTGAGCTTGATAATATCCATTACACTGTCGCGCTGCAGGAGGTGCGAGGTCAAGCTTGAAGTTGTTGGAAGAGTGGGTCCGGATTCCAATTGAGATTTCAGTTAGATAAGGTGCTACGGCCGAGCAGAATCAGGTGATCTCACAGGCCTGCATTGACATGTTTGCATATCCGCGTACGATAACGTAGATCATAGGGGAATGGGATGCGTAGGGAATCGAGATTGGCTGTGCGATTGGCTGTGGGAAATTTGTGCAAACCCCGCACACGCTTGCATGCACTTTTGCGTGAGCGAATCTCGTTTCCCCATTGATCTCACTTCCCCCATCCCGACGAGAGTTTGTGCTGTGTGAGCTAACCACACAAGTCAGGTTTTCAGACATGACAGAGACGAACGAGACAACAAGCCTCCTGACAGCACACGAACGCGAAGATGGGAGGGACGAGAGTCACTATCGCGAAACAACACATACTGTCAGCGACTCCAGCCAACTTACCCACTCGGGAAACGCGACCGTGATACTGTGCGGGCTCTTCATTTTACTCTTCCAGTTTGCAGATATCCTCAGATTTGCTCCCTCATTGCACCTTCTCGAGCTAGGTTATTGCAGGAATTACTACCTTGAGCACGATCCACGGTCGATCGACCCTGTCGGACACATTCCTGAACGCCTTTGCAAAGTACGGGAAGTTCAGGAAAACCTCTCGTCCATCAGGGCTTGGCTCGGCTTCGTGGAAGGACTTGTTGGTACGTTTTGGTCTCCTGTTGCCACATACAAACTATTGATTGTCCACGCAGGCCTTGTGTTAGTGATACCTTACGGCATATTAAGTGAGAAGATTGGAGGACGCTTCGTCGCGGCGCTGAACATTTTTGGGTATGCCCTTTCAAGCGTATGGATAATCGTTNNGTTTGTGGGTCGACCGAAACATCTCGGCGTGTCAGGTCAAACAGCTCATCATTTGAAAGGTTTCTTCTGGAAAACATTCCCCATCGACGCAATTGTAGTGTCACCAATGCTGAGGGCAGTAGGTGGTGGAGCACCCGTGGCGTCCGCTGTCATACTAGCCATCGTGGCTAGTTCAGTACCTGCGTCNCAAGAGGTGAATTCTTCCGCTTTCTCTAGCACTGCCTATGGCTCATAATCAGTGTACAGGTCAAGCGTCTTTTTTCTGATGGGAGCGGCCGAACTTGTCACAGAGATGATAATGCCCTTGGTCAGCACTGCTTTTTTGAGCTACGGGTTTGTCTATACACCTATCTTGTTAGGGTTCGTATTCGAGGGTCTGGCAATCCTTGCGATTTATCATGTCCCAGTCGACACACGTATAGTGTTGTCAGGAGAGGGGCTCCCTATTGATGCGCAGCAGAATGATAGTCAGTACTCGTTGCAAACCGGTATCACAGATGTCAAGAGCGACAGGCTCAAGTATCTGACTGACGTTTGGCAAGAGGGAGGCATAATGACCGATGCAAAAGTCTTGACTCTTCTTGGATGTTTTGCCTTGGTCAAAGTGGGGCGACAGATGCTCGAGCTGCTCGTGCAGTACATTTCCAGGCGATATGGGTGGACTTTTGCTCAGGTAAGTCCTTTCGCATACGTCATATGGATCGAACTGATGGCCATAGGCCAACATCGCATTCTCCGTGAGAGCGACTGGAAGCTTGGTCTTATTTCTGTTCATTTTACCGGTCTCGAAGCAGATCCTCCAGGACGTGTTGCACTTTCATACAGACCGCGTGGATTATCTTCTTGCGGTGATAGGCAACATATGTCTGATCACAGGCTCTCTTTGCATGGGTCTTGCTCGCACCGTCCCGATATTCTTCATCGGTAAGCTCTTCCATACGTAACATCATCAATCTTTGAATTCTCACGTTGGCTGCGTGTAGGGCTGGTAATCTTTACTCTTGGTAGCGGATTTAGGCTCAATCTGCAATCCTTGCTTAGTTCCTTCATTGAACGGAGATATTTGACTCGATTGTACACGATTATTGCTCTTTTCGACGGAGTAGGGTCTGTTATGTGGGCTCTACTTATCAACGGTAGCTTGAAGCAAGGCATTCATAAGGGAGCTGCATGGATTGGCCTGCCATTCTTCATCGCTACTGCAGCATATTCAGCTTCAATGATTGGGCTACTCTTGGTCCGCAACAAACAGACACTGTAGACGAGAAGAAAGCTTACAAGGATATATATGATCGCGTAAGCGATACTGCACATTGTTCATATCAAACGACCAGAATTTGGCCTCGGTCATGAAGTCTGCGATAGCAGTTGCGCAAACAAGCTTCCCGGAGTCTCTGCGAGTTTCAAGGGATTGCCCACTTCCTCGATTCGTCCATGAGACATAACGACCACTATATCATAATCAATGACGAATTGCAGCTTATGTGCGATAGTGATCATCGCGCAATTTGTAGCAGTGCAATGTTCCCACAGGATGCGACGAACCAGGTCATCAGACTCGTGATCTAGTCCGCTCGTTGGCTCGTCAAGCACAAGTATTTTGCTGTCAGACACTAGGGCTCGTGCGATGACGAAGAGCTGCATCTCGCCCCTGGTGAGCATATCTCCGGCCACCAAAATCATGTCGAGAATGTTTGCGTCGCCTGAAAGCGTCCTTAATTTATCCATTAACTTCGTTTTTTCCAGAGCGGACATGATTGCACTGTCTAGGACCGGACCAGATTCATGCAGTACGAGGTTCTGGCGAACCGTTCCTGGTATAAAATAGGGGTCTTGGGTAAGCAACATGATCGCGGAACGTAGAGCTTCCGAATTCAGAGAAGTGGTTTCCAAGCCATCAATCGTTATGCTTCCGGAGATGACGCGGAGCAGACCAAAGACTGCTGCGATGATGGATGATTTTCCACTTCCCGTACGGCCACAAATGGCGACCTTCTGCCCGGGCCGGATGTGTAGACTGATATCTTGCAAGACGGGCGATGCTTCAGAGTCCTCGGTGTAGCTTGCGGTGAGACTTTGAATCAAAAGTTCGCCCTGGGCCGGCCAGCTTGAGGATGGCAGCGCTTCGTCCTTTTCCTCCTTTGGCATCTCTCTAACAAATTGATTCATACGTGCAATGGCCCCTAGACTCGTCTCCAGCGATGTCCAGCTAGTAATCAGCACTTCAAAGTAGAATCCGAGATCCATGATCCCTGTTAGCGCAAGTCCAAAGTAACCAGAATCGAGGTTACTGAGCTTAAAAGCGATGGATACAACCAGTGTTGCCAATCCAGCTACGACAAGATTGAGAACAAGTGACAACCAATTCTGAGCCGATGCAAGTAGATAGTATGGGACTTGGCTGGCCCGTAGCAGTCGTATGTTTATCTCCCGGTATGCCTCGGACCAACCGAACGATTTGATCGTTGTCAACCCCGAGACTGATTGCATGAACTGTGTACACAAAGGCGCTTTAGCTTCTAGATCCAGTATCCTCAGCTGTTTGGACGTCCTTAAGTACACGCGTTGAATCACCCAGAAGATCGCGCACAGGAATGGTATGACTGCCCCAATGTACGGTGTCGCAACTATGAGGAGTACGATGCTAGCTGTGCTTGTGCATACTTGCATGGTGGTGTTGGTGAATGCCATGGCTAATTGAGTGTCGATGATCATAATATCCTGCGAGAACCTGTTGATGGTAGCGCCAACATCTTTACTCACCCAAGCCACGAATTTCACATTCATCAAGGCTTCCCATTGACGAGCATGCAAATTGAGGCTAGCTCGTGGGAGGAGTTTGAGGATGCTGAAGTGAAACAGCAAACCCAGGCAGATCATGGCCACGCAGCTAATTGTCGCGAATGTCAAAACCTGGACAGTGAGTTCGGCATCGTCTCTGATCCTTTTCGCTGACCATTGCTTGAGCCATACGGATTGCCCTTGGACGGCTGCCACAGAGGTGACTAGTAAGCCAAAGTACAACACTGTGTAGTAGAGCCCGAAGGATCTAAAGTACTGCTTGTACACTTCGAGATCGGAGCTGGGTTTCGGGGCCGGGACTGCTTGTTCTATGCCAGTCGAACGATCTGTACACGCGAGCCGCGGTCGAGACATCCTAGGAGAAAGACCGTCATCGCAATGGGGCTGAGAACATGCCTCTGCATCATGAAAATCATCTCTGATGCGTTCTGACGACTTATATGTGATGATCTTGCCTTTCTCGAGAACGAGGGTGTAGTCTGAGTGACCTGACCAGTGACTCGAATTCATCGCCAGTATAACTGTACAGCCGTTGGTTTTGAATATGCCTCGAGGACCAAAAACCCTGGTGAAGACAATTTTCTCTGTGCGAGAATCTAGGCCAGAGAGGGGATCGTCCAGGATGACGAATTTCTCCCGTGAGTACACTGCGCGAGCTAAGGCGACTCGATTTCGTTGGCCTCCACTCAGCGACGAGCCGGCATTACCTATGCTTGAGTGCGCAGGCATGTGTTGCATATCTTGTTCCAGGCCACACGTCCAGATGACTCGTTTCAGCCAAGCCTCGTCACGTTCGTAGATCCCGACTATGTTATCCTCAATTGTGCCATTCGAGAGCCATGGAGACTGATCACAGTACGCAATCACTGCAGGCGCGTGGATGGAGCCTCGATTGATGCTAATCTCCCCGAGGATCGCCTTCAAGAGCGTTGACTTCCCCGAACCCACACNTAGGGTGCCGTTAGTGAATGTTTTTCGAAGCAGAGTAGATACTTACCTTCCAATGATCATGTACAGTTGATTTCTGTCAATGTTCCACGTGATGTTCTCCAAGACTGGCGTCGCCGAAGAGTAGCCACAACTCACTCCTGAAAGACTTGCCACAATGTGACCATCCGATGCGTATGCAGGGACTTCAGTGTGAGTACCGTGGCCCGATACTCTCAAGGGTAGTATGGTGCGCTGATCAAACTGGTGATCGTTCTGGAGGAACGCTTGAATCCTTCGTAACGCTGCTACACTCTGCAGCGTATTCGGGATGTACTGAACTGCTCCAAGCATGGGAGTCGATATCAGTTTCAGAATGGCGAGAGACGTGAAAAGCTTGTTGTCGACAAGAGGCTCGCCAGAGATTCTGGTACGAACACCCAGCGCGCAGTAGGTGACTAATGCGAGCGCTACGAACGCCGTTTGCGAAATTACAGTATTGAGTAGTAGAGACTTGCGAACCGTCTTTTGTGCATGAACTTCCTTCTCTCGTAGAGCATTGCCCTGGCGGATCGTGTAGGTGGTCATTCCAATGAGCTTGATAGCCTTCATCGTGTTCAAGGTCCCCATGATGTAAGTTATCCTTGCTTGTGTCGCTTCGAGCCATGCTCTTTGTTTCGAGCCAACTGAGGTACCGTTGAGAATGGTCATAGTAGCAAGACTGAACACTAACACAAGAGGTGCAACAGAGTATACGCCAATTTGTGTGTACAACAGCCCGAAAGCGATGATGATTGAACAAGTCGCCGCCCAGTACTCATGAATAGGTCGGATGCCAAACAGTGCTTTCTCAACATCAACATTCATGAGAGTCAGGGGTGAAGCTTCAGTCCGGCATCGAAGTGATTTGTCGTAGATGGCTGCAATGAGGCAAAAGCGGAGTTTGGTTTGGAACCGGCAGACAGACTGCCAATACCAGCTCTGGAATATGGCCAAACATACGTAAGTCGTGGTAGTTGCGCAGACCAGAAGTACACCTTCCTTAGTGCTTCGATTTGATCTTCCTACATAACTGAGCAGACGATGTATCAGCCATGGCTGCGCAAGATTGACTGCCAACAGTGCGATGCGGGGCAAGATTGGAAAAAGAAGGTCGGCGTAAAGTGAACGACATATTGAGCGAAGCAGTATGATTCGCGATGTGGGAGTCGTATTCTTCAGCCATTGCATCTTCAAGCGTCTACAATCGTCTAGACATGATAACGATTCGTCGATGCGATCAAGACTTTCAAGATCAAATACAGTATTGTAGCCTGGGTTTGTTGATCAGCATGTAATCTCCATGTACGCTTGATGCCAGACAACCTTNNGGTGGAACAGCCGGTTCAACCACAAGAACAACCGTTGTCCGAACATTCCTCTAAGAGCTTGGGGCGGGTACTGCTTCCTGCTTAAAAGAATACCCCNTTTCTGGACCGATTCTATTCCAAGGAGGATCGCGGTCGAAACGCAAACAGAGATCTCGATAGCTCTCTCTGAGGTGGCAGTCATGTCGGACCAACCTGTGCATATGTGCACAAGTCGCCCTAGAAAACTAAGCAAGAGGTACGTTTGGAGTAAATAGCTAGGGCGTATAGATCGAGAGTGCTCCCACTGTGATAGCAGCACAGTGGCAAATGCTGCAATGAACGCGATTATCGAAGCGTTGAAACTCGCGCTCGGCATGTCGCGCCCAGCACTTGAGGAAATGAGTAATATCAGGGGCAGTGCAAGGACAGNAGACAAGATTGCAACAACCTTGTCACTGTTAGACTTGAGGTGCCTAGTGCACATGTCCTTACTCGACAGGATTAGGAATCAACTGACCAGTTTTGCCATTTGCAGAATTGTCGCGCCTTTCACAGCGGTAGAACGCGACCATAGAGTTTTGAGGCGTAGAGGCGCTGCTAAGATAAAGCATGCCGCTGGTGTCAATACCGTGGCGTAATCGACGAGGGAAGCTAAATTCTCCATGCCGGTCGAATGATTCAGGTGAGAGAAGAAAGTGAGAAGTTATTGCGCTCATAACCAGTCTTGTTGAATAGTACTTGTGATTAGAGAGGCGCAGCATCTCATGATAAGGATGGGAAGACAACCAGATAAGCCGAGATCAGTCAGGTGTCTTTCCTTTACAGATTTTATTACTTAATAAGCGACACCTGAGCTATGCGAAAGAGCTCTAACATGCGTAAAGTTGTAGTTCTCGATACCCAATACATCGCCATCAAATTCATAACAAGAATGAAAGTCCGAGAAACACTCAGCTGTTGCGACTATGCCAAGAAATTTTTGAGATTCGAACACATTTCTTGTAGTCTCTTGCACAGATCTCTCGAGAAATGCAATATGCTGAATCCGTTCTTGATGTCTTGCGTCAGTTGTCTGCTTGGCATAGGTTAAATGCCATGATTTTATCAGCAACCTAGCAACTCCCGGCGGCAAGCAAGACTGGCAGTGCGGTGAATTCTGGCGACCGAGATGCTGCTTCGGCTTCTGCTTCGCCAACTTCCGGTGCAGATTTTAAAGCACAAATCTCGTGGGCCCTTGCAGTAGCCTGCATGATCGCGATGGTTGTCTGCTGAAGTAGACTCGAGTCACTTTCTCCTGTTTGTTGATTAATAGTGAGTAATAAGCACAAACGGAGAGTCTAGGACACTCTCTATAGCTTTATGCAAGGCCTGTCTCAAGACTGGTGATCTCTTGGAAGAATCAGAAAAGTCATCATATCCGCTCAGGTATCATATCCGCTCAGGTGAAGTGGTTGCAAACCACCACGAAAGGCGAGATCCAAGAAGAGAGTGTTTTGTGACAAACATTATATCCTGCGTATTCGAATATGATACAACCTCCGCATCAACATCCGAACAACTGTAACTTTTTGAGATCGAAAAGGAGGATTGGACGTGTCGCATTGTCTATCCCAGACCATCCCCAAGACACGCCGCGCCTAGGCTGCACTGCTGCTTCGAGGCTGAAATACAATTGACCGGCGCTCTTTGCAAGCAGCCCAACCTTTGAGAGCAAGCAACATGACCTCCCACGCCATCAACAATTCAACCAACCCCATTGTAACGGTGTACATGAACATCGCATCACGCATGTCCAGAAGAACAGCTCAAACTAGCCATCAAGATTGTGCCACCGCAGATTAGGCCGAAGGAAGGGAGAAGCTCTGTGGGTACTCTTGATGGCAGTATCGATGTAGGTGGCTTCAAGTAGATGGTTGTATATGTCATGATACGAGCCAGCGATGCGTAGGAGAGCAGGTTGCCCCGTTGTGTGTGAAGCATCGTACCCATCATTGTCGCTCGTTGGTGCAAGCTCATAATGTATTCAAGAAGTAAGATCGTCAATACAGGAATAGGGTCTAGCGAGAAGTTTTAGTGCCACGCCAGAAAAGACCATTACGCAGCATAGTGTACTCTCGGACTGGTAGTAAAAATCCAGATGTGGTGCCCGAGAATCCAAGTTTACTGCTAAACACCATCGGTTCCTGCATAGCTGAGTTGCAGGCCTCATTTGTCCGAATGTTGTCTCACGAGAGCATGGACACTATGTCCATACCGGTCTTGCGTGAGATAAGGTCTGAAGCGAAGAGACTCGACGCACAATTGCTGCTATGGGCGGGAAGTGTGCCGCATCATTGGATTCCACAGAGACCGAACATTGTCAATAGGACGATTCCCACATATCGTTCCATCTGCGAGATTTACCTTCAATGCCCTGTCGCCAATACCTGGAACCTGTGGCGATTCCAGCGCCTGACACATCTCGAGATTGCCTCCAGATCGCCAAACACAATGCCTTGTGTAAGACAGACTCAGTTTACCACGAGTACAATCCCAGAAGACGTTGAAGTAGAGCCCTTGTAATGCAGGAAGACTGTCCAAGAGCTTGTAGATAGCGTATGCCACAGCATCTCTTATCATCTAGGCAATCGGATGCGACTTGTGAGTATCACAGATTCTGCTGATACAAAGATTTTGATCCCCAGCTACCATCCATCGTCATTAGGAGCAAATGACGGACTTATGGATCAAGCCTATGACACCGGTACCGAGGGTCTTGATCATCGGCAGCATATTATGTCACAAGGCCCGTGGCCCGCCATGAATCCCCTCAGTCAGTTATTGGAGCTCTTCGCGAAGGATCATAATCCGCTATTGGCGAGTTGTATCAGATCTGGATAACAAAAATGGCTTCGTGATCAGTTTGATCGAGCCACAAGACTACTACATCTACCATCTCCAAGGCTTGAAGATCACAAAGAGGTTGGCGGGACGTGGAATTGGTCGGCCGAGAGACCAGCTATACTGAATCTCGGTGGAACCAAGTTGGCTTGTGTCAATACAGTTGATCAAGTATAGCCGGCATAAAACTTCTACTGAACACTGAATGCCAACTCCCAAAGGAGCGATGTCGAGCTATATTCAACTCCGGGTCTTCACCCGCGGTTCAATGAACTTCCTCCGGCTTGACAGGGGTCTATTGCCTGGCAAATATGGTCGTGTTTCCGTAGACAAATTGCTTTGCACGTCGCAAAGCTTCTCGGTGTCCGTCTTTCACCTGCGAGATTTGCTGTGCAGTCAAGATGATGTTCTTTTGTATTGATGCCTATTCAAAGTTTTTGGCCTTTTGTTCTCTACTTTTACAACGAAGGATGAAACCACTGGCATGTCTTATTGTTGTTCTGAGTGTATATTTTCGGCAAAATATGTGATGATTCCCAAGAAGTGGAGTGGTCGAGAATTTGACGTTCTGGTGTTGCGAAGCGCAGTAAAATGTAGGGAAGCTTGGGGGTTTGTTTCACCACGCAATACAAGGGTCTTCTCAGGAGTTTGTGAGTAGCTCCTGTCATTGTGGATCAAGAAGGGTTCAAAAGGTCCCGTCCCCCACACACAACAAGTGGAAAGCTTAAAATACCCCGGAGCCATCCAAGACGAGCTTCTCTTGCACGTGGGCAACACAACCGTGACATGAATGATTCTGCTCTCCTCTGTATGGTGAACGCGGTATCGCGGCTGTGTTATCACCTCCACGAACGATAAATATCTCAAGCGAAGCTCTTCTTTGGCATGAAGTCAATTGTACGACAACCCGTGTCTGCCGTCGTAAGTACGGCTTAGGCGCAGATTGTTCGGATAGTCATGCCGTGACTTTCTGTCTTCGCAGTGCAGACACGTAGATATATAAGAACGAGTTGGTCCCACTAGCATGTTTCAATCAGCTGTCAAAAACCCGGTCGCTGCAATCTCAAGTGACTGACAACCATGTTTTCACGTGGACTTCTTTTACTTGCTTCGACCTTCGTACTTGGCGAGGCTCTGAATTACAACAAGTCGCTCAACTCGCAAGTGCGGTCTGCCTACCATGGCTCGACAGGCATGACGATCAGCTGGAACACCTACAACGAGCTCAGCAATCCGACTGTACACTATGGCTTGAACGCCGATCATCTTGATCAGATTGCGATTGGAAACATCTCCGTTACCTACAATACTTCTTTGACATACAATAACCACGTTCTAATATCCGGATTGCTGCCAAACATGCAGTACTATTATCTCCCCGAGCACTTGCTCCCAGATGCCGTTCCCGAACCTTTCACTTTCACCACAAGCCGTCCATTGGGAGACGCATCTCCACTGCATGTTGCTGTTGTCATTGATATGGGCGCCATGGGAGATGAAGGGCTGACCACTTATGCTGGCACTGGTGTCGCCAGCCAGGAAGTTTTACTGCCTGGTGAACAGAATACAATCCAATCTCTGGCTTCCCAGACGTCTACATACGATTTTGTGGCACACCGTCAGTATAGCATTGACCCATGAATTCAAAGCTTCGCAGGCTGATGCAATGTAGCTGGTGATCTCGCCTATGCCGACACTTGGTTGAAGGAGACCCAAGGTGGGTTTATCAACGGTAATGCCACATACTCTGAGGCCTACAAAGCTTATGAGTCGATCCTCGATGATTTCTTCGATCAACTCACCCCGATCACCACTCGTCTCCCGTATATGGTGAGCCCCGGAAATCACGAAGCAAACTGCCTCAACAAGGCAAGTAATCTTTGCATGCCAGGCCAGGAGAACTTTACCGGCTATGTCAACCACTGGCGCATGCCCAGTGATGTTGCTACTCAAGCGCCTGAAAACTTGGGTCTTGGTAATATGTGGTACTCTTACGATCACGGCATGGTCCACTTTGTGTCGGTCGACACAGAAACAGACATTCCAAACGCACCTGATTCAAGCTATCCTGCGGGACCATTTGCGCCCAGTGGACAACAAATTGCCTGGCTAATGGCTGATCTTGCTGCCGTCAATCGCAGCGTCACACCTTGGGTAATCGTCTTCGGCCATCGTCCCTACTACACGTCGGGCGATAGCTGTGCGCCATGCCAAGCTGCATTCGAGGATATCTTCATCGAGTACAATGTGGACCTGGTGATGAATGGTCATTTTCACGTCTTCGAACGGAACGCACCGATAGGCAAAGGTGGTGTCATTGACCCCAACGGTCTCAATAACCCATCCGCTCCTTGGTATATCATCAATGGATTGGGTGGTCATTACGCCGGCCTTGACAACTTCAGTCAGATCCAGCCTTACCAAGATTTTGGCATTGATCTAAACAACGCGACTTATGGCTGGTCAAGATTGACCTTCCATAATTGCAGCCACCTCACCCACGAGCTTGTCAACTCCTCAAGCAACGCAGTTATCGATACGGCCACACTATACAAGGCACGCAGCTGCCCTTCCAACATCATCAACAACTACAACATTCCTGGTTATGGGAAGCCAGTCTCGCTTCCAGGCGCCATTCAAGCCCCCAAGGGCTACTTGGGGTATAGTCACCTAGATACATTCAACCCCAGTCAATGCGCCGCAATTTGCAACTCGAAGACGTCTTCCAACGGAGGATATACTTGCGCTTTCTTCACCATCTATGGCGAGCAGATCGAT